AGTGAGAGGAGAGATCGTGCACAAAGTCATACATAAAAATGACTCGTCCCCACACAGTCTCCCGGCAGCGACAACTTTATTGGTTCTGAATGATTAATCGCTGGGTATATAAATGTATATTACACATGATTATTACTCTTAAATGTCTCATCTTGGAGCTTTAATTGTGTCATTGTTTGCCAACATGAGAGAGTTTTGCATAACTCTTATATAATGGCGGCAGCGTCTTGAGAAAGGGGAGGGGGCATGTGAAGAAACAGAGCAGAATGAAGGGGCCAGTGAAGGAGAGGCAGGCAGACAGGCGAAACCTTTCTGCAAGACATCAGTGCTAAGTGACCCAGATGGGGAATCTGTCATGTTGGATGCCAATGCTAACTTAATGCTGAGGTATATGATGACATGCACGCCTCCCACTCAGTCATCTGCCACTGTGTGTACATAAGTGAGTGCTGGTTGGTGAGAAAGCAGAGGAAGGCTATATGTTACATAAGTAATGATTAGGTGAAAGTTTTGACCACATCGATATGCACTGAGTTGACATCTTGTCCAAACAATAGTTAATGACTTCTTATGAGTTATTAAGCTTGTGTCAATGGTCTTACTTTCAGGACATTAAACCAGATGGTGAGGAATACTACAGCAATGGCAATTAGTGAAAACTTGAGCATGTACGCAGAAAATACCCAGTGAAATTACACTTGTTTCATCTGGCCTTTTGAGAAGGAACCTCTCATATCTATACACACATGGGAGTGACAGCACTGTGTCTTATGCAGGGACGGCCCTCTACCACCCCCCCTCCAAGGCCAGGCAGCAATCGAGCTCACAGCTGGAGAGCAGTGGAAGTGAGAATCCACTGTCTCCATTCAAGGCTCCTCTCCCGCTCCTCAGCTGTGCCTTTTTCAATCAATAGCTTTTAGGAAATCAGCATCTACCCTGCAGTTTGAAATGAAAAGCCTCTTTTGTTGTGTATAATGATCTCATGCTGGAAAAACATGCACATTTTCCATAGGCATTTTCTCCCCGTTGCAGCAAATTACATAATGTGTTCGTGTTCAAAGTAAAGCCTGAATGGCTTCAGAGGGAGAAAAGCTGCATTCACAGCCAGAGCAGGAATTAAGGTGAAGCCTACAGTACCTATCTCTCTGGCGTGAAGTTGATGAAAAGCTGTGCGTTTTAGCAGCAGCATGTGGTGCACTCTGTAAAACAAGACTTGCATGTGAATAAGATGATCTGGTTTCCCCTCTGGCTCCAGGTGTTTACTGGGACCACTAATTCCCATCTGCATGCTCACCTCCTCCTCCTCCCTCTCCTCCTACAACTCTCTGTGGATCATGTCGAGGTGCCTGGAGCAAAACGAGAACACGAGAATGACTGTGATTGACCAAGAAATCAAATAACCTCTTTATCTTGCCTTTAAAGCAACATAATCCTGCACATCAGTTTCGTAATGATAAAAAATTAATGGTGTTGGAAATGATGTGACCTTATACTGCACAGCTGAGATTCAAAAATGTAGGGGCAATAACAACAACAACAACAACAACAACAACAACAATGATAATAATAATAATAAATAAATAAATTAAATAAAATAATAATAATAATAATAATAATAATAATAATAATAATAATAATAATAATAATAATGATGATGATGATGATGATGATGATGATGATGATGATGAAGATGATGATGATAATAATAATAATAATGAAATTATACTATAACTTCTGCTATTATGTTGATACATGATACTCAGACAGCAGTGATGAACAGGGTACTAATTGGTTTTAGTGCTGTTTTACTCTACATTAGCATTTAATTATGTCATTATGGTATACCTCTTGTCTAATTAAATTACTTGCTTTAATTACAAACCAAATGAACATTTATCTGTGAAGCAGAGAAGGAAAGGATTTCTGTGATTACACAGCAACGAAATGAGCAGATAGTTGGTGTGAGTCCAGGTTTTTTAGGTCTTGTCATTCATTTGTATCTCTGGTTCACCACAGCTGGCTCTCAGTATTTTGCATATGTAGAAAGATAAAGAAACAAACATATGGCTGACTGAATTCGATGATGATGATAGTCTTTTTAATGATGCATGTCGGATTGCATACTGTGTATTGTCACAGTAAAAGTGAAAAGTTCCTCATGAGACAGCTGTTGAGCTGGATCCTACTTTTGCTCAAGCAGATACCACACAATCTTTAATTTTGGTATATTAAAAGGCTCGTCTTCATTTTAGCTGGTTTGTTTCAGAGTTTCAAGATATCCTGATTCAAAACCTGATGCAGTGTAGCATCACGATTGTCAGCTGGCTTTTATAAATACAATGGTGCCATCTAATGGTCAAATAAAGACACTGTTGAGGAGTATATGAGAGTCTTACCTCAGTTATATGGAGAAAGAGTGTATGTGGGGGGGCATAAATGTTGAGTTGTTGTTTTACAGAAGGAGCCACAGTGATTGTGGAGGTAAGAAACTACTAAAGAAAATTTGTACAAACTAATCAATATTCAGATGAACAGAGGCTGTAATTTATTTTACCTCGAAGGCTTATATCAAAATATAAATAATAAACTCTTGCTGTCAAAATTGTTTCAACTTTCAGATCTGATACTTTTAAAATGATGCTCCATGTTTCTTTTCCCAACCAATCCTCAGTGATGAAACAAATGCAGCCTCTAAACAAACAGAAATGTAAAGACGAGAACCTCCAATGCCACTGTAGGTCATGCGTATGGAACAAGACTATGGTTATGGTACCTGAATGTCTTTGTTTCAGCTAGAACTGACTGTGGCACGATTTTAGATAATTTGGAACAACTCTAGCAGATCACATGCTGTGCTTTAAAAATAGTTTTAAAAATTGAGTTCATCATTTTCTTGATGCTGCAGTAAAAATCATTCTTCCTTATACTCTCATTCGCACTTATCATCAACCCCACCTGAGGATACGTAGCTTAACTGAACTGAAATCATTTAAGCCATTATCAGTAGATTACTTCTGTAAAATTATCCCTTGATAAATGAATCACTGCTGTTGTCTCGGATTGCACTCTTCATTTTGTGAAAATGTGTACGCACTAATGTTTCCCAGGACACTAAGACAATAAAATGCACATTTAATCAAACCTCTTGTTCTTTGCTCGTTAAAACAGCAGCTTAGTTCCAGTGATGACTGACAAGGGTGCATTTGCATGCATATTGGAAATATAATTAAACCAAAGAGCCACTTCTCATCATCTTAGTCTAATTTGTTGCTGCAGTCTTTAATTGAACCTGGCTGTGATTTTCAGCAATCATTTATGGAATTGATTTGATCTTTTCTTGTACATGATAACATTAAACCACTATTGATATGTGAATGATACAAAGATAATGCTGATAAACAGTCGCAGGGTATGGGATATATGTTCAAAATACAATATACAGAGATTGTGGGATTCTTGCTCCATCCCAGTCAGTGTTTGGATTTCCCAGCACCAGCATACAAGTTTTATTTAATGTATATATTTAATATGTACTTAAAAATACAAACATGTATCTCAAAATCAACTGCTAAAGAGGGTTAAAGATAAATATGTACGAACATTATGGAGCCTCTTTAACAGCCTCAGGTGGACACCAAAGAAACTGCAGTTTTAAGACTTCAATATACAAACATGAAGGTTGCTTCTTGTTGACTGGTACCACTGAAACCCACCATGTCCACAATCTTTTTAACAACTTAGCTGCCAGTAATTGCATTTAACACACTTTTTGTTTGTATTTTGTTTTTACCTGGGACTTTGGAAATATGCTGCCCCATTAAGACTTAAGCCAAGATGACTTTCTATGTTGCCAGGTGACGGACAGGGTAAAAACTTCTGTTTGAACATAATATACTTAAAGCCACCCCTAGTCAGAGCCGTAATTTGGCCTCCCTGTCAAAAAAGTTTGACTCTGCCCCTGGTCAAAAATATTGTAATGTGGGGAGCTTGGATAACAATTATAGCAACTTGATTATGGGCAGGTTAAAATAAAAAGCAATCAGGATAGATCTGAGAGAATCTGGGGACCTTTCCTGGCCCAGTATCAGGCGTAGTGCCTGACTCAACTTTTCACATGGTACTTTTTTTTTTTTTTTCACTGTAAGTCTATTTATGTAATTTACAATCGTCTGGCAGCCCCTATTTCTTTTGGCCTTATTTTATTTATTTATTTATTCATTTGTTTTTAATTGTTTGTTTCTTTGTTCTGGTATGTGTTGTACAGTTTTGTAAAGTTAAAAATTGTAAATAAAGTATTAAAAAAACATTAAAAAATAAAAAAGCAATGACCAGTCATCAGAAACATATGCAAACTGCATTTAACTTCACGGAGCAAATGTTGTCTTCATTAATATTTCAGTGTTGTGCAAAGCAAGCTTGTTCTGATCGACATTGACAGATGAGTAATCTTCATTAAGTAGACTCTACCATAAGGTGGCAGCACACCACCTCTTTTCGGTGGGGAAGAACTGTTGAATGCCGCCGTGGAGGAGCGTCAAGCCAGCATAAGATATCCAACACAACCGGAAATGCGATCTCAGCAGAAAACCATAAAGTCAACCAAACCATCCTCAGAGGGTAATGAAGGAAAGAGTAACACAAAGTACAGGTTAATATTTGATCATAAGAAAAAAAATAGCCTACTTTAATGATGATACCCTAAACAATAGTTTCTTTCTCTTTAAAAGGGGTAAGAGCGTTGGGGTGCAGAAAGCAGAGCCGGCCCAAGCAAAATTTGATTTTGGGGGCTGGCTCTGGCAGAAAGTGTGCAGCAAATAAGGAAATAAGATGGATAACACTAAAGTCGCTTTTTCCACAATCATTTTTGAAAATGTGTATCAGGTCATAGATTTGGTCTCTCTTTTCTGCTGCACACACACACAATTTTTTTTTTAATTGCGTCTGGCGGAAAGGGCTTTTATTTTGAAAGACAACCGGATCAGGTGTGTTTGATACTCTGACTTGACTCGGGTTTGAGCTGCAGGCTGTCAATTGCAGTCTCGTTGTCTCCACTTTACTCGCAACATCCAGGCGGGTAACAATGTGAGGGAGAGACGGCTGTTTTATCCCGGACCTCCCGCGTCTCGGCCCCCCCTCGTCCGCCCAGGATGGATGAGAGGAGAGCTGAACCGGACCGCAACACCGGCGCCAACCCGGTTTCGCTTTATGGGGAGTTTACGGTCGCCGGTAACCGAAAAGTCAGGTGTGCCGTCAGCTTGACCGAAAAGGACCTACTTGTGCAGAGGCTCACCTCGACACCTGTCGGGCGGAACAAGATAGTTCTGAGCCTGAAAGACTGCGTCGGCTGCCGGGCTTACCGGGGTGATGATAACTCGGACCCAGCAGCGTACCTGTCCGTCTACTTCTACCCGCTTAAACGGCGCTGGATGAGTTCCGGGGTCTCGCGACAGAGAGTGGAGCAGTGCTTCCGTCTCGCGGCGCTCCAGGACCCTCGCGCCAACCTGGAGGAAGCAGAGAAGTGGGCTCGCGCCGTCCGAGAACGCTCTGCCCGGCAACAGTATCTAAGAGACGGTGAGTGCTCCTCAGCAACAGGAGGGGAAAGTTGATGTTTCTGTCGTTTCGTACAGCAGGACTCCACACTTCATATGTAGAAACTGAACAGAATTAATAAATTCATGAATAAAAATAGAAAAAATGAGAAAAAAAACAAAACAAATGGTGACCAATAATCCCATTTTCTCCCACACACTGTGCTTTTTTAAAAATAAGTAAATAGCTTGTCGTGTTTTAAGAAGCACCAAGGGGTGAGTTATTGAAAGACTTAACTCTGAACAATCAAGATTTGGCATGTAAGTGTCTGCTTATAGCTTCTAGATCTCCCTCAAACAGCAGATAACTGTCATACTAACTACACTTTGTGAAAACACTGTGCCAACAATTTATCCATACTATATCTGTACTTGTGCTTTAGCCTACCACATTTTGCCCTTCTTGCTTTTAGTAGTGATTAGAATAGCCACCCCTATCACAGGACTGTTATTGAGGGACATTTCTGCATACAACATAGCCTGCCTGATAAGAGTATTGGTCTTTATTGTTACAAATTTCCCAGCCTTGCTTATTTTAATTCATATAAACCCTTGTCTTTCACCTATTTTGACCTGCTTTTAATTCCCAGAATATCACTTTGTTACCTGCAAAGACTCACAGTTATCCTTCATGGTTTATTCAGTAGACCTGGTCTGATAAAGAGGATGGATTACATACAAGAAAGGGGGCATAGCTGCTTGACTCGACTTCTTCCCAATAACAAGCAATAGGGTGACTAATAGTAGTAAAATGTCTCCTTACATAAAAGTCCGTCATAAGTTTACCCAATATTTCAACTGAGTAATTACCTGAGGAAGTATTTAGTCAAATGACTTTACAGTACATATCACTTGTATAGTCTCTGTCAAAAAACCAAGATGGCAATCGTCCAGATACCAAACCTAAAGCTTTATGATAATAGTCCACAGTGGACAGTGGACAATGTTTTCATGGTTACAGGCATGTCTTATAGTGTATGGTACAGTGTCACCTTTCAGTAACCCTAGCCTGCAAACATACCGTAAGCACAAAAGACCCAAGAAAGCACAAGACAGTATAGGAAGTATTGCTGCTATTGAATTCACGTCAAGGTGATTATCCTGTAGCTATAGAACTGCATCCTTATCTCCACAGAGTCACACGGTAGCATTACCCTTAACCTGCTTCTATATCAATTAAACAAAAAGGAAAGGCGTGGTATGGAGAGTTAGCCCAGCCTGCAAACAAAACATCTTAGCTAAAAAGACACCTGAGAAATACAAGGAAATATGACATGGAGATTAAGTAGTGACACCAGGTATAAGTACTCCAATGGGAAAATGTTCTATAATTGGAGATTTCTAAAGATATGTCCCCTCATTATTTGTTTTACACACCAATATGTCCTGACTCTGAGGAGAAAGAAATAAAATGCAGCTCTTTGCCTCACACAAACTTCTTATTCCACACAACGACAGTATCAGTGGCACTCTGTGACCCAGATAACATTTCCCCATTTGCACAAATGTATTTTTAATGAGGCTAAATATTCTGCAATTCTATACGGCTTGTCTTTGTCAGAATAGGAAGAGCAGACTTTTAGTAACTCAAGACAGTATTATTTGCTTTACACATAATGTGATTCCAGGACCTGGAGTTGAACCTGAGACAGTTACCCAACAAGTTTTGTACCTGGGGACAGAGAACTAAACACAAATGTCTCTGTAGCTTTAGCTGCTCTGTAGTCATGTAGTACACCTCTACCTCCGCCTAGTTTATTCAGACTGCTGTGTCTGGAGTCATTTAAAAACAACTTTATATCCTCTTGGAAAAAAAGGATATATAGTTAGGACAGGGTTGTTTTTATTCCTGTCAAGCTTTACCTTCTTACACATTTAGTTAGTATTTTTTGGTAGATTAACTCACCCAAATTCATTTAAATTGTTCATAGTCACCTTAGTGGCCAACAACTGACCAATGAAACAAAAGTTAACTTAATTTACAGACGTATGTTTCACTGCTTTTCATAATTTGACAGAGAATTTTGCAAAAAAATAAACCTATAAAATCTCATTTTAAAGCGTAGTTTTCATCTCAAGAAAGTTCATTAGCCACTCACTAAGATGCTTCATTGATATTTATTGTGTCCATCTGTCTATTGGTAGGATAGTTTTGCACTTCTGCTTAAGTGTCTCACTTCAGTGGACTTTTGCTGTCTGCAAAATTAAATTTATATGTCATTTAGGCTTCAGGGCTTTCCGATCTCTCTCAGGTATGAGAGCGGGTTTGCAGTATAAGGCACGGTGCAAAGTAAGTTACTCACCATGCCAAAGGCCCTGTGAACCATAATAAATCATGTTCAGGAGCTCTGTATCCAACCCATTAGTCTTGATGAGGTCGGCGCTGCCTGTCTGACCTCTTCCATCAATACTTTCACATATGTCATTGTCAGGATTTCCTGTGTAGTGCTCTTAAAATCATTCAGGAAGCATCTATTTTCTCCCGATCTATTTACAGGTGGCAGGCTAAGTCATTGCTGAAAATGAGATAGAAACCTACACTTGACTCTAAACATGGCCTGAGAAAGTGTTTTAGCAGATTTTCTTAGGCTGTGCAGTGTGTCTTCACTACTTAAGGTTTATTATCTGAGAGTCCTGCTCTCTCCCTCTTAAGTTATCTTTTCCAACTCAACTCTGCTTCTCTACGTCCTTTAAAAGAGATTTAATTCACTTACATGTTCTGTTCATGACGTCAACACAAGTTTGCATGATAATGAATCATGCATCTGATGAAATTTCAACACAACAAGCAGTTAGTTGGCCGAGAGAAACTGTTGAGTCACGTTTGGCGTCTGTTGCTGTGCACTTTTTGTTGATGAGGAAGCAGTCTGACAGGTCACAGGGCACAGATTTTTGCCTATAGACTGTTAGGGAGATGCAGTGCAGAGTGTTTTTCATGTTGGGCCAAGTGTTGGCACCAGACTTTAAACACAAGATTTGAGCGGACGTGAGGTGACACACACACATCATTTTGTTGGCATTAGTCCTTAACACGTCAGGGTGCTGACTCAAGCCCCCCATGAATACCATCCCAGCTCAGACAATTGAAATTGACAGCTCAGATGCATCGCCAAGTGTTTCCTAGATAGTATTGACCCTTTGTTGTCGATAACTCGATTGAGTTCAGCTTTGGACAGAGCTGTCATTAGCATGAGTCAGCTGACGGCAGTTGGCAGAGTTCCTTGTAATGATTGGATCGATCGCTGTGGTTTATCATCTGGCTTGAGCACTTTGCTGTTCAATGACAATGATTTACAACACGTTAGCAACTGGATGGGATTAATTCATCGGGGTAGTCTTTGCTGAGTCATCACAGCAAAGACTACCTGGCACAAACTGTTGTTTTACTTATTTAAGGAACTACTCCAGAAAATGAACACATCTCTTCTGCCTTGTCGCATCAGTTACGTGCCCAGTAGTTCATTTCTCAGCCTTTGGTGAAAGCAGCAGCAGTATGACAAGTATTTTTCAAGTGTGGTCCCTCAGGTCCCCATATGAAATTGTTGTGTTTCAGTAATAGTGAGATTAATTTGGACACTTGGGGGTTAAATGTTGGCAAAAGAAACTTTTTCCTCACATAGATCATGACTTGTACTAATGCACCATAACTGAGTAAGGCTGCTCGTAAAAGATTGAAACCATGGAAACAGCACTGATGGATAGTCGGATGAGAAGCACCTTGTTCGGCGGTCTCAAGGGGGGACCAGCTGCTCCTTTTAGCAGCAAAATCCAGGCCTCTCAGGCAGACAATGATATTACTCGTACATTACCTCTGACCTAGACAGGGCTGAGTCTAGACTGACTGTTTGTTTACTTTATTACAAAAACATATCATACGCTAATTAAATTCTCATGTTTACTCGGCTGTTGAGGGCGGATCAATAACCGGTTATGTGACTTCAGAGTGCTGCTAATGTATTTGAGTTATTTTTGAAGATGGTATCTTTTTTTCTCTGATTATTAAATCTTTTTTCTACTTCTGTTTGAAAAAAACATTTTTGATGCATGATGCAAATGATGCATTATCATTTGCACAACTAATGAATGAATTCATGTATAATCTGTGGAAATGCAGATGGTCTTTGCTTTTGAAATTCAATGTAAATCGCTGTAAAGTTTAAATATTCCATCGCAGGCACTGAAATGAAAAACTGATGCTCTATAGGCAGATTTTTATGTGGGACGATATGCAAATATCTTGACTGTTACATATTTTCATATACGGTATGTCCTTTTTTAGAATTATCAGTATTTGACTTCAGTGTGTTGGGGAAGAGTGGGTGATAATAAGCATGAGTTGACTGGTAGGTGCTTTCTGTGACAATGACACAACAGAGAGCAGATGTTTAGGAATTAGTCAGCATCTATTGAAACTTGTAGAACTGGAAAAAACCCGAGACTGTTCCAGCGAACGGGTGATTAATCATTTTCAAACTGACCAGAATGAAGAAACTTCCTCATTTCGCTCATTTCATTCATAAAACAGAAGGTTGTTCCTCTTTGAGTAAAACGAGTAAAAGGGTTGTCTTCCATCAGCATTTTTAACTGTGTGTGTATGTGTGTGCTTGTGTGTGTTGTGTATGTGTGAATATGGTCAGGCGGTGGTAGCAGCAGTCCTCTCCCTGAGGACTCCTCCTCATTTGAAACATGCTGCGACTGAGCTTGACGTGTTGTCGTGACCTCTGATTCAGCCTCTCTGGAGCTTTCTCTTTCTTTCTCTCTGGAGTCTCACAGCAGCTTTGTATCTGTAATGACATTCTCCTCCGCTCTCTTCACTCTCACCCTCTGGACCTATAAAAGTTTGCCCCGTTGTCGACTGTGCATTATACTGACATGCATTAGAAGCATCACCAGCTATTCTCAGAAAGTGCTTCCCAAATTGTTCTGTGATACGCCGACAGCAACAACAACCACTAATTGGACAGTCGGTCTTCGGAGCAGCTGGTTTACCTCAAAAAAGCGGGTTTTCGCCTGGTAAAAGAACATGTGGTTGTGTTTTTTTCTGCATTTGGAAATCCACTTCCTCAATACACTGACCCACAGCACATTTATAATCATCTAGCTGTTTGTTTTTAACAGTTTGATAGAGTATGATGTTTTGCTCTCATTCTTTGACCCAAAAACTGTCTGATGTTTGCATGAAACAATGTGTTATACTAAGCATTTCAGCTCCAGATCCTTTTAAATTAAAGCATCTTTAACCGAACGCTGAATTAGCTGAACTATAACTAAATGACTCTCAGAAAGTTTGTTTAAATATGCAACCTCTCCGTGTTGTGAGGTCTGCAACCTTAAAATACTCACACACAAGTCCCTCTATGAAATCTCATTCTCATCATTAAACAAAGCCGGGAAAGCAGCGTGCACAAGCGGTTGAGAGACAGTGCATGATGATTTTAATGAAAACCTCAATGTCGTAAACTCTCTGCTGTTCCTTATATAGATCTACAGGCAGCCGACCACAGTCACCTCCTCCTCCTTTCTTCCACACCCTTTGTGGTTCTGGCTCAGCAAAAATCCGCTGTGTGCCTAAACTGTCTCCACTCTTTGATTTACAGACAGCTTTATGCATCTGAATTTATCACTGTGCCGATGCATGTATATGACTGCATTTAGGTTTAGTGAGGGAAAATAAGGTTTTCTTAAAGGTACAGCGGGAGATACAGCTGTAAACAAAGAGGGGATGTACGAGATAAAAAACCAGAGTGGGGAAACATACTTACTCTTTGATAAAATATTTGTAGTTTCAAATGCACTAGGTTTAAATATTTGTTGAACACAGACACGAATCAGGCCAACAGTTCCTCTGAGCGGAGAAGAGGAAAGGCAGGAATATTTCAGGATAAAACTGCCACGACTGCCATATAGCTGCTACATCAGCTTTCAAACAAACCCTAGCTAACATTAGTGTTAGCCATGAACCAAATGCTCACACACTATCATACCAAAATGTAAGTCGCCGATAGCGGGCTAGCTAGACTTCTGCTAGCATTCTGCAATCTAACTTGAAAGCTAATGTTAGCCCACATTGTAGAAAGCCTGAACATATCAGACCATAGACTGTATATAGAATGGACGCCGTCTGCCTCCTCAATGGGTGAAGCCACTCCGAGAACAGCCCCCTCTGGTGACAGGCTGCAGTATAGGTCATAGATCCCGCCTCCTCCAGCAAAGCTCATGGAGCTGTGGACAAACTTTAGACATTTATTACACAGAACATGATTTTTTCTCCCCCTTGCTTGTGATGTTGACATGTAGTTACAGTAAGACTGGTTTGTGCTCAAGTCCTCTTTATCTGTGAAGCTCTGTTTTTAAAAGTTATTAGGGGGTCCAAGTTTTCTATGATTGACACCTGATACAGCCTATTGGTAGGCCTGTCACGATAACAAATTTTGCTGGACGATAATTGTGCTACAAATTATTGCCGATAAACGATATTATTGACACCGTTTTTTAAATTATAGATAATGATATTAAATGGAATAATAATGCGAGTACACCGTGTCAAAAGTGATAAACTTTAATTTCACCCACGACGAAGACGTAACGTTGACGAGGTAAACATAAGTCGGAGATGACTAAAATGTGACGAGACGAAAGTGCGTTTACGTTGATGGGACGAGACGAAAATGACGAACAGAGTTGCAAAACTCAGTCAATTAAACGCTAAACATATAGGAGCAGCTTCAGTCCGCTCTGACAGCTCTCATCAGCCTGCTGTGCTCCTCCAACACACAGACACACGCGCGCGCGCACACACACACGTGGAGTTCTGTGCTTGACGAAAACAAAACTGGTTTAAAGCCGAAATATTCCCACACTTGGGCTGTTGCGTTCGGTTTAGACACCAAAGCTGTCGTGTTCATTCTGTTTGCTTGCTTTTCACTCACGACGCTCACTTGCAGCACTGTATTCAAAAAGTCTGTGTCTGTGTGCCTGTGCGCGCCAGCCCCCTCGTGACAAAGACACTGAATGACTGACAGGAGGGTTCACTAACTCCGTTCATTCCGCTATAGAGACAACGCCCCCAGGTGCCGAGAAAAATGCGCAGAGTGAGACCTCTTCTCTCATCCAGCGTGTTTGGTAGCGAGAGAGGAGGAAAACAAATGCACGTCAATTATCGAGGCTGGCAAAATGACCGACCTCATTTTTATTTACCGAGCGATAAGGCGATTTATTGATTATCGCGACAGGCCTACCTATTGGCATTCAAGGATTGTGTAATTCACCCGATGATGACAGCTGACAACCGATTTCTGTCTAACATTACCATTTGAAAATAAGATACAAAACAACATTGTAGCTAATCGTAAACTTAACTGGACCAATTAAACATTAACAGTTCAGCAGTGAGTGCTTAATGATCACAGAGTTATATCTTTGGGTTTACCCAGCTATCAGTACTATGAGCTTAGAGTTGGTTAGTAGCCACCTTAAAGATAGGATAAGATAAGATATTCCTTTATTAGTCCCACAGGGGGGTATAAAAAAAAAGGAAATAAAGTGTCTTAATTTTCTTTCTTTTTTTTTACATTAAATATGCTGTTATTAGTGGTGCTTTTATATCATCTTTATTCAATAACGTCTAGAGTTACAATAGTCATGATGTGAACATGAAAAGATAAACTTAGGTGATCACTTTGCCATACCTCCATAAAGCAGTTTTAGTTGAAGCACTTGTGCAACAGTGTTGAAATAGAAATTGCTTTGAAATACCTTATATAGTAAAAAAATGTATTTGTCAATCCTCATGTTTTTATTTGTTTGTAGCAGTCGTGCACCGCCAAAGAAATATTAATGTACAAAGTAAATGTAGCTTTCAAATATAAAATAAATTTAGCCAATGAAAAAGTGAAGTTTTTCCATCTGAAATAACACAAAATTAATACAAAATTAAGAAAAACTCAAATGCCACCCAAAGGTGACCTCAAGTGTAGTACTTGCATAATATAATGCAGTTGCAGTCAACCACTAAATATAGTATATATAATGCAAGAGTTTTCAAATGCTGTGATTAAAGATCCACATGTGAATTTACTTCAAGTCAGAGGTTTGGAAAATACCATCCAGCCACATAAATGAAGGTTAAAAACAGAGTAAAGTAAATTTAGCCGTAAGATCTGTCAACTTTTCCGACATGGACTTTTCTGTTTTTATTTTGCTTATTTTGCTGTGAATGTTCTTGAGAAAACCATTGCAAACAAATTAAGACTCGGCTGATTCTTATACTTTACAAATGCATGGAAAAATTATATAATAAGTTAAAGAATATCCTTATGTGTTTAGTCCTGATCTTAACTTTGTGAATGATATTTGAGTGTAAGAACTCACCCTCTAATCCTGGTGAAAACATCTCCGGCATTGTGCTGTATCTCTAAATTACTATCCTGAGGTTACAGCTGGTATGTAGATAACTACTCCAACTATAGGTGTCAGATTTCAAACTCATAACGACCAAAAGGATGTTTGCAGATACTTTTATAGTTTGAGTAGTTTCCTGAAAGACTTAAAACTCCACATTTTATTCGTACTTCTCATCTCAATCTGCAGCCTTGTGAATTGTTTGTGAGCCACGCTGGGACAAAGCTAACATTTAGTAGACTTTGGATATATCTGTCATATTACAAGAGGAGGGTTTAAGAACCAGGTCAAATACATGTTAATCCACTAATTCCCTAAATGTGGAAACTGGATTCACTCCTAATGGGTGCCTGTCACGGCTTAGAGCTCACTGAACAGTGCACAGAAATGTAAGAGAAGTAAAAGCACTAGAACCTGTAGCCAGGTGTGCGGCTTTAAATACAAGCCCTCTGTCGCTTTGTTGATCTCGTGTGACCGGCAACAACTTAATCTAGGAAAGATGGAGAGACCGAACACTGTTTGCTGTGTTCTCAGTTTGGTGTCATTGTCCTGTTTTGACTGATGGAGGATGACTTTATCAGAGACAGGAGGATGCTGAGCTATCTGCATGCACACTTTGTGGTTTTGGCATTCATAGTAAATACACTAGATCACTAGTGAAAGCTGCTGTGTGTTGAAAGGGTTCCTTTTGCACTCAGAACAACTGTCCAAGAATCATCGTGTTTGTATCTTAGAAGTTCAGTTGTTACCATTCCTCTCTCACAAAACATTTTCCACAGTCCTCTGCATTTGCACTGGCACAGCAGCTCCCTCCTCCTTTACATCAGTGCTATCCAGCCTTTATTTGCTTGAAGCCCCCCTTCTTCTAAGATAAGATTAGATGTTCCTATAATAGTCCCACAGGGGGAAATTCCAAATTTACAGCAGAATAGTACAAACATACAAAGAGAAATTAAAGGATAAAGAAACCTAAAGTTAAGTTAAGAAAAAAGAAAAAGATATTTACATCAGTCATATTTACATGTGTACAGAATATTATATCTATCTATCTATCTATCTATCTATCTATCTATCTATCTATCTATCTATCTATCTATCTATCTATCTATCTATCTATCTATCTATCTATCTATCTATATGTAAACTGGACAACCCCCTACCCCAACATTATTGAGCAAAACGTGTTTTTTTTTAACCCAAACTATCCAGCAAGTGTGATATCATGATTTAAGTTAATACCTGTAGATTTAATCTTGACAACCTCAGAGCAGACATAACCTCCTCTCACCCCTGACTTGGACTCCAGGTTAGGACCTATTTACATTCATACTTGTGATCAGGGCCTGACCGATAAGGAAATTTTGGGGCCGATGCTCATACCGATTATTAGGGGGGAAAAAAATCTGATTACCAACTAATCGGACGATTTTTGAAATTTTTTATAAAGTTATAAAAAATATATATACTGTAGTATCTACAGTATACTTAACACTGTGGATATACTGTAGGCTACTGCTCTTCACGCCAACAGGAAGACTGACTGATCAAACTCAGACCAGAAAAGCATTTTCAACTTTTTCAAATGGCGGAACATTTTCAAAGTGAGACCGAATCTTATTCTCTGCATTTTATTTCTGAAAATATCTGCGAAAATCTGCAAGTTTTGGCATTTGATTTGACCAATTAGTCTCAAACGGGCTTAAATTGGCCGATTTAATAGCTCGCTGATAAATCGTTTGGGCCCTACTTGTGATGCAAAACTTTTCTCTTTCAAAAAAAAAAGATTTGACTAAATGTCACCAAATTCAAACCGCGTTGGTCTGTTCCCATTCGAGGCTGAGTGATGTGGCGTGGGCTGAGCAGAGTGTGATGAAAACCTTGTGCTTTTTGAAAATCAAGATTGCTGCCTGAGCCCTTCCTTAATCACTGACAGTTTCTGCCTCGTCATGCTTGGTGGCTGAAGTTGAAGCTGATTTGAAGGAAGTTGAATGAGAGCGAAGTGTGACTGACTGATGTGAGCACAGGTCACCACAGTGAGTCAGTGTGAGTCGTCTGGAGGAGAGTGAGTGACCATATATGGTCATGGATCATCTTTTCATTTACATAATGAGGGTGCAACATTTAATCTTGTTTAAATATGATAAGAATCCGGACTCGGGCTGTCAAGAAATGAGTTCATCTCTGTGTCTGGGCTAACTTATTGTCTGCTGGGTTTCGATGCTGCTGATGGTGCTTTTTGGTGCTGCTGATCCTTTTCTGTCCCTCTTTCCACTCGAGGGAACCTGGAAGATGCATGTTTGAAGTTTGTTAGACCTTCATCTCTGTGTCTGTCTCACAGAGTCTGACATCCTGTTGAATGTACCGCAGCGATGTCAGACAAAACCGAGAAAGCCGTCTATTTTCAAGCTCTATAAGCACCCGGATTGCTATTACAGGGAAACCTTGACGGAAAATGTGTTTTTTCCGGCTCCTGGGTTTTTCCCTTTCATTTCTGCTGTCATTTCCTTCGGTAGTGATTATTCCATTAAGATCAGGGACAGTAACCATGCTTTCTGTTTGAAGGGAGCAGATTAGACGTCTGTAACCACAGATCAAGTGAATGCAGTTGAGATGCGGGGCAGAGCTTTTGTTGCTGCCGTTGTTGTTGTTCTTCATCTTTTATCATCTCAGCTGTTGCTCATGAAGGGGGATGAATCAGTTTGGCTGCTTCTTAATCTGCAGCAGAGTCATCCACTTTCTCATGTCCTCCAAGATAGCAATTAGCTTTTTAAGATTGTCCTAGCTGGAGCTCTGTCATCATTATCTGTCGTAACTTTTGGTGTAATTTCAAAGTGAGAAGCTAATCAGGGAGCGTAACTAACCATAAAACAGACTTGTGATGAAAAGAGAGAGTGTCTTTGAGCTTTTATGTTTACGGGCAGGAACTTCTATCACCACTTGATAAACCCATAGCTGCACTCATCCCTTTACAAACAGACCACACGCACTGCTGCTTTCACATACCAGCAAGCTTCAAAGGGGGTGAAATATTCAGGAAATTGAAATAAAATGTTCATCATGGTTCAGTTTTTCTGTTTTTGTCAGGGCAGAGCTTGTATTATCTTCACATTGATGTTGATTTGAGTCTTCTTTGATAAAGTGTTTGTCTTATTCTGGTATCATGAGGTCACTGCAGCAGAGCTAATCATAGAGGAGGAAACGAGGAGCATGGACAGACAGAGATGAGGAGATGGACAGATAGATAGAACCCTCAGGAATGTTTAGGGAAGGGGAGGGGCAGCATACAGGAAGTGGCACGGGACTGGATTTAGCCCACAGAGTCAGCGTGGGTGTCAGGGCACACAGACAGCAGGGTCAGGCCCTTTAGTGTCAGCTGTCAGGATTCTTGAGGGCGTTTGTGGGAATTTCCTTCAGGAGTCTGGTCGTTAGGTTTCGGAGATGGGGCCACTTAAACATTTTTCCCGCAGATAAAGTGTCTGCATGAATATAAACTCATCTGAGAAATACAAGAACAGGGAACTGGCAGAAGCACACAGAGTGCATGTTAAACTCCTGCCTTTTCTGTTTCTTAATTATATCATCACATTATTATAACACTATAAGTTAGGGGTGGGAGAAAGAATCGATACAGCATAGTATCGTGATGTTTTGTCTGGTGACGTATCGTATCACCTCATTTACAAAGTATATATTTTTTAAATTAATTGCTAATATGAAGTCAAATCTATGATAATGGAAAAAAATGAACTGTTTGTGCAGTGAGGTGACGTCATAGAGGAGAAAAAGTTAGTACAACAAATATATCAAAAGGTTTGTAATATGTGCTACATGAAAATAAAATACAGTGTAAACAAGACAAACATAAAGGAAAGACAAAAAGTAAATCAGCTAAACAGTTGAAAAAGTTATTCACTATACTCACTGTATTGCAAAATGTTAAAAATCGCAATAATATTGTATCCCAGCCAAAGTATCATGATAATGTCATATCATGGGGCCACTGGTGATTCCCACCTCTATTATAAGTTAAGTCCCACTGTTGAATGATCGGACTAGCTCAGCAAAGAGGAAATTTGTAAGAGAATAAATAAGAAATGACCAACACAGCAGTTTTTTTTTGTTTTGTTTGCTTTTTGTGTGGTACAATCTAGAAATTGCTGGGACAGCTTTTAAACCCCTATTACAAACGCAGGTTTATGCGGCTATTGGAAATGATTGAACAGATTTACTGAAATCATTAATAAAGTCATGAAAAAACATCGCTTTCTGGTTACTTCTTTCAGTCTAAGCTTGCTAAAAAACATACAATTAGAGAATTCAGAATGGCAAGTTAAAGCTGCTGGAGGAGAGTGCAAAGTTGTGTTTAGTCTCTTTTCTAAAGAAATCAAGCAAAGTTAAAAAGATGTTTGATGGCTAGTGCTATTGCTAGCACCCTATATGTACTGTTGATGAAGTTAGGTGCTGGCTTTAGAGTGGCGTTTTGGTTGAGGTTTGTTTATGGCTCCTTGGACTCCTGTGTATTGCTATCCTGCGGTTGTTACTAAAGTTGGTATAACTAGAGAAGCAAGCAGTCGGCAACATTCATCTCTTGAGGGGAGTGACTAACTCGGTGTTATGGTGTGTTTGACCCTAGATTAATTTTACCCCGGAATATCCCTTTAACTAAATGTTATTCACAATAAATTCAAACTAATATATAATCAAGTAGCCAGGGTAAATTCAGGCCACCAAAAACAAACTTTGTTCATAAAAAGTTTACCTCCTGTGCACTGTGTACCCAAACTGTCCACCTAACAGCTCCAGTTTTTTACAGCCTCTCTCAACATGACATAAATCAAACATTTTTTAGGAAGTGGTGGTTAACTGTCAAGTAAAATTACCCTCATTTGTGCATTTTGTGCCGTAAAATCCTCCTTTTGAGTTCACTCTGACAAATGACCAGGAAGAAGGTGGGACAAAGGGGCCTCGTTGGACAGGTCTGCTTTGTAAGATGAGAATATAACATCAACATGGAGATTAACCTGCCGATCATACTGAGATGCTAACAGCCTTTTTCAGTTACTGTCAGGATTATGAGAGGACAAAAATGCTGGAGGACTGATGAGGTTACTCCGGGTCAAACTCCACTGACAGAGGTGAACAAGGTGTGTTAAGGTATAAACCTTTTCCTGACCTGTTTCTCTGCATTCCAGCTGCGTCACTGACACTCCTGAAAGTGCAGTATGGTTGAAAACTAGCTCTGCCTGTTAGATTTTGAACCTGTTAGATCTGTCTGTCCCCGGAGTATCGGCTCTTTGGTCGTTCCAGCTCGTCGTTACTCATTTAGCAGCTGTCAGACTTGTTTGGATGGTTCGGCGTCCTCCATGCCCAGATTTTGTTAGTCTTGAAATAAGAAATCCGGCAGACTGCGACATAAAGTCAGATTGCTCTCCAAGAGGTTTGCCTCGCTGAGATACTTTGTTGTTTATGTGTGTGTGTGTGTGTGTTGACAAGGCGTCTCACCGCATCATGTCGTATCTACAACAAAGAGGACTGTGTGTACCTACTTTAGAGATGATCCCACAGCTGCAGTGTTTGAAATATCTCTTCCTGTCACACTCCTCTCTGCTTTAATTTGATCTCTTTCCCAGCTGGGATGTCAGAAAACATATCTTAATGAGAGACAGGAAGACGAGAGAAGATTTGTTTGTAGTTTGATCCAAATTTAACACTAGATACATTTTCTTTCAGGCAGCCGTGTTGAAAAATTCTCAACATCTCCTTCTCTTTCCAGCCAGCTCACTATCTGAACCACTAGCCTAATAAGAGCACTGTTCAAACATCGTACCCCGAATTCCATTAAATTTCTATTTTTATGTAGTTGTCTTTAGCTTTAAATACTTAATCCCCCCTCAGACGCTGTGGGACAGAAGGTCTGAACCAGCTTCCTCTACTTCCCCCTCCTTTAGCACCATGCTGTGTCTCTGAGAGGACGTAATCTTTGGTGTGTTTTTAAAAAAAGGGGGTTTGAGATCTGTGTGATGTTAGATCTGCAGAACCCCGCTGTTTGATCCCAGAGATATTTTGAAAGCTAATTTGCATCTCCAGAGCACTTAAAAATTTAGCAAAGAGTCTGCTATTTCTGCAATCATCCATCTTTAAATACAGGCAGTCAAGAATGAGCTGTGTGACCTCTAAACTTTTGAAAACTTTTATTTAGTATAATCCTGTCCATTATGTTGCTATATAGTATGTTTTTTTCTGAAGGTATTTAATGAATGTATAAACGTCCATTAGGAGGGGGCTTCTGGTGTCCTTAAACATACTATTTTGTAATGCTGTAAAGTCCTAGTCGACTAATCGACTTACCCCTAATTTCCACCGCATCCAGAACGGCTACGAAAAGGCTGTATCCGCCAATTGTAGCTGATCATAACCATTCAAGTTAATGTATTCCACCGGCTACTTTCCGTGGATTGCCGGACTCCACAGCTGATCGCAAGAGTTCTATTTTTTCTGGACGCGGGAGCATGGTGGATAAATTCAGTACAGATTAACCTGTGCTGGAAAGGAAGTCAGGTACAGACACAAAATAAAACATCCGGCTTCTTTTCAAAATAAATTTCAGGGCTTTAGTCAACCAAGAATTTATTTTGTTGATTACAGCCCTACTTTACAGATAAACAGAAATGACTTTTGTTTACATTGTTAAAGGGACTGAGCCACAGTGAACTATATGACTGACATAACCACAATCTTTGTTGAAAAGAGGACACTTAAAATTCAGCATTATGAAAAAAACATGGAGTGTTTTAAAATCCTATTTCTATGCACATCGAAGTGAATACAAAATAATCTTTGGGTCAGAAATATACTGAAATGAAATATCTGAGATGATATATCAACAACACAATGGTGTGTAGACAGCAGGCAAACTTGAGGACAGTGTTTGAGTTCTTCTTGGGTATACAGAGGTTTCAGTTTCAGGGAAGATAATCTTCGCGGTCTACCTGTCCATCCTCCTCCTGTTTACTGCAGTGCTCTTTGTTGTGTGACTCAACTAATGACTCAGTCTTTTTTAGTGGGCTCAGACCTGTCTTCTCATACACAATGTACATGCAGAAGTTTTCTCTATCTGAGCTCAGAGAGTAAAAATAATATAGTTAACAGCAGATGTTTTATTTTAGAAACTAGATTTTTGACCTTGTAGGAACTTCAACACGAAACTTGACAGGAGTTTTTGCAAGATGGTGCGGATGAATGACACAGACTGAAGATAAACACAGAGTAGATGTCATGGGACAGCAGAAAGATAAACACAAAACATTTACCGTGGCATCTTCAGCACATTTACTGACATAGAAGTAAAACTGAAACTAGGACTACGTGTCAATAATAGTGAGATTAATCGTTTTGAAGCTGAGCAGTGGGAGTTATTTTTAGTCTCCCTTTATTTTCACTTTACACCATCTCTGATATAAAATAGATAAGGTTTAAGGACACATTACTATCTGGGTGTGTTCTGATAATCTCCCAGTCAAGCTGGTTTCTTTGGACTAACAGAAACAGATTGTCCTGTGTCCTCTTGTAATGAAGTATTTTAAATCCTGCCTCTGGATCTCTGTCTTCTTCCCTTATTATTAGCAGATAATATAATCAGGAGACTAGATTAGTACAGTAGTATGAAGCAGCTTTACAGCAGTTTCAAGATGAGCATTAACTTATGCCTTTATTTACTGTATGATAAGTATTTTTTCTCCATTAGTCATCATTGACCTCTCTTCTTCTCTGTAGGGGTGCTGGTGAGCCAGCTGTCTCGGCCATGCCGGATGATGTTGCTCGTGAACCCACAGAGTGGGAAGGGACAGGCGCTGACTCTCTACAACAACCACATCCAGCGCATGCTGAACGAGGCGGGAGTCCCACACACGCTGGTCATCACCGGTGAGTGAGCGAGCGAGCGCACCTACCACACAGAGATCAGAGTTAAAGCTAGAGAGCATGACGCTGTAAACGACACTGCACAAACATATTCTTGTTTATAGGTCCGCTCAAGGTTTTGTTCTTGCTCTCTACTCGTGTTTTTCATGCCTTCGGGTGAATGAGATAAACTTTACTTTTAATTACATGCACATTTTTTGTGTGTGGGCTACAGGATTAACAGATGCTAAATTAATCCATCAGAGGAGGGCGGGTTAATTTCGTATTAAATGTCTCCTGAAGTTAAGACATTTAATCTCCACCTTCTCTACGGGTCAGAGGGACGAGGCCATTATAAGTTAATGAGGTCTTTCAAGATAGTGTATCCCTCTGGTTTATTAAACAGAGGTTTTATTTAACCCTCCTCCTGTGTTAGTGTCTGCACCGACCCTTGATTTCAACAGCTTAAAAGAAACACTCAAATTAGCTTTTGTGCATCAAAACTTTTTGACTTTGTCAGGAACCTCTATTTCAACAAAATAAAAACAAAAAATTAAATTGACTAAATTATAAAATGCTCTTATTAAAATTATGGCACTTGAAGTGTTGGGGTCACCGTTGACCTGGTTAGATCAATATCTAATAATTGGAGCAAAAACTGAAATCATAAGTGCACTGACAGGCATAAAACAGTCAGATCCTCTTCCAGTCATGTGAGATTTAGGAAATTCTCATTTTGCCATGTTTTTCCCTGCACAAAAACAGCTTCAGGGATGTCCAGACATGTGAGATCAAGTCAGTATGGATGTCTGTGTGAGGGGTATACTGACAAAGAAAGGCCCAGAGGCCCACTACAAAAAATATTATGACCAATATTTTCATGGATAATAAAGCCGAATAAGGTAACCTAGAGATGAGAACCAGACTGGATGATAGAGAATTGTTTTTAGTGTAATTTACAGCTGATTTAAGACACAGGTCCAAACCGACCCTTAACATAGTGGGTGTGTAGTAAAAGCTAACACAGGAGGAAGGTTAAGAATATATAAATTAATCCTAAATGACAAAAGGAAAGTTTTTTAAAAAGATCCATTCGTAGCAACATACAAAAATCTCCTGTTTTCTCATTGTAATTTTATCATCTCATCTGGATCTCAAATCTTATCTAAAAAAACACAGTCGGGACCAACAAATCTGTCTCTGATGACAGCTGCTGGGATGGGCAGCAAACACAAACACACACACACACACACACACACACACACACACACACACACACACACACACAAACACACACACGCTCTTCATGCTCTATTAATACACAACACAACAAAACCCATAATAATAAAAACAACAACGCCTCGCTTCATGTCCCAGTGCCCCCCTCTTGATAAAATCCTCCTCATGTTGTCATCATTATTACACTGAACTACCTCTGACCCACACTAGTGCAGAACTGTTACGCAATCATAAACATGCATACGCTCAGTCAGACACACATATGGATTAAGACACTTCCATGATAAAAACACACATTTGCATGAAATCCCCCTTTGCCGTGATTTGATGCGTGTTATAATCTTGTGGGGCTTTGCGTTGATTTATTTATAAACCACACTGGTTGGAAATGATCATTCAGAAACACACTCTCAATACAAACTATAAAAACACAGAGTTTTCACTCGTCCTTTATTTGGAGTTTAACCCTCCCCCTGGGCTTGTACATAAATCATCTCAGCATCAGATAACAGAAAAATAACTTGTCCTTCATCATTGTAGTGCACACAGACAAAACAAAGAGAAGAGAGAAACAGAGAGAGAGAGAGAGGACCACACAGGTGTACACATGAGAAATCATTTTACTGCTGCTGGGCTGAAATACACACAAAACTAAGCTTTGCGACAAGAGATGTACTTTTGACAAGTTAATCCTGGAGAATACATAAGAGCAGCTTTAATCCCCCAAAGCTGCATCTATATAAAAGAGCATGACTAGTGAAAGAGGAAGATTTGGACACCACAGTGACAGACAGTCTCTTTGACGGCAGCACTTCTGAATTAAAACCATTGTTGTAATCTCTTTCTCACAGCCTTAACCCTGACTGACGACTTGTAGAAGAGATTTTTTTAGGTTGTTACACGCTGTAACAATCCTCACTGAGCTCCACTGTATGAGAAACAAACTACTGTCCATATTTCACTGGAGACATTAAGGATGAAAACAGTAAATAAACTCCAGCCAACCTAAACCTCCGCTATTTGAAATTTAGCTCAACTTAATAAACACAAAAGTCTGTGGGCTCTATTTTCGTGCGCGCCGGTGAGGCGGCCGAGGGCGGCGAGCCCCGCGCAATTGTATTTTCGTCTGGCGGAGCCCAGCGTAAGGCCAATTTGGTATTTTCGTGGCATGAGCCGCACGGAGGCGAGCCGAGATCCGCCAAGCTGGGCGTGGTGGTGTGGCAGGGGGAGGTGTCGACAGAATCAGCTGGCGCAGTGACATTTTCGTGCTCGCCAACGGCGTGTAAAGTGCGCTGAAAGCTCGCCGATTCAAACCTGGTCAGCTTTCAGCGCAAGGCGGAACGCAGCTGGTCTGGTAGTATTTTGGTAGACCGGCGGCGTATCGACATACGTCACTGATGCCTCACCGGCAGGTTTCCACAGTGTCAGGCAGATTTCAGTGCAATAAATAATCATCATCAACTATTAATCTGAGTCAGCACATATATTTAGATCTATATCGATATATTCTGATCTATATCTGATCTGATGAGCGCGTTTGGCACGCGTTTGGACACACAACCTGACCGAATCAACACAGCTGAAACCGCATCAAATTAAATTAAATATCTAGTAAATAAACACACATGATGAAGTTAACAAGATATGTAATTCGTCTCCCTCCTTTTCTTTCTTCCTCTTCCTCTTATTTCTCGCACAGCTCGACCTGGACACGTCTCCGTGTCCTCTGTCCGTCTTGCTGCTGCTGCGGCTGAACAGATGATTTGTTTCAGTGCTCAGATGTGTTATCTACTTTAAGCCGACATACGGATATTATAATATTCAGTTTTGTGGGCCAAATTTATTTTATATGCCAACATCTATGAAAGAAAGAGCCAGGCCACGGAGCGCGATGCGTCATTTACGCACAGATGGTTCCGATTTTAATGCCATTTTTGGAATTTATGTTGTGATCTGTGCGCTCAACCCACCTTTGTCACGTGAGGTTTGAATATGAGCAACTTTATGTGAGTGTCTTTATTTGTGGAAAAGGGCGTTTGTCTTACCAGTGGGTCCAACATTACGCACACTAAATCCATCTGTGCTCATATGAGAGAGTGTGGAGGACACTTGTTGAGGAGCTGCCCTCTGTCGCCATCTTGTGGCATTACTGTCTTAAGACATCTCTTGATCTCTTTGACTACTTCATGAAAATAGTAATACGCCTCGCCGGTGGCGGATTTAAAGGCAAGGAGAGGAGCCTATGTGATTGGTGAAAACAGGTCTCGGCTGTGTTAAACCCACTATACGGCCTTTCTCCTCCCAGTCTATGACTTATGGTGCTGGGAGGAGCTGAGTTAGGGAGGGGGGATACTTACGCCGGGCTGCGCGGCTCACCAAAATACCAAAATGTGCTTGGGAACGCCTTGTCAGCGCGGCGGATCTGACTGACGCTGCGCTTGCGGCACGTCTCCGGCGAGGCACCAAAATAGAGCCCTGTGTAAGTTTGAGCTAAAGCGGAAATTTTTAGAGGTTTATTCTTCTGTTAACACACCAATTTAGCCATGTTCCCTTATGTACAGTACACTAATGTACAGGTCAGCTGTCGAAGGTAGTGTTTAAGACACACTTTAAATTTGAGATAAAGTAATTAATTAGCCAGTTAATGCTGATAAATGGCATTTTGAAATGATCCACATTTGCTGAAATGTTGAAAAAGCTGATTTAAAATTAAAAAAAATGTCTGTAGACACTTAAAGGCAGCCTTGTCAGCAAAAATAATGTCCTTCTAAATGGTATTACATAGGGATGGCCGATAAATTATCATTCACAATATATCTTTAGAAAAATCCTCTATGATAAGTTTTTGCCATCTCATGATAAATACGACAAATGCAAGTTGATGACGTTAGAGTGAAAGTCCCATTCGTGACAAGAGCAGCTCTCTGGGATCACGGGTATAAAGCTCATAATTTACACATCAGCAGGTAACTTGGGATCTCTCTTGCTCTCTAGCCTTCATAGAAGTTTCTCCTTTGTTCCCTTTGTAGTTCACAAAGGTGTCCTCTCGAGTCCACAGTAAACGCTTAAACTTAGTTTCTGTCTTTTTTGAAACCCCTAGACTCAGGCAGCTGATGAGAGCACTTCAGGAGGACGAACAAGACAATCAATCTATATTTATGTTGTACCAGTTCACAACAAATGCTGCCTCTAGTCTTGACCAAACTCTTCTTGAAGACCTTACATAAAGAAGGGATAATATTAAGGCCCCATCTTTATGATCAGATCCTCCCTGATCCCATCTTCAACAGCTTGTGTTCGTCTCATTTGTGACAAAAACTTCCCTCACAGCATGTCTATCTGTTGCTGTGTATCTTGTGCATCCTTGTTGTCATTTGTGAGATCTGTACGGCTCAAAGTCTTTTGTATGCAGATGCTGGTGAAACAAGGCAGACCTATTATTGGATCTTTGTCTGTGTGGCAGCTGTGAGCTCTGCCAGGGGTGCAGGGCAGATGAAGGATGACTGCACTGCTGTGGGAGGCAGTGTGTGTGTCTTTTTGTGTGAGTTTCTGCACGTATATACATGATAGTAAAGACCGCATGATGCTCCCTTGCAGGCAGTGTCCCCCTCTGCTGCCGGAGCATCCTCAGACGTCTGTCAGAGAGTATTAATTAAACAACAGCGACATGCTCGTCTTTCTCTCTGAGCTCGGACTGATCTGCTGAGTATACATAACATATATCGACCAGAGGTGACAGATATTCTCTCAAACAACCACTCTGTTCCGCTCTTTTTTTGTCTCTGTCTTTGCCTTATTGTCTTTTAAAGCACAGTGCAGTTTATACATAAAAAAATTAAAGTTATGCCTCATTTAACAGTGTGCATACTGTGTCTGTGCCATGCCCACTGTGAATTTATGAAAAACGTTTTCTATAAAAATGCACAGAGTGGACGCAGATCCGATAAAAATCCTCAGAAAACCTAAAAGTCAGTTTTGTTTTATTCTCAGGACCATTTAGTGAACAACAAGAAGGAACATTGTAACCTTGTTTGCTGGAAATAGTACATTAGTAACCTTTACAGCGACAGCAGTTGACCTTAAAATGCTGGACTCATACTCAGCATACTCAGATGCAAAACTGGTAACATGCCGGTTTTATAAAATCACTTTATTTGTAACAGCAGTATCGTGAGGATAAAAGCCAGAAATACAAATGGAGAGCTGGTGTCATTTTCCAGGCGATGATGGCGTCTTTATGGTCTGAAATAAAGCAGCTCATTAAATGAGGCCAGTTTGAATATTCACTCAAGAAGACCATAGGTTGACTCGCACTTTGCTGTTTTACTGAACTGCTTCATGGCAATGCAACAACTGAATACAAATAACCCAAGCCTCAAGTGGCCTTGGTTTCTCTGATCATTGCATATATCTGATTGTATACATTAGGTTTTTCAGGAAAAAAAATTACAGTAAAGATGTAGAGGTCTAAAAAAACTTGTGTATTCTCATGTATCAAATTTGATACAAATGGCGACATAGGGTTAAGTAGTCATTTCCTCACCAAAACAGATGGGTTAACTAGTAAAACAGTAAATTAAAGTCATCCCTAAAGTCAAATGTTGTCTAAAATCATTGTCAGCACTGATAAGAATGTGCTCTCTGACTGCGATTTAAGCGACCACAAGTCATACTGCTGCTGTCTTTAGCTCCAAAGCTGACTGGATGTTTTGGAGTCTGATTGAAAACAGATGCTTATTAACAGAGACTATTAAAAATTAAACATTAATTTTGTTTTGGCTGTTTACAGTATTTTGACCTTCAAAGTTTCACTCACATGACACTTTGGACAAAGTAAATGTTGTATATTTCCAGAGCCACCCTGTTACAGGAGTGTGTCCTCCCTTCATCACTATGTGGCTCCTGAAGCAACAATTTAACAAAAATTAACCTGTCATCATTTCATAAAACTGTAACTCGGTCACTATTAAAACTTAGCTGAGGGCATTTGGAGAACAGGAAGTATGCATCAGTGTGTGCAGCTATCGGTAAGAGCCATCTGGATTTGTGATGATGTTTCTATTGCTGACTGTCGTATTCTGAGGAAAAAAGTACCTCCCAGGTCATGTATGTAGTAAGAAGGTCTGAGATCATCCAGTTTTGATTTTTGAATGTTCTCAGGATTCACAAGAACTGACAGATTGACAGAGAAACTGTGAGTTACAGCTAAAATCTACTCTAATATTTCTTACTTCTTTCTTTATGGCACAATGCCCAACAATTCAATTACACACCCCAAATTATCCTCACATTGTGCAGGCTTCACACGCTGGGATTAGCAGTGTTACGGCTTGTTTTGTTACAGCTTGAGCATATTTAGAAGTTTAATGGGCCGCCATGCTCACACTGCAGTGTCTGTTCTGCATAAACCAACGATACAGGCTCTGCAGTCTACGGCTCTTTAACAGAAAACAACCATCAAGTCGTTCTCAAAGGTTCAGCTTTGTGAAGCTTTTTGGGATCACCACCTAAGGCACTCCCGTCTGTCTGTGTGTGTGTGTGTGTGTGTGTGCGTGCCCATATGTGTGTTAGAGTCATTAGGGTGGTTACACCCTCAGGCAGCTGAATAAGCTGTCACAGTGTTTATAGTGTCTCTGGCTTCAACGGCACAAACACACGATTGGGGGCGGTGCAGCTAACTGTCATCACCTGCTGTCATTTCGGTGGAGGAGGACTGCAGCTATCAGAGAGCTGCAGTCAGGATGTGTGTGACAGAAGGATGTAGACTCATCTTTACTGGGATGAAACAGGGTCAGAGTGGGGACAGAGCCTCTTGTTGCCTCACATGAACTTCAACCATCCCAGTGGAAGTGTTTGAAACTCGACAACGTGTGAAAATGATGTTATTCTGATGCTTCCCTGAGCTCTTCAGCGCTTTAGAGGTTTTTTTTCAGCTTGAGGTTTTGCTGTGCAGTTTATAAAGTTGCTGTTTTGGTCCACATCGCTCTCAGAGAGTTGTTGTTTGCCACAGAAGGCAGCAGATTTTCAGCTCAGAAGCTCTGATAAACCCATTGCGCGCATGTTGCTCAGCGCAGACAACAACAGGCCGACATAGTTACAGATGAGATTGTGAAGACAGTAGAGCATTGCACATAAAAGGATGAAAATAAATCAGATCAACAGCTGTGTACCAACAACTGTAAAACAAAGACTATCTACTTTAGGATTTTACTTTTAGCCACTTGTGATGCACACGGTACAGTCCCACTGTCAGGCACAACCTGAGCGCTCACATCGTATGGATTAAATCAGGACGCAGCTTTAACAGCTGTAATGAGGTTTACTTTGAAACTCCCTGGAGGACGCCATCGAGCTGATGTTCTTAAATCAGGTCAGAATCAAACCTCAATTCGTGCAGTGCACACTTGGCCTCATGTGTCCATTTTTGCTCACAGCTGGTTTCTGCTTTGTCCCAGTTGCCAAGAACACAAACGTGTAGAGGTTTAATAATATGAAAATGCTCCTTTATACATGATAGTGGTCTTTGTATTTGGGTTGGTGGCGTCAAAGGATTTACTTTTTGTAAACCGTTGGTGTGGGACAGAATAGGGTCGGGTGATATGGCTTCAAATCAATATCACAATATATTGAGCAGTTCACCTCGATAATGATAAATGGACCATAACTACTCCACAAGCTGTTCACCCCCTCCCACATTAACTTTGTCTACTTCAGCTGCTGCTCCAGCCGCTACAACTTTTGAACCGTCCTAGGAGAGCATCTTAAAGGGACATGAGACCATAGTCTACCTACACACATCCAAAACCAACTTTTATTTATTCATTTTTTGACACAGAATATATTGACATGGACAAAATGACATCGGTTATTGTTGTAAATTTCAGTATCATTAAATTTTCAGTTTATCGCCCAGCCCTAGGACAGAATCTGGACCCTTAAGTGTAAATGAAGCTAATACAGAGCCTTGGCAGATAAAATAAAAAAAACATGAAACAATTTACACCTTGTGTGTAGCTGGACACTGCTTTTCTGCTGCTCTGCTTATAAAATCAGAGGGGAAAAGCCATAAAGAAAGACAAAACAGCCTCTGTATGGTTGTTATATATAGAGAAAGGTGCACATAACTATCAAAGTCATTTTTTGTTGTAGTCTGTTGTAAAAATAGTCTTTTTCTGAATGGCTCTATCAGGGTTTCTTTGACTTTTAGAGCTGGGCCTGAGTGGACACTTGAGGATCTGCAGTTTTTCGCCTTGCCTTTTATTTATACAGCTTTTATTTTTCTCTGAGGTCTGTAGAAAACGCACAGAGAGGCTGCAGCTCTTCTTTACTCACAGAAGCCTGTTGGGTCATCTTGTTAAACATGAACCGCAGTGTCTGTTCAGGCTGTGACCAAAGGCCAGTAATGAAGCAGGGATCTGCATAACTGTAATGACTTAGTCACAATCCACTGACTCAGCCCCAAAGGGAGAAACTCAGCTGGACAAACTGCTGCACTCCCCTCCCTCCTCTTCTCTCCTCTCTTTCCCTGTCCGGTCCTCTGCACCCACAAACATTAAAACCATCACAACTGCTGCCTGACTCGTTGTCTCTGTCCCTCCATGCCTCTCATTTGTTTTCTCTCATCGCCTCGTTTTGAGCAACAAACTAAAACTGCTCTCTCCTCTCCTCCCTCCTCACTGCAGTGTCCCTGCTCCGCAGCTTTGAGTCTGATCGGGGATGTCAATCCTGTTTAGTTTACGGCCTCTGCATAGATAAGGAAATGTGATGTGACTGGACTGATAAAGAGGAATTGATTCCTTTGTCCTGCAGAGTTTGAGGAAGGGAGGCAGAGAAATCAGATCCTTCTCTAGAGGACTCTGTGTGTGTTTGTGTGTGTTAGTGTGTGTGTGTTTTCTTCCTCTTATTGCGAATTCACACAATTGTGACTTGAAAGAAAAGAAGAAAGATGGTATTTATTTGCACAGAAACAGAACAGGAACAATTACATTCATGTCAGTGATGTAAAGTCAGATGTAGAATATGATTGTTGGTGTTGGTGCATAGAGAGAGCAGTATTTAAGAGTTATAGAGAATTTACCTCGTCTTTCTGTTCTAGCTGTTGATATGTTATGACTGCAGAATGTATTCAATTTAAACATTATATTAAATATGATCAAAGCCCCAATGAGAGGCTTTTTAACCAGCTGTGAAAAAGTAATCGATAGATTTACCAAACCAGCAATAAAAAGACTTTCTTTTAGACTTAAAGCTCCTGTGAGGAACTTTTTTTGGGGGGTCTGTTTATGTGCGGTGCAAAGTTGTAGAAAAACATCTTAAGAGCTGCAGGACCGTCTGTCCCCTGAACCTCCTCTCTTTCTCTCTGAATCTGAGGGGGGAGGAAAAAAAAGGTGAAGATGATGAACCCTCATTGTCAGATATTCCTTTGAAGGCTACACACAAGCTGATAATGAAAACAAGTTGTATAAGGTGAGAGAAGTCCCCCTTGCCTTATGTGTAAGGGGGACTTCCAGTATACAATCAGTTCATGAGACCTGCTCCTCAGGGTTCAATGTGAGTCGAAGACACAGGATTGTATTAAAACAGGAACAAAAAGCCCCTCAATGATCGCTGGAAAAGGAAATATCAGTATGGAGCCATGAGATTTAGAAATGTATTTTCTGCACTTGATTTTAGAAAGTTATAGCTGCAGGTTGATTCACAGAAAACAAATATTAAGTAATAACACCATGATAATACTCTCCTGTTAGAGCCTGGGCATGTGTGGATAATCATACGCTCTGTATGCATAATTAACCTGCTGTTGTTAACAGCTTCCTCGGGGTAAACCTGCTGCTTTCGTCTGTCGAGGTTTTTCATCATTCTAAGTAGAAAGAGCTGAAATTTCTGCCTTAATTAGGATGAGCACCTGCAGGATGTAAACAATAGGTCAGCTGTTTGATCTCAGTGCGGTGTGATGATGCTCTGCTGTGCATCGGTTACCTGATGTTGTGGTTCAGTTTGGTCAAAAATATCAGCCGCAGAAATAGACTGTTGGATACAAATGGATTATGACTTTAGAAGTGGGTGCTTGCTGACCATCGGGCAAAAATAAGATTCATACATACTGCATGAAAAACACCACTGTCCTTACTGCAAAGGGCAGAAAGACTATTCACTGAGCTGTAGTTTCTCTGCTGTCAGACCAAAGGAAATATTACATCATTGAAAAAGGAAGTGGTCAGTCACCTCTTTGCTCTTTTTCCATGTCTAATACAGGCTGTAGTGTCAGCTCTGTAGATGTTTAAATGATGAAGTTGAAATATAAAAGATAAGATGCTCCGTGACCTCATTGTGTCACGATTTGAGTGTCAGAGAAAGAGAGAGGACCCAAGTGAACACTGCTGAAAGTTTATTTGAACTGGTGAAAAAAACAACCAGATCCTCTAAACTCCATTGTTGTCTTTCCTAACACCTTTTGTTTTTGACCTCATGATGTTTTCCATCAGGGTTGAGGAAAAGTGGAATAAAAAGGACTTAAGAGGGTAACTTTTTTGACCTCTCAAATGTACACAGGGATCAGACACAAGCTAGGTAATCAAACCGAGGCGGCGCTGAACAGGACAGAGCGCAGTCACAGAGGAGTTTAGTAGGTAATAGATAATGGCTTTGGTTTTAGTCGAATCTTATCATTTCCCATCCCTGTTAGTGTCATTATTTACTATCATGGCGGCAGCGGGAAGAAGGTGCTGCTTTACTTTGATGTGCAGAAACGGAGCTCTTCTTCTACGTCTTGATTTGTGAGAAGCAAAAGGGAAATAAAAAGTAAGGAAATACATACAAGTTTTGAAAAACCACTCATACAACATTTTTCAGTTTTGACATTTGATAAGTTTGCTTTTGCCTATTTTCAGTCAAATATGATTTTTGCAAACCATTCTGTTCAGTTTTTATTAACATTTTACACAAACTGTTTATGTCTGTTGTTGCTCAAGTCGAGTCTTTCAGGCAAAAAAGGAGCCTGTATTATTGATAATAGTAATAAAGGCAGATATGAAGGTACTTGACTGTTTTGGGGTTTGAAGGTGAAGAGTCAGTATACGCAGCAGAAGTATTATATCTTCTTCACTTGCTTGTCAGTGAAATAACTGTACAGTTGTTGTCAGTACATTTACTGAAGCATTTTAGGAAAGGGGGGATGTTAAATGAGGCCAATTAGAGCAGCCTGATAATTGCTGAGATGATTTTTTTGAGACAGGTTATTGAAGTGGTGGACAGGATGAACAAGGCTTGCTCTTGAAAACAGTGTCTTGAGGGAGTAGAGGTCAAAATCCGGAGCTCAGATAACTCATGTTCTGCCAAAGGTGGTGTTGGATTTCAGGATGATGCCATCTCAGGTGGTTTCTTATAGATGAGCACATCAACATCGGTTTTGTCTGAGATAAGTAACAGAGAACCGTCTTTAGGTCTTGATTTCTTTGAGGTATGCTTTGAATTAGGTTAACTAATGAGTGTCATGTATATAACCACCAACATTTATGGAGTTTTTACCTGTAAGCTTGAATTAGTTTAGCTTGGATTAGTCTGATATCGTTGTCAAGCCCCAACTTCATCAAACTCTGTGAATAACATCATCAAACATGGAGGGTTCATCAATCTAATAAAAAAAGGACTTTGTGCTTCTTTGATTCAGGTTGTTTAATGGCAGATGTCAAAAATAAGACTGATGGTTGTTTGAAAAGATATAAAAATACAATTATATGACAGGGTTTCCTCTTCTTAATTGGAAGAAGGAAAAGAAGCAGAGTTTCAGGGCCTGGGTCGGCGGAAGAGTGAAGAGAGTGGTGACTGTGGCAGTCTGATCCACTCCACTGCCTTTACTTCACACTTCAGAGCTTTTCTCCTGCCCTCTCACCTTCAGACTGTGAACAACAGTGAGACTGTCTCAGAGTTTAGATCACAGCTGACATCCAAACACCTGATTCCAGAGAAAACAGATAATAGTCACAGTGACTATCAAATATTGTATTCTTAGTGGTCATCTTCCTCCCATTGTGACTGCTGTTGTTTCTTAGCTCATTTAAAGTGTACTAATTACACAGTAGGTCTATTTTCCTTATGATTCCCCATTTAAAAAGTTCTCTCCAGGAACCTCAGATCTCCCACATCTGACTTCACAGAAATTATAACGATGCTCAGATATTCTTATTGTTCTGATGATGATATTTTTCTTTTGCCCTGTGTCCTCTTAGTGATTTTGTTCTCTCCATATTTAAGTATATCATCTCCACTGATGATAAAAACAGACTCTCTCTCTCTAACCGAAGCAGTCCCTGTCACCAGCACTCCTCTCTATTAGTTTGTTCAACCCTGGATTAATTTAACTGAGTGCCCCTGGGTAATTGAGCTGTTCTGATATAATTAGCAGAATGCCACATACTTCATTAAAGTCTATGTATCGGCTTTCTCTCCCACGGTGATTCTGTCGTCTGTCACTGAAGGAAAAAAGGAAGACAAGGAGGGCTGAGGTTCTGCTCTTACCTGACACCTTAAATCCTGTTTTGCACATGATTTAAATAAGACATACGTCTTCCTGCAGTGTGTAACTTGAGCAAACATCTTCTGAAATGTCCTTGAGCGAGTCAACAAAAGCATCACAACTCAATTAGAGCAGACTCTGACCTCTGACCTCCGATATTTCAGTACAAGAGTTCACTCTGCCTGTTTCCTGCCTCCACACAGAGAGCGCCACTTTCTACTACAGTCTTTATAAAGGAAATAATGAGCTGCAAACAATTTCTGTACAGTTTTCAATCTCTCTCTGTCTCTTTTTTTTCTGTGTGTGTGTTTGTGTTTGTGTGGCCTTCAGAGCGGCAGAACCATGCTCGGGAGCTGGTGAAGGAGGCTGACCTGTCACAGTGGGACGCTCTAGTCATCATGTCTGGAGACGGACTTCTGTTTGAGGTAAAAAAAAAAAAACAATCCAAGTGTTTGACTTTATTTTTTTCTTCAAACAAACTCACTCCTGTCTACAACAGAGTATTATTTAATTTTAAGATGTAATAAAGTAATCACTTATGAGATTATAGTCAGAATAAAGTCCTTATATTCTAACCTGTTGTTTAAGATGACAGTGTTTGAAATGAGAGCCATGAAGAAAATTGTGAAAATGAACTTCAATATGTTTCTCAAACAACAAGATACTTAATCTTTTGGCACATCAGCACCTCATTATCATAAGTATCATAATCATAATTTTATTATGACTTCATTCTAATAAGTAATCACTTTATTACAACTTTATTCTTGTTTGTAATGACTTTATTCTCATAAATTAACAACTTTACTCTCGAAGTCTTCATTTTTTTTCTTAATGTGGCCCTAATACTCCGCTGTATCTGCCAACATGATCATTATTCAGTAGCTCTGATATTGATTAATTACAGACATGTTAAATTGATTCAGATACGTCTCATTAGTCACAGAGTTTTTTACCTGAGATTCTCAAATTGGCCAAAATTATGTATTTTTCTGTCGTCTTCATTGAGCTTGATCTCAACCTTCAGTATCAGCCAGTTTGTAACGAACTAAAAACAAGTAAATAAGTTTGAAAATCATCTATTAGACTTCATTACTGTGCCGCAGCTAAAGCTGACCAACCTGTAAATAAGTACTTCTTTCAGACTTTATGACGACTACACCTGTATTTCTCTGTGTCTGACAGGTGATAAATGGGCTGCTGGAGAGACCAGACTGGGAGCAGGCCATCCAGACCCCGCTGGGTATCCTTCCTGGTGGATCAGGCAACGCCTTGGCAGCATCGATACATCACTACTCTGGGTGAGACGCTCACAGAATCCTAAATGGAAACAAACTCAGTTCATTCAGGTGGTTTATAGGAGGTTTCATGGCTGCTTTTCAGACTGAAATGAGTTCCTGCTTTTTGCTCTTTTGTTGTCCTCTCTGAGCTTTGTATCTTATGCTTTTTTAAAGTGGTGGTGGTCGATCTGCTGGGGTCTGCAGATATGTCTCGGTCTCATGGGTGTCACCTCTGTAGCCGGTCAAACTCACAGTAATCAAAACTAATCGTCAATCACTTTTAACGATGTCATATTGTTGCATTAATTCTGTCTCATGACAAACCCAGAACTCTCCAGAGAAACCAGTCGAACCAGTAAGGGATCGTACAGCTTTGAGTCATTTGATTGCAGACACAGTGCTTCTAAGTTTCACTGTGTTCTCTTCAGCGCTTCTGTAAATGCAAATATACGTCAGTGTCCTTTTGTGAAACTAAGCTGCAGACTCACTGCCTGCCTTTTGGTGCTTCTCAGGGTAGCGCACGCTCTTCCCGTACCTAAATAATTAATGATAATGTCATTTGAGTGATTGAAGTTTGTTTAACCAGAGACAGAGAAGATGCAGAAGTGGAGAAAGGGCTTCAAATGTCTTTTTTTTTATCATTACCTTATAAAGGAAACAAGAGCATCAACTAGATTAGAAGATTGAATGTTTCTGTTTTATATGTTTGCCACTTCTGCTGCAGATGAGGTAACACACACGCAACTGTTACATCATGTAACATCATACCGTCACTTAAAGTTGGCCGTGCTCATCCTGGGGTCCACTGTTATGTGAGGACGCACCGAGGATACTGCTCGCTGTGTTTAAGTCGCTGTATTGTTGTTGTTTGTGTTTCAGACACTGTGCCCTTTCATGCTGGAGTCACTGGGAGTCATGGGGGAAATTAAAAAATAGCTCAAGTGCGTTGAGGCGCTTCTATTTTCACTCGCTCTTACTGTCTGTGGGTCACCTTTAGCGTTTTCCTGCCCTTTTAGCGCTTGATTTATTTTGAAATGTCACAGTGTTCGTTTCCTCTTTCTTTCTTTTTTTTGCTTTTATTTATTTAATCCATATATTTAAACTTGCGTCTCACTTAAATGAAACACCGTTATCAAAAATGAGTCGCATTCACTCTTCATTTTGGCTGCATCTGCCAATCAGCTTCTCATCAAACAATAGACATCCAGCCAGAACAGCAGTCACAATGGGAGGAAGGGACCAGACTCTGTATTGTTTACTCTCCTCTCACACTCACGGGGTATCCAGAAAATCTCTCTCTCTCTCTCTCTCGCTCTCTCTCTCTCTCTCTGGTTGCTGCAGGCTGTCCTGCGGTGGCCCTGGCTGCGGTGTATCTGGTATTATTCACAGCTGAATGTTGGGTTCACTGAGGCTGCGCGGATCAAACGAGCGACAGCTAGAATGTATCCGGTATTATGTGATGCAGTGAACAGGTTCGCTGAGTGAGGGTTTAATGTGTTTTTCTGTGCACAAGCAGAATGAGCGCGAGCTGGAACTTCACCTTCTGAAGTGACAGGTATGACGCTTTGATGTGAAGGAGAGTCTCCCTCCTCTGGCGGTTTACAGATACTGCATAGACACTCTTGAGCCAAAATAAATATTCTTCGACAGGAGTCTGGGACACTGATGTATGCTGCTTTATCTACTTTGACAAACATTCATATATCTTAAAAATTTTACAAGTATTTAGAAGCTTTTTAGTGTAGATACAGTTATGGCAAAATATTAACTTACAAGTTTGCAAAGCTTGAATCTCTAAGACCGAAAAAGACAATAATAGGAAATGTGCTGCGTCGATGTTCACAGTAAGCTTCTAGCAGCCTTTTGCAATCCAGTGGGGAGAATAGATTTTACTGGAAGTCAAGGCAGAGTTAAGGATTTGGTGGGACCAAGGTTGGCCAGATAAAATTTCATAAGGGGTTCGATGTGCCTTCCTCCATGACAGGATTCTACATTTAGTTTCTATCAAAGTGACAAATGATCATTTTTTTAGACTCTAGTTTTTGTCAAATCACAACATTTGTTATCCAAAGACGCTTTCCAAAGAAAGAGCAGGTCTAGACCACGCTCATGATTTGATGAATTACCAAGACCCAACCTTAAGATGGGACATGATCACGTTCAAGAGGTTTGATTCTTAAACCCACTTCTCTTTGCATCATCAGCACATTTATAAATAACAGCTTATAGTAATGTTTATGAAGTGTTAGAAGCAGTGATCATAATGCCTAAGAAAGGTAAAGGAGAAAACATGATTATACGCTAGGGCTGGGCGATATGGCCTCAAATCAATATCACGATATATCGGGAATGTTCGCCTTGATAACGACAGATGGACGATAACTACTCCACAAGCTGCTCACCCCCTCCCACATTAACTTCGTCTACTTCAGCCTTACAACTTTTGAACCGTCCTCCATCTCATCACCTGTCTTTCCCTCCTGGACTTTTATTTATTTAATTTTTGACACAGAATTTTGTTATCGGTATATTTTCGGTCTATCGCCCAGCCCTATTTCAGACTCTAGTTTTTATCTCATACTGCCTGTGAGTGATAATAAGCATTTATAACAGATTATAGTAATGTTTTAGAAGCAGTGATCATAATACATTGGAAAAGTAAAAGAGAAAACCTGATTGTATGCTATCATCACCGTACAAACTTATACTGGTTTCCCTCTTTGTTGATTCTCTCCTCAGACTGACTTTATTCACCATAAAGTCGTGAGAACTCTCTGACTGTTACAACGATTCATAAATAATGATAATCGTGATGAAAACATCAACAATGACCTATTTGTAAAGACCACTGTAAAGAAAGGCAGTTTTAGGAAGGTGCTGATAAAATAATCGTCCAACACCGACCCCTAAAAATTAATGTTTAGAGACACGTTCGAACTTCAACCTGTTTCATAACCAGCTACAAAGATCCTCTCAGAGTTTTAAAGGATCGAAGTAAGCAGAGTTGTTCTTCCTACCAAACAATAATCAGAAAAAAAGCAGCAGAGCAGAGGAGTTGTAGACGAGACTGTTTTTGCAAAGTAAGGCTGGTAAACAGATTCAGGATGATGAATATGGAGATATCTGCAGGGCCAACGCTGCTGAACCCCGCTGAGACACTCAGTCCTCACTGTAATTGGCTGTGGGTGGTAACAGCAGGCAAATCTGAGTGTGTGTGTCTGTTTGTGTGCGTGACCTTCCACCTTGGTCTCCATTCTTCCAGATGGGGTTGTCTTTGTTGTCTGAATGAACTGTCGAGTCTGAAGGCCCATAAGCTAATTCAGTCCCACCTCCAACATTTTGTCCCTGAGTCTCTCCCCTCGCTCCCCCAGCATCCCCCGGCCGTCTCCCTTCATCACTCTGTGGGTCTCCTCCTCCTCCTCCTCCTCCTCCATCTACTCCTCTCTCCTCCGTGTGTCTCTGATTACACAATAAGGTCACAGTTACCCCAGTATTGTGTAACACTCCTCTTATAGTTAACTACCAAAAACAGCCTCGACCCACTTCCTAACCCAGAAATATGAACTGAACCCTCTTGTTTTTATTTTGGTTTATGAATCTTATTATTGAAGTTCTGCTGTAGAAGCTGAAATTATTTATCGGTTAACGGATCATGAAAGAAGAAAAGATGCTTCAGAAAATGTGACGATAGACTGATGATCGATCGTTGAAATATTTGAAAATAATAAACAGGCTTTTATTATATATTCTGTTTTGAACTGAAAATATGAAAACAAACACTAATCTTTGATTTTTTGGTTGTATAGAAAAACAAATAAACAAAATATTGACTCATTTTTTCGTTTTTCGATTACTAGATGAATTGAATGAATGGATAATACATGGACCGAGGAGCATCCCTCTCTAGCTGAAGGTTTTTTAATCTTCATAGTTATCATTGATTGAAACTTCTGACTGGCTCTAGTCAGTCTCTGACTACCTGGTTTAAAAAAAAGCAGTTTTCTCAAAGCAGCCTAGATTATTTTGTTTAGAAATCGAGTCTCCAGGTATGTTTTTGTCTGTGATTGTGGTCAGAAACGGACAGCACGTTAAAATAAATTCAAGCTGCTCTAATACCAAAACTGACCTGAAATCACTCTGAAAATAAAGAAACTTCTAATCTTCACTTATCTGTATCACATCTTACTAAGAAGGGAGAAGACGTCTAGAAAGTAATGGCAGATCAGGCTACTTTACCAGAGCTCGAATAACCATCAGCTGGTGAAATCCACGGGTTCTACCTCAAAACTGGGTCATCAAAACGCTGTGAATTCACCGATTGTTTCTATACTGCTTTAGTTTTCAAGTTGTCACTTAGATCCCCGTTGAAACAGCACTATGATATTAGCTGTTTTATTGGTGTTGGTGCTAGCTGCTGCTGCTGCTGCAGCTGTTTTGTTCGACACATATTTGTTTGGATAAGATCTTATTAAGTGACTTAAAAGGTCGTATAAAACTTGAAATATTCATAGCTCATGTTTTGCCAGTTGCAGTGAAACAGAGACCAAATATTCACTGTTCCGCTCGTTGTTGCAGTGCTTGTTTTTCCTCTAATAACCTCTAATGAAAGAAACTTTTATTAGTTTTTCTAATGGTATAGAAATGAATTAACACCATTATGAAGGATAATGAAACATTTCCATTATCAGGTGACTGCTTTATATTGTGTGTCCCTTATTTGTGGCGGGGATTTTCTACTTTTGTCTCCTTAATTAAGGCAGCTGTAATCTGAACTTGAAACTTTTACCTCTGTCCTAAGAGTTAAGAGTGAACTTAAGAGTTTACAAACACAGTTAACAAAGTTTCATTTTGTATTTGTTGAATTTCTGTTAGAGAAACTGATTATTCGCGGGACTTTTGTCGTAAGTATTAAGAACCATTACTGATTTTGGTCAGGGATGTCCCGATACAACTATTTTGCTTCAGATACAATACCGATATTGTAGCCTTCAGTATTGGCCGATACTGATATTAGTACAAACATGTGCATTAAAAGTTTTGCACTCAGCTACAGCGTCTTTTCAGACTCTGAAAGATACTGCCACACGGCCGACATCACTCCTACTCCTTGCTACTTTGTTAGTACCTTAATACACACTGTTGTTGTGATAATGTGGGCTCTGCATGCTAGATTCGGGTGCTACTAGATAGAGGTGCTGGACTGGAGTCTGGAATGGACTGCTTGTATCAGAGTGCTGATATCGTAGATTTTAGATGCAGGCCAGTATAATCCGATATATATTATTTTGCTCATATTGGACCGATATCTGATAACAATATTGGATCAGGACATCCCTCATTTAGGTAGAGTTGTTTTCAGTGGTTGCCACCCCTGGATGGTGGATGGATGTTTCTTATAAGATCTCTGTTTTTCCAACTTTTAATATCTCCTTTATTTCTCTTCTTCCTCCTCTGCAGATCCTCTCCAGTGTCCAGTGAGGAGCTCCTGCTCAGCTGTGGTTTCCTGCTCTGTAAAGGCCTCGTGTCCCGCATGGACCTGGTCTCCATCCACCTCTCCTCCAGCCCTCGTCTCTTCTCCTTCCTCTCGCTGGCCTGGGGCTTCGTGGCGGATGTCGACATCGAGAGCGAGAAGTACCGTCACGTTGGGGCGGCACGGTTTACAGTGGGCACTCTCGTGAGGCTGGCGTCTCTCCGCGTCTACAAAGGTCGGCTGGCTTACCTGCCGGCCTCCGAGGACTACAACAACCAGGAGGGTTTGAGGAACAATGTGACTCTACACTGCAACAATCAGACGTTATCTCTGGATCTGTGTCACCCGTCTAGAGACTCTGTCCGCCAGAACACCTTCCACAACTCCTGCCACTCCAACAACTCCCTCAAAGTGCGGCGGACGGAGAGCACGGTGTCCAAAAGCCCCTCTAAAGCTCTCAGCGGCCCACCAGACTCCCTGCTGCTGCCTCTGGACCAGCCCCTCCCTGTAGACTGGGTCGCAGTGCAGGAGGAAGACTTCGTCCTCATGCTCGCCATGTACCAGTCCCACCTGGCTGAGGACCTCTTCGCAGCACCGGACGCCGCCCCGGACGACGGCGTCATCCACCTTTTCTACGTCCGAGCTGGAATATCTCGTGCTGCGCTGCTGAAGCTTTTCTTAGCGATGGAGAAAGGCGCTCACCTGGGGACAAACTGTCAACACCTGGTGTACGTAAAGGTGCGAGCGCTCCGACTGGAACCATTCTCACCTAAAGGGATCATAACGGTGGATGGAGAAGTGGTGGAGTACGGACCAGTGCAGGCAGAGGTACACCGAGGCCTGGGCAGACTCATCACCGGATGAAGCGAACCGACGTCATCGCTAGCTTTGGTCGGTCCTCAATAAAAACATTTTAGCTTTTTAAATTAGAAGAGTGCATGTGAAGATGGCGAGCGATGGATGAAAGAGTGACCCCGATATGAAGATAGACCAGAGAAAACAACCGATTTTAAGAATAAATGGACACCAAAAAGAGTAAAGATATATATTTATAGATGAAAATGATCAATCGGTTATTTGTTGTTTAAATGATATTTCACCTGTTTCATTCTGTTTGTTTTTTTCCATAATTGGGGCACTTATGGCAGGTACTCAGTATTTCAGAGTTTCCTTCACTCATAATTATCACAAATCCAGGGATCGGTTCAGAAAGAGCAGTGGTGTGACTCTGAAAAGGAAGGATGTCTGTTAGATGTCTGTTTGAGTTTGGTTTATAAGGGAAACAACAACTGCAGTTTAAGAAGATATTCAGTCCTATGAGCGGATTCTCCTTTTTCAAATGAATCCCTTAAAGTCTGAGTGGTGTATTTTATTGTTAAAAATTAAAAATAGCGTTTTTTGGGGGCTTTTTCAGTTTGAAATAAAATAATTGGGAGCATTAGCATTGGAAGAAAATATTGCAAAATGACAGTGGACATTTTTAAATGATAACATAAATATCCCTGTAATGTAAATCTTAACCCCAATTTTTAAAAGAGTGAAAATATTTCAACGCTTATTCGCTGAGCTTGTAGTTTTTCTAAATCCCTCTGACACTGGGTTTTTGTGACGATGATGGGCCTCTTCTTACAAACATAAACCTTTAACTTCAGTAGCACATCACTCATCAGCACTTTAAGTGTCTGTTACATCGTCCTGTCTGTCATTGCATGAGTAAGATGTCTGACATATCTCTCTGAGTTACAGCTTCTCGTGGTGGGTAGATCGATGTCTTCACAGAGACAGGCACTGTGTGTGTGTGTGTGTGTGTGTGTGTGTGTGTGTGTGTGTGTGTGTGTGTGTGTGTGTCTGTGTGTCTGTGTGTGTGTGTGTGTGTGATGCAGTATATGCCAAGTAACTGCGCTGATGTTGCCTTGGTTTTCACATTAGATCAACAGGCTTTGTGACTGTTTATTAATCGCATAGATCCTTAATCAGCCCTGCGCCGCTGTTTTTGAAGGTCTGACTGTTTTTTTAATTAGATTCTGAAAAAGGAGAAAATTATTCATCTTAACTCTGAATTTAATAATAGTAATAATAATAATAAAAATAACATTTTAAAAAGTTAAAATTAAAATTAAAAAAGTCCAATTTGAAAAGCAAAGAGTTCAGCTCAAAAGTTATCACAGAGAGTCAGTAATAAAGAGTGAAGCGTCGTCCCTTTTTCTTCCGATCATTTCAAGCTCTTAATCTTGTATCTTTATCGTTGATTATTCTATTTATACCCTGATAGAAACAAGCATGTCTAAAAGAAGACATGTATCATGTATCAAGTGTAAACCCTCTCCAGGGTTGAAGGTCCAGACTGCTGATAATTTCTCCTCAGAGTTTGCTGCAGCAGTTCGTCACAGTCCTCAGTTTTATGCCAGTTAGTTGATCTAGTTTCATTCATAGTGACTTGCAGTTGAGGTTTGTTTGGTGAGACGTCTCCTCCTTACTATTATTTATTGTGCCATCTGAAGGTCCGCTCAAATGTTCGGTGCTGTTTTGTCCCGTCTGTGGTGGTTCAGAAACCACGAGCTGATCCAGTCGAAGTGAAAGAGCGGCCTTCCACAAAACAAAACCATAGTGGCTCCTGCATCCGTCTTCGTCCTCCTCCCTCTCTCTCTTTCTTTCATCCATTCATCCTTCGCTGCTTTCACTGCTGCAGTGCTCTGCAGAGCAATCTTCGGCTCTGTGTCTCTGGCCCAGGCTGCTTCTTGGAAACACAAACACACATCACAGATGTCTCTGAGGAAGATTCATCTTAGATCCCCACCAAGGTGTCCTTACCATCCAGCTTTAAGTCACAAAGAGGGGATGATGACAGGATAGGTCAGAGTGAAATGGACTCAGAGTAGTCCTGCCTTAAATGAGTCTTCAGGGGGGTTAAAACAGCGGCTTATTGAGTCCACAGAGACGGGGAGGAGGGGGTAGATATCGACATGTTAAATGCTGCATGAAGGAGGCGGTGTGTTGTTCCTGACAGGGCGCCCTCATTCTTCCCTCCTCACCACAACAAATCATTTGGGAGCATTAGCAAACTGTCCTCGCTGACAAGAAGAACGACGGATGTTTGATTTCTCCTCCAGGCGCAAACAGAAACTGTAGGAATCGTAAAACTTGTGGTTACTTGTCATTTTAAGTGCAAAGAAACCGGCAGGGTTCGATTCCAAAGCCCTAGATTCCCAGCAGGAATGTCCCATTATCTGCTTCTGTGTTGATTCTGTTAAGTTTTGACCAAAATTGTTTCTCTTGAAGATGTTTTAAACATGATATTTGCACATTACTAGTGTGATGCCAATGCCGTTTCAAAGCCTTCATGGGGCGCTGTGGCCCGTTTTGTGATTAAAATGCCATTTCATTCATTCGGTTTTACTGCTCCTCGTGAAGGACGAGCACAGACAGTGAGAGAAGTACTTGAAGACAGACCCTTCCTCTCTGCTTTTGTTTCATTAAAAAGGGGAAATGTGTTTGGTTGCACTTACAACATGAGACCTGTCTCTGCAGGAGTTTCCCAACCACTCGGTTAAAAAGTTAATACTTGTGATCATTTCAAAGGTGCACCAAAGAGAGGTTGTTCCTGCATTAGATATTACATTTAGAGGCCTTAAGATTAAAAAAAAATACACTTAATAATAATAATAATAATGATGATGATGATAATAATAATACTGTGCAGCTGGAATGTTTTTTTTTTTTGTCTCCTCGCTGATCAAAGTGCTGCTGACATGACTGTTTTCATACATTTTGTTCTCTATGCAAAGTCAGGTATGTGGAGTGATGCAGTGATCCTTTTTGATGTGCCTTGACTGTGCTGCCTCCTGGTGGTGTGAACATAGCAGTGCATTCATTGCTTTCTCTTCTGCAACAAGGCTGACAATGACTCACATTCCCATCACCATCTTCTTTTTGATGCCGACATGCTGGTGAAACTTGAGACGCAAAAGAGAAACATCTACAGCGTATAACTGCGGCATGGAGCTTTCTTTATATACCTGCATTAAACTTTTACCAATACTGATGGGCAATACCGAAGCCTCCTCATCAATGATTACAGAGGAGAACTTCAGCTTTTTCTAAGATAATGATGGACTAGGCTGGATTATTGTCAGAAAAGGAACATAGTTAGTCTCACTGCTGAACTGCTATTTGAGTCTTTTTTTCCTGCTACTTTGAACTGTTGTCCTCTTGAGTGTTTTAATGTTGCTGGTGAAGGGAATCTTTACTGTTTTTGTTTGTTTTTGCACACTGAAGATTAAATGATTGATACATCACAGAGAGATCTATTTTTCCATTAGACGAATGTCTGTAATTTTTCTATCGTCAAATCAAACATTCTGGAAAGTGGAGTGTTTTTGATTGAAAAATAAATGAGATGACAAAAAAAAAATACGACTGATTTGTTTTGTGAACTTGACAGTTTGTACATCTGCACACTGGTGTGGTGGGATAGATGTTTGAAAAAAATTGTCATAGTGTAGTATGATTGAAAAAAAGTCATAGTATAGTATGCTAAAAATGTCATGGTATAGTATGAGGATAAAATCATAGTAAAGTATGATAAAATATCAGTAAAATCATTGTATAGTATGATAAAAAATATATTATGGTATCGTAGGATAAAATCTTAAAGTATTGTATGATTAAAAAAAAATTGTCATAGTATAGTATGATTAAAAAAAGTTATAGTATAGTATGATCTAAAAAATTGTCATAGGTATAGTATAAAAATATTAAAGTATAGTATGATAAAAAAAATGTCATTGAATAGTTTGTCAAAAATTGTCATAGTATAGTATGCTGAAAATGTAAAAGTATAGTAGGAGGATAAAATCAAAGTGAAGTATGATAAATATATAAAAAAATATCATGGTATAGTATGGTACAAATGTCATAGTATAGTATGATAAAAATGTCTTCATATAGAATGATAAAAATGTCTTAATATAGTATGATAAAAATGTCTTGATATAGTATGATAAAAATGTCTTAGTATAGTATGATACAAAAATGGTGTTGATTTGTTGGTTAAAAATTGTCATAGTATAGTATGATAAAAATGTCTTGGTATAGTGTGAAAAAATCATTTAGTATAATAAAAATATTTAATATAGTATTATAAAAAATGTCTTAGTATAGTTTGTTGAAACATGTTTTAGTAATAATGATAAAAATGTCATAGTTAAGTATGATGAAAATGTCAAAATATAGTATGAACAAAAATGTCAGTGAAGTTTCATAGAAAAAAATATAGTAGAGTATTTTAAGAGAAATGACATAGTTTAGTATGATTTAAATGTCATAGTTTAGTATAATCAAAAATGTCATAGTAAAGTATGTTAAAACATGTCATAGTATAGTATGATAATATTGCCATAGTATAGTATGAACAAAAATGTCATAGTAAAATATGAGAAAAAAAATTATACTATTGTTTATTAAAAGAAATGTCATAGTATAGTATCATAAAAATATCCAAGAACAGTATGATAAAAAAAATATATATATCATTGAATAGTTGGTTAAAAATTGTCATAGTGTCGTATGATTAAAAAATATCATAGTATAGTATGCTAAAAAATGTCATGGTATAGTATGAGAATAAAATCATTGTAAAGTATGATACAAATTTCATTGTAAAGTATCATACAAATGTCTTGGTATAGTATAAAAATATCGAAGTATAGTATGATAAAAAAGGCATTGAATAGTTGGTTAAAACATGTCATAGTATAGTATGATAAAAATGTCAGTAAGGCATGAGGATAAAATCAAAGTAATGTATGATAAAAATAGCAGTTAAGTTTAATAAAATGTCAGTATTGTATGAGAGAAGTCAAGTATGATAAAATGCTATAGTATGAAAAAAATGGTCATACTCAAGTATGATAAAAATGTCAAAGTTAAGTATGATTAAAAAATATGTTAAAACATATCATAGTATAGAATGGTAAAAATGTCAAAGTAAAGTATGAGAAAAAAATTATAGTGTAGTATATTAAGAGAAATGTCACAGTATTGTATAATAAAAATGTCATAGTAAATTACATTAAATTACATTACATAAACATGTCATGATATAGTATGATAAAAATCATAGTAAAGTATGTTAAATATCTCATAGTATAGTATGAACAAAAGAATCATATTAAAGTATGATAAAAAAATGTGTCATAGTATAATATGATAAAAATGTCATATTATTGTATGATCACAAACTGTCATTGTATAGTTGGTCAAAAAATGTCATAGTATAATATGTAAAAACGCAATAGGATGGTATGTAAAAAACAGCATTGTAAAGTATGAGAAAACTGAAAGTTAAGTATGTTAAAAATGTCATTTTATAGTATAAGCAAAAAACGTCATTGCATTGTATGTTAAAAATTGTCAGTTTAGTATGATAAGAATGAACATTACTGATTTTATGACAGTCATGGCTCGATGGGCCAAAGGGCCAATGGTGGTTGACGGCTCCTCTCTCTTCGCTGCAGGACAAGTATTCAGAAGATCTTTTGTACACACAGCCATCAGACTTCTTCAATTCTTCTATAAATAGTAAATGAGATGAGATTCCAGACAAATGAATTTCCCTTTTATCGTATTGTACTCTTGTTATCCTCACATACATAAAAATATTACAGGGAGTCATCAAATTGTACTGCAGTTATACTTTCTTTAAAGTGAATTTTAAGGTGATGAGTTGTGGCTGTTATCTGCTGCAGATGGATAAACATTTGATGCTGTAGTCTGTATTTTACACCTCTGAAACGGTGTGTGTGGGTGTATGTGAATTCAAATAAACTGCTGCATGATCTCCATAATCCAGCTGCAAAATACTCAAGTGTGGCAACTTGTTTATCAGCTGGATATTATTTTCTTTATTTCTTATTTTTCCGATTTTTAATCCCGTGAGAATTAGAGATTATTCAAAGCCTTACTTATTCATATTAGTCTGGGCCAAAGCTGCAGATGATTAATTAATAAATCAAAGCCACAATGTAACTATGGTTCTGCTTGCAAAGTTTAATGCATCACTATACAGTCGTCTTAAAGCAACAAAATCAAACCATTAAATAATGAAATCATAAGTACAATATCATACTCAGCACTTTGTACATTTTTGCCCCAAGCATCCACGTGACTTGTTGGAACTCAAGTGTGTTCAATATATACTGTCTGTATGTATGTATGTATGTATGTAATTATATACTTCAATATAGTCATGACATCTGTACAGAGGGACTCAGGCTACAAATCATAACTTTATTAGTTCCTTTTTTAATATATCAATAACAGGCCACTGTGGAAATGTAGACATCGTACAGTCAAGTCTTGTGTGTAGCCCGTCCAAAAGGCTTAAAGCAACATGTTACATGCTTTGGCTGTAAAACAAACTTCTCGCAGCAATAATAATCATAACTATAATAATAATAATAATGTTTTCAATCTGAATAATATACACACATACACAGAAAATTATACATAGCATCATGTGCCTGATACCCTGCCAGATGTTTTTTGCTTCCAGATTTAGCGAGATAGCTTCACATTTTCTGTTTCTGCGGCTGTTTACAGATGAGAAAGAGGGAGGAAAAAAACGGAGCAGAAACATCATCCCCTCAATGCTCACAGAAGACGTGTGTTTACAAACATCTGCACCGATAAACTCCCAAACACACTCCCCCCGGTGATCATTGTGAGGATGATGTTGAGAAAAACGGAAAAGAAGACACGAAGCAAAGAAGGCTACATGATTAGAAAACACATCGGCATCCTCTGTAGCTTTAAAGGCAGCGAAATAATGACAGTGAAGTTAAAACCAGGAAGAGGATCAAGTGTCATGGATGCCTGATTGCCACATCTGGAATAGGAATGGCGCATTTTTAAGGGAAGACAAAGCAAACGAAATACCCTTCTTAATTCTGTACCCCTTTCTTCTTTAAAACGCAGCAGCTTCTTGGCTCATGCTTTTTCATCCTCTCCCAGCATTCATAGCTCCACATGGCACAGTGCGCTCAACACTCTTCAGCGTCTTTATTTCGAGTAAACAGCAGACAAGCCGACGCTCTCTGTACCGAGCACAAGGGAGTCTATCTGACCTGTATTTGATCATGATTATTTTATTACAATAAGGATTAAGAACACTATGATAGATGTGGGATGCAGTTATTTATAAAGATGTAAACAAAGGCGGCTCTGATAACCCCAGGAAGCACCAAAACGGTGGGTTCACAGTTCATTTCGTCACAGTTGGACTCTCATGACCAAACTGATATCTGCCGTTTAAGGGGAAACAGTTTAAAGTTTTCTCTTCATGGTTAAGATGCTAAAGTCGGGACAATCGTTTGAACATCAGATCAAGTTTTAGTGTCGTACTCTGTGATTCTTTTGGAGGCAAATTCAGTGTAGGAGTCATGTCAAAGAACTGGAAGACGGGGTATCTGATCAGAGTTCTGCAGGAGGGGGGAACTAGAGCGGGGGGTTTTTAGTGGTCTGTAGCGTGTCCGGGGTCTGCACATTTGAATGTTGAGAGCGTGATGAAGCAGCTCTGTACACAATGGTCTGAGATCATCAAGCACAATTCAAGTAAGGCAACATGTTGACAATAGATGACGGAATGGATGCTGAATTTTTTTTTTTTTATTCATTTATATTTTCTAATCGGTGTCGTTTGCAGTGAGGTGAGTTCAGATGAGTTCCACTCTGAAACCTACGGTAGAGCCTCTGTGAGTTAAAATGACGTCAAAAGCATCAGAACGCTAAAGCATGAGTTCCATTTCGGCGGATCAAACTACTCGGACTTAACTCTATGGAAAGTGAAGGAGCTTTTTTACCCACGCTTAGATCATAAACACCCAAACCTACAGTCATGTGATGGCTTCTAGCGACCGCCATCTGAGCTCCAGAGGTGATTGAGATGTAAACTTTGTCACTCAATGTTTGCTGAGTGAAGTGATTGAAGAAGAGAAATATCAGCGAGTGCAGCGGTGGAAGAAGTGCTGAAGCTGTGGTGTTTGGCAGTTTTACTGACATTCACTTTGTTCTACTTGGATATTCGTGTGTTTTGAGGACAGAGAGAAAGAGAATTTGGCAGAAAGCGTAACAACCGGTGACTTCTATCTAACACAGCCCTCCTGGTCAGGTGATCTACAGACCAGATTGTCCGTCGTGATATAGTGCAGGATGGTACAGCGTTAGTTTCAGTAGTGCTACAGATAGCCACAGTCAAGAGTTAGCAGTTTGTTTTTCAGCCATCTTTGATCCCGTCCAGGACGCATCGACGATAACGAGCCTGGGTTATAGTTCTGAGATGGCAGAGTGGTTTTCCAGAAAAATCCCCGTCTGTACTGTGGAGGCTGCTGGAGGCGAGGTGGATGAGGAGAGTGGAGGATCATGGCACTGATCTCTCCTCACAGTCCACACCACCTCCGCTCATCATTCAAGTCCCGCTGAGGCCAAAAGACAAACTTTCGACCGCCGTCAACCAGCTCCTTATGTGTACCTTTGTCCTTCGACAGATGACTCCCTGCTCTGTTTATCCGTCATACTCGTCTGCAGAGACACTAAAGGAGAACAAAGACATCATCAAAACCAGAACCTGCTCTCTTCTCCTGCTGTCCCTCAAGTGTGCTTCAGTCGAGCGGGTTTTAAAGAGAAAACAATGTGTGGAGTTTTGGGGGGCAGCGAGAGCAGTACGCACTGAGAAATGGAGGAAAAGGACAAACATGTGGGCAGTGCTGGGGGCACAGTGAAGCTCTGGACAGATTGGGAAAACTGTTGTGCCCCCGAGGAAACATAGAATGATCCTCCTCTACCGCCCGTGGCAGATGATAAGGTAGAAAAGGAGGAGGAAAAGGAGCGGGGAGCAGTGCAGATTGAGTCGGGGGGACGGTGAGGAGGCACTTACTTGTCCTCTATGTGCTCAGTGATGCCGGCGGCGGCCAGCGCAGCTCGGTACTGCAGCAGGACTCCTCTTACGCTCTTCACAAAGCCTTTAGAGAGAGGGAAGAGCGGGAAGCCGATGTCCGGGTAGCCGCTGCCCTCCGGGAGGAAACTCCTGTAGCTCTTTCTTCGCTTCTTTGGTCGTACCACCGGCTGGCTTCCCGTGGAGCCCGTGCCTCCTCCGCTCACCGAACCCGATTCTGACGTCCCGCTGCGGACGACAGAACCCGGTACGGACGAGCTGCCTCTGTTCTCCGCACCCACAGAGGTATTCCCCAGGGTGCTGTCGCAGTCTGAGTTCTGGCTTAGCTCCTGCTGAGGGGCCGCTACAGTCGAAGGACTCAGACCTGAATCCTCCAAGTCCTCCTCCATAATACTGCTAACTCCTGAGACTCCCTCCTCTCCGGGCTTACTCGGGCTGCTGTGGGACACTGCCCCGGGTCCCAATCCCAGGGGCAGCTGCTCGTCCAGAGGCTCCACAGAGTGCTGTCGGTCTTTTGAGGGTCTGGAGGTCACATGTGCCGCGTGACCCCTCTCGGCGGCCTCGTTCAACTCGAGCCACACGTCCAGTCTGTGGACGAGCCGCCAGCCGTTCGAGGAAAAGTGCTCCTGGATCTCCTGTTTGAAGACCTCCACGGGGTTCTGGAGGAGCTGCGTCATGGACTGGACCATCTTGATCAGGGCCATCTCGTTGTAGCAGCGGCTGTTCTCGTATCCCTCCTGAAGGCCTCGGTCGCTGTCGAAACCCGCTTCATTGTAGTACGGCTCATTCACCAGGATCAGGCCTGCAGGACGTTGGAGACATGTTAAGAGTGAGCGCATTCAAAAGAGAAGAAGAGGGGTTAAAAAACAGAGGGATCTCCACTCTTTGAATAATAACCTAGAATCCAAAACGGCAGCACATGTTCAGAGTTTATTTCTGTTTGTGGGATTATTTTCAACTAAATGTAGAGAGACAATAAATCTGAGCTTCATTAAACACTCGATTGTTTTATTCAGATTCAGGCGATTTTAAATCCCAGAGCAATTTGTCCGTCATGTCAAACTGCAAATCAGTTTGATTCAAGTGATGTAACAACTGTGTGTGAGCAGTTCGAGACACTGTTGCACTTTGAGCCCCTTAGAGCAGATGAACACATGAATAAAAGATTTTTATGCTGCAGAGATGAGACAGGGAATAATAGAGACGGGGTGTGTGTGTGTGTGTGTGTGTGTGTGTGTGTGTGTGTGTGTGTGTGTGTGTGTGTGTGTGTGTGTGTGTGTGTGTGTGTGTGTGTGTGTGTACACTCACCTTGTATTGAGATGAGGACTTGCAGCAGACTGGACTTGCTGGTCCACCTCTCGGTGCCCTGTGTGTCAGAGAACAAATCAGCGCAGTGTCCTTTAGAAGAAAACACCAGGACTTCACATTTTTATACACAAAAGAGTTTGACAGGAAGACAGCGTTTGGAAATAAAATTCTCTGTAACATGGTAAAGATTTCAGAGTCCTTCACCTTAAAACACTCAAACATGACTCATCTGATGACACGTAAATAAAGCAAACACACTTGAGGTGTAGCAGCATGACCTCAATCAATGCTTGTTTGTATTTTAATTGTATTTATTATACATGTTTTTATAATTACATTTCCTTAGGGTTTAAAGGGATATTCCGGAGTAAAATTAAGTTAGATTAAGCCCTGACGAGTCGATCATCAAGTGCAGCGGATCATTTCCATGAAGTAAAAATCATCATAAATGTTCTTCCTTGAGCTGCGAAACTCCACTGCACTTGGTGATCGACTCGTCAGGGCTCCCCCACAAACAAGCGGCTGCTGGAGGAGAGTCGGTGAGTTGTTTTTGATCTCTTTGCTAAAGAAACCAGGCAAAGCTAAAAAGATGTTTGGTGGCTAGTGCTATAGCTGGGCCCCATTATGTACTGTTGATGAAGTTAGGTGCTGTTCTGAGTGTTATTTGTGGCTATAGAGTGGCGTTTTGGTTGAGGTTTGCGCATGGAGATGTAGACCGCTGTATATTGCTATCATGCGGTCGTTACTAAAGTTGGTATATCTAATTTTATGTCGGAATATACCTTTAAGATCACAAAAAATTCAGTCAAAATCGATCCCATCATCCACGAGTTTTAAACGTCCTCTCTAAAGTCAGCCTGATTTCATGTGTCACATGAATTCTTCGATCAGCTGACTGATGGTTTTCCTGCAGCGTGCCTCATTTAGAATCACTCTCAGCTGTAAAAGTTGGTCTATTGACTTGACATCGCAGGTTACATCATCACACTTTTATAAAAACTGCCAAAGAGCAGGTTTGAAGAAGTGTAGGTGTTACAGGTCAACACCCACAACTGCAACACAACAGGTTATATCTGTTACTTTACATAACTCCATAGCAATTATTTTTCTATCAAACATAAGGGATTAGAATTTTATAAATTGGTCTCCAGGCAAAAAAAACATCGTCGTAAGTTGGACGTATCTGTCTTTTTTTTGTTTGTTTCTCATTTAATCAATAAGTGGCAAAAATATAATTCAACAAAAACCTTGGATTGGACATTGGATTGTACCAGAAGCACGCCATAAACATGTAACCTGGCTCTCACCTTTCCGATCCAGGTTCCCAGCAGACTGACGCAGACTTTGCCGTTGTCGTAGAGGTTGGGGTTGAGGCGGCCGCTGCACTGCGACAGGTAGCGGAACAGAGGTGGCACGGCGGGGTAGATGTTTGGCAACTGGATGTCAAACAGGAAGAGACCGTCCTCATATGGCGTACGAGTTGGACCTTTAATCAGAGCTGAGAACAAATCCTGTGAGAGAATAAGATCAGGTGAGATAAAGCAGACATAAAGGAGATGAGATACGAGATATTTTGTAGATCTTACTGTGAACTCTCATCTTTATTCTTATCAAACATTAAAGGAATTTTGTTTTTTTGCATCTAAAACGACTAAATTACATCTAAAAACCCACCATTCGATCTTCGAATGTTTTGACCATGATGCCGTCTGGCAGTGACGTTGCGAGCAGAGCCATTTCCTTCCTCACTGTGCTGAAGAACTTCTTGGCTTCCGCTGGCTGGAACTCCATTTTCTTAAATGAGTGTGTGTCTGAAAGCAGAGAGGGGATAGACACAGCAGTAAGAAACTGATATTGTGAGTGTGGGCAGGGCGCTCGTCAAGCTAAAGGTCGTGTCTGGCAGCTTCTGTCATCCGCATAATAATGAAGATGTGGGGTCCTCTGTTTAGCGAAATATCACATAATCTAAGCAAATAAAGAGCTTTTAAAAGCAGCCAGGTTTACTTTCAGACACTCTAATGACTCATTGTTATGGGTGTGTGTGTTTATTTGTTCCCTGCTGTTGTAATTTTTTAGCTTGAATAACAATCCTTGGATAGTTTTCTTTCTCTGTGGTCTGTCTTTTCAATTTTGACTTCAGAAAGCAGACTGCAGAAAAAAACTTTGGGGATGGAAGAGACAAAAAAGGGAAAATTTCACTGAATTAAAAATGGACGAATAAAAGGTTTGAAGCCCGACTCGGATGAAAATCATGTTTTTCTTGTTGTCTACATGTTCATGATATTTTTCGGATGCTACAGGACATATCATGATTAAAATAAGTGCAAAACTGCATTTCTGAGTATTTCTGCATTAAATCAGTGTTAATCTCTGAAAGACCCAAAGGGCAGGTTCAGATACAGTGAGATTTCCTACATCATAAATCCAAGCTCCGCCCCCAAAGTCCTGCTATGAAGGCCAGACTCGGAGAAGCAGAGCAGACGATCATGGGACAAGCATGTGCATTAGCAGACTGCGATACTTGTAAGAAAGCAAATTATGATACTAACTTTCATCGTGTCCCAAGACATTACTGTCTGAGAACTGAATAACGCCAATGTTACCTGCTACTTCTACTACACTAGCAATGTTAGGCTACAAGCTAGAGGAGTGTGCAGAGCAGCGCTGCCTCCGCCCACAACTCAGAGGCGAATTGCTAATGAGCTACTGGAGCTCTGCAGAAGAAAAGTCCTTTAAAATGACACAAGTAACGTGATTTTGGCTAAAAACTTCATGATCACAATTTGAAGACCACTGAGAACTTTTTAGGTAGTAAAAAAAACGATTGGAGTGGGACTTTAAAGACAATTTAAAGACAGAGAAACTGAAAGGCAGAGAAGAAAACTTCAAAAAGAGGGAACGAGGTTGTTCATTCAGTCACGTCTCACCTGGTGCCCACTCCAGCACAGAGAACACCTCTCCCTTGGCACTGGTGAAGGTGACGCCGGGCTTGCCGCCGCTCTGTTGGCACAGTACTGGTGTGTCGCTGAGAAACTCACTGGGCCACTCTTGTCCCCCCACTGGTGTCTGTGGATCCTGCTGGGGCTTCTCCTCTCCAGCTCTCTCTGTCTGAAGATTAACAGGCACATGTGAGAAACAGTCTGATGGACCCTCTTTCTGCCCCCTTATTCATTCAGAGATCACCGTTACACCTACTTCTGTCCCTGCTCCTGCACTCCCTCCTGCCTCCACCACAGCCTCCATCTTCTCCTCCTCCACTATGGCTACATTATCCAGCGTCTTCCTCAGGTTCTCGTGCAGCTTCTTGATATCGTCGAGGAATCGTTTCTCCTTGGTTGGTTTTTCAGGAGCCACTGGTGTCACTGAAGGCGCTACGTGAGTCGTTGAAGCGGGTTCGGCAGAAGTTGGGGAGGTCGGGGATCCACCGGTCCAGAGCTGCTCCACTGTCATGTTCTTCAGGCTCTCCAGGATCTTGAAGGCCTCCTTCAACTCCCTGAAACCTCGAGAGGCGCTGTCTTTAGTGGGCTTTTCTGCTCCGTTGACGGCTCCTGGAGTTGTTCCTGAAGAGAGAGAACAAAAGTCTGATAAATCACTGCAAAGGGAGTGTTAAAAAGGAGCAAATCGATCACTGTGATGTGGCTAACAATTCTATGAAAATAACTTTAAAATAGTAAAAGCTGAAAAAGCCCTGCACCTCCTCCCGAAGCAGGACTCGCTGCTGCTACAGTGGCCTCCCCCTCCTCTCCTGGACCTCCTTTAGTAGGGCTGGTGACCCCCGCTTTGCTGCCCTCTGCAGGTGGGATGATAAAAGCAGAGGAGCCGGTAGGTGTGGGCGTCGGTGTCGTCGTGTTGGTGGCATCAGCGTTGTTGGCATGGCTGTCGTCTTCGGTGGTGAGGCCGTTATCCGTCTCCCAGCTGTCGCTCTCGTCCTCCCACTCCTCGGTGGACAGCACGCTGCTCGTCTCCTCCACCGAGTCATAGTCGGTCTCCTCGATTTCAGATTCCACGTTATAGAGGTGCTGTGTGTGCACGATTGTGAGGAGAGAGTTAAAACCCTTCATTCATGTTACTTGAAAATAAAAACATGTTCCCCTTCAATGACGGAGACTGACCTGTGGTAGGACGATGGTCATGGAGTTATCAGCCCACACTACCTCCACTTTGCTGCTCACATCCACTCTGGACACTTGACCGACAGATGTCTGTGGGGAGCAGGATGGAGAAATGTAACGAAAAAAAAGACTTGCACTACTAACCTCTAAAGGCTTTACGTATTAAAGTTATTCATTTAATAAAATCCTCATGGCCACGCTGGGATACAAAAAAAGCAGATTTGTCCTGCACTTAAAACTTACTGTCCTAACAGGAGGGAGAATAAAATGCACACCATGAGGTCATAAAACTGAGAATCCTAATGAAAAGCTTAGATGTGCTCCACTGCCTGGATTATGACATGATCCAATAAATGCTGAATAAACCCTTCCTTCGTCACTGTTCAACTGTTTCAGTCTTTTTTAAACAGTTTCAGAGGTTTTCAATTAATTCAATGATCACTGCAGCACATGTAGTCTGTGATACTGACAAATTGTATAACTTAAAGGGATATTCTGGCGTAAAATTAAGTTTTGTTCAAACACACCGTAACACTGAGTTAGACACCCCCTCGAGAGATGAATGTTGCTGACTGCTGGCTTCTTTAGTTACTCTTCTCCAGCAACCGCTTGTTTGTGGGGTGAGACCTGACGAGTCGATCACCGAGTTTAGCGGATCATTTCCTTTAAGTAATAATCCTCATATTAATCATTTTGCACTGCAGACGTGGTAGTTCTTCTGCCTTAGCATCTCAGTCTGATTGTATTTCCATGAAGTAATCATCATAAGTGTTCTTCCTTGAGCTGTGAAACTCCACTGCACTCTGTGATCGACTCTACAGGGCTCCCCCACAAACAAGTGGCTGCTGGAGGAGAGTGGGTGAGCAAATCTTGATCTCTTTGCTAAAGAAACAAGGCAAAGTTAAAAAGATGTTTGGTGGCTGGGACCCTACATGTACTGTTGATGAAGTTAGGTGCTGTTCTGAGCATTATTTGTGGCTATAGAGTGGCGTTTTGGTTGAGGTTTGTGTATGGAGACGTAGACCTGAGTATTGCTATTGTGCGGTCATTGCTGAAGTTGGTATAACTAGAGAAGCGAGCGGTCTGCAACATTCATCTCTCCAGGGGGTGTCTAACTCAGTGTTACAGTGTGTTTGACCATAACTTAAATTTACACCCAATATCCCTTTAAATGGGAAAAGGGTGTTTCTCATGTTTGCAGAGAAGAGACGTTTGAATTCTTCCCACCTCGTTTTCACAGTCGTTCTGCCCGTTCTCGGAGTTCCATATTCTGATGACAATGTCAGTGGTGCGGAAGTGAAAATCGGGGTGATCAGCGATGTCGTACACGCTGACGTCCTCCTCCAAACCAATAACCTGAAATAAAGTACAGAAAAGATGCATGGTCCATTTTTTTTCAAAGAGGAAAACTTCAGATCTTTCTTTCTTTACGAACACAGTTGTCTGGTTCTCTGTCTAACCTCCACGTCATCACTGCTGGTGTTGAGTTTGATCCACTTGACAACACACGTCCTGCCTTTGTGATCACCAGACTGGATCACACCGTACACTCCAGGGTCCTGGAGAGCTTGGGCTGCGAGAGAATCAAACCACACAGACACAGAGTACTCAACTAACTGAGAACAACAAAAACCTCAAAGCTTTTAATCACAAAAAGTGAAAACAAAAAATTTACTTAATTTAAGGAATATTTATACCTTAGCTGAACACAACTCTAGTATATTTTCAGTCCATCACACAGACACACAAACTCAGCACAGTTTGAGCAAATGACCTAGATACTGCAGGTACTGGGTGGCAGAGTGGCCTACATTAGACATCTCATTGCAGTCGACACGGACAGAAATGTGACACAACCTGAGTCTTTGCTAGCTCAGAAATCAGCAAGAGAACAAAGTCAAAACAAAGAACTAAATACAAACGATTAAACTTCAAGAATTTTCCTCACGTCGCTTATCAACTACGAAATCCCCAGGACAGAACTCATGGCTGTCCAAGTGCTGGATAGGGATGAGGTCGTTCGATCGGATCCCTTTCTCCACCCGCCCATCTTTCCACATCACATCAGCGGTGGTCTTTGTGGAGACGACTTCCACGGCGACCCTGTACGCAGACACGAACACAGACATGCAGACCGCAGGGGTTTAGACTTGTTGCAACATGGCTGTCTTTGGCAACTACACCGAAAAATACTAAAAAAAATCAGCATCATGGAGTATGTATACAGGAATATAAAAGATACAACCCAAAAAGGGACAGAAATAATGATGGATTTAAGAGAGCAAATGAGTGAAGCAGTATGAACACTTAAAAAGTGCAGCTGTATAAACCGTGCTGTGAACCCACCGGTCTCCAGGCTTGAACTCGCGGGAAAACTTTGTCCTCTTCTTCTTGTGCTTCCTCTTCAGATTACGGATAGACAACGGGATGCTTTTCTTACGGTTGGTCCCCAGACCACCACTCTGAGAGGATGCTGTGGAGCTAGCCGACGATGTCAGGGAACTGCAAAGGGTCCGAAACATCACACACAAAAAAAATAAGATGTCTTCTTTGTAATTGGTATCTAAAAGTCAAAATTTAGTCGATTTGATTTAGTCAATCAATTATTTCAACAAAGAATGCTTTCCTGCAGTTATTGTGTTGAGTCATATTGTACTAAACTCCAGCTCCTGTTACTGCATCCATACAAGGGGTGGGAATCACTAGTGGCCCCACGATATGATATTATCATGATACTTGGGCCACAATACGATATTATTGCGATTATTAACATTTTTTCAACTGTTTAGCTATTTCAGGATTTGTCTTTCCTTTATGTTTGTCTTATTTACGCTGTATTTTATTTTCATGTAGCGCATATTGCAAACCTTATATTTCCATTATTATAGATTTGACTTCATATTAACAATTCATTTGAAAATGAGATGATATGATATTGTGTATTGCGATACTATGCTGTATTGATTTTTCCTCCCACCCCTAATCCATACCCAAGATATTTGCAAACAAACAAACAGATGACTCAGTATCTACAGACCTGGTATCGTCAGTGTCTTCTGCAGCTTCATCGTCAGCGTCCTGCTCTCCGTGCTCTGCCAAGTTGTCGTGAGTGTTTTGGGGGTCGAGAGTGTTCTGAACGGCAACCACAGGCCCGTTGTTTTTGGGATGAGATGAGTCTGTCTGCTCAAGTTTGTGCTCGCCTGTTTGAAGGTGAAGAAAAACAAAGAAGAAATGTAAGGCAATGAAAAAATAAACTATCAGGAGATAAGACGGTACATACAGAAAAATGTGAACAAAACACATAAAAAGAAAAAAAACATCCAATATTTCCGTTTCTCTGAGATTAATCAATTTATCTGTACTCTCTAGTAAAGTAAAAGGACTGTCTGATGTCTCAAAGCAGCTTTCAGTAAGGAGACATATAGTTGTCAGCTACTTCAGAAAGAATGTAAACAAGAAAAATAAAACTCTTTTTCTGGTAAAACCAAAGTATCAAGCACTGTGTAGTGAACTTTACTATGTTTGTAGTTTTATATATTTAACATCGGTCGCTCGACTGCAGACATCTATCTTTCTGCTCAAAGTAAACGCCCTGCAAGACGCGTGTTATTGTGTCTGTGACTGCAGATTAAGATGGAGCTGCAGCGTTCAGTCAGCAGTAGAAGAGAGACAAGCAAGATAAAGCTGCAAACTCTATGAGAAGATAGGACGGCACAACCATCCCTGCCCACTGATGCCAAAACTAGAAAATATGATTATGTTCTCAATCCATTTCCCTCAAAGATCCTCAACTTTCACAACCTGACTGATGAATGTGTGGTTGGAATCAATGGAACAGCAATAAAACTGAAGATGTGTGGAGACAAGGTCAGGTTGTCGAGTGTCTGACTCTACGAAATATTTGATTCATGTTGGAGGGTGAATGTTTGATGTTGAAGAATTTCACTAACCCAAAAATAGACACGCCAAATAAGAGTCTTGCTGAGTTCAACATCAACAACGTTAGAGAGTACAAATGTCTGTGTGTGTGTGTCTGTGTGCGTGTGTTTTCTGTTAGGCACCTTGTGTGTCGGCGTTTTCTGTCTTCTTCCCCGAATCCTTCTTGAACATCCTTTTTAACTGAAAGAGACACACACACAAGACAGATGATCCAAACCGCCTCCCAGTCTCTTTTAAACCAAACAAATTCAAACTTTCTCCAACTGTTCATCAACTTTTAGGTGTTGATGTTTCCCTGAGGTAGTGACAGGCTGCAGCAGCCTACGCTTTCCCAACAGAGAAGAAGTTCCTTTGTGATAATAAAACAGCACAAATAAACCTTTGACTTACACGGAGGATCTATTGTACACACCTTTCTTACCACAGGGTCTTCAGGCAGGATTGGGGCACCCTCGGGTCCCTCACAGGTGATGCGTGTGGTGTCCCCCTTTGCAGGGAATATATAGAGGGCCCTCTCGCCCAGCTGCCTCTGGGTGTGGTCATAGTATCCTAGACGCCTCACCCTGAGCACATCCAGAATAGGAACATCATCACTCAAAGCCACACGATGCAGATATCCTCACCAAGATACAAACATGAAATGACTACTCCACATCTAAATTATCAAAAGGACTGTGGGATAACACAACACGGTTTACAGGGAAAACAACAGTTTATGTGAGCACGTATCTCTGCTGACCTGCAGAGATTTTCCTGCGTGATGGTCGATGGGGGAGGGTAGACGCTGTCAGAACCTTTGGGAGAGTAGCTCTTTGTGATCCACGTCACCTTCAGCTCTACGACTTTCACCTAAGAGACACAAAAACACCACGGAAACCTTTTAACAATGCTCGAAACTCATTATAAGTGAGTGTGTGACTCAGAAACGAACATCAAAAACCATCAAAAGCTTTTAATAATGCTCAAACCATAAACATGACTGTCTGTAACAAGAATTATTTATATAATACAAACTCTACATCAAAATGGACGTAAATAAACTGAATTATTAAATGATTAATTGTAAAAGTGTAAAAACTGAGAGTGTGTTTGAGATTTCACCTCTTCGACCACCACCCTGAACTTGCACTTTCTGCTGAGGACAGGTTTGACCCCTGACAGCCACTGTACATTAGAGAAGACCTTTGCAGGACCAATAAGGACCTGACCCGGGTAGAAACCGTACGCTTCATCGAAGAACAGACCCTGAAAAAAAACACAGCAACAGACATTCAGTATGACCAGTGAGATTGATGTTTTGACAAAAATGAGGACAGTTTAGAGCAGATCTGTGGGTCTGATCAGTTTACTCTTTTGTTTTTTATCTTAATTTTTTATTTATCCCTGAATCCCATATTTAAAATACAGGGCAAACTGACAAGTCTGAAATGCAAAGTGAAAATAAACAAGTGTAGTGTTTGGGTTTTAGTTTAGGACCTTTTCTGAAAAGGTAGAAAAAGTGACAGTACTTCCTTTTGCTATTATTTAAAACTCAAATCAAACACCCAAATAAATGATTTATAAGACAAAAAAGTATTATGTAGATAACATCTGAAGCTGAGAACTGCAAAAACATAAAAACAAAAAAATAAAATGAAACATAAAATTAAAAATCACTGATCCTTGATGGTAAAAACAACAAAAAACGGGATATTTGCAGACAACAAGCGAGGTGTAACAGTCTGGAGATCAGCCTTTGCTCACAGCTCTGACCCCTGACTAACAGCTGTCCTGTTCAGCCCGGGTGAACCTGAGGTGACAGAGAAGAGCTGGTGGCTACGTACTGAATCACTGACATGAGGGCACACGTCGTACAGCTTGGCACCGTCCTCCACACTCATGGAGCACCTGCAGAGATGCAGAGAGAGAGAGGGAGAGAGGGAAAGCAACAGCTGACATGAACTGGATTTGGCATGGATTACTGTGTGCTGGTGTGTGCGTACACCATCAGACTCAGACCTGAGTAAGGTCTGTGTAATCACGTACACACAGAGACAAACAGACACACACGCACACACAAAGTTTACCTGGCACCATTGGAGAGCTTGAGGATGATGTGATTAGTCAGGTCGTACACTTTCCCCAGCCAGAAGTCATAGGCGATGTAGTCTCCGTACATGAAAGACTGAAAGGAAAAACAACAGGAGAGAAAACTTTCACTCACTCACTTCCTACTTTCATTAAAGCATTAGCTTAGACAAGGTGATGATGATGAAGGTGCACAGGAGTCACCTGCAGGTAAAAAGCTGCTTCATTTGCAGTATTTTTAAAGAGTTTATGTAGGACTGGGCGATAAACCGAAAATTTACGTTTACCGAAATTTACGATAACAACCGACATCATTTTGCTTATGCTCATGCTTGTTTACACTGGTGGTGTGGGAACTAGGCAGCACTCTTGCAAGAAGGGGGAGCCTAAAGTAGCCAGGAGGTGTGAGACATGATAGAGACGAAAATCGATTTGACGATTTTTTTTTTAACATTGTCATAATCAAATAATCTGATTATGATTTAAAATCGATTAATCGTGCAGCCCTACTTACCCAGATGTGCTGCAGGTCTTTGCTATTGACTGGATACAGGACACAGTTTGTTCCCACGAGTTTCACCGCACACTCAATGTCGATGTTGGTAACGATACCACACTGGTTGTCCTGAAACACAGTAAATACACAACAGTCACTCACACCCTCATTTATCGTCACCACTACCATGTGCAGGAAATACAAGAGAGCAGTGAAGAGCGACACAGCTGACAAAGAGAGTTGTGGTTAAAACAAAAGGTAAACATCAGATAGAAGAAGAAGAAACAAAGTCAAAAAGGAGGATGGGTGAAAATTAAGGACTCACTTACATTGGAATTGTTTCGTCGAACGATATCTCTGATGACGATGGACCGATCTTCAAGTGTCAGCTGAGGAAGAAAACACAAAAAGGTCACAACCCCATATCTAAGAAATCCGACACTAGCTGAATCTGCTGCTGAGAGAGATATGATCATTATTTTCTCTTGACCTCTCACATCAGTGACCCTGAAGAACTTGAGCATTTAAATTGGCACATAAATCTAAGTCACATTTAGAGCATGACAGCATTACTGATATGATTTGTCACAGCCTTGTCATGTCCCTGCTCACAGCCATGAAGAATGCAGCATGCACACTCAGCAGAGCTCCAAAGCCCCCTGAGAGCAGATCAGATTATTTTGCCATCAAAACGGCAGAATTCAACATTAGGATGATCGCTGCAGGAAACGGCAAAAACATATTTTCATTACGGATTAATTATCAACACACTGGGACCGAATCGGTGATTTGTAGCTCCAGAACTGACAGCTGATGGACAGAAGAGGACACAACAGCGCTGATGAAGAATTACAAGCCTGAAGAGATGGAGGGCAGAGTACAGGAGGCGCTGAGCTAAACTTGGCACACGCTGAGCTCCCAGAAGGAAACCTTGTTCCTGAGAGCTAAATTCTGCTGCGTCACAACATCCATTATCGAGCAATCAGACCAAAATACAGCATTTAAACCAGAATGATTGCTTGCAGTTTGAATCTAGGAGCGGTTCCTACAATATCACAGCTGAATTTCAGCAAATGATTCAAATGATTCTTATTTGTATATTGAAAATATAAGGAAGATATCATCCCCTCTATAGGACATAGTGACAGAGGAGGCCTTTGACCATTAGGACAAAGATGCCATGACCTCATTATATCCTAAAAACATTTGACAACATTAAATCTAATATTATTCTATCATTTGGGGTGTCTTGGTAGGGCTGGGCGATAAACCAAAATTTTACAGATAGCAAAATTCACGACAATAACTGTCGTCATTTTGCCCATATCAGTTTATTCGGAGTCAAAACATAAATGAATAACAGTTGGTTTTGGATGTTTGTAGGTGGGCTAAGGTCTCATGTCCCTCTACCCCATCGACGGTTCAAAAGTCTGTAACAAAGAGGGAAAGACAGGTGAGGAGAAGGAGGACGGTTCAAAAGTTGTAGCGGCTGAAGTAGACAAAGTTAATGTGGGAGGGGGTGAGCAGCTTGTGGAGTAGTTATCGTCTATTTATCGTTATCAAGGTGAACTGCTCAATATATCGTGATATTGATTTCTAGGCCATATCGCCCAGCCCTACTCTAGGGTTAAGTTGCCAGTCTACCAGTGTTACAACCCTGGCTAAGAGGAGGCAACACTTCAGAGTCGAAAGGTATACATATAAAAAAATGAATTTATTTTCAATGAATACGAGATTAAGATTTAAACAAAGAAAAAGAGTTGTTGCTCAAGTGATATGCTGATCCTGGCTGCAGGTTGAGAGACAGAGAAGGGGAAGCTTGGCTCTCCCTTTTGTAGAAGTCCCTTAGGTGCCAGAGATCAGAGGTTGACAATGTATGGAGGGCCAGCCATGCCACAATTCAAACCCAACGCTTATGGAGGGTCTATCTGTCTATAATGTCTATCAAAATATCTCTAAATCAGGGTACGCAGTGTTATTATGTGTTATCTTAAAATACAAATCAGCTTTACTTGACCTTTTTTGAAATAAAAACAGTGCGATGGAGCAGAATTTCACACCACAGTGTCACTTCTTAATTCCTCATTCAGGCACGAAACAGAGTCATCAGTCTCCCACTCACTGATCCCATTAAACAAAATGTAATGAGATTTAACGCTGACATTATTGAACCCTAAATTTCTACTTAAAAACAGCTTAAAACTCAATGGTGAACCCTGCAGTGCGACGCCATGATTTAAAAATAATTTATGTGTACAGATTAAAGACAGTTCCTCTGATTTAATGGGCGATAATACTTCCATGGCAGTGGATTCTCATCAGCCCACTAGGGGTTCAATAATCATTAAACTGAACATTTCGATTCGCTGTCAAGTCACGGTCAAACACTTGTCTGTTCATTTGTTAAAATTCATATCAGGCAAAGACAAAGTGAACGGGACTTCTGCGGGTACATCTATGTTGACTTTTGTCCTCATTTAGCTCTCCTCATTCTTACAGCTTTGCACTTGACTTACTTTTTAAATCAATTATAGCAAAAGTCACCACTTTAGCATTGTCACTATAATCATCACAGCCTAGGGTTTGAGTTACTCTGTGGCAGGTGGCAACTTACAGAAGCACTAACCAGCTCTGCCGTCTTTGCCTGGATGTTAGAAACAGGATCCCTGCTGCATGACGTTTGGCCTACGGATTTATTGTGCTAATTAAAACTGTTTAACAACTTTATGCTAATTCAAATGACATTTTTTCCATCATTTCCCAGTTAAAAATGCCAACAGGAACTCAGGCTCCAGTGTCAACAAAGCAGAGGTGATATTTGCCAAAGCTTTTTCCTGCGGTTTCATTTAATAAGAAAAACGCCCGTCCCTGATGTTCCCATGTTATTCAGAATTAATAGCTGGCCTTTGCTGTAGGGTTTTGTGGAATCAAAATCAAGTATTTCATACAGTGCACAAGGTGATTAGTAAGACAGAAAATTCAATTCAACTTTTTCACCTAAAAATGAACACACAGAAAAAAGAGGACTTGAGCACAAACCAGCCTGACAGTAACTGCATGTCAACATCGCAACCAGGGTGGAGAAAAATTTATATCCTGTGTAATAAATTTCTAAAGTTTGTCCACAGCTCCATAGGGATTGCTGGAGGAGGTGAATTTATGACCTATATTGCAGCCCGTCACCAGAGGGTGCTGTTCTCGAGGTGGCTTCACCCAGCGAGGAGGCAGACGGCGTCCATTCTACATACAGTCTATGGACAACACAGATGAAACTTTGTGAAAAAAAACTAACTTTAAACTAACTCTAGCTAGAATAAGAAAAGAGGTGATGTTAGCATTAAACCACTTCCCCACTGTTTCTGTTATTACCTAAAACAGTTCAACATCTTTCCTTTCTCGATGTACAACACGTATATTAACCGCATTAAGCTCCTCCCTAGCTAATGGTAAAATAAGCTAGAAAGTGTCTGAATGCTTAGCTGACACTTTAAAGTAACTCTAACTTACGCTAATGAGTTGTAAAAATATGATTTTTAAAATTGAAATACAGCCTTTAGTCTCTACAGCAATTCAATATCAATTGATTTCAGTCATTAATCAATTTGGTATCAAACTATCACTTGCCAACCAATTTTAATCCTTCAATGGCAACAACAAAACTTTCTGGTTTTCCAAAGCTGCTTTCGTTGTCCGCAGAGACCTCTTTTATTGGCACCAGGAACATAATATACGAATTGCTTTAGCTAATTGTACAAAAATATCTCTACCCAAACAAAAACTGACACAGAAAGGGACAGTTTCACCAAATAAGTTACTTTTTCCAGCAAATTTGTTGAGTGTTTATGAGGTATCCGTGAAAAACATGTGATAAAAACTTCGACAAAGAGTTAAATGAGGGTTTGCATGTCCTCCACATTCAGGTTCCCTCTGGGTATTACTCCTTTCTACCACAGCCCAAAGACATACTTGTCCGGTTACTGTTGTCCCTAAAATGTGTTTGTGGATGGGACTGGTTGTGTCTCTATATGTCCCTGGAGGAGAAACGTCCAGGCTTTAACATTCCTCTCGCCAAATGACAGCAGGGACTGCCTCCAGCCCCTCCTTGACCCCTGAATAAGTGGTATGGATAATGGATAGATGGAATAACTTAAATAAAAAGATACCTGCAGGAGGCTGCAATCCACAGCGCAATCTGCTCTGCTGGCAGCGAGAACACAGAAAAGTGGAAGTGAAGCACCAGCCAGAGCCCCTGAGTTTGGGCAGAGACAGATGGAGGTAGAGGAGGGGAATGTAATTAGAAGTAAAGAGAGCGAAGAAATTAAAACCATGGAGGCCTGCTGCATGTTAAGTAATGACTGTGGGAGGCAGGCTTTCACAGAGATTTGACTAAACTGAGGAAAACAGGGGCAGGACAAACTGTTTACAGGCCAAACAATGGCTGATGATGAAAGGCTGGAGCAGAAATCACAAACCAAAGTGAAGAAGAGGATTACAATTTTAATCAGTTAATGAGAAAATATTGTAAATGTGCTGCCATGTTTACAAAGCAGCCATCTTCAGTGCAACGCAAAGTTAGACTGACTGATTTTAGAAACAACACCACTTAGGTTGAAAAAATGCCAACTCATTCATGTCCATTTTAAAACACTAACAAACACACACACACACACAGAGTCTGATCCTCTTGGCTTTTACTCTGTCTTTGTAACATTACACCACTGAGAGGAAGAGCCACCGGGTAAGGGTGTGTATGCATGTGTGTGTAGAGGGAGTTAAGATCGATGGGTCGCCATGTTCCCTTCTAATCTATAAAACAGGAGCAGCATGTCTGGTCTTCAAGTCTCTGCTGCTGGGGGGGGTAGAAGTAAATTCACAATCACTCTCACACTTCCATCTCTTCCACATTTGGACTTTTAAACTCAGAGAAGTTGAAGAGTTCAAAACATTTTTTTTTCTCCTTTTTTCCACCGACACACGAACACGGCTCGTCTTCATTAATATTCTTTCAGTGCATTGTGCTGCTGTAGTAACTGATTTCCTCCTCAGTTCAAAAACAGTGTGTTTAAATCAATACCATTTAGTGCTCTGAAATAGAGAGCAGTTACAGCAATACAACACCTCAGGTCTTGCTCTGACCCACACGACCAAACCACTTCAGTATCTTTGCTATTATCGCCGATGATGACCGTAAAGTGAATCAGCTTTTAAACCAGCTGTTATGTCTTTGAATCCCAATACTTTTTAAACTAATATACTGTTTCTAAATCATGCTTTTGGTTATCATATCCTGAATGTTGACAAAAAGATACAAAAATGATAGAGGAGGAAAAAAACAAAAATAAGTTGCAAAAATACAAAATGTTCAACCGTCTATCGTGACGTGTTTCATATTGTGATCTGTTGGGTTACAACCGAGCAGCTGACTGTTGCTATGGCTTGTGTATTGATGCTAAAAAGAGAGGAGAGGAGGTGGTGGTGGTGGTGGACACGAAGTCAGACAAGACACAGGCAGAGTGTGCATGAATGGATATGCGTGCGTTGATGTCCGTATTTTGCTCCTAGATAGAGGACAACCTTGGATGCCTCTCTATACAAGCTGATAAGGTAGAAGGGGCCAGATGGATTACAGCGATCGATGGAGGACAGTATTTGCTTTGACTTCCCGGCCTAATTAACACAAGTCACAAATCAGGTGCAGCACGAGCAGGAGGAGGAAGAGGGGGAGAAAGAGACACTGCAGAGGACTGCAGCTCGGTGCCACGCCTGTTCTCCTCTCTGAGAGACAGCAGAGATGATACAGAAAGATGAGAAAGTGTAACAGACATCTGATCTGCAAGAGGTAGTCAAACAAACACGTTGTTTTAGTACAAATAGGTAAATACTTTTCCAAATTTGTATATAAATACCAGTCTGTAATAGTAAATGTGCAGTCATTATACAGTATACATCCTACACCACTGCTCTCTGCCTCAGGCTATCATGGCTTTGCTTCTACATCATCGCAGTTTCGGCAAATTGAAAATAATTGGAGTTTGTCCAAGATGAGGTGAGCAGACTGTTAAAAAGAGAGGCCTTCTGGATCTACGCCGTTCACTCTGTTAGTTCAACATGACCCTTAACAGAAGTACACCATCCTTACATGGACACTGATAGTTTGTCATAGAAATATTAAAGCAAGAGCCAACAGCTGGTCAGCTTAATCTAACATTAACTCTAAAAAGCTCTCAAATTCACATGAAATCAGATTAAACTCACAAAAGTAAAGAGATGGACAAAAGATAACAGTGTGAGGAGGTTTATAGGGAAGACTTTTTCCACACACACCAGCTGGCAACCACTGGACTGTCCAGTTTAACTAGTCTATGAGCTGACATTTCAAATGTTTACTATGCAATGATCACTGCATTTATACTCCTGACAACTTTCTGAAATTTCATAGGGCTGTCCCGATCCGATATTGATATCACTTATCAGCAAAATATGAATATCAGATTATATCAGCCTGCATCTAAAATCTCTGATATCAGCACTCCGATACAAACAGTCCATTCCAGACTCCGCTCCAGCATCTCTATCCAGCACCCGCATCCAGTGTGTACTAAGGTACTAACAAAGTACCGAGGAGTAGAAGTGATGTCGGCTGTGTGGAAGTATTTTTCATTTAAGTCCAAAAAAGACATTGCAGCTGAGTGCAAAACTTGTCATACACAATTTTGTACCAATATCAGATCTATATCACTATCAGCCAATACTGAAAGCTACAATATCAGTATCGTATCGGAAGTAAAAAAGTTTCATCAGGACACATCTAAAATTTTGCATATTTTTGTGTCCAGCATTTTTTTTAAATAGTACATTTTCTTGCTAGTTGGGTAAGGCAATGTGTGAGCGCTGAAATTACCAGTGATCGTGTATGATGACTGATGCAGCCTAGAGATATTGTAGGACTTTAAAACACCCTGTTAATTCACAGAATCCGCTCAATCATGGAATCCCAGCTACACTGGTTTCATAAACATGTGACAAAAATTGATCTTCAAAGGAGAAGTGACACTTTTGTCCCACCAAGTATAAAGAACACAGAATTAAAGGTCAGTGTCAGCTTAGAAAATTAACAGCAACACTGAGCTAGGGCTGGGCAATAAACAGAAAATTTACAAATAGTTTACTTCAAGTGTTTCTGCAGCCAAATTCTGTTTCTGTAGACTTGTTGGAGAGTTATAAGGGTTAAAATATCTATAGGTTAATGGAAATGTCTCTCACCTTTACCTAAGAGTTAGGTTATTTTTGTAATCTTAAAGGTTTACACATTTCGACCTCTCTCACTTCAATGAATTGTTTTAAACATGGTGGAGAACCGATCTCCTGCTGGCTTGCCATTGGTCAAGAGACATGCTTTTGTAACAGCTTTCCAGTCACCTAACACAATGCTGCACTTCCTAAACTAAATGGAGCGAGAGGTTGCCACACAAGTCAATGATTCAGCTACTAGACAGATCTGTGTTTTATAACAGATAATTAAAATATGCTTGGATAAATTATTCTCTACCAAAGAGAAATAAACGGGAGGATGCACAAAGGAAACAAAATCAATGACAGCATCATGTATCCTTGGTTGACATGAGTGTAAACAAGTGCAGATGTGTCAATCCTCACACCTCTCTGCTGCAGGACAGCGCTCTCTTACTGGAGTTTATTGATTGGGACACACAAGAAGGGTGCAAAGCTCAATGAACAAGACAATTGGCACAGGTCCTTTTGTTTACAGAGCCAATGAAAGAATGAACGAAGGACTGACAGCACTCGGGATCTATGATAAAGCAAAATCCTCCCTGACTCAGATGAAGCAGGATGAAGAGAGTAAGAGATTTAAGTCATTGAGAACTGCAAAACACAAAAGTGTACATCAAAAGAAAGGAAAATATGAATCGAGAGAAAAAAGGAGCTAGACAAAAGGTTAGAAAGAGGCGAGAGATGAGAATCCGGTACAAATCACTGACTGAGACGAAGCTTTAGACAGAGGAAACGCATGATGGTGAAAAAAAATGGTGAGAAGGGGTGTTGGCATGAAAGGGAGTGTGGTAGGAAGAAAATTAAAAGAAGGAGACACAGATGAGAAATTACACAGACACAACAAGGAGAAGACTGTGATGGATTTAAGAAGAAAGGAGGTGAACAGGAAAAGGAGAGGAGAGAAACAAAAAACACACAAGTTACCATGATAGAAAATAAAGAGAGATGGAGGAATGTACGAGGGAGAGAGGGAGAGAGACAGAGAGGAGAGGGACTAGGCAGGGCCAACACTGCGGAGGAAAAAGGGAGGATGTGAAGATGAGAGGGTCAGACAGGGGGAGAGGAGGAAAGAGGGCCGCTGGGATGGATGCAGGCTCCAGCCGCAAGACGAGTCACTTCAGAGTCAAGCCCTCTGTGTGTGTGTGTGTGTGTGTGTGTGTGTGTGTGCATGTGTGAGTGCGTGAGTAAGGTCTATGCAGAGATGAAATAAGATCCATTATGTCAGGGAAGGAGCTGGACACTCATCCAGTAAGCTTCTCATCATTACGTCAACATTCTCCAACATCGCTCTGCTGGGATGCCTGGGAGAGTGGGGGGGGGTTAATAGGTGAGGGGGGGGCTAACATGTGGGAGGACAAGAAGAAGGTGCTCATAGGTTGGGTTCAGGGGGAAAGAGAGGGAGGGAGGAAGTGCAAGACAGAAAAAGAATGATCAGGGAAGATGGGAAATCTGAAGGGCGTGGCCTCAGATGGGGGTTCTTCGGGGCTGGGATGGGCGGTCATGCTTTGTCACTGTCTCATTAAATTTACTGTATACAGGCTGCTGACATCACCCTCTAAGTGGTAATTAGAAGCTGTACAAGTGGGGATTTATTGGCAGGCTCGGATTTGTAAGACATGCTGCCACAGATGTTCAACACAGCAGAAACTACAATGTCATCAGGCTAAAAATAACCACTGACTGAAACTCCTCAGTAAAATAATACAGGTAGGGCTGGGCGATACAGGAAAAAGTCATAAGGATATAACACGGTGCGAACCTGAAGCAACTCCCCTTTTCACTAGCTATTTGTATAGTCAACCAAAACATGGCAGAATGCCGGCTATCGAAAGACATATTGACCATGTTTCAGATCGATACTGAGGGAAATTATTTTTTGATATATATCATTAACGTTTTATCGCCCAGCCCTAAATACAGGAGTTAACATCTTCTCCTGAAAGACTTATAGCCCCTGTGAGGAGACTGAGGAGAGAAACTAGCTAACATTAAAAGACACGCCTCTTTATGGGTTTGGACAAACTATGACACTTGATTGCCATTCTTATTGGCTTTAAACGCTTATTCTAGTGATGGGAATTACAGCTCTTTTTAGTGAGCCAGATCCTTTAGCATTGTTTGGCTTATGATATGTACATAAGTGTACACATACCTCTTAAATAATTCAATACATCCTTTGAACTTAAGTATTCACAAATAAAAAATTACGTTTTCTAATATCTGTAAATTGCCGTAGCCATCTTGAGTGCATTCGTCTAATGAGCATAAGCACATGGCACACCCCCGAGCACCCGTCATCCCGTCATTCTGCCTTGTAGTTTTTTTCTACGGTCTGTGGGGGGCAAAAGAGAGAAGAAAAGAAATCGGCTCACAGACGGGAGCCGGCTCCCATCGTTCAGCTCATTCGTGACACATCACTATCTCACGAACAAAAAATAAATAAAAAAATAAAAAAGACTAAGCAACAATGTGATATCAACATTATGTATCAGCCGACAGCTGATCTGCTCCCTCATTGTCAGTACCAGCATCAGCCATCAAAAAACGAATCATTCAACAACTACAAAACAATTCAGTTCTATCACTAAAAACTATCAGATGTCTATCACTATCAGCCCACAACATCAGTCTAGTGAACCCCTTTACAGCCTGCATGATCAAAAATACATGCACACACTTTGGCAACAGAAGCGTCAGATTGCTTAGTGTAACCAGATGAGTTAGTAAGCTTTAAACACAGAGCTAAGTGTGGCTGCAGCATCAAAATGTCTGGTTGTTGTATGACTGCTGACTAAAAATTATCATCTAAAGCTATTAAGCTATTAAGCTAAAGTCTAGAGTCTGACAAATGCATGATATCCTCGCTGTAAGGAGGAAATCTGAATTCATTTTGTGTAACGCATGAGAGGTACTGCGTCCCATCAAGACTCTGAATCATATCCGAGCTTGATTTACAGAGATGGTGACAGTACCCACACAGCACCTGAGCTGCTTCTTTGTTTTTAGAGGAAGAAGACAAAATGGAAGCACCTGAAGATGAAACCTGTCTTGGGGAGCCTTGGTGGCTGCTTGTTTGTGTGTTTCTGCACCTGAAAGGCACCTGCTGTAAACGATAACTCAGGCTCTGCTGTACCCAAGCAGCCTCATGTCACAGATTACACCAACGTCTGCCAGCCTAACTCGAGTACTTGCAGATGATTCCTGAGCATTCAACGCAAAAGGGATGGTTTCCAATATTTTAGAGTGACTTTAGAGTGATTTTTACAGCTGAGAGGGGCTGAACAAAATCTCAAATCTTTTCCCCAAAGCATCCAGCCATCGCACCTGCCTTCACATCATTTGAAATGTGCAATGTGGAGTGTTAACAGACGGTTATGATTATTAGAAACAGAGAAGCCCTCAGAATGAGTCTGACAAGCCAAGGTGCCAATTAAATTAACCTGTGTAGACTAAATAACGACCGAAAGCTAATGTGATCACTGCAAGCTACTGAAGGTTGATTAAACCAGACCAGAGCTGTGTTGGATTATCTTTGAGTTTCTGAAGGTGAGGAGATGGAGAGCTACAGGACGCTAACTGTGCATGTGTCTGCATTTATATCTTTTACAGAAAGATGCTTTTTCTCTTTTGTTGTGACTTCCTCGATGTTATTATGATCTCTCAAAGTACATTTTTCATGATGTGAATCCAGTGACAAAAAACAGTCTGTATTTCCTTTCAACAGAGGCTGAATCATGTCTCCGAGACTCAATAAAGCAGCTATTTAAAAACAATATCAGCCTTGGATCTTAAGAGCATCTCAAGGGTAACAGAGTCTCTTTCCAAGTGCAGCTGAAATGCTTATAAAAGTCCAAAAGCCTGGATGATTGATAAACAATCTCTGTGATCATGAACAGACGAAGGACAAACTTTTAGGACAAAAACACACAAAAAAAACATCCTTTAAGGAAAGAGATGTTTCTGTTCTGTAGGCCACCGGGGCTGTGGTTGGACTTCCGTGGTGGGGGGCAGGGCCAGGCTGACAGATGGGAGTCACCCTGCGGTCAGAGCATCAAACACCTGCAGTGTTTTCTGTCCCAACCCCTGGACTCATTCAAACTGCCAAAGAGATCGATGGGTGCTCCGTGACATCATGCCTTTCTATATTTAAAAGACAAAGGGTGGCCGTCACTAAACAACACCTATTGTCCCTTTGTCACTACAGCTGTTAAGAAAAACACCAGGGCTATTTCATGTCTTTTCTGGGTTTGGCTGTATACTTTTACGAAGCGTTACAAAGCTGTGTCTGGGTACAAAGAAAGGGTGTTAAAAAATGTAGATACACTAAGATGTTGGAATAAAATATTGAATCGATGTTTTGCAGCACCATATCAATATTCTAGGCTTCATATGGACCAGAAATGGTGGCGCACGACTCAAACTGTTCACAGCCTTGGTACCAAGTGTTGTCTTTTTGTTTCAGTTTAAGTAAGATGTTTGGCCTTTTAGATCAAGATTTATCAGAGTAATTAATCAGCTGCAAGCCAGACATTCATCAACTTCCAAGGAAGAGTTTTTTCCCTTCACTGCTAATACTGTAACACCATAACTCAAATAACACTGACAGAAAACACTAAGGAGTGAATTCCAAACAGACCAGACAGAGAGACACTTCTTCAAAACTGCTTTATCCAGTTTTTCACCCAAGGATGCAAAGTGTTGTTGGCATAGAGGTGTTGGTATCAGTGGATAATAGCTTCATAGCTTGATTATCAGTATCAGCATTAAATATATGTATGCAATGACGGCTTCCGTCCACCAATGTGTTTAGAAATGTTTGCATTTTGGGTATCAGCAAAAATCAAAAGAGCGTGCCTAGTTTTAGCCACTGACCACAGAAAAAGATGCATGAAAAGACAGTTTCCCAAAAGTGACGACAATACATTTAAAGCCTGACTGCCAGCTGATTCCGATCATGCAGCCCATTTCCTCTATGCTGTCAGGTTGGACAAAGGTCAACTCAATATGCTCTCCATCATTGTAACTTCCTAACTTCTAATTTAGGTGCAAGTATATTTAGGTGGCATCCAGGTAGGGCTGGGCGATATGGCCTCAAATCAATATCCTGAGCAGTTCACCTTGATAACAATAAATGGACGATAACTACTCCACAAGCTTCTCACCCCATTAACTTCATCTGCTCAGCCGCTGCTCCAGTCGCTACAACTTTTGAACCGTCCTCCATCTCCTCATCTGTCTTTTCCCTCTTTGTTACCGACTGGATGGGGTGGAGTCACGTTTCTGACGTAGGACAGCTTCTTAAAAGGGACATGAAACCATAGCCTACCTACACACATCCAAAACAAACTTTCATTTATATATATCTTTTGACACCGAATATATTGACATGGGCAAAATGACGTTGGTTATTGTTGGTCATTTCGGTATCGGTAAATTTTCAGTTTATTGCCCAGCCCTATCAACACGTATGATAGTCTGAAATAGTGTACGAGTCAGACCAATGCATGGGTGTACAGAATGAAGCAGGTAAACTCAATCAGCTCAGACTCAAATGTACAAAAGGCCAGCCTTTACCTTGTTTTTTGGTACTTCACGGAGATAAAATCTAACTTCTTCCTTATTTGAAAAACATTTGACTTCAGTGGATTATGTGACTGCAGGTAAAATCTTGAAGGTCTTGATGAACAGCTAGTCCTGATTTGTCAAATTTAGATTCTTCATTATTATTGCACTGTGTATAATGAACTAGCAAAACAAAAAGAAAGAAATGCAGATAAACACCTGAAAAATGCAGGTTGATTATTCCTATAATTAGCACTGAAACAGAATTTTAGGAAGCAACCCTATATTGTCCTCCATACGCACTAACAAAGCACTTCACTCTCTTTAAAATGGGCTGCATAGAAACTCCCTCTCATTACAAACTGCCTTTCCTGCCTGTCACAACCCAACTAGCTGAGCAGGTGGTGCCTATAAAACAAAAAAGAGATTATGGGCGAGTTATAAAGGCAGAAGATAAAAACAGTAAATCCCCCAGGAGTCTCTCTGTTAACTTCTCAAAGCATTACCTTCAGTTGGTTTTATTATTGGATATCATTCCTCATTGAAAGTAAAAAGACTCGAGCTGCTAAAAAAAAAAAAATCAGCTGTTCACGACTTCTTGTGTCAGTAACAACTACGTTATATTAGTTTTTAAAAATGATCTATTCAATGTGAAAGCGGGATCATAGACCTGCAGTCAGCCAAGAAGAATCTATTACGACACAAATCACAGAAGCTGAAGGTGGCGGTGATCGGGAAACTGCTGCTTCAGGACCGCATTACAAAGCTGCTGACTTGAGGGCAGCGTCAGAGGCAGAGGTGTGCTGTCGAGCCGCTTTCATGCAACAGCACACCTGAAGAATATGAACAAGGAGCAGAAGGCGAGACATTACAACAACAACACATCACTATAAGAGCTATCAATCAGTCTGCCTGCGTATAATCTCCTCTCCTGTGCAGCTTTGTTTTGTTTCATGAATTTCATTTCACTAAACAGTTTTAAGATCCACGTGCGAGTTTTAATTTGCATTCATCGCTCACTCGCTAAGTTTCTTCCCCTCGCACCTTTTCCATCCACTTTGCAATTCTCCCCCACACTTTCCCTCCTCTCCACCACGACTTCTCCCTCTCTGCGGTACAGTCAGCAAACCTGCTGCACTTTTCCTTGTCATCATTATTACCACACAACCCTCCTGCACCTGCTCCATCCTCCCAGTCACAAAGGTTACTGTTCCCTGAGAGAGGAGCTTATGAGCTGCATCAACCTACAACACTCTAAGCGGTCACACCTATGTATACATAAGTGTCAGAATTATCAAGTGATTGATGACAAAGGAACATCCCAGATCTACTTGGCGCTGCTCTGACCTCGTTGCGTGCCGCTGTTAACTACCCGCTGCAGTGCATTTCTGTCCTTGAATAGAAGTATCAAGGTTGTGCTTCAGCAACAGCGGCAACAGAGCTCTCTAAGGAGGGCCCGGTGCAGCAAGTTAAGCAAAGTGTGAAGTCAAAGTCAAACATCTAGTTGTTGATGTTCTTAGAAAGTAAACAAGAAGGTGTGTTTCTATGAAAAAATGGTAGCCATGTTTACACGTGCAAATTTTTTCATCTGATTAAAAAATTGAGGGATCAGAAAATCTGAATCCACTGTTTATATGGGTGCAAAATCAAGTAATCTGATTATGAAGAGCGTATACATGCACAGAGTTGTCTAATTTTGCTTAAACAACCACAGAAGAAGAAGAGTTGTAATTACGCCTGTGCCATCAACAAATCAGCTAACGCGGTAGTGGCTCACTTCATCGCATTCAGGATTTTTTCCCTCCTTTCTGAGAGCGGTTGTATTGCTCCTGGCATACATGATCATCAAGCGAGCCCAGCAGCACAGAAACGGGCCAATCGCTCTTGGATCCCGCCATGTTTAGGTCGTGTTTCTGACGGTGGATATGCGTCATGTTGACGTAGGGTACACATGCGCAGTCAGGTTAAGAGAGTCACGATAAGAATAGGTGTTTACATGGACGGATTTTGGAAAAACGATCGGCCTAAACTAGCCCTTCCTATTGGAATACAATTTCTTTCTGATTGAGCTAGATTGGATCAAAATCTTCCAATTGAGATGTGATTCATTTTTATTCTGATCGGGTCATTATTCCGATTATTTGTGCAAATGTAAAAGCTGCTAGTGTCACATTGCAGGTGACACTGAGATATCTGCGAATTATCTTTTTTATCTACTCTTACTGTGAGCTTTGTATGAATGACTCTTGAAAGGAATCTGATAAAAACCCCACTTCCATAAGAGTTGGGATTTGGTTAAAAATGTTGATTAAAAATGGAATTTGATGGTTTGCAAATCAATCATGGCTTTTATTTGATGAAAAGTAATTTTTTATTCAGGTTGCCAGCAGCAAGTTTACAAAAAAAAAGCTGGAACAGAGACAGAAAAATTAAAAAATACCAGGAGGAAGATTTCCCCGAATAATTTTATTAATTTGCGGCAGATTAATAACGTGACAGGGAAAGAAAGGGGCACTTTAGAGAGGCGAGGTCTCTCGAAGGTGGAAAGAGGGAAGACGTTCACCACTCAGCGAGAGACTGAAAGAGGAAATAGTTCAGCATTTCCTGAAAATTATTTACAATGGGCATGTATTGTTCATGAATATTTTTTTGTTTAAACATTTGAATTGCCGTCTTTGCATTATTTTTATAAAATCTACAAATTGCAAACAATCAAATTCTGTTCGTATTAAAACTTCATAGTGTCCCTACTCTTATGGAACTGGGGTTGTAATTACTTGAACTTGACAACAAAGCACAAACAAACAATTTCAACTAGTTTTACCAGTTTTACCACTACTTGGAGACTATGCAAAAATTTTTGTATCATTCCAGTCCAGTCTTCGCCTTCAAATGCCTACTGGTAAAGTACAGAACAGCAACACGCCTTGTTTACTCGTTCCGGCATTCTATGTTATTGTTTCAAGGGATTTAGGGCATTAAAGCCAGTTAGCCATATTCCTCACCAACCAGCTTTCAAACCAAACAAGTAAGAAGAGCTGAGACGCCCCTGTTAAAACCTGCACTGAGATGTCGATCATAACCCATCATTTCCTGTTGAGAAAAGATTTCTGCGCTGAAATAACATGATGCATTCACAGAGTTACCAAAAGACTACCTCAGATATCAAGGCTACAGATTAAACTTCCAACTATCGCTGTTAGGAAGCTGAGAGAGTCATTGTGAGTTCGTCTGAGAGTCAAGGCTGGGCCATTTCATCTCAAAAGGGATTTTTAGCTTTTATTCAAGACTGTGAAAGGGTATAGCATTACAGCTTTTTTTTTAATTAAAATGAGTATCTGTACTGCTTTTTGTATTGGTGTATCTCCCTCTTTCCATGTATTGTTTGTATATAGTGTCCAGGTTCTAGTATTTATTCAGAGTCTGCAGGAAACAAAGTTGGCCACAGACCAAAGTCACCAACCTCAGTTCCGAGTCGTGTATCGAGAGCTTAGTGTTCCAGCGCGACTTGAGCCTGAGTCACCAGGGAGGAATCTGAGTCGAGTCCCTCTTGTAAATATTATTGCCTATAAGGAAGAGTGACCAATGAAGTTAAAGCACTGTGTAAATGAGCACTAGGACTCTCTGAATGGTGATGTGCATCATCTTTACCTCCAAACTAAAAAAAGAACCTGCAGCCTAAAACTTTATCTGACTAAATGTTTGAATGTGCAGGTTAGGGTTAGCTTGCCAACAGTAACATTAACAACAGTTCAAGTAGGCTAGCTTCAGCATTTCACTCACTTTTCTGGGTGCATGACCTGAATAGTACTTTATGTTACATTGCACTGCTGAAGTCTGGACAATCAACCTGCACTGATCTTGTGAATGTTGGTAAAATGGCTTCTGTCTGTCTCAGAGATATTTTGAACTTGCTTTTATTGTGCTGGGACATTACTGTGGCAACAGATGAACACAGAACACGTGTTTTAGTCGACATCATCCTTCTCGTAACCAAAATAATTCCTGATAACTCACTTTCCTTTTCTTTTTGGCAACAAGTCTTAATTTCCGATGGTTTTCTCATGTTCGTTGCTCAATTTGCAATTGTTGTTGTTACCGAGAAACGCACGCTCGCTGGGAATTTCATGCACCTCGCAAAACGCGCACTGCTTATAGTAGTGTGGTCCACAGAAACGTACAATTTAAAACCCACAAAATTCTTATTTGTGGGGCTAAACAGTGATGAGTAATGTTCCGACAGTAATTCTCGGCGGGTATGCGTTTCTCAGCTCAACACCGGCAGCGCCAGCAACTCACTCCATGTGCAGGGGCGTGGTTTCCTCCTCTCTGATTTTGATTGACAGATGGCAGGGTAGTCTGATTGGCAACTGAGTAAAAAACGAATGTGATGGATGGATCGCTGCACAGAACATGCAGAGTCACATACAGTGTATCTCAGTCGGCTACCCTTGAAATCAGATGAGTTTATTAGCCTCCTACATCGCAAGCTCTGCAATGTGACTATCACGCACATGTACATTGCAATGACGATGCTCAAACGATATATCGTGCAGCCCTACAACAATCTAAAACGATCAGTCAGCTCTCCATCTTCAGAGTCCAAATGCAGTCAATGCTCAAGTCCTTAAAATCAGGGCATGAGTCCTGATTGAGTAGTACAACACTGGATCTCTGTAGGATAACAAAGCCGTCTACAGTTTCAGTTTGACATGCTTATGTAAATCTCTCAGGTGTTCTCTCAGGACAATGAAAAGAAAAATGAAATATGATGAGAAAAATAGTCTATATGTGACAACAAAAACCTGACATTGCTTTGAAAATGTTGCCACAGGAGAAGTCCTAAAAAGCGTGTCAAATTTTGGGGGAGCTTCTGAGAGAAAAACACACAAAGTCGGATGCCGCCTGCTGAATAATTATGTCATAATTTTAGGGAAATATCATCTTAAAGATCTGCAACTTTGCACGCTGCAGGAAGTTGTCATGAATTATTGATTAGAATCTTCCCCATGCTCTCAGGATATATGCAACGAAGACGGAGCCTGCTGAGACAGGGCATGTGGAGCACACTGATAAGCAAACTGGAAATTACATTGTTGCGGGCACATGCGCTGACACACAATCCACAACGAACAGCAACACTACAGAATGTATTCCCTGTATGTACAAGCGGGCAAACGCTAGATCTTGTGGGAAAACTCACTAATAATGACACAGCAGTAACAGTCCTGGTAGTGCGTAAACATTGCAGTCATTGTTTACGGGAGCTTTTGTTAAGGCAGAGGTGGGATGTCACTCACACCAGAACTTTGCTCATTTAACCCAAAACACAAAGCAAGGAAACAGAGGCTGTAAATTAGGCTTTCTTCTGGTCTCATCCTGTCCCTTTATAAGCTTTTTCCAGACCTGTCCTCTGTTAAACACAGTGACCCTTTTTGACAAAGGGCAGAGAGAATCTAGAGTCGTCCTGAGAATATAGACAACAGCAGATTATCCATTTCTATACCGGTTGGTGTTTTGTATAATGGAAACAGCACACACCACACATTGTAACATGTAAATAAAACATACACTCAACTGACTCTTGGCCTTGTTTTTTTACCATAATGCACCCTCAAACCTTTAAATTGCTTTTTACACATGACAAAAATATTTAAATCAGTCATGCTCAATGTTTAATGTAGGAATAAATTTGCTAAACTCGCAAAACAGTGAATGTGTGACCAAAGAGACCTAATCTCAGGACTGATTCAAGACAATCACATCACTAACTTACTGCATTTGCATCATTCCTCAGATTTAAATCAAAATTAAGTGTTTCAACATAACTTTGGCTAAAAAATTATTAATTCAGCTGTAAGCATTTGTGATTTTAACACTGTTCATGCTCAGTATTTATAATGCTGTTTAAAACAAACAGGCTTCAAATAAGGCCTGTGATTAGCCATGACCTGAAAGTATTAAATTAATCCATTAACAGAAAAAAATCTCCTTTCCTTATTACTCAATAAATCCTTAATTGGGTCCCTAATATTCAAAATCCCAGTGGTGTGAAAATCTGTGAAGGATTTAAAGAAACTTTAAGGTGGAGCAAACAATTACTCTAGAAAATAGAGGAGGAAAAATCAATAATTACAACAGCCCCGCCCTAAAACAACCCTCACCTAGGGCTGGGGGATATGGGAAAAAGTTTATCACGATATATTTTTTCATATCAGTCAAGATTAATATGTATCACGATGTAAAAAGTCAAATTTAACAGTGCTTATTGGTAGCACGTCTTATGCAATACAGTAAGCAACTTCATCTGTGAGGTCTCTGTGTCTCTTTGACATTTTGTCGTAAGGCGTTGCGCAAGAGAAAGCTGACTGAATGGTTGGCTGTTTCAGCTGCACAGGCACCATGGGTTTCTCGCTCCACTCAGGGTTTGTAAACTTTTATATTGCGCATGCTCTGCCACGTGGTACTGCTTCAGGTGGTGACAGCACATTACTCCGCTTCATGTCTGACCTCAAAAAGTCGAAACACCTCCACACCATTGATGTTTTCGTGCCAGTTTTGTTGACGATGTGATCATCTGCATTTCTGCTGGGGGTAGCACTCATTTTCTTTTTTTCTCACTGACAGTGCCGTCGACTTCACATGTTTAACTGCTATGGTTGCTTGTAGCTGCAGCCTGCTACTACGCAGTTGTCTGCTACTTGGTTCTAATTCAGCACACGGTTGGTTCAGCGCGGCACAGACCCAGAGCAACTCCCCTTTTCATTGGCTATTCGTGTAGTCTACCAAAACATGGCAGTATGCCCGCTATCAAAAAGCACATTGACCAAGTTTCATATCGATATCGAGGGAAATTAATTTTCAATATATCGTTCTCGTTTAATCACCCAGCCCTACGCTCACCCTAAACTTTTGATTTAAATATCTAAATTTATCTGAACAACAGTGACACAAAAAAACTAACATTTGCCATTTACAACAATAGTGAATAATGTAAATATCTTGTGGTCGACTTCACATGTTCAAGTGCTATGGTTGCGCTTAGCTGCAGCCTGCTACAACACTGTTTTTTTGCTTCTTCTAATTCAGCACATGATTGGTTAAGCACGGCCCGGAGCAACTCCCCTTTTCACTGGCTATTCGTATAGTCTACCAAAACATGGCAGAATGCCAACTATCGGAAAACATATTGACCGTATTTCATATTGATATTGATGGAAATTAATGTTCGATATATATCGTTATCATTTTATCGCCCAGCCCTACCCTCACCCTAAACTTCTGATTTAAATATCTTAATTTATCTGAACAATAGAGACACAATAAAGACTAACATCTGCCATTTACAAAAATAGGGAATAATGTAGAAAAAACAGTGTTTCATATCATTTCAAGCAGAAACTAGAATTGAATTTTGTACAAGTCACTGCAGAGTAATTGTTCTGGGGAAACTAACAAGGTGAAATAAGGTAACACTCAATCTGATGGAGGTTTCTGCAGATGTGACAACAGCACTATCACTAACTGATCTACCTTGCGTTTAAAGAGATGCAGATCTGTGTGTGTGATTGAGGAAAACGTACATTGTGGTAGTTTCTTGTTAATTAAACATGTTTTTAAAAATGTCTGGTCCCAGGCCAAGTCACACCCAGCTGGGGAGGAGGAAGAAATAATCAGTGTGTTTCCGATTTGGTAGCAGGGATGTGCACCTGCCAAAAGCTCTATGTTGACATTAGAAGCTGTTGTCTGTTAGGTTATAATGTGTGTATTTGATGTTTTAGGGACTAGACGGACACAGTTTGGTAAAAACACTAAAAAAAACAAGCTGAGTTTTCCTGCCAAGCCCAGCAGAGTGACATGAGGCTGGGAGCTAAACTGCTAGCTAGCATGAGTGGCTGGATGCTAGCCAGTTTAGCGAGCTAGGCTGTGCGTTTTAGGCTGATGGATTAGATGAACATTATCCCAGACTGACTGACTGACTGACTGAAGAGAGAGTTGACTCCATCTCCTCCCAAACACCTCCACCACACTCAGCTACAAAGACCGCAGCCCTCGTGTCGGAGCAGCTCGGTGTAAACAGTTTCACCGGTGAGTGGTACCTTTGTCTCTCTGATGTCCTGTTTCCCTCCTTCAGGGTACCACTGGACGCGGACAAATCCCCGACCAAGAGGCCGACTCGGAGTGTCCACAGCGCTCTCAGTATCCGAACCACACGGGACTCTTCCTCCTCCACCTCCTCCTCCTCCACCACCTCCACCGCCGCCACCGCCTCTCCCTCCGCCATCGTCGAGGTCCGAGTCTGAGTTAAAATCCTCCTCCCCGTGGATCATCCGTACGAGGCCAAACCGAATTGAGCCGCGATACCGCCCGGATACCAGGTCGTGGGAGAAGAGCAGCCGCTGGGAGCCGTCTGTTGTGGGAGACAGAGCCATGGAGTGAGGCTCCGAGCCCGGGCTGGCTGCTGGCGAGAGGTCCGGGGATGCTGTCGCTGCTGCTGTGTCCGTTGTGGCCGCTGCATCCAAAGCTACGGGCTCCGCCATCGCTGCTGTTGTCAGGGAGTGATGCTAGAGCGCGAGGATGACGGTGGAATGAAAAAAACTGTAACCTGGAAGCAGCGAGGTGCACGTGTTTACGTCGCTACGGAAAGCTGCGTAACTGGCGCAGTGGGGCAGCGTCATCACGCAGTGTTCTCTCTGACCACTGGGCGGCAGTGTTTAGCTGCAAACTTGAGTAATGGATAAATGAACAGGTGTACAGTACATTTATTATGAGAATCCATTTAATGCGTATATAATTTAATCTTAACATGAAAAGTGAAATTAAATAAAATAATGATTTTTCTCTTTTATTTTACTCACATTTTTTTCATACAATTGGGCCAACACCAAACTTTTTAATCTTGCTTTTAACTAAATTTTATGTCATTAACTTGTTTTAGCATTTATCCCTTTCTAGTTTTAATGACAGGATCGTCTTCTATTGAGCTATTGGTGCTCTTATTTTAGTATCTTTTATTGTTGTTTTTATTTTTTATTTTTCTTAAATTTCATTCTATGTTACTTTATTTTTAGATTTTAATCCAAACCTTCAGTGTTTCCTTATCTCAAGTTTTAAAATGACCTTTCCTCAGTCCACACATTGCTGTTTCCATGAAATCAAGCCCTTTTTAAGTTTATGCATTTTAATACATGTTTCTTTTGCATTTAGATCGTAGGTTGGGTTGGGGTAGGTTTGGGTATTCTTTGTTTCTTTTATTCCCTTTTCTGTGTAAAGCACTTTGTGCTACATTATTGTGTATGAAAAGTGCTATCTAAATAAAGACTGATTGACTGATTGATTGATTGATTGATTGATTGATTGATTGATTGACTGATTGATTGATAACACATAACTTATAGTATACCTGTGAATAAAAACATCTTCAAATATCATTAGATAAAAGGAAAAACAAATATAAAAATAAAATAAAAGACTTAACTGAACTATTTGATTTTATTGTTAGTCTGATGTATTTTGAATATTTAGTATTTTGTACATATTCATTTGAATTTAGTCTTTTCTTACATTTCTGCAACATATATCATATTAGATAAAGGTATTTATGTAGAGAACATGTAAGGAAATTAGGTGTAGATACACTACAGGGCAAAAGTTTGGAAGCAAGGCCATTACAGGCCGAACAGTTGAGAGTAACTTCAAGTTTTTGTTCACAATGCTTTTTTAAAAAAAATTTTAAATCCAGCATGAGTTTTATGTATTTTGGGATTTATTTACTCCATGATCAGATGTTGCTTTCATGGAAATGTACCATTTTACTCCATTTACCTTTACCTCCATTTACCTCCATATGTTGCTTCTTTCTTTTTCTTCTTCTTCTTCTTTTATACTTTATACTTTTTGGAATAGACTATACAGTTTCAAAATTCCCAATTTGATGTCCTGTATTCTTAGCCTGGCTGGGCCATCCTGTTGCGTGAATCACTTGCCGTTCCTTCTTCTTCTTCTTCTTGTGGGAAGGAACGGCAAGTGATTCACGCAACAGGATGGCCCAGCCAGGCTACTGTATTCTTGCACTCCTATTATCAATGAGTATTGCACCCAATATCAATACTACCTTACATTACACTTTATACTTTAGTTTATCAGACACCTCATATCATCACCAGTTAACATTATCATACCATGTCACTTAATTTTATAACTCTATAACTGTACATATTTCTTATTGTAATTGTATAATTTACTATACTATAGTAGATTATTACTTTACTATACTATGGTAGATTATACAATTAGATTATAATCTATTTATCTACTATAATCTACTCTTTTGTTCAACTATTTTACTTATCATTTTTGTTATTTTTATTTTTTCACCTATGGCTGTTCAGTGTTTGAATGCCTTTTACCAAAAAGAAACTTATGTCATACTTACTTATATACTTATGATCATACATACATCATACTTATGATCACTTATCATCCTGAATGGCACAAATAAAATCTAAGTGCCAGAATTAATTCATACCTGCTCATATTTTGAGGTGAAAAGTGTCTCAGGAAAGCTCATTGTGATTTAATCTCATTGTTTGTCATGGGATGGAGATTATTTTCAGCCTTGTGACTACCCAAACACTTCACATTACCTTGGAGTTAGTTTGTGTTGATCAGATCACTTATCTGTTTCTAAACATACAAACACAAAATTCAGTCCAGTTTTGAGTTTGGCTGTTTTTACTCCTCATTAAAAAGTGCTGATGCAGAGGACAACATCTGTCCATAAATACAAATAAGTGACTTCAAATTCCCAATGAAGCTTATTTAACCCTGAAGAGGTGATAAACAAACACCTCCACGCGCTGTAATCCTCTTACAGATCTGGAAAATAACGAGTGGAAAAGATCGTGAACGGTATTTAAAGGGACAATGGAAAATCTCTCACATGAAGAGTGGTAATCCGAGTCAGGTAGATGGCCCACTTCAGCAGAAGCTTCACATAACAGCCAATCAGAATAGCAGAAATAAAGCGACACTTTCTAAGTCACTTTACCTTTCTTTAACCTCAGTTTAAGCCCCTGTGAGTAAATTACTGGAAGTTTAGTTGAAATTACTCATGGGAATAATTCCGTAATGCTTTGGAGTGAGAACCTCGACACATGATCAAACAAATCCAAATCTGCAGCGGGCCTGAGGGTGGCATGACGAGGATAATTCTCATTATCCCCTCTGACCCCGAGTAAGTATGTTTATCGACGAATTTACTCACGGGGAGTGGAGGGTTTGGTCATCCTGCTCGCGCCAGGCTAGAGCCAGCCTCCTCAGCGCGCGGTGGTATAAATGCGGTACGCGCGCAAACCTCTCCAGTTCCAACACGCAGTCCTGTTACACGCGGGTCAAGACGGGGAAGTAGGCTACTCGAGTCTGAGGAAAACAGCAGACAGAAAGTCTCGGATCGTTATCTTTCTGTTGACTTTGAGCATTTTCGGTTAAAAAAAAACACAAGAGCATGTCTGTGGTGAGCGCGGTTCCGTTCATGAGGTCGTCCCACATGCGCTCTCCGGTGCCGCAGGGCCGGAGACACACGCTGCCGGCCAGCGAGTTTCGCACCCTCAGCCCGGAGGATGCCATCAGTGTGTTTGAGATAGAAAGAGAAGGTAAGAAAACTTCATTCAATTACTTTGAGATACCTTTAAACTTGGCTGTTCCGATAGTTATTTGCATCTTTACGCACGGAGACGTTTTGCGTTTTTTTTTTCTTTCACGACTAGAAGCAACAGCAGCATCTGTTTTCATACACGACATGTTTACGTAGAAAAAATCAAGTTCTTATTCTTATTTTTTTTTAAAAAGCAAGTTCTTATTCACAAGAAGGTGAAAACTCGTTCCTTAAGACAGAGGTGAGATTTTTTGTCTCGGTTATCTATGTTTGTTCTGTTCGGATATTCTGGTAATATCGGTCCTCCTCTTCCTCACAGCCTTCATCTCAGTGTCCGGAGAGTGTCCCCTTCACCTGGACGAGGTGCGTCACTTCCTCAGCCTGTGCCCTGAGCTGTCTTTAGGCTGGTTCGAGGAGGGACGGCTGGTGGCTTTCATCATCGGCTCACTGTGGGACCAGGAGAGGCTTACCATGGTAAGGCTGAGTGCAGGGACACCTGGACGCTGATTTACCTGGGCAGACGAGCTGGACTAGTAGGGGGATATGCAAGATGAGGTTTAAAACAGATTTACAGAGGAGATTTTAGAAGATTTCCTAACAAATTTACTCACGAGGGCTGGTATGGATTTAATACAGATAAAGATATAATTTGAAAAAAGGCAGGAAAAGTTTGAAAGTTGAGGTAGAGATACAATGAAACACAGTCTGTAAGTAAAAAATAAATAAATAAATAAAGATTTCTTAGTTTTCTTCGAGGTTCATGATTTCAAACCCTGATAATAATTTCATGAGCAATCATAGTTGTACAACAGGCATGGAGTAAGAGGGTAGATAGGGGTCTGTGCACTCCTCATAATCAGATGGGCTACTCCAGAGTCCCTAACTCTTTAATGCCTCTTGTATTATATTTGATACATACTTTTATACACTTCTATCAAATCAATATGATCAATAAATTACTAAAAAACACCTGAATACAGTCCGATAAATGATAAAAATGTCCTCTTGTAGTTTATCAGTTTCCAAATACATCTAATGTATCAAACTAGAGTAATAAATATATTTGTTCAATTTGAAGAACATTTAGATTTTTTTGGTTTTCAGTAGTAAGTCAAATAAACATTTCAGCTCCAAAAAAATCAGAATTTTCTGATCATAATTTGTGGTGTCAGGCATTAAATGGATACCCATAATCGGCTATCTGGACTTCTTTTGTTTTGTTCTACTTCATTTCTTTGGACAGAAATCTTGTAAATTTTTTAAGGATTTAAGATGAGAGGATGTTTTTAAAATACCGTTTCATTGGTTTTTGATATCTATAATACCCCGATGTAAGAGATCAACTGTTTGTAGTTAGAAAGAAAGGATGCTTCTGCTGCACAAAACAGTAACAGTATACACGTTTCAAACTCAACATAATGCTGTATTATTCCTGTAAAGACTTGGTCCACTTAACTTTACTGTTTAAAAGTTCGGGATGTTTTTGCTGACTGATAACAGGGAAAAATCATGAGAGGCTTAAATTTAGGATAGGTGTGTTTTGTTTTGTACGATAAGAGGTTAAAAATGCGCTTGGGTGCATTATCTCACCACGAATTCAACAAGAACTTCTTCTCCTCTCTTGTCCAGGACGCTCTCACTCTCCATAAGCCCCATGGGACTACAGTCCACATCCACGTACTGGCCGTCCACCGCACCTTCCGCCAGCAGGGCAAAGGCTCCATCTTGATGTGGCGTTACCTGCAGTACCTGCGCTGCCTGCCCTATGTCCGCCGCGCTGTGCTCATGTGTGAAGACTTCTTAGTCCCTTTCTACCAAAAGTCGGGCTTCAAGGTGCAGGGCCCCAGTGAGATCACTGTGGGTCCCCTCACCTTCATTGAAATGCTTTACCCAGTCAGGGGCCACGCCTTCATGAGGAGAAACAGCGGGTGTTGAGCTCAGAGACTTGATGGGGATCCTTTTTGGGACACATGATGGGACACTCTCCCTCCTGGAGCAGGATAAGGGGAAGTCAGAGCAACTTTGTGTGAGGTGAGCGACCTGCACACAGGCTTGACCTACAGTGTGACTGTGAGTCTGCAGAAAGCCCAAACAAAGAGCTGCCATCCAGCTGAGAACTACAGCTATGTGGAAGGGCGGTCTGAAAGTACAAACATATGATCTGTAGTTTAGGGTTTAGGGTTAGAAAAGCAAGAGATGAATAGAGCAAAATCCTGAAAGTGGAAAAACGATTGTACTTTTATTCAGATTATTTATTATCAAATTCCTTTAGAATCAAGCTGCCTTGTTTTGTTTGACATTTTTTTGTATATCTTTGTGTACGACAAATACAGCAACATTTGTGGCTCTATGTGAAGCCTGAAAGGACCTTTTCATTAATAAAACTGGTCTATGCCCGTTCTTAATGAGTGTCCTGTATGGATTTTGTATTTAAGTGCACTACGCAGTAAAAGTACTTTACCAGCAGCACTGCTGGTCGACTGTATTATGCAAGATTGTTATACTGTGTGTGTGTATATACAGTAAAATGCGAAGTAAACAGGGTTAAAGGCAGGAATATTAGCAATCAAACAGCTGATAAACAGACAAGTTTCTGTATTTATGAAGTCTGAGAGAAACTGTGGGGGAATGGTTGTAAATTAGTAAAATTAAGCTTTAAAACAACTAAGAGTATCAAGGATATCTAAAACTCTACACACAGCAGGTAAAGAAATTTAGATTTGCTAATGTTTGCTTTCATAGTCTCTCCTTGATTGTCCCCTCTGTTACTCCAAGACAATCGCTATCTCCGCCTCCCAGAGTCTTGAATCAAGACAAATACGTTGTTGTTGTTGTTTTTTTTTACAATGTTTTGTCGATTTAAAAACAAATAAAATAAAGATTTATTTTTTAACTCATATTCTGTCTGGTCTTTTCATTCGAAATCTCAAAGTGCCAGCTGTTTTAACAACCTAAAAAGCATCAATTTTTTGGGTGAGCTCTTTATTGTCTACTATGATCTTCAGCACATGTTGTTAATTTAACTGTAATAGAGCTGCATATGATCTAAGTTTATTTCATCTGTTGTGATTGAAGGACTTGGTGTCAATTCTCAGTTGAGAACAGGAAATAAATAAAGATTTTGATGTAATTATGGGAATATAAATGAGATTTTGTCACGACTGGTTTGGTGCCTGAAGTCAAGAACATATGAAATAAAGAAATTAAAGAGCTGGATGTGAACAGTCCATGGTACCAGTGAGGGATAAAACGACTAAATGGTACATGATAACATCATTATTGTGATGAGTGGCTTTTATTTTGAAATGACTGCTTTAATACATACATCTTCACATATAAAATTGAACCAAAACACAACACTGCCTCCACAATGACCTGAACTGAATCTTAAAATTTCCCTTGTTGCTCTGATTAATAGAAACAAGTAAAAATTTTTGGTCCCAATGCTAACAGCCTTGATAGAAGACGTGTTTTTTTTCATGTGTGGTTAACATTGATCTCCGACTCATTTAAATCATGGTTTCTTAAATAGAAATGTTACAATTCATATTCCTCCATCAGCTTTGTGTAAGCACTGTCTTTTATCATGAAATAAATGACCTTAAAAAATCAGTGGTGATAAAACTTCTGATGGTATTTCATATCTGTACAAACCAAAGTCCTCAGAAACACCTGATGATCTGTGAGCCAGCCCCGCAGACAATCTAACACGATCTTTGAACTCATTTAACTCTCAAAATCCTCAACACACCAGGCATTAGAGGCTTTCTAAACTGCTGTGAGTCCTGAAACAATAAAACAAACCAGGTTATGAACAGAAGCCAGGAACCAATGACAAAACTGTTTCATAGTCAGGAGAGGTTCAGAAGGTGACCTCTGGTGACTAAAATGAAGCTGATGCAGAAGAGTGGGGGGAAAAAAACTGCAGTTCCTTGAGTGTCCACTTGAGGCTGGCTCCAAAAGCAAAGGAGAGCCATCAGGTCCAATGTTAAAACTTGTAGTTTTGCAGCAGAATTAAACATGTTTATAGCACGGTACAAAAGTACCCTTTGAGTCTAAAAAGCTAATTTCACCATTTACACAAACTGCACAGAGATTTATTTCATACAGCTCATCTGTTTCCATAATATTAAGGCTTGGAGTAATGCATAAATTTGTGTTATTAGTGGCATAGCGAGTTGAAACACAGGTGGCTTCACCTCTTTGTTGGTGTCTAAGTTAAACACAAGTTAGAGTTGGCATTTTCAATATGACTTCTGATATTGTTGGCCTCTTTAGAGATGAGTGTTGCTGAGCAGCAGGGTCAGTCACCTCTCAATGAGGAGGTTAGCTGTTCAGACTCATACTGAAGTTTCCTAGGGCAGGACACTGAACCCCAAATTGCTCCCAATGACATAGTGAGCAGTGTGTGGAAGCACATAGATAGGGTTAGCTCACAATGGTGGTTCACTAATGTAGTATCCACTGCCATCAGGGTATGAATGAGGCATGAACCGGTGAAAGTGCTTTGAATGACGGAAAAAGTTCAGTCCACTCACCATTCAAGTCACTGAGATTATAATCATATTTGAAAAACAGTAAAAAAGACTGGACTATATTTATATAACCCTTTCTTTAATCTTCTGATCAGTCAAAGTGCATTTGTATTTAAACCACATTCATACATCGATGGCAGAGGCAGCTACATTAAGTGACCATCAGCATTCGCTCACACACTAATGAAGAAGTACCGAGGTCAGTTTTGTGGTCGAGTGTCCTACCCGAGAACACATTGAATTTTAAAACTTAAATGTTACACTGAACACTTCATCAGGTAACCACCAGAATCTATTAGCATTTTACTAAAACCAAGAGCAACAACTGCCAGTGGAGGTCAATGTATTAAAAACGATGTACCTGGAGGTTAAAAACAAATAACACAAGCTGACATCAAGTCTCAAAGATGCTAAAAGAAAATGCTGTCAGCCATGACACTTAAAATTCATCTTTCTTCCCTTGTTTTATCACAGGAACTAGTCTTAAGTGCCAAACAAGCTGTTTTACTGTCTACTTTCTGTCACAGTGAGGCTCAGGTGACACTAATGACATCTTGTGACTGACTTTCTGATTTTCCAAATACCAAAAGAAACAAAAAGATGATCGGTCCAAACAAAGCGCCTGCAAAGATAACAGTACCTTGAAATTTGAATGTTATTTTTTTCTCAGTGGTAACTTTAGGATGTTGAGGCACCACTGTGTTATCCAGTAAACATGACGCAGCATAAGCATGCCCAGAGCTTGACTACAAACTTCGGTTAGTGGAAGTGAGATAAAGAAAAAAACTAAGTGTTTGTGAAAAGACATTTTAACAGAATCGACATGTACATAAAAGCTCTATGTGAGGTTGCTTTGGTAAATAAGCACTGAAAATGTGTTCATCAGTATTAGGATGTTGATTTCAAGCACTATGAAAATTACTATGAGGCATCTTAGTTATATGGCATAACAGGTTTAAGGCAACTAGTGGTTTTTGATAGAAACGTTGCCTAAGTTGACCACAGATTTTTGAATATTTCAGCTGCACAGATAAAAGTTTGAACACATCATTCACTTTCACATAACATTCCACTGGTCCGAAGAACATTGACATGCTGAGTGCATACGTACAAAAAAGCAAAAGTTAAAAAAAAAAAAACAGCTTTCCACTCCGATGGTGTCCCTCCAGACTCTGAGGAAGAGCAGAAATGAACGACAGTGTTTGTAGTGTTGGCGACACACTTTGGCATCAGTGTTTCTTTGCATCTGTTTGTCATTCCTTGTAAGTTTGTGGTTGTTTTGGCGATACATGCCATGTACCCTTCTTATACCAACTTTCCCAAAAGAAACCGGTGGTCTAGGCTCTGCAGATCTCTTCCTACAGGTTCATCAGGCTCTTCAGACTTCCTGAGTTACTTCTCCTGTCCTCTGATTCGGAGGATCTGCTAGCCCAATCAACTTGACTGAGGACAAACAGGTTGAGTCAAGTTTAAGGGACTAAGCACGTCTCAGGCTGTGGAGCTGGTTCCAATCACATGAATTGTTCCTTGGGTCTTTTGTGATTGCCACTTTCTTGAAAGGCCACCTGGAAACAGCTGACCTCATTATTGGCTGGACATCTAGTGCACCACATCGTTTATGTCGTGGTCTATGTCATACTTTTCACAGAACTTGTTTGTCATGGGCAGGCAGGTGAGATGCTCCAACCAATGCCAGTTAATTGGGTAGATATAAAACCAAACAATAAGGGAGGCAAAGAGACCCAAGTAGGCCACCAGTGAGACAGCAATGAGGATACGTTTACGGTATTTATCAAAGGTGCCGAAAGTGACATAGGGCAGTAAGGCAAAGGAGAGCAGCATGCCGCTGAGGAAACCAAAGATGTGAGCGATGTTGTCTATCCACGGCAGGAGGCCGCACATGAAGAGGAAGAGCACAATACCAAGCAGTTTGAGGAAGGCCTTCCACGGCTTCTCCAACATCTGCCAGCCTTGAAACAGCTCGACGAACAGGCAGGCAAGAAGTCCGAACTGAGACCCTGCAGGACCCACCTGGAGAAAGAGAATCAAATGAGTTAGAGACTGTCGAATAAGTCAATTTCAAACAAACATAACGAGGATGTCAAAGTGGTTCAGGCCTAAACTAGAGGACAACAGAATATGTCCCCTTTATGGTGTTTATCGGACATATGCATGACAAGTATCAGCTCTGATGTGTAGCAGACATAAAATGCATACATCCTGTTTATTTGGGGCATGACGCCTTTTGAGCCGCCTTCATTCTGGTTGACAGCGTCAGTGGTCATCTTCACGTGTGAAATAAAAGCGTTCTTATAGATTTTATTCTGAACTATGAGGTAAAAGCTCCTCTGAGTCACAATCATATAAGTAGGTTATACGAAATTAGGTCAAAATATGTCACACTGAATTCAATTTCCACATTTACACGATGTGAGGTTCAATATAGACGGCAGCAATAGACTTATCTAAACAAATCAACACACTGTTACATTACACCATAGCAGCAGGATTTAGAGTCAAAAGTAGTGTCTTCTTTTCTAAATGTGCTGTATTTCTAAAAAGTCAAAAAATAACAAAAAAACAATCAAGCGCTCCTTTTCTTAGCTGGCTGCACAGGCATGTTTGTATCTGTTTTTAATTGACTTCAGGTTTACTGGCTGGCGGCCAGAGGTCTACCGTTACACCACAGAGACGAAGTAAACAAACTTACACTGTCACCTACATGTCCCGGCCAAATGACAAGTTGTTTGTGTAACAAGTGAGTACAAAACAGGAACCTACAAGTCTAAAATAGGAGTGTGCCGATACGATATTAATATCTGATTTATTGACCTGCATCTAAAATCTCAGATATCAGCACTCTGATACAAGCTGTCCATTCAAGATTCCGCTCCAGCACATCTATCTTGCAGCACCCAGATCCAGCATGCGGAGCCCACGTGATCACAACAACACTGTGTAATAAGTTACTAATAAAGTAACAAGGAGTAGGGGTGATGTCGGCCGTGTGGTAGTATTTTTCGTTAAAGTCCGAAAAAGATGGACTTTTACTTTCAACTGGCTGAGGAGCAGGACAATGTGGGACCATTAATCATAACCTTGGATAGACATGATTTGAGCGACTGTATCCAAATGAAGTTTTCTCCTACACAGACAAGACATCATGGTTTGTTGTTAAATCAATGCAAAAACAAAAGATGCCATTAGGTTACTATAAGATTCTTGTATTTTTTTCTTTGAGGGGGACTGAACAAGGGATTTACTGAGAAAAACATTTATCTGGTGAACTTTTCTTTACAGTTTTAAGTTTGCATTTACCCCAAGTGTTACTAAGACAGTCTTTTAGGTCACAATTATTTCAACTGACCCCCTGAAACCTTACCAGATTTAAGTATGTTCAGATTGTGAATTAATGAGGGACAATGTCTCTTTCTGGTTCCAAAATGTTCTTGACGATAAACGTAAACTAATGGTGTGAGTTTGTCCGTCTCGATGGCTCAGCGCTGAATAAAAACCTGATTGAGATGTTTTCCACCTCGAGTATCTTTGAGTTTTAGAGTTCTTTCTGTGGAAGAACCACAATATGAGGCCTGGGTCAGGTAGTAGAGGCTAGCAGATTAGAGTGACGTCAGCACTGAGTTTGGAGGCTTGGCCTGGTCAGAGGCAGATGGCTAATCTGTGAAGACATTAAACTCTCACAACAGAAAAGGAGCATGGCACAACACTCCACCCACACGCTCCAGACACGTAGGCTGACACGTTCCTGACACGCCGTGTGGTAGCTCACCATTGGCTGAGATGTGAACTCAGATGTAAAGGTATCATAATAGACACTAAATGGCTGTTGTGAAATTATGGAGAATGTAAATATACAGTATAATTTTATTTTAATTTCCACTGTCACAAATTGAAGTGTGACTCTGAAATTGAGACTGTGACCTATAGACATGTCACCAGCAAGAGTGTGAATTAATTTTATTATCAGGTCAGAATATGAAGTTGCAGCTCTTTATGTTCACACAGGTGTTGATGTAGTAAACAGTAGTTTGGTAATCTAACTCTAGAGTATTTCCTTATGTTGTGTGGTAGAAAAGTCACACAGAACCAGCTACATTTCAGCCGACAGCAGCAGTGCGTCATGCCAGCTCACATGTTTCTAACTAGTGTATTCCCAGACAGTCTGCCAGACCTCCTCATCCTTATTTCCTGGTAAGTAACACCTAAGATCTTCATATACACTTCCAGGAGACCATTCTCAGGCTCCTCCTTTAATAGATTTTAAGATCTTAGAATTAAAAACAACCAGACAGCACTGACAGTCACACGGCTGTTCACCTTATTCTCCTCTTTGAATGAGCTAGAAGGCTTCTGGCTACTCTCGACCCATAACCATCCACAGCACCGGATACCTTCAGACCTCCTGCGGACTATTTCTCCTATGTAGTTACACACATCAACAACTTGTCGCTGGTCTACTTCAAGCCAGACCACTTTCACTGATCTTCAATTAGACTTCAATCAAGTTTCTGGAACAGGGGAGGAGTGTCCAAGCACATGGTTTATCATTAGGGGTGCCTCAAAGTTTAGTGTCTGGTCCCCTCTTCTTCTCAATATACACCACCGAACTTTGTGCAACAGTCCATGCACATAGTTTCTCATACCATAGTTGTGAAGAAGATACCTTGTCGAAGACTGAGCTTCTTGTCCTCCTAGCCAGTCCCTTCATGCATACGTCGTGTAATTTACAGCTCGGAACAACTGAACCTATGCCCACCAAGTCTACCCAGAACCTGGGTGTCCTGATAATGACCTGATCAGCCCTTTTGAACACAAGGAAGGCCAGATAAAACCTATCAGAGCATACAACACAGCTCTTGGTACAGGCTCTTGTAATAGCATACACTGACTACTGCAACTCATTACTGGCAGGATTCCCTGCATGCACATTTGAACCTCTGCAGGCGATCCAGAACGCAGTAGCATGACTTGTCTTCAACCAACCCATCACAACGTCAAAGTCAGTAAGACTTTACTCAACTGCCTTCCCCCGAGCCACTTAGTATCTGTCAATCTCAATGAGAAAACAAAAGACTCAGCTCTATCATAAAGATCTACACACTTCATGTTATTGTTGCTTGCGATGATGTTGGTGATAATGGTATCAAGGATAAGAATATTGAGGATGTTATTGATGATAATTGGGTTTTTTATGATGATAATGATGCATATGATGTAACTGTTGCAGTGGGTGATGAAGATGTTTATAAAATATAAAATAAACTGCTTTTATACACCCTGCATTTCCTCTGACACTACCACTGCCTGTGTCCAATATGTTCAATACTGGGATTCAACACTAAGTTGAATATTTAACATGAATGAAAAACAACATCTTTCTCAATAACACTCCCCTCACTTGATGAAATGTGACTTTAATTTCAAAACTGATGTCAGCTCTGATTTCACCTCTCCAGAGTTGAAAATGAAGCTGCCGTACTTTCTCACTTCTGTACGACTTCACATGCGAAGAGTAGTCATGATTCCAGTCACAGCTGTTGTTTGAGTCAACATTTGCTCGAGCCACAGGGTCTCCTTAACTCAACAGTTAAAGGATTATCCACTTAAAGCGTCTCCTTAAGTGGCTTGACCGCCGTGTGTTGTGCCTTGCATGTGCTTCCTCTAGTTATTCCGGGTGTGTGAAAACCTGTGAGCTGGTCAGTGCCAAGCAGAGCTGCATGGTGGGATTTCTGGCTCTCACGTCAAGGTACGTCATCCTGAGAGCCACCTCATGTCTCACCACGTAAATATCAGATGGGAGCATTTGGAGTCGGCTTATGGGCAAATAGCATATGCTGTGAGGACACCAGTAAACAAATATAAGGGTCAAGATAAAAAAAAGTACCATAGATTATGTGTGTTGTCATAAATTGTGTAGTGTATGTATTTTTCAACTAATGTCCATCATGTGATCAGGTGTCCATCAGGTGTACAGACCAGGGGAATCCTCAGACAAATGTGATGTTGCCAAAATAGTACGTTTTTTTGGAAAACACAAAAAGAATAATCTTATTTATAAAGTTACACAGCAGTGGCCTTTGTCAACCTGCTCACAATGGCATTAGGCTAATCCTGAGAAGAGGAAAGTGTGCTTTACAAAGACACAGTGACAAGAACAGACGTGCCTGTAAAAAGTAGGTAATCCAGGCTCTGGTATTTTCACACACTCAACATGTTGTTCTTTTTTGCAATTATAACACTGAATTATTAGATTATGACTGTGAAACAATGAAGTTACCAAATACAAGGATATTGCTGCTTACGTCGTAGTATCAAGCTTGTGTTGTTTTCAAAAATGACCGAGATAATGACATTTTTTGGATCACCGCCTTTATTTTTCAATATTTTTAATTCTACTTTCATCCATTTCTATACGATAGCTCCCACTTTCTTCTATAGGGCTGTAGTAGGTGTCTAACAACTTCTCCTCAGACAAAATTTCGCTGCTGTGGATTTAACACCCTCTCAGATACACACACCTAATCCACTTTCCACCACCACCACATCCGACAGGACACTACAGAGTGGATTAATTACAGAGACAACGTCCAGAATAACACAAGACAAATGATGGTTCAACCTGCAGGAGTGAAGGGAGGTGACGTTAAGAGAGACCATCTAGTGTACGCTTACTACACCAAGGTGCCCTTCCACCTTTTGGCTTAATAATCGCTCAGGTCTGAGCTGTAGAAGTAATGCTACAGCGAAGCTGTTTCATCAGATGTTTATGAGGCTCAGTTTCTCCAGGTAAACAACATAAGGCCTGTTTTCTCTCCAGACTCTAGAAGTGGGCAGTCAAGTCTGCTCTAATAATCCCTATTGTCAGAAATGCCCCTTCGTTAAATGAGCCGAGATAAGCTGAGCTAAGCTGCGAACTGAGAAAAACAGGAAAGCATTCTCAAATAGATTTCAGTAAGAGTGTGGCAATTGCTAATATTCTGTATTTGTACTAGTATTTTAACCTAAAATCACTGTTAAATAAGCTGTAAAAATTGTCTTGGTTAATGATAGATAGATAGTCTAAATGCTGTTTGCTCAAAGAAATACTTTGTGTGTGCTGCATGAATTAAATTGTACATCTTTGTCGGATTTTTCGTTAATTTTGTCTAAATCACCGTCTTAGGATATCTGCTTTAAGAAGCCTTTATGTTTAATTTTTAGGGTGAATATCATAGACTGTTAATAGTATGGACAACTTGACTCCGCCTTTTGTAATTATACGAATTTGAAGCCAAATTGCTTTCAATATTTCTAGGATTTTTCTCCATTGCCTGAAACCAGCATTTCTGAGTAGCATTCATAGGGAGAGTCCCTGTTATAATGCTCTGCTCAAACAACATCCAACTAATTTTTCCTCAGTTCATCATAAAAAAAAATACTTGGTCTCTCTGTATGTACAAATGTGAAGGACCTACCTCAGCTCTGTACGGCAGGAACAGGGCAGACGCCAGGTTTCCAGTGATGCCACTGAGAATGTAAATCATGGAGATGCGGACCCAACCTGCCAATTTCTCCAGGTCTCTCAGTACGGTCATTTGGAACACCACTGACACCGCACAATGGAACAGCCTAAATAAACACAAAAACACAAACTCATCAAATTTACAGATATTTAGAAGTTTAACTTTGGCTTCCATAAAAGATGTAGTCACGTCTCTAGACGAAAATGCCAATTACAATGTAGGGCATTTTGCCTTTTATAGCTTTTTTAGCTTGATTTTAGTCTGAACATTTTAGACATTTCTCTTTGTCAAAATATTTCCACTCTTAAAACTAATTCAGTTGGCTGATCAGAAATCGGTACCAAAGCAGAATCTATATTTTAAATTTGTAAAGCAGCATTTTCTTCATGGAACAATTTTTCCTGTTATATCTGGCTTCCTTACCCTGGTTGGATAATCTGGCTTGGACTTCACCCTTCATGTAATTCTGCTGCGCTGTGCTTTCTGATCTAATAAGGCAAGGTAAGAGTATAATACTTTATGTGGCTGTGGAGTTATTCGCCCTGTGTCTAATTAAGGAACAAAACTTTCTAACTGATGAAGAGTTGTTCAAAATTGCAAATTTCTTATTTTAGATGCTCTCAAACCTGAGTCAAATGAAGATGAATTGAGGCCGTAACCGAAATCGATTAGCTTTGATTTGGGCACAATATATCAGACGCCAAATAAAAAACCAAAGTCAACTCAGTAGCTGGATGTAGCTTTGCCACAGACGTGAATCAAGACTAACATTTCAATGAAAATGAGAGGCAGTAAGAATCTGAACCTGCAGCACTTATTGCAGATAGGTGACAAACTTTGATCTTCCTCAGCTATAGGGATGATTTACTTGTATTTGACTGAAAGATATGACTCAGAGTGGGGAAATATTTTGGGGTTTTAAATGTCCAGTGGTCCACCTCTAAATTTTTTGTCTAGTCTCATCTTGTTCCCGAAAACAAAACATGATTTTTCTTACCAATTACAATTTTTTAGCTCGGCACTGTCAAATCTTTGTCACATGGAGAAGGTGGCTGATGAAAATTTATGTCATGATTTCTATTAATGGAAGAAACGCTAATATTTACTTAGTTCAGAAGCATTGATTACATACGCAAAATATGTATTACTTGGTGAAACTTTCCCGGTCTGCTTGTTTACTTGTTTTAAATCAACCTGAGGGGCTTCTCATGTGCCTGGTTTAAGCACAGTTAATACTCACATGAGTGAGCTGCTCACGTGTATCAGAGCTTTAAAAATATTCCCTGGCTTTGAATCCTGAAGACCCTGTCATTTCTTCTGTTAGGGCTTAATGTACAGTATACAAGAATGGCTGACTCAGCTGAAATCATCTGCTATGTGACATTTTAACAATGCAAAACAAAGCGCATAAAATACAAATTCAGAACATAATACAATCAAAACAACTTATTTGCTTAAAAATTAATAAATGATTGTTTCTCTGAGGATATTTGTACATCGAGTGGTGCGTTTTACCCTGCATGGAGGAAGAGAGAGAGCCACAGGCGGTAAAACTGGTCAGGGACCTCAGGGTTGAGGAAGGGCAATAAGCCGCACACATCATACAGACAGTGAACCTGCGTAAGGATAAAAGCGGAAGTTCAGAGACATACGTACACACTAATAGATGCATGCACACAACACACACATTACTCATGTGCACACAATACCTGTGAGCAGAGTGTGGCCTCCTCATGGAAGTAACCGTGCATGAAGGTGCAATACTCTCTGGTTGTGATCTCACATCTACAGGAGGGAAAAGCAAAATGCATTTTAAAATTTTCTCCACTTGACCTAGCAGGGAGCAGGTTTTTAGGTTGATTAAAAAATGGGGCAACACATCAACTGCAGGACTTCATGAAACACAACATGAAGTGTGTCGACCTGTTGGGTCTCACCTGCCCTTAGTTCCAATGCAGCAAGGCCGACCCTTGATTTTACAGTCCATGTGTCTGTAGCCTGTGTGGTTCCATTCCTTAGGATACGTGCAAACCTTGAAGAGCGACAAGAAGTGCAGCATATCACAGAAATATTAAGCAAAATTTATCATCTTTTTTTTCCATATATGGACCATTTATAGACAGCTGCATGGAAATAATGTTCAAGTGAAAAAGTTGTAGGTGAATTTCACTCACTGGCCACTCGGTGATGTCATCGGGCCACGTATGAGGCTCTGCAGAGGCAGGCTCCTCACACACTCTGCTCACGCCGTGCAACACAAGAGAAGAGAATATGATGAGTTTTCCAGCGTGACAAATACTTGATTATTTTTCTGAGATCAGCAGGTCATACGCCACAGTTAAGATTTCCACTTTCTTACCTGGGGTCTTGGCTACAGACAGAACCAGAGGACCTTTCGATGTCCACATTTTCCTTGTCCCATTTAATAAAGGTGGCCAGAGTCTCCTGCACAAACACAATTAGTTAGCAGTTTAAAGAAACTAATTATAATCACATGGGAATTATATTTTTAACGGAGACATTCTGCTTGTGTATATCGATATGATTGAAATTTCAAACCAGAACGATATCAGTAAGAATATAAAGAATATAAAGTATGAGAAATACTTTTTTATTCTAATTTATTGTGCATGTTCTTTGATAGTGCAATTGTTTTTTGTTTTTTCTCCAATCACATGTGGTTGTCATGCACTGACGGGCTCTAAATCAAAGTATGAAAATGCGGGGTGGGACAGTTACCGAGCAGTCGGAGCTGAGCGTCTGCACGCACCCAGAATTATCATTCTGAACACAGCAGCCGGATTCTCTCTCCAGATTTTTGGCCTTCTGGATCAGATTCACTATCTGTTTGTCCCGTCGTATGCAGGGAGAGAATTTTGCCCCAAGGTGGATCAGATCATCCTGAAAAGATGGAGAAATTTATGTAACACTCTATATAAACCCACCTCTTAAGCACATTTATGGCAGTGTTTATTAAGTGTTAAAAACAGTGAGCTTAACACCTTACAGAGGAATGATCTTTAATGCACTACACATTAATACAAAATGTATGATTTATAATCTACTGATGAGAGGCCAGCAGAGCACTCACAGAGCTGGGACCAATCCAGAAGTTCTCTTGTTGTATAAACTTGACGCTCTCATAAATGCCTTTGTTCTTCAGCACCTGCAGAGGGCAGCAAAGCGCCACAGTTAAGAAACATCTTCTAAATGTACAACATGACAGAGGTGCCAAATGAGTTTATCGTTCCCTTATGGTATCACTTTGAAGAGTTAAAAACACAGAAAAAACAAGGAACCACTTCTGTTGCTTTCAGCCAAAAAATGGATTGAGGGCGATTCTCAGGGGCATCTACATATTAAAATCCATAATTTCATAATCCACATATAAAAGGAAGGCTGTGCCCTTCAGGGAGCTGAATTGTGGAAATGCAACAACATTTGGTTTAAAAAATTAAAGTCACTCCAAAGTTTCACTCACCAATTCAGATGTCGAATGTTGTGCAAACCCCACAGGGGCAAAACCGTATGTACAACAGGCCAACAGAGTGATGACTATGTGGACAAATGTGATCCAGTAGGTAAAGTAGGGCCTGCAAACAAAGCAGAGGAAACAAACTGTTTCATAACATGCTGTCCAAAGGCGACATGGGAGAACAGGGGAACAAACTGTTGTCGTCACACTGTTTCTTCTGCTTTTAAGATTACAAGACTATTTTCCCTGTTTTAATGTAAATATTAAAGAAATAAGTAGAAAAGTGAAGCAGTAGTTATCAAATCTTCGCCCTCTCTTGCTGATTATGATCTGCACGTCAATCATTTGAGGTCTGAAAGGGTTTCATGTGTTTGTTGCACTCATTAGCATTCTTAACCTGTGGCTGTGGAAGTCGTCCAGCTGCTTCTGGACGTTGCTGCTGAGGCTTCGTCTGTAGTGTCGGTTCAGCCACTTTCCCACTACGCCCATGCCGTACTGGCGCTTATGTTTGTCGAATGCAAAGTGCTTAACCTGAGAGGCGATACGACCACCTCGACGAGGATGGCTCTTGTCAGGCACTGCTATAGGTGTCCTGGGTGTTCGAGACACGTCCTTACTGGGGTTTAAGAGAGAATAAGAGAAGGATTATGATCCTCTTTCATGTGGTTTTTGTGGATCAAAATTTGCAGTCACTTACAGGCTTGGGAACTTCTGATCAGGCGGTTCACATGGACCAAAAGCTGCAGACATGGGAGGTGATTCAAATACATCATCAGCCATGGAGTAAAACTCATCATGGGCATCAACCTGTGCAGGGAAGGTAAAAGGTGACAACAGAGGAAACATGAAAATGAGATGATGACTTATTGACAGCCAGGTCTTTGTATTTTCTCTAAGGAAAAAGATCCTGTAGTTTAAACTGTGTTTCTACAAGCAGTGAATGATTGAGGAGGAGTAAAAAAGAGAAGGGGAGAGCGATAAAGAAAGAAGGAAGAAGGAAGTGGCTGCGGCATAACTGAGGTAAATAAAAAAAAGGCAGACAATCAGTCAAAGTAGGGCACGGTGGTGGAGAAGTGTGACTGCTGACGATAGCAGGAAAAGAGAGGAAGCAGGAAGAAAAAGTTACCAAAGAAAGTTGAAGCAAACAGATTTCGCAGAAAAGAAATCGACACGAGACAAACAGAGTCACTCCTGACCTTACTGAAGAAGAGGGACTCGGGCGTGTCTGCAGAGTCTACGGTTTCCTCGTCCATCCAGCTGGGCCTGACAAAGCTCCTCTTGGGGAAACTGCGACCCGTCTGTGAGCCCGCTAAGCCACTGCGACCCTAAAGAACATATCAACAAACACTGGAGATTACTTAACACGTAGAGAATGACTCTGAGATATTATGCTTCACTCAATAACAAGATCCTGAGAGAATATAGCACACTTACAGCTTTTCCTGTCATATTATCAAAGTGATAACTTAACATGCAGATAAATTAAGGAAACAGATAAATAAAACCACTGGAGAGACCCAAATCCTAAAAATATTATGATAGCTGGCAGAGTGTATATCAGAATAGTGTTTTATTTTGCCGAGATTGTGCCCAGACAGAGTAAATGTGTACACAAGTAGTAACTAACAAGCAGTTAAAGTCTGGAAACCTTTTTTAAGATATAAAATGTCTGACATCAGAAATACTTTCTATGTTTTTGGTGATAACAGATGACGATGAAAAATTAAAACCAAGGTTTGCAAAATGATATACCACTTCTGTGTCACCTGGCCTCTTTACCTTGGATTTGTATCTGAATATGGAGATCATGCATAAGTTGTAGTTTCAACAAGTGCTACACAGGTTTTGCAGCCACTGACCCTCAGCAGGTTGGATGCAGCTCTGATGCTCATGCGGGCGACAGACTCCCTCTTCCGTCGGGGAAAGCGGGAGTATCCAGAGCGCTGGCTGGTGAATGAGCTGAGAGAGGTGACACCTGGGGTGAAGGGACCCCCATGAGTGGTGTGAGGCGTCCAGGGTGAGCGGCTGTCCATTTCATCAGGGCAGCGGAAGGCTCGTCCCCGTGCCAAGGGATCCACAATCTGAAACCAGAGGTTAGAGTCAACACTGACAAAGTCGGGGAAATTTTAAGAACATCTTCAGACGTTTTTCTTCACATCCACTGTGAACTGACTTCCAGTAAGAAGTTCATTTCTGGGTCTCTGTGAACACGTAAAGGTACAAATAACAGGAAAGAAACAATGGTGCGAGGTGGAAAATATTTTCACTGGGTTTCCAGATAACAAGATAGAAAGCACAAGACAAAGAACAGAAAACAAAACACTGGATGATGAGTAGATGAGTTGAGCTCTGGCACACATCGAAGGAAGCGATAAGATTCAACTGGGACACAGATGGTCTCCGTCTGTCACCATTCAGCTCTCTGATTTATGAATTCTAGACACATATTTACATGGTCCTTGCCCTGTTTTTGTCCATCTTTTAGTAGAAAATGTGTTTTCTGTTTGATTTCTGTACGGCAGAGATTAAAAGCTCATGTTTTCATTCCTTCATCAGAATATGGATTCATGTCTTGATTGTGGTGTTAAAGCGTCTGCATGACAGAACCGTACCTTGGGCATCCTCTGTGTAGCTGGTGAGTCTGGGCCCTGGTCAATGCTGGTGGCCGTGTCAGGTTCCCTATATTGGGCCTTCAGCTTGCCATAGCGCTGGCTGCAGTGGCGCAGACTCTTTCTGTGCCATACCTGCTGCTTGGTCTCACAGTCCTCCCCCACGCCAAACCATGTCGCCGTGTTCCTACAAAAGCGAGAGGGCGGCATCAGTGCGAGTACAGGTGACATCAACATTTGAATGTGAGCTGCTGGTTCTATATTTTCATCATATTGCAAGACCTTGAATGATGTTAAAAGGCAAAAAATATATATATATATGGAGAGAGAAGTTTTGGTAGCTGTTTGGGGGTGCAGTGCATCATTTAGCAAAAACAGCTGTGTTTTTGTCCACTCCAAATGAGCCTTGCACAATCTTGCACTGCCATGTTTTTATCATTGCACAAAATTGGACAAACAAGTGCCAATATCTGTATTAAGCAGATAAAAGAAATGCACAGATTGGGGGATGTAGGAGAAGAGTTGCCTACAATTTGAGGATCACACTTTTCGAGCGTTACGAGAGCTTATTTTCCATAGAGACCATCATTGCATCACTAACAAGAGAGGTGTGAAGGCAGCGCTCAGATATGTTATCTTAGTGCTAATTATCACCAGCGATCCCAACTCTACGGATGCTATATTTAGTTTAGGAGGTGTTAACATCAGGAAAATTAGAGGCCTAATTTTTCCATAGTGTCTGATCATGACTACCTACTTCCTGTGTATCTGTCTTCGGTCTTATACAAAAACATGCCTCATTGAATCATCATTAACAATTCCCCCACAACCTCTCCTCACCTGCGAATGCTTTGTGTGAGCGAGGTTTGTCTGCCAAGCTTGGGCCTCCTCTCTCTGGCCGAGAAGCGTCCGTCTCCAGCTCCACTGATGCTCCCTGATGCCGACTCGCCTGCTTGGCCACTCATACTTTTCTTCAGAGATGGTCGCAGCGGCTGAGTGGAGGAAAGGGGAAATGAAGTAACAGAAAAATAATCTTCAATATTGATGAAAAGTTTAAAATAAAAGAAGAGAATTCACTTTTGTTGAAATGAAAGTTTATAAATGAAACAGATAATTAGGAGGGTCTGCATGATTATTTTGTCTGAAGAGCAAATTAAAACAGCTTGAAACATTCGAGTCAAAGATTCAGTTATTTCCATAGTATTCCATTATAACTAAACACAAGTAGGGCTGGGCGATACGGCCTCAAATCAACGTCACGATATATTGAGCAGTTCACCTCGATAACGATAAATGGACGATAACTACTCCACAAGCTGCTCACCCCCTTCCACATTAACTTCGTCCATTTTTGAACCGTCCTCCATCTCCTCGCCTGTCTTTCCCTCTTTGTTATGGACTGGATGGGGTGGAGTCATGTCTCCTACGTAGGACAGTTTTTTAAAGGGACATGAGACCATAGCCTACATACACACCTCCAAAACCAACTTTCAGTTATTTAATTTTTTTGACACCGAATATATTGACATGGGCAAAATGACATTAGATATTGTCATAAATTTCAGTATCTGTAAATTTTCAGTTTATTGCCCAGCCCTAATATCAAGTAAGCATTTTAAAATCCCACAATATGTCGTATAATCAAAGGCTGTCTGTTCTTTCCAACATCTTTTTTTGTTCATGCAGTTTATGGTGATCTTGGGTGTTGCAGCAATTCCTCTGAGTGGTCATTTCCTTAACCTGGATTGACTCTGCTTTAGGCGAGGCTAATGGCCCTGTCATTCTGAGAGTTAATGGGGCTTGAAGTGAAGCTGTGAGCGAGCCAGTGTGCTCAGTTTGTGGCTCAGCTTGTTGAGACAGAGTGATACACTGTCTCTGTTTCTGCTACCACAGAGACATTACTGGAGAGAAAACAACTCAAGAGAAAACAGCACAAATTAGTTGATCTTGGGATTTTATAGAGCATGTAGTGAACCCAAATTTAAACGCTAATCTCATTCTGAATTTTAAAATGTTCTGACGCTTTATATTATTGTTTGTGAAATCATACGGATTATGAAAATATAAATTGTAAGATTACTGAAGAGGACTTGACCATTCAAGTGCAGTTGTGACTGTTTAAGTATTAACTCAAGAGCATGACGTAGCAAAACATTTCCTGAGTACCTGCCTAATTTCCCTCCATGTTTGCACATTTATTACACTTGTTGCTATTTAAGAACTCTAACTACAGCATGCTCGACTAGACTTTGGTTACCCCTACTTTGTGAAGCTGAAATAACAGCATTTATGGTCAAGGCTTGAGGCCTAATGGAGATTCTTATGACCTTGTGCCCAGAGGCTCAATGACAGCTGCTTGAAATTCCTTCCTGCCAGAGCAAACAGGGAAATCAGGGGAACACGGACAGAGCCAGCTGTCCCCGAACAGAACAAATCTATATCATTCATAAAGGCTTACTCAAATACTTAATGTGTACGGCATCTCCTTTGTCTTGTTTAATCTTCTTTCCAAAAGGCAGATGAATTGATCAGGTGAAATATTTTAAAGATAAAGATAGCAAAGGCAGCCTTTACTGCAAAGCAACACACTTTTTTCTCTCATTTTAGGGAATCAGTTTGAATTTAATTTACCGTCACTGTGAAGCATTTCTATCGTTTTTGATCATTGAGTATAAGATTGCAACCTCAGAGAACATTTGAAAGCGTTTCGTTCATCAAAAACACACTGGAGTATATATTTAAGTGGCTATCTAATAGAAGCTGTTCACTCGTTTTGACCACATCTATTTTAAACGACAATCAACCCACACAGTGGCAAAAAAGGGGTGGGTAGGAAACTGGTCAGCCTACCTGTTTTGCAGGGTCATGTGACATCAGCATCTCAGGTGGAGGGATTGCTATCACGAGGCTGGGCGGCTTCTTGCTCTTAAGGCGGCTATCTGATTGACCCCCATATGGAGGGGGCTCCTCGCCCTCCTGTGAAGCCATCCTGTCAGAGTGCTGGAGAGAAAAAGACAGAATCAGTGACCGTTAGAACAACAAAGGAAACATTTTTGTCGCATATGGATAGTTTTGTGGAGATGGAGATACTTTATTTTCATTGCACTTGTGCGCAACGAAATTGCATGTACAGATGGGGAAAGAACACACAAGAGGGAGGGAGAGGAGGAGGTAAAAAAAAGAGACTGCTCTCATTAATATGAGTGTAGTGACAAAAAAAACCCTCAGCAACATGAGCACATTAGTGACACCACATTCAAAGAGATTCAGAGACATGCTATGGTTGTTTGGGGGGGGGTGGAATGGGTCATCAGTGATGGTGGGAAGCCCACAGCGCTGCCCATCGTGAGCGCCGCCAATCAGGGTACCGCCCACCGCACTGAGGGGTGGAGCATCAAAGGCGTTGGGTGGGGGAGAGGTGAGTGTGTGCGTATGTGCATGTGTGTGTGAAGGTTCATGGATGCGTGTGTGCGTAGGCCCAGGAGGTCACTCCGTCCATCGCCACAATCTTGGTGACCTTGATTGAGTTCCAGACGAAGTAAACAATCCGCAGGTGTCCATGAAGGAGGGGATTAGGGAGGAAAGTTCAGAGCGTCCAATTGCTGAGATCTCCTGGAGGAGTTGTGCCAGCATCGACCTTGGCCGAGGCCGATACCGAGGAGCCGAATAGTAGATTACAATGTTTGGGTTAGGGCGAGTAGCCACATTCCAATAGACTTCAGCTACTCTGATTGTCCATCCTGGTCTCTGTATCGATCCATTTTCTTTTGCAAAGTCGAAAGCCTCTCCAAGATGACATCTCCCTTGCGATCCTCAATCATGACTTGATGTTGAAGATTGGAGACCACCCCAGAAAGAACACATCTTGCAAACCTTATATATATTTGTTGTGCTAACTTTCTCCTGCTCTATGATGTCACCTCTGCCAACTTCACTTAACAAACAGTTGATTTTATTTTCCATTATCTGAGATTTGACTTCATATTAGCAATTTATTTGAAAAATCAATACTTTGTAAATGAGACGATACGATATATCACCAGACAAAATATCGCGGCACTATGCTATATTGATTTTTTCTCCCACCCCTAGTGAACATGTACATTTACTGGTGAATTTATCTTAATGCTCTATAACTGATCAAGTGGTGGTATGTGAGTAAAAATATGTAGAACAGGAGCACCAAATGCTCAGCTTTACAGACTGGAGTTACTGTGTCAAGGAAATCTCAGAAGATCGTTTGTCTGTTCTTTGCAGCCCCAACAATAACTCAAAGAGGAAACTATACACAGACTTTGATCTAAACAAATAGCCTCCTCAAGCAGCCCGCTGGCTCTTCTCCAGTTCAATCTGCTAAACGAATCATGGCACAGCCTGCTTTGTGATTACTCTCCGAAGCAATTTCTAGAGTGATTCCTTAAAAAAGGCCGACTCCAATTTAAATCCAGCAGATGAGGAATGGTGTTATATTAAGGATAGCAGCTTGTCTTCAGACTCAATGCTTTGGTATATGATTTGAGTTAATCCAATTGAGGATGACGAGCTTTACAGAAAGGGAGTAGAGGTGTCTAACCATGTGTTTCACCATAAAAATGTGCCAAAGATTACAGACAAATTTGCATAAATGGTTCAATGGAATGAAATCCCTGACATGCCTGAACAACTGTAAGTGTAAGGGGCAAGAACTGAGCAAACATGAATTGGCTTTGTTTCAATTTACTGGTTATTCTGTGAAGTCCTTATCAATTCAACTTAATTACAAAGAGACCGGAGGCGACACACAAAAAATAGTTTCACAAACTCAAGTTGTCTTTTAGGTCTCTTGCTTCACTGACTGAGGAGACTGCTTTATGTGGTCAAACAAAGCCGGTTACCAGCCTGATGAGTCAACCCAGAATTTCTTTCAGCGGCACAGCCTCAAAGAAAGGGCAGAAGAAAGGGCAGCGTTAGCAATCCCAAACATGAACAAGTCTGCTCTCAGCAAACTGTCCCGTTGTTAACGCAAGAGGCAGATTATGACATCAGAAAAATATGAAGGCGTTGGACACATCCTCCAATTCAGCCTTTTCCAAACTAAAGGTCAAGACCCAAATTGGTCACTGGCCAGTTTGTGTTAGGTCACCAATTGGCAGAATTGTCCTAGTTAAAGAAGAATTCCATCTATCACTGCTTTTTCATGTATTCAGGTCAGAAACAGAGTAAAATACCGAACACTTTGGTACATTCAAAGGAAAGAGTCAAAAGAGATGTCCATTTTCAGAATGGGGCATTCAAGAAATGGTATCAAAATAGTTAGTTTGAAAATGGAAAAGCAACACTGAGTAATGTGTTTGTGAATTTTTAGCTTTACACATCACTGGTTAGTTGGTGACAAGTAACTGAAATACTGTGTTAGCTAGTGAATGTGACGTATCAGCTGTAACTACAGTGTCTCTGTCCAAACCATAGACTGCATATGCTATGGACAACTTGGCTCCGCCCTCCATCATTATATGAATTTGAAGCCGAATTGCTCACAATATTTCTGGGATTTTCTCCACTTCCTGGAACCACCACCTGCGCAATAGCGTTGTACACATTCCGCCACTTGCGCACTTCTGGCTGGAGGAGGCAGGATTTTTGACCTATACTGCAGCCCATCACCAGAGGGTGCTGTTCTCGCTGTGGCTTCACCCAATGAGGAGGCAGACGGTATCCATTCTATAAACAGTCTATGGTCCAAACCCGACGGTCAGGCCATTTTGTCATCTTCGAACCTGACTGAAGCACTATGTAAACCCCAGCAATGAGGTACTGTTACAAAATTCCTTTAGCGGTTTGTAAATTGCTTAAACACAATCAATTTGGCTCTGACAGTCACAGGAGGGCAGACTAAGAGGAAAAATCACTCATTAGTAAAAAGTGTGTAAAAAGTCTTGTTTGAATGGCATCATAATTTACATATAACTGTATACAGCTGTAGTGACAGAAAAAATCAATTGCTCAGGTGTAACCCTGTGGTATATATGACAGCTGGTAGATGTGCTGTCTAAGCTGTAACACTGACGGTTCTATATGGAATTAATAAACACGAATATAAGGTAGAGCTGTTCCCATACCAGTAATAATAATGATAATAACTGTCTTTAAGAAAATAAAAATACGTATCAGTTTAACCACAATACATAGAATAAATTAAGATTAGTTTACTTTTATTTGGACTGGAATAACAACATTAAGTTAGTCTTTGTATCTTTACAGTTATGAAGTTATAACATTGAATTTGAACTTTTTTTATTTTTTGGTTTTCTGTTAAGCAATATCTCAGCTAATTTGGCCCAGTTGTTTTTATGACTATTACTGTAATATCATTATGCTTTTTGTTAATTATGAGTTGAAAATCTCATATCTTGGCAGCCCTGATATAAAGACAGTAGTTCAAAGAACAAAGCTTTGTCGCTCTGATCAGTCTGAGGTACTGCTGCAGAGCTACTTCTAACTTTAGTAAGAAAAGCTCTGTGAGAACACTGTGGGTAACCAATTTAGAACTTTCAAATGTTCAATTCAAATTTAAAACAGTTGCAAGTTTTTTTGTTAGCCACTAAATAAACAAGAAATGAATTCAAAAGCACCTAATCTACTGTCCCGGGCCACTAATGGAAAAGCAATTGATACGGCATCTGTGTACAGCAGGGATCAATAGTGACCTTTGATCATCATGCGTCCTCCAGGTGGTTGGTAATCCAACAATAGCCTTGCACTCTATGTATTGATTATTTATATTGACAACCTGGCAGGTGGAGCTTGTTCTGCGTATACAATCCTTAGATGATGCTTTAAATGAGACCATCGTCTTGTGTCCAAACACATTTTACACTCAGCTATTTAAAAAAATATCATCACACACCGAGGCACCGGTATTATGACTCACATTGAGATCACTGTCTTACACTCCGTATTTACAAACACCAAATTATATTTAGCAGACGACAACACATGCGCACACTCTGAAATATCTGTAAGTATCAACTCCACAGACTTCGCAGATGAATTGATGAAGTAAGACTTGCTACTTTTACCGTCATGGACAAAAGAAAGAATGTCAACCTTACTTATCTCTGTCTTCCAGTCACCGCAGAGCGACCACTCTACTCCTGAAGCTCTGCGTGTCTCGCAGCGTTACACTGAATATTCATATATTCAAACATATCAGAGGCATCGCAGACGTAAATCTGTAATGTCACCGGCTTTGGCCAACACATCCATTATGTCATTAGGGGTCTTGAAAGCCTTGAAGCTGTCCTGGAGCTGTGGTTTATAAAATCAATGTGAGGCCGTGGGTGTCTGAGGCAGGAATGGCAGCAGCAGGGAAATCTGACACCAGCTCGGTCAATAGCCTACTTTCTACCACAGAGCCAGAGTACAGCCAAGCAGGGCTGTACATTTTGTTTGTGTCCCTACCCTCTGATAAAACAAACATTTCTGTAATACCTGTAAGCTGAGACGGCTGTACATTTCAATTTTGTCAACAGTGTTTTCAATTAGGACTAATACATATTTTAAGCTTGGGCAGACAGCCTGATTGTATCCTCTTGAGACTGAGAGGGGCTCCTGGCAATCTTTTCCGTGGTTTAGGAGTTGTGGGTACGGGCTGAAAGGCTGGAACCTGTCCACTTACATAATGAAATAGGGAGGAATTTGGCTAATGGACAGAGTGCTCCAGAGGCAGAGGGAGCATATACCATAGACTATCAGTGTAGACGTGCAGTTTTAAGGATCCACAGAGGAATACTAATGGGACTGGGCTGCAAATCATATTCTCCAGAGAGTAGAAAACAGTGATATAAACCTACAGAAGTTAATAGTTTTTAAGTCTCTTCTTAAACCACACCTCTTCTCCTTCACCTTTGTTCCTTAATAAGATGTTGGCTTGATTTGATTTGATTTTTATCTTATTTCATTGTTTCCTTTATTGCACAGCTCTTATTTTACCTATGTTATCTGCCTTTTAGATTATTTTATCTGTTTTTAATATGTAGTTTTATGTTTTAAGTAAGATGTTGTGTCTTTATTTCTGATACATTTATTTATTACCCTGTACAGCACTTTGGTCATCTGTGGATGTTTTAAAGTGCTCCACAAATAAAGTTAGATTGGATTGGAATAGGACAGGGGACTCTTTCTGGGATGTAAACACTGATGCCCAGCTGTCTTGGAGCTGGCACATCTTGTTCCTGAATGATATATGACAGTTAGGGCTGTGCGATATGGCCTCAAATCAATATCACGATATATTGAGCAGTTCAACTTGATAACGATAAATGGACGATAACTACTCCACAAGGTGCTCACCCCCTCCACATTAACTTCATCTACTTCAGCTGCTACAACTTTTGAAGCGTTCAGTTTTTTTTTACTCTTTGTTATGAACTGGATAGGGTGGAGTCAAGACTCCGTTGTAGGGCAGCGTCTCAAAGGGACATGAGACCATAGCCTACCTACACACATCCAAAAACAACTTTTATTTATTTATTCGACATTGAATATACCGATATGGACAAAATGAGTTATTGTCAGTTATGAGTCAGTTATTGTCGTAAATTTTGGTATTGGTACATTTTTGGTTTATCGCCCAGCCCTAATGACAGTTACAAAGAGCATGGTGGCACTACATAAGGAGCCACGTTTTAATTTAACAACCAATTCATGTTGAATTGTAGCATGAATTTCTCTAACAGAGCCACAAAATGAAAGTAAAAAACCTCTTCTTTTAATATCAGTCAACCATTAAGAAAGCTCTATTTAATGTTCCGATTCTAACCACAATTAGAGTTCAGTCTTGGTGACAGACCAAGGTGGAAGTGAAACCAAGAATTGTAAACTGCTTTGTCTGCTTTGATGTGCCTTCATACTATCCTGCGAGCTCTTCTGTGGGAAAATAAACTTGACTCGTATTGACCTACCAACCAGTATGGACAGTTGCGAAATCAAGAGAAGAAGAGGACGGACAATGAACAAACAAAAACAGAGCAGTTCTCAAGCGGTCCCCAGAGGAGGGAAAAAACCTGATCAAATCTCTTTAGAAATTGAATTACTTTAAGCGCCACTTTAAAAAGGATCATTTTACAGCAAAGTTATGGTTTTAGTCTGACTGCTGTACAACCACAGCACCAGTAACCATCTTTTTTAATGAAATATTGATATTGTTTTTGACATAAGCATCCAGTAGTGATGTGTAACTAAGTAGTCTACAGAGGGTGGCTCTTCACACCTGTTGCCACTCACAACACAATACAGAAACAGATGACGACTTAGTAACTAGCTGGCTTGCCTTGACTGCAACATGTGAGTACCATGATCTGCAGAAACTGAAGCTGCAGATTCAAGTGTGTAACAGTAGCCTGTTGTGTGGTCATTACTGCAGTGCAAAACATGTTGAAGGAGATGAATGATGAGGTGAAGTCCTCAACTACCCACACCCCAATACGCTTCCTCATCAGTATTTTGCTGGAGTGTCGCTGGAAAACATGTTTTGCAGAAACACACAAATACACAAGAAAGTCCCAAGTGTTCATTTTAAGAGAGAACTCGCTCTCTTTTCCCCATCTCTGTTACCATAAATGCATGTGCAGCTGATTTATTTATATTTTTTTAAGTACTTCCACTCTGTTCTTTTTGCTTTACTGACGTTTTTATTCTGCTGTCTTCACTAAGTGCTCCTCGGTTGAGAAATAAACCTAAGCAACAGGATCCCCTGGACAGACTTTTGATATTAGCTCAGTTAGTTTTGTTTGAACGTACATGACCATGATTTCCCTGACTGCTTCTGGAAATGTTAGCAAGGAGCAGCAGCAGAAGGGCGTGTTTGTTTAACAAATACGGATCACTGACCCCTTGTACACTAAAGTTCACACTTCTCACAGCAAGTGATGTGAAAACTTGATTTTCGAATGAATGCAGTGAATACACAGTTGATATTTAAGAACAAAACAGGTGGTGTGAGCTGAAAGATTTAAGAAAAAGACAAAAAAATTGGTCTATTTAGTGATAGATTTCCATTCCTCATGGGTGGTGTTACTTTGAACCCCGTCAACTCTCTTCATGCGGTCATGGATACCAGTGAGTCACATGTTTGAGGCATGGTCACAGTGACATCATTTAGAGGCAGTGTCAACACATGATATGGAAAGCACCAACACGTCCGAGACTGTTCCGTTTGTGTCAGCCGTCCCCACGCCTTTGTGTTTGGTGGTATCACACGTTTCTCTGTGTCACCATGGTTAAGTCTCTGTGGACAAGGCCTGCTCTGAGAATGAGTCAGTGTCGTCACCTGTTAACCGGCAGACAATCCTCACTGCACAAAAAAAAACACTCTGATCTGTGGATCTCAAAATGTGTGGGTTTGCAGACAGGACAAATGGTCCTTATCTCATAATGCCACACATGTCTGGCATGGCAGGGTGGGGGATGATATCATGTTTCATTTTCAGCCACACTCAGACTGAGCAGCAGCAGTTGACCGAGTACACTGAGGCCAAGTACACTTACTGTGTGAAGTGGAGGCAGCACTCAACAAACATGTCAGACAAGAGCACTTCTCCAGGCTTGCTTCATAACATTATTAATTTGATTTAATTATATTTAATTCAAATAATTTTTGTTTAGTCTCATTCCATTTCATTTGAGGAGGAAGCATGTACATTATCAAACATAAATGATGCCATTTAAAGCAGTACACAAGAGCTAATCTACAGCTGTGGTTGTGTTGTAGGGCTGGGCAATATGGCCTCAAATCAATGTCACGATAACGAAAATTGGACGATAAGCTGCTCACCCCCTCCCACATTCACTTGGTCTACTTCAGCCGCTGCTCCAGCCGCTACAACTTTTGAACCGTCCTCCATCCCCTTACCTGTTTTTCCCTCTTTGTTATGGACTGGATGGGGTTTCTTAAAGGGACATGAGACCATAGCCTACCAAAACACACCAACAATGGGCAAAATGATGTCAGTTATTGTTGTAAATTTCGGTATCAGTAAATTTTCGGTTCATCGCCCAGCCCTATTTGGCTGTGTCATTTGAAATGTTTAAAAATTTGAGGGTCATGGTAGTATAAAGATACGTATCAGGTGTGAAACAACCTGATTTGATTTTAGAGCTCTCTAGCTGCCAAATGAAAATGAAAATGAGATATTACACCTGTATGACTGTATATCTCTGGCTTTTTTCTCACGTCTCAGCAAGGGGAACTACTTTCAAAACTGCGATTAATGTGTCACAGTTTTTTTCTGTGTGAAGAGGGGAGTGAGTCTAACTGTAACTTGAGGTATTTTGAGTTTCAAGCTCAGACTTGTTTTCTCTTCTATTCTAGGCATTTATGTGACTCATCTGAGTAACTTGTACAAGTTAAGGGGGCTTTAACCCCACCTCGGCTCACAACATTCAAACATGTAATCCTAATGTTCTTACAATGAAGAAGAAACAGAGCTTTAAGCAGGACCTCAGAAGAAAGATGTGGTTTCCCTGCTTTAAGAGGAACCTCTGTTGGGTTACCAGCAGAGAAGTGGGTTTAGTTTTTTATAATATTCCTCAAATAGAACCTAATGACTAGAAACAGACTAAAATTCCCAAGTACTGACTAGCAAGTTTCTGTTCCGAGGAAGGGTTTAATATATCACTTTAATTAACTGTACCCCATACCAGCCAGCAGCCAGAGTATGTCCAGCTTTTTGAATCAATACCCATGACTAAGTTTCTCCAAATATCTTTGTCCAATGCAAGTATGATTTAAAAATTTTAGACAATTGAGAGGCTTGAATGACGTATATTGGATTTTCAATTCAAGCTCCCGTGAAAGTTCTGTGAATAACTCTCTGATTCTGTCAGTAAGCAGGGATGTTTTGTCCACTTGGCCTGCATTAAACGCACGAGTAACACTTGTGCCCAATACAGACTGACAGAGACGACAGGGATGACAGAAATGCCCCCGGACCACACTTTCTTTAAGTCCTGTTCTTTAGACTGTCAGTGAGCACCACAAATACTGACAAACATAATTTATTCCAACAAAGCCACGTGGTGAGACGATAAAAAATTAAAAAGCAGTGACTGGTATCTGACAAGTCAGTATTACAGCATGGTATGTTCACCAATTTCACACAACTTTGAATGTGAGAGTCAAGCCCATGTAGTCTGTAGTCAAGCCTCATGTCACATCCTTCCTGTTTTCAGACACCTTGGATATGCTTCTTCACACTTTTTTGACCTACAACGGTTATATTGAAGGCTAAGTGAGTCCCTTCTGTCATTAGCATTAGCATTGGGTCTATCATCTGCATTTGCATCATCTGTGCATGTCATCATCAGAAAAACTTGTGCTGCCAGTGGTCTACTGATACTTCAGATAGACTGTTTCTGAAACTCCAGAAGGCTAAAAGAAGAGCTGACCTTCGGAAAACTGCGTCATTACTTCTTCCTCTTTTTCTTTACATCCGCCAAGTTCCAATTCCCCTATGAGATCCTGACAAAACACAAAGGCAAGCATATCTGTTAGTTGATCAGGATTGTTTTATCATTCACACCATCTCAATTTCAACGCCACTAACTTAAGATCACACATTTTAGTGAACTCGAGGCAATGTTGAAATCTATTTCCTTCGTTCTGAAGCACATAATCATTGAGAGGAGTGCAGAACAAGTGCGATTAGAAACACTTAAGTCTGTGGATGAAAGTGTGTGATTCATTACCAACACTGAGAACAGGATAGGCAGCAGAGAGGGATGATGTTAATTGCATGTTCACATCCTCAGATACATTTTCTTTAGATAATTAGAGCAGACCACCAAAGAGCACAGCCAGGGCATCAGTATCTTTGATCTTGGTTTTGCTATTTTAATCTTCTTAAGAAGGACTTTGGTGAAGAGTACTATACGTGGCTATGAGGCAATTTGGTAGAATGATACACATTGTTTAGTTATTTAAATATAACTCAACAAATGTCTCTTTACTTATGGTAACCTATAGGGCTGAGCAATAAGGCCTCAAATCAATATCACAATAAATTCAGCAGTCCACCATTGTCTACTTTGTCCAGCTACTATAACTTTTGAACCGTCCTTCATCTCCTCACCTGTCTTTCCCTCTTTGTTATGGACTGGATGGGGTGGAGTCACATGTCCAACGTAGGACAGCGTCTTAAAGTGACATGAGACCATAGCCTACCTACACACATCCAAAACCAACTTTTATTTATTTATTTATTATTTTGACACAGAATATATTGACATGGGCAAAATGACATTGGTTATTGTCGTAAATTTCGGTATCGGTAATTTTCGGTTTATTGCCCAGCCCTAGTAACCTATACCACTGAAGACTTCTTTGTAAGCACTGGCAGCTAGCTAGTGTAAATATTTAGTTGCAAGCTATTCAAGCAGTTGTGAATTAAAAATATTCCAAACTTGATACAGGCTGTTGTTTTACACTTTGGATACCAGGACAGTCCAAATTAGGAACATTACTTGATATTTTTCCAAAATGAACCCAAGAGTTAGTTTACAGGGTATAAAACATATTGAATCAGCACATTTAAAATCATTACCACAAAGCATTTTGAGAGAAATAAGCAGGACAAAGACACCCGGAATTCATGCATCTAGTTTTTCCAGTAGGGAAATGTGGAATGTACAGATTTTATTCATGTTTGAGGTGCAGCCCTAAGAGTAGGAGTACAGCAAGTTAAGGATATGTGTCTGAGATGGATGTTGTGCAACACAAGACTATTTACCAGCTAAAGGCAGGCTCTTAGTGTTGTAATCAAATCAAACAGAGAACAGGTTGCAGGTCTAGGGTTCATCTGGGGTAAGTACTGCTGCATGGAAACATACAAAAGGGAAACAGCATGAGTCATTTTAACTTAAGTGTTAATCTAGTGTAAAGAGGAAGATTAAATGTTGCTGCAACCTGTGACCTTAGAGTAGCATAGGCTTTTTAACAGATGTAATCTGTCTAAAAGTGCAGCAGGAGGCTAACTCTACGATCAGTTATCTTGATATTTTTGTCCATTTTGTGGCCAAAAATGAAACAGTGCGGTTGAACTCTTTTCGCAGTAATTCTTACACTAGACCTGCAGGTAGAGCTGGAATTGTCATCATACTTTTTAACTATGGTTATTGAGACTAAAGGATTATTATGCGGCCTGCTGTGTTGTCCCCATTTATCTTGAATGAAGTGCAACCCTCCCTCTCCACCTTAACAACAGAGTGCTGGCATGGTCACTCCCTTCAAACAGCTCTCACTTTAACAACATCATGAGCAGCTCGGATCAATGTGAAACAAAGTACAGTAAGGTGGGCTCCACTCTAAGATTAATGGGGGACCACTGGAGCTTCAACATGTTGTGCAATCAGTGGTATCAGTCTATCAGTCAGCCACAGGTGGAGAGAGGAGAGCAGGGAGAGGAGCAGGAGGTCGCAGGTGTGTGTATTTTTGTGTGTCTGGGCAACATGATGATCACGACAAGAGAGGCTGTAGGTGTAACCACAGGCAAACATCGCACAAACGAGACTTAGACGACGCTAACGAGCAAATGAGACGTCATTCTGAATCATAATAGAATACAGGAGGCCAAACTTAAATGACAGCATATTGAATCTGAAACAGCTTCTGGCCATTGTTTGATGTCAAATCTGTTATGATGTATGGAGTAATGCAGTTGAGTAAAAATATCAATCTTTCTTTTCTTACTATTTTCAGATAAGTGGGCAGAAATCCAACAGTCCCTTCTGGCGATACTGTCAAACCAGCTCTCTCATAATCAGTATCTGCTGTTGAAAAACTGATATCAGCCGATCAAGAGTCACTCTCATCAGCCATGAATATTGTACTGTATGCCATATAAGCTAACAACCAGCTGTAAGAGCTCCAAAAACAAGCAGGCTCTCGTTTTGGAGATTCAGTCGGATAGTGGCTGAAAGTGTTGGCATTATTCATACAATAGATCGTGCTGTTGGTAAAATATATTTCTGACAAGTTGAATTTTCCTAATGAAGCCTGTGCATCTGAACAAAGTGAGCTGTTGTACACATCGCATGCTGTAAATAAAAGCCCATAAAGGCCTCAGTGTGAGGGAGCTCCACAGTACTCGGGCCAGCAGCCAGCTGGCACAATGCCCTGAGAGTAAAGAAGAGTGCTCTGTTTTAACCAGACCTTTTTAAAGACAAACAAAGCCTTTGATAGCAATGAAATGACATCCTCCTCATAAACTTCATACGAATGCTTTGAAAAGGTGGAGCATGATCTGCTTTGGTCCCTCTGATCAAGACAGAGCTGGGAGTTTTTTTTTTGCCAACAGGAGCTGTGTAGGTTGGAGGGAGTGTGAATTTTACGAGTGCAAAGCAACAATCGAATCTGCCCCCTCATTCTTCACTTCCAACCAAAGAATCTCTACAAGGTGAAGAAGATGAATCCCTAAACATAATCTTGGTTCTTTACATACCCCATTACCTACCTTTGGCCGATAACAGCACCTTTACTCCTCAAACAAATCAATAGTTCTATTCCAAAGCAGTGATCCAAGTTCACAATCGAGGTGTGCTGTGAGGTACCTTGGCTTCAACCTCACCATCCCTCACACAGTTCAAAGCATTGAAACACTTTCCAAGAGCGTGCATGCCTGAACACGCACAGAATGAAAGCTACTATGCAATACCTTAGCCTTATTCCTTACAATGTGACCTAAATAACTGATCTTCAGAGTGTGTGTGCAGACACATGTAAAAATAGGTAGGGCTGCCCTGTCACGCTGTGCTCTTAGCCACTGGTGCGGCGATAGCGCAACAAGTGTGTGTGCATACATGTGTCAACAAAAACAGCGAACTTCTGAGGGTTTTGTAACAGAAATTTGGGACAGCTGGGTACGCTTGGCTGTTGTAGATGTGAAAACAAAGCAGTGTGTACTCTCACTTACTGTCACAAACTGGCTGTAGCGCCAGACAGAAAGTGAGCGGAGACATTTGGTCCTTTACTTGCTCTTGTAAAAAATATACAGGACAGTTAGAGGTTTTCTAAGCCACAGGAAATAACTGGTCTTTGTGACCTACTCCATGCACTGCTGTGAGGTTTGTATTTGAGCTGGAGTACAGAAAGCCTTTTATGGTTAATAACACTGAGTTTGAAGGCATTCCCTTGGTGTTCGGATATTTCTGGATCATGTATCCTAGTCTGTCAATGAAGGCTGGCATTCAAGTGTGGAAAAAAATTCCTAAGCCTGGCCAGCAGCTCTTGTTACTAAACTGGGTTGGTTTTAAAGAAGGCAAAAATGCAGTGTTTTTCTGGGCCTGTCATACCATACCAGTAACAACAGATAAGATCTTGGAATGAAAGCCCCAAGAGGGGAGCGACAACAACAAGACCGTGTATGCGCTTTGCAACAGGCTTTAAGACGCTGAATGTAAGACATGCAGACAAGTTTAAGAGTAATGAAATTAACTGAATATCATCCAGATGTGTGCAAGATAAAACAGGACTGTGATTCTGGGTTGGATGGGGAGGTTATGATGGAGAAATTGAAACCTCACAGCAGATGCAATCTCTACAGCTTCTATCAAAAGAACGATCAATCTATTAAACCACTTCACAGTTTACAGGAGAGCTGTCGGGAAATCCATTAAGTACTCTGAGAATTGTGCTCCATCTTTTAACCACTGGAAAAATCAACTAGACACACCTAAACAAGATTACAAAAACGGCACAAACTTCTCCTCCAAAACATGAACAAGGTAAAAGTGAAATATGTGTTTTCTGATTCTGATGACAGAATAACCTTGGGAATAAACTCATGTTTCCTGAGGTGAATGTATTATGTAATTTTTCCTTATTTGTGCTGGGTCATAATCTCCCCCAACACTGTCCACTGACTCAGTGACAGCTGCAACATAGCAGTTCAACCATTTAAAAGCAGAAGTGTATTTACTGAAGGTCAATAACTGGGCACTGGCTCTAAGATAAGTAAACAACGTAGATTAATTAATTAATTAATTTCCACTTTTTGAAACTTGTTGCCAGCATGCTCAACAAAATGAGCAGATATTTTCCAAAAGGAAACCATAAAAATAAATAAATCAGCTATATCTACATTTCTTATAGTCTTCATGACATACAAAATCACATTTACATTTGAAATAGCATACTACCTCTTAGGGAATTGGGGTTGCTTGGAGTTAATGCAATTTCTGGCATACCTGGGGCAAATGTCAGCACACCGTCAATCAGCTATATGACATTGTTAGATATATCTATTGATGATGAAGGTTTAACACTCTCAGTCTGCCCCTTTATGTGTATTTCTTAAGTAAAAAGTAGGGATGCACCGATCCGATATTTGATATCGGTATCCCACTCGATACTGAAGAAAATTCTAGATCAGGTATTGTGACAATGGGCCCGATCTATTTAGTCTAATTCTATACTATGTGCTGTGAGTGGCATCCACAAGTAAACAAGCTGAGTGGATGCCCACGTGGTTTTCAATATGGAGCGAGCAAAGGGGTCTGCTATCTTGAACTTTATCACAATACCTCAGCCTATAAGCTCAACAGCCACTTGCAATACCTGTGCAGTAAACCTTGTGAGGGGCAGTGGTAAAACTTCAGATTACAACAAAAGGTAATTCAGCGTGGCTTTTCTGTATCAGAATTGGATTGGTATCAGCCGATACTTAACTGTAAATATCTGTATCAGTATCGGAAGGGAAAAAGTGGATTGGTGCATCCCTAGTAAAAAGCACTTAAAAACATCAAAATCAGTCATGGACTTTGAGTTTGTTTGATGGAATATTTCATTTAAGCAGAGATCTTTGCACAGGCACTTACTGTTAGAGTTACTGTAACTGAGATTTTGACCACACCTTCTTAAGTCACCACAATCTGCAGATCTTTGAGCATAATTTCAGTGTTAATCATATGTTAGACAAGTCAGTACATGATAGGGGAGACAAACCTATAAACGTCAATATACCATTAAAAAAAGCTGCAGCTGGTCTCTAGACACACTGTCAATGTTTCATTAACCTGATCCTAATTTAACAGAAACTCAGCAACCAGAAACCAGGAATGTAAACAACACCAGGTACCACTAAGCTACATTTCACCCTGTTAACACAGTTCAGATTATTGTAACATAAAATATTCAAATCCACTTCATAACACAGAGATTTCCATTCATAAGTGTAAGAATATTACACACATTTCTCTCAACAGAAGTGAGGGGGTGACTTTTTAACCCATACATTTTGTTCCTGCAGTAACTTAAAACCTGTCGTTCATGGAAAAGCTCCTCTCTGTTCCTGAGTGTTTCTACAGACAGATGGACATGAGGACAGTTATTTTTTGGGTCAATAACATGAAGCCCACATGGTCATTTCTTCACTAGTTACAGAATAAGTCAAACGCTGTGTGAGAAAACTCCCTCCTATACCCACGAGTTTTAAAAAGAAGAAGAATGAATGCAACAACAAATGAATTGGTCGGTACACTGTGACTACAATTAGCTCAAAGGGGATTAGGGGATGAAATTTGAGATGAATATTGGTATTTGTCAGAGCGGGTAGAGCAACAAAGGGCTTGTCGAGGCATGCTTTCCCTTTACCTCAGATGAACATTACTGTTGCCGACATTCACAATGAAATCTACTGGGTTTTAGTCAGTTTACAAAAGCCTTGGTGAGCTGGAAATTGTTCAAATGTGGTACTTTCTGGTTTGATGTGTGTCTTCATTTTAAAAAGTCGATAGTAGCCGTAGGTTTAAATATGTCAGTTCAACGTTGACTTTAAACGACCAAAACGCTTATTAAACACAGTTATAAGGTCTGAGGGGAAATGTAACACTCACCTGCGCGAAGAAATATCTGGGTTATTATTCATGAAGTATCCGATAAGCAACAGTAGAGTCCGTTACTGTCCACCGGTGTGCTACTACTTCCCTCTTTCTCTATTCTAACATCCTTGAATGCAGTTCCACGGAGGAGCGGGGGGGCGGGGCTAGCGTAACGACTCATCCCACAGAGGAGACGAGCCAAGCCCCGCCCAAAACGGCCCGCCCGCGTGTGGGAATGGAAGAACTACAGGAGCCGCTACAGTCCTAAATTTATGTAAAACGTATACAGTAAACAGCCTACAAAAGCGGGAGATTAGCTGTATTAGCTGTAAATTCAAAGGTACTTCTATTCAGTCGTAAACACCAACTGATGAAGTTATGTCAAGTACACAATATGCTTCACAATATTTTGAGCAAACTGCTGAAGAATTAAAACAAATTGCCGTCAGCAAAATTCATCCATAGAGAAGAGTGGGGTAAGTTGAGCCAAAGGGTAAGTTGAGCCACCCCCTGTTGTTTGGAAATGGGAAAAGAAATTGACCATGTGAGCAAATATTTAGGAGATGAGTGTCAATTCATGGAGTCTGTGAAGGTTAGAAGCACATGGGTGATAAAAATACACATGAATGTAGAGAAATGACGGTTATTTAGGGAGAGACTTATCCCATACACAAAGTAGGTTGACCATAGGAGACCACTTTTTTTGCATGTTGTGTTTACACTCATTCTGTTGATTTGCAGAGATGCAGAACATCTTTAAATATATGCAAATTCACTAGTTAGAGACAAAACTATGATTGACTTGATGATCCGAAATATGACAAATGGCTCATTTGTCTCATCTTACCCCACTCTCCCCTATTGTTGTTGAACATATGAATGGATGGCAGTTTTAATTATGACAGATAAAACAGAATTCTGTAGTTAAATTCCATATAAATTCTGTATAAATTTCCCTTTTTAGATATCAAAAAAAAAAAAAAATCCATCACTTTTGCCTTTCAGATTAGGCTTTTTATTTTAGTTACCTCCAGTGGCAGGTGTACCATTATCCTGTCCTGAATGAACTTTCAGGATATGTCCCAGAAGAAACTCACATATCAAATGTCTAGTTGCCTAACCATTAGTTACTAGTTGTAACTTTGATTTCAGCTATCTGAAATGGAAACTTTCCAATATCCACAATGTGTTTGGATACATAGTTAAATTAATTAGTGCCAAATCATAACAACCACTGGGTCAGAAGAATAATATTGTGGGTATCTCTAATAAAAGTGAAACAGTGAAAGGATTATATCATATACAAAGACTGCACAATAATCATTATCAACATTTTATTCATTGAACTTACAGGTAATATGGTTTAACAGCAGTTAAAATCATGTTAGAAATCAACATTTTTCAATCATGTACATCAAGAAAATGTTCCACAGTTGTTATACAGCTAAGTCATTTAATATTGCAAGCTTATTACAGAAATCAACAGTTTTAAAGTCATACAAACACAGAAAAGTTACGAGCATTGTGAAATGATATCCTTGATTGGTTTAAATAAAGAAATGAAGACATTGTTAGGCACATATTCACCCCACAATCATCTTGACACTTCACAGTGAGGCTTTAGCTCAAAGCCCGCCTTTCAGTGTACAGTTATTACTTTCACAACATCTCTTATCATCTTTTATTTCTCATCACCTTTCATTTATGTCAATTGGGTTGCGCTGTCATAAAAATATAACATTTCTATTAAATAGTGTACATCACTGCTTCATAAGTCAATTCATCGGAGATTTATTAAAAATAAAAACAAAAAAGCAATACTGTAGAACAACTTATTCCAGTTTGCATTTAATTATCTGTAAGCTGTTTTTTAATTTTAAGAGCATACTAGCAATCGGTTTATCATTGTGTTGTAGTTTGAAATGTGTTTGACTGAAAGAGGAAAAGGGTATTTGAAGGAGTTAGCTGAGGTTTTGACCCTTCACTTAATACATTTACGCCACGCTGCAGGGAGGGAGAATACTAACTCACATGTACAGTGCATATGTGGCGTCATGTCATACTCCATTATTGTAAAAATGAAACTAGCCATTCTTAAAAAGTGCTTTTGATTTTCTTTACCATTGTACACAAAAAGTCCTCCCATCCAGCAAACACATTCAATATCATAAAGACACAGATTATCCAATAATCTTTCCTTTTCACATTCAATCGTACAGATTAAAAAAGGTTGCTGTATTTATGGAGTCGATGATGAGTATGACATTGTTATTCATGACGTAGGAAAAGATGTGTCAGATAGTGGGATAAATTCTGGTTGTATTACTTTCCCGTTGAGTTGCTTCAACTAATCTATTGTAGTTTCTTTCTATCTAGTTAAACTTTTTGGCATTACGGCCCTTGGCCTCCGAGTCGGACACAGTCACTGTTCTCTCAACAAAGAAAAAACTACTCAAATATAAGAGCCTTCTAACTTACAGAGAGTATTGGATACTAAATAAAATACTAGCAAATAAAAAAGGCAAAATACATTTTGAGTAAGGTATGAATTAAAGGCTGTTTAGTACCATTCAGTACAAAGTAAAACTTGTTCAAGTCTAAGTAAACAGAGTTCTCTGCCCCAAAGATGTTGAACTTGATAAGCATGCAGAGGTTTTACAGACTGTATGAACAGATGTATTTTACAGATATATTTCCTCTTGATGTTTCTGCTGATCACTACTTAGTCATGAGGCTTTTGATCTGCTGCAAGTCACACCTAAGTTGTTGATAAATTCAGTGACATTACAGCTTATCTCATCTATATAGGAAGATGAGGGGGGTTTTCACACACTTGTGAAAAAAGATGTGGTGCAACAGCAATGTGCAACTTTACCTTCTTTGTGCTAGCATCAATTATCAGTAAAATGAATGTCTCTCTGATTAATGTTACAACAAACAGCACAGTGTCTTTTTAGATAACATGTTGGTCCTTGTAGTCAGGGGAAACTAAATATAGCGGTTGGTCTGTTTCCACAATAAAATACTCCAACATTATGTAACTTTCAGAGTTACATTCTGTACTTGTTAGGAAAAATAGAAAGGCATTTCAGTCTTTACTGGCTTACACAGAAAGCAGCAGCATGAAGAAAAGACTGGGTAAAATGAATAGTGGCACAATTGATTACAAATATGAATTAAAAAATTCTGCAATTTAGATCTGAGCTGTTTTAATTTTCTCATAACTACTAATTTACCCTACTGATTTTACTCAGATTCCCCCTGTACTGCCTTTTTTAGTTTGTGCCTAGTGCAATATTCTGCCTCAATAGCCCAAAAAGGACTAAACTGACAAATATCTCAGTACACTTAGGACTGAAGAGAGGCTGATTGTGGGTTTGATTGTGTCAATTTGATCACATTAAGAGAGTGAGTTATGTAGGGAAGACTGAATTCCTTCAAGCTGGTGGTTAATGCTGACCACCATGGGGATGGCAGTAAAGCACTGCCAAGGCGGGGTCTATATTAGCAGAGTTGAAGGGTCGCAGCCAGGAATCAAGGGAGCAATGGTCAGCTCACAGTTTTGAGCGCAGAGGCTTCAGGTACTTGTAGAAGGATTCATGGACCTGTGAAAGAAGGAAAGGTGGAGAATTTGTGAGGATTTGATATTAAACAAGAGTGGTGCCACATTTAGCATTCTGACGCTTTCAGTCATGAACACTGAACTAATAATGAAGTTGGTTTCTGTTCATTTGTGAGCCACCATAACTGACACAATTTCCTCAGCTTGATATCGTTTCATCAGTACAAATGGTTTCACCTTCCTAGAAATTTCATCTCTGACTAAGACTGACCTCTGTGGCGTTCAGGGGTGAGCGACGAGCCCACTCAAACATGTTCTCATAGACGTTCCCATCGTATCGCCCCAGGACTGAATTCAGCTTTTTGTCATTGTGGTCGAAGGCGTCCACTAGAGCCACGGCGTTCGGCCTCAGCTGAGACAACAGCTCCTTGATACGAACTGAAGTCTGCAGCACCTGGGGCACATTCAGCAGTCCAGCCTGAAACAAAAGACATGAAGGGGTTAATCAAAAAGGGCTTACCATGAAGAAGAAAAAACATTTTCTGACATTTACAGCAAAGAATTCAAAAGGTCAATAGATTAGTCATAATTTGATTTTCATTATTGGCTTAAAGGGCACAGAAGACACCAGAAAAACACATTTTATATATAGAGAGCAAATAAAGTTAGCTCATGAACAATGAAGCATCTGTATGACAGTAGACCAAAACAGTGTTCAAATAACTGGATAATTTTTTTATAAAATGTGCCGATAGCAGCTCCAGTAATAGATCAAATAGCTTCTCCTGACCTGTAGGAAGTCTCCAGAGTTCTTTGTGATGCCGTGCAGGGCGTAGAGCAGAGCCAGGGTGGACATCACTGAATGCACAGCTGTGTCACTGATATCACGTAGCTTGTCAGCAAAGAGCTTCACGACGACATAGTGGCAGTGGGCCTGGAGATACAAAAACACAAAGACACGTTAACAATGCAAAACACTCAGAGTACAGACGGGCAAGAGGGGACTTTAAAAGAGAATACAAGTATAATATAGTGAAATATGAAGTGGACTTTAAACCCTGTATTGATTTAACATTGTCTTGATACACAAAACAAAACACACTAACTGATTAAACTTACATCTGAGGCTCTGACCAAGTCGATGGCACTGTTGTTCCAGGCGTCCTCCTGGCTCTTCCTTCGCTGCAGCTCCTGCTGAATGCTCTTAGCTGCCAGATCTACCAGACTAGAAACACACGCACCAATAAGTCAAGTCAACATTCTTTTGTAAGAGTAAAATGTTTGAGGAATACTTAAAAAAAACACACACACACACAAATGTCCTTTCCCCTTTTATCCCTTAATCAGCGTTAGGACTGGCTGGTCACATTTTTCACTCTCAGCCACGGTGGCTCAGCTGCTCAGCGGTCATGCTCATTACATAGCTGGCTCTGAATAATAAAATTGATTTCACTCTGACTAAGAAGGATAAATGCAGTTATTAGACTAGGTGCTGGATGTTATGTCAGGGAGTAAAATGGACAAATGCAGAAACTGTAAGCAGAGGAGACCAGATTTACCACACATGCACAAACATGTGGTTTCAAAGCAGTGTATAACTGCATGAAAAAACAAGGTTAACTCCTTTACAGTTATTAAGAGTGTCTGAGAGGTCGTCTATCAGATCCAACAGCAAGGACAGACACGAAACAGTTTCTACCCTGCTTACATGGCAGCTCGTAGTTTGTAGACCTCCACCAGGCTGGCCAGGTCATTAATGTCCACCACAGTTGGTCTGGCAGCAACGGGCTGTGGCTGAACCCTGCGATGTTGTGCTTCGTTCAGGTAGGACACGATGCCGCTCAGCTGCTGGCCTGCCTTCGCCTGCCTGTAGCTCTTCACCAAGTATCTGTATTAACAGAAGCAAAGATGGTACATTGGTGAGGGATCATTATGCAGATGTATGTGGTTGATAAGCTGGAAAGTATCTCCGTCTTGTGTGATTGTTTAGCATCAATGCGAAATGTTCTTTTTTTTCTTTTTGAGTGTGTGTGTGTGTGTGCATACAGAGCAAATTTTTAATCACTTTTACCACCTTCATCTGAGATTTAATTCATTCTCATTAGTTCATCCTGTTGTTTTCAAACCTCAGACTATTCATGTTCAGATTGATCAACTCATCCTTCCTCGGTAAACAATCCAGCTCTGATACAAAGAAGCTATCACACGGAAAGAGATTATTGAATTTTTGAATTATTGAATTCCCCTTCAGGAATAAATTAAGTTATTCTTATTCTTATTAAATAGATGACAGTTTGTGAAGTGAAGAGCAGCCGTCACAGTTTCCATTTCGTGAAAGGAAATGTACCCTGAGTCTGTTTTAGTTGTGAGAAGAGAGCGAGTGTTAGGGCTGTTAAAATTGGCCAAAAAGGCTGTTTGGAGAATCACATTATTCTTACTGTTTGAATATCGATTCATAAGTCTTAAAATTATTTATATACTTGATCACTGCCAGAGCAAATCAATGCCAACATGCTGTACTGAGGGAGAGAAGGAGGAAGAGAAAAATATGATATGATATCAGTCCAAACATGAAGGTTATGGAGCTGTGTGCTCATTTCATTGTAAATGTATTTATCTTATTAAACATATGTCACAGGCTATCTAGTGGAAACAGAACTTGAGGGGGGGGGGGGTTAACCAACTGAATATTAATTTTCTCAAATGTCTGTTTTCAATATAATATTTAACCATACATTAAAATAGGGAATAACCACTTTGGTAGGTGTATCCCTGACATTTATGGCATGGTGGGCATGTCCATTCAGCAGATCTCATCTCAAAATTTAGTGCTGCAACTTTAAGAAAAGTGAGATCATAGAACCAGGTTTATTACAACAACAACACGAACTTTAAACAGCATTTGCAGTTCTGGCATGTGATAGTGTCATAAAAGGGTGGAGACCTGAGCAGACTGTGAACTTATTCCTGATAACGAGACCTTCCTTTGTGATCCCCCAATCTTACTTAATGAGTTACCTTGCAGTCTGCAGCATCATGACTGTGTTCTCTCCCTCGTAGGTGCACGTAGGTGTGAACTGGACATAAATGTCTGGCAAGGCACTGCTGCAGGAGTAGCCGTGTCCACCACATGACATCCGGCAAACCTCGATGGCAGAGTTGGCTTCCCATGTTGTGAAGGCCTTCAGACCAGCAGACAGGGCATGGAGCTGTAAAGATGAGGCACAAAGATTAGTTCAAACTCAAAACTAGGCTTGAAATGAACACAGTGGATGACTCATTTATGTGTTATTATCAGTTGAAATGATGATCTTATTTGATATAGTGAAAGTGTAATCCCATTATCAAACCTACAAGCTGGTTAGTCCTACACACAGGAGAAACAAAACAGACTGTCAGACTAACTAGCTGCTTTTATAACAATTTATCTCCCTTTAATTAACTGGAAAGACTAAAATTTAATATGCAATCCACTCAATATTTGGTCTTTATCACATCCTACAATAGAGCGTCCCGTCAGTACCTCAGGTAGTTCACTGAAATCTCCGTCGTTGATGTCTCCGGTGATTCGGTGGTAGGTCTCCCTCATGTACTGGCCGACAAAATGGAAGGCATAGGCTGTAGCCAGCAGTGGGAACAGCTTGTACTGCTGCGTCTGGTAGTCCAGGATCTGGGGCTCAGGCTCACTGATAAGGGCACAGATGTGGATTTAAGTTAAAAGTGTCGGATATGTATGTTTTCTACTTTCACTCACTCATTACACATTTTATTTAGAGCCTAAAAAAGTAAAAAAATTTACCAGAGGAAACAAATGCACACTTATGTAAAGTGGTTCCAGATTCATTCATTCATTCATTCATTAATCTATCATTCATTTACACATACTGACCCTGGCCGTATTTCAGACTGATGACGGACAGAGCTGTAGCGGATGGCGATGGTGCAGGCCTTTGAGAGAGCCCGAGATGACTCGCCTACAATCATGGAGCGAATGAACACCATGGTGCCATAGGTCAACTTGGAGCTTGGTGGCTTTGCATAAGTTCCATCTGGTGCCACCTAGTGGAGAGATAAAGACATAATGAGCAGAGGCATAAAAATGTAAAAACCAATAAACTGCAATTTACTTTGCTACTTTAAGCTCCTGTGAGATATGTTTCTATCTGTGTTGACTTTGAAGGCCTGCGTGGTCAAAGCTGATTCTTCAAAGCTGAAGTTTGCTGTCCTAGACGTGTGTAAGCAAAGTGTCCTGATCTTCATCTAGTCACGCTTCCCTTTGACAGTTCCATGTATCTCGCACTATTAACAGTGTAAAAAGTGAACAGACTGTAAATCATCTCACACCAGCCCCCTCACTGCAGTGCCATACATAAAAAAAATATGCAACATAGAAATTGTCAGTCTTGTCTGCTTTCTTCAGTAAAATCCATTTTGAGAAAAACCAACCAAAAACTCACATCATCATTCCTCAGAGTTTTACCAACTCTAATAATAACTTTTAATAATAAAATAATAAGCATTACATCACCTTTGCGAACTTCATCAGCATGTTATCTCGTGGGATCCGAATGTTCTCCAGTTTCAGATAGCCATTGTCAACCTCGTTAAAGCCGAACTTTGGGCCGATATCTCCAACCACGACTCCTGAGAGAGGGCGAGAAAGCAGGAGTGAGAAGTAAATTAAGAGAGATGAAAGTGGTAGAAACAGGATGGTGCATGTGATGCAACTCCACCTTATGAATGAATGAATGAATGAATGCTTTATTTCGAACATGCAATAAAGAAAACAGAATATAGGTGGTAACCATACACAAACACATGCATACCATAAGTAAAAGAAAACAAAGACTGCTGGCAACAATCTGCATGTTTAGCCGATCTATATGTGCGAAAAGGAGTACGAAGAAGTTTAAACTTAATTAATCCTACCCCTTTTATCAACAGTTCCTGTAGTGATATTTTAACTTTAAATATTTATAACATTTATACACGGTCACAAACTTAATATTTCACCAATAATAATTAATTTCTGTACATTTAATCCAGCTCTTCTCAAACACAGAAGAGGACATTACATAACAAGACAATATATATAATCAAGGCAGACATCACGGGCGGTGTTTACCTGGCAGGGGCAAATGTGTTTTCATGTCACGGAGCGGTACGATGAAGGCGTGCAGACCGTGGCAATTTCCCTGAGTGTACAGCTGGGCCAGAACGATGGCGTGGTTAGAGGTCTTTCCAACTGCAGAAGAAAAAGAGATGGACGGTTAAAACTAGTGTGGGTGAAAAGTTATTTAGTTGTTTTACTCAGACTGGAGAAAGAAACAACATCCTGTGGAAAATATGGGATGAAGCAAAAATGAGTGTGACTGTACTCACGTCCTCCTGGCCACCATTTGATGGAGCTGATTGTGGGACTGTTCAGGACGAACTCCTGTGTGGCTGGGTCATATGTGGCTGTGGTCTCCAGCCCTCTGAGGTGGGTGCCTACACAGAAACAATGAATCAAGGCCCAAACACAAATACATACAGAACACACAGAGGAAATAAACACAGGAAAAAATTACTACGTTTTAGAATCAGTATTGCTAACCAGAAATTAAACATTAAAATACAAGTGATGGGAAAAAAAAGATCAGTTATTAAAAGGATGTCTAAAAACATCTTAATTATGAAGCATACATGATATAACTCAAAACATCAATGACAAGAATAAATGAGAGTGACAGACAGTAACAGAACAAATGTTCAGCCCTCAGTCAACTTCTGAATTTTTGAACTTTTTCCAATGAAAATGCAGTAGGTGAAGGACAAATTCATGCACTTTGTAGGTGTTTGACAGATCTAAAAACATGTCATAATTTAAAACAATTTCATTCACACTGAGCCAACATCAATCACAAAGAAAACAGGTCGACAGGGGAACATCAATGGTGGGTTTCTTCATCTGTTTTAAAGCTGAATTGAGGCAGAATAGGACATGATGTTATACTGGACTACAGCCAGACCAGATCTGAAACTAATACTGAAACACTTGGAAACAATAGAAACAAAGAATTTGACCGAAATACATAAAAAAAAAGAAAAGATAGAGCAGGATCTGGTTTGTCCTAGAGGAGTTTCTGATTCACACTGGTTGTCTGAGAGCGAACATAACAGTGAGTACAGCTTCTGTAAGACTAGAAAGTTTTCAGAGATTAGACTCTGGCCCAAATTTCTTTCCGTTAGACAGGCCTTTAAATAAGGGAAACAAAAAGGATGTGATTCATTCTGTGATGCCTATCTAAAGCTTGTTGAACACAATTGTTTATCATCATGGATTCCTGGGTCACATTTCCCACTGTTTTAATCCATAGAGTTGACTTGGGCTTTGTTTACAACCTGCCTGTTTACAACCTGTGAGTAGTTTTGACTGAAATGATGAGTTTCAGGTACAATGATGATAAAATAATGAGAGCTGAGATGACACAGACTCTTCAAAAACATCAGAGGACATCATTTAGAAATTATTGATGGAGTCCAGCCCACACATAATTTACAGGACCTATGATAACATCACATTCATGCTCAACATTTTATTTGTGCTAAAGAACCTGGATTGTGATAATCATAATTTAAAGTCCTCATTGCAACACAGTTTGGGGATTTGGTGACGATATCAAAGAATCCAAATGATCCCTGACTTTCTGTCTGTATTACAGACAGGCCTAAACGGGCCCGTTACTTTGGACTCTGGATCATTTTACCGTGGCCCATCTCAGTCTGAGCGTAGGTGCCGATGATCTCTAGGTTCCAGGCGGGCATGAAGTAACGGTCCATTTGTTCAGGGGTGGCCTGGTTGAGCAGTGTGGGCAGGAACATTCCCAGATGGAGATCCAGGGGCTCCGGCCTGTCCGGGTGCACACACCTGGACCACGCAGCACAGGGGCAAAGGAAGAAAGGTGGTAATGCAGAAAGGGCAAAGAGAAGGGTGCACAGGGAATTTGATGATGGGTGAGGACAGTTTTTTTGGATCAACAGGAAGCATTTGGGGGGTAAAGAGAGGGTATGTGCAAACAAACAAAGTGATACAGTCAAATTAAAACATATCATGCACATTGGAATCATAGTCATGATCCAAAAATTTAATCATTATTAAATTCCACTTCATTCTGTTTCAAGAAGCCGCAGTTTCAATATTTCAGAAACATGTTGTGTTATTCTCAGCCAGTATGCAGTTAAGGGTCTTCTGCTCTTTATTTCAGAGTGTAGCCTGGTCAATCCAGGGTTTTACTGCTACCTATATTTTTTAAAACTCAGTGGTCACCAACCCATGTAAACGTCACATTCTTCAAAACCTGGATTTATTCTGGAGATGTTCACATCAAAACCCACCATGAAAAACTTTTCTAGAGGGCTGAATTAGACATTAAGGAAAAGTAGAGCTGCTAAGCCCCTTAAATTGTATGTTTCTTAGTGTTAGTCAGTACTCATATAGCATGATATAGTTATTTTTGGCTATTTAAATTTGCCCTCAAAAGACTAGGTGGAAATTTGTGAGATGGTTCAGACTAGTAGTCAAAGTCATCCAGAGCACAGGTGACGAAAATGAACATTTCAGAGTGTAGCTTTGTTAAAGTGAAAGACAAATTCATGATACCATCGTCTTGGCTTTATTACAGAGACACAGCAGACAAAAGCTGGCCTGGCCTAAATTCCCCCTCACTGCAGACCCTTCAGCCTCTCAGAATACAAAGAGACAATTACAAGCTGGAATTCAGCCTCATTATAGGCGACCACCAGAGGCACACATTTCTGCTGCACAGTCTCGCTTTACATGCTCAGAGATTGAAGTCTGGTTATAAGCTGATTTAAATTCCTGCTTGGATGAGATGCCAGCAGACAGACCAAAGACAGAGTTCATCATTTGCAAATTGATGGAAAGCAATAAAGATGACACACATAAGCAGCATGATCAGAGTACTGTTCAAGAAGGCATGGGAGAGTTGTGAGGAGAAAAGCAGCAGAACCAGCGACCTAAAGCTAAGTACATTTTGGAACTTTTAGGAGATACGACTAACTTGTGTTACTCTAAATTGTAAGTTGTGCTTGCTTAATTCATATGTATATATATAAAATCATGTTTTGTTAGAACAAACACATATTACTGTTAGGACATACATCCTCCTACTGTTAGCCTAAACTACATAGACATGATTTGGATCTGTCAAACACACACAAAGAATCACCAGAACCACTCCTGGTATCAAGAGTTTTTCCAACCTGCTGAAACAGGAATTTTTCTTCTTTCAAAAATATAATTTACCTCAATGTTTAAAACACACAGATCCCAATTTGGGTTTGCTATATGAGCACACTGAAGGTCTGTCTGAGGGCGTGATGCTACAACCATGTCAATAATTTAAGAGCTAAGTCCAGGACTGACCGTGACCCATCTCAGTTTGGGCGTATGTGCCCATGACCTGGAAGGACTCAGCCAGAGGTAACCACTTCCTGGCCTGCTCAGCGTCACACTGGCTGTACAGGTGTGGGAGGAACATGACAAAGTGTAGCCCCAAGGCTTCATGGTGGTGGCCCTTATATAAACTGCATGAAGGGAGAGTACATTAGACTTGTTGATAGTGTTACTGATTTATTTTCCGTCAATGTCACTTTTATGGCTGAGTTTATCTCAAGCACACAGTCCCGTTAGATGCTTTGTCATGGTAGCCTCTGTTGTACATTAACACTGTTCTGCAAAGGCTGTTAAACACTGTTGACAAAAGGATGAGGGATGATCTAGTATGCTGAAACCAATTACATAATGTTGTATACTGAATACCCTCTGACAGAGTTTATATCGAATGATGAACTTTGCTCTCCCTGCTCACTTTGAATGCTGTTGGGCCACGCACAACTTTGGATTTTGCATAACCATTTTGTACATTCCTTTTGTTGATGTAACTTAAAGATAGTTCTGAGCCTGAGATCGGATTTTAAAGAGACATCCAGGAGCTCAAACTCAGCACCATCATGAGCTACAAGAGACATTTAATTCTGCAGCACTTGCTTTCGATGTAAGGCAGCATGAAAAGAGCAAAAGAAATGGTTCAACTCATTTACACTCCAGCACAACTTCTTCACCGTTTCCGGTCGCAGCAAAGTCACAGGCAGGGCTAATTGGTCACAAAAAAATGTGAAGCAGCCAAGAAGACACACACCAAAGCGTAGTCATCAAAGCAGCGCCATCACAAACAGAGGGCATTAGAAAGTTTTGCACAGAAAAGCAGCAGGGTTGATGGAAGTGTGTGTGCTGGAACGAATGGGTGAGACAAAACTACCTCTTTTGATATTAAAATGCTAGTAATCCTTTAACTGTTAGTGTACCATTATTAGAAGAACGTAAATAAGCAGCTACAGTAAATCTACATGTCATGAAATTTTCCTCGAATTTTTTTCGTACAAAAAGAAATGTATGAGAGTAGGGCTGGGCGATAAACCAAACATTTTCAGATACTGAAATGTACGAAAATAACGGACGTCATTTTGCCATGTCAGTATATTTGTTGTCAAAAAATAAATAAATCAAAGTTGGTTTTGGATGTGTGTAGGTAGGCTATAGTCTTATGTCCCTTTAAGACACTGTCCTGTGTCAGAGACGAGACTCCACCCCATCCAGTCCGTAACAAAGAGGGAAAGACAGGTGAGGAGATGGAGGACGGTTCAAAAGTTGTAGCGGCTGAAGTAGATGAAGTTGATGTGGGAGGGGGTGAGGAGCTTGTTGTTATCGTCCATTTATTGTTATCGAGGTGAACTGCTCAATATATTGTGATATTGATTTGAGGCCATATCATCTAACCCTATATGACTGTAATTGTTAAGGACATACATGTAACAATTGCTAACTTCTGACATGATTTGTATCCGTCAAACACATGCAAGGGTTAAAAAAATACTACTTAAAGAAAAAATATGTCAAAAACCAGGCTTCATATTCTGCACAGAATTTAATTGTGGCCAAATGTAAAAAAATATTGGGCCAATTAGTGCTGTTTCATGCCAACATGGTGAAGTTGTGTCTGAGGACCTTACATAAAAAGCAAGTAAATTGGTTGAGGGCTAAGTCCAGGACTGACCGTGACCCAACTCAGTTTGGGCGTACGTGCCCATGACCTTGAGGGACTCTGCCAGAGGTAACCACTTCCTGGCCTGCTCAGGTTCACACTGGCTGTACAGGGTTACGAGGAACATGCCGTAGTGTAACTCCAGGGCCTCACGACCGTGTACCTTAACCATTCTAGGTGGATGTAAAGCATAGCAAACACAACTTCAGATCAGACTGCTCAAAGTTTGGTGAATTGTGTAACTGCTGACTTAGTATTCAAGCTCTAACAGACAATGTGATTCTCATGGCTTTACTGTATGCTTCAGATAAACTCAGTTTCTTGCTCTGACATCATTTTCTAAAATCTAAATGTTTCATGAAAGGAAAAACATTCTTCAGTTAAGCCTCTTTGTTAATCATTTTAGGCTTGTGCCTCGTTAACTTTTCTGATTTCTCCTTAGACATGGATCCTTCATTCCTACATCACTCATCCACAGGGTCAGCAAAGTATAACCTCAATGAAGAACAAATTTGAAGTATGTATAATATGTATAATATATTTAAACTTGAAATCACATACCAGATGTTAAAACTGAAAAAAGGGTTATGTTTTTGAAAAATCTACGCACACTCTTTGTTGGGACAGGGTCATGTTTAACATTGTCTTACATCATCTGTTCTCCTAACAACGCTGAGCGAACTTTTGGGGCTCAAGGACACCAGCTTCCTGAGTTTTGAATGTCTGATATTGTCAATTCTAACTCAATTTACCCAAAACTTTGGGGTCTCAATTTCATAATGTGGCAAAAGTTTAAATGGTTGAAAAGTGGGGACCACAGACAGGGCAGTTTAGCACCCAGACTCTTTTACCACAGAGCCATGCTGTTGTAACATGTGCAGAATGGGGTTTGGCATTGTCTTGCTGGTACATGCAAGGTCTTCACTGGAAAGGCATTTGCTGGTTGGCATCAGCTGTTGCTCCTAAATCTGGTTCTGTTGTTCGGCATTGATGGCATCTCAATAACATCAAGAATGCTAGTTTTAAAACTGTAATGACAGCCTGGGCGTTTTCCCTGTATGATAAATTATGGCAGTCTAGCAAGATAACAGGATAGTTTCCCACTTTACCTCGGCTATTCTTAAACAAACTAAACAACAAGAAGTCACTAGCATGTCTTGTTCATATCTATAGATGGTTTCCTTTTCTTCGTTCAATAAAAATGGTTTTCTGCCTTGTCCTTTTTCAAATCTCCTCAGACTCTCTGAATCTTTTAAAAGTTTTATGTAGTATAGATGTAAAAACTCTGAAAATCTCTGCATCCCCACATTGAAAAACACTGTTTGGTTGAACAATTGGCTCATGCAGTCTCTCACTTAGTAGGCAAGAATCAAACTGCTAGAGTCTTATGTTTTCTTTGCACTTTTTACAATTAAATATAGGCTTCAAATGGTTTACAAAAATCAAAATACAGTACGTTTTATTATTATTTTGCAGAGCACCCCCAACTGTTCTTGACCTGGAGTTAAGCAAAAAGTAAACACTGTTTTATTGTGTGTCTTAGAGTGTTGAGAAGTTTTAGGAACATGTTTAGTCAAAAATAACTGTCCTTAAATTTAACCAACACCTGTCTGATCTTGGAAACAATGTAATTTCATCTACATGCCTCGTAAAAAGCTTTTTTTTTTTCATCTAGATTACTGCATACCCTCTGACACACTTTGCTGAACTTTGTCCCCCCCTGACTTTGTTTGGCTCTGGGCCTCAAACTGCTCTGACTGTTGTTCTATAACCAGATATATCTAAACCATCCGTTTGTTAACTTGTCTGATAGAGCAACAGGATAAGAGTGACACTTATGAGATTAACTTCTTTAAAAAAATAAAAGGTACACTGTGTTTGTCCCAGTTGTGTAGAAAGGCTGAATTATTCTAAAATTATTCATATTACAGATTACAAATTAATCCTTTTTGACTTAAAATCAAGACTACTGTTACCTCTCTGTTTATATTCCTACTTTAACAATAAAAAAACGTTTGTAAATTGCACGTCAGTTAAAGAATAACCAGACATAGTGTTTGGTTGCGGTCATTCAAGTGCAGGCATTCAATTCTTCAACATTACACATGATCTTGCTGACAATGCAAATTTCCTCTTATCATATCCAACAGAGGTCATGGTAGATTACTTTATATAAAACTCCTAGAATCAGCAAATACAAGAGTAAACTCCATGAAAGTCTGCTTTAATATTTCTAAACTTGTAGTCTTATACTTATTGTGCGTTATCTCAACAGAAATGTAAGTAAGTAAATAACTTAACTCCTTAAGACAGAAAAAGAACAAAAAACTGTATAATTAGTGGATTATATAACAATTGTATGATAATGTTATATAATGTACAGTTGTTGTTTTTTCAAATTACCTTGCTCAGGTTTGACAAAACTCTGTCAAAGGTCAAAGTTGTGCTACTTGGGAACTTTTTTCTTTAACAAAACAAAGTTTAAAAAAAACAGCTTGTCTCCCTTTTCCTCTGGATTTTTTAAGGGTGGATTTGACTGAGTCTCAGCTGCTCTCTCTATAAGCCCTTCAAACACATTTATCATTCTGGATATGCAGTATGACTTTCGTCTGCACGCCATCTCCTTTACCACATACTTTTTATAGTGGTAGATCTCCTCAGGGTCCGCGATACCGTACTCTCTGAGCTTCTGGATCATCTGGGCACTTTTCCTGACAGCCTGGTCATAGCGCTCACTGCGGGACAGGAAGCTTGGATCCTCCTCCTGAAAGTCTGGATCATTGAGAACCATCGACTCTGCAGAGGAGAGAGTTAGAGTTAACAAACAACTGCCTATGAACAGCCAGAGGCTGAGTCAAGACCTTTATATGATGTATGATTCGCTTGACATTTTCAAGTTTGTGTATTCCTGTGTAAAATAGGGATTCACCTATCTATCAGTATTGGTCCCGATACTGAAGAAAACTCTAAATCGGGTATTGTGACAATGGGCCTGATGCATAGGGGCCGATCTAGTTAGTGTAACTCTATGCTATGCGCCCTAAGTGGCATCCAAGAGTAAACACGCTGAGTGGATGCCCATATTGTTTTTAAAATGGAGCGAGCAAAGGGTTCTGCTATCTTGAACTTTATCACAATACCTCAGCCTACAAGCTCAACGGCCACTTGCAATACCTGTGCAGTAAACGTTCCATGGGGCAGTGGTAAAACTTAAGGTAACAACAAAGGTAATTCAGCGTGGCTTTTCTGTATCAGAATTGGATCAGTATTGGCCGATACTAAACTGTAGATATCTGTATTGGTATAGGTGGTGAAAAAAGCGGATCAGCGCATCCCTAGTGTAAAACATGTATTTAAATTTACTGGGTCTCTCATCCATATCTATTAAAAGAGTGTATCTGTAATGTACTCGATGTAAGGTATAAGGGGTAGGTCTTTATAAGCATTGCTTCTGCCTACACCCTTACGGTCATATTATACTGAAATAAATAAATCATTCATTCAATTCTGAACATTTAATCTAAGGGCCTTCAAATGTGACCCTGATATATTCAGTAAGACTCAGTCAGACATCACTGTGATATGATGTTGTAAATTTGCAATGAGTCAATCATCACAAGATGCTAGCAAGAGTAATATGTCCTCCACAAATATGCTGCGGTAGCGCATGGTCACTTCCCTCTGCAATAAGACTTTACAACGAACTGTAATAATAACTGGATTTACACCACCACTTTTTTCTGGCTTTAAATTGTGTATATTGAAGATAGTTTTATTTTTCTTCTCCCTTTTTCTATTTTTTTTCTTAATTATTACATTTATTTAAGTTCTTAATATTAGGATCTTTATTTTTATATTTTTGTGTGTCTGTAAAAGGAGTGAAAATATGGAACAACTGTCCGGTAGAAATTAGAAAATGTAGTACTCTGGTAAGCTTAAAGAGACTTTACAAGATTTATGTTACTTCTCAATATTGTAGAGAAAATGATGTATGATTATTAATGTAAAGTGTAAAGCATGTTCATTACACTATCTGATTTGAATAGTGAATATGTATTGAAGTGTTGATATTTGTATAAAAAGTGTATCTGTATAATGTACTCGATGTAAGGTATAAGGGGTAGGTCTTTATAAGCATTGCTTCTGCCTACACCCTTACGGTCATATTATACTGAAATAAATAAATCATTCATTCAATTCTGAACATTTAATCTAAGGGCCTTCAAATGTGACCCTGATATATTCAGTAAGACTCAGTCAGATATCACTGCGATATGATGCTGTAAATTTGCAATGAGTCAATCGTCACAAGATGCTAGCAAGAGTAATATGTCCTCCACAAATATGCTGCGGTAGCGCATATTTGTGGAGGACGCAGGTCATATCTCCCCTCTGCAATAAGACTGTACAACGAACTGTAATAATAACTGGATTTACACCACCACTTTTTTCTGGCATATCAACTGTGTATATTGTAGATAGTTTAATTTTTCTTCTCCCTTCTTCCTTTTTCTAATTTTTTCTTAATTATTACATTTATTTAAATTCTTAATATTAGGATCTTTATTTTTATAACTGCATTTGTGCACTCTTTGTCTGTGATGCTGCTGTGACAAAAAAATTTCCCCCATGGGGGATCAATAAAGGAATATTCTATTCTATTCTATTCTATTCTAAAGTGATCCTATTAGAGTAAGGTGACTTCATCAATGCACATTTATACAAACATGATTGTAAAATCATTATATAATCATTTAGACTCCGTGTCTTGAACCTTGCAGAGCTTCATTGTGGCACCAAAGCCTCAAAATTACCTATTTGGACCTCTATAGTCCAAAAGGTATACTGGAGCACAGTGGTCCAGTATATGTGGGTATAAATATATTTCCATATCTTTTGCATGCATGGTTTTAAGAACTGGACTTTTATGATGCTGCTAAAGAAAGTATAATTTCATTGCATTGCACCTGCAAACTCTATGTAAGTTTGTAATTATTTAATTGAGATATAAGGTTGTCTCTTTCATAGTTTGGTGAACTTGCAGTGAGATACTTTAACAAATGAACTCTGAACATGGAGCCGGTCAGAACGACTTCACCTTTACACAGCTAACAGCCCGAGGTAAGATGATACCAACACAATAGCAAACAGCCGATGAATGCATGATCGAGTTTGCTGCTTTGGTGCGACACTCTCTTCATACGGAACATCATTAGTATGAGTATCATCGGTCAAAGTTTGAGATGAGAGAGTAAAACGAGTACACAATTCCAACTCACCGATTTCTCGCCTTCTTCTTGTTTTTTCAGGGCCTCCGTCTAATACATTGGTCAGCGTCTCCACGTCAAAAGAGGCACTTTTCCGCTCTTTCAGAATATCGGGATTCATGGTTTAAACTGAAAAACTGTATTTATTAAAAAAGAAGTATGCTGTTGGTCGTGTTGTGTAACCTCCAACAGTCCAAACCTGACAAGTATCTCGTATGAGGCCTCCTCACTGCGCAGCCGCACAAAGGTCTGAGGGGCGGAGTACAGGCAGTCATGTGATTCATAACACGGAAGTACTCAACTCTTACAAACATATGACATGATTACAGAGTTGGATACGAGTTAATTTATTTTGTATCAGTGTTTTTGTTATTTCTTTCTTCACAATGCTTCCTGCAGCCGCAGTTTTCCATTATCCATGGGAGATAAACTCAGGAGCAGTAGAAGAAGGACAATCCGTGAGGGTATTTGGAAGGTAAGTTTCAGGAAGATTATAGGGGAGAGTGGGGTAAGATGAGCCAAAGGGCAAGTTAAGCCACCCCTGTTGCTTTGAAATGGTAGAAGAAATTGATAATGTGAGTAAATATTTAGGAGATCATCAATTCATGGAGTCTGTGAAGGTTAGAAGCACATGGGTGAAGGGGTTAAACATTAATTTCCAAAAGATCATTTTAAATTTGTTTTCGACATCAATTGTGGTATCCATGAGCTACAATATGAGGTCAAAAACCTAGGATAAAAGTCCACCAGTTTAGCTTAGAGGACTAATAAAGTCATAATAGTAGTTCTGGGGTAAGTTGAGCCAGTTAGTGTTGTGTTGTTAGCAAACGATTCGTTCAAATAACCGAATCTTTTAAGTGAACGTACTGAACTGAATCACTTCCCAGAGTGATTTGTTCGTTTCTCAGTTAAATTGAGCTGTAGTGAGAAGTAGTGATAGTAGGGATATGACTCAACTTACCCCTCTCCTATGGTCAACTTACCCCATACACGGGGTAAGTTGACCATAGGAGACCACTTTTTTTAACATGCTATATAATCAATATAGTTATGTTTACACTCATTCTGTTGGTTTGCAGGGATGCACAACATCTTGAAATATATGCAGATACACTAGTTAGAGACAAAACTATGATCACCTTGATGTAGTGATCCGAAATGTGAAAAATGGCTCATCTTACCCCACTCTCCCCTACTTGAAAACATACTCTTTGCTTATTTGTACAGAATATATCATCTCCAACCAGTATGCCCATTCTTCTTTGGACTCCAGCATTAACCATGCATTTTTATCCACACAACTGCTGAACACTGGATATTTTCTTTTTTTCAGACCATTCTTTGTAAAACCTAGAGATGGTTGTACTTGAAAGTCCCAGTTGATCAGCATTAATTCAGTGTTAATTAAAATGCTATGTTCAAACTCACTTTAATCCTCTTTATTCGCAATTCTGATGCTCACTTTAAACTTCAGTGAGTAGTCTTGACCATGTCTACATGCCTACATGCATTGAGTTATTGCCATGTTAGTGACTTATTAGCCATTTGTGTTAGAAAGCAATTAAACAGGTGGACCTAATAAAGTGGCCAGTGAGTGTCACTGAGTGGTATAAAAATGCGGGGTAAGATTTATTGTCATTGTACTTCTTTTGCATGTTCAAGTCATATAAGCAGAGAGTTGGAATGCACTTTACTGTCTACCTACAGAGAGCGCCATATTGTAAACAAAGGGGACGTTTCACTCTGTAGCTTTAAAAACACTCATTAGAAAAGCAAATATTTGATTTAATCATCCAGGCACACTTGGAATTAAATGTACCTATTTAATTTTTCAGACTGACCTACTATCAACCTGAAGAGTCCAGGGCAACATTGTCAACTCAGCATGCTTCAAAAGAGCACTGTGTGGTTGTTAACACAAAGCATGTAGAGCCCTTTGACCCAATAACTGGGGCCCAATATATAGCTCTTGGTGAAACAGAGAAAGTTGAAGGTAAGGAAGTACTTTTTTAAATTATGTTAGCGCACAGTGTATCATTTTGTGAAATGCAAACTGCAGTTTTAGCTGCTGCTAAAAATTAAAAAATAAAGCAATTTAGGCTTGATGACCCTCACAGGATTCAGGTTTGAAATGTTAGATATCACATATATACAGCATTGTTTAATCATAGTTTTGTGGCCATATAAACTTGATCTTGAACACAAGGCTTTGTAAACACACCTGGAACTATAACTTCTAATGCCTGCCTTGTATGGCTTATCTTATCTCCTCTCCTGCCAGATGGTGGTGTGGTGTTGAGGGCACGTGTACTGAACTGCATAGATGGGGTCAACATTGCCCTTCTCCAGAAAGCCATTAATGAGCAAAGGAGCTTCTTCAGTGAGAGGGAGCAGAAACAGAGTGAAGCTGCTCAGTTCACACATGACACCTGATGACCAGAGTCTGTGCTCATCAGGTTTCACATGGTGCTCACTGAGCAACGAGACAGCAGTGCTGCCTCTAAAGCTGTATGCCAAGGTGCTCTGGGATGGAGCTGAAGTCAAGTCAAAGACCGGTTAAGTCTACTGGGTCAGTGAACGATTAAGAGCTTTTTGGGGTTCACAGCTTATGAATGATATGGCAGGAGGTTTTTTAATATGTCCTTTTAATGTTTTATTCTTAGTAATAAATAATGTCTAAATTTTTTATCACTCTTTTAGACCTTCAGTGTTTGATTATATAACAAAGTTCTATGACTGTAAGCTGAAGTGACACAGATCTGTGGCTGTAAGATAAAGTGGGGGTTTGATTTGTAATCATGTGAATAAATCTGTACAGTGTCTTTTCATGATGCCAAAATTTGGGCTATCAGCAAAATAAACTTAAGTTAATCAGCATTTTGTTAAATTGTTTTAAGTAGTTGTAGTCTGGTTTCATTTGCTCAGTTATGCTTATCCCACAATGATCCCACATTAGGGAGTATTAAAGAATAAAAGATCACTTGAAAATGTACCTTTTACTAACAAAGCAATATTGACAAGTAAGTTTTTAACACTCAATGGCCAATTGCTTTATTTATAATTCTAGCTGAGGAGGACAGTCCTGTCCTGACAAGGTTATAGTCCCTGGTATGTACGTTAAAATTAGCCAATGGGAAGTTGAGGTAAAAGACATTCAGATTCAGGTTCATATACTATTCTAATATATCTTCTTTTAAAGTAAGCCTGGAAAAAGCCTTAATGTACACTGTTTTATTGAAGGACTTTACCTTTACAACATAGATAATATGAATGATAGATGTAGTCTCAGTGACATTTCTTACCGATTCCTGAAGAGGTATTACAAAGCCACACAATGGCAGTTATGTAATTGGAAATGCTGGCTCCATATGACTTTCAGCTTGTACAGAAAAGAGCAATGAGATGAAGCTGAGGTAGGATTTAAGACCTCAGCAAACAGCTACAGTTTATTTCCTATCTGTCAGTTATACCCAACTCCATAATAAAATCACAACAAATAAGTAAATAAGGGTTTAGAGCCCAGAAACATTTTTGTGTGTTGTTGAGTGTGTCAGTCTGTAAACATGTTTGACTACAGTGTTTTGCACTTCATGCATTGACTTCATTCTTCAATACAGGAGGTAGCCACCACCCCAATAAAGGTAAGGGAGACCGTGTTCTTTATCAATTATAATTTAAATTTATTGATATTTTCATCTTCATAAAGTATCAAACAAGATTGAGTTTAAAGTGAACAATGTCAAGGATAGCCCATGAGAAATACAGAATCAAATCAATCTTGGTAAATAGAATTGCACCATGTCCCATTAACCCAAATAACACAATGACATCACAGATAAAATGCATTTATATTCTCTTTTCTTTAAATTAAATCAAAAAAACAACTGCCCGCATCACATAGGTTTAGTAAACAAAGCAGCTCAGCAATTACTATTTTGGCAGACAGACAGACAGACAGCTTTGGAGTAGAAGACTTCCTGAGTCAAATGCACATAGTAAGCTTTGTGTTTAGTATGGATTCCCCATAATCTAATGGTACGTTTTTACCATGGTACCGCCTAAGTAAATCGTAAACATCTTCAGAATCTTACGTATCTGTTATTGTTGCCTGAGGTGTAACCTGAATCTTTGGAGGAGGCAGGCAGCATGGGTAAGCCTGATTTTGGGTCTCTCTTACAGCGCTCCAGAGCTTGTTTGTAGTTGATCTTCTCCTGTGTGATTGGGTCTGTAATATCCTTGACGTAGGTCGACTCAGCCTGCAGTTCCCTCATCATAGTGCTGTCGATCATTTTGGACCCGATGGCGTCCATGATGCTTACTCGACGACCTGTGTTAGGGTTGACCAGGCCACCGGTCAGGTGCTGTGCCTCCATGTAGCGAATGGCATTGTCTTTTGGCATCCAGCCTTTCTGGACAGCTTCTCCCACAGACAAACACTCTCTGGTCATGGGATCCTCAACACCAGTGAAGGCCTTTTGAGCATTGAGTAGCCTCTGAAGTTGGCTGGTTTCAATGAGGCCTCTGGAAGATGCCTTATGAGGTGGACATTTCTCGTTGTTGCTGATGTCGATGATGCCGCCTGTTGCTGCTTGAGCCTCCAGAAGTCTCTGGGCAGTTGAACCGTCTATCAGTTTGCGAGAGGCAGCACCTTGAATTGTATAGCAAGTGTCGGTGTTTGTATCAATTACTCCGGCGATGGGCTGAATTTCTCTCACAGTGGAGAAGTCTGTTGGGGCGGATTTTACTGTTGTGATGGACCTTGAGGTGATCGAATTGAACTGAGGCGTCTTCTTGGTGTCGCCAGCAACCAGAAGGGCAAACTCTGAGATGGGAAGCCTGCCCTGTTTGTACTGCTGTAGCTGAGACTCGGTCAGTTTTCCTGAATTCAGAGCATCTTTGATGGAGTACTGTTTTCCACTCTTGCGATCCTGCAGTACAGATATCTCTCCTTCCGGTCCCCTGGAGGTGATCTCCTCCCAGTCACACTCCAGCTCCTGCAGATGAATATACTGGGAGCGATCGATCATTCCCTGCAGGTAGGCATCATACGGGGACATGTCTTTGCCTGTGTCTGGGTCCAGGATGGTGATTTTAGTAGAAACGTTGGTCTCTTTAGTTCTTGTCTCCGCAAACTCCTCCTTCTGAAGGTTCATCAGGAGGTCCCGAATGGTGCTGTCCCGGATATGGATCAAATCTTTTTCATCCAAGATCTCCCTCTCCAATCGCTGGACGTCAGACCCCAACTTGAGACTCTTCTGCCTGTTCGTCTGAGTTCTCTCACTCATCAGTTTGCTCTGCTGTTGGAATGACAGACTGGTGTCTTGTCTCTTGGCCTCGAGTGTCCTGAGTTCCCGAGTGAGGTTGTCCTTCTCTCTTAGTAAGGCGTCTCTGTTCAGAGTCAGGCTCGTCCCCTCCCTTGAAGAGCTGGACTTGCTGCTCATCGAGAAGTTGATCTTGTCATTGAGTCTTCTCATTTCTTCCTCCAGGTCCTGTCTGGCAAATCTACTCTGGGAAACCTGTTCTCTCAGGCGATCCCTTTCTGCTTCAACAGCCTGGTCTTTCTCAACACGGACCACCTCTTTGTACACTGTCTTCTCACCGGACTTCTCTTTCCGCAGGATCTCCAGTCTGAGAGTGATGGTACGGATCTCTCTCTGCATACGCAGGATTTCACTGGTTTCCTTGTCCATATCAGACCGCAGTCCATTTGTCAGTCTGTCCAGTTTGGGGTCTCTTTCAACCTTCAGTACCTCCTCAACGATGATGCTTTCCTCAACAGGAGGTGGGGCGTTTTCCAACTGTGTGATGCGCAAGCGAATCTCTCTGAGCTCAGACTCAGCCTGAATCCTCTTCTGGTGCTCATCACTTTCTCTGAGGAACCTCACTTTCTCTTCAATCTTTGTTCTCATCTGCTGCAACTCCAGTTCTGCTTGGCGCCTGTTCTTGACTTCGTCATCCAGGGCCCTGCTGAGCCTGTCGTGCTCAACCATCTGCCTTGGGTCTTTCTGTAAGCGCACAACCTCCTGCATGACCACCTTCTCCTCAGGCTTCTGTCTCTCCAACAGGATGTATTTGTTTTGCAGATCAAACACCATCTCCTCAATGCTGCGCCTCAGGTTTGCTTCCTCACGAACATCTTTTCTCAAGCGGTCAGCTTCTTTCTCCTGCAGAGGATCAGCTTCATACTTGATGACTTCTCTGGTGACCAGTTTGGTCTCAACCTTGGACTTCTCAGCCTTCAAATCATCTCTGTCTCTTCTGAGTCGGATCACTTGGTCCTGCAGGGTGCTGTAAGTGCTGTATAAATGGTTCACTTGGCTGTTAAGCCTCTGAATCTCTCGTTCATTTTCAGGGCTTCTTTCCTCCTTCACCACCTCCTGGAGGACTTCTTTAATCTCCACTTTGGGTTTCTCAGCTTGGAGAATATTCACTTCTGATGTGACCTGGACAATCTCTCTCTCCATATCAGAGCGCAGTCTGCCTGTGTCCTGGATGTCTTTCTTGAGCCGCATTATCTCCACCTCTGTGTTGGGGTCTATCCGGTAGATCTCATTTACTATTTCCTTCACCTCAACTTTTGGCCTCCAGGTCTGAACTTCCTTGTAGCGGCTTTGGAGCTCCATCACCTCTGTGGCCAAAGTGCTGTTTATGACTTTTTCCTCCTCCATGCCGGCTCTCATTCTTGAGGATTCGTTGATGAGCTCTGGGTCTTGTTCTATCTTTTTCACTTCTTTTGTGACAATCCTGGGCTGGATATTAGGGATGTACCTCTCAAGAGCATTGATCTGGCTCCTTGTCTGGAAGATTTCATCATTGATGAGTCTGACCTTGTTGTTCTCTTCGGAAATCTCAGTCTGAAATGTTTGCACAGCTCTCATCATCTCAGGGTCTTTCTCCACTTTCAGGACTTCCTTCTTAACCACCGTCTCTCTAATGGGCTGTTGCTTCTGCTGGAGGATTGTGACTTCCGTCTTCATCTGAATTTGCTCTCCGTCTCTCGTTCTAATGTCATTTCTCATCCTTGATATTTCATCTCTGATCTTAGCAGCCTCTATATCCAGCTGTGGATCCTTCTCAAACTCTGTCACTTCTCTGGTTACCAGTTTGGGTGGAGTGCTTTGGAGGGTTTCCTCTAGGATGGTGATTTTTTTGTTAAACACATCCACCTCAGTGTGGATGGTGCTACGCCTCACGGACTCTTCCTGCAGGCTTTTCTGCAGATCAGCCAAATCACTTTCCAGTTTTGGGTCACGGTAGTACTCCACCACCTCTCTCTCCTCGACACGCTCTACTCCTCTGCGATTTCTCAACGACAGCAGCCTCTCTGTGTAGGTTCTCAGCTCAGTCTGGACATGAAACATCCGCTCCTTCTCTTCGTCAAGCTCCTTCTTCAGAGTTTCTGCATCCACAGCACTTCTCTGCTGGTTTTCAAGCTGCACTTGCTGCTGTGCCACCATAGTGACCTTTTCTTCACTCTGCAGCATTCAGAAAACCCAAATGAATTAAATGGCAATAAGTTGATTTATTTATAGAGTGATGTACAGAAGCTCCACGTTTACAGTACGAAAGAGGATTTGGGCCACATGAAGAGAACATTTTTTTTACAGGAACAAGATTAAATTGAAATTTTGAGAATAAAGTTAACACAAATAAAGACGAAATTTCACTAATAAAGTCGTAATGTTGAGATTAATGATAATGAATCAACAGCATTGTCGCCCGTCACTCGACAACACGTCCTCTGTAGATCAGTTAGTAAAGCTGTACTTTAGAATCGGATTTAGTAACAAGGAAATCCTTGCTCTTTTAGCACACAAACACAGTGTGGTCCTAAGTATTTGGATTCTGAAAAGACTGTGCCAAAGATGCTGATGCAGATGCAGGGTTTTCTATGGTTACACCTGTATGCTATACATCGAGGCTATATGCTGTATCGCAAGATACAGTAAGACAACTGATCAAGTTGATTGATCCTGAAGGCACAGACGAGCCCGGACCCAATGCACTCTGGCACATGGATGGCAACGACAAATTTAAGCCATGGGCTACGACATTTCAATTAAACTTTTTCAAATTTCGACTTCAATCTCGAAATAGAAATTTTAAAAAAATCTCCCTCCTGTAATTGTTTTTTTTCTCTTCTTGTGGCCCTAATCCTCTTTGGTATTATAGTGATCATATTCTACAGTTGAGTTAAGATAAAAGACCTCCTCATTTATGTCTCGTTTTCTTACCTGTAAAAGTAGATTCTTGGCTAAGCCCATCTGTTTTTGCCGTTGGGAACTTTCAGCTGTTGCTTCAGCGTAACGGTTCACCAGATCCTTTTCCTGTAAAACAAAAGACACAAAAACATAATGACTTATGATCTTTCAATAAATATTAGCAAAAAGTCTTTCCGGAGAGAGAAAAAAAAGAAGACATTACCTCTTTCTCAACGGCTTCAGCCAGTGTAGGCAGGCGAGACCTCTTAGCAACAGTAGCTCCAGAATCTTCGAGTGTACTGTTGTATTTGTCAACGTTGGATTCATATTCCTGCACACGTGAGGAAAAAACACGCTTATTTTTCACAGGGTAGACAGTTAAAAAATGGCTGTTTAATTTGGAATATAGTAAATCATGTAGTCTCGGGGTAAAATCTGATGTTGCAACAGAATCTTCCCTCTGTTAATATTATTTATTGTTATTAGTTGGAGCCTTACGCTGAGTAGGTACTGCAGGTCTCGAGACACATCAGCCACTCTGTCCATGTCATCTCCCTTCCTCTTCAGGTCTTCCCCTACCCTCTATGATGAAAATAAAAACACAGCAGATTAATCGTTTAAATCTCATTATTTCACATCATTTCACTTGACAGCTGCTATCTTTAAAGATCGTTGACATACAAGCAAAGAGAGAAAGAGAAAAAAGAAAAAAGGTGTGAGCGGCCTTACCTCCTGGGAGCTCTGCATGGCAGAAACTTGAGACAGGTCATCATTAGGACTCATCTGACTATTGGGCAGACCGTCCAGGAAAGATTTGAGGGATCTGCTTGTGCTCTGGAACTCCTGATTTTTGGATGCAGCTTCTTGTAAGATGCTCTCTCTGTGACGATTAAACAGTGAAGGAATTTTCTTTGTGAAAATCTCGGTATTGTTAAGTGAGCATTTTAACTACCTTTACTTAAACACTTTTATATCAGGTACAGCTAGTTTAAATCTTAGTCAAGTTAGAAGAATCACAAAACCATTTTTTATTGTTTTCTTTTCTGTTGTAAACTATGTGGTTTAATACAAAAGGCCAACCTAGAAAGGCGTAACGTCACTGGGGGTTTGGACTTTCTTACCATGTGACCAAATTTGAACCATCTGATTGAATTAATAAAAGTCTTTCTGAGATAAACCTGTATAAATGTGACGCACTGAAGTGACTGAACAGGTGAACCACGGTCTGACTCGTACCTCTCTTTCAGCTGGTTCGCCACATTAGCGTAACGGTTTTGCAGCAGCTTGACTTCTGTTCTCTGACGCTGAATGTCGGGGCAGTACTCCTGGTAGCCCTGCTGGAGATTACCGCACAGCTTCTCTGTGGCCTCTAGATCCTGACTCAGCTTCTTCATGTCATCTTGAGCAGCAGCCACTGCCTTTTTCTGAGCCTACAGTGAGCCAGAGAGACATACAAGTTAATATGTCAAATATATAACAGAATTGACGAGAAAAGGAATGGCTTTATGTGTGGGGAAATATTGCTGATCCACACACCTGGATTTCATCGGCTCGGGCTTGGATTGCATTTGGTACATCAGTTATTGGACCATCGTCACTCAGGTTTTTCTCAAATCCAGAGACAAGGCCGTCCACCTTCTTTATCTGATTCTCCAAGTTGAGAGATGCATTTGCCCTGAAGAACATGACAGATGTTTAAGAGATAGATACACACAAAGAAGGACAGCCTAGTATATGAACTAGTTTGATTTAACACAAAAAACTCTGCAAATGTGAATCTTCAAAAACCACACTTACTTTTTGCCATAGAGGTCAGCGAGGGCTGCGATGCCGTCGTGCTTGTTGTTGGTGTCGTTCAGTTTGAGCGGCAGTGCGGAGGAAGCACCGCTGGGGTCTTGGGACAGTAGGGGCCCCAGGCTAGCCTGAGCTGCCTGCTTCTGCTGCTCCAAAGCCTTCAGAGCCTTCAGAGCTTCCTGTGAGCGACACAGGTTGATATTTATTCAGTGATATTCATTAATACTCTAACTAAGATCCTGTTCATCCATTCTAAACCCTGACCAGAATTTAACATCACATATTTACATTCAAATATAAATTCCTTGAAATAAAGAGTTTTATGTTTTAGAGTTGTAAATGTAATGGATGTGTGCATATCATTTAAATTCATGTGTGTTTTTGGTTTATTTTGTGTAGGTTGTACAGTGTAAGTTGTACAGTATGTGTCCTTTAAAAATGGGTGTATTTGTGTAACAAGTTTTAGTTATTTATGCTGTAAAATCAAGCATCATGGCTGTTGACATCAAAGCTAGTAAGTTCCTCTCACCTCCTGTTCCTTCAGCCTCTTGGCGAGATCACCAGCTGGGTCACTGCGGCTAAGCGGGGAACGCAGGCGGTTCAGCATGCTCTCCTCAGCGTTGGCCAGGTCACCGTCCAGCTGGTCCAGCTGCTGAGCCAGAGCTGTGACTTTGGGATCAGGCGGGACGGAGGATGGTGGAGCTGAAAAAGAAAAAGATAAGGAGAACTTGTATTAAACAAAAAGGAGATTCTGCAGTGATTGTAAAAAACACATGAAAGGAATTCCAATTAGGACGTTTGTTTTACAGCAAAAGAGCAAAGAAACATAAAAAAATTAAAACCATAATGAGTAAAAATCTATGTATAAATGTTTATAGATCCATCGGCCCTTTTTGGTGGTCATTGGTCTACAGAACCAACAGTGCTGCATAATAAGGGTATTTATTAAAGGATAATGGCCTGATAAATAAAAAAAGGACTTAGAAAACATATGAACCTGATTGTAAGGCCCTGGAGGGTGCTGATTTGTGATTCTTGAGGGATGAAGCAAGAGCGGTTCTTCTCTTCTTGATGTCTGCCAGTTCACCTCCCAGCCTGATGAGTAAACCAACAACAGAGGGATTACTGACATGTTTTTCTTTCTAATTTGATTTTTCTACATGTTAACACAGCATTTCTTTACTAACAGGTCGACTTTGTCGATGGCTTCTGAATCAGGTTGAGGAATCTGGAAGCAGACTCCTGGGAAGGTTTTTGTTGCTCCATCACCGGCAGTAACAACCCAGTTCTGTGGGTCTGAGTTAGACTTCAGGGTGACCTTCTCCCCTCTGGACAGAGAGGCCTGAACAAAGATGACAACAAAATCATCACTCAGTATTGCTAAAACATCTCAGCTTTGTATTGTTAAAGGGATATTCCGGTGTAAATTGAGGTTTGTTGATGGCTCCTCAGACGGCTGTGTATTGCTATCCTGTGGTTTTTACTAGAGTTGGTATAACTAGAGAAGCAAGCGGTCGGCAACACTCATCTCTCGATAGGGTGTCTAACTCAGTGTTACAGTGTGTTTGACCCTAAATTAATTTTACGCTGGAATATCCCTTTAAAGCCTCTTCTCTAAACTCCTGACAAACTTTCAAAGTTAAGAAGCTCCACCTCATCTGTTTCCCAGTCACACAGGGACTCCAGTGTGATGGGTCTGTTGGGGGGGTTGCGTCGTAGTTTCAGAGGAGCGATGGTGGTGCTGCGTCTCCTCAGGTCGGCCAGGTGCTGTTCACAGTTCTGCACAGCCTTCTCCTCCGCCTGGGGAGCGAACACAGAGGGAAATAAGGTCATACAAATACTCCTCTCATGGCAGGTAGCAACAAATCTTCGTCACACATGTATCCTGCGATTCAGTCTGAGACAATGAAAGTTCATCTGTACCTCAAGCTGCAGCAGTGTCTCTGCGTTGCTCTGCTGGCTGACAGTCTTTGGGTCCAGGCTGTTGTTGAGCTTGGTCAGTTTCTCCGACAGCTGCTCCGACTCCAGTTGATACTAGAAAAGGTGCTGGTTTTTAGTTGTTACACTTCTTGAAAAACATGAATCTGGTAATCCCTTAAAAAAAAGTTATCCAACCATGGAAAAAATCAAGTTATTGTGGATGTTTTGTGTTCCATATTTACCCTCTTGTATTCCTCCACATTGTCCAGGTGAGTCTCTTGACAAATGCAGAGATTGAGGAACTTCTGCCACTCGTTTCGAAGAGCATCCCTCTGAGTCTGTGAATGAATGAAACATAAACAAGTTGCAGTTTGTCGGGCTTTACACTTTGGCCCCCCCAAGAGCCTCCTCTGGTAAAATCCGTGTACCTGTATTGCGGCGCTGGCAGGATGTTTCATGTCGATGAGTCGGTCTCCTTCATCCTGGAGTTTGTTCACTTCGTTCTCATGGGACAGCAGGTTGTTGTTCTTAAAGTTCTGGTAGAGATCAAATAAAACATGGTTATTTATATTATTTCCATCACCTCAGTATTAATACTCACAATTATCACAGTTCTGACCTCGTACTGTCTGCGAACATCAGGAGGGTCAACCATATGGTCGCTCCAGTCCTGGTTTTTGATCTTTTCTTGTTCTTCTCCAAGGAAGGTCAGCTCTTTGTTGGAGCCCTGCATGTACTCGTGTAGGCTGTTCAGGTAGTGCTTACGCCACTTTGAGTTATCCTGAAGAGAGAATTAAAAACACATTAAATAAAACCTGAAAAGCCAAGTGTATCAAATTCTATTTTGAGGGAAAAAAATGTTTTTGCTTATCTGCATAAATAATGGCTTAATCCAGTTGAACCAATAAAAGAAAAAATACTGTATACTGAAATCTAAAACACTCAAATACGCAGGTTTAATTTGAAATTACCGCCGCAGAAATCTGTCAAACCTATGAAAGAGGATAAGGGCCACGTGAGGAGAAGAAAAATAATTACAGGAAGGAGATTGAAGTGGAAATTTTAAGATTAAAGTCAAAATTTCGGCATTAAAAAATCAAAATGATGTCAATAAAGTGGAAATTTTTAAGATTAGAAAATGAAATTTGATATTAAAGGCAAAATTTGGAGATTACAAAATGTAAATAGTGTCGGCATTTCAAGACTAAAAAATTAAAATTTTGAGATTAAAGTCGACATGAATAAAGTGGAAATTTCTACTTTTTAAAATTTCAACTTTAATCTCCAAATTTTTAATTTAAAAAATCTCTGTCCTGTAATTATTTTTTTCTCTTTATGTGGCCCTAATCTTGTTTTGTCCAGACTTTTTTTACTAAGTGATTTTTCTACAGAGTTTGATCGTAACTTTCCCAATCTTAATGTTACACATGTATGGCTCTACTCACCAGCAGATTGTTGTACTGTTTCCTCAGGGCTGTATATTTTTCCTGAAAGACAAGATAGAAACATAAACAACTTTTCACCAGCTGCTGATTGACTGTAGCATGATCTGTGTGGGTCTTTGTTTCCGTGTTTTCATGTATACAGTAAATACAGTTGTTTACCTTGCTGCCTGCTGAGCTGACACAGAGCTGCGAGTTGTAAGCCTCCACCTGTTTGTGCAGGATGTTGTGCTGGGCGAGCTGCTTATCCAGATCAGCCATGGTAGGGCCGTACTCCTCTGAGTTCACCTCTTTCTGAAATCACACACACGCATAAGGAGAACACAGTCAGCGGGATGTAGAGATAACCACTAGAGGGCAACGTGACGGGGAGACCACACTCATTGATCAGGTGTGTTTCGTAACCGTCCCCATTGTGGTTTGTGTGTTTATGTCACGGTGTTGAGAGTGAGTGAAGCAGGTTACTGAATGAAACATGCAGAGAATGTTTGTGGGAAGATATCAAGTGTGTCGTGCATGTTTGACAGGAGATAAACTTTGATGGATTACTGTGAAATAACAAGTTTGGAGGATAAGGTTTTACTTTTTCAAAAACAAACCAATCCTATTAATAAGTTAGTTTCAAACACTTAAAAATGATTAAGTTAACTATACAAAGAAGAAAAGCTCAGTCCTGCAAAGTTAACAGTAATGTCAATGTATTATAAACTACTGAAAGCATATTGCATTCACCTACAAAAAATTAAATAAAACAAAATAAAGGAATTTTTTTTTAGCAATTTTTTTCTTTGCTATTTTTCAGACTTATTTTTTTCTGCTTTCTTTCATTCTGAATAATTTTTTCTTCTTCTGTTTTTTTTGTACTAATATTTTTTCCCCCTTTCTGTTTTTCAGACAAATTTTTATCATATTTTTCCTACTATTTTTTTATTCGTCTCTCTGTTTTTCTGACAATTTTTCCCCCCTAATTAAGCGAGATACTTCAAAATCCTGCAAGAATCTCATACAATCAGGTTATACAATAGATTACTTCGATCACATGGTCAATGAGAGTAAAGCATGTTATAAGTTAAACATAGGGTATGCAAATCCTGAGGTGCCTGCGCAAAGTAGACAAACTTATGATGATTTCATCGATCTGACTTAAAGAAAGGAGTATCTCCCAGTGTCTCAAACCCAAAAGAAAGTAAAAATGTTTGCTTCCAATAAATGGAGCAGAGGGGATGAAAGTGTCTGTTTTTAAATGATCATGATCCCAGAGAAAAACAATTAGTCTGAAAAACAAAACAAACTAAAAAAAAAAATCACTGGAAGTTTGAGAGTGACAGAAACCATAACTTTCCACTTGTTTTTCCTTGTCTGTATTATCATTTTTTTCTTGTTCATTAACATTATTTAATGTGCTTGATAATCTAAGAAAAAAAAACAAGCATTTGATGAAACCACATTTGGTATGTGAGTATGGATTTACGGCAGCAGAGCAACCCATGTGAGATAGAGCTGGAATAAACACACTGATAATGTTTTACTTTAAGGGTAACAGAGATGATTTTAAATCACACAGATCCAAAATTATTAAGACAGTGTCATTACTTGTTTCTCGTTGAAAACAGGCCCCCACTCAATTCTGGGCATCATTGACACGTCATCAATCTGCTCGTAGACGTCTCTGTAAAAGGCGCAATCCTTCAGCCAGCGGGTGTGGAGCGTGATGACACTGAGGAGCAGAGCACATCAGTAAAGTGAGTATTTACAGAGACAGTGAGTGTTCATGCTTAAATAAACAAATACAGAGTGAATGATATAACTCTAAAAAAGTTTAAGTGAATATTTATATATTTCAATCTCTATATTTTTCCTTCTTGATTTCTGATGTAGTCTTTTGTATTCCTGTGTTGACTCAGATTAACAGACAAAGACGAGATTGATAAATCCTATTTTATTATTCTTTGCTGAACCTTTTGGCCCCTTTAAAATATTAGCATTAACTTCAGGCTGGAAACAGATGATGTATGTGTTGAGGAGATGTTGTGAACCTGAGAGTGAATGACCTTTTTAAAGATTCAAAATAGAGTATTTTTATGGTTTTAAACAAAACTGTATGTATTTGTATGTTTTTCAGCAGATTTGTAATGACTTACTCGGTCTCAATCTCTCTGGCCTGCGGATGTTTGAGTTTTTTGGCTTTGTCGATGTCGAGGAAGAGGTCTTTGAGGAGACCCTCAGCCTCACCCAGATGCTCTGAGATCTCGCCCTGATGCTTGAGCTCCAGTTCTTTCTTGTCATTCTCAGCATCCTGGATTAAATAGGAGAAAATTTGGTTTCATAAAGTCAGGGCTGCCAATAATCATAGTTTATAGTTTATGATCAGGGCCTTTCAATGTGTTTGCTCTCACCACAGCCAGCAGCTCCTCAGATCGGAGGATATCCTTCTCCACCTGGTCGGCATTCTTTTGCATCTGTGAGACCAGCTGCTGCAGGCTGCTGGCCTGGGCCCTGCAGGGGTGAAGAGGGGAGGTCAGAGAGATCACAGACAACAACAGAAGCAAAGACCTCTGAAAACTGTTCCCAAATCCTCAGAGTCTGAGGAATGACTCCACCTTTAGAGATGGCTAGGACTTTTCCGGGCTGTCTTTAAATACTATTCGTAATTTAGCTTGAATATTATTTAATTCTTTTCCTATTCTTGGTCTTGAACATTTTAAAATCGTAATGTTGACAATGTAAAACATAGTTGAAAGTGGTGTGCTTAAATATGTGAGTTTGTATTTCTCGTTTAATGGACTTCTTATTTTATCGTTGAGGTCACATACTTTCATGGTCATAAAAAAACATCCCAGTAATAGTTTTATACACAGTTCGAAGATGAGAGACATTTGAAGATTATTTAACAACACCATGTCCTCTGAGTCTTCTTGCTCTTTTGTAATCTGACTCACACTGTCTCAGGATCTGGCACACTGCCTCTAAAGTAACTGAGTTGGTAGTAGAGTGCCAGGAGACTTTCTCTTGTTTTTTTATCACCTGAGCTGCCCTTCAAGAGTTCCTTACATGCTAACCATTCCCCAAAGGCTGCCTGTGGTTGTCACTCCCTCTGTGCCACTCAGCGTGAAGACATGCAGGTAAGACAAAAGGTGGGGAGATTCACATGGCTGGTACTGACAGATGACCTGCATTGTAAAAACTGCATACTTTGTATTTCAGGGTGAAGAGTTTAAAAACCTGGTGGGATCAGACTTGGAGTGAAGCTAAATTTAAGTATTGAACAAATGAGGTTTGCAGAGTTTTGATTATGGTAAAATTCTAATCTGCAAACTTGCCGGTTTAGGTAGCCTTTATAAAATTATCCTGTGCTTCTCTACCACAGAACATGGGAAAACTCATTTTCTATTCTGTATTCATAAACTATTGGCAACATCTCTATTATGGGCAGAATTTCACACCTTGATAAGATATAATTAGAAAATTATCACTTCCTTCTGGAGGTTTGCAGATACTAAATCACAACAACAATGCTCTCCACTCAGACACAATAAATCTTTTTAAAAGTGACATGGTATTTGACTCGTAACACTTGTTCTAATGCTCATCTCACCGTGAATTCATGCTACAGAATTTTACAACCCGAACAGACTTCCTTCATTCATGCTCTTAAACTTCAGACCATAAGTCTTACACGTAACAACCCAAACCAAAAAATGTAGGTACACCACAGCATACCTTGTCAGCTAATCGACCCACATACCAAAGCTCGCTCAGAGTGCAAAGTTGTGTCTGCCTTAGGGAGAAAACAAGCTAATGTCATGCCAGGCAGATTTATGAGGCTGACAACATCCTATATCAAAGCATCTTCTCACAGCTCCTTAATGATGGACCAAGAGGAATGCAACGACACCAAAGTCTTCTTCTGACTCACTCAGCTGGTTCTGCAGCTGCTCTGACAAAGGCCTCCCTATACCTGCTCACTCAGCAGGAGGGACAGGTATGTGCTCCACACACACACATTCACCCACCCACACATAACACACACCCAAACTCACATGCACATGTCGGACAAATGGCAAAAAACGGTTGGTTATTGAGCATCATTATGTTAAGAGTCATCAGAGTATGAGTCAGTTAATTGATTTAATCCTCATCTTGAACATATCTTAATTTAAAAATAAAAAAGTATCTTTGCAGGGATTGTATGCAAAATTTAAAATGGGGAAAGAAACACACTAGTCCTGCCCCTTCCTTACAGTATTATTTACTTTCTTAAAATATAATTTCCCTCTTAACGTCTAACTTTAACATAATTGTTGGATGGAGCAGTAATGTAATCACAATGTGAGTTTTTTTGAGAGTCTTGGAAAAATCATTTCTCCGTTTATGCGATAAAGTCTAAGAGTTTCTGGGTTTTTAAAAAAATCTCATATTATACAGCAGGGGTGTTTCTACAGGTGGGCTGGGGTGGCACGTTCCCCCTCCCAACCCAGTTGCTTCACCTAAATTATAATCTTGGATCTGCTACCTGTCTATCTAGAGGAGGTAGATTATTCTGCAGTTTTGAAACAGTCGCCTTTTTACTTATTTGACTACTCAACATTGCACATTATTTTGTACTCTGACTATTGAAACTATATCTTTCTTTTTGAGTCCTGAAAGTCTGGAAGTCATTTACACTCCCACTCTGCTGAGGTGTGGATTTACAAACGTTATGATTTGTAGAAAAAGAAACGGTCAATAAATGCTATTCAGACTATTCTAGGTTCTTTATCCTTATCTTATCTTAGACACATTGAGGTATGCAGAGGTGGCACCAAGTGTGTGTGTGTGTGTGGGTGGGTGCACACCAAAGCCATTCATAAAAGTCTAAATGATCTGATAGAGCTAAATTAATATTTTTTTCTCTTTTCACGTCTGATGCTCATACGTTTGTTTTCCAAAAACCACCAACAGTTCTCAGTAAATGAAGCACTATAATAGTTCATGATCTTAAACATACAAACAGTATCTACTGGTAGGGTCTGATTGCTGACCCAAATTCTAAACATTTAATTTTTATGTGACTGGACTCGAGTAGAGTAAGTTTTGGGATCTCTGGACACATCATGCAACATGTGCTTGGTATCTCCTTTGTTGTGGGGTTGTTTCCCTGGAAATAAAAGGTGTGAGGTGATCTGAGGTGTTCCACCTGTGGTTACTCTTTGCTTTCATCGAACACAGAGGAGCTTTGCTTTGTTAAACATAACGTTTAAAGTTTTGCTTAAACTGATGACTTTTATAGGAACCAAAAAGCCAAACAGCAGCTGGCTAAAGAAAACACGCTGTCTGTTTTGTTACATAATGAGTATAATAATCATTTGACTGTCTCTTTATTGACTTGAATGTTACGTGAATGACCATAGCAGCTAAGCTAGCAGCTACATATGACTGATTTGACTAGAAAGAAGGATAACTGGATAACCCGCATAATTTAGAAGGGCTTGTCTGCGTTTTTTAAAGTCGGTTACAAAATCACATAGCTCGCAACTCAAACACTCCCAGCTCACTCCCACTCCTCCTAGCTCGCACTTAATCCACAAGCCAATTTTCTTGATTTTACGGGCGAGACGAAGACAAAGACCAAATCTTGACATGTGAGACTCTTTGACTTCCTAAAAATAATAAAGGTTGTGTGATTAAAATTCAGTTTTCAGGTAAATTTCAATCCTAATAGAAGAGACTGAGAGCTGACAGTTCTCTGCAGATTAGAAATTATACTTTTAAATTTCCAACGATGTTAGCTTTGACACAAACGGCAGACCACCACAGCCAAACAAGATGGCCGACTTAAATCAGACCTCAGACTCTCAGATTCTATTCACTTCTATGTAGCCACCCCTGACATGTTACTGTCCATTTTCTATTACTAATGTTTAATACAGAAAAATAACAATATTTCTATATTTATCCAGCAGCTAACATCAGTGCTGACCCACAAATAGACAACACTACCTGTAAATAGACAGTATTTTATCAACAGTCCAGAAAATCAGTAAATCTTTCAGGTAATGAATGGTAATGACACATGGATTCAATTTTTTAACTGTTATTTAGACTATGATGCTTTCTTTTCTTAAGATGGTATCAAAAATGACCTGAGCTCATGATATAGGCAGATCTATAGTCATAGTTTAACAGCCGTTGTCAGATTACATGGAGATAAAGTAATGAAAACAAAGCACTGACAGGGGTTACAATATGTGTTATTTTTCAGAGTGTTTAATGTCTGTCTCCTTTCAGCACTGTTTGTCATGTGGTGATAAAGAAGAGCGACAGTTGTTGGTGTTTCTACGACATTGAAACAGGTACTGTTGTACCGACGTTTTGAATCCTGGTAGCATGACAACCCCAGTCAGACACAAACAAAACTTAGTCCAAGAGAAATTGTTGTCTTGACTTTGTGGCATAAAACAATGACTTGGTTACATAACGAGTAAATGTTCCAGAGATGATTCACAAATTAAATAATCATTTCCTCCATGCCCTACTTTATACGGTTTTAATTGATTCAACGAGCTGCGCTTCATTTTCTGTGTCACATCATCAAGTACAGTTGGGAACCAACGCCCACATGAGAGACAGAAACCAGCTGAGCAGCACAGACCGCCCAGCCCTCATCACACCTAAGCATGGAGACGACACATCCAAGAAGAAGAAGAAGAAGAAGAAGCCGGTCGCCGCCTGATGCCAAGTCAGGGTTGTGCGACAGACAGGCGTGGAAAAGAGAAATTACGAAGTTAATTGGCAGCTGAATGAATCTGCTCATACTATGTTTCCTTCATCGTGTTCCTGTATTAAAGCTTGATTTAAAGCTTTTATGCAAATGAAATTACCTTCAGGCAAAAGACGACAAAATGAACCTGTCTTCATCACTTCCTGTGACTTTAGTGTGTTTAAAGGAGCTCGTCTTACATCTTTATATGCGGTTGAACACAAAGTGATCATTTTCACACCACTGTTTGCATCTCCTAATTAAATTCAAGTAATCCAACTCATATTATAAAACGACTTTAGAAACATTGAGCAAAGTCACCTGCTCCCTTCTTCCACAGCTTGTTAGGAGCTATTTTGATACGTCTAAAAAGCAAGACAGAAAAGTTCGAGTAAATACCGGCTGGCTGTGAGTAAGATCATCAACAGTCCACCGAGGAAGAAACTTGACCCTGCAGTTATGATTTCAGCTTGCTAAGAAAGCATGATGACAAGTTTTTTTCCCTCAGTGACTTTCATTTTTACCTAAACATTTTCATATCACGTCTAGTGCTTACAGAGTAAACCTGACCTTAAGGTCGCGTCAACAACCTGCCAAACACCACAATGAGCTTTCACCACCACTGAGGATTAACTTTGACTTCACTTCAAATCAGTGTGAGCACACGTTTTATTAAAATGTCTTTCGCTCTAAATGTAACATAAGGTGAACCACAGCACTGAGGGAGAAAGGGGACATCTGTATGCAGAGGAAACATGACACAGATCTAAGCTGGGGAAGGACTGGAGGAGGGTGGGTGACTGAGATTAAGTGTCACCACACTCACACGGACTTGTACCTGCATTAAATTCTTAAACTCCTCTGGGAGAAAAAAAAAAGATACTCACTTGCTCATCTTGCTCGAGACCTTGAGCGCATTGTCTTTATCCTTTCTCCTAAACATCCTGGAGGCCGTGAGGGGTCACGCAGAGGTCCCAAAAAAAAATCTATTTCTCTCTTTTACTCCTTCCTCTTCTCGGTCTTCCTCACCCTGTGGCTCCTACTTCGTCTCTCCTCTCCCTTTGATTATTTCAAACACACTCAGAAATACGCACACATACGTTCACGTCAGCATGTCACACACCAGCAGCTCCTCCCAGACGGGCTAACAGGTGTGTCACCACCCAGACATCCACCCAGCAGAAAGAAAGAGAGAGACAGAGAGGACCGGACCGACCTGTTCCTCACTCTCCTTTTCTCCTTCCTTGAGTCCTGCCCCTCCTTTTTTTATATGGGCCCTGACATACTCAAACAGGGAGCAGGGGCCCTTCAGACATTGTGGATGAATAGTCCCTGGAGCTGGGGGGACTTCAAGCTCCTGCAGTGGGGAAACATCAGGAACAAAAAGACTTTAGACACTTTGATAGAACAGAAATTGAAGTCCATTTTCACTCAGGTCTTCAAAACAAACATTTTCACAGCTCTTTCAACTCTATACTCATGTTGGCATGACCTCACAGGAACCCCAAAATCACCCTTATTGTGCTTTTATTCTCACATTTTCATACTTCCATCTATGTTAAATGGACTAACATCCAAAAAGATGCAAATGTGAAACAGCAGGCAGATTCAAAGTCCCTAAATGAACTTTTGCAGGTGACGACTGAACTCCTTAAATTTTGACTGATCAGAAGATTAGAAAAAACATATGCCTTATATACTATAGTTGTACTCAGTGTTCGTTTCAACTATTATTCATTTTTTACTTCATTTTGTTTGCCTCGGATGTTGTGTCAGTTTCTAATTTCATCTCCTGAACTCAATACATTTTCATTTGTCATATCACTTAGCCTCTCTAATATCAAATTGTTTCGGCCATATCGTCATCGTTTACAAAACTACTTACAGAGTTAAAAAACTTTGCAGAAATCGGACATTGTTGTGCCTTATTCTGGTCACTTGCGTAAGATCATCATCCATGACACATAACATCAGAAGTTTATGTTGCTGCACAGACACCTGAGAGTTTTAAACAAAATACGAGTCTTGATTAAAACAGAAATGGTCCTGATATATTTTCACCCTGAGTGACAAGGACACACACACACAGTGTTTACAGTAAATATTGGAAAATATGAGACAACCTTTCAGCAAGAGGAGAAGTCTATGATGTAAGACAGTCATATAGAGACATACTTTCATAGTACTGTTAATGATTTAACTAACAATGCATTTCAAAGTCTGTGTGGAGCATTTAAAGGCATGCAAGTGATTCAGGATCAGGGCGTTACTCTGCAGCATATCAATGAAAGGAAATCATGGCGAGGAATGCAGAGAGGCAGCTTTCTTAGCAGCAGCGTAGGGAACAGAAAGGAGCATTTTTGATTGGTCAGTCATACTGCCGCTCTTTCTCTCTGGGTGTGTCCACCTGTCTGGAAAAATAGATACTGGTACTCTGTTGCTAGGGGATACAAACCTAAGGCCTCACTTTTTATCCTTTCACAGGCAATCATTTTTACAATATGTAGGAATTGAATTTAAAACTTTATTGAGTGCTCTGAGAAAACTTAGAGTTAAATTGATAAACTCAATTTGTCCTTTAAGTCTGTCATAGTCAAATGTTTTATTGTGGTTTTACCAACTACTGTTTTAAAGTTTATAAAAAGAGCTTGAAGTCCTAATGTGAAATTGTGGGGCTTGTCACTCAGTAGTTTTCCTACCTTATAGTGATATCTAGGATTTTCCTTCTTTTAGGTTCGATGTGGGATATACATAATCATTGAAATCTCAAGTGCCGTTTGAAGCACTCAACCTGAAGCTTGTAGCTAAATGCTAACAGCATGCTAGCTTTTAACACTAACAACAGCATGCTAGCTTTTAATGGTAAATCCTGAAATTCAGCAGCTAGCCCTAAGTATGCTTGAGTGTATCAAATATACTACCAACCATATACTTTTAGTTTACTACAAAGTATACTCATTTACTTCTTCGTGTCCTGGTCCGAAGTTGAACAAAAAGGGAAAGGACCCAAAATGCAGAACAAAAAAGGATTTATTAAAAATGAACGAAATAAAAGGCAACAAAAACTTACTTAAAATGTCCAACTGAAAAATTCTCAAAGGCAAAAAAAACACAAGAAGGAAAATCCAAAGAACCAAAACTCACTGGGGCAAAATCACAGGGAGCAACTGGGGACACAGGCATATGCAAACACTGACAAACATACATTGAACCAACAAGGACAGAGGCGAAGACAGAGACTATATACACACACGGGGAAACGAGCAACAGGTGAGGCAGACGAGACACAGGTGAAACTCATGGGTGATAAACGAAGGAGGGAAAACTAGAAAAGTAAAACCAGACTAGAAACACAAGGAATTGACTACTACAAAATAAAATGGGAAACACTGGAAACTGATCTAAAGTACAACACTGAATTATTATCATTGTTTATTTATTTATTTTATTATTTATTTGTGTGTGTGTGTGTGTGTGTGTGTGTGGGGGGGGGGGGGGTAATTTTGCAGCGTACTAACAAAATTTACATTTGACTCAAAACAAGGGGTTAGTCTGTAGATATATCATCAGCTTTAAGTTTTTATGTAGTTTTAGGAAAGATAAGAGTAATTAAAATGAAGGACTAATCAATAACAAAACAGAGAAAAAAATTAGCTGTCGAAGCTTCATTATTACAGAACAGTGAATAAAATTAGATCTGATTTCTGATTTAAAAAAAAAAAACGTATTTACTTATTAAATTTGGTCGTGAGCAGTGGTTGGCTAACCAATACAGTTATTAAGAATGGTGATGATATTAGAGGTACTACAATGAATAAAAAGGCTCCAAAATTTGAAGCTGGGATTTGTTTTACTTAGGATGAGGGGACAATGAAGGTGGAAACAGCTTGGGTGTGTCTGTCCCTTTCGTTAAGCTCCACAGGTGACAAAGCGTGGTTGTCTGGTTTACTAACACCCTTACTAAGCTTCGACGATTGCACCTTGCCCTTTTTAATTTGAAGCAAAGACAACTATGTACTATCTTTTAAACCAGCGAAAATGTGTCCGTCAATTAACAAATCTGTCTTCTCTACCATCAAAGAAAATATTTACTTTCATCTCATCAATCCAATAGCAGTCTAATAAAGCGAAAGAGATTTGTAGAAAAGACCATGATTTATAAGAATAGTGGAAAGACGGTTAGTTACAAAATCTTATTTCAGCTCTTAATGGAGAAAATATCTACATCACATCATAACTTCACATATTTGTGCTTTTGTAGTGACAGAGGAATGTATGTGTGTGTGTGTGGGGGGGGGGGGGGGGGGGGCAATGGTGATAACTGACATGATAGAGATGCCATGAGTGACGGGTGAGAAGGTTAATTATCATACAAAATGTGGTTTACTGAGGTAAGAGATTGATTTAGAGAGTATGATTTAGAGAAGTGGACACACATCCAAAGTTTGGAGACACTCATAAAAGTAAACACAGGCTACATACATTCACACCCAGCAGAGGCATCCCACACACACACACACACACACACACACACACACACACACACTCACGCCCAAGACAAAGCTACACAAGAACACGGCACACCTCTCCTGCAGTCTGGTTGTTAAGAGTAATTCTTCAAAGTCACCAACACAAGCACAAAAAACTCTTTCTTCTCATTTATTTAGGAGCTTGAAGGCATTTAATCTTAAAGTAAAAGCACACTGAATTTTCAACAGTGGATGTGAATGGAGAACATCAAGAAAATGTGTTTGGTGCCGGCCTGATAATTACTAAATTAAATCACACTCTTTTTTTTTTCCTGGTCAAAAATGTTTCCAACCTTTTGTCATTTAGTCCCAACCTGTTCGAGGTAAAGTACATGTACAGTATCTTTATCCTTTAACATAAAACACTGAAGAGGAAAAAGTAACGAGCAAAAATAAAAACAAATACAATCAAAAATTGGTGAAACCTCTATCTGGTGTTACAACAGATTTCTCAAACAACCCAGGTCCCCTCAGGTTTGCAGGGCGTGCCATCTGGTTGCTGACATCACAACTGCAAACGAGCGATAAGATTTTTCAAGCACTGTAGTCTAAACGTCAAAGGTGTCGGTGGTGATAACACAGAGAGTCCCACTCATGGCACTCAAACAGGTGTGGATGTGACAAATGACAGATTGTAAAAACCCTCTACAGTCCAATGATGAATGCTTTCTAACCACTACAGGGGTTCTGCTGAAATAAGACATGACAGGAGTAAACTGAGGTCTGAAGAGAGGTCCTCCTCTGTCGTTAGAAAAAGTAAAAAAATGCTGAGTGACCAGCTTGACTGACACTAAATCATCCTGCATTTTGAAAGCGAATCCTTTCTACTTCGAGCCATGACTTTGACTTTCCTTGGTCATGCAACTAAAACCTTTGAGTTTGACCCTTTCATTTCATTTCCTTGCTGTTCTTCTGTTTGAAGAGGCTTCGGCGACATTATCGATAAGCATGACTTGTAGTGATCAAGGTGGAGCAAAAGGGGGATGGAAAGAGATGTGAAAACTTAAATGAAACTATTCTGAATGACAAAACAGCTTCAGCTTTTCAAAGTGAAACAACTCAGAATATTTGGAGAGCACCACTTTGTTATTGAAGCCAGGGTAGGTGCTGCAGAAATACTGCACTTCTATGTTCATATCTGACAAAAAAGGGATGTGATTAGAAGAAGGCCTGTGAAAACATTGGGATAAAGCTAATTAACGGAGCCTAAGTGGCTTATTTATTTCCTCTAAAAAGACAAGAGACCAACAACATGGCTGTACTGAGAGATCATGGCATGACATCCTGATAAACTTAAGAGTAACCAAGATGCATGGAGGCAGCGATTTTACGATGAACTCATACAGCTGGATGGCAGAAGCTCACTGAAAAGTAATTTTAGTGAGCTCCGTTTGAAAGACTGAACTCTGTCTCCCAAAGAGACACAAACTCATCTCGCTCTTGGTCGTTAAAAAATAAAATATCTAAGTGGCTGAGCTGTTTCTGGTTGAGCTCAGGTGCCTTTGTGGAGGCCAAAACCTGAGACTTGATTTAGCTGCCGAAGCCAAAGATGCCCTTGATGTAGCCGGTGAGACCTCCCTTGCCCTTCTGCTCCACCTTGTCATCTAGCGGAGGGAAGGTCACGTGGTTAAGAGCGAGGTCGAAGAACAGCGGCTTGCAGGGGATTGGCTGGAAGTCAGGAGGGAAGTTGACCAGATTGGGTTGCTTTCCTACAAGGCTGGGGTCCAGGCGGAAGGTGTCCAGGCGGTTGCAGAGAGGCTGAATGAAGACAGGTGATGTTTACAAGAGAGAAAAAAATGAGCTTGATAATGACCTTCTGAAACTCTTGATTAGAAATAAAATGGCACTCTTCACTGAAACGGATATCTATCTAGCTAACTGTGAAAGAAAAGGACATTCAGATTCTTAATGCTGTCTACTAAAGTCTTGGTGGAATCTATCAGATTCTGAGTGGGTGTTTCCTGTTTTCAACTCTTACCGTGTTGTCCTTCACCTGCTGCTGAGAGGGAACTTCAGCAGTCTCATCAGTGTCTGAAACAGAAAACATTGCCTTAGATTTGAACAACACAAACAGGGACAAATCAGACTGACATGTTCCCAAAAAAAGAGTGTGTGTCTGCTACAGATGAGTCAATTGAAATAAAAATGCTCACCTAAAATTGCAGCGGCCTGAAGGGAGTATTTTTCAGCATTGACCTCAGCGATGAGTTCCTGAACATCAGGGAGATCCTGCAGAAACCAGGAGACACTACAATGATGTTTCTGTTCCAGTGCAAATTTTGGAAAACTGTTTTTTAAACTTATCTGACAGAAAATTCATATCAGTATGGAAGCGAGGTGAACAGTTTTATCAAGAACTGTAAATATATGGTGTTGTTGCATGTGGTGCACTTTAGTGGATGTGTTTTCCTGACCTACCTTGAGGCTGTTGTTGAGACTCTTGGCCTTAGACTGCACCTCTTTGGCGTATTTCAGCACTCTTTCATAAAGCACCAATGCCTCGCTCCACTTCTTCACCAGCACATAAGACTGAGCGATGAAGAAACACCTGCGGGGACGCGGAGAGAACATAGATGTAAGTGTGTGGAAATTACACAATAACAGAGAAAGAATCTACAAAAACAGAGGTCACATTTTGTCAGACATCTGATCAGAACATTTCAATAGCCAAACAAGAAAATAAGACATCATAGGTGCAAAGATTTTGTTTTGTGTCGAAAGTATGAGATTAGTATGAGTAAAGTTGCGGCTGGATCCTCTGTGTAAATCTTTGTCGTAATTCTGATGTAAACCAAAATGAAAATATCTTCTTACCTGTAGGCCTTGTAGACCAGTGTCTTGAGGGAGACCTCCTTCTGAAAGGTGTGGTCATCCTCCAAACCCTGCAGGGTGGAGAGCTCAGCCAGACTCTGCAGGGACCGACAAACAAGAGGAAACATTAGAGAGGAAACGCAAGAGACAAGAAGCTGATGTGAGGAAAAACAGAGACGGTAACTGCGGACATCTCAACTTGACATTTCATCACGATAACACACACAACTGTTAACAGGGGAGAAATATACCTGCAGGATGATGTCGTAGAGGCGGATGAGGTCCTGTGGGCGGGGCCCTCTCTTGCTCTCATCGGCTTCAGGTTCCTTGAGTTTAGCCTGAAGAGTGTGGGCCATGCTCTCGTTTCTCTTAACCAGCGTGCACAGCTTGATGTAAGTCAGGTAGCTGACGCAGGACACACATAACTTGTTAAAAACCCACATAGCAGAGAGAATTACTGTATTTATGTATGAGTGTAATATCAGAGGGTGATGAAGCTTTTACATGCCTAATGCTGAGCTACGGGCTACTGGCTAAAAAAAGCTCCTGTTCTGTTTTCATTGGGTAAATCTGGTCATCAATCATCCAATTATAAACAAATATTTTTTTACAGTAAAGGAATGATGATATTCTTCTTGAACTTTCTAAGTCTTTTCTCATGAAGTTCAACTTCAACAGCAATAAATCTATATGAATGTCTTTGCAATTGACTGTCTGATGACAGTTTATACATTAAAATAACTGACTGCATACATCTGTGACAAAAACACTTAAGTGCATCAGTACACGTAAGAAAAGTAAAAGTTTTGCCTTTGAGTCTCTTTGAATTTTTTTACCTGTGCAGGAACTGCAAGTTGGACACTTTGCCACTATCACCCTCAGAGCCTCTCTCTCGCTGCTTCTACAAAGACAAATTGGGGAAAAAAAACATGATTTGGAATTTCTGTTTTAATGTCAAATGTTATAAATATTTGTACGATTTGAATCAAACTGCTAATCCAAAAAAAAAAAAAACATCTGGGTCATAACTTGGGAATCACAGCCCCCTTCTTGACTGAAACATGTCGAATCTTTGACCTTACCGCCTCACTCTTGAGCTCCTCTCTCACAGCCTGGATGGTGTCTCTGCACTCAGCCAGGAGGGTTTCATATAGATGCTCCTTGGTCTCCTCATTGGAAGCCTGAACGATAGAAACACTCAAGATTTATGGAGGAACAGAGAAACCATTTCAAATTGCAAAGTCGTTTTAGGGCTGGGCGATAAACCGAAAATTTACCAATACCGAAATTTACGACAATAACCAATGTAATTTTGCCCATATCAGTATATTCGGTGTCAAAATAATATTAAATAAAAGTTGGTTTTGGATGTGTGTAGGTAGGTTATGGTCTCATGTCCCTTTTCAACACTGTCCTACATCGGAGACGTGACGCCACCCCATCCAGTCCGTAACAAAGAGGGAAAGACAGGTGAGGAGATGGAGAATGGGTCAAAAGTTGTAGCGGCTGAAGTAGACGAAGTTAATGTTGGAGGGGGTGAGCAGCTTGTGGAGTAGTTATCGTCCATTTATCGTTATCCAGGTGAATTGCTCAATATATCGTGATATTGATTTGAGGCCATATCGCCCAGCCCTAACAGTAACAATAACTTGTCCATAGAGACACCAAACTCTTCTTGAGGAGTATTTTGAACCTTGATGAGTAGTTGACTCAACATCATAGAGATACAAAATCTAAGAGAGGGGAAAATGATCATGACCCAGCTCTAAACCCGTCTACACACTGATGAGGGTCACCAACAACTTCTTCTAGGATTTCTTAGATTTCAAAAGTTTAGATCATAACTTTAGAAGATTCGTGATGGTGTCTGTTATCAAAAGAAGGATGAAACTTGACGATGCTGTTTGATCAGCTGACACAAAGGCACAGTTTAAACTGGAGTTTTGTACACAGGAGGAGACGTTAAGCTATCAGTCCTTTATTTCCATCGAGACAAAAGCTTGTGATTCATATCTATGTCATGTTAACAGTGCATAGTTTCAGGAAAGTATCTGTGATTCAATTAGGGAGGGCAGGGAATCCTGAAAGTATGTCAAAGGTATGTCACACTCAGAGGAATTTGGGAGGGGAAGACTTGCGAGTGAGTGATCTTCGTGAAGTTGACAAGAGGAAACATTTGAAATATTTTGGACAGCAAACTCAAACCCCGGGCCTGTAGTAAATCTGCAGGTTATGGTGATGTCAAAAAGACATTCTCATCTACAAAACTGAAAAAAAGGAAACTCAGCAAGGAAAAGAGAAAAGACATGTTGGCCCAAATATCCAAACTCAGACATTCACCGCCGCCACCTTAATAAAGATCTAATAAACGTCAGTCATGCACACACAAATATTTCATTGCCTCGAAGTTGTAGTAGTTTGATGCAGAGAACAACAGTTACAAGACAGGATACTACTGTAGCAAACAGTGGGAGAGACGCAGGTATGCTGTCTGGCAGGCTCATCGGCAATCAGACATGCCGGAGTTTCAGGGTTCAAATCCATCTGAATGACAGAATTGTTCTTCACCTCACCTTCCCTTAAGCAACACACTTGTTCGACAGGCCCGTGTTACTCAGAGACTACAGGACGCTTCATATTTGCAGCATTAGACCACCGTGAAAGGGAAAAACATAAATTATAAACAATAGGAGATTTTCTACTGCATGAGTTTTTGTTTAAAAACACCAAAATGCTCTTTAAGTACCTTTATGGATGACCACCTCATAACTTCACCTTAAAAAAACTGAGAAAAAAACCTAAAAAGCAAAAAAGTTTCAGGCAGTTTTACAGGAAAATTCTCTTAAGTGATGATCAACGACAGAGGGGTCATAGGTCAGATGATATTTGGTGCCATACACCCATGCCAACACCCTAGCAACGCCTTTCGAGACTGGCACAACCTGTCCAACGTCCTTTGTTGTTCAAAGGGAGGGCTGGACAAATACACCGATCAAAAAAAGAGTCGGCTGATTCTTTTTACCGGGGGCTGAAGAAATGACAAACACAGCGTTTCTTGTCCCCAGAGGCAAAGACCGGGGATCAGGTGTTACGTTTAGATGTTTGCATGACAAAAGCTTTGCTGGATCATTCAGAAAAATGGCATCAAAGTATCAAACAAATTCATAACATCCATCCTTTCATTCACAGTTGATGATATTTTTTCTTTTTTTTTTTTCAGGAAGCTTTTTAATGTAGAGAGAAAGAGCTTTTCACATGGTGGTGAAGGGCCTCTTTGAAACAATCAGGCGTTTAGAGATGATAGCGCTAATCCATCCTGCTGATACACCTGCTGGGTGTTGTCCTGTATTCATGTGTGGGCTGAAATGCACAGAATGCAGTTGAGCGATGAGAGGGGCTGCATGCCAGAGTCCTGAGTGGCTCTGGGTGTGTCAGGTGTGTCTGTGAGGGTGTGTGGAGCCTTCTGGGCATCGAAAATGTGAGGAATGAGCTGTGGTGGCTCTGAATGACACATGTGGGACTATTAAGAGGAGAGTGCCACCTGCTGATAAATGCAGGAACTGTTTAGAATACTGTAAAGAAGAGACATTCAGTTGGAGCTACAACTCCTTGTGAGAGGAATGGTCCCAATCCTGGTAAAATAAGGTTTGCAAACCTCCAGTTTAAATAAGAGTAGGGGTTTCTCGATACAACTTTTTTTTCCTGCAATTCCGATATTGTAGCCTTCAATATTGGCTGATACCGATATTGATGTGATATTACCACAAACTTGTGCATGACAAGTTTGGCACTCAGCTGCAATGTCTTTTTCAGACTTTGATAAAAAATACTTCCACAGGGTCGACATCACTCCTACTCCTTGCTACTTTGTTAGTACCCCTGTACACACTGTTGTTGTGATCACATGGGCTCTACATGCTGGATTTGGACGCTGCTAGCTAGAGGTGCTGGAGCGGAGTCTGAAATGGACTGCTTGTATCGGAGTGCTGATATCAGAGATTTTGGATGCAGGACGATAAAATCAGATATTCGATTTTTTGCTGATATCAGGCCGATATCCAATATCAACATCATATCGGGACAGCCCTACATAAGAGTATTTGCTCATTGGAATGTCTTGTGAATTGGCATGAGCTGAGGAATCTAACCGTACGACTAGGATTGGATGAACACGTTGGAGTTACTTTGAAAATCCCAGATCAACAAATCTATACAGGACACATGAAGAAGGTGCGGTGACTGTATTTCTAAATCACCCCAAACACTAGGAGGTTGGGATAACATGGTTATTATAGTACACAATAGTACAGTATTGTAATATTTCAAAACATGTCCCTGTATTGATTCTTGATAGTTGGGTAAGATATTCAAACACCATTAGTGTATCTTTCTGTAAAACCCCAGATGCATTTTGCAGCTCGTGTCTAGAAATCAACAATTGAAATGATATTTCAGTTTTTATTGTTCTATCCCTCAGTAAGGCAGCAACAAACAGACACCAACCTGAGCAATAGCAGCCTCATTGTCTGCCAGACCCAACAGGAAGATGCGGGCCTTATCGATCTTAACGGGAACCGTTCGCCCTCTCCACTCCACTTCACTCATAGTAGCTGCCTGCTTGGTTCTGGCCTGTGTGATCAGAGCCTGAGAAGAAATCAAACAATACGCAATTGTTTATGCTGAAAAGCGTTTTCTGGTGAGTTTTGATTTCATCAAAGAGAATAAAATGTTTTAATAAATTATATGTGCAGGGTTCTTACGCAAGTATGGAAAGTATGGAAGTAATTTGATTAATTTCCAGGTCTAAAAAAAATATGGTAAATGAAAAATAAAGTATGGAAAAATATCTAGTTTCTAGACTATTTCCACAGTTCTAAAATTCTGTTTTCTAAAAACAGAAAAGTAGGTATTTCCAAAAATAATTCTCAAAGGTAGGGTATGGAAATGTATTTAAGTTCCAACTGTGTAGGAACTTTGTATGTGCTTTTGAACTCATTCCACTTAGGAAGCAACTGCACACAATCTGTAACTGATACACAGGTATATAAAATCATTTTCTATTTCTGTTTTTACCTCCAGTTTCTCAGCCATCATGCCTCCTCCACCACCAGTAAGTCTCATCTGCATGAGGTCATTGATGGCGTTCTGATCACCTGTCATCGGAGGAGAAAACAATCAGTTACACAGAAGTATCTGGGATCTGTTTCTCCTGCTCTCTGTGGGCCTTCCTGCTACTCACCAATGTTGTAAGCACAGTAGCGGATGTTGGGTGAAATCTCATCCACACGCTGGCGATACAGAACTGCCAGGTCTTCAGTGAACGCACTGGCCAGCTTCTCATAGATGGTCCTGATAAACAAAAAATGGGCTGTTTAATATCTCTAAATAGACACAAATTCAAGGGGACAGACATGCATGCATAGGTTCTGTTAATACATTCAGAAACTATGAACATTTTAAACTTACTTGCACTTGTTGAAAGCCTCCATGGCACGCTTCCACTCTTGCAGTTCAAACTCCACCATACCAGTTAGGTACGCAGTGTAGGCCTAGGATTAACACAGACAGTCTGATTCTTTAAAAACTGGCTTGAAATTTGTAAATGGTATTAAATATTATCAATTATCATAGAGTCAAAAAAACCATGACGACAAATCAAGAGACAAATTGAGATTGGACACTCAGAACCCTGTAATCCAGTAATCTGTTTTATACACCTGCAATAAGACTGAAGATGACTCTGTGATCTGTACCTGCGCCTCAAGTTTAGTCTTGGCGTCGACCCGTGGGCTCTCGCAAAGCTTCTCCAGCTTCTCGCTGTGCTTGGCGGCCTTACGCAGACGTGCCAACAGGTGGAAGCGTTTACGTGGCTCCGTGTTGGCCTCCTGTTTCAACTGCATGGCATAACTCCATGCTCGCTCTGCCTCCATCAAAACCAGCAACAGGTATCTGAGGAGAGGAAACTTAACTATCAGTTATTTGCAGCAAATATTCCTTGATTTTTATAGGACACATTGAATGGATAAATTTCCATCTGATTGTCCAGAGTTAGCTGTTAGTAGGAGATATATTCATCACAGCATCTGAATTGAATTTTGGTGTTTGACAGTACAGTTTACTGGATTGTATGAATCCATCAAACTTTAAGATAATGAACATTAAACTCTTCCACCATATCAGCCAGCTACCGCACAAAATCTATTCCTCACCTGCTGTCAGAAAGCATTTCAACTGTAATTTTCTTCCCAACAAACTTGTGCCTGTTGCCCATTTTGAAACCGAGAGTCTTGCGCAGGCGACGCAGTCTGCGGGAGCAGTAGCCCCTGAAACAAATAGAAAACATATGGTCAGATTACAATTTTATAAAAAGCAAAACAAAACCATGCCTCAACATACATTTCTATTCCAATGTTTGACAATAGATCCCATCACACCCTAATGGGCGCCATATGACAGCAGAGGGTGTCATGAAAAACAATTTGGTCTCTAAATTAAATACTGTGTTCTAGGATTATGTCTGCCTGTACATTGATAGTTAATTTCTATTAAACATGCACCGATAAATCAGCCAGCCGATCAGTGCCGATTTCCTCAGTTTTGGGGGATCGGTGATCGGCTGATCCTTACATATGAAACCGATTTTATTCACCGATCTTTTCTACCCCAGCAAAGGTCTGAAAGTCAGCCGCTGTAGCTTTTCGCTTTGCCAGAATGACAGGCCCGCCCATCAGGTCATGTGTGCACGCACGCACGCGTGTGTCAGCGCCAGCGACACACACCACAGTCATCCGGAGCATGACCAACCAAGCATGTTGAACCCACAACATGGAAATCTAAAACTCAGGACAGTTTATTGGTGGTTTAAGTTGTGTTGTTAGTTTGTCCTGTAGCTTATTATTTTACTAACTTCCTCAAACCTTGTGATTTCCTTTATTCGCAAAAGAAAAATACTACTGCTTGTTAATTTTTAAGTTGTGGAAAATAAAAGACTAAAGGAACTGACATCATTTAGTAGTTTGGACAGCAATATTATTAACTTTTTATTAATATTTGAGAGAAATATCTCATGTGCAGTTAAAACAAACACAAAAATTTTGTATTGTTTCACAAGTATTGTTAAATGTTCTTCATTAAAATAAGATTGGGGCATCGAAGGTGTATGTTGTCAGTTATAAAGAAAAAATCGGTATCGGCTAAAATCGGTATCGGCAGGTCAAGCTTTTTAAAGATCGGAGATCGGCCAGAAAATTGTGATTGGTGCTCCCCTTATTTCTACAGTACAATACTGTTCCCTGTAGATATCTGTGCAGCTCTGGTCCTGACAGTGTAGTTGTAAAGGTCATAAATGAATGAACACAACTCACCTGTATCTCTGATAGTCTCCGTGTCTGAGGCCATGCTGCTGCTGAGACTCTTTGATTATTTGCAAAACTGTGATTGAATGTTAAGGGTCAACCTGTCTACATCAGCACACAATGTAATCCTGGGTGAAATATTTGTCATTCACATTTAAGTCATGAGACCTATTACTGATTACTTAGTGCACTAACACAAGTCTCACTGAAATACTGTCACATACAGAGCAAATGGTAACCAGGCTACCTCAATTACAAGTTAACAAATACAAAAATCACTAGTATCTTAAGACTTCAATATATTTCATATTGATTTGACAATCTCGGACTCTTTAAAGTCAGAGACAAGCACATTATTTCAGTTTTCACGCCGGTCACCAGCAGCTGTTTCTCTGTGACACGTAGCCTAAAGCGCTTGTTAGCTTTACACTCAGACCGAGCTAGCGATCAAGCTAGAGCTACAGCCTGACATAATTCTACAGCATCTAAAACAAAACCGTGACAACACGTATGGTGCCGTGAAGGATACTTTCCAGTCCGAGCCCCCCGTCCGATGAATTTTCTTTATTTTCATCCGCGGAGGCAAGTTTTCCTTCGTTTTGCTTGTCTGAGGCCATCTCTGGAAGCTAACTGAGAGGTGCTACACACATGCTCAGTCAGAAGCACAGCAACGGACCAATGACAGCGCAGGAAAAGATCACGCTCTGACAAATTATCGCGAGATTTAGCAGGCAATCTTCCTTGTCCGTTGTTCTTTTTCAACAACTTAATAAAACCTCACATAAAATAGTTTATTTAAAAAATAGATATAAAAAACACAATTTAATTAATAATTAAGCATACATTATAAAAGAAGAATTGCTCACAGGTAAATAAATTCAAGACCAGAACATTATTACCCCCTTTGCATCTTAATAATCGGAACGCACTACTTTAGACCTTATGTATCATATTTGATACATACTTTTATTTACTTCTATGATCAACAAATTACTAAAAAAAAACACCTGAATACAATCTGATACATGATAAAAATGTCCTCTTGTAGTTTACAAGTTTCCCAAAACATGTAATGTATTAAATGAGATAAATAAATATGTTTTTTTTTTTTTAAGGACATTTTGATTTTTTGGTTTCCAGTTCTAAGTAAAATAAACATTTCAGCTCAAAAAAATTTGAATTTTCTGGCCATATTTGTGGTGTCAGGCATTAAAGGGCTACACATGAGGTTAAACTTTTGTGACTAAATTATCTTTATTTCACCAGATTTCCTCCAAGAACACACGAGAATTACTCCATAACCATAACTGTGTGAATACTGACAGCTCATTGTTGTGTTTATCAGACATTTCATTTAATTCACTTGAAAAAAACAGAAATATCTCAACATTTATCACAATACTTCAGTATTGAAATGAACATACTGATAATAACACACTTTAAGATGTCCTGAACACACACATAATCTTCATGCATCTTAGGTCAGTGCTTACAAATATTGTTCATTTTTAACCAGTCATGAAAATAGCATTGTGAGCTGTAACACGCTGTAAGAATTACCTACAATTCAGAAAATAGACCCTAACATTGAAAACAGGCACATTTTCTTGTAAGGTCACACTCAGCTAAAAGTCTTTTTGAAATTTCAGTCACCGTAGATGTGTCTGCATGGCTGGAGGGATGGAAAACTGAAGCAGCACAGTTTCCTATCGTTTGAGTTGTCCAAACAAAGGTTCTACTCATATGTTGTCCGCAGCAGAAATATATCTGGAGAGGAACTTCTTGACCTCTGAGATGTGCATGATCTCTTTGATGGTGGTGTCCCTGCTGCGGACCTGAAGGAGGCCGCTCTCCAGAGTGTTCTCACTTACCACCACACTGAAAAGCACTCCCATCTCATCATACCTTAAAAGGATTAACACAACAACAATACACATCAGTCTAGAGCAAAAGAAACACAACTCAAAAAAACTATTACAATATTGAGCTGCCCCTTACTTTGCATTCAGCTGCTCCACTGATGTTGGCAGAGTTTCAAGATACCCGGGCCATGTGGAAATTTTAGCCTCCATAAACTCCTGCAGCAACTTCTCACAAATCTACAGAACAATGAAATACTCATAGAGAACCAGTCCAAAGTTTGGGCACACATTTTCATTCAATGGTTTTCCTCTATTTATAAAATTTTCACGCTGTACGTCAAAACTATGACCGAAAACAAGGAATCATTTTGTTAACAAAAAAGGGCAAACAAACCAGAATATGTTTGATATTTTGGATTCTTCAAAGTAGTCACCTTTTGCTATCATGCTTTTTGCTGATGATGGGTGCAATGATGGACTGTTGTTTCTCTTTATTTAGCTGAATCGTTCTTTCCACATCATAAATTGGTACAGACATTGAATAAGTCTTATCACTGTCTAGGACTGTGTACTAACTTTACCTCTGCACCACTGAATGAAATAGTGTGTTCAAACTTTTGACTGGTGCTGTACCAAACAACCGATGACCGTCAGAATAAACAAATTGATTTTACCTGCCGCAGCTCCACAGTGGCCCCCCTGCCAATGTCTAGAGCCACTTTGATGGGAGCCAACCCTGGATGTAACTTCAGAACCTGAAATTTACAGTGAACCAAAGCTCAGTGATGGATAAACTCAGAATTTTGAGCATGCGAAAAGTTGGACTCTCACCATTCTCTGCTGCAGTTTCTGCTTACTGTCTCCTTTCTTGAGCTGCTGAAGTGAGTTGGATAAAAAGGCCATCACTCCACGGTCCATGTTGGCAGTTACAGAGACAACATGAGGAATTGACTTACGACCATCTCGACACTGAAAGACAATTTATGCTGCATGAGATTACCATGCATACAGTTACCAACAGCTGTAAAAGAACTGCCAAACTACCAAGTGTTGAGCTGTTCACAAAGAGCCGGTTCTGTTACTTAAATATTTTACAAAATGTTTTTATTTTTTTGAGTTCAGGTCGTAAATATGTATATTGGTGTGTTTGTGTATATATTTATCTCCATCAGTGTAGATAAAAGTTACAAGTGTGGGGGCCTTGATTCACAGCATGGGGCTCCTATAAAACGGCACCTTGACTGGACCAAGAAAAAAACAAAGACACCTAAAAGTCTGCAGGCTGACCTGTAGTTTGGACTTTGCACCTTTGTGCACCTGCAGCAGCTCATTGTCTCCTCGGTTCCACAGTGTCTCCAGTGGCTCTTGTCCCCACGGGAAGCTGTAGATGATCCTCACACCACGAGACATCCCCTCGTCCATTTCCTCCACAGGAACATCACTGCTGCTGAAATTTGATGGAGACAGGGCAAACTGGAAGGACATGGGAAAGCAATGAACAGCACTGTTAATACTTCAGAATGGACAGAAAACTTCTTGCCTACTTTTGCCAATTCTGCCACCTCAGACAATCACAGGTAAAACCTTTGGAGAGATCTCACCTCAGCTATGAACATCATTTTTGTGACATTTACTCTATTACTCACTTTCCGCCACCATTTTAGTCGCTGTCTGGTCCAGTGATCCAGCCACTGGGAGGAGGTACGAGCAGAGCAAAACCACACCAGAGATGTTTGAGTGACTTCAGTGGGGCTGGAAGAAAAAAAAAGGATGCAGAAATAGATGCACTGACATTATAATAAAAGCTGAACAGTGGTAGCTAACAGTAGTAAAAAATACATCTTTCATTTAATACAGCATGACCTTTAACAACAAGTTCTGGTCCTGGAAAAATAAAATACAGATACTGTGAAGGCAGCAGAGCTTAGCTATTTTAGTCTTTGTTGACTTGTAATTTTTTACCTTATTTAGAAATTTATAACCGGGTAGAATTATTTCTTCACCAAATACAGTAAGGAACATCTTACCTGACACTATTTTCCAAACTTGTTTGATGGCAACAAGTTTCACCTCTATTTATTTGCAGTTATTGAGTTGTAGAGATTACTAGTTCTGTAGGGTCAGAGTTTGCACTAACCATGCAAACTAATCATGAACACCACACAACAAAATTCATTTTTCACTGCCCTAAAATATCAGTTAAAGCCGTCAGCTGTTCAGTTTTCTCAACTACAGTATGCATCTACCCTCATCACACACAGACAGACAGGAGATGAAGCCTCACCAACCAGAGCCATTCGAGGGCTGAAAACACTGACCGGTCTCAGCCAGGCCAAAAGGCAGCTTCCGGTTCACCAGCTCCAGTGAGGGGACAAGCTGCTCTAAGGCACCTGTGGAAAAACTGGACTGAATTATTGTTGTTGCTGTATTCAGAAGTGGATTGGGGGGGACATTGTCACTCTGAGTCCATAGCTGAGTGCATGATTTCCTCATAGGGTGTTTAGAGCAAAGCTTCATAGAGCAATAATAATAACAACTTAAAGGGAGTGTATTGCTATCCTGCAGTCGTAGCTAAAGTTGGTATAACGAGAGAAGCAAGCAGTCAGCAACATTCATCTCTCGAGGGGGTGTCTAACTCTGTGTTATGGTGTTTAGACCCTAAATTAATTTTAAGCCGGAATATCCCTTTAATACTGAACAAACTTGACCTGTGATAAAGCCAAATCAAAGACATATAACTAGCTATTACTGCTCTTGTATTCTGCAGATATACATAATGACACAAACTTTCACATGGAGAACTACTTCTCCTTTCCTAACTTTATCACAACCATTGTGAAGCATGCATCTGTGCGACAAATACTTTAAAACATTAATATAATAAATGCACTTTGTGTATGCATTATTTTACCTTGAAGTATGTTTGTTCTTACAGATGGGGAACCCTGAAGAACCATCTGTATCTCCTGAATGAGCAGCTCTTTGCTCAGGTGTTTCTTTTTCAGAATCCGCCTTAAATGTTCCGAGTCAACAAGCTTCAGTTGTCCTGATCTGTCTGTTTCTGTGTCCATGCTGCTGCTGCTGCTCAGAGTGTTTATCCCGAACACCTGAGCCAAGCTCCCGGTCACAGAGTGCCACCACTGCTCCAGCAGGTTCTTCTTCAGCTCCATGCCCAGAGGTCCATACCTGCAGCTCATCCCGCGCTGAAACAGCTCCACGTTAGCCTCACCTGGTGAAACATAGTACCTGTCCACACAGAGCTTCAACAGAGTCCTGATCTGATCCAAATCCTGACTCGATGATGTACTACAGTGCCTCACGTGTGAGGTTGTGAGTAATGGTAGACGCCTTGGTGAGAGGTTTCTGACATAGTAATTCAACATGATAAAAATCTTCAAATGAGGGGTCCGATCCGATGATGATCCGATCGATGATTAAGGGTTAAATCTGATACCTCGGGGATCGTAAACTTCTTTCTGGAGACTCAGAATTAACAGTTCTGAAGGGTCTTGGTCGTTAGCATACCGAGTTGAGATAGTTTTGACATGTTTGTCAGAAACATACCACAAATGAAAAGCTAGAGCCCACCTACACATATAAAACACCAACTAAATCCCCGATAGTTGTTCATGAAGTCATTTATGTCTCGTAGTTACAATTCAGTGATGGACCATGTTTGAAATTCACAGGAGTTCCACGCGTTGACTGATCCGGTGAGTGATATTTTTTTCGTAGGATGGTAGGGGAAGGTCCCGCCTCCTTCGCCTCTGATTGGCTAGAGGTGCTGGGCTCCAATTGGTTATTCTTTATGGCTGTGAAACGTCTGCACGCGCTCTTCCCCTACCATCCTACGAAAAAATATCGCATCCGGTAATGATATCTTCTTCTTTGATTTCGGCAGACTGGACACATCCAAGGCGTACGGCTGCCCCCTGCTGTTTCCTTGCGATTTCTCCCAGTGCTTAATCTGATTTTGTTATATATCTATTCCAAAAACGGTCTTTCGAGCCGCTTCCACTCCCAAAAATGGGACTTTGTAAAATAATTTAACCAATGTTCGGTTTTATATTTACATTTTAAGATTCTGTTTCTTTTCTAAAATAGCATTCTGATCGTCCGTACAATGTTAGAGAATCCAAAAGATCTAAAAAAAGATGTGACACAACCATGCAAATCAAATCCGTTTCTAGTTTAAATTAATACAGATGAGTGGGTAAGTTTTTGCCATGTTTAAAAAAATATATAACTGTTTAATTCACAGTAATATGCACCAGGCTTGGTTGTGCTATGTGTTACTGTACGCCTTAGGATATCCAAGTGACAACAAAATCAATATTTTGCAGTGCAGCTCTATTTCTGCAGTTATGTGCTTGTTGCAGCTCACACCATCTTCTGTATTTTCACACAACCAACAGCACACCTCATACTTTCAGCTTCCAGACTTACTCAGCCACATCAGAAATGACATCAAACTTGTGCATTCTATGTTATTGTTTGTACAAAGTTTGAGGTATTGAGACCCACGTCAAAGCAGAGCCTAATTACAGTTAAACTTTCAACAAAAAAAACATCACACCAAAGTCCCATTTTATTATTTTTATTTAAAAGGGTAAACACACACCCTTTTGTTTGATCTTCATAACATCACTTTTGACATACCACAAACTGAGCACTGCATTACCTAGTAAAAATAAATTACTGAGGAATGTAACAAAAAAACAATCAAGGAAAAGTGCAGCAACCAAAGTTGCTCCATAAGAGACGTGTCTACGACTCCATTTAATGCTCTGGGTGTACTGAATAATTCCAACCCTGCTGTAAGCAAAACAAAGTGAAACAGTACAAAGGATTATAATAATAATAATAACAATAATAATAATGATAACAGTAATAATAATCATACTGGAAGATTTCAGGACTAAACAGAAATCAAATTGGTTCCATATATTGTGCGAAAGTCAGATCTACTGAGGGAAGGGTGGTGGCATGGGATAGGGCACCATTGGTGGTGGGGGCGGCGGCTGCTGGGCCTGAAGTGGCGGCTGTGAGTTAAATGGAAATGGAGGATGGTTCATACCATTCTGGGCGGCCCTCTGCATGGCCCCGAACTGAGGGGGCCCCTGAAAGCTTTGGTTACCAAAGGCACCCACCTGATTTGTCGGAGCACCAAAGTTACCCTGTCCATTGCTGTTGTTATAGTTGTTGCTGCCATAGTTACTGCCAGAGTTGCCACTATTACCCCCATAGCTGCCACCATTCTGGGCCTTATTGCCGCCAAAGGCACTCTTAGGCCCGAACCCCCTATCACCGTCCCTGTCCCTGTAGCTATTGCCCCCATAGTTGCTCCTCCCACCCCCAGAATACCTATCCCGACGGTCATCCTTGTAACCACCTCTTCCCCCTCTTCCGCGACCTGAAGGACAAAGACAAAAAAATAGAGAATTTAACCACCCGTTTTGGAGTTAATTTTTTAAGCCTTTATAACACATTTTGAAACTACCTTTATAACACATTTTGAAGCAAATTCTAAAATTTCAAACCAAGGACAAGCACAGAAAGGTTAGTCTTGACTTTTAGTGGGTTAGCTAAGATGCTGTTTGTTATGAAGAAAAATTGCAAGTTAACGCTAGCTTTGTATTTTTTTAAATACTAGTTTGTTTCAGGTTGGTTTGACTTGACAAATAAATCAACCACAGCATGAGGAATAAAAACAGATTGCACTTTCAATTCAAGGAGACCCAAGACCATAAGTGTTCTATCATCCCCATGTGAATGTTACGGTACATTTGTTAATAATGATAAAGGCTCTGAAGACAAAGGATTTAAAAATGTCATCAAAGCCGAGTAACTGAGGTGCCTAAAAAGAAACACAACTGTCCTAAATTAAAACTCAAGCCTTACCGTGAATTTTCAAATCTATTTTAATACACATCCAATCTTTCTTAACTATCTTATGTTTATTAATGCACACAAGTACCTCCTCTGTCCTCTGCCATCTGGATCAGCTTTGGATTTATGGCCTGGTTGGCCTCACGGAGCACAGAGATCAGGTCACTGGCTTGTTTCATGTTGTTGGGGGTGAAGAAGGTGTAGGCTGTGCCCGTTTTTTGACTGCGGGCTGTGCGTCCAATGCGGTGGATATAATCCTCGGAGGAGTTAGGGTAGTCATAATTGATGACAAATTTCACATCCTCCACATCTGTGAAAGTGTTGCAGTGTGGCAAAACAAAACACGGGAGGCCACACAGGATTTTGCACACCACAACAGCCAGATCAAAGGGAAAAGTTAGCAGCTGTGAAGGCTGGGGGGAGGAAAAGGTCATTAGGCTGTAGAGAGAGAAAAAGCGTTAAAACATGATAAGATTGTTCATACATGGGAATACTACTGTGGGAAGAGAGAAACGATGCACACTCCAATTGCCTACCATGATAAAAATAATCCAAAAGACCCTCACTCTCCCTTTTGTTAACCAAGGGAGACAAAAAAAAATTGATTTAAGGCTTACCATAAAGGAGTATGCATTCACTAGTCCTTTCCCAATGCAGCGAAATCCCCCACAAATTGTCAAGTGACATCCAGGAGCTTCTACGCAGTTGGGCCACGAGATGCACTGGGGCGTCCTCATGTGCCAATATAAGCCCAATCTGTGGTGCTTTTTGCAGGTCCCTTTTTCCCAGTACACTCTCAAAAGAAGCTTGATATTAAAAGGCCGCACTGCACGTCTTGCCAAGACAAAATAGACCAAGTACTGATTTGAGCAGGGGCCCTGTTCAAAAAAACATGAAAAAAGGCCCAAGCATTGATCCCTGTAGGACCCCCTCACAGAGCACTGAACAATTCCCCCCGCCCGCCCACTTCATCAGTCTCATCAAGGCAAGATCCTTCAAGAAGCCAGTGTTCACTTGAGAAAATGTCTCTCGTTGGCAGGTCTCGACATGACTTTAAAACGCAGGCTAGGGAGGAACTTTGGTTTAAGCTGTCTCGCTCTCTTTCTCCTCTCACTAGATGTTCCCATTACCCCTTAAACACATGTGCCAGGTCTCATCAATTTTCAGGGACAAATAAAAAATTTCAAACTGCTCTCTCCATTTCAAGAAAATCCAGCACTTTGACGGGAAAAGAAAACAACTGAAAGCTTTGACAGGCTCACAAGCACCCATGCTATGTGATACGAGCTTCAAAAGATTAATTTCTTTTCCGAATCTCAAACAAGTGACTTGCAGTACAGTGCTCTGTAACACAACAGCATGCAAGGCAAAAGTCACAACATCAAGCATGTCTTTTTTTCTTTTTTTTTTTTTTACGTTTGAGTTGGAAACAGCTGGATGGCGTTTGTCTGGTGAATCCATGGACAGAGAACAGATGTGTGTGTATATTTCAACAACATATCAGAGACAAAGGCTTAGCCACACAGCCTTTTGAGGATCACTGGCACACAAGAGCTTTCACCTCTCTAGGCCCACTGGGTGGCAAGCCAGTTGAGCACTTCCAATATGTCATCCTTCTCCCTCTCGAGGCCTGGGACTGTCATGCCTAGCGCCTGCCACAAAGACTCCACCTTAAGGTGAGAAAAACTCAGAAAATGCATAGAAAAGTTAAAGAAAGCAAAACCACTTTCTTTAAAATAAGTGTTACACTGATAAGACAGAGGGGCCACGTCATATCATACTGACCTAGGCCACGGGAGGCCACGTCTGTCGCAATGAGGATTGGGGCTTTGCCATATCTGAACTCTGAGGAGAGAGGAACAAAATTATTCAGTCTAAAGCCATTTCTTTACATCTACCGAATCTGTAGCTTGCTGCATGATTTATTCGATCTCACCATTGAGAACCCAGTCTCTCTCCTGCTGGCTCTTGTCTCCATGAATCCCCATCGCTGGCCACCTGTGACAGACAGATTAAAGAGTGAAAAAAGAGGAAATAGGAGCAATGGGAAAGAACATGTATCATTTGACAAAGCCCAAACTGTCCCCACTCGGCGTAGATAAGGGAAGAGATCTTTACCCATCTCTTCTCATCCTTCTAGTGAGTTCATCACAGCGCCTTTTGGTTTCTACAAAGATGATGGTCTTGTTTTCCTTTTCGCTCATTATCTCCTCCAGCAGACGGATCAGTCTGAGAGAAATGAGGAAAACAACAGTTAAATTTTGTAAGGACTGATCAAAAAAAGTTTCATCTCTTGTCAGTTGAATTGTGGATGCTTAGATAAAAGGTAGGAATCATCCGCTCACTTGTCCTCCTTCTCCATGTCATTGCAAACATCGACTATCTGCAGGATGTTGTGGTTGGCGCTGAGCTGCAGCGCACCAATGTTGATTTGGACGTAGTCCTTCAAGAAGTCCTCTGCCAGCTGGCGAACTTCCTTAGGCCAGGTGGCGCTCCACATCAGGGTCTGACGGTCTGGCTGTAGAACACATAAAGGAGGACTTCAGTTTAGCGTTTCCCATGTCTCTATCACTGACATACTGTGTGCACAACTGTTCAAATCTGGCAGTAAAATGTTGACGCAGCAGCCGGATATGTGATATCAGCGATAGCTCATGTGAGTGTGAAGATATGTAGTCATCCCTAACTGTAGTCCTGGATGAATTTCTGTTTACTCTTTATATTGTCAGCTCACTGGTATTTGAAAACACATCTTACCCGAATTTGTTCCACAATCTTGCGGATCTGAGGTTCGAATCCCATGTCCAGCATGCGGTCAGCTTCATCCAGCACCAAATAAGTGCAGCGACGCAGATTGGTCTTCCCACACTCCAGGAAGTCAATAAGGCGACCTGGGGTTGCGATGCAAATCTCAACACCTAAAAATAAATGAAAAAAAAAAAAATGCATTATAGGAGATTATAAACGAAAAATATTATAAATTCAAACACATGCCAACAAACAGAAGAGAGTCAATTAAATTGAGTATCACAGAGCATACCTCTCTCAAGGTCCCTGATTTGAGGTCCTTTCGGGGCACCACCGTAGATGCAGGTGCTTTTGAGGCGGGACACCCTGCCGTATTCAGCAGCAACTTGTTGCACCTGCTGAGCCAGCTCACGAGTCGGTGCCAGCACCAAGCACTAAAAAAGGAGCAAGAGTTTTAAACATCTGATTATGATCACAGGTGCATCCTGTCACACACAGACCAAATTAAAAGCCATTCATTTTTCCCCTCTCCAAAGAAATAACCCAGCAAATAGCATGACACTACAACATGAAACCTAATTAGTGAGGATGTCCAGTTGTTTCCAATTTGTTTAGCACAACATACACAGATCCATCAGAGGGAAATAAATTATTAAGGGGAAAAGGGACTCAACAGGCACTACAACAGTTACTTTTAGGTGTACTTACTATTGGTCCATCTCCATGCTCCAAGAATGGCTGGTGTTGGATGTGCACAATTGCAGGCAACAGATACTAAACAGCAAAAAAAAAAAAACCCAAAGAAACAGGATGTAATTATAACATGACACAAATTAAAAAAAGAGTATAACAGCAGCAGCATGAGAACAGTGGAACTCCACATTTTCTACAGTCAGTAATGTAATCATGAGCTCACTACTATTGAGAGGCACAGACAAACAATACGTCACTTACAGCGAGAGTTTTTCCAGACCCCGTTTGAGCGATGCCAACCATGTCTTTGCCACTGAGAGCGACAGGCCAGCCTTGAGACTGAATGGGAGTTGGATCGGTCCAGTTCTGTTTGCTAATTATGTCCATGACGTAGCCTGAAAAAGAAAGATGCAAGTAAGATTGTTGAACACTTTTGAAGAAATGTCAACAATAGGTACGGAGTGTTCAAGATTATTTGTGCAGAGGCATGAATTTCTACTCACTTGGAAAAGCAGCTTCATGGAATTTGATTATTGGTTTGGGACAATCTCTGCCTTTGACAGTGACCTCTTTGCTTCTCCGGTACTGATCAATCTCTTGCTGGAATTGAAAGAGGGATTTTTAAAAGAGTGCCAGCGACACACAATCAAAGACACTTTCACACATTGGCAGGAGAGTCTATTGTTTACTTTGAAGATTATTCACAATGTCTTACAAGTGGTCTCCGAGCAGTATCAGGATGTTCCTGGTAGAAATTCTTCTGAAACTTTGGGAGTTCATCAAGGTTCCAGTGTTTCTTGCGCAGCCTCTCGCCAGGGTTGCCAAACTTTCCTTGAGGAGGTCCGCCCCTATTGCCTCCTCCACCTCCACCAAAACGAGGGGGTCCTCCTCCATACCTTTGGGAAAGACAGGGACACATAATGAAAGGGTCTGTGTGCTGCTGACAGAAAGAGTGCAACACAGAACTCAAACAATTACAACAATTACACAATTTAATCTTAATGTTATTAATCATTTACCAAACAGGAGTGTCAAACAGAAGTGCATTGATTCTCTGCTTGTCTTTGTCTGTTTCGGTAATGACTATAGGGTCTTGTAACAATTGGTTGGACAAATGAGGGCTTATGTTTTTCAAAACAAATGTCACTTTTCTGACACCACATTGATAAATAACTCAAAGCAAAGGTGGCCTTGAGTTCAATGATATTTGTGGAGGACATAATTTACCACACAGACAATAACTTCACATCCTTGAGGCAATACACGGAACTATTTGAGCTCTAAGGACTTTGACTGTTTGCTTTACAATCACAAGACTTCTCTGGTACTTCTAGTATCAACCTTTAGGGGAGAGTGGAGTAAGATGAGCCATTTTTCATATTTCAGATCACTACATCAAGTCAATCATAGTTTTGTCTCTAACTAGTGTATCTGCATATATTTCAAGATGTTGTTCATCCCTGCAAACCAACAGAATAAGAGTAAACACAACTGTCTTGATAATATAGCATGCCAAAAAAAGTGGTCTCCTATGGTCAACTTACCCCGTGTATGGGGTAAGTTGACCATAGGAGCGGGGTAAGTTGAGCCATATCCCTACGACCCCCCCCCCCCCCCCCCACACACACACACACACACACTCACTCACACTCTCCACCCCAGCCCTCTCTCACCTTCTCTCTCCCTAAATAACAGTCACTTCTTACAATAATTCTTTTTATTATTATTGCATAAAACTGCTAAAAAGCTGTTTTGTAAAAAGCCATTTTAACATGAGAATGTCTTTAAGTGATTCAGAACGTTCACAGCTGTATTTTTAAAAAAAGAAAAGTCAAACATTTCAACAATCTGAACTGAAACTCTGATCCTCTCATCAGACTCTTTTACTTTCTCAGTTAACCCAGAACTACTATTATGACTTTATTAGTCCTCTAAAATAAAATGGTGGACTTTTATGTTATATTTGACCTCATGTTGTAGCTCATAGAAACCACAATTGATGTATAAAACAAATTTAAAATGATCTTTTTTTTTTGTCTGAAGACAATTCTAATAAAACTTATGACAGACTAAATTCACTTTCAAGAGTAAAAAATGTTTTGTGAATAAATGTCTAACCCTTCACTCATGTGCCTCTAACCTTCACAGACTCCATGAATTGATGCCCATCTCCTAAATATTTGGTCACATGATCAATTTCTTTTACCATTTCCAAGCAACAGGGGGTGGCTCAACTTACCCCACTCTCCCCTACAACCTTTACTTAAACTTATTTTTACCAGTTAACGAAAAGTTTTGATGAAACAAAAAACAATAAGTGCAATGAGATATTTTTATTTTCAGCATTCCGGTATTGCGATACCCGTAACCTGTTGTAAATGCTCACAGCAGAATTGTAAAGAGAGTCTCTGGTATGTCGGGCCTTTAAATGAAGATGGACATGCCTCGCCTATAAACATGAGAAAGCCAGGTTAAGAGCAGCCCGTTTAGAAGACACTGAAACCGGACTGTTGTTGGGAAATGGGTCGTTTAAGATAAATTGGGGCCTCTGCGACACAGATCTCGGTGTCAGCTGTGGATCCGCAGAAGGAGACGCCACTGCGTCATAACGAGCGGAGAGCAGCAGCGGTAACTGCCCAGCTACAGACACACCGCCGCCATCAGCTGCCATTTTACCTCTCTTCAACACGACAACGAGGGGCATTACAAATACATACACACAACTACAGCGAGTCCGCAAAAATAGAACAACTTTCACGGTTTAATAAGTGAATGTAGGTTAACAATAACGCGGGGCGATGCGAAGACCATGTCAACCGTCCTGTCAGCCATGACAGCCGGGCGCGAGCACCCTGATGCTAGGCTAATCATTTCGGCTAACGTTGGAGGAAACCGAGAGCTGCGACTCACCCTCTATCTCTGCCACGATCTCTGTCTGAAAACCCAGGCATTGTGGAGCAGGGGAGTGTAGCAAAAGCTGAAGTGCGTCTTGGTCCGCTTAGCCGCTCAACAAAACAAATAATTGTTGGGAGGACTGAAGCCGAACCGGGAAAACAAAAAGAAAATGCCGGCAGACCAAAGTCTGTCTGGAGAGACGGATGTGAGGTCACACACGGCGGAGAACAGTGTATCCATGCGCAGCAGGCAATCGTACCCCCGTGGGGTACTATTTTATTCCGCAAAAAGTTGAAATAGGTATAGAATGAATGGAAACATGCCTCTTCTCCAACACATAATAAATGGATACAGGAGATTTTAAGCTGCCTGAAACTCGAAAAGATGCGATACTCATTAACGGCGTTCCTGAAACCTTTTGTGGACTATGCAAATAACCTCGACCTAATACCTGAAGATGACAATACTGCTACTTGAGATATTCCCTTTCATTTATTTATTTATTTTTAATTGATTATTTATTTTATTTCATTTATATTTTTTATGTGAATGTGTGTATATATGTATATGTGTATATTATATATATAAAGTATTATATCCCATCTATTAATTTACTTTATTTGTATATTTGTATATGTATCCTAATTTCTTGTCTTTGTGATGCTATATATAATAGGTTCAGAATGAATGTCTGAAACAGTGAAGTTTCAACACAGGGTTAATTCAAACTTGTTTTACTCAGTACAAAACAATTTCAATACCAAGGCTTTATTGCCATAAAAAATACAGGATAATAACAAAAATTTAGAAATTAAGTGAAAGAAAAATGTGTAGTTATTTAGACTGCATATAAAAAGTGACTTTGCTCCTAGAATAAATAAATATTTATGCAAATAACAATTCTTTTTTTTCTTTCTTTTTTCTATTTATGGATGTGTTAAGTTGTCTCTAATAATAAAAAGTGTAATAACAATTCCTTGCATTCCAACAGGGCTCTCACACCCTCTGTGCTTGGGCCCTAATATGCAGATTTCCCTTTCTTATTTGTACTGATTCAACAACCATATGGATAAAGGAATGGGTACCATTGATTTTCAAAGAATTGAAATGTATGACACTTAAAGAGAGGCATGAAAGCATTTAAAACCTATCCTTTATCAAAACATTGAGACAAGTCCATTACGTTTTTCCAATTTATTGCATTAAGGCATTTGTTAAAATGGAGGAACATTATCAAATGACAATAATATGGCATGTAATGCATTTGCTAATACATGGTATAATACTCAAACAATAAGGGATTCAACTCTGGGAAGAAATTCAGAGGCTAATGTGCTAAAGTAAACCATATATGCTATGCAAAGCATGGCACAAAGCAAAGATCTATTAAATGATGACCCACCACCACATACAATCATAAGTGTAACCAATAAAGACAGTCGGAAATGAACTATCAACCAAGACACCGACAGTGATGGTACAGCATTGTACCAACTTATTCACCAAATGTTACCATTTCAACTCATCAACTTACTTTGTGTTTTTTTGTGTGTGTTGGCATTGTGCAAAACTGGTTGAGGTAACAGCATGAAAGCAAGCCAAAGATAGAGTGTTCAGAACAAATACTCAAATTCATATTGACAAGAGCAAACACAACTGCATCAAAACTTTAAGAAGACCGATGTCTGTGTGCAAAACAAGCATAACACGTACAGTGTTTCCCCCCAAATTGGTTCAGTAACAGCATATAAACCATAAGTACATATAAAATGGCTTCTTACAAGAGCAATGTTTTGAGATATTACATACCCATTAAGTAAAAAAATAGAGCACAAAGAGTGTGTACAACCTTTTTAGCAAAACGACACTCAAATTGACTGAGATGAACATTTGGCCATCTATAAATGTATTGATCGGTATAAAAGGAAAGCAGTAAGGCTATAAGATGATTGTTGAGGACAAACAAGGCTTAATCCTCCAGAGTAAAGTGTCTTATTTGATGGCTTGCTTGGCTAATGTTGAACTGTATCTGCATGGTGACAGCGGTCGTTGTAATCCATGCCTCTTTGCTCTCCTCTGTTCACTCAGCTGCAGGTTCTGGTGCTTCAGTTGGCGTTTCCACCTCCTCATCGCTGTCCAGACCTGAGCGGTTCATTGTACGTCGGATGTTGAAAGGTAAATCCCCGCGTCTACGAAACACAGAATGGTTCAAATGCAATCAGAGGATCCTCAATTACTTATCACAAGTGAGACAGACTTATTCATTGTGTATTTGGAATTGGCACCATCAAAAGTTATTCAAACCTTGAGTCAACCATTTAAGGTAAGTGTATTATTACAAATTAACATAGCTGTTTTCTGTATCTGAACTTGGTGCCTCCACTACCAACAACATCTCTAAAAAAAAAAACACCTTCAACAAATTTCAGAGGTCTCTACCTGAGCTTGCTCTTCAGAGAGCTGACTTCACGGTTCATAGCATCTGCTGACTCGGCAGCATCATCCAGCTCTCTCTGCAGCTTCCTGCGATAGGCGTTGGCTCGTGTCACCTCCTCCTCGGCCTCCTCCAGCTGCCGCTTCAGCTGACGCATTCGGCTGTTGGTCTTCTCCGCCTGTATGCGAGCAGATCCACAAAGATTCAAGTCAGGAACAAACAACAAAACAGGAATTTCAAAGTTGACTTGTGACGAAGCTGACCTGGTCCTTGTATTGCTCGGTGTTGCGTCTCTCGTCTTCAACCTGCAGCAGCACCTCCTTCAGCTTCTTCTCTGTTCGCCTAGCCAGACGAGAGGCTTGCTGGCGCTCCCTGAAATGAGAGGAATAAAAACACGGCAAGGAATCAGTGAGGTGTCAAGACTCTGAGACAACAAACTAACAAGTTGCCCGAGTTAGATGAACAGGTTTCAGAATTCTGGATAAATTGATTGACTTTTTTGGACAACGTTTTCTAAACACAGGAACTCACAGATTAACTACAAACTCTATCGGTACCAAAGATTTGGTGCATCTTTCATTTCACTGATGGGATCCAACTTTTAAGTGTCAGTTGCACTCACTTTGACTCAATGTCAAGCTGTTCCTCCAGTTGGGCGATCTTGGCCTCCAGTGTAGAGATAGAGGATTTGTACTTGGACTTGATGGTTCCCTCCAGCTCCTGCAGCTTCAGTTTCAGATCTTTGTTCTGGCGATCCAGCTGTGAGCGAGCCCCCTCCAACCGCTGGGAGGTGCTGCGCTCTGCACCCAGCTCTGTGGTCAACTGATCAGTCTGATGTTAAACACACACAGAGGAGGTTTCATTAGACAACACCATACAGCTGTGATTTCAGTCTCACTTGGTTTTTATCCCATTTGCTTCATCTCCTGTCATTAACCAAACATTTCTTTGTGAAATTCCAGCTGCTAGGATGAAGATATTTGACCCTGCTCACCTGCAGAGTTGTTCTCTTTAGACGATCATTGAGCATCTCAGTGCTGACTTGTTCCTCCTCCAGCTCCTCCTCCAGCTGGTTGATGCGAGCCTCCAGTCTCCTCTTCTCATCCGCCAGCAGAGAACTAGCAGCAACGAGCGAAGAAGAGGAAAGGAAGAGTGTAGAAAATGAACTTTTGCCATTTAAAGTAAACTCGCATGCATTCTTGTATAAACTAATATACTAATACGCTCAGTTGTGACAGTGATTTCCTACTTCTTGGTGTTGCTGTTGTTGACCTCGTCCTGGAGCTCGTCTCTCTCTGACTGGGTTTGTCTCTTAAGTCTTTCTGCAGTGGCCAGATCCTGAAAGAAAAAGGTGCAAGTAAATAACGATTGTTACATGAGGTAAATTATACAAACCCTGTTTCCTTAAGCCTTTATAAAACAGAATTAAATAGTTGCATAATATTTTATTGAAAAGTACAGAAGTGTATTGCATTCACTTACAAAAAAAGGAAACTGTTTTTTTTTATATAATTTATTTATTTAGCTGTCTTTTGGACTTTTTTTTTCAGTTTTTCGTACATTTTTTTTGTCTTTCTGTTTTTCGGAATATTTCTTTCCTGACTAAACGAGATACTTCTAAATCCTGCGAGAATCACATACAATCAGATAATGTTAACCATAGAATAGGAATAGGAATAGGAGAATAGGAAAATCTATTTGTCCGAAAAACAAAAACAGTCTAAAAAACTGAAAAATTAGTCTGAAAAACAGATTTTTTTAATTTTTATTTTTGGTGAAGGCAATACGCTTCCGTTAAAAAAAGAGTCCAATCATAACAGGTTCAATGTTGAAACTGAAAAATTGATACCCTCATTTAAATTTGATGCCAGCAGCATCTCTCAAAGAGTTTAGACATGGGCTTGTTTACTATTGTGTTTTATCACCTCCTCTTTTAACAACACACATGTTTGAGGACCAGGTTTCGCACCTGGCCCTTTCTTCTGTGGAGCCATGATATTGTGCCACATGTTGTTCAACATTTTTTTTTGCTGTATTATGTAAGGTCTTCCCTAAAAAAAGCCTAAAGATGTTCAGATGTTTATTTTCAATCAAAAATAGGCTTTAAATTGTTTCTCAACTACTTTTTTTCTACTAAAACATTTAACAGTGTACCAGGTGTTACAGAATTGGGGTTGTAGATGGCAATGTGAGAATAAATGATCATGCTGTGCACTATAAAATAGTTTCATATAAATATTAACGTCACTTTTTGCTCTTTAATATTGGAAATGAACATATCTGCTATTTATTGTGTAATGGAAAAGATCTGATTAATTGTACTGACAGTTTTGGGGGATTTTTTTCACTTCCACATCAGCCTGTAATCTCAAACCTGAAAACCTAAATATCAGCAGTTTATGGCTCTTAAAAATGATCCAAACCTTGTTTTTTTTAAGTCATACCTCCTGGAAGCGCAGAGCATCTGCCTCCATGGTCTTCAGCTTCCTCTCAGTTTCTTTGGCTCCGTTGACGGCTTCATCTCTTGACAGACGCAGCTCATCCAGCTCTCTCATCTGCTCTTTCATCAGGGCCTGGAGGATACAAGGAGACAGAAGAGCTGTAGTGAGACGCCCGACAACAAAACAGCAACACCTCCTCAATTTGGAAGGACACTCAACTACTTGTCCACTTTTGGAGGAGCAGGAGCTTTTAAGGGACCGTACCCTGATTTCCTAATTTTAACAGATGACTCAGCACAGCAGGTCTCTTTGGCGTGTGGCTGTTTACCTGGAGTTTTTTCAGCTGTTTGAGCGCCTCATCCCGGCCCTTGTTGGCAGCATCGATCTGCAGTTCGAGCTCGCTCAGGTCCAGCTCCAGTTTCTTCTTCGCTGACAGGGCTTGAGAACGCTGCCTGCGTTCATCCTCCAGCTCCACCTCCATCTCACGCACCTAAAGTAGAGTGAAAGGGCTTTTTAGTTTGTGATGACATGTAGAAATTTCACTCAAAGTTTTTGCAAACATTTTTAAAAATCTGACAATGTAGGCGTTTTCTTTGCTACCTGTTTGACCAGCTGTTTCCTCCTGTCCTCTCCCTGCTCATCTCTGGCCTGCAGGTCTCGGTCAAACTGGGCTTTCATGGCCTGCATGTTGACTTCCAGACGCAGTTTGGCGTCCTCTGTGGCCTGCAGCTCATCCTCCAGCTCCTCCAGCTGGACTCTCATCTCCTCCAGCTGCTGCTCCATCGCACGCTTTGACCGCTCAAGCTCGTGAACCTGTGCCGAGGTGGTTTCATTACAACAGCTAAATACAAGTAATCTGAGTAAATTCATTTTTACAGTTGTGAATCTAATGGCTGATTTCTTACACTCTTGCCAACATCATCCTTGGAGGAGACCAGGTCTTCCATTTCCGCTTTCAGCAGCTTGTTGGTTCTGTCCAGCTCGTCTTTGAGGGTAGTCATGGTCTCCAACTCACGGGCCAGCGTCAGGGCTCGAGTCTCCTTCTCCCTGGCCTCAGCCTCAGCCTTGTCCCGCTCCTCTGCATACTGAGTGGAAATGGTCTTTTCTTCGGCCAGCATCTAAGAGGAGAGACCGAGAGGGGCAGTCTATTGTTAGTTTTACTCACTCCAAGAGTAAAAAGTGTACATATAAGTTTGTTTGAGAATCTTGTTCAAGAGTTTCTACATCATTCATGTTACTTTCAATCCACTTTTATTGACCTTAGTCTTGCTCTGTATCTACACTGTGGTAACAACATAAAAGACACTTCTGATTGTCGTCTCTGCAACTTTTTACTCTGCTGTCCTCTGTTGCACAAAAAGCTGCAAATTCCACCTGGTAAAGTGACACACAGGCTCATCAAACGTTCCAAATAAAAACAAGCAACCTCTCTTTTTTTAGGTTTTTGTTTTTACTCCAATTCCAACATGATACCTGGTCAAACTTCTTCTGCTTCCTCTCCAGGTTGGAGACGATCTGCCTCAGGTTGTCCTGGTCCACCACCAGGTCATCCAGCTCTTGCTGTAAGCGGGTTTTTGTCTTGTCCAGCTTGTCGTAGGCCGATGTTTTCTCCTCCAGTTGCTGCATGATGCTGTCCATCTCTCGCTGGACTCGCTTGCGGCCCTCCTCGGCCCCCTCCAGAGATGAAGCCTCCTGGTCCAGCTTCTTTTTCAAATCTGCCAGCTGGAGACATGAAAGGGAGAGAGGGATGAGAGGAGAGAAATTTCAGTATTTGAGTGGATTTACACCAAGAAACCCTGTTCAGTAACAAGATCGAAAGTGAATCAAACAAAGGTTTTTTGGTGATGCTGTGTACCGACCTGGGCCTGAAGAGTGGACACCTGCTTCTCCACATTCTTCTTACTTTCCTCCTCTTCCTCCAGCATTTCTCGCAGGCTGTTTTGTTCATCCTCCATCTGTCTCAGGCGGGTGGAGAGGGATAACTTCTGGCGAGTCTCCTCTTGGAGCAACTCCTAGAGTTTGAAAAAGGTGGATATCTTTCAATCCCTCCGCTCTTCTGCTGTTTGTGTCTATTTTTGTTTGCATTTTGGTGACTTCACATAAACGGTCACTGTCGCCATGAATGAAACCAAAATTACCAGAAGACTGTGAACGGCAAAGACACCTCTAAAGTTACCAGGAGCTTTTGTCCTTGATAAATTTTGCAGTTATAGGAGTAAGGGACATTGCGATCCTTTAAAAGTTGAAGAAAGATGTGGATTTCTCCTCTGTCTTCAGATCAGATTGGGGTTTGGTGAAACTTTAAGGAAATAGTTTGCTTTTACTTCTCATCCCAGACTAAGAGGATTCAGTAAAATACGAGGGCTGAGAGTTTTGTTTTGAGATTTACAAAAAGACAAGTGCAATAGCGGCAGTAAACATGCATACCTGTGCGTCCTGCAGCTGAGACTCTGTAGAAGAAAGATCTTTGCTCGATTTGATGCTTTTCCCTTCTGCTTCACTCAGAAGACTGTTGACGTTCTCCAGCTCAGTCTAAAAACCGGATTTAAAGAAAAATATGTACCATGATCCATAAAAAAGGTACTTGTGCTTATTCTTCATTTCACTGACCACTCGGTTAGTACTCTACCTGCATCTTGGCCAGCTTGTCGGTAACCTCCTGCCTCTGCCGCTCACTCTCTCCAAATTTGACCTGAAGTTCTTGAACCTGGGATTCAGCCTTTTTGCGGCGGTGCTCAGAATCAGTTTTGCTTTGAGACAAAGTCTTCATCTCGATCTGCAGCTCGTTCCACTCACTTTCCAAGGCCTGCTTTGATTTCTCCATTGAGGCTTTGTTCTGCAGGAGACGATTGAATTACTTGTGTTACAGATGTCACTGGGTGTTCAGGTATTGGCATCTTTCTCTACTGACTGACCACATCGTTTCATTACCCTTTTGGCCTGTTCCAGCTGTTCATTCAGCTCCTCAAAGGTCTGATTGTGTTTATGCCTCATCTCTGACATCTGCTGCTCGTGAACCTTGGCCTCTTCCTCCAGAGTCTTCTTCAGCTGGGTGACCTCTGTCTCTCGTTTGGTTCTGGAACAATGAGATAAAACTGGGATATTAGTAGACAAACACATTTGTCCATCCTGGAGGAAGCAGTGGAGGGGTTTCTGTGAACTCGACTGTTACCTGAGCTCCTGCTGTGCGGCAGTCGAGTCCAAAGTGTCCTCCAGCTCAGTCTTCAGTGCCTCTAGCTCCTCTCCCAGGTCCCTGCGCTGTCTCTCGGCCTTTGTGCGCACCTGCTTCTCCATCTCCAGGTCCTCCTGCAGCTCATTGATCTGAGCCTCCAGCTCCCTGATCCTCTTTTGGGCCGCATTCTTGGCTGCAGCCTCCTCTTCAATTCTGGGGTGAGACGGAGAGAAGGAAGGACACTGTCACAAAGGTGTCTCCGTGTGTAATCCCAAACTTGAGAGTGGACTGCATCTGAGGGAAGACATATCCCACCCAACACGAATTCAGATCCCAAAAATTAAAGTTACCACAAACCTGGCCAGTGCAGCGTAGAGTTCTTCTTCTTTTTTGGACAGCTGAGCTTTGAGTTCAGCGATCAGGGCCTGCAGCTCTGCGATCTGATCAGTGAGCTCAGTGGAGTCACCCTCGAGTTTGCGGCGATTTTTCTCCAACTCCTGACGCGCTTTCTCCTCTTTTCTCAGACGATCTGTAAGTAAAAAGAGATAAAAAACAGAATTTACTCACCTATTAATGAGTAATTATTTACAGAGGTGATAAAAAATTTATAAAAAAAAAAACAAAAGCACAAACACAAGCTCACAAACGTTGGTTGCTCTCCTAAGACTGATTTTGGTGTGGCAGGAAAACTTATTGTTTTGTTGCTGCTAGTGGATCGTATTGTTGGCCTTTTAATTTTCAGCCAGAAACTTTTGTACTTGGTTGAACTCTAAAGCTACAGTTATGATGTGGTTGGGCAGAGGTCCACACACAGATGTCTAAAACATCCTGAAACTGTCTGTGTATGCTCATTAGGGGTGGAAGAAAAAAATCGATACAGCAGAGTATTGCAATATTTGGTCTGTTGATATATCATATCGTCTCATTTACCAGGTATCGATTTTTTAATTTAACTGCTAATATGAAGTCAAATCTATGATAATGGAAAAATAAAATTAACCGTTTGTCCAGTGAGGTTGGCAGAGGTGACATCATAGACCAGGAGAAAGTTAGTGCAACAAAAATATTTTTGCAAGATGTGCTACATGAAAATGAAATACTGTGTAAATAAGAAAAACATAAAGGAAAGACAAATGCTAAATTAGCTAAAAAGTTGAAAAATTAATTTAATCTCAATATATTGTATCATAATACTCACTGTAACACAAAATGTTAAAAATCGCGATAACATCGTATCGTGGCCCAAGTATCGTGATAATATTGTAGCGTGATTCCCACCCCTAATGCTCATGTATTTGAAATTTTGAAGACTGGTTGGGGGATTTCAGAGTGAAGAGTCTAAAAAAGAACATTGAATAAAAACACATATTCAATTGATAAAGAACTGCATTGATTTACAGATCTACCTCAGGCATTGTTAATAACATATGCAAGATCGTCACAGTGCTTTTCAGTTACATGGGTGCTTTTTGTATAACGTGCATGTCCTTTTTTGATTCCTGACTTCTGTTTGATTCCTGGTCCAGCATGTCACTTTTAAAGTGGATTCCAGACTGAGAATAGCTTGAGTCAAACCCGTTAGCTGAATGTAAAGAATGAGTTTTACAACTGTTCACATAATTCAGTTAGACAAAAGAAAAACAAGAACGTAATAAGAGTCTCAGCAGCAAATACTTGCCCTCCAGATCTGTGATCATTGCTTCATGTTTGTTCTTAAGTTTCTGCAGACTTTTGGACTTCTCTTCCTCCTCAGTCAGGTTGGTGGTGAACTCAGAGATCCTCTCCTCCAGCTGCTTCTTCTCCTGCAGTTGCATTAATATTAAATAAATCAGTTTTTGGAATTTTCCGCAGGCTCACTGCTGTTAAATATTAGGCTGAGTGAACACGTTGTAGCTGACCTTTGAGAGCTTGTTGTTCTGGTCGTCCAACACCATCACATCCTCCTCCAGCTTCTTCATCTTGGCGTCTGTGGTGACTTTCTCCATTTGAAGCTTCTGTCGGGTAGCTTCCTCCTCATCCAACTGCTGCTCCAGGTCCTTCATGAACCAAAGAAACGATTTACAATGTTTAGAAATAGATTTCTTCTTGATCAAATCTCACTTTGTGTCCTACTGTTTTACTGACTGTGATGTTCTGCTGCATCTTCTTCCTTTCTGAATGCATCTGAGTGACCCTCTCTTCCTCCTCCTCCAGGCGTGACTCCAGATCATGAAGGATGTCCTCAAGCTCTTGTTTCCTGGTGGTCAGACGGGCTCTCATCTCCTCAGCCTCAGCGCAGAGCTCGGTCTCTGCCTGGAGCTGCTCTTGGAGAGCTGACTTCTCTGCAGCCAGCTAACAAAAAGTCGCCACAGAGACTGCTCAATTACATCAGTCACAACTTCTTGAAATTATTTTTTTTTTTTGTGAAATAACTCCACATAGTGATGCTTTCATAGTTTTACAGCCTTTATGCTGTGACGACTCCTACCTGTTGCTGTTTGGCCTCGTACTCTTTGAGCTGCTCCTCGGCTCTCACTTGTCTCTCCTTCACCTTCACCAGCTCCTCTTCTTTAGCCAGCATCTCCTCCTCCTGCCGAGTCACCTGCAGGAGAGGTTTCACCTGGGCGAGAATTAAAAGGTCGATTAAAATCAGTGTTTCCATAATGGTTCCGATAAAATGTGTAAATACATCTAAAAATAAAAAAAGATCTAGTAATTAAAGGCAAATACGAGCCAGAACATTAAGGTGAGCATTACTTATTCGTTAAGCGAGTGTAGCTCTCATGGTCACTCACTGCGATATTACCAAGGGATGAAAAATGGAGTGACCAGACAGTAAAAGTCTGCTCCAAAATTATTAGAGGAAATACAGCTGATGGACCTGAGTTGTCTCTGGGAGACACGAGTGATCCAGAAAGACAGAAGAATCATGGACCAGCCTGGACACACTCTCTTCTCTGACTTTTCTCTTATGCCCTCTGGGTGGCGCTACTATGCCCCCCCAAGAAAACAAATAGGTACCCTAACTCATTTATCCCCTCAGGGATCAGGCTGCTTAATGCTGGGAAGTAGCAGATTGGTGGCCCATGTTGAAATTGGGATATCTAGATTGTTGTAGTTATTATTTTACGTCTTTTATGGCATTATTTCTTATTGCGTTTTAGTCACCCACTGTTGCACGAATTGCACATGTATTTGATATTTATTTATTGCTGATTTGTGGTGCTGAAAGGGGAATGTTTCGGCCAAATGCTGCTGTGGATGTCTGGCATTTGTCTGTTCCATTGTTTAATAACAAGGTGGGTTAACTGTGAAATGAATTGCCCTTCAGGGATTAATAAAGTTGTCTGAATTTGAATCAAAACATAAAAACACACAAGTAGGACAAGTTACCCAAAATCTGAAGTGGAGTTATGGAGCCTTTTTTTCAGTAAAACAGTTCTAAGTGCTGCAGAGACATAAAATGACTCTTATATCCAAAAATATGATGCAAATAAGTGTGGTGAAGATGGTGGAGATCACGATGATATTGTATTCAAATGTGAATGTATGCATGTTACTGAAAAACTGATCCAAGGTTTGTCTATTCCTAAATCAGGTTACAGGGTTCCTACACGGTTGGAATTTCCATACCCTGCTTTTTAAGAGTTATTTTTGGAAATACCTACTTTTCTATTTTAGAAAACAATATTTTAAAACTGTGGTGTAGTCTGGAAACGTAAATATTTTTCCCCATTCTTTTAAGACCTGGAAATTGATCATATTTATTTCCACATTTGTCTACACTTACATAGGAACCCTATTTGAATTTGTAAAGTATTTAAATATGATTATCATAAATGTTTTATTTGGACATTTGGCCAATTTAATGCCATAAAAAGGATAAATACACCTGTTTCACTGCACAACAACACAAGCAGCTCAGAAACTACTTCAGCTGGTTGTCGAGTAACAATGATACAGATAATATTGATGATGATAATGACGAGATTAAAATAATTGTTTTGGTAAGAAATGTGATTATCATAATTATTTCCATTATCATAGATAACAACATTATAATTTGCAGTAATATTACTAGTATCAAACCTGTTTAACTGACAGAATCAGGGTCCAGTTTATAAATCTGGGAACTCTCAGCGTCTATGGCATCCCTAGTTTTTATTTATTCTAGCATCATGAAGTCTGAACCTTTGAGTAAATAAAGTGACAGATTTAGTCACCTTTATTTTTCCCTTACCTTGGTGAAAAGTCTCCACCACTGCCAGTTTTTGAGTTTGAGGTACGCAGCACAGTTCCTCTGCATCACCTTCATGGCGGTCAGCTGCTGCTGTCTCTTGGCAAAGGCTCTACAATAAGATCAACAGCAAACTTGTCATTGGTTTGCTTTATATCCATAATATCAAAAACCGAAGCGTGAGAACATGTTGCCTCCTAAAATGTGTCCAGGGTTGATCGGGGTAAATGGTTCGTACTTGCGAGCCAGATATCCTCTGCACCAGGCCTGGAAACTGATGATGACGTCAGTGATCTTCATGTCTCGCTCCTCCTCCAGGTGAGCAAGGACTCCGGCTCTAAAGAACACTTTACTCTGACCGATGCGGTACAGGTTTTGGTCCAGCTCCAGAGCTTGGATCTGACAGAAGGAGACAGAGTCAGTGATAAGTCCTCGAGCTTAGAGTGAGGAAGAAACAGACCCCATATTGGCTGTCCTTCCAAGTCTGCTCTCTTATCCTTACCATGCGCACACAGGCTTGCTTCCCATCCATGAAACCCTTTGGTATAGCATTAGGTGTGAGGATTTCATACCTGAAAGACAAAATAAATCCACTTGAGAGGTTGGACTCTTTATGTAATCTGTTATTTTTCTGTTACTGCAAAATGAGTCAAAGTCTTATCCCTGCAGTCTTCTGTTAAAATTTCAAGAGTTATTTTTGGGTTGTTTTGGTGGTTTTTTAGAGCAGGGAGATGTGGTGCATGTACGCGATTCTTGAGGTTTTATGAAATAAATCATGGCAGTGAGTCTTAGCGTAGTCAAAGAGAGATGCATTTATTTACTAACTTATTACTGTATTCTAAAAAGACAAGTACGAGCTGTTTTTTTCACCTCTGTCTGAACTCCTGGAAGACGATGCGATTGGGGAAGCCCTGTCTGCAGATGCGAATCCCCTCCAGGACTCCATTACACCTCAGCTGATCCAGAACCAGGTGAGGCTCCAGTTTACCTGCCTGAGAGAGAAACACACATGAAATTCCCACTAAAATGTGTCTGTGCTCTGCCTTATACTTAGTCTAGAACCTCTGTTGAGTACCTTCTTCTCGTGGTTTGGGATGATGCAGCGGACAAAGTTTGGATTGGTGTTTCTTAGCGTGGTCATGAGGTTTCCCAGTTGTTCCTTGTACAGCTGACCCACAGTGCGAAACATGCCCTTACGGGTTTTGAATGCACCGTGCATGGAGTCAGACATTCCTGCAACCTTATCCAGGCCAACAATACGATCCACTACAAGCGACAAAACACAATTAGTCTGATTTCATCACAGTGAAAATATTGTTTTCAAGACGTTACATAATTTACAGATAATGTGACTCTCAAAGCAAATATTCATTCTGCAATTTAATTTGAGGTTTAAGATGAATTTAGCAACAGAACTCACTGTCTCTCCACAGATCACTAATGAATTTGTCTCCTGATTGGTTGAGTAAAGTGGCCACGCACTCGTTCAGAGGGTCCATGTTTTTCATCAGCCACTCATCTGCTTTGTAGTCCACCTGTAACAGAGGAGAGATCGGTTTGTAATAAAGCATTTAAAACAGTGTTACTTTAAGGCACAACTAATCTGCAGCAAAGTTCGATCTAATAATGTATGAAATAACAAATTTAACAGAGTCTTATATCAATGTATGTTTGTGTATCTAAATATGATGTTGAATTAAGCACATAATTTTACTCTTCACAAGTAACAATTTGAAAGAGTCCCACTCCAATAAAAATCCAGTTTTTCTTGTTGTCTACATGTTCATATGGCATTTTTCTGATGCAACAGGGCATATCATGAGAAAAGTAAGTGCAAAATCGCATTTCTGAGTATTTCTGCATTCAAATCGCTGTGAATCTTTGTCAGACCAAAACAGCAGGTTCAGATTCAGTGAGATTTTTTTGTTCCCTGGGGGGGGTGAATGATATCTAATTGGAAATAAACATTTTTAATAATATCAGGCAAATACATGACTCAAGCTCCTGTGAAAAACTTTCAATTCATGCTGGTTTTGATGTCCCAAAATTGACAAAGTACTCGTTTGATTTTGTTTTGCACATGTAAGTCTTTCTGAGTAGTGTGCAGTTATTTACTTGGTCTGCCTCCTGCCATAAAAAATTTAGCTAAAAACAGCCAGTCCTTTTTTTGATGGTCTTGTTTGCTGTTTTATATCCTGTAGAGGCACCAGTATTGATGTCAGTGTTTCACAACCTTCTGGAAAAATCTCACAGGAGCTTTAAAAAAATTTAAAAAATTCCTAGTATCAAATGACCTTTCCAGCATAGTGGATAATGCAGAAGTCGACGTCATCCTTGAGTTTCTTTGGTTTCTGGAACTTGGGGTTCGTGCCCTGCTCTTGGACCACCTTCTCCACAAACGATTTGTCTGTGGCTTTGGGGAACCAGCACTCTTCATCCAACAGAGCCAAGATGCCTGGAGGACCAGCCTGTGATGAGTGATGAAAGAAAACAAAAACAACAAACGCATGTCAGTCTGCTGATCAAGTTACGTGCCTTGACTTGTATCACAACACAAATAGATCTAGTAACTTCTGCAGAAGGATTGTAACTCCAGCCACACTCTGAGTTATTTGTATGAGGAATAATAGTAACTGGAGGATGTCTTACAGGCTTTTCAATGAGGTCGATGCAGGGCTGCAGGTCGAGGCCAAAGTCGATGAAGCTCCACTCGATGCCCTCCCTCTGGTACTCCTCCTGCTCCAGGATGAACATGGTGTGGTTGAAGAGCTGCTGCAGCTTCTCATTGGTGTAGTTGATGCACATTTGCTCAAAGGAGTTCAGCTGTAGGAGAGAATACAACATCATTAGCCTTTGTTTTATTTCATTTTTTGTAACCTGCATGTCAGATGAAAACATCCATACTCACTTCTTACTCAACTACCCTTTTTATTTTAATTAAACTTTTTCCTATCTCTTTAGGCAGCAGCTGTACCTGCGCTCATGCCGCGCAAACACAAACATATGTCTCTCACTCTTTCTGGTAAAAAAAACTACAGTTATAACACAAAGCTGTCATTTGTCTAGACTTTAAATGCTCACCTCAAAGATCTCAAATCCAGCAATGTCAAGGATGCCGATGAAGGAGGCCCCCTGCCTCTTTGTCTTGTCCAGAGCTTTATTGATTCGCATCACCAGCCAGCGGAACATCCTCTCATAAGAGGCTTTAGCCAGGGCCTCAACCGCAAACTCTGCCTGCTCCTGGGTCTGGGCCTTCTGCACGTAGTCTCTGCCAACCTGCAAGACCAAAGCAATCAAATGTTAATGATAGAATATAGCTGCATGGAGTGTATACAACGCACCATTCAGAGGGCAAAGAAGAAGGGAGTAGTTGTCGTGCGCAGAGGAATTTGGACTTTTTTTGTTTTTATAGGCTTGACAAATGGAGTGTCATACTTATTAAGCAACACACACTGTACCTTTAAGCAGGGTTCCTACACAGTTGGAATTTCCATACAATTATTTTTGGAAATACCTACTTTTCTATTTTAGAAAACAACTTTTTTTTCCACTGTGGTAATAGTTTGGAAACAGAGATATTTTGCCATACTTTATTTTTCAATTACCATACTTTTTAAGGCCTGAAAATTGATCAAATTACTTCCATACTAAGCTAAGAGCATTTCATGGATCGATCTCAGACCTTGATTCTGGGGGACAAGATGGCTCGTGTGAAGTCGGTCACATTGATGCTCAGCAGGTGACACACTTTCTGGGCAGCTGGGGGTGAAATACAAGGTTTCATATTAGAGGATCAAAACAAGGATCTTGGACTATTGGGAAGACTTGAGAAAATCAGACTAGATGGACAGCATGTGATGAAGAATCTATGTTAACAATGTTAAAGTAACAAAATGAATGTAATGTATGTACCAGTGTTGTCTGGCATGGAGGCCTGATCAGAGTGACGCTCCTTCTTAAATGTCATGTTTCCCAACTGCAGCACGGCTGACACCACCTTCAACAGACCTGACAAACAAACAGAGGTCACTGTAGGGCAACATTTGACACTCAAAACATTCACTTTATTGCATAAATCCAAACTTAAATAAGCAGAGCTGCAAATAATCTAAAGTTCCAGCTCCTCCGATGTAAAGAATAATAAATAATACAGCTAAATACTGTTGAAAATTGTTGTCGAGTCCATTCTCTGAATCTACAAATTACATTGAAATATATATTTCCATAAATCTACAAACAAACAAACAAACAAATAAATAAACCTTTTTAAATACTTAAAATATAATGCGATAGTTACCAACTCTTTCTTCCTCTGGAACACCCATGATCTGAAAAGCGTCCATAGTCTCAGTGTACATGTCCTTGTCCTGCTGGCCGGGAATCGTCACATGTCCATTGGACAGGAAACGATACTTGCTGTAATCCTCCAGGCACAATTCAGCTGGAGATGAAAAGAAAAGAGATCATTTCAAAGTTTTATGTCTTTTTCAGCCTGGAAGTCTTAGTTAATTATAATCTATGATACTGAACATGCTAGAGAAATAACTGAATTATTGTAAGTATCATAAAAGTCTAATTAGTCTTAACAGTTTTATCCCAGTCTATCATGGAAAAATCTGCCATTTATATCCTGCTGCTTTCATTCATGGAGCTCAGTCGGATATATTTATGATTCAGAAAGTCTCACAGCGCATCTTGTCTCCTGCTCCCGTCAGTAAATAGTAAAAGACGTGGAAGCTTCTTTCATCTTTGGCTTGTCGGATGGCTCGAGACTTCTCCAGCAGATCTAGAAAATTTTCAGTCAAGGACAAATACGAGAAAATAATACGACCCTATGTTTTTTCAGGTTGAAATTATTCATATTCACACAAATAGTATATTAACTTATATTTCTGTACTATTAAAATAATGAATGTGAAAATATCTGCTATATTGATGCTTTCAAATCTCCCTTTTTATACATATACAGGTATCCACTGTATAAATATACGCTGATGTATCCCGATTTTTACCTCATATATTTATATCACCTAATTCTTAGTGTCATACTTTGACATTACAAAGTAAGTTACAATTTTTTTGGTTGATTACAGCCCTAGTGTACTGTTACTGTTTAGTATTGTATTGTTAAAAGTAAATTTTCCCAATAAGGGGTCAATAGAGTGTATTTCATCTTATCTTTGGTTGAGGCTGAATGATCCTTAATAGGGTTCCTCATTCTCCTACAAAAGGATCATCAACAGCATGATGTCTGATGTTACACACTTCTGTACGATCATGTGTCTCCTCACACTGCCCGTGATTTAAACAGTTCAGAGTCACGTAGTGTTATGCCGTCATGGTTTAGGTATATTCATATACAAACTTGCTGAGTCAAATCACGACAAACAAAACTGACAGCAGACCCTCGGGCAGCAGGTTATTATAGCATGAAAGGCATTCTTTAGTTGCTTTCACCTTTTGCTCTTTTGAGGGCCTGGGGCATCACCCGCTGTAAATGTAAGTACTGAGAAAAAAACACTTTCTCTTGAAAGGATACAAGTCTCAATATTGGCTCCAACAATGTACCCGTTGACATCAAAGTTGATCCTGATGAATTTTCCCTGCAAAGAAAAACAAATTAAGAGTTATATAAAACTTTGGCGATCGATTCCTCACTATGATTACTGTGCTTACAAGTTACAAATATATTTGCTGTTTAATACTTTAAATCAGGGGCTCAAAGTCGCTCTTACAAATCTTGAGGAGTTGTCGTTTTTGACGGTCTTTGCGTTGCCAAAAGCCTCCAGGATGGGGTTAGCTTGCAGCAGCTGTTTCTCCAGTTCTCCCTGACAGAGAAGACAAAGTGTAAGAGCAAACTACCGTCTCTGACAACACCCCATCACAGCCTTCACAACATTAAATCATGCAATTTCTTGCAGCGCTTCAGATCTTTTAATGACTGGTTCAAACCTGAGCGATGTGCGTTAACTTGTCCGTACTAAGAATTCAGGCTGTGTGTTTTACAAAAGAACCTAAGGGTACGTTATCATTGCCAAGTCGACTGCACACACATACACAAAACAATAAACACTGAACCCTGCACATTCCAACATCCCCGCAGCACAGCAAGCCCACTCAGGTATTAACACCCAGTCCATGCAGACACAAACATGAAAACACAAGAAGCACACAGGCCAGTGAGAAAAAGTCCCCCAAAGGAAATCATAGAGTTCACAGTGACACCCCAAAAACCAGCGAACCTTCACGTGACAATGACAAAATCCAGACTGACGAGCATCGGATAGCTGCTGGGTGGGGTGGGACGGTTTCACTGAATACAGCTTTGAAAACTAAAGAAGAAATGACTCCTATGGGCTGTTTTTAATTTTCTGTGTCATGCTGGTCACTTATATAAATTGGAGGTAGGCTTTTTCACTTATATGTTTATCTGCTTACTTAACCAGGGGCTTGATGAGATAGAAGATACCAATCCAACATTGTCATTTAGTACGGTACTGATAGAAAGATCTGGATGCTTAAAGAGATATTCCAGCATAAAATTAATTTAGGGTCAAACACACCATAACACCAAGTTAGACACCTCCTCGAGAGATAAATGTTGCCGACCGCTTGCTTCTCTAGGTATACCAACTTTAGTAATGACCGCATGATAGAGATACACAACGGTCTGAGGAGCCTTAAACAAACCTCAACCAAAACGCCACTCTATAGCCACAAATAATGCTCAAAACAGTACCTAGCTTCATCAACAGTACATATAGTGTCCCAGCCACAGCACTAGCCACCAAACATCTTTTTAACTTTGCCTGATTTCTTTAGCAAAGAGACTAAACACAACTCACCTACTCTCCTCCAGCAGCCGTTTGTTTGTAGCGAGACCTCAGGCCAGTCCATTACGAACTACAGTGGGGTGTCGCAGCTCAAGGAAGAACATTTATGATCATTTCTTCGCGGAAATGCAATCAGGCTGAGACGCTAAGGCAGAAGAACTACCGTGTCTGCAGTGCAAAATGATTAATATGGTGATTATTACTTCAAGGAAATGATAAAGGAATGATCATAAATGTTCTTCCTTGAGCTGTGAAACTCCGCTGTAGTCTGTAATGGACTGGCCTGAGGTCTCGCTACAAACAAGCGGTTAAAAAGATGTTTGGTGGTTAGTGGTGTGGCTAGGACCCTATATGTACTGTTGATGAAGTTAGGTGCCGTTCTGAGCATTATCTGTGGCTATAGAGTGGCTTTTCGGTTGAGGTTTGTTCATGGCTCCTCAGACCGCTGTGTATTGCTGTCCTGGGGTTGCTACTAAAGTTGGTATAACTAGAGAATCAAGCGGTCGGAAACATTCATCTCTCGAGGGGGTGTCTAACTCGGTGTTACTGTGTGTTTGACCCTAAATTAATTTTACGCTGGAATATCCCTTTAAGATATGATTAGGCTATCCTGCCCACTTACTTCCAGCTGTAATGCTACGCTAAGCTAACCAAACCATCTGTTTTAGGAAGAGTTGATATTTTTATCTTTTAGGAGGTAGAAATTTTGGATGATCTCCTTAATAACATTTTTCTTTACATCTGTCACAACCCTGATATCTGTGAGCTAACAAAAGCTGGATCAAATTGGCTTGGACTCGCAGACAGACTGATGATTTGATCTACGCTAACTTAAACTGCAAAAAAAATGACATCAACCCTATATTTTTTAAAATCTTATTGTAACAGTAAAAAAAAAAAAAGCTTTAGCAGCAACGACTGTGGGCCTGTATGAGACTGATTTCTGCACTTCTTTCAAAGACACACAAAGACACCACATCAGTGTTATCGGGTTAGTAGAGTGTTACAGATGCAGAAATGCTTGAATACATGCAGATGGAGGCAGAGAGATGAACTCACATGTGATAAAACTGCACTGCCCTAGAGAGGTGAGAAAAGAGAGTTCATCACATTTGATACCAACTGGTAAAAAAAAGACTGCAAAGGAAACCATTTATCAAACATGTCACAGTACAAGAACAGACACTCATTCAACATCTGCACTCCGCTCTACTTCCAGTGACCACACAGGGGTGAGGTGGGCACGTCCAGACCTGTGAGGGAGGAATGTGCAGTAGTTGCTGCACAGCTCGCTCAGGTAAATGATATTAAAGAGAGGGGATAATGTGGAAAAAGAAGTTTAGAAAAACCACAAAAGGGAGTCGGTGTCGATCATTATACTTCAGTATCTCCTGAAGAACTTTCAGATATTGCAGAGAGAAAGAAGCAGACTGACCTGATCTTTCTTGGATTTATGAGATGAGGCAATGTAAGCAAGATACTGGATGACTTTCTTGGTGTTTTCTGTTTTTCCTGCTCCCGATTCCCCACTGTAAAAAAAAATAGACAGCATGTACAAAATTTACAAGACTGATTTTACCATCATCACAAGGGAAATTCACTAAACTTCAGGGGTTTTAAAGCAGCACCCTAAGGAGGAGGTATTAAGCTCATTTTTGGGCTGTAAACTGTCCTTATGTACTTTTGTTTGTAGCTCTAAACAACCAAGAGCTAAAAAAAATTCATAACTTCTCTAAGATAGGTTTCTTTCTAACTCATTTCATTCTCTGCCTGAAATGCTACACTTCAGCTACTGTCTCTTTGAAGCCCAAAAACACTCCTGGACCCAGTTCTCCAGAGGCTCCCATCAATAGCCGTGTTTACATGTTTGCAAAATTTCTTAATCCAATAAAAAATTTGAGGGATCGGATAATCTGAATCCACTGTCTATATGGGTGCAAAATCAAATAATCTGGTCATGAAGTGCGTATACATGCACCGAGCTTTATTCAGATTAGAAGCATTTGGACATGTGCAGAGTTGTCTGATTTTGCTAAAACAACCACAGAAGAAGAGTTGTATTTATGTCTGTGCCAGAGATGGGGATTGTGGAGTCACCAAGTCGTCTCCATGCCATGTATTTGTTCTGCTCAGTTACTGAACCAGGTGCCTTCACTAATGAGCTCACCGTCCTGGCAGCTCATTGGAAGCAGCTGGTTCAGTGACAGAGCAGAACAAATACATGGCATGGAGATGACTTGGTGACTCCACAATTCCCATCTCTGGCCTGTGCTGTCAACTAACCAACAAACATGGCAGTCGCTCACTCCATCCGATTCAAGAGTATTTTCCCTGTTAAATGTTGTCACTAGATGGCGCCTTTGTGTACTTATTTTACTGTCCTGTCAAAGGTTGTGCTGTATGTGCAGATGTGACATCATTACGCTGTTTGTACGCCTTGTTATGTTACTGGAGGAGCAGACACAGCTCCTGTGGTTGTGTTTTATGCCAGAGTGTTAATAATGAAACCTCCTGAACTGACCTCAATAAATAAGCCAAAGGCTCAGGAGTGAAGATCGAGTCAGGTAAGAGAGTCATTATCGGAATAAATATTTACATGGATGCATTTCAGTATAAACCACCCCTCTTCATCGGAATAAAATTTCTTTCCGTTTGAGCCGAACTGGATCAGAATCTTCCGATCGACTTGTTAAAATGACCAATTTTTTGTTCAGATCGGGCGTTTATTCCGATTATTTGTGCCCATGTAAACACAGCTACTGACGCCATGCTATAAAGTTGATGTCAGTGAGTTAACCGGTGTTTCTCTATTGAAAATGACAAATTATGAATTAAGGACACATAAATTGGACCCCAAATTAAACCTTAAAAACGTTGGATATTTCTGATATCCAATACTTCAAACTAAATATTGTTCGTAAAATATGGAAAAAAAAACCATAACACCTCCTCTTTCAATAACACCCAGAACAACAAATTTTCTCCTGACTTGAATAAGCAAGATTGATTTCTGAACTCACAAAGCCTGCAACTTACGTGCAAAGAATGGCCTGGTCTTCACGGTCTGAGAGGAAAAAAAACAAAAGTTAATTAGAAAGATCTTAAAACAGGAAATAAAGGAGAAAAAATCCAAACACCTGAGAAGTACAAAAGCAAGCAGTATGATAGAAAATGTGACTTCTTGTGTAGCTTCTTTGGTTTCACGTCTTTGCAGGTGTGAAACAATTTGTCCTTTCCTACAGCCTTAAAAGTACGTGTGCAGTTACATAATGTATATCTACTGCAGCAAATAATGTCTAATGATTTTCCCTCTACAATAATCCATGATTGGTACCCTGCATCATGCTCCTGTAGGCCGTGTCTGTGATGGCGTAGATGTGAGGCGGCATCTCGTGCCTCTTCTTCCCTTTGTACATGTTCACTATGTCCTCACTGTAGATGGGAAAGTACTTGTATGGGTTGACCACCACGCAGAAGAGGCCGGAGTATGTCTGAGTGAGACAGGATATTTACTGTCAAGACACTGGATGGATGAAATAGACATTAATGTATGGTGTCTGTGTAGAAGTGTAGACGCAGACTGACATAGATGAGTCCAGAGTAGTATCTCTCTTTGAGGTTGTGCAGCACCGAGGCCTCGTTCAGGCAGGTGAGCTCTGCCATGTCCTCCACCTTGTTGAACTTGGGTGGATTCATCTTCTGAATGTCATCCTTGTTTACCTTCACCTAAGATTCACAATGACGACATTTAATATTTCATTTCATAAATATATCGTACATCGTCTATTTACATTTCATAAATAAAAAAGACGGACATTGTGACACCAACAGAAGAGCAAATTCTTGACTTTTACCTTCTTGCCAGAGTCGGCCAGCTCCACCACACACTCATCTCCCTGCTCCTCTTTGACAGAGCCGGCCTCAAAGCCCAGCTTCTCTGAGGGGATCCACACCAGCTTCTTGGTGGACCAGTCAGCCTGGGCCAGAGGGTTGTTGACCCCACGGTCCCCATATAGGAACTTGTCCGCTTCCGTCATGTTAGCTGTAAAACAAGCATACCAATAAAAACATGAGCCAAGGACAGATATAAGAAGACAAAAAAAGTCACACAGAGGTGGAAACATGTGACAAGGAGTCATATTGAGCCCTTTCAAAATATACTTATATTTAATACGGAGTCGTCATTACAGGAGGTCTGAATTTATCACTTTTGTGCAGATGGTAAAAACTGCACCATAAATAAAACAAAGACAGCTTCAAATCATTTTTCCTCATTTAAATTTTCCCCACCTAATTCTTGCATCGATTTTTCGTGATTTCATACAACACTTCTTTTAACAGACTCTTTAAAAATGTATCATTTCTGAAAACTGTTCTGTATTCAATTATTAGCAGAAGTAGGGCTGGGCGATAAACCAAAAATTTACCGCTACCGAAATTACAACAATAAGTGACGTCATTTTGCCCATATCAATATATTCGGTGTCAAATAAATAAATAAATAAAAGTTGGTTTTGGGTGTGTGTAGGTAGGCTATGGTCTCATGTCCCTTTAAGACGCTGTCCTACATCAGAGACGTGTGGTGACGCCACCCCATCCAGTCCGTAACAAAGAGGGAAAGACAGGTGAGGAGATGGAGGACGGTTCAAAAGTTGTAGCGGCTGGAGCAGCGGCTGAAGTAGACGAAGTTAATGTGGGAGGGGGTGAGCAGCTTGTGGAGTCGTTATCGTCCATTTATCGTTATCGAGGTGAACTGCTCAATGTATCGTGATATTGATTTGAGGCCATATCGCCCAGCCCTAAGCAGAGGGGCTACAAAATGACATGAAACAGCCGACACTGACCGTTAAAAATCTAAAAAAAAAAACACCCACATAAAGTTCATTTACTTTAAGAAACAAAAAAACTAACATCACAATAAATCCAAGTCCCAGCAAACATTTGAGACACCCTCTCTATGAAGTTACATACTAGCAGGGTTCCTACACAGTTGGAATTCCATACTTTTCCATATCCTACTTTTTAGAATTATTATTGGAAATACCTTCTTTTCTATTTTTAGAAAACAGTATTTTAGAACGGTGGTAATAGTCTGGAAACAGATATTTTCCCACTCTTTATTTCCCATCTATCATACTTTTTAAGACCTGGAAATTGATCCAACTACTTCCATACTTTTCCATACTTTGCGTACGTGCGTAGGAACCTTTAACTCATCTGGTTGCCAATTTCTTAGTTTATTAACAAACTTCAACATCAAACTTCCTTCTCTAAATTTAAAAACTAAAAATGATTTAACAAATTACTGCCTCTAACCTTTAAAAACTCCTTTTGATCCTCTAATAGTCTCACTGACATGAATTTCAGTGTTTTAAGCTTATTCCTAAAGAGATGTTTGTTCAAATCTTTAAATCTGTATGAGAGAAAATGATAACCCTCACTGTACAGGAAGTAGTATATAGTGTTAGCATAGAAATGTAATCCCTCACTCATCTAGTATGACGATAGGTGTGTTCAGTTTGAGTTTTGGATCTGATGCACAGTGTTTTCATATAAATGAGTAGCTGAGTGTGCCGACATGAACCCGCAAACACTCGTTAAAGTCATGAGATGTTCTGCACTGTCAGGAGGTAACATGAGGTGCCGCACAAGTCAGGACACATTAGCACCTCAGCAGCTGTTGTTTCATGTTGGCTCATCGTATTATTACCACCAGCATGAATTCCCCCTTCTCTATGACCTTTAAACGTAACTGTGCATTATCAATTCAAATGTTTCATGACTTCAGCGTTGAGAAGAAAAATCCCGTCTGGTTGAACCTGTTTGAAGTTAACTTTTTTTTTGCTTGTGTATTCATGACCTGAGGCTAAACACAGACAGACAAATCATTTAACCAGTCTGCAGATCGACTCTCACTCTCCACATCTCCTCTACCTGTCTGCCCTTCATTCTCGCTCTGACACACATTCCTTCCTCGCCAGCTCATTACCCAGAATTCCACAAATTCCTCACTTCCTCTCCCACCCGTCATTATCAACAAACACTATCTACGCATTTGCAATTTCCGCTAAAGGTTAGGAAATGTGCAGGTATTACATCTGACTCTGCTTCAAGGACAGTGAGAGTGGCTCCGTGCAGGAAGGCCCGTGGCGGTGGAGTTATGTAAAAGTGAGGGATGAAGATGCGCCGCAGTCAGAGTTGCAGGAAGGAATGTAGGGAACAAGTTTGGGCAGGGAGAGAAATGTCATTATTCCCCAACCGCACCCTGGAGAAAGATTCACTGCCTCCACAGAAAAGGTGAAAATACCCTCAGGAAGATGAAATCCATCAGCTCATCACCTTGATTCTGCTTCATGTTGAACTTATCGAATGTTAACAGGATCCGTTCTTTTTAAACGCAGTCTCACTTTCTTATCTTAGATTTATTAAGTTCTATCAAAATCAAAAAGATAAGTTATGAGATATAACAATGGCTGCAATGGAGACTAGGTGGTGTAATTCATTTTTATTTTGACAGTCTTGGCCAAGAGATGTGAAATCGTCGCTCGAGGGCTTAGATAAGTTGATCTGTGCGTCTCTTTATTGATGACTGAAAATAACTTTTAAAAAATCTAAATTGTTTAATCAAAAGGACAGAAAGTAAAGTAAGTAACCAAAAGATAGATTTTTTTCGTTTCATTTACTGGTTTATATATGACTACATTTTTCACAGCATCAGCTCAGAGCAGCTCCTCTCCCCAGGAAAGGACGGATATTTGTCTGGAGCAGCAGAGGCCACAGTGTGTTTGTATGCAAGTGTGTGTTTACAGAGCAAGGGATAAAGGGATCGGTGCACAAGGTGTCATCTGTGTCCCTCTTAAGTTCATTATGTGCTCAGACTCTCAAAGATAAGTGGGGGGAGGAAGAGGAACACAGCGGCAACTCTTCTACTTTAATCATGTTGCACTAAAATGCTTCCAAACAGCGAAACTGGAGCCTCCCGCGATGCCAGAGATGTGTCAAGGCGTGTTACAGTTCAGTCTGATAAGTAGAACAATAATATACTCAAACTTGAGAACCAATTAGGCAAAAGTAACGTGAAAACTTGTGACATTCACATGCATTCAGCCTCAGTGCTGATGCCATCCATGGGCTAACTTCCTCAGGAAGTTGCACAAACGCAAAGTCCACATATGTTGACACATTGTGGTTCAAAAATGACAAAGAGATACCTCTGCGTTCATCTCCTTTTCTTTTCAGTACTTAGTCTGATATTGTCTGATTAGAATAGTTCCCCCAGCAGTAAATAAAGACTACTTTATCCATGTCTAATGCAGAATTATTCAGATGCCACACCTCGACTCCTATTGTCTACAAAGACCTGTTCAAGCTGTCTGCTCCTGCATCTTTTCACTGGTTTCTCCTGCTTTTGGCAGCCTGTCAATCTCCCTTTTTATCCAGGCCTCTGTAGCTCTTATCCAACACTCACTCACACACTCACAGACACACACACCTTCACCTCCGGTCTGTTTCTTCTTATAAGCGTGGCGAGTTCAACAATTTGGTGGCACTGGAAAATGCGGCCAAAGTGTTTTTGAGTTAAAAGTTAATTTGTATGTTTACTGACGATGTGAGGCATGCTGGAAAACTAGGACGTCTTCATTTTTAACATTTCGGATCGATGTTTTTCACCTTATGCGTGCACACCTGAAATGACCTTTTATGGCTCCAGATGTGTGAGTGCCGCTCACTTTCTGGGCTGAACCCAAAAAGAGGAAGAGTCGGGTTTTTGATCACTGAGTCATTATGTAAATAACTTTAACTGTCTCCGAAAGACTGTTTCTGAGTGTGACACCAGACTGCACACAAAACCAGATCCTCTTTCTTTGGTGACTGCTGCATGATTATTCTGTAGCCTGAGGGCAGAAACACACACACACACACAGCAGCAGCAGCAGCAGGGTGTGTTCAGAAAAAAAAGGATCATGTCATGAAAACCACCAGACAGAAAGTAGCACAAACTTCACAACAGGTACATATTAGAAACACAAGCTCAAACCTGACTAGTCCAGATGAAACATACATTTTCACACCTAAGAAAAGGTCTGTTTTTTCTGCATGTCAATACACAAATTCATTATCTCTTATTATTTTTTTATATGCATATATATATATAGTGTATTCAGCTCATACCTGCACTGCCCATATGTACATACTTTGCACTTTACTACCTTGCACTTCTGATTAGATGTTAAACTACATTTCGTTTAGTTCTGTACCTGTTCTGTGTTCAATGACAATAAAGTTGAATCTAATCTAATTATCCCCTCTCTGAATTAAACATGACTGTATCAACCTTTTATTGAAGTGGTTGACTTTACTGGTTTCACTGGAGGTTGTCATGTTTGCACCAGAAAGAGAAGTGAGAGGTTTCAGACGCGCTTCTTTCACAGCACTGCCTCAACAAGTCTAATTCAAGGGTTAGATCAAAAACTACTAATTCTATTAATCAAACACTGGGGTCAAGTGAGCATGCGCGAAATTAAAGAGCTCCTGATGACAACACCTGGCCGAGCGCGCGGCGTTCCTCTCATCTTATGCAAACCAAACTCTCCTCGCGACATAAACTATCCATAAACCACCTTAAAGGTCAATTTCTAGTTCCAGCCCTTCACTCTCTGCCTCCAACACTCACCTGTTTTTCCAGCTGCAGGCACTGTAGGTGAGCGAGGTCCGTGTTTTGTTCCCGTGCCCTTCACCACGTCGCTTCTTGTCCGCTAAACAACAAGTTGCAAACGTTTCAAAAACAGCCTGGTTTTACTTTAACTGGTGTCCAACAAGCGTCCCTCTGCTCCTTCATGCGGTCCAGGCGTGGCTGAGGAGGATAGACGCCCGGTACTCTTAATCCGCCCTGTTTCATTTATCGCAGGTAAGTTTTGACGCCCCGCCCCCCTGCAAACCAGCAGAGCGTGCTGCATTCAAGAACACCCCGTGAAAAACACCTGCAGTTATACACAGCATGAAAAGTAGGTCCTCAAAAGTAGTTTTAATAATTAAAAACAACTTGACCTAATTAAAATTTTGTCTCTGTTATCTTTTTGTCTATTAAAACCTGTGGAATATACAGAAGGTCATACTGGGATATACTGGTTTTATATAGAAAACTCAACAGGCCTTCTATTTGTATGCCACTGGAAAGGTAAATACGCTTAATTACTGAACCAAAACAACACATTACATTAATGATAATACTAATCTACTAGTTTGTTTAATTCAAATTCAGCGTTTTAAGTTTGGTTCCCGTGGTCAGAGAAAGATATAACTTATTTTCAGACTTAACGGTGTAAAAAAGATCCATTATTCATTCATATTTTTAATTTTGAGGAAAGATGAAGCACATCTGCAGGATATAGAGGTAGTAGCATGGACCGAAGCAGAGTTTTTATAGGCTGAGATAGTGAGGGATCATATGCTGTACATCTGGTCAGATGGGGCTTATGGTGTAAAGCGTGTGTGTGTGTGTGTGTGTGTGTGTGTGTGTGTGTGTGTGTGTGTGTGTGTGTGTGTGTGTGTGTGTGTGGTGTGTGTGTGCAGGAATGCAGAGCCTCGTCTGTACCTGCAACAGGAGCAGGGGTGTGGCTCTGCTGATGTGTCCAAGGTGGAAACATTATACAGATCACATAACTGTTTGTGGAGAGCACAAAATGAGTACGAACACCTCAAAGTAGCTCTGTAACTCAGAGTGTGTTTTCATATTTTTATTATCTAAGGTTCAAGTCACACATCAATAGAGCTACTGTGTTGTGAGTTTGTAAAATGACCATTATCATCAATTAACAATATGCTTTTTTTCCCCATAGAAGCAAAATCAAATGAAAACATTAATCTTATAACAACAAATTATTGAATAAGGAAATAAAGACAGAAAAGATCTCAGTGCAAAGAACAATATGTCCCAAACAAGGGAAAGTGTCTACCTGCACTTTGTCTCCCATCCACCAATGAGCTTTTAGTTTAATTTCCTACCATATATGGTCAGAGAGAGGAGACAGAAAGAAAGATTTCCAGAAAGAGAGGAGGCTGCAAAGCAGAGAGAAGGTGGAGGAGGAGGCGGAGTCTGTTGTTGTGTGTTTTTTTTTTATTCTGTGGTGTAAAGTTTCTTTTCAAAACCCTGTCATTACCCCAGCCCTCCCTGGACCTCCTGTTGTCTGAAATCTGTCACACATCAAAGATGAGCTGATAAATGTGCAGGAGGGCGAAGGCGTGTTGGAGCATGAATGAAACGGAGCAAGGAAGACACACACACACACACACACACACACACACACACACGCACGCACGCACGCACGCACACACACACACACACACACACACACACACACACACACTGCTGGTTTACTAAGTGTACATACACAATGATCATCATCAAAGATAAAACTAATCCCACACAAAGACTTCAGGTTCTTAATGGATTCAGGCCTCAAGTAGTCCCTCTTTTTCAGTTATGACAGTAAAAGGATTTAAAACCTTTTAGTTTATAAACAGTCGTCTTGATATCAAGGTTGAGTTCTGGTTAATATTAGTTATGAGGCCCTCCTTGTAAAATGCTAAATATACAATTATTTCTAATATCATCCTATGTTGTTTGGTAACACTTTACAATAACCATAATTCATTAATGGCAAATATATAGTTTATTAAAGTAAGTTAATAGTTACTTCACACACTTTGTAAATGGTTAATATATATTTTTTTTAAACATTATGAAAATTACTTTGATGATTATTGTAAAGTTGCAACTGATGTTTGTAATACTTGATTAATAACTGGTTTATAAACCACCTATACACATTACTAAGATGGTTATTGTAAAGTTAGGGTTAGGTTTTTAAAATGTTAAAAAGACAAGTTCTGCTCAAGTTTAAACAAAAAACAGTGAAGTGTGTTTTGGAGTCAGTACTCTTCATAATGGCAAAAGATTAATTCTTTGAGACAAAGAGGAGAGACATATAAAGTGATTCTTTAACATATAGAAAAAACAAAACAAAACAGGTAGGTATGATTGTGGCTTTAACCTCATTTTACCCCCGCTGCTGGCATAAACAATTTTTAATGCAAGTTCAGTGTAAATTTTTATGTTAAATACTGTTTTTATGTGCTCAACATAAGACCTGTGAGAACAACAGTCACCTCAGAGGGTTGTAAAATGTCTGATCATGTTTTTTTTTCACTCAGCTGTCGTTCTGTCGGTTCATTTGTGCAGCCACAGGCCTTAATCTCTTCTTACACCACCGTACATGTAAAACAGCTTCCTGCGGCTCACTCCAGGACAGGGAAACTACCCCACATGCACACACACGCAAAATCTAAGGAAAAATGATTTTTCTGCACACGACCTCTATAGATACAATAACTTCATAACCAAAACACAGTGTTAAAAGTAGACGACTTAAAAGCATTGTACATTGTTGAGTAAGATTTCAACAGGAAGCAAACAAAGTCAAGTTGATTCTTGTCATGTCATGCAGGTAATTGGCTCAAATTTTACTGTGGGTGAAAGTGCAGATGGTCTGTTTTTGTCAGAGGACGTCTGCATGGAAGTTTATTCCAACATGTTGGAGCACAGCGGCCTGCCTGTGTTTCGCAGACAGTGGACTGATTTTACCCTCAGACAGTTAAGACATATAAAAACAGAGTTGGCTCAAATACAAACTATAGAGTCCTCTTAAAAATCTGTCCAATCAGCTGAGTAGAAGGAGTGGAGAGGATTATCTGGGTCATGTGGCAGAAGCTCAAAAGAAACGGATAAAGACAGATTTTTGATGAAGAGATTGGACACATGCACACAACACATTAGATGTTGAAGAATTTAACCTAAATAGTAAAGAAAAAGGCTCCCCCCTGTGGACAGGATTGGCATTACAAGCTGAGATGACAGCATTTTCAATCACAAGAATCAGGAAATAAGAGCATCTGGATGTAGGGACACCTTTACCGAGTGTTGATGTGATATTTTGGATTTTCCAGATGTATTTACAGGTGCCTAACACTAAGAGGGGCTAACAGTGTACTTCTTTAGATTTGGATGGGAGAAAAGACATGACACATTTGATGAGTTTTTATTTGTTTATTTATTTATTTGATTTTTAGGTGTTTTATTGTTTTTTTTCTCCAAAAAAATCCTGAGGTATTCACAATATAATGGCGTTTATTCTGTTTGAAATGAGACTTGGGGGGCCGGGGGACAAAATACAGCCAAAAAACAAACAAAATAAAATTAAAGAAACAGGCAGTAAAGCTGTGTCGATTGATACAAGACAATAAATCCACGGTGGAGGAGAAGCCTTTGAACTGCAACAGCACGAACTGAACAGTCCTAGTCCTACCACCCCCACCCTGAAAACTAGCAAAGTCATGCAATCGAGACTCAGAACCAAGTGACAAACCTCAAGTCATACTTCAAGGCAGGTGTGTCCCCACCTCGATTAAAAAGGAGTTCATGGTAATAATAAGCCAATCAGTCCACTATTATAGTAGTTTTCATTAGCTAAAATACTTCAAATAAAACAACAAAACAAAATAAAGACAAAAAAAATATCTCGTCTGCTTTTTGTCTGCTTTAGCTGGCATTCAGAGACCATCTGAGTTTCAACAGAACAGGTTTTAAAGTGGGGTATTAGTACAGCACTGGGACTCAAATACATCATGCTGCATGTTTGTCTGATCTAGAACAAAATCATGGTTGTCGTAAAGTTGGACAATCACAAAAAAACCATAAGCAGTACACTTTACCTGGCTGTTATTTTCTATTTTAATCTGTTTCCTTACGGATTTAACATTAATATGACACTTTCTGTTACAATGATAAAATGCCCCCCCTTTATAATGAGTCCTGTTTGCCCTCCAAAATAAAGCAATACACATAAAAAATAAAACAAACCAAAAGAAAAAAAAACATACAAATGACCAATAAATAAATATCAGTGAAAAAAATACACTGTAGAATCATTTTCTTGCTCTGTGTCACAGAACTAGGATTGATAAAATATCTGCTGTGACCGTAAAGAAAATAAGGAAAACACCCGATATTCTCCTCTCTTCACAACAATCTGCAACACAAAACGAAACAAAACAAGTAATCCATCACAAGTGCAACATCAGTCACGACAGCCTCAGCATTAGGAAAAAAAAAATCTGGTATTTGACCATTCAGCTCACTACTACAGCATCAGACAAACCAAAGAGAAAGGAAAAATAATAATCATCCGATAAAACAGAATAAAAAAAAAATCAAATCAAAAAAAGAGCAGAGGGCGGGGATAACAAGGTGGAAAAGAATTAAATAACAGCAAACAATTTGTGACCCGAACTGGGGTAACAAGAAATCGATCATGATATCTGATCAAAGGGAGAAAAAAAAGTAATAACAATAATTAAAATAATAATGATAATAATAAAAAATACTATTCGACTTTCAGCTCAGAGGTTATCTTCAAGGTGGACAGACACTACAGCATGACGGTGAGATAATAACTATTGCTCCACCTCGCCAACGAAAGAGAAACCTTTGTCTAACTCTCAGCACGGTCTGGGATCACCCCTTTGTTTCTTTGTTCAATTTGGTGTCATCTTTGCCCTGAATAATAATAATAATAATAATAGTAATAATAATAACTGTAATTATCATAATAATAATAATAATGACAACAAAATCATAATAAAAACAGTAATCATAGTAATAAAAACAAAAACAACGGACAAAAATAAAAGCTAATAATAATAATAATGATCACCATCAATAAAGACTTTTGGTACACAAAATAAACGTCACACACACTCGCCGCTCGCAGGCACAGCTAACTGAAGAAGAAAGACACACGGCATGTAAATGAGGGGAAAACAGGACAGTTTTCTAACCAACACTGTCGGCTAACAAAGACACAGCTCTTCCTCCTCCTTCTCCTCCGTGACTGACTGACAAAAATAAAAAATATATATATTGCAAAGACAGGAAAACATTACAAAAAGGCAAAAAAAAAAAAGTGTGTCTTTTCCTAAGTACACAATAATTCAACATTTTTTTTTTGCAAAAACAAAAATACAGACTAGATGTGTAAAAATCATAAATAAGGATAAAATTTTGTGCATCCCTACCCAAACCAACCGTTGTCTTGGAAGAAAATAAAAACAAACAACAACCAAAACAAAACAAAACAAAATGGCAGTTACAACGGTGACAATAACATGCAGTTGATATACTTTACAGCATTGATCTGTATTTCCCCCAAAAACTACAAACCCCAAGTCCAACCCACATCCCTCCCCAACCCCGATACAATCCTTAAATATTTGTCAGCTCAATCAAAACATATCTCTTGCTCTGTCTTCTCTCTGTGAGCTCGCTGAAGGTGGTGACGTCATGACCACGCAGGGAGGAGGGAACAGAGGAAACACACTGTCGCCAACTCCAGACGATCCATAAATCTGTGTATGTACACGAGGCTTTTTATCGCCATCCAAGCAAGCTGACATGGTTTGAATGACTGCATAGTGAAAATGATATTTGGTTTACTTACAGATGGGTTTACAACATACGCTGTAGTGCGCGCACTCACGAAAAACACACACTTACACGCACACACGCACTCCCCCTTGGTGTCAAGGCACAGCACAGGTACACGCTATACGCTAGCTGTTTTTACACACCTCTTGCCTTACACCTGACAAGCTAATATACACATAAAGCCACTATCGGCATTGCAAGCATCACTGTGTAGAATAGATTTATACATTAGGGGTTTGTGTGTGAGTGTGAGTGTGAATGAGGGGGTTTTGTTTCCTCACACACACATTTTTTGACAGTCATTCGTAGCAGGTGCACACCTGGCCTAACCTGATTGAATTCACAGAGGTGTAGCGTGCCACCGTCACCCAATCAGGTGTTTGGATGGAAATACATGAGAAACAGCACGGCTGAGCAGGTGTGTGTGTGCGTGTGTTAAATACGCATGAGCTTAATAAGAGAGAACCTTGACAGCAGAAAAACTGGGTCCACACATGGAGCTTGAACAGAGGACGTTGTAGTGTCTGTGGGTGACACATCACAGAGAGAGTGGGTGTTTTCAACTGCACCAACTAGTGCACCTCAAGCTGTGGTGTCGGTGCAGCACAGCTGACAGATGCTAAGCACCAGATTCAGGTCTATATACACATCGTTTGAAGCGTTTGGAGGCTGAGTATATCTGCTGTGATCGTCCTGTCATCTGCAGAGGTTTTACAAGCAGGACAATCGATAACATGGAAGATACAGCAGGTCCAGGTGGTACCTGTGTCTGGACGTAGGCTGAGCTGTTCGAACTGTGTCAATGCACGACCGCATCTGCTCACAGGCCTGTATCATGAAGCAACGCAAATGATTTTGAAATTAAACTTTGGTTTTCTAGTTTCCCGAGGCCGGCTGACTTTAGACCGCCATGGTACAAATACTGCAGGGTTCACACGACTCAAGAGGATCTCATCTAAACTCTATCCACTGACCAATCACATCCTTGGAAACACAATTATTTACACAACTGGACAACAAGTTCACCATAGAAAAAATACACAAACTACTCCAGTGGTTCTCAACTGGTGGGTCCCGACCCAAAAGTAGGTTGCGGACACGTTCTGGATGAGTCGCGAACAGCTGGTCAAAATAGTAAATATTTAATGCGCATCTGATGTTTGACATGTCTTTTATTTTGAAAAATAGCTTATTTTGAGAGGCACCCATTATGTCGTGGTCATCCTCGGTTTCTTATTAATGTGGCCTGAATGCAGTAAAAATAAATACATCTATCTGTGTTTGGTCTTTATTTTGTGCAATCTGATATTTTATATTTTCTGTTTATGCAACTTTAGTAGTTATGCACTTAATAAAATAGGTGTATTTATGTTAAAAATTTGAGACTTTGAAGATTTTTTTTTTTTACAAAAAATAAATTTGCTTGGTTTGAATTTTATAAAAGTGGGTCACGACTTAAGGACCATGGGAAAATGTGGGTCCTGGAGTGAGACCAGGTGAGAACCACTGCACTACTCCACATTAAGTCTCTTCATTTATAAGTTGAGTAACATGTTTTTAAAGACATTGTCAGTATACGATATACTTTTATACAATTATGTGTTTAGGTTTAAAACTCTACTCAACTTTAATCCTGAGCTGCGAGTTAAGAACTTGCAGCTGACATTATAAATCATTTTTACATTACGTCTACTCAATTTTAACTCCAATTTACAAGGAAAGTTGTAAAACTCGGTTTACCTTGATTTAACACAAACAGTTTGTATTCTCTCTGCTGCGTTACATAGCTGATTAAATACTAAGAGCATGACTTATACATTTGTTAATATTCACCAATATTATGTATGCAGTTAGGTTTGATGGGCCTACTCTCCTACTTGAACACGTTCATATCTAGACTGAAGAAGCTGGAGTGAACTCGGTTAGCTGATAACCATCTGTGTGACACCACTCATCCAAGACTGCTACGGTTCAGTGGCTCAGTAAAGCCGGGCGGCGTTCAAAGAGCCAGCCTGAGTGACTTCCTGATACAGGCCTACAGTGAGCAGAGGGTGGAGCGGCTGGTTTTGTTGTAGTCGGGCATCCGCAGTGATTTGGTGCAACAGTCTCCCTCTGTACAGTATATGACACACACACAGCACTGCTTTAATATAGCACCCCCCCTACTAGCTATAAGGATATTTCATATTTATCATAGCTGAGAGTAATAAATTCTAATATCAATAACAATAGTCATAACAATAACAACAACGTTCTTTAGTGTTTTCGTTGAGTTGCAGACACCTTTGGTGCGAACTGTCAAGGTTGTCGAACTTGCAGGTGGACAGATGGAGGGTGGACGGAGTAAAAGATGGATGTGACATCGAGAATCTGGACAGACAGACACACGGACAGACAGACGGGCCTTCCCTCTGATCATTTCTACGCCGTGCAGCATTTAGTGTGACATCGCAAAACTAATGGTCACATACTTCACATACACAATAAGCTACATTTGAGGTGAGTTGTGTGTTTATAGATTGTGTGAGTCAGTACTTTTTCTCTTTCCTGCATGTTGTTTTCCATCAACGCCTCTCTCGCTCACTTTCACTCTCAGCAGACTTGCTCTTCTGTATTTGGTAACATGTTGACATTGCATTATTTCATGTATTTGGCTTTAAAAGAAAAAAGAAAAAAAAAAGTATTTATCCTTTGGGGAAAAGAAGAGACAGCAGCGTCTAAAGCAATAAAAAAAAAAGTAGCAGCAGCAGCAGCAATGTAAATAAATAACATTGTTGGAACAAAACAGTAAACATCATAAACATGACACGCTAACTCTCCTGCTAAATCATTATTGGTAGGTTGGTGAAACACCATGAAAGCTTTTTACAAAAACCAGCTAGTCTCCTCAGAGCTCGACACTCCAGCAGAACTGACATCGTCTTTCCCTTTCCTCACTCCTTTACTTTTTAACTTCCGGTCATCCAACTACAGTTTGTTCAAACTTCTCTTTAACTTCCTCTTCTACTTTCTTAACGCTCCCTGTCCTCTTCTCTCCTCACTCGCTCCTCTTCACTCGTTTCCCTGTTGTCCCTCACTCATCCTTTTGCCATCTCAACAACATTCATAGATCCTTTTCTTTCATACACTCCACCGTTCCCTCTCTCTCTCTCTCTCTCTAGTTGTCATTCCTCGGTTCTTCTGTCTAGCAGTGATTTGGTTTGGTGCGTGACAGGACTTGAATCTGCATATTTGGCAGGCTTTGGCTGTGGCCCTGTAAGAAGGGAGGCAGCAGGACTCAGATTAGTCAGCCTCACAAGACCTGCACTTATTTAACACATCTATTAAAACAAGAACATCAACCAGTTCAGGTGTGTCTGATTGATCGAGCCTCACACTCTTGTCTCATCTCAACAATCGTCCAGTTCAGGAGTCGTAAGGTTTGATTATTAGAGTCTAAAAGAGTAAAACCTCCAAACGTACTTTCTAAGTACACTTGTCATTCATCTGCGATAGGTACAATAGAAGCATTCATATGTCTGATTTCTTTCTTATTCTTATTGATTGTTGGTTTTAAGGCTGTAAAGTCCTAGTCGACTGGTCGACTTATCGGTCGATACTTGCTGAGTCGAACAAAATTCTGATTGATCGACTCGATTTTTTTCCGTGACAATTTACAGGCTATGGTAAATTTCATAAGGAGGATCGTACCAAATGCTAATGGGGGTGTATACAGAGCACCCCCGTTTAGCAGGTAACAGCCTGTCTCAAAACACCCCCCTTGTTTTCACCATTTTGGATTCGCCCAACCCAATGGAGACCGGGTGGAGACAGAAAGATTAATGAGCGTCCGCGTTAATCAACGTCCGGTGGTTTGCTAAATATAATATTTCTGTTTAATTGCCTTTTTGAGCCGATATCAGTTTATTTTCACACCGCCGACTGGCTTTACTGAGCCGTGTCGTCCCCCGATTAGTCAATTTTTGATCGAAAATTTCAGGGTTTTGGTCGACCAAGAATTTCTTCGGTCACATAATCTCTTTAATGGACTTGATTCGAGGTATACTTTTCTTTTAGACCTTTTTCTTTGTCAGGAATGCTTAGTTGAAGCTGCACATTGTTGGTCTAAATGTAATGTCAGCAGGTACGATTACTTGTTTTGTCGATAAATCAATAACCAGAAAAAATTGATCTGCATCATTTTGTAGACTGTAATTAGGATTTGGGGAAACTTTACTTAGAAAATGTTTCAAACTCTTACTTAAGTTTATCAAAAGAAGAGATTTCTCATTTCTCTAAAACAGACTCCAACAGCTGAACCTTGAGATTCACTTCTGGTCATGCAAGTGGATTACGACCTTGTGGGTCAGATGAGGCCCCTTGGTCTTTATTTTGAGACTCCTGAACAAGGTTGTAAAGTTCTAGCAGGACCTGATCTGTCTGGCTTCTATACTTCTCAAACATTTGCAGTAAAAAAAATCCTCTTGGCCTCCATTACCAACAACCTACACGCAGCCTTTGGTCTGGTATCACTGTGGAGCACACTACGTCAGAGAGGGACGGAGAGATGGACAGAGAGGAAGAGGTAGACAAACAGAGGGTGAAGATTAGAAATGCTCCACAGCTTAAAAGATCTAGCTTCATATTTATATACTCTTTGTACATGATAAACTCCTTCTCCATAAAAAGTCAATCTGCTCCCACTTGTACCTCCACTGTCTCTGGTTTTCACACCAGTAACGTTAATCAATCCACCAAGCAGTCGTTAACCAGAGTGTGATTCCCTTCTTCTTCTGCACTTTCTACTTTTCTACCGTAGAAGTCATACACTCCTTTCACTGGACTCATTCGAGACCCTCATCTTAGACCCTCCAAACATACACAAACCATAAACACCCTCTCTTAAACAAAGCTAGCATGCAGCTCTAATTTTTTTAGAAATCTTTTTCAAGTCTGTTTTTTTTTCCAATAACGCAGCTGCTAAATATGACAACATGTGCTCATTACACGTCGTATCAAAGTTAAAGAGGGTTACTTTGATTACATGTTAAACAGGACGCACAGCTAACGATTTACTTCCTTCTTGTTTATGTGTTAGCGCTTTGTGTGAACGGTGAATATACGACAAGAAGGACTCGCTCTAAAAATCAACCAGTGACTGTGGCTTGATAATCTCATACACACACACGCACTCAAACAGACACACACTCAAAATCACACACACGTAGATACAGCCTGAGAGTGTGTGATAGTAGAAACACCTGAAGAATCATAATTGCACCGGACTTTGTTGTTGTGTCTCCATAGCTTCTTATGTACAAGAGATTCGTGTTTGCTAACGCAGCTGATGTAGCAGATGCTTTGTTCCAGTGTGTACTGACTACTCTGTTGACTAATCCGACGGCTTGAATCGACGTCGGACAGACCTGTAGGTGACAAACTAATGACAGAAAGGTGATGAAATGTAGAAACACTAAAAAAGCACGCACACGGTTTCTATGGAAACACACATACACACATAAAGACACGGACTTGTTAGGACAGTGAGACGAATGAAGCTAACTACAGTGTGCACCTTTTCCCCCCTCCTTCCTGTGTCTGCCTGTCCAGATTTAACACAAAGAGAAACTCAACCACCTGTGTCATCTTCCCATCAGTCCATCTCTCCGTCCATCTCTCCATCCGTCCGTTCAGAGTCCTCCTCCTCTTCTTCCTCCTCCTCCTCCTCTGTGGGCTCTTCAGGTTCTCCGGTGGACAGACGGGCTCGGTGTAACGCTAAGCTTAGCTGCTAACGCTGGGCTAGTCTAAAAAACAGACCGAGTCTGGGTTCAGCAAAGCTAAAGCTAGGCTAGTCTAGCGTCTTGCTAAGCTAACGTCCCGCTGGACTAGGCTACCTACTGAAGAGAGAGTGGAGCGGGTGCTGATGGCTGTAACACTGGCTGCTGCGAGGCGACTCGGTGCGATCCATCACCGCCTGGAACCACCCGGCCACGTCCACCTCCAACACCTCGTAACGCCGGATGAAATCATGCTCCTGGACAAGGGAGAGGGAGAGCGCTCAGTCACACTTGGTCATTAGGATTATTCTGGTAGATTTAAACAAGATAGATTTAGTTTTAAGAACCTAGCTTCTTACCAGCAGCGTGTGGTATTTTGGCCTTTTTCTGTGATCCTTTGTGAGGCTGTGGAAAGACAAACACAAGGTGAAGGAATCCGTTAAAGAAGCATCTTTTTTGTGGCGTATATACAAAAAGCTTTTAAAATCAGTCAATACCTATTGGTTATCAATGTCATTTGGGAATATAACGATATCTCTGTGTTTTGTTTTGTCTGTGTAGTCAACATTTAACATTTTTTGAGCGGCCCGCTCTTTCTGACTGTAAACAAAGCCATTCTCCACCTCCCCGACCTGATTGGTTGTGACGCAGATGCTGCTCCCCCTCGTCGTTCACAAGCCCAAAGAAAGTTAGCGTGCTACAATATCGGACAATAGAAACCAACCAGAAAGTACAGAAATTTGTCTGAATCCTCCTTTGGCCATGACTGCCAACACAAGCAAGAAAACGAAGTAAATACCGGAGACTCTGGTGGAAAAACAGGCGCTAAAAAAGGAGGTAGACCGGACAAGAGCTTAAAAAGCCAGCTCAACTCAAAATGATAGGGAACGCTTCAGGATCTTATGGACCCTGTAACCTTTCTGCTGGACAGGTAAACTACTTTAACAAAGTAAGCCAAGTGTCTGTAACAGAAGCGTTTCTGGTCAAACAGGACCTGCTGTAGCGTGTTGTAGCGCCGCTCAACTGTTTACCTCGGGTCCTGGACTATGTCACTTTATCCTAGTTGTAGAAGTCCTGCAAACATTGTGTTTGCTGGTCGTCTGTTGGCATCTACAGTAGCACCAATGCTGTTTACTTTCATGTTGACTGGGCCCCATTTGTAATTATCTGAAGTATTTATCTGCATTATATCTGAATTTAATTGGAACGATACGAGCGAGCAGGAGCGTCTGTTTGTGGGCGGGGCTTGCTGGAGCAGAGAGGGAAGGGAGAGGAGGAGCTGCGGGGAAAACTGGTTGGGAGGGTTAGAGTTTACATTCAAGATTTCTCCCAAAAACTGGCACTTCCTCAGATCCTGCCTACCCCACCTGAAAGTTAAAAACCTGCTGAACAAAAAGCGCTGACTGGACTTTAGAGTAAGACACTCACCAGTCTTTGACGAAGGACTGGAAGTCGAGGGAGAAGCCCATGCTGAGGGGCAGCAGAGGAGGATCTTCCTGCAGCACTTTGGTCAGAACCTCAAAGTCTGTCTTGCAGTTCTTGTAGGGAAACTGTCCTGTGGCCAGCTCCACCTTGAAGACACACCAAGAACAAAGACCTCATTTGGCTGTTTGCCTTATTATCAGACAACTTCACTCATGACAAGATGGACACAAATGCTTTGAGATTACAGCTGAACGCTGGTCTGGAGTCAGTCAATTAGGACACAAAGTTGACAGTGAGCTGACAGAGAGAAAGACAGGCTCTTCACACTACATGTAGGACTTTTCACTGATAAGATGGACCATGTGTCAGCTGGCTCTCTTTTAGTACCTCATTGTTAGACTATAATAGTACCCTGTATTTATGATTGAAAATAAAGAGAGCGGTTGTACCAGAGAGATGCCAAGGCTCCACACGTCTGCTCTGATGTCGTAGTCAGGTTTCGTGGGGTCTGGAGGGTCTATTCTCTCTGGCTGTGAGGAAACAAAAACAGACCAAACTTTGTTCAGACAATCTGTGAGAATTTTGTACATCAACAGAAATTTGATCACGTTCTTATATTTTTTCCAAAAGCATAAACAGTTTTGATAAATACTTCAGAAAAGAATCAGATAACCAGTGGTTTGTGATGTTTGTGGTGTTTTTATTGTGTATTGTGGATTTCTCTCACCGCCATGTAGGCAGCGCAGCCAGCACTGCGGGTCTTAGCCTTGGAGTCGACGAGGCGGCCGCTGATGCCGAAATCACAAAGTTTGATCTGACCTTTAGCATCCAGGAGTATGTTGGAGGGTTTGACATCCCTGTGGATGACACCGTGTTTCTCTTTCAGGTACTGCAGTGCCTTTACTATCTGGAGTGGAAGAAAAAGCAGAGAAGAGCGCGCAGGGTTTAGTCAGACAAAATAATCAGGTGAGCAGAGTCACGCTTTGCCCTCCACTTACTGCTACTGTCATCTTTCCAAGGATTCGCTCCGGGATGGGGCCCTGGATTCTTTTCTTCAGCTTCTCGGCACATGTGCCCATCAGCTCCATGGCGATGAATACATCAGTCTGTACAAGGACACACACACACACGCACACATAAACACACACACACTGAACTTTTAGAGACTTCAGGGGTGACTAAAGGAATAATGCTGAAAAACAAGTAGAAAATCAGTTTGACTTCTGAATACAAAGATGAACCTGGAGGGCTGGAGTTTATATAGAGGTGTTGTGGTTGTCATTAGACACTTAGCTGTGAAAGGACCAAATACAAGTCCTGGAAATAGCAGCATTAGTGAAGACCACTCAGAAAACACTCACGTTGGTGACTATCGCCCCGTAGCACTGGATGATGTAGGGGCAGTCGTGACTCTTCAGCACCACATCAAGGTCCATAAGAATCCTCTTGTTCTCATCTTTGTTTCCTGTACGGCGCATTTGCTGGTGACACACACACAAAAAGCCATCCAAGGTTACCGCTAGCTGCTAACATACATGAACAAAAACTCCTCTGGTATCACACGGACTTTCTAATGAAATAATACCACAAAATCATTATCATTAAGTCTTGTCTTCCTTGGTCGGGCTGTTGTGGGGGGTTATTAGTGTCACTGTGTTGGTAAACAGGCACAATTACAGCACAAAAGGAACTCAGAGAGCTAAACCCAGCTGAGCTTTAAGCACCTGCTGTTTTTAGATCACACTGACGGATGTTTGAAAGTTTTCTTTGTCTCTATAAACGGTTTCCTTTCGATATTTGGGAATGCAGCACAAGAACCCAGCAACATGAAATGAGGCGGTTAAACTGAATCTGGGAAAAAAGGAGTGAGAGCCAGACTTCATCGCAGCTGATCACTCTGAATGTCAAGCACAGAGAAAAGTCTCTATGATCACGTTTCACAGTTCAGTCCTGACGATTTATCCACGCAGTTCTGGATCTCTGTGATATTAAAGCTGATCATAGATTGAGACTACGTTTACACTTGCCCGGATATTTTCATAAACGGACATTTCACTCTCTCCATTTACAAAAAAAAACTGTGTGCACACCACTACGTTTTCAGAAAAGTTTTAGTTTACACTAACCCGTGTATATATGCCGTCAAGAGCACGCCTAACCTGTAGGTGGCAGTGTAGTGAGAAGTTTAAGCCCACATTAGCCAATCAGAATCTCGCATAGCAACAACAACAACAACGTCACTTCCTTCTTTTGAAAAAGATGCAAATGTAAACAAATATAAACGGATTGCATAAATGCGACTGCTATTCTGCATGCATCCATGATCACATTAGATTGTAAACATGGATTAAAGATTGTAAACAACGTCGCATTTAACCCACTTTCCGGCGCACAATCTGCCGTCAGCTATCCAAATCTCAGTTTTTCTCCATTTTCATGCAATTTTTGGGGGGGCAAATTCTCTGTTTGCGTCTGCGAAGGGTGCAAACGATGGTTAATGCCTCCGTTTTGAAAAAAATAATCGGGTGTGTACAAACGGGGCCTCAGTGACGAGCACACATGGAACTGAAGCACAGATCAAAAACCAGATCAGACTGAAGTAGAGCTATGTTGTTGACTATGCTGTAAATTTGAGGCTAAAATCATATTCTGCTGTAAAACAGACGCACTAAACCCCGAATAAATACAAGCAGAGGTTGTGTTAATCACACACATCAGCGAGGATACATGAAATCAAGAAGTTTGGTCCAACATTTTATTCTGTCGCTCTGAGATTCTCCTCTCTTCCACCAAATGACATGAAAAATCTGAACACTGAAGGATGTGAAACATGATTTGATTTCCTATGAAAAGGCTTCAATCCCATCTGAACAAAATCACTTCAGTGGGGGTACGATAAAAAGTCACGCCACCAAGTTTCATGTAGATAATGAGAAGTGTGTTAAAAGTGACCAGAACATTGTTCAGGAGGGTCTTACTTTGACAGCGATGACATGGCCAGTCTTCTTGAACCGGACTTTGAAGACCTGTCCGCAGGTTCCACTGCCGATCTCCCCCTCACTGATCAGGTCTGTCACTTCTGCTGGATACCGCTGAGGACATACAGAGAAGCACCAACACAAGAAAAACAACATTTATGATCATGCTTAAGTTATTTCTTCTGGCCTTGATGCACACAGATTTTTGAACTTCAAGCCTAAAATAGAGAAAGTAGACCACATCTGACTTTGGCCTTGGGGAGGCTTTGGGGCAACTTACTAGCAAATATTTTGATGTGTACTTTAGCTGTTCACCCATCAGTCATGTCTGAGAATTCTAGCACACAGTGGGAGGACGCATGATTAAAATTAAATCACTGGCGACTGAGCTGCTGTGGGTGTTCGCTGAGTGTGTGATGTGTGTGTGTGTGTGTGTGTGTGCTTCCCCTCTGAGCTAATGAGAGGAAATAAAAACAATCTGAAGTGCAGCCATGAGTCAGATCATTTCTTGAGCATCTTAAAATTAAATATTGGCCCTGAAGGCTGGAGGAGAAGGGAGGGACGACGCAAATATAGTGAGGCCAGAGCAGATTCAATCATGGTTTCATTTTAGTTGATACAAAGGTCTTCTATAATAGAGATTCTCTGCTCTCCTCACGGGAATTTACACTAAATTCTGTTTGGGTGTTTTCTCATCTAAATGTGGTTTCTCATGAAGCTAACCTTACTTTTTTAACACCCATGAAGATAACTTTATTTGCTATGGAAGCGTGTGGCATTCACCTCTTAAAGAAAGAAACTTCTTAATTTTTTTTTTCTTTGTTGTTTTTCTGACTATTTCTTTCTTCTGTTTCTTGTACTAATCTTCTTTTTCCCCTCTTTCTGTTTTTCATACAATTTTTTTTCATCTTTCTGTTTTTCAGACTTTTTTTTTTTCATGACTAAATGAGATACTTCAAAATCCTGCCAGAATCTCATACAATTAGATAACGTTAAACAACGCGGCTGCTCCAAATCAGCGGATTCTCCAGCTCCTAGGTAACTTTGACTTCGGGGTTAATGAGAGTAAAGCATTTTATTAGTTAAACATAGGGTATACAAATCCTGAGGTGCCTGCGCAAAGTAGACAAACTTATGACAATTTCATCTTTCTGACTTAAAGAAAGGAGTATCTCCCAGTGTCTCAAACCCAAAAGAAAGTAAAACTTGATTTAACTAAACAAACTAAATGTTTGCTTTCAATAAATTGAGCAGAGGGGGATGGAAGCGTCTGCTTTTAAATGATCATGATCCCAAACAAAAAAGAAAGAAAAATTACTCTGAAAAGATTTTTTTTTTGTGGTGAATACAATACACTTCCGTAGTTTGCCTCTAAATATCAAGATTAAAACAAATTGGATTAAAGATGGGACTTTCTATAAATTGGTTTCAGAGAAATTTAATCCTAAATCCAACACAGAGCTAATCTTACCAACTTTTTTTATTGTTTACACAAATCAGGGATTAGAAATGTTCAACAATAGACACTCAACATGTTTTCTAAAAGCACTTCTTACCTGACCATCAATCTTCAAATAACCCGTCTGTTTCATGATTTCCTGCAGTTTCTGGTCAATCTCTGCACTGCAGGGTCAAAACACACACAATGTCAGTCAGAGAGAGAGAGAGAGAGCAGGTGCTGTATGAAGAAAGTTTGTGTGTGAAACCTTCAGAGGAACTGCTGTGTGCTTCTGTACATCTGTTCCACCAACACTACCTACACATGATTCTACGGTGTCAAAAATAACCTGCTCTTCTTTAAAGGACTCTTCATCCTGCTCACTTCACTGCATTTGTTTGCAACCATGCACCCGTGTGCTTGCTGTATTCGTTTTCAAACCATATAGTTACAATTAGGTACTCCAGTGATTATAAGCATGTGTCCACTTACTTCTCTAGGCTCTTCTGTAGGCCGTATGGAGGTGTGGGCAGGGTGAGCATGTGTCGCGGGCGGCTGGGGTACGGGTGGTGCTGAGGTGAGCTCTCTGAAGATGATGACCGGCTGCCTCCATCGTTTGCAAGGGGCAGCTGGAGCGCTGAGGTGGGGGAAAGACGTGTTAAACACAGACCAGGAGCAGAACAAATAACACAGGACGAGTCGGCAGGCGTAGGACAGCTGTGTTTGTAATAAAGAAAGTTTCACTATTGTCACTGTTTTTGACCTTTCTGATGTCTAATCTCATATATTTAGGTTTGTATAATGAAATCTCTAGCTTAGCTATCACATCATGTGAGGTATGGACTAGAGATGTTAAACGGATATTCCGGCATAAATTTAAGTCATGGTCAAACACACCGTAACACCGAGTTAGACACCCCCTCCAGAGATGAATGTTGCCGACTGCTTGCTTCTCTAGTTATACCAATTTCAGCAAAGACCGCACGATAACAATACACAGCGGTCTACATCTCCACACGCAAACCTCAACCAAAACGCCACTCTATAGCCACAAATAATGCTCAGAACAGCACCTAACTTCATCAACAGTACATATAGGGTTCCAGCCATAGTGCTAACTATCAAACATCTCTTTAGCTTTGCCTGGTTTCTTAAGGGAAGAGGCCAAACACAACTCACCCACTCTCCTCCAGCAGCCACTTGTTTGTGGGGGAGCCCTGACGAGTTAATCACCAAGTGCAGCGGAGTTTCGCAGCTCAAGGAAGAACATTTTTCATTATTACTTTATGTAAATGATCCACTGCACTCGGTGATTGACTCATCAGGGCTCCCCCACAAACAAGCGGCTGCTGGAGGAGAGTGGGTGAGCTGTGTTTAGTCTCTTTGCTTAAGAAACCAGGCAAACCCTATATGTACTGTTGATGAAGTTTAGGTGCTGTTCTGAGCGTTATTTGTGGCTATAGAGTGGCGTTTTGGTTGAGGTTTGCACGTGGAGACGTAGACCACTGTGTATTGCTATCCTGCGGTCGTTACTAAAGTTGGTATAGCTGGAGAAGCAAGCAGTCAGCAACATTCTTCTCTCCAAGGGGTGTCCAACTCAGTGTTACGATTTGTTTTACCCTAACTTCATTTACGCCGGAATATTCCTTTAAGTCAACAAGAGAAACTTGCCTCATTGTCTTATCACCATAGTCCTGTTATCCAGACCTGTTGTCGTATGTAAACACCTTGAGAACTTCACTTCTCTTAAGTTATACATTTGTTTTTGTTTCACTGATTTCCAGACCTGATGTTAAAACAAACAAGACGGTTTTCCCAAGCAAAAGCAACACCAGGGAGAGACAACAAAGAGTTAGACCACAGCTCATGAATGTGGATCATGCCTACAGTTCAACTGTATTGGTTGTTTTTTTTTACTTTAGAGGCACAGACGTTCGTTTCATCAATAACGATTGCATAATAATACCAACAGGGGTAAATACGCAGGTTGTAAACTGGTGATTTAATATTTATCCATCATGAGAGGGGTCCGAATCAGATTGGAGCTGATCAGGGCTTTTTTTATGGGGAATGAAGCAAAGACTCAATGTTCAATAACTAGATAAAAATCTGGATCTCTTTCCATTTGAAAGCTTTTCACAGTTACTGTTACGTCAGGAGGTCTGTCTGTGAAGCAAAAGATCATTTCTACATAACTGGGGGATTTTCTCTGATCTTAGAGATTATTTTCAGTGAGTATAATGTCATAGAAATCTGGCTGGAGCAAGAAAAACAAAGAAAACCTATCAAAAACTTAGTTTAACACTGACACCTGTGTTTTCCAGCCTGTTGAGCCCGTGAGTGAGTTTGAACCGCAGCATGCGAAACTGACAGCTGTACGTTTTTAGTTTGCGACTGACTGGCATTGAAATCGAAACAACAAAGAGAGTGCAACATGCGTAGAGCCTCGTATGAACACACGTTAAATCATGCCTTCATAGACACATTAAAACAACACTGACCAGTGGGGATATATGAGCAAGAAAGCATAAACTCATTTTTAAAAGGAGATGCTGGAAACCCATCTGAGGTTCGGTTGTAGTTAGTAGTACAGACTTTTCATGCAACTAAATGACGAGACAGAAGGTGAGCAGCTAAAGTGAATTCCACAAGAGCTCGAGCTTTTCTCATTTTCACCTTCAAATCAGCGGCTCTAACATACATCTGAAACCAGATCACGAAACATTTTTGAGAACCACACAGCTGCAATTATCGTCAGTATTTCTGTCGTAACAGATTGGCAGTTCAGCCGGCAGGTGTGTGTGTCCGTGAGTCACCTAGATGGATCAGCCTGTAAGGGGGAGAGTCAGTTAGTGGAGGAGAAGACGAGTTAGTACAAAGAGGGAGGAAAGGCTCAGGCAGTCTTTGGCACAGATTGCATCTCCACAGTTCTGCTGGCTCCAAGTGGAAAGACAGGAGGATAGACGGGCAGACAGAGCAAGGAGGAAAGACACACAAACACTTGTAGGTACTGCTGCATCACCTCCTGCTGCAAAAGGAAGAGGGGGATGCCAGGAGATAAATAACAGGCAAATTACAAAAAAGAAAACAGTCCGGTGTGAGAGCAATTCGGAAAATTCAGCCAAAACTGCAGAGCACAGACGAAGCTGGAAGTCAGACAGTCGGTCAGTCGGACTCAGACAGGAGGGCACGTCTTCAGTTGGCACACAAAGAAAGAGAGTGATATTGAGAGAGAGAGAAAAAACCAGAGTGTTGAGAGCCACACTCCTGCAGACGGACCAGTGGGGATGCGAGTTAATAGAGACTGTGTCAAACAAAAACACAACCCAAAAAACACTGTGTCGTGCAGAAAAGCCACATGCACCGTGATTGTCCGCCTCCAGCATAACAAAGGTTAACCAACGGGCACGCATCCACGCACACACACACACACACTAACACACTGATACTGCCCTGCCACTGGCACAGAGGTGCATACACAGATAGATAGATACATAGAGAGAGAGAGAGAGAGAGAGAGAGAGAGAATGGAAAGATGGACACAGGGTGTGATTTGCAGGGAGGTGTAAATAACTGTTTGGCTAAAATATCAGAGCTGGTCAGGAATTAATCTTCAGTGTTAAAGTGGAGGTTCTTATTCATTCGAAAACTTAACAGGGGCTGGGGGAGGTGTGATGAGAATGTCGAGTAGGAAACTTAAAAGTGTGTGACAGAAAAACAAATCAATAAATAAATAAATCGAGAGACAATAAGAGATTGAAATACTGGCATGTTATAGTTGTTACTCGATTAAACCCCCGAAACTGACAGCACCATAAAGCACTCAAAGTTTGTTGTCCACATGATCCGTCCTTTACAAACATTTGATCACATAAAAATTAACAAGACATATATTTATTTTTTCTAACTAAAGAAATCGTAATACCACAGGAAATATCACAAATGCCTATCATTTCCACTTCTAGGTTTAAGAACAGTAGAAATTAATACCCCCTTTCTTAAATCAAAGACAAAGATGGGAGGAGAGGAGGAGGTGGGAGGTGAAATGGGTGACACAGGTGTTGGTTGGGGGAGGAGGAGGAAGAAAGGTGCAGTGGCAGAGAGAGCGATGGACTGAATGATACCTGCACGCTGGGAAGGAGCTGGAGCAGGACTGAGCTGGATCACGATGACTGGACAGAGGAAAGAAAATATACACACGCACACACATTACTGCATTGTACTAGAAAGGCAATCACACCTGTGTTCATGCACACTCACTCACTCACTCACACACAAAATATCACAAAAAGAAATGAAAACTCCTGCTTTGTTGACGTATCCCATGAAAAGACCAGTACCATCTAAGCCTTTTTTAATGATTTGGGTTCCTTATAAAGGTCGAGATGAAATCACAAACCTTCAAAAGCATGTCAAGAATGTATTTTGATATTTTCAAATACGGTTTAGTAAGATTTTAGGTGGTATTTGCATATACTTAAGACTGCATATGGTGTCTAAAAATCAACTACAATACCCATGATTTTGTATTACAGTGACTGGATTGACAGAACTGACCAGCACCAACAAACGAACACCAAACAAAACCAGTGATATCAGTATAGGGGTCAAGTTTAGTGTCGTAAATTTAAAAAAGAAAATTGTACACATTGCTGAAAATCTTGTCTATCCTCTTGGGAGTTCCCTCAATGATGTTTAATACTTTAGATGAGTCAATTTCACAGTGGCATCAAAAAATAAACTGGAGTGAGAGTGAACTGGTCATGATCCTTGACCCTGGTCCAATCAGCTGGATCAGGTAAGCCTTGAATCAGAACGTCATTGTTGTTTGTGGCACAAGTGAGGTCTACACTGCTGTGTAATAATCACAGTCTGTTCATGTACCCTTACAACACCTGCTAATATGCAGCTCAATTTCTTAACTGGTATTTTCATGAGACATGTCAATAAGATAAATATAAGTGTCACCTTTAACTCACACACTCTTATAGATGGCTAATACAACCCAAGAAGACAACCTTCACGTGTGGCAAAAACATGATCATTTGTCGTACTGAATCAGTTGTATACAATCGATAGCGGAGAGTGGGGTAAGTTGAGCCAGAGGGTAAGTTGAGCCACCCCTTGTTGTATGAAAATGATAAAAGAAATTGATCATGTGACCAAATATTTGGGAGATGGGCATCAATTCACAGAGTCTGTGAAGGTTAGAAGCACATGGGTGAAGGGGTTCCACATTTATTTCCAAAAAAACATTTTTCACTTTTGAAAGTGAATTTAGTCTGTCATAAGTTTTATTAGAATTGTGTTCAGACCAAAAAAGATCATTTTAAATTTGTTTTATACATCAATTGTGGTATCTATGAGCTACACCATGAGGTCAAAAACCTAGAACTAGTGTTGTGTCATTCGCGAACGGTTCATTTAAAAGAACCAAATCTTTTAAGTGAATGTACTGAACCGAATCACTTCCTCAAGTGATTTGTTCGTTTCTCAATTCAGTTGAGATGAAGTGAGAAACGGCATTGCCAATTGAGCAGCCGAGCAGTCGCAGGCTTCTCCCGACAAGCGCTACATGATTTGGTGATTTAGTGAACGAATCTTTTGAACTGATCTTTTTAGTGAACTGATTCTAGTGATTCAGTATCTAAAAGAACTGCCGTGCCCATCACTACCTAGAATAAAAGTCCACCATTTTTGCTTAGAGGACTAATAAAGTCATAATAGTAGTGGGTAAGTTCAGCCATTTGGCCAGGGGTAAGTTGAGGCAGTGGCTCAACTGAGAAAGTAAAGGAATATGATGAGAGGATCAGAGTTTCATTCAGATTGTTGAAATGTTTTACTTTATCTTTTCAAAAATTCAGCTGTGAATGTTCTGAATCACTTAAAGACATTCTCATGTTAAAATGCTTTTACAAAACAGCTTTTTAGCAGTTATATGCAATAATAATAAAAAGAATGATTGTACCAGTTGAATAGAGTAAAATAGATAAAAACACACATGATTGTGCAAAAGTGACTGTTATTTAGGGAAAGAAGGGTCAGGGGGTTAGTAGGGATACGGCTCAACTTAACAAAGTCATAATAGTAGTTCTGGGGTAAGTTGACCATAGGAGACCACTTTTTTTGGCATACTATATTATCAAGACAGTTATGTTTACACTCATTCTGCTAATTTGCAGGGATGCACGACATCTTAAAATATATGCAGATACACTAGTTAGAGACAAAACTATGATTGCCTTGATGTAGTGATCCCAAATATGAAAAATGGCTCATCTTACCCCACTCTCCCCTGAGTGGGAAAAGTCTACAGTGTCGCAGTGGTGACATATAAAGAGCTTTCTCTCTCCACTTGAGTGTTTATTTCGGTGTAACATGTCAGCCAGCGCTGGCATGTTACAGTCAGACTCTTGTGCTGAGCTGGATGTGGGGGACTTTTCTCCTCAAGACAGTTTATTAGGGCCCAGCTTTACTCTTCTAGGACTCTCTGTTACTCTGACACCTTCTTTATTAAGGGGACTCTTTTAGACATGTATGAAACAGACTGAAAAATAAACGTTTATCTGTGTACAACATACTTACACCATAATAACCAAAGGTTGGTATCGTCTGTTGGACGTTAGCTAACATCTGATAGCTCGCAGCACAAACTAGCGTCAGTTTCGTCAAGGGTCAAAACTAACACAGGTACTTGATTTAACAGAACAGTCACATACAAACACACAGCTTTATAATAACATAACACAACAGGCACTCTAGTGGACTGTGGCACAGACACGATATTTCATCCAAAAGACTGAAAACTACATGAAATTTTCAGATCGACGCTGGGCCTGCCATCGACAACCACTGAGTGCTAGCATGTTTGACAGGAGAGTATCAGAGCAGATTTCAGGACGGGACTTCCAGCGAGATATTTCATGACAGCGACTTATAATTCATGTTTAAACTTAGCTAAAGGTAGGGGATGTCCCACCTAAAAGGGGGTGACCCGACAGCTCAATTAATCGACCAAGCTGAGTCGGTGTTTGTTTATGTAGCTAGCCTATTAGCTGGTAGCTTAGCAGCATAACACCCCCCCGATCCTTCGCTCCCTCCCCTCCGCCTCTACGATCTTTCCCCCCGGCTATTCTGGCCGTTACCGACTCCCCGGTTCTCCCCGGTGCACACTCACTCGGCCTCGGACGTGATCGCTGTGGGCTCATGTCGATGTTAAGGTCGATCCTCCGCCGAGCTTCTTCATTTTCCTGCTTTAGTTTCTCCTCGATTCGCGACAGCCTCTGTTCCAGCGACGACATCTTGAAAAAATGAGCACCATGTAGTTCCCAGCAGAGCTCTCGACGCCCCTCACAGGCGGGCAGGACCAGCAGCAACACACACAAACACACACTCTCAATCTGACAACACAGTATACACACACTCATTGTACCTAATTTACATAGACTTACATTTACACTCAAAAATAGGCAATTACAGGAGTGGATACTGACATGCTGAGGTACCTGTGCTTTTCAAAGAGGTCTTCAGAGGACAGCTGTGAAGTCCTGGTACATTGAGTTCTACTGTAAGAACTTCCAAACAAGTAAGGGCACTTGGTTAAATGTTCATAAAAACAGATTTTGATAATTGTAAATGATTTAATCTCTTAAATTGATTTAATTGGAGGACATGGATGGTCATTATTGTGTTTCATCACCTCCTCTTTTCTCATCAATCTGTCAATGTTTGGGAATTGAGGACACTAGATTGCTTTTGTACGGTGGCCAAGAACGGCCACTGCTGCAAATAATAAAAAAAAAAATGCAAAAAAAAAGTCACAACAGAAGTTACCTGTGCAAAAATAAAAGAAAACGAAGCTCAAAAGCCACGACGGAAGTTAACGACGCAAAAAAAGTGACGATGGAAAAAGAAGTTACATACTGCGATAGTAAAGGGATGCAAATAAAAAAAGCCACAATAGAAGTGAGCTGCTGGGGACCAATAATAATGATGCACCAGTGTTTTACGATTTAGGCAAAGAGGACGACAAAAGCCACTGCTGCAAATACAAAAAGAATGCAAAAAAAAGGAGTCACAACGGAGGTTACCATCGCAAAAATAAAAGAAACCGAAGCCCACTGCAAATAAAAAAGAAACGGTGCAGATGAAAAAAAAAAAAGCCACAACGGAAGTTAACGACGCAAAAAAAGTGACGATGGAAAAAAAAGTTTCTTACTGCGAAAAATAAAAGGATGCAAATAAGAAAAGCCACAATGGAAGTGAGCTGCCAGGGACCAATAATGATGATGCACCGGTGTTTACAATCTAGACACAGAAGACAACGACAGCGAGAAGACGAGCAAAAAAGTTAGTGGAAAGGTTATTGTTTAATTTCACTTCGTAAACTTTTCAATGTGTCATGTGGTTAGGTCATGTAGCGCCTGAGTCGATATGAAGTTGAACTGAAGCTAATAGTACTAGCCATCAAACATCTTTTTAGCTTTGCCTGGTTTCTTTAGCAAAGAGACCAAACACAACTTACCCACCTTCTTCCAGCAGCCGCTTGTATGTGAGGGGAGCCCTGACGAGTCAATCACTGAGTGCAGCGAAGTTTCGCAGCTCAAGGAAGAACATTTATGATCATTTCTTCATAGAAATGCAATCACACCGAGACGCCAAGGCAGAAGAACTGCCGCGTCTGCAGTGCAAAATTATTATTATGTTGATTATTACTTCATGGAAATAATAAAGAAATGATCATAAATGTTCTTCCTTGAGCTGTGAAACTCCACTGTAGTCCATAATGGACTGGCCTCAGGTCTCACTGCAAACAAACGGCTGCTGGAAGAGAGTAGATGAGTTATTTTTAGTCTCTTTGCTAAAGTAATCAGACAAAGTTAAAAATATGTTTTGTGGCTAGTACTATGGCTGGGACACTGTATATCCTGTTAATGAAGTTAGGTGCTGTTCTGAGCATTATTTGTGACTATAGAGTGGTGTTTTGGTTGAGGTTTGTTTATGGCTCCTAAGACCGCTTTGTATTGTCATCCTGCAGTCATTACTAAAGCACAGAAAATGAATGATTCTAGTTTGATATCAATGTTTAATAGAATAAAAATGGACTTGAAACACACTCAATAATAGTGTAGGATTAATAGTGAGCTGTCACCCTTTGCAACACCTACCCAGTGGCAGCAGTTTCAGGAATTACTATTTTGAATTGGTTTATGTATATGTTTCTGTGGCTAATGAAGACAAATCAATAACAATTTAAGGCTGTTTCGTATAAACTCACAGGGGCAGTTAGCAATTTTGTAAATGAAAGCATGATTTGTCTCATTTTGATTAAAAAATCAGTTTGAAGATGGTGAAAGATATCAAAAAACTAAATTTAGTTCTCTTCACATTTTCCTGTTTATATTTGAAGTCTTTCTTTGTCTGAATGAAACACTCCCACACACATAACGACAAAATACGGACAGAAAAATTCACTCCAGATTTTCTTTATAAAATAAGTCATCTCATTCATTCTCTCACATGGTTTGTTTTGTCATACACAAGATAAGTCAAAGCCACACCATCTTATGTACAGCTTCACAACAAACCTCTCCTATACTCAGAATGCTAAAGTGTTACTGAAGTTTTTCCACTCTCACTCTAATTTTCTAACATTTATTTTTCTATATTTTTGTTATTCTCAGATGATATCGTTCACTTGGAAAAGTATTGCCAAGAGAAGCAGTTAGCTGGGACTCTGAGACTCTGAAACTCACTGCACAAAGCTCCAAAGGCTTCTTTTTTTGTGGGAAGTAACTAATGAGGTTTTTTGTGCATCAGACACTTCCTCCAACCACAAAGTCAATCCACTTTTGGCTGAAACAAAGAGGATTTGCTCATTTTGACGAAAAAAAAAAAAAAATCCTCTACAGAATGAATGTTTTTTTTTTTTTACTAAAAATCTCAGGTAGCATGTAGACCACAGAATGAATGCACAAGTGTAAGCTGACAGTGTGTTACTGTTACATTAAGTTTTAGTGTTCGTCTTTTTTCCACATTACAACACAGTTACCTGCTTGCAACAAAGATTTCAAATGCTGGTGGTTGTGATTCATTGATCTGCTATCTATTTGCTACACCAGTTCATAGTAAATTACCTCCAAAATGGTCAAATATCCAACGCCAAAAAAAGGAAATGTGGTTGGCATAAAAAGATGCTTTGTAGAGAGTCAGCTGTCAATAAATATGACTACATCTCAAATATTCTGGTGACATTTGTTGGAGGAGCACACGTTTTTAAAAAGTAGTTAAAAAGTAAGACAGTGGTTCTTTTCCTAATAGTTCACTCATATTTCACCTCGAATAACTCAACACAATCTTCATAGGTTAACAATTTCACACTGAATGTCGCTATTTCAAACTTTGAAAAGGAAATCCTTTTTGAAAGTTGTTTCAGCGTGTCGAGGGTCACAAAATAAGAACAAAATGCTTTTCTGTGGATCAAATACAAGTACAAATGTAAGGCATTGGTAGAAGAGGCCTTTAAGCAACCCCCCCAAACAGTCAACAGTACGAAGAGACAGCAAACTCCTCCTCTCGCAGCTGCACACGTGACTACATTGATACAGAAGAGGATAGGAGAAGGCGTTTCAAAGGCAAAGATACACAGGTCAATGGTGTGTTGTACGATGATAGGAGAGAGGGAGACCTGGTTTGTCCTTTTTTTGATAGAACAATTTACCCCATCAGCTACCTCATTTGGCTTTTATTTTCTCAGTCCTTCTTCTTTGAAATAATGAAGACACAGAAAACAAACATCAGCATCTCCAGGTCTCTCTGCACTCATTCACAGTGTAACAAACAGAAAAGTCAGTGGAGACGGTTGGTTCGTCTGGACAAATCTTCCACGAAGCCTTCAAAATAAAACATTCCTTGAGGTTTGAGTCCCACGGCCCTCTAGCAGAGGTCAGAGACGTAGTCGAAGTCCTGAAAACTCTCCTGGTCTTTGCGAGAGAGCACACGAGGCTCCCGTGGAGGTGTGAGCGTAGGTGCTTCTGTGGTGAACTCCTCGTCGAAGTTGCTGACATCCTCCTTACCCCGGATGCAGGGCACAAAGGGAGGGGGCACCCTCCTCTGCAGCAAGGCCTCCCAGTCCATATTCTGAAGGGAAAAAGAGGGAGGAGAGATTACAGAGGTGAAGGAGGAGCTGGTTTGTCTTATTACACGGACAGAGGTTATGGTCCTTGAAATGGACAGCCTGGGCGTGTCATTTTCACTCTCTTCTCTGAGTTATCCACTCTATCTACTGCCATTCAACACTTGAAGTACAATCCCATTCTGATAAGAGTTGAAGCACTTTGTAAAATGTCCAAAAAAACATAAGTTTCACAATCAATTAATTCCTTTGTTTGTTTGAAAATAGTGCTAAGACGTCATATCAAGTGATGAATTTTATTGTTTTAATTGTGTGTTTTTGTTTAATGAAAAGTATAAGTTTTTGTAATGTGAGCATATAGGTGTAGTTTGTCTCCCTCTTTCATTATTATAAAAAAGTCCAAATTGTTTAAAATGAGGGTACATGTTGCCCCAATACCTGTCTATATTGTAGGGCTGGGTGATAAACTGAAAATGTACTGGTACCGAAATTTACAACAATAATCAATGTCATTTTGCCCCTTATTGGTACATTTGGTGTCAAATAAATAAATAAATGAAAGTTAGTTTTTAATGTGTGTAGGTAGGCTATGGTCTTGTGTCCCTTTAAGATGCTGTCCTACGTCAGAGACATGACTCCACCCCATCCAGTCCGTAACAAAGAGGGAAAGACAGAAGAGGAGATGGAGGACTGTTCAAAAGTTGGAGCGGTGGCTGAAGTAGACAAAGTTAATGTGTGAGGGGGTGAGCAGTTTGTGGAGTAGTTACCGTTCATTTATTGTTATCAAGCTGAACTGCTCAATATATCGTGATATTGATTTGAGGCCATATCACCCAGCCCTAATATAATGTTCAGCATTAAAGATGCCTTCCCAGATGAATAAGTTCGTCCATCTCCATACCAGACAGTGGTCTCTGGATGGGATTTTGAGCCTCTCTACTGCAAACTCATGTCTGTTTTTATCTCAGTGCAGCCTGAGGGTCTGAAATTCATGACCATCCAGTATCAGTTATTGGTCTTTTGTCCCTGCACACAGAATGTTCCGCTGAATTTTCAATCTTTTCATGTTTTTGTGTACTACTGATGATGAAATCCCTGAAGTCTTTGCATTTTTACACTCAGGAACATACTTCTGATGAAGTTGTTGCACTGCTTTACTTTTCTTTGACTTTCTTTTTCTCCCCCTTGAAAATAAAAAAATACACTTCCTCAAAAACCCAAGTGTACTTACTCTGAAGAAAGGCTGCTTCTTCACCTCCTCCGCATCCTTTTCCCCAGACCCCAGTCTTCTCTCTGGATTCCTCCTCAACAGCTGCCAACGGCACATGAACACACACGCACACACACACACACACACACACACACACACACACACACACACACACACACACACGCACACACACACACACACCAGAGATGACAGTACACCATCAATGTGTGACCTCCGTTATTGTGAGCAAGTGTCGATTTGTCTGAGTTGCTGATGATTAAGTGTCTTGTGCACATGTGCAGCAGTTGTCACGCATGGCTCACGGGTGTTTAAGTCAGTGTGAGTTATTGTTACTCTGTGGGTGAGACAGAGTGTGTGTGTTTGTGTGCATTTACCCTTCTCATGATGCCAATAGCTTCCGTGGAGAGGAAGCGTGGATAACGAACTTCATCATTCACTATGCTGTCAAACACCTCCTCTTCATCGTCCCCTGGGAACGGAGACTGGATACCGAACACACACACATTCAATTCAATATAATCTTATTTAAAGATAAATCCACTGCATGTTTTGTGTATCAGAGTTTGCCACCTCTCACCTCCCCCACCAGCATTTCATAGATGAGGACTCCAAGTCCCCACCAGTCCACCGCCCTGGTGTATGATGTATCTGTTAACACCTCTGGGGCCAGAAACTCTGGAGTCCCGCAGAACGTACTAGTCCTGTCCCCAAAGCCCATTCCTACACACAGAGGCAGACAGATAAAATGTTAAGGAGACTCAGTGCAGTGGGCGGACACATTTCTAGGATGTAATATGAAAACTCAAATAAGCCCATCTGTCAGGAGCATCAATACTCACCTTCTTTACACAGTCCAAAGTCAGCGATCTTCACATAACCATCTGTGTCGAGCAGCAGGTTGTCAAGCTTGAGGTCTCTGCAGGGGAGGGAAGGGGGAAATACGTAGGTGAGAATAAAGTGTCTCTTCACAGTCTCTCAAATATAGCAGATGAGAGATTTAACAGGGATTTAAAAGATAGTAAGGAGGAGTCACAGACTAGTTCTCCGACCTACAGTTAGTAAATTATTGATTTAAACTTCCAAAAATATATATTGTATTGGTAAGTATTCGGTTTCTCGCCCAGCCCTACTTGTATGTTTGATCGGTATATTTTAATATGCAGATTTTTTTTCTGAAACTGCTGCTTTACAGACAGAGATGCTTGTTTTTGCTGTCCTGACAGAAAGCTGTGTGATTTTCACTCACCTGTACACAATCTTATTGTCATGGAGGAATTGAAGTCCAAGAACCACGCAGGCTGCATAAAACCTGAAGTCCAACCAGAGAAACATTGTTACTGACCCGACAATGAATAAATAACAAGAAATCAGACTTAACCTTGCAAATACTACTCTAAAAAAACAACTATCACTGGATTCACTGTCAGAGATTCTGGCTGTGTCAAAGTTAAACCTGCATCAGTGTGAAAAAATAAAAAAGACAACATAGCTAAAAAAACTGGGCCGCTGGATAAAAAGGTCCAATATAATTTTTCAAAATTATTATTCTGACTTTAATCTCAGAATCGCAACTTTTTTTCTCAGAAATTTGACTTTAATCTCAAAATAATGATAAAAAATTTTTTATTGGACCTTTTTTTTTTCCAGTGGCCCTAATCCTCTTCCATACTGGACAGTGTTCTTTGCCTTAAAATCACTTCTGTGTTTTGATCTCGTCCATGAAGGCCGGACAAAGATCCTCTTTCACAATCAGAGTGTGAGACTGAGGACAAAACCCACAGTCCTGGTTCTGTGCAAAAGTGAACTTTAAAGTTCAACTGTCACTAATGTGAGAAATTAGCAAAAGTAGATATTTTACAGAAGATTCCAATGTTGGTTGAAAACGCAAGACTTTTCCACAGACAATGCAAAATGCAGGAGTTGGTTAAACTGTGGGTTCAGTATTTTCACTGAGGGAGGACTTTTTTGGATCTATCCTTTAACTAATAACTCAGAAAACAGCCATAAAGGTTGGACAGTGGGGCTTTCACAGTTAAACATATGCATTTCTGAGAACGGAACCGTCAGGCCCTTCCATACTTCAACAGACGCTTTAGTTCACTGGAATATAAAGTGTTTTTACATCATCACTTAAAGAGAGGGTATCGTGCATTTTTTTCTGTCTCTATATTTCCTTTCTGATACCTCTAATAGCTTTATGTGATTTTCAGACATAAGAAAGCCTCTAATTTCTCACATTGCTGTATTAAAATATCATTATTTCAGCCTCCATCTGAAATGCTTCATTTTTAGCTGCTGTCTCTTTTTGACGTAAATGTGCATGATACCATCCCTGTAAGCAAAACATTCATAAAGCACTGATCACCAGAGTCCTTTCACTTTCTCAAACAAACTCAAATGTTCCGTACACCGCTCGTGGTTCTGTAAAGACATCTGTGTGGATGTGCATCATCAGGTCGCCCCCTGCTGTGTACTCCATCACAAAACACACATGCTCAGGCGTCTGGAAGCACGCAAACAGGTTGACCAGGAAGGGGTGGTGCGACATGTTGACGATTTCAAAGATGCGTTTTTCGCACATTAAACTGCGAGAGAAAGGAGAAAAAGAGGTGTGAAGGAGGAGAGGGAGGTAACACTGAGTCATTTTTTACATAATTAGATCCTGATTTTGGTTGATGAGACATCCACACTGATTCCAGAGATGAACACTAAATACAGTCAAATGTATACCAGAGCTCAAGCTAATAAAGTAACTATATTTAATAACACACACCTTTCCACCTCATCCCGAGCCACGATGTCTCCTTTCTTCAGGGCTTTGATGGCGTACGCTGTTCCTGTTTTCTTATACTCTGACAGCAGCACCTAAAAACAGGAACACGCATCAACAAATCAATTCGTTAAACTCTTTAAACACAAAAATATTCCATAGGTGAAGAGTGCTTTCAGAGATGCATGTTTATGGTTAGGGTTAGGTATTTAAAGTCTTTCTAAAATAAGTAGATTGATGATGTGATACCTTCCCAAAGTGTCCCCTGCCCAACACGGCAATCAGCCTGAAGTCCTGAAGAGAGAGAGGACCCTTCTTCTGTTTACTGGAGAAAAAACAAACAGAGTCATCAACAACACATGCAGATGATAACACAAACAACAGACTAACTATAACAGAAATCTACAACCCGTAGGGTTTTCCAGGGAATTTAAATGTCAGTATCGTTTGTTAACCTTTGAGTATCAAAAACTACAAAGTTCACAGTCAAACCCAAGTTGTTGTTTAAGGCCAATTTCTGAATATTCCTTAAAACATGGTATCAAAGAAAGAACCAGATGAGGAAAAATGACCAAAACAAATGATATTTTCATACTGTAGAGTCAGAGTGAAGTTAAACATTAAAAAAAGGAACAAATTTCATTTATATATCATAAAACTGAGACATGTTTTCAGCGATCAAATATCAGGTTTCATAGTGACCTCTGATCACTAAACTCAAATAACCACATCTTAAACCTTAAATCTGTGGCTTAGCTGAAGAGATTCTTGGACCGTGTTTTTGAGACATTGCACTCATAAATGTGAAACAGCAGACAGATAAGATGAGAAATGCAAAATTGCCCTTCAGAAATGACAAATCTGTCATGACTTGGCTCATGGCCTCTTTCACAGACAACAGTATGATCACAAAACTGGGACAGTAACATGGAGATCATCCACTGTCGATTCTTTTATTGACAAGTTAAGATGTCTTCCTTGAGAGAGGACCATACGACAGTGACTGTTCAAAGAAAAACAAAGCTGGGGGAAATGAACGCAGAGGGATGAAACAGCGTGTTTGTGTACCTGCCAACTGACGAGGTTCGGACAGGGCACTCGGGGGTGAGGTCTGGGGGGGAGAAGGGCTCGATGACTGGAGGTCGGTCCTGATGGGGGACACGAGATGACAGAGACACAGAGGAGAAGACGCAGACACACAGGTCCGAGTGATGAGAAGATGCACAAGGGAAGACAAGAGGCATGATTTGATCACAAAGGTATGAATATGACAGAATGTACATTTAGTCCTCACATCTACATATGAATCAGTCACTGTATACAGACTGTAGAGATGGTGATACCCCCTGTGAAGACCCTAGAAAGACCCTAATTCATCTATCTGAAACACATGATCTTAAGTGTAGGCGCAGTGTGAATTAGCCTGTATCTGTCCATATTTTGCCTCTTTCAGGGTGCACATTCTCAGCTGGTTGATAAAGTCCCTCGAGTGTTTCAGGTGTAACACGAATAGACCAATCAGTGAGTCTGCTCTCTCTCTTTAGAACTTAGGTGCTCCTGCAGACAGGTGCATTTCATGTACACAGGAAATTTTGGTCTTTCTATAAGTAATCAAGAGAAAGCCCAGAATGACATCTCAGGGAGGAGCGTTAGGGTCGTGTAAGGCTGAGGTCATACGGAGACAACAGTGAACAGTATCCTGGTGCAAAGAGATTTGCATCTTTAAGCCCTCAACGTCCAAACCTGTATTAGCATAAACAAATATTTTAATATGAGTGAGAGCGCAGCTGTGGGTCTTTTCGCATAAAAGGCAAATGATGTTGTGACCTTTTATGCCCTATTTAGTTTATTAAATATTACATATAAAAAAAACATTAAAGGTCTTCCTTAAAGGGATATTCCAGCATAAAATTTAGTTAGGGTAAAACACACCGTAACACCGAGTTAGACACCCCTTTGAGAGATGAATGTTGCCAACCGCTTGCTTCTCTAGTTATACCAACTTTAGTAACGACCGCACAATGGCGGATACCAAGTGCAGCGGAGTTTCGCAGCTCAAGGAAGAACATTTATGATTATTACTTCGTGGAAATGCAATCAGACCGAGACGCTAAGGCAGAAGAACTACCGTGTCTGCAGTGTAAAATGATTATCATGATGACTATTACTTTGCTGCACTCGGTGATAAACTCGTCAGGGCTCTCCCACAAACAAGCGGCTGCTGGAGGAGAGTAGGTGAGTTGTGTTTAGTCTCTTTGCTAAAGAAATTAGGCAAAGTTAAAAAGATATTTTGTGGCTAGTACTATGGCTGGGACCCTATATGTACTGTTGATGAAGTTAGGTGCTGTTCTGAGCATTATTTGTGGCTTTTTGGTTGAGGTTTGCACATGGAGATGTAGACCCCTGTGTATTGCTATCGTGCGGTCGTTGCTGAGGTTGGTGTAACTAGAGAAGCAAGCAGGCGGCAACAGTCATCTCTCAAGGGGGTGTCTAACTTGGTGTTACAGTGTCTTTGACCATAACCTAAATTTATGCCGGAATATCCCTTTAAAGACAATATTTTCCAGCTCATATATTTGCAAAAGGGTTTTAGTGATCTATCCTGAAAAAATCGATCAAAACATGACCCAAATTGTTGTCTCTGTGTTTTGGGAGATAGCTTGTTTCTGATCAAAGTGACCAAACATTGGGAGTGACTTACACTTTGGGTGTAAGACAGAACAGTTAACCTTTTACTTGAGGATTAAAGCTTGAAGCTTGATTTTGACGGTGAACACAGACTTCACTCGTCCTCTGCTCACAGGCTGGAATCTTTAAAGTACCCCTCCTCTTTTCACACACCTCCCCTGTTTCTCGTGCCTCCTCTCTCTGTCTCACCGGAGTGTGTGAGTCCGAGTCTCTCTTGTAATCGCCCCTTATTGGTGAGTCGCTGTCCAAACTCAATTTCTCCACTGAGACCTCCCTGAAAAATTCACGCAGACACCCACAAACAAACAAACAAACACAGCGATGCACACCGACATATGAACAAACACACACACAGAGGGGGATGTTAAACTCGGGGCAGAGAAAGCATCAGATGCTTTAAACTTTGCCAGGAAACACAAGGAGAAAGGTTCAAGGAGAGCTGCCATGTTTGATAGCACAGGCTGGTATCAAACAATCCCACACAGATGTTTGGTGTTGGTCTGGCTCAGTAAGTGCAGTGTGCATGTGTGTGTGTCTCTCACCCAGAGTTAAGAGTCAGGCTGTGTGCGTTTGGACTGTAGGTTCCTGAGTTGTTGGCTGTGGGGATGGCGTTTCGGAGCAGTCTAACCCATGTCCCGATATCCACGTTCATCTGACGAGCCCTCAGGAAGGCTTTCCCTGGAATCATAACGAGTCAAAATGGATGTTTACAGACTGATCACAATCAATTATTCACTATCTTTTAAACTAAACAGTTTCACAAGTCATCTTTTTTTTCATCTAGAGATACTTGCTGCCGTGGATGAAATTTATTTGAGCATCTACTTTCGAAACTCCGGACTTTCTTTAATCTAACTGCACATCATTTCTACAGTTAACAGATATTACTGAGTGCCTTATGGTCTGGTTTTATTAGAATTATGTCTGTTGCAGCAAAATAATTTTAAAAAAAATAAACCGTCACAGTTTTGTATGGTGGCCCTGAGGTGCAAAACACAAAGGCAAATCAGAAAACACAACAAAATTAATCATTGTGTTTTCTCTTTTTGTGTTGTGTTTTCTCTTTTGCCGTTGTGATTTGCATCTCAGGGCCACCGTAGTTTTGGGATATAATCTAGAGTCAGAATAACATTGACAACACATAAACAAAGACAGGTACCACTACAGTATGGAGGACGAAAAGAAACAGAATGAAATATCTAAATATGTCTTTAAATAAATACTTAAATGTGTCATTAATTTATTAAAATACCAGTTCATTTAATGTAAAAACATATATAATTTTTCCACTTTTTAATTAACTATTTCATGGACCTGTGCTGCAGTGCTTCATGAATTAATTTTATTTGTGAAGTCCATCTTGTGTTTGTTGCCATCATCATCAAAAAAAGTTTTTTTTTTCACCACTAGATGGTGCTGTGGTCCGGAGTAAAATTAGCACACCATCGCTTCTCTCACCCTGGCTTTACTCATTTGTGTGTGAACTTTGAGATAACAAAGGGTGCGATCCTTTTCAAGATCATCAAACATTTCAAATCTCCGTTTCTCCTCTGTGTTCTCTCCTCACCTTGCTGCTTGGAAAAGACCTTCTTCTGTCTCTGCAGACGAGGAACTCTCTCTATGACAGGATTAAAGAAGGTCACCTGAAAAACACACACAGACACACACACAGACACACACAGAGATGAGACACTGACACATCCACATTGTGTTTTTTTAGACATCACAGCCTGATAATTGAACCTTTCATGTTTGATTTATCAAAGAGGTGTTTTTCAGCACAGGTGTGTGACAACCTGTGTGTGTGTGTGCCTGTGTATGAGTGTTTATGTGTGTATTTGTGTGTGTGTACATGTACACATTTGAATGTCTTTGAGTGTTTTGTCTTTGTAATGTCGCTTGTTGTCATGTATACAAAGGTGTCTTAGTCCACTCATGAGGCTGTCCCTTGTGACAAAGATTTTTTGGCTTTTTTAAAATAACAATATCAGTAATTTTCCCTCAAACATTCTGTGACAATATCAGGTAAATTCCCTCCTTAAATTTTCCAGACATTTCCCAGTGTGTCAGAAAACTGCTTTGAGAAACAACCCGACTGTTAGAGATTTAAGTTGAGGTCTATTTATGGCAGATTTTGTTGTGTGTATTTCGGGTTTGTGAGTGAGAGTTCGATGTGTGTACCTCAGCCAGCAGCAGGCCCTGAGGCTCCAGCTCCAGCTGAACTGTGTGTTTCTGGTTGTCCAGGAACTCCTCCAGCTTTAGGTACTTCAGAGCACACAACGAGCGGTAGTCCTTCCAGTAAACAGCAATCTCCATCTCTCTTGACTAAAACACACACGTACGATATTAAAAAGATGGTTCTATCGACACTGAAAAACATGTATGACACTGGAACATATGCTGTATGTACTGACCCGTTCCAGCTCCACAGTGAAGGTCTGGTCCCAGGCTTGCTCTCCAACTGTCCTCCAAGGGGTCTGACCCACCACCGAGTTATCCAGCTTCAGCACAGCACTCACCTCAGCTGCACAAATCACATCACATCAGCAAATTTGATTTCCCCCCCTATAGGTGACATTCCTATACAGGACCTGGCACTTTAACCCTGACTGCTGTAAAACAATTAGAGCCACTCTGAGCTCGCACTTCAATGAAACAAGCTACGTATTGATTGATAGTGGTCTTTAATTTCCTCGGAGACTCTGCTGAGCTTAAGGAGGGCTGGTTATGAAGTGCCAACTCAGGCAACTGAGGCGGTGTGGCTAAACTTGCTGATGCTGCAGGATCTCACCTAACTACTGCAAAGTGAAGGTGACAGTCATGAAGCCGTAAAGACCTGAGATATTAAACTGACAGATAAAAGAGAACTATCTGTGAATGAAAAGTTGTAAATGTAAGATTATTTCATTTCTTTACTAATCATATTACACCTTCCACCTACACAGGAAACTTCAGGCTAAAACATACAGGATTTGGAGCGTGGCAGCAGCGTCACGGATCACGCAGCAAATAGGTTGCCATTCTAATCAATGTAGCAAAGCAGACAGGACGCGTTTCAGCTCCGTTGCAGCATCGTATCGAGAGCAGCACTGCTAAAGATACGCGACAAGTCTATTTTTGCTGCTCTACGCTTCCAATACGTGTCAATCTACTCAGAGAAGATCGTTCTAGACAGGATATCGAGGAAGAAAAACATGCACGTCATCCGGTATTTCAAAATAAAACACCATATGCGAACTCCTGACCGTGTATCAGTTCGTAAGGATGAGAAATACTTCCTGGTTTATGGATTCACCAGGAACACAGAACAATCCAATGGTCAATCCCTGATCAGGACTTTTAACTGCTAACTCTGTCTGAAGGTAACAGCACAGCATAAAGGAACATAGTTTACTTTATTAAACACGAGTAAACCTGCAAAAAGCGAAACTATAATATCATGTTGCTTTTCCACATACAGTAGAGGCTCAACAGTCCCTGAATTATATCCAAATGAACAGGAAGTAGACCACCGAAACAACCTGTTGTGAGCATGTTGTTTCATCTATACTGAGCCCAGCTGACCGGAGCTGCACCACGCTGCTGCTACGCTCAAAATACTGTATGTGATACCCAATGCTGCTCTATGGCTTTAGCCCTACACACACACATATGACTTACAGCTGAGCTCATCCATCTTGCTGGGCGTTTTTCCGCTGACTGATCCGCTCCGGCCGTACAGTCCTTTGCTGCCTCTCATGAAGGACCGGGTGTCTCCGGGGCTGTAGCACGGCAGCGTGAGAGCTGTGCCTTTGTTACGGCCTGGTACCACCTCTAACAACCCCACACAGCCCAGCAGCTGCACCTGTAAGGTACCTGGAATCAAAACAAAACAAGTCAGGCATGTCGACCTAACACAACAGCACCTAACGGCCAAACACAAGATAGAAAAGACATCTGAAAACAAAAACAGATCAACATTAACAAACTGATTTACAAAGTAATGTGCACTTTGAAAAGATTGAAGTCCTCTTCTCCAGGGAGACACAAACAACAAGCAGGATACGCATCTTGAAAATCAATTAACAGCCATCATACACCTGTACACACATACCCTTATGAGCTCTGAGCACACATGCTGTGCTTTTAAGTGCGTACGTAGTGCCTAACTGTGGCATTATTAATTGTATTTGATAATGAAGGAATAGAAATGTTTATCCAATTCTAAGCTCTGACTTCTTTTTCAGCACGACTTTATTTTCTCTTCATTAAGACAGTTAAATGTCTGTAAACATGTCTAAGCTCTTCTGGGCAGAGTCATGTTTGACGAGATCAAGATCCATCTGAGGAGCAAATACGGGGACACTACACTACAACAAGACTAACCAAATGTTTTTAGCTCCTCTAAATTCATACGTCATTGGAGATAAGAATCTATGTGGTTTTTACTGCCATGTTTAGTCACTGTAAATACCGAATGTATGTCTTTGGTGTTGACACAAGGTTTGCTATGGTTTCATGCAAGGTCATTGGTCAATTGTAGATATTTTCTAACATTATATTTCATGTTATTTTCATTATCATCTTAAAAACATTAAAATGAATATGTGTTTTTGGTTTGGTTTCAGTTGTTGTAAATTTCTTTGTACTTTTTCTCCTGTTTTATGCACAGTTTTGTTTAATTTTACTCACCAGTCAGAGGTGAGGGTTTGTTGAGTGTGCTGTACTGGTTATGGAGGTAGGGGGCGCCATGGCGAGAGCTAAAGGCAGGAGAGGAGGCCAGGACCAACTCCTCTTTGATGACGTTGGCTTTGGGATGGTCCTCTGGCAGCTCTGCGAGACGCTGGTCCAGAGAGTCCCTCAGCAGGTCCAACCGCTGAGACGCCTCACTCAGACGAGACTGGGCCTGTGGAGTGTTGTCACAGATACGTGTTTGAGTCCTCTCTTACTTTATCTAACCTCACAGAAAACACACTTCACTTCCCTGTCATGTTAAAGTCACTTTCCCAACAGTGATAAAGAGTTCTTGAGAAAACTATTTAAGCAAAATCTGTAAGAAAGGAAGTCTGAGGAGGCTCCTAACACACTTTAAAATGTGTTTTTATTGCTTTTGGCACTGTTACACATTTACTTGTTTTGTGCTGCCTTCAAAAATTGTCTCTATTTCAAGTCCTTGAATCATCAGAACAGGTATTACTTTGCAGGTCTTTTTGTGGAAATATCTGATTTAGCTGTTTTGTTGCCTGTAAAAACTGATTTTTAAATAGAGACAGGTGGTAAGTGAACCTCACCCTGTTCAACATCTAAACTTACAGCAAAGTGATACGTGGTTTTAAGAGGTTTTTAGTGTCATGTGTGTATCATTATGAGTCTCACCTCAGATAGGGCTTTCTTGTCCTGGACTTTGCTTGCCCCCAGGAGCCTGAGCACATTTTTGGCCCCCTCAGCAACTGCATGTTCCACTCTGTAGTGATGCCTCAGCTCCTCAATACGCAGCTCCACTCCACAGAGGTCCTGGTTACCTGCAGTGATTGGAAAAGAGACAACACAGTAACTTTTATTTATTAATCACATTTGCACATTTTGCACAGTTGTTTTCTGTAGTCTGAAGTCTAGACCTGCACCTGCAAAGACCAGCCTTTTATTTTGGTTGGACAGCTCCCCTGTGTATACAAGTAAGGTTAATGTCTTAATGCATGTCGTACATTACACAAGAGCCAGAAAAAGCAGCCATTAGCAGCGTCTGGAGGGAGGTAAACAGCTGCTGAGTGTTCCCCAGTAAACAACATTAACTCTGGTGCCAACCTCTGGTTAAAAAACAGCAAACAGAGCAATCAATACCCACTTTGGTTTCACTCCAGTTTGTTAAGTTACAGAGAAAACAGACAGAAGTGTTACCTGCACTTTCAAATAATTATAAAGTAATGAAAACATTTACCCTTGTAATAAAGTCACCTATTTGATCATGAAGGCTGGAGTTTATTTAGGGATTATATGAATGACAAAGAGGCAAAAGCGAACAAGGGTAGGGTGACCATATTCTGATTCCCAAAAAGAGGACACGGCTACGCGGGGGCGGAGTCACGGTGTCGCACAAAGTTAATTTTGAGAGTTTTTGGGATTTGGATTGAGTGTCCTTTACACCCTTCTCACTCAGTAAACCACGTGACACATAATCAAAACTTACGTACAAAACCGCAGATATTTGACGGATTTTACAAACTTTGCCAGACGCAATTTTTATTTTTGTAAGATGGTAGGGGAAGGTCCCGCCCTCCTTTGCCTCTGATTGGCTAGAAGTGCTGGGCTCCGATTGGTTATTCCTTATGGTTGTAAAACGTCATCGTCCGTCAGGTTAGGGTTAGGATTAGGATAAGAGTTAGGAGATTCAGAAGTGCGGTAATGTTCTGTTCGATGTACAGAGCTGACAGCCCACATTTGGCGTGAGCATGTGATGATGTTTCGAGCTTTTCTAGCCAATCAGAGGCGAAGGAGGTGGAAACTTCCCCTACCATCCAACAACAACAAAAAAAAAAAACGCTCCTTGGACACCCTCAACAAGAGTCTTTTTTTTATATCCAATAAACTTCCAAGTTTCAGTCACTCTACAATGTGTATAAACAGCTGCTTCAAAATAAATGACTGTCACTGATAAAACTCTCAGCCATTGTTTGTTTCACCCATAAAATAGACATCCATAGTAGCAGTTACTCGATTAAAGCAGCCAATTAGGTGCAGTGCTTTCAGTCAAAAGGATAAAACACACTCGTGCTCCCTTCACTTACATAAACAGACCCAGGTCAGCCTCAGAGTAACCCCCATGAAGCACAATTACAGCTAAGTGGGTGGCTTAATGGCCCAGTAGCAGGTTTAACAGTGGGAAACAAACAGAGCACAAAGACAAGAGAAGAGAAGAGGCGGTAAGAGATAAGGAAGAGGAAAATAGGATAATCAGTGTTTTAAAAAAAGGTGCATTTGACTTTCAAATGAGGGGTCAGGTAGGAGGGAGAACAGAAAGGACACGAGGACACGAGTGATGAATGATTTTTGTGAGTTATGAGCGGCTCAAAAAGCCACATGAGGCAGGGGAAGGAAGAAGGGAGAAGAGGGAGGTAGGTTTGGGAATGGATGTGGGTGCTTTTATCTCCTAATAAGGTGTTCTGCCTCGAGTCCAGACCTTGCTAGATGACCCCTCCACCGGGTGTGGTGCCTGGAGACTGTCTGTCTGTGTACACTATACACACAACCCGTGAGTGAGTGTGAGTCTGGGTGTGTGTGGTTTTAAAGAACAGATAGATTAACCAGGAAAAATCCACAGACACAGACACCACAGACACCAGCACAAGAGGAGGAAGTAACCAAAGAGAAAAGTGAAATAGAGGTTCCCTCATTCTTGTGTTATCTAGGTCTGTTTTTACTTCAATACGTGGAGTTTAAAAAAGTAAATCATCATAGATAAGACAAGAGAATGATCGTTTTAATTCCAAGCAGAGATGAAAAGCAGAGTAAACAACCAAAGATTTATTTGGTTTCAGCCGGCAGAGTTTCAGATCACTAAAGACCTACGAGGTTTTTTTTACAGGGAGGACACATAAGGATAATGTACAGCCCTTTTAAAAATCATTACAACTTGCTTTTATCGCCGTAGCCATTAAACTCACCATCTCTTTAAATAGCCCTCAATCTGATAGGAGCAGAAAGGAAGAGATGGCCCTTTTAAGCTTGAAAATCTGGCTTTTACTGTTCCCCCCCCCTCCCACCACTCTTCTCCTGCCCCCTGCTCCAAATCACCCACCTCTCCTGAATATAATCAATCAACCGGCTTTTCCGACAGGGGAGCATAATGGCTCACATCTAACAGTCCTTTAGAAAACCGTCTCTCCTGAATGCCACGATCCACCTCCCACAACGTACGGAGTTTTTAAGCGATGTCACATTTTCATTGTATCTTATCCTGCATGAACAGATTCGGCACATTAAAAACATGTCCTTTGTGGGTGTGTGGCTGTACAGTTTTGTGTGTGAAAGACACTTTTTATCTGCCAGTCCTTTTATTAGACAGCTGGACTGTCTCCGAGTTCATTTTAGAGTGAGTTTCATTGATTGTGTTAATGTGCCAGGTGGGCCTTCACAGAGGCTGTGTATCACTCACAAATAAAGCACACGCTCACACAGTCTACAGTGAATCAACCCTGACTGTCCTCTTCATCTTCCTCCTCATAAAACTCAGAGATGTTATAGATGTGAAAACACTGGGCAGGCTCTTTATTGATCTGTTTGTGCAGCTCTGGGTCTGCTGTCTGCTGCTGCTGCCGCCGCTCAGCTCAAACTGTTTATGACATGTAGAGACAAAGAAAGCAAGATGGCCCATCACATGAAGAGAGGATCCTGTCAGTGCCAGCTGACCGCTCTCAGCATACCCACAATCACTGATGAAATCTGAAAATCAAGGTCCCATTTAATGGTATTTTTAGCTCTTAAAGTATGCCCTAATTGTCCTCTAAGCAAGATTATGAATGCAGTTGCAAAAACGTGACAAATTTGGATTTGGCGAGGAATCCGCAGCCTCTTATTTCCTACCCTAATTATCCACGCAGTGAAAGGAGGGAGGGAGCTGCAATGATTGGCTGTCTGAATCTCAGAATGGTGCAGACCAGTGTACATTGTGTGGAATGACAAAGAAGGAGAAAAACATCAAAACAAACTTGACGTGTGCTCTAGGAGAATCAGCACCAGCACACTACAACATATGATCCTGAATCTGACCCCGATCCAGAGTTCACAGCTGTTGAAATGTTGCAGCTGCAGGTACAACAGCATGTCTCTGAGTGTTATTCCTACTGTTGGGAGTCGCTTAAAGCAGTCTGAAGTGAGGTATTAGGCACAAACAAACAAATCCTTAACAACCATAACATTAAAGCAACCACTGTTGTCTTTGGTCCCCCAGAAGTAAGTCTGAATCCTCCTTTGGCCTTGACTGCCGACACAAGCAAGAAAACGAAGTAAATTTGTTCTGACTCTGGCGGAATAACAGGCGCTTCAAAAGGAGGTAGACAAGAGCTAAAACACCGGGTCAACATCAATGCAACATAAATGCTTCGGGGACACGTCGGGATCTTACGGACTCTGTAACCTTTATGCTGGACAGGTAAACCGCTTTAACAAAGTATGCCAAGTGTCTGTAACAGAAGTGTTTCTTGTCAAACGGGACCTGCTGCGTGTTGTAGCGCCATCGCTAAACTGTTGACCTCGGGTCCTGGACTATGTCACTTTATCCTAGTTGTAGAAGTCTGTTGGCATCTACAGTAGTACCAATGCTTTCTACTTTCACATTGACTGGGCCCCATTTGTAATTATCTGAATTTAATTGGAACGATACGAGTGAGCAGGAGCATCTATTTGTGGGTGGGGCTTGCAGGAACAGAGAGGGAGGGGAGAAGAGGAGCTGTGGGGAAAACTGGTTGGGAGGGGTAGAGTTTACATTCAAGATTTCTCCCAAAAACTGGCACTTCCTCAGATCCTGCCAACCCCACCTTTAAGGGAAGGTGAAATGAAGTCCTGTTGTGACATCACCACAGGAGCAAATTCAAATAAATATATAAATATGTATATTTATTTATATTTTCATCACACAGAGAGTGTAGATCTATCAAACTGTAATAATAATGATAGCTATAGGGTGGTTGAATACTAACAATGGCTGTTGATATTTGGGCTTTCTACCCTCAGTGTGACTTCGCAAGAAAAAAATTGCTCATTGGTGTGAATGAAGCAGACGACAATAACATGTCGGTTTATGAGACAAATACCTACTTCACTGTCAACATCAGGTCAAAAGTATTTCTGCATTCATTCATCTGGCACTTCAGACTCACCCTGTGTGTCATCGTTGTGCTCAGTGGCTTGCACAGCCTTGCGGATCTGCATGCGAATTATGTCGATTTTGGTTTTACTGTCCTGCAGCATCTGCTGGGCCGTCTGCAGCATCTTCTTATCCTGACGGGAGCAAAGACACAATAAGAAAGCTGATAATGAATGTTAAAATTAATCAAGTAATTACGCCACAGTGCAATTCTTCTAAACTGTGTGTTGATTTACAGCAGTGGATGTTAAATTAAAGGGCCTCCATGCAGTACAATAGGAAGTGAAATAACGTGGGAGGAAGGTGAAATGGTAAGGTGAAACAGACGCTGCTTTTAAGGAGGAAGGGGGGAGTCATTATGGGAGAAGGGTTGTAGATAAGGGGGAGGATTTTGCTGTATCCCTACACATTCAGGGATTTCAACCTGAGTCAGCAGACCGCAAGGTTATGTATCATGAAGATGCATTCACATAGACAAAACACTGTTAGTTATCAAGCAGCTGGGGGAAGGAGGAAATGAGTTCCACCCCCTACAAAGTGCTCTTCACTTAACCTTGTTGATTATGTGCATGTGTAGCCGTGTTAATGTATTTTAAGGTTAGATTATTGTACATTTACACATGTGTTCTGTTAGGCTGTGCGCAGGTGCATTTCAGTGTGACTATGGATTAGATCAATGTCCCGTACCTTGGTGGATCCATTAGAGTAGATGGGGATCATGTTTTCAACTCCCTGTTTGACTTTGAGCTCGATGTTGAGCTGCCTCTCCAGGGCAGCGATGCGTTCCTTGTGAGCTGACGTACGGCTCTCTGCCCCTGGAGACTGAGGACACTCATCTGTGGAGGAAGGGAAAAAGATATGATATAAAAAGGAACAAGATGAGGGTTCACACGGTGTGCCCTAAAGTGAAAATACTCTCTGGGGGGTTTGAATGTAATGCCAAGAAAACATTGTTTTATCCTTGAAGTCCTGTGGCAGCATTCGTGGGGTTAGGATAGTGGGAACAGATCTAATGACTCCGTAACTGTCTTTCTTTTGATTTAAGGTCCACCGCATGTTGTATCAGCTGGTAACAGACAGATAATTTAAACAAGGCTCTGGCTTCTTTACATGGTGTCCCACCCAGATGGAACAGGAAAAGACAAATCATCTGGCAGTATTATTTTCATTGCCCTGTAGTCTTTGGCTCCATTTACACGAACTTGGTTTACAGAGAAGTGATTTACTGGAAAGACGGTTTACAGAAAATTTACTCATATGCTTATGTGTGGTATGTGTCTGGCTAAACAGATTCCATGATTTAAAACGTTTTATAAACGTCATGCTCTAATGAAGGCAGATTATTAATCAAATCTTCTTTTTCAAGCTGCTGACAACCTTAAACTTGAATGCAAATTGTTAAGATGTCTTGTCTAAATAAATGTACATCTTGGGCTTTTAAAGAATAATATGGTTTGGTGATGCTTATAATCTTGAAACTCTTGCTGGCAAAAGCTGGATTGGATTATTATCTTCACTTTCATGTTGATGTCTATTCATAGAAATTAATATTATCAGCTACACGGTTGCAAAATGGCAATATAACCCTTGGGACACTGAACCAAGCCATGTCTAATTGAGGACAACAGTTCTGCCCACTGATCTGAAACCTTCTTAAGTTCAGAGGAACCAAAGCAGAGGGTAGATCTGAAAATCACAAGAGCCAGTTTACACAGATACCTTTATTTTCCTCTCCTCCTTTCACCACTATGTGAGCGTCCAGTTCTTGCAGCTGAGCATGAAGGTTGTCAAGCTTCCGGTTTGAAGAACGCAACTGATTGTCCACCTGTGGGCAAAAACAATGCAGGGACATATTATTTCTGCAAAAACAGGAGGTACATTTTGACACTGACCTACTAAACCAAACCTTGGTTTATGAACTCGGGTTCAGATATGATATTTTCAATCTGAAGCTGGTGAAAACACTGGAGTTAAAACAGCTGAGGGAACCTTACTGTACCTGTTCCCGACTATAAAGCAGCAGTCTGTCAACACACAATGATACTGTCTAACTTGTTATGCCCTGCCATACGGTGACCCTATTGAGCTAGCAGTGGATAAAATCACAGAAAACAACTTCAAACTCTAACATCACGAATAGATCACTGCAACTCCTTGTTAGCAGGCTTGGACAAGTCATTCATCAACCATCTTCAGCTCATCCAAAATGCTGCTGCTCGACTCCTCTATGGCAAGAAAAAGCGCAACCACATAACCCCAATTTTAGGGACCCTTCACTGGGTCTCAGTCTGCTTTTGCATTGGTTTTAAATGGTCTTTTAAATGGTCCTCAATGGTCTTGCCCTTCTGTACCTGTCATAGCTCCTGCATCACCACTCCCCAGCCAGAGCCTTAAGAACTCTGGAACAGTTTACCTGACTATATTAGAGCCTCACAGACCCTACAGACTTTTAGATCATCCTTAAAGACCCACCTTTTCCCTTTGCCTTTAATAAATGAGCACAAATGAATCATAGGCATTGTAGCTCTTATTCTTTTACTGTCTGTATTTTATTCCACTGTTTTTAATTTTACTGTTATCTATTTATTACTTCTTTTATTTATCCTATGTACAGCATTTTGTTTGACTGCTGTCTTCTCAAAGGTGCTTTATAAATAAACTTGACTTGACTCTACCAGAGGTTGATATTCATTGATATTAACAAAACACAGCACGCAAAATCCCTGATGGAGACGCAGCAATGCTGGAGCCCCCCTTCTCCAAATGCCTCTGCTTCCTGAAGGCTGCATTTGTACTTCTAATCCCCAAGACCAAGCTAGTCTTGTTGGCTTTTAGTAGATTCACCAAACAGAACAGGGGAAAAACATACAACTGTATCACCCACACCCCTAAAACATAAATAAACAATGGTTGTAACTCAACACAGCACTCCTTACTACAGGAGTATTGACTGCAGCCACACAAAGACAGACAGGCGAGTAAATAGCAGCGACTAAATGTACCTACAAAATAGGAGGCTACCGAACTTAGACTATGATCACAGGTTACAAAATGGGGCAGCAAATTTAACACACCTCATGGAAGTGATTAACTCCCTCTTGAGATGAACCCCACAGGGCTAACGTTAAACCACAACATGACCAAATAAAAAAAAAATCACACACAATAGCATCAAAGCTTACCGTGGGAAATGAGATCTGTGACAAGGCTACTAATCCTGATAAATACACCCGTGCAGTGATCAATGAATCTATCTGGTTATGTTCAGGCCTATTGACTTTTTCATCAGTGTTGCAGTTCAGACAAGTAATTACTGTCTTGTTTATTGCTCTGCCTTTAAGCTGGAGAGAACTACCTGACTCCATTTGCTTGAAAATTTCATTCTCCTTTTAACACCTTCAGCTGCCAGAGAGAAAGTACAGACAGCGCCTTGTTGTTCTGAGCAAACTGACCAAGTACAGATGTGTTCGTGTAGCTTTGTTGTCTTTCTATTACAGAGCGAAACTGAGATTTATTTCACATATAATAAGAAAATGAGCTGATTTGATGAAATATAAGGCTACATTCACACTGCAGGTTATGATGCACAATTCAGATTTTTTGTTAAATCCGATCTTTTTGTGCGGTCGTTCACATTACAACAACAACAAATGCGGCATATAATGTGAATGGAATGCATCCATGAAGAGACCCGCATGCGCACAAAGAACAAATTGCTTTCAGCGCCTGTTTGTGTTGTCGAACAATGGTGATGTTTGTCGCATATTGATGACGTATAGGTCGGATGAACGTGACCTGAGCCCCCACACTGCAGTCACATCGGATACGTATCAGATTTATATCCACATACAAAAGAGGCCTGGGTCAGATTTGAAAAAATCTGAATTGCACTGTTCGCACTTACATGAAAAAAATCTGATATGTGTCACATATGGTTAAAAAATCGGAACTGACCTGCAGTGTGAACAACCTAAAACTCTTGGTTCCCAACATGTCCTGAATGATAAGCACTCGGTGACGTTCTTCCAGTGACCAACCTGCTGTGCGTTCCTCTTGTCAGTCGTCGCTCTGCGTAGATTCTCAGCTCCCTCCTTGATTTTTAGCTCTTTACGAATCTCTCTACGGATCCTTTCGCGCTGCTCGTCCAACAGCTGCTGCACACTGGAGTCGGAGAAATCGGAATTCTGGTCCAGACCAAGCTGCTCCAGAACCGAGAGCCCACCTGGATCACTCTGTAGGACAAAAAGGATAAAAGGAGTTAGGTGTGACGTGGCAATGAAAAAGAAAAAATCTTCATTTCGAGGTCAGCCTGGTGAGAAGAGGTGTTGAGAATGATGTCTGAAGGAGAGGAAAAGATGGTGAGCAGGATAAGGCGATAATGGGAGGAAAGAGATAAAGAGGGAGAGGCGATGGCAATTGGAGGTGGGGGAGGAGGAAAAAGGGGCAAAGTAGGGTAGAAAATGTTCAACAAGGAAAAGGACGGGAAAAATCGAAAGGAAAAGCAGTGAGGAATGATTAACCTTTTCACCTAATGTTTCAGAACAAAACTCAAATGTCGTTCAGGCTCATTGGAGGAACGTCGGGATTACAATCGTTGGAGAAAACTACTGGAAACACTGTTTTTAAGACTGGAAACCAGACCAGTATACATGGAAACTCACTAACATCAAATGAAATCCGTCTCATGACCTGTACTGTCCGCTCTCTATCTCAGCATGTCCTCATGAACTTGTGCTTCTTTACTGTGTGACAAATCTTCTAAACATCTGAACTCCAGTGAATAACAGCCAAGCACGTGTAAACAATGGGGCTCCACTCCTGCTTAAGCTTTTCACTCACTTCCTGCATCTTTTCAAAAGTCACTCCCTGTCAAAAAGCCTGACCCAGACAGAAACCTGACAGAAACACAGCAGAAGAAGAAGAAGAAGAGCGCGTAAATAGCTCAAAATCACAGTCACTATAACGCCAACAAACAAGACAACAAACGCTTCACCTCTGAGCTGTCCTCATCCTCCTCGTCACCATGCCAACACATAGTTCACTCAGGTTTGAAGACCCCAAAAAAACACACCAGAACCAGAGAAAGTCTTGGTACAGTCCCAGAGCTCTGCCACACTGCTAGTGCCACACAAAGAGGAGTAAAATGGGTTGAGGGGGTCGAAAAAACGATAAAAGGGGAGATAAAGAGAGGGAGAGTTAAGAGAGGGAGGAGGGGGAACGCCTCCCAAAGAGGATATCCGTCCCGACACCAAGCTGCTCAGGCCTTTCCTGTTTCCTTTGCGATTTTTGCTGCTGTCAGTGCAGAGAAAAGGGGGACAGAGACCAAACGGCAAGAATACATCCTCCGCCTCTTCCTCAGAGCTTTTTGTAAATCAATCTTAGATCTACAGCAGTAAGCCTCAATGATGTCATCACAATAATGTTATCAGATCTGGCTTAATATGAATTTGTGACAGTTTTTTTTCCCTCTCACTGGGACGGTGATAAAATCATGGGGGTGGAAACAGGCTGGGGAGGATGCGTTTTCGAAGTATTGGATCAAAGCCAGAGAGTAAAACTGGGACGAATTTCTGTTTCCCACTTGACCTGTTGTTTCCTTTGGGCTCTACATTTACAGTACAAACCCCTGAGGTGATTCCCCTTCCCCTACAGAAACAATATGGGATACAGTCTCATCTGAAAACATGATCACATCTTTATATACGGTACATAGCACAGGGTGGATGCACTAATGCTAACCTCTCAAACTAACTCCCTCAGAACTTGTAAATAAGGACGCTGAAGAATCCTTATTGTGAAACTGTTAAGTCATAGTAAAAAATAAACAGAAGCTCATCCTCAGTTACAGTTATCGACTCAGTTCACTTTTTAATTATCATGACCTGCTGTTTCGGTTTTCCTTCATTAAGTGAAGAGTCGCTTCAATAAGGAAACTGAAGAGACAAAAGCTAGGACACACATTAAGACAGGGATAAACCGTTGCCTTTGCTGTATGACCACAGATTACATTAAAACGTTAGGAAATCAGTGCAATTTGAAGGAAACGTACAATGAGTTTTGTTGTTAGAGAGGAATCCAGGCATTAAAATGAGGGGGAATTATGCCTCTCACAAAAAAACGCTGGTAATTTTCTAGTTTGTCTGTCCCACTCATGACTCATCCCTCTCTGCTCAGCAGCAGATCTGTGTAAGCCTGATAAGAAAAGCACTGTACTTCCTGTAATTTGAAAAGGTAGAATTAGTAGACCAGAGTTTCTTGGAATTTGGGTTGAGCGGTATCCTGGAACTTACCAGCTAAAAGTAAGCGGATACAAAAATCACAGTCACTATAAATATTAATAGCTTTACATAACTTGCTTTCTTACTATCTCTGGTGAAACATGCACCTAGGTCTGATTTTGGCATACCTGTTGCAGCTGAAAACACTACATCTGCAGTTATATGGTCAGCAAACCATTTGGCAGTAGCGTTGGCACTGTGAGCATGTGCCAAGTCCTGAAGGAAGAGGAAAACCACATTTCCGATAAGTTCTGAGTAATATCTAGAGATGCCCTGATCATCCCTGTTGATCGACCTGGTGGGGATTACGGGCTAACTGCTGATATCAGTATCTAATGTGTATCTGTTAAACACCCTTGCTTTTTGAATCTGTTGCAGAAAACAAATTCAAAGTGAGGAAATGTTTCTCACAAAATATAAAGAAAGTCCACTGTCAGCAGTTTATATGTTGTTTTTGTGCTATTCTTGACACAAAATTATGTCACTGAATTTCAAACCATTAAGTTCTGTTTTAATCAACTTTTTACACAGTGTCCCAACCTTCTTGAAACCAGGCTTGCAGTGTCAATCATATTGACTTGATCAAGTTGGGTGAGAAAACCAGAGAGGAATTATATTTGTTTTTGATGACACAATATCTTAAAATATGAGTAATCTGTATTATTAAGTATTAAGTATTCTTAATCTGGCATTTGAATTTTTCTCAGAATTGAAGCCATCATTGAGTCAAATTTGGGTTTGAAACTAAAATATACTTCCATATATCCCACCCAAGGCAACAGCTGAAGTTCCGTGTGATGTTCTCTGCGATACTGTTGCTAGGATACAGTGGAGAGATGCACACTGATACACTGAAGAAGTTTCCAGTTGTACTCGGAAGTCGGATTTTCCGGGCTCCGAGTCGGAAATTCATCTGGCACACCCCCCTGAAGTCAGATTTCTGACTTGGAAAGTCGGACGATCCTTGCCAACCTGATTTGACGACAACATCATGATCAAAGATGGCAGCGCAGTGCATCAACAGTAAAGAGTAACAGTGAAAGCTCTTGTACTGTATTGTTTATCAGCACTTCTGATGTTTTTGTGAAATTAAAAAACTGGTATATGTTGTACTGCCCAACGTCTAACTGTGAACATGGTGCTATGGTGTTTGCAAGAGTAAAATACTGTGTTATGCGTTGTTTACAACTGGTTTAGCTAACAACGGCTAACAACAGCTGACAATTGTTACAACAGCTAACAATGGTAAGCGTCCATCTTGGTTTTCCGACTTGTTTACTGATATGTCAACTAGGGTGTAACATCATTCCCAGCTCTGACATCTGACTTCCGAGGTAACTGAAACACAACAAGAGGCCATTCCACTTTATCAAAACGTGCTATTACTATTTAAATCAAACGCTCTGTATTAATAGCATATGTTTTGGTGTTGACAATAAAAAGTAGAATGCATGAGAATTGGTTGAGAAATGAGCAAGATATTATTTATTTCCTATGTACATCTAATGCCTTTAACGGGAAAGTTGCCTCCGCTAAGATGGCTGCCACATAACGCAGCTCAACTTTTGAATTCTTCTACAAATAGCAGATGAGATGAGATGAGATTCCAGACAAATGAATTTCCTTTGGGGATCAGTAAAGTTCTTTTATAGTATTGTATTGAATATCTGCCAATTTTTTCCGACATTCTCTTTAGATACAACAGTAAATGCAAGGCAACATTAAAATTATGATGGCTCTTACTGCTCCATCACAAGATTAACCACATTTTAACATGAAGTCTATCAGCGGTTACAATCACCTCCCACGCTGACTTCAAAGCTTCCTCCTGATAAAAATAAAACTCAGCCAGTGTGTCTCTGAAGTGTCTCAGTCTTCTCTGCACTGATATGACACAACTTCTTCTTGTTCACACATTACAGTCGTCCAGCCTCACTCAGCCAAGACCACAATGTTCCTCCTCCTCCTCCTGTCCCTCACAGCACAAGATGAGTTCAAATTTTGTGTGAAAAGAGGTGTACACTGATAGAATACATCCTGACACACATATGGACCCAAAGCAAAGAAAATCAGCTCCAGATGACACATCACAAACAAGTCGTGGAAAAAGAAGCTGACACGCAGACGTCTGACACCTTCTCAACGAATCAAAAGAGAGGAAACTCAAACAGCACAAGAATAAATCCTCACTCATTCATTGACCCAGTGTACCACTACAAAAGATGGCGACAGCTAACAGGCATGAATGATTCAGCCCACGCAGCTTGTTAGTGAACATGCCCAGGGATGAATATTCTGCAGCGGTGTCCAGGGAAGCAACGGCGGGCTAATTCAATGGATAACGGCGCCAAGCGGATCTAATTCAATCAGACTGTGTGAGCAGCATAGAGCGGCCTGAGGCTGGACAGAGAAGGACAAGACAGTACATGGGGTTAAAGTGCTGTTTTTAGTGTGTGTGTCTGTGTGTGTATCAGCATGCTCTCTGCTGTGAGGTCAACGCTTGGAGTATACCCCTACTGAGCGATAATGACAGAGATAATGTAGGCCTGGTTGTGTGAGTGTAAATGGCGTGGATACAAATAAAAAAGGGAGAGATTCACTCTAGATAAACGCTCTTTCCAGTGAAACGGGAGGACACGTCTCTTTGGGGGTGTGTCCAGAGAGTTCAGCCCATTTCTGACCAGAGCATGTGTTTATGTCGAGGGTGTGATCTGTGTACTCTCAGCGCTTCAGTTCACCCACATGACTAAGGACTTCAGTCTGAGTTCTTGAATGTGAGGCAAAGTGAAAATGAAATAGTAACTGGGTTTCTCTTTTTTACTACTGGATGTAGAAAATAGGCTCTGCTCAAAAGTCACTGCGGGTTATTAAGCTTGAGAAAAAAAAAGGAAGAGGAAGAAGGAAAAGGAAATTAAGGGTGCATTACAGTCAGAGATGACGAAAGTTAAATTATTCTGTTGATTTCCTCTAAACAGGTCAAGACTTTGTTTAAAGGACCTCTGCTTCTCCCTTACTGCTCCTGGAGGAGACTTTTGGTTTGTGTTGATTTTGGTGCCCTCTGTTGACAAAGAAGCACTCCTTGTGTTTTCTAATTTGTCCTGCATGCCAAGGTGGTGTTTCACAGGAAATACATCTCATTCTCTTCTGCTTTCACTTTCAAATTTCGTACTCTTGATGGTGATGGTGGTTTCAGATGACAGATTTTACTATTTTTGGAGGAAACTGACTATACTCTTCATAACATATTAGACCCTGAGATAGAAATATAAAGGTTAATTCAACGCCTTTGGAGCTTTTGCAGGATATACAGTTCTTTGTTTGTGGAGTGTCCTCATCTATACATCTCATTTGGGACCAAATGAGAAAAAAATCATGAAATACAATCATAAAATAGGGACTTGGTCTCAGAAATAGGGTTCCTGAAGGGGTTTTGAAGTCAAAATAGTGGTTGGAGATGATGATGATAACCTTTTGGTTAATCTGAAGACGACAGAGCCCAAGAGGTGACATGAACTTCTATTTTTTTTTTAATTCCCACAAGCGATTTAACTGTTGGAAATAAACAAAATCACTTCCTGTGAGTCAGAATATCAGCGAAGTCGCTGCGTTTACAGAATCCCGATGAGGTGTCTCCTACTCAAAACAATACCTAATTTGGCTGAGCTATTAAGTATCTCTTTGTGAGTCATACCTAAATGACGGAAAATGTTGATAATATGATCTCTGTCCATGGCACTGTCCTTCTTCTCTCACAAATGTGGCGCGTGGAAGATTATTTACAGAAACGCATGCTTAAGATACAAATAAAACGCACATACAAGATACGTATAAAAAGTGCATTCGGTATACTTAACTGCATGTGTGATATAGTAAAACGCAAGTGTGAGATGGCTCTGTACGAGACACTCAAAAAAGTGGAATTATCCTGCATTCGAGTTACCTCTGAAGTCAGATGTACAAGCTGGGAATAACGTCACATCCGAGTTACCAGCGTTTCGGTTACCAAGTCGACAGAAAGCAAAATCTGAGGCAGAAACAAGATGGCTTTGTCTACAAAAGTTATTTTAGCACTTGCCTTGTCCAAACATAAGCAAGGACAAGGCAAGCGCTGAAATAACTTGTAGATGATCGACTTTTTTCCGACTTGGTAACTGAAACGCTGGGACGTCATTTTCAGCTCCATCTGACTTCCAAGGTAACTCGAACGCAGCATGAGGTTTTTGGCCTTCCAGCTAATGACTACGTCACTCCTGCCCCTCACTCAGCTGAGCTACTTCCCCCAACTCTTACTCTAAACATTTTGAAAACAGATGAGTTATGAAGAGAAAAAACCTCTTCTGTAAAACATGTACAAATAAAAAAGTAGTTATTCAACTTTTTTGATTCATGCATTCTCTACCTTTGCCACATTGCATTTTGCAACTTGTTAGCTGTTCAGTTAATATGCTGCGTCTGTTATGATAGTAGTAGAGACTAACTGAGCCTTAAGCTCTCTTAGAGTAAATTCAACATCCAGTGAACACAATCTGACGAGTCACATCGATAGAGCTCTCATTTAAATGCAACCTCAGACAGATTTTGTACCGACAAATAACTCAATAATTGGCCTTATATATGCTTTATAAAAAAATACCAGTGTGTCTCAGAGTACTGAAGGTTTTTTTTCTTATAAACACACTCACGTGGGTACAGTATGACATAAGCACGAGGCTCAGAAGGGATTCTGTAATGCATTTACTGTTTCTTGCACGGTACTTCCTGTAGATGTCTTTTCACTGTCACATGGGCCACTTTGTATTATTCTGCTGAAAAGATGAAGCCGCAGAGAAAAACCATTTCTGATTTAATGTCAAACTGACTGACTGCACGGCAGAGAGGCAGAAACAGGGAGCGTGCGGGGGCATGAGTGTGTGTAACGCAAGGGAAATGAGTGGACAAGAGGGGAAAAAGGAATAAAAACAAAACATTTCATGTGTCCTCAAAAAACTGGTTGGTCTAACGCAGGATTTTATGTGTTTGGGACATGAAAAGTAACAATGCAAAAACCCCTCCAAGGTAAAAGAAGCCAATACAAACAGAAAATCGTCTATGAACAGACCATCAGCAAACAAGACTGGAAACACACACACACAAACAAACACACACACACAGACGAAAGCAAAAGCCAGTTTGTCCAGTCACGCTTCTGAAAAAGACGGAGAGAGAAGTGGTTAGAGAGGGCCTGAAAGAGAGGAAGAGAGACAGAGAGAGAGAGGGCAAACAAAGAGAGAGCACTATGGGGACAGGAAGAGAGGGAGGAGAAAGACGGATAAGGCACAGCTGAGAGGGTCACGGGGTTGAAGCAGACCGAACAGACAAATAAGCAAAGGCAGAAAGATGAAGACAGAAAAGAGGGGCAATGATTCAGCAACCACATATGACAACTCAAGAGTCTTCAGAGAGGCTTCAGACATCAGCGGCTGCTAACTGAAACGCCACTTTTCTATGTCATTGACAAAAACGTTACGCTGTCTTTCTAATACATTTCAAAACAGCACCAGAAACAAGACGCTTACCACAAACTGATGGGATTTTGTTTTTATAAAAGCAACACCAGTTTGAGGTAATCGGGCTACAACGAACTCAATGATTTTCTGTATTGATATTTGATTTTTCAAACAACGGAGATATTGGCTCCAGGAAATAGAACAAGACAATGTGAGAGAAGTCCTGTCCCTAATAGCTGAATCTATGACTGGGTGGCTGGAAACCCCCTGCTCCAAAAACCCTGATGTAGCCTCTCTATCATTCACTTATAGACATTTCCTCTTGACTAACCCGCCGACAGTTTTTACTTCAAAACTCTTCTTGTTGTGGCCTCTTCCTCTGCCATCCTCTTTCACATTTAGAACAGAAGTGAAATAATTTTGTCCGGCTCAAACATAGACTCTCTTTTTCCTCCACGATCAATATTTTTCACTCAGAACAGACTTAATAGACATAACCCTTTAATGCCTTTTGTATCATATTTGATTAAAACTTTTATATAATACTATCAAATCAATTTGATCAACAAATTACTAAAAAAACACCTGAATACAGTCCGATAACAAAAATGTCCTTTTGTAGTTTATCAGTCTCCAAAAACATCTAATGTATCAAACAAGATAAATAAATATTTGTTAAATTTTGAGGACATTGATTTTTTGGTTTTCAGTAGTAAGTGAAATAAACGTTTCAGCTCCAAAAAAAAAAATTTTCTGGCCATAATTTGTGGTTTCAGGCATTTAAGGGCTAAGTGATCCTCTCTTAAGCAATGAAAAGGATTCATATTAGCAAATTATCCAAGTGTCTGCCGGGACAATAGTGATTATAATACAGCCTCAACTTCAGCCGATGGAAAGTCGGGTAGCAAGAAAATGTTCCATGAGAAAGAGCAAAAAAGATGAGTGTATGATTGAGAGACCTGTTGGACGGAGAGATTATTAAATAACAAACATCCGAGGTTGGAATGTAAACTCAGCCTGTCCACGGTGAAGCAGCTCCACATCAATAACCTGTGAAGTTTCCTTGGACGGAGATGAAAGGATGCTGAGGAGAGGAACAAACATCTCCTCTATTCTCCTCAGAATAAACACAGAGAGACTCAGACCAGCAGGGGGATGTCCCTCAGCTCAACAGGCCATCTGTCACTCACTGTCTGCCCTATAGAAGTGCTTAGTGGGCAGACCAAACATCTGTCAATCACAGCCCAATCCCTGTTCTGCCGAGTCAGTGAGGATGCCTGACAGCTATTTATCACCCTGTATCAAGGACACAGGTGAAAAGGGAAACCATCTGTGGGGGAAAACTAAAACAGAGTTCAGACAGAGACGCTTCGAGGCCCTTCCACTAACAATATGAAATAAGTCCAGGTGGGAATGTAAACAGACACTGACCAAGAGTGAAACATTTGACTTCTGAGATCAAAACATTTGAAGATCTATTTCTTCAGGGAGGTTATAGTGAGCTGAGTGTAAGCTTTTTCCAGAAACTGCCAACACTGGGTCTTTACCGACACTTTAAGTCCCACTTAAAGTGTTATAAGTGGGCTTTAAGTTGTGATTATGAAGTTTTTGCCAAAATCACATTACCTGTGTCACTGTCAAATCGTCACTGTTTCACACTGATTATTTTCAAGGTGATACAACACGCTTACGTCACCGCGGTAGAAGGAGGAGGAAGCGCGGTTTTGGTCTTTGGGAGCGAAAATAATGAATGATGAGAGGGGCTTTTCTTCTGCAGAGCTCCAGTAGATCATTACCAATTCGCCTCTGAGTCGTGGGCGGAGACAGCGCTGCTCTGCACACTCCTCGTTAAGCTAGCTTGCAGCCTAACATTGCCGGTGTAGTAGAAGTAGCGGATAACATAGAAGCTATTCAGCTCTCAGACACTAATGTCTTTAGGGACATGATGAAAGTTAATATCATGATAAGCTTTCTTACGAGCATTGCAATCCGCTAATGCACACGCTTGTTCCGCGATCGTCCTCTCTATTTCCTTGAGTGTGGCCTGTATAGGGGGGCTCCGGGGGCGGAGCTTGGATTTGTGACATAGGAAATCTCACTGAATCTGAGCCTGCCATTAGGGTCTGCCAGAGATTCACAGCAACGTAAATGCAGAAATACTCAGAAATGTTATTTTGCACTTACTTTTCTCATGATATGTCCTGTAGCATCAGAAAAATGCCATATGAACATGTAAAATCAAGAAAAACATGATTTCATCGGAGTGGGTCTTTAAGTTGGGACCTCAAAGAAGGTTACTATGGGTCACTTTTCCAGCAGGCCAAACGTGTGCACAAGAGAAAGAGAAAAAAAGTAATGTAAAAATTCTTTCCTGTTCCTTTATTCGAAGGTGAAATGTTTTGTACAATGCACTGGCAGAGGTAGGACAGTATAACATTCACACTGCAAAACTGGTGGTGCTTGAGCGTCTTATCGCTGGTTGTCACCAAGCATTAAACTTTCAGAAATCTGGGTCAGAGGTGGTGCTGGTGGGTCCTGGAGCTACTTGAGAACTGCTGTGTAAGATGAACAAAGAACAGATCAGCTCGAAGAAATAGAAAACGAAGAGCTGCCATTAGTTTCAATACAAATTTAATACATTGTTTTACTTCAACTTCAACAGCTGTTGCACTGTAAGTTGTTAAAACTGGGAGAGGTGTAAGTAGAAAGGTCAAATCTATGCGGTTATTTCATAGATCAGTGAATAAACCTCACTTAAGAGTTTTGAAATGAATTCTGTCGTTTCAATGCATCAAATGTGGCCAAAATCTGTTGAACAATCACAGACAAAACAATGTATTCATGGGAAGACCAATCATCATCATTACTGTGTTAAAACTGGTCTTAAAATTGACCATCTCTCTGCAACTCAGTAATTGTGTCACATCACAGGCTAACTGCAGGTTGGCTGTTATGTGCAGCTAAATCGTGATAATTCTCACTTTTCAGGCCAATTATTATGAGCAAGCCTTTCCTCTGTGTTGCTGTGAACTCGCAGAAGAACAAGAGGAAGCAGCAATAAAATAAGACACAGAGTTTACAAACTCACATTTACTTTTTTACTACTTTAAAATCTCAGTTGTACATCAAACGTGTCTACTATCAACCTCACAATGTGGCAGAGAGGACAGGTACAAAGACAACACGCAGGCCTTTGATGCTTCTTTCTTTTAAAACCATGTAAAAAACAGAAGTGTATTTATATCATGTTCAGATCAGGAACTGAAACCACCACAGCATTTCTAGCTACATAACAGCTGCTGCTTTTTGCTGATACACTCTTGCAGGCTGCAGGAATAACAAACAGCTGAGTTTATAGCATGATGCTAAAATAACGCACCGTTGCCAGTGACTGAAAAGCACCAAAAGTCGCATGATGATCCCTCTCTGTGGAGATGTACTTTCTTCTATGGTTAGTCATCATTCCCTGAATTTGTCATTGAACTACATGAGTGTATAAATGCTATCCAAGTAGAGAATTATGGGTAATTGCTCTGACAGGATTGGGGTATCTGCCTAGATAGGCTTCAGGAAAGACGGTCCTGCAAAGCTGCATGAGCGCTGATACTGCTATGTCTTAATGCTGTGAGAGTGTGTGGGTTGGTGTGAGTTACTGTGTGTGTGTTAAGTGTGTGTGTGTGAACTCTGAAGGAAAGCGATAGAAATGGGTCTGCACGGCTGATTTGCTGTGAAGCTCGGCTCTGATGTCAGGTTGGGTTTGTCTCTTCTAATGAGGAGCATGAAACAGAAGGAGACAAGAGCTGTTCCTGGATCTGCTCTCTATGAGGGGAAACACACATTCACCTGAAGCTGAAACAAAGTCTTTCTGTCTGTTTATCTGCACAAGAAAGGAAATGTATCCAAGAAACTCTGTGTGTGTGTGTCTGTGTGTGCGTGTGCATGTATGTATTTGGCTTAGTCATATAAAGAAAACATCTGGAGGCATTCCTGAGCAGCCTGACTGGTGACAACAGCCAACCTGGCAGGGAAGACGTGGAAAGAGAGGGAGGGAGGGATGGCGGGGAAGGTAAACACTGAGCAGGCAGCCGCAGATGAAAAGAGGCACAAAAGTGATAAACTGACTGGACTATGACTTTTTCCACCACACTCCCCCCACACACTAGATCTCCACCTTATCAATCTGCACTGTTTTATATCATGTTAAACACCAGGCAGATGATAGCGAGTCTATTTAAAGCAGCAGTGCTCAAACTCATATCCGTCATGTTTTAACGACAAGGCTGCGGTTTGGTAAGGCTCTACTTAGACGCAACCGTTACTTTGAGCTAAATACTAATGCTAACATGCTTTAGTTAAAGGGATATTCTGGCATAAAATTAATTTAGGGTCAAACACACCGTAACCCGGAGTTAGACACCCCCTCGAGAGATGAATGTTGCTGACTGTTTGCTTCTCTAGTTATACCAACTTTAGTAATGACCGCACGATAGCAAAACACAGCGGTCTGAAGAGCCACGAACAAACCTCAACCAAAATGCCACTCTATAGCCACAAATAATGCTCAGAACAGCACCTAACTTCATCAACAGGACATATAGGGTCCAAGCCATAGTACTAGCCACCAAACATCTCTTAGCTTTGCCTAATTTCTTTAGCAAAGAGACTAAACACAACTCACCTACTCTCTAAAATTATACAATCGTAAGAGACATAGACCTTTTAAATAACAGGCTCTAGCTGCTAGCTGTCTAGAAGTTTCCACTTTAGCTCATTCAGTCTCTCAACATAAAATCTCAGCTGATTGCGGTGTTAGTACTCTAATTTAAAGGATTTTAAATCATGGACTCAAGGCGTGTTATGTGGTTAATTGTGCCACTAGGCTATCTAAGAAGTCATTTTTTACATCAAGTCCCACAATGTACTCTATAAACCACAAAGACAATGAGGTAATTAATGGTTAGCTTATGTGTCATAAACACCAACAAATCAACAGCTGGTGAAATATCCACTATCAGACATTTCTGCCGTAAAATCTCAAGGCAAGCTTTTACAACTGTAGTGAAATCAAAGAAAAAACTACACTATAATCAGCTTTTCTACTACAAAATGATCGCCCTAAGACACTACTACACATGACTCAATTCCTTTACACTGAACTCTCTGTGCTCTCCCCCCTGACAATACTCAAACTGCTTTTGGGGGGACCGAAAATGTTGCCATTTAGCTTCACAGCAGCTCAGTTCCCTTGCTGGCACTTGTCCTTTTTCATCTCTCTCTCTCTCTGCAAGCAGAGGGAAGGATGAGACTACAGGGAGGAGGAGGAGAGGAGAGGAGAGGAGAGGAGAGGAGAGGAGAGGAGAGACAGACAACACCCTTCCTCAAGAGACAGACAGACAGGCTAAGAAAGCCTTGAAGCAGAGAGAGACAGACTGGAGGAGGTTCACAGTCTGAAAGAGAGAGCGAGAGAGAGACTGCAGGGAGGGAAGAGAGATCATGGTCAGCCAAAAAGATGATAAAGAAGCAGGTGGAGAAAAAAAGAGAGGCTGGTCGACCCACAGTGCCAGAGGCGAGTGATGGATAAAAGAGCATGTGAGAGCATGCTGGGAGGCCAGACTCTCTGCCAAACGCAGACATCAGACACATGAGGAAGGAGGAGGATGAGGGAGAAAGAGGGAGTCTGTGTTCATGGGAGGAGAGGAGTTCATTGAGAGCAGATTTGGAAGACTGCCATATATCAACACATCCAACATGGACTATACTGGGCTGCACTGTAAATCAACTTCCTCAGTATTTCCCCCTTCTTGCATCTCAATACTTTCTTAACAATTTGTGATTCATTATCTTTTAAGTATCTTTCAATTCATTAGAAAAAAAAAAAACAACAGCGTTGTCTTCTACAAACCGTCTGGCTCTACGCCTGCAGACATCCAACAGCCCATGAGACAAAAGAAGGCGAGTCAAACTGTATGTGTGTTGGAGAGCAGTGAGTGTGATATCCAGGGAGAGGGAGGGAGGCCCTCAAGTAACAGTTCAGCAGCAGGGTGTGTGCTTCTTTTTCCAGTTTTTTTACACATCTAATTCTCCACATGGAAAAACAGAAATATACTTCAAAGTAACAAGAGAGTCAAACTACCTTTCTGTACATCTAACATGTTAATGGTTTCAATAATTTGCATGGATATTTCTCTTTCCAACGAGTAATCTAACGACTTAAATGGTTCAAACATGTTTGAGGAGCGTGGGAGCGAACATGACAGTGTGTGTGTGTGTGTGTGTGTGAGAAGTTGTAGTGCTGCTGGTGAAGCAGGGGTTTTAGCTGTAGGGATTAACCCTCTAAGCTGTCTGAAGGCCTGACACACAGAGTCTAACACCATCTCCAAACAAAACACAGAGTGCGCCAAGAGGCTTGGAGCGAAATCATGTGACAAAAAAAGTGTCCAGAAAAACATGTATGAAACATGTCTGTTTTCACCTGATGGGCTATTAGGTACTGTACTGTAATACATAGTGATCACAATTAGGGCTGCAACTAACAACTATGGTAATAGTTGACTTGTCACCGACGACTGAAACGCTTAGTTGATTTATTGGATAATTACGTGCCATCTCCTCAAATGTTGGTGCATCACCAACGTGCTGCCATGATATGCAAGCTCTGCTTTGCAAACCTTGTAAGTAGTTTTGTTTTCACCTTACCTGGGCTAAAGAGCTGCCAAACTTTGCAGGTTTTTAAACACCTACTTGCAGCTTCTGTAAGGGATGCCGGCGCCGCCATGTTTGAATACCCTATGCTGCATTCCAGTTACCTCAGAAGTCTGATTTCAGAGCTGGGAATGACGTTACACATGAGTTGACGGCGTTCCAGTTAACAAGTTGGAAAACCAAGATGGACGTCCACAGTTAGCCGTTGTTTACAACTGTCAGCTGTACTTGGCCGTTGTTAGCCGTTGTCAGCAATTGTTAGCGATACCAGTTACCATACCATACCACTGTGTTCACAGTTAGACGTTGGGAAGTACAACATATACCACTTATTTAATTTCACAAAAACAAAACTGAAGTGCTAATAAATAATATATTACGAGAGCTTTCACTGTTAGTCTTTATTGTCAATGCACTGCGCTACCATCTTAAGTTATAACATTGTCGTTAAGTCAGGGTTGGTGAGGATTGTCTGACTTTCTGAGTAAGAAATCTGGCCTCAGGGGGGCGTTCCAGATGATTTTTCGACTTCTCAGATATCACAAATCCCAATTTCCGAATACAACTGGAACACAGTACTACTGCTCAGTGGAGACGCTATTGCGCATGTGTGACTTTAGGCAGAGATCGTAATTAGGTAAGATGCCTCACTCCACTTGAAAAAAAACGTCGGGCAACAATAGTCGCAATGGAATTCATTGTCAACTTTTTTTATGATCAGTTTTTGTCAACAAGTCCACAATTGTAATTTTATATTGATTATAGCAATGACTACAGAGTTAAATAATCTGTCGCAAAGAGAAAAAGAGTTTTAATTTCCTCATAAATCTTTGTGTGTGTGTGTGTGTGTGTGTGTGTGTGTGTGTTGATTGTTACTTTATGACCCAAAGTTAATGGCTAGCAAGTCACGCCTCTGACTTACTGTGTGTGTGTGTGTGTGTAAAAACAACACAAAACTGCATTGTGGGGCATGTGTGTGCATGTGGATAGAAAACAGAAACTAGCAGCAGTACATCACATTGATGTTTTGAGAGCACCCATGGGAGACGTAGGCTGTGTGTGGCAGCCGTGCGTGTTGAATCTAACAGAGAAGGCCGAAGCGTGGAGAAGCATATTAATGTGCAGAAAGAGAGCCTTTAACACTTGTGAGTCTGTGTGTGTGTCACTGTGTTAACGGTTATGACAGTTGGCTTCAGGTGTGGCGGCGGCAGTGAGAGACCAGTGCTGCAGGTGTGTGTGTATGTGTGTGTGTGTGTGTTGGAAGGACCTGCAGAGACACGTTGAGCTCACTGACATGTGTCATAGTTTGACAGGCATTACTAAATCAGGACTACAAATTGCTATTACATATTTAAGTTGTTGTCTTTGGCACAATACTAACAAAAAAAACGCCTAAAGCTCATGTATGAAGATTTGTAAAACAACAACAAATAAAAAAGATCTGTAGGCTAAAAAAACCTCATTACAACTGAGTATTCAGGCCACATGGAGAAAAAAAAAAGTAAGACTTTGAGAAAGTTAAGACTTCAAGATTCAAGTCATTAATTTACAAGAATAAGGTAATTACTTACAAAAATAAAGTCGTAGTAAAATCATTACTTATGAGAATAAATTCGTAATAAAGTAAATACTGACGAGAATAAAGTTGTAATCAACTACTACTACTACAATACTTATGATAGTGTTGTGCTGATGTGCCAAAAGATTAAGTATCTCCTTGCTTGAGAAACCTTTATTGAAGTACATTTTCACAAAACTCCATGGCTCTCATTTCAACGACTGTCATCTTAAACAACAGGTTAGAATATAAGGACTTTATTCTGACAATAATCTCGTAAGTGATTGCTTTGACTTTATAAGTGACTTTATTCTTGTAATTACTTTACTATGACTTAATTCTCAAAAGTAATTACTTTATTACGACTGTATTCTAGTAAGTAATGATTTTATTACAACTATATTCTCATAAGTAATGACTTAATTTCGACTTTATTCTCATTAGTAAAGACTTTATTCTCGTAAATTAATGACTTTAATCTCCAAGTCTTACATTTTTCTCCTTAATGTGGCCCTAATACTCCGTCGTACCTTATCAATTAATCAATATGTACATTTTTCTATTTGTCCCTCATTTTATAAAAAGTAACCCTTTCAATCACAGGAAACATTCAGTTACCTTAATACAACATCTGTCATCTGGATTATGCAAAAGCAGCAACAAACAAGCAGCTGTTTTTAATTTCACACAAACCTGTTACTAAGATTTGGGACAGTCTGTCCTGGTGTTTAATTTAGCTGAAAGCATTCAGATTGACACAGATGACACGACACGGAGTTTGGTTTACATGCAGATAGAGTCACACATCAGCAGTCAGGGTTAAATTCCCTGTAAAATGGATGTGTTGGCTGATATGTGAAGTGGGATCTATTGAAATGAATTGAAAGTAGATGAGGTTTGGGTCTATATTTGGGTTGGTCTGATCAGGTTATATAAAGTGTTTTGTGATAATGGAAAGGTTTGAGCCTGACTGAGTGACTTCAGCTTAATGCATTGCAGCAGTTTAATCATGTGGGAAGAGAAAAACGCATTTCAATCTCATCTGAAATTGCATAGCTGAATATAATTTTACAGCCGACACTTAGTTAATTGTCCTCTGCGAGTCTTTTTCTCATTAAAACCTCCAAAAAAGTACCGTATGTAACTGGAGATCTAGAATAACTCAACACGCAGAAGTTTCTGAAATTGAAGAATTATATCAGATTTTCATGTGAGCAGAAGAGAGAGAAAAAAAAATCTTGGAGTTGAAAAAGGGTGAACTCATCCTGTTGCCAGCTGTTTCTATGACAGCACAGCCTCCAGGTAACAGACCAGGAAGCACCTGTCTCCTCCTTCTCCTCAGCTGTCTTATTTGTTCAACTCTCGCTCTGCGCTCAGGCTTGTAGACATTTAAAAAGAGCAGGAGCTAAACGCAGGCAGAGCCGGATGTCATTCTGACTAAGCATTTAAACGCATCTGAAGTGAAGTGTGCTGTGCGAGGCTGCAGAGACGACACATCACAGTACGAGGCACGAGGCACTAAATGAGGTTGTTCGCTGAAAATCTATAAGAGTAATTCAACTCGATCTATTCTCATTCTATTTTTCTACTTACCCTGAAAACTAGAAGAGTACGCACACACAGAAAATTATAGTATAATATGGTAAAAATGTGTACTTTCCAAAGAAGCATCATGGTTATTGCACCACCTTCACCTGGAGAGATCTTCAAACTAAACTATTAATCAACCTTAACTACGACACTATCCGACTCACAATAGGAGTGCTTTTAAACCGTGTTTAATGCACAAACTGATACCATCATGTTCCCATGGTCCTGGCTGCCTTTTTACCCGAGTTTTGAGTGTGTTATCACTATCAACAGTTGCACAATAGAGCCTTCTCATACACTGAAAGGCTGTGTGCAGCAGCAGCAGCAGCAGCAGCAGAGTCTCGACACAGGGTAGCAGGAGTCAGATTTCCCCGATCACGTGACAGGAGGCAGGAGAACTGACCCCACAGCCATGTAAACAGACAGCTGACTTACAAGACCAAGATGAAGATTTTAATGACTTTACTTGGATCCAGGCTGATGGTAGACGGACAAAACCTCCTCCAACAGAGAAGCAGGAAAAGCTTCAGTCAGCTCTTCTCTATTTTGTGGGTAGATTCTCTTTTTCTGATCATGTCCCCTACATTACCCACAATACAACTTAACCTTCAGCAGAGTACAGAGAGAATATACAGGAGCTGATGTAGCCTCAAGGTGCAAGACTCCAGAGAAACAGGTCTCTCTAACTACACACTCTTATTTTACATTTTACACTTGTAGTCTTCATGCTTAAACATACTGTATGCTAACCCGTGACAACCCTTAAAGGGATGTTTATCGGATTTCTTGCAGCTTCACAACCATAAACAAAAAGCTTTATGTAACCAGTAGTACCATAGACTGCTGAACCAAACATGGATGTCGCCTCAGTGACCTCACCCACTGGTTTCTGCAGAAACTTTTCAAAGCCCAACTGGTTGTTGCCAAATTCAACTCAAATGGACTTTCCATCAATCTAAAAACAGGCAAGGAGTAGAGTTGGGAATCACTAGTCAGCCCACGATACGATATTATCACGATAATTGGGCCACGATACGATATTATTGCGACTTTAAACATTTTGCAATACAGTGAATATTGTGATACAATATATTGAGATTTATATAACTTTTTCAGCTGTTTAGCTAATTTAGAATTTGTCTTTCCTTAATGTTTGTCTTATTTACACTGTATTTTATATTCATGTAGCACATTTTGCAAACCTTATATATATTTGTTCTACTAACTTTCTCCTGCTCTATGATGTCTCCTCTGCCAACCTCACTGGACAAACAGTTGATTTCAGTTTTCCATTGTCATAGATTTGACTTCGTATTAGCAATTAATGTAAAAAATAAATACTTGGTATATGAGACGATATGATACATCACCAGACAAAATATCGTAATACTATGCTGTATTGATTTTTTCTCCCACCCCTAGCAAGAAGGTGAATTTAGCCAGACACTGTCAGTAAATTCAACCATTAAACTACATATATTTATAACATTATAAAAAAAATGTTCACCTCTGTTAAATAAGCTGATTAGTCCAACACAGCTGTTTTATTATTTTCAGTGTAAAAATGAGCATTTTTGTCACAGGGTGAAGTTTCTTGCACTTCCACATTGCTTTAATTTTTCAACACTAGAGGCTATTGCTTAAAAAGTACTCGTAAGACCTGTTCCTGACTCTGCCATGAAGTGAGGTTTTTCTTTCTAAAGTCTCCACAGATTTCCAAAGAACTGCTCTTGTGTGTCTTCTTCTACCAGACAGTCTGACTGGCTGATATGTGAGAGTGATTTGCAGCATTATTCAGCAGCCACGGACGAGTGTCCCTACTCTCTAATTACAATTTTAAATAATGTTGTACTCAAACGACACTGATATTTGAGTACCATCAACACGAGTGTGTTCTTTCCTGAAACATCGCAGTTTATATCTCACCAATCCCTTACTTTTGTTCTACTTTGTCTAAGAAGCTGCACAGATCCTGTGTGCTAAAAGTGCAATATTAACTGCACAAACTAGAGAATTAAGTTCAGACATTTGGGAATGTTTAATTCAAAGTGATTTCAGAGCAGCTCCACCCAACTACCTAACCATCCAACCATCCAGAGGGTTCAGCCTGAGCAGTCGGCAGACCTCCCAGTGCACCGAATGTTATCAGTGCAACTCGAGCTCCAACCATTCTAATGAAAGGGATTGTTTGTGGGGAGACTTTAATAACTCCTGACAGCTATTTATATCTTTTGAAGTCACACCCTCTGTGTATGCCGCATGAAAACACACCGACAAAAGCCACATAAATCACCTTTGACAAAGACTGTCTGTGCAGCTGTGCGAGATTTTATCAAAATCATGGGAGCAATTATTTGACTATAACTACTCAGAAAATACTGATATGAAATATTTTTGTCATTGGTCAACTATTTAGCTAACACGTCTATGCGAATTGAATGTTCTCTGCCAAAACAAAGACTTCCACCAGATAGACAAAAAATGTTAAAAGTAAGTCAACCATGTTCAGTCTGCACGAGTATTTCTGGCTGAAACAAAGTTACTAAAAGGCTAAAAGTCTTTCCTTCTAATTATCCCCAGTGGAGGGCGGCTACTGAGGGCCAACCATTCCCAGACAGGAAAAAAAGAAGGAGGGCTGCAGAGGGAGGAGGAGGAGAGCAGCTGGTGCAAATAGAGAGACAGCAGGAGAGGGGAGAAGAGAAAGTAAGAGAAGAGATGACAACAGAGGGGCAATATGGCAGATCGCTTTACATTCATGACTGTTACTGATCCAGAACCGTTTAGTTAGACTGCACTGAACACAGAACTGGAGCCTCAGAAACAGCAGTGGGAGAAAAAGTAGCTCAGTGAAACAGTCATGACATCTTTACTGCTGACCTGCTAAAGTACTACAAGTGTTGCAAGTGTTGGTGTAATTATTCTGCAGCGACAGACTCAGACCAGGACTGCTGAGCAACACTTGAATAAGGCCTTTTTTTTTTCCTACTACCGGGCTGAAAAGAAGAAATTGCCCAGTTGCCCTTGGTAACTGCATTCAGATGACTGTAACTACTTCCTTGGTGGTTGCCCCACTAAAAACCACTTTTCACGCTAAAAACAGCCTCTTACATAGAGGGCAGAGAAGCTGGTGGATTGGAGCAAAAGCAACACGAGCTTCTTGCAGACTTATTAGTATGCACACCAGTGACCATATTTATACCAGATTAAAGGTGTCTAAACTTAGAGTCTACAGATGAACAATGTCAAATTAGTAGGGCTGTAACCAACTAAAGAAGTTGTTGGTCGACTAAAGCCACGAAATTTTCGACCAAAAATTGACAAATCCACTTAAGTCAGCACAAGAAGCAATTAAACACAAATATCATATTCAGCAAAAAACCTGACATTGATTAACATGGACGCTCTTCAATCTTCCTGTCTCCAGCCGGCAAAATTTTTTTTTGTAGGATGTAGGGGAAGGTCCCTCCCTCCTTTGCCTCTGATTGGCTAGAAGTGCTGGGCTTCGATTGTTTTTTTTCCAATGGCTGTGAAACGTAATGTCCGTTGGGTTAGGGTTAGGATTAGGGTAAAATGATTCAGAAGTGCGATAATGTTCTGTAATGTTCTGTTCGATGTAAAGAGCTGGCGAATCCAAAATGGTGAAAACAAGGGGGGTGTTCTGAGACAGGCTGCTACCTGTGAAACAGGGTGGCTCTGAAAACACCCCCATTAGCATTTGGTACATTCCTCCTGATGAAATTAACCAGAGACCGTAAATTGACATGGAAAAAAATCGAGTCAACCAATCAGAATTCTGGTTGACTCAGCAAGTATTGACCCTGAAGTCGACCAGTCGGCTACAATCTTACAGCCCTACAAATTAGTTTGCTGATGGTAGCTCAAGTTCTAGGGCCTTTGCACCACCTCGCAGGTTAGCCTTCACATAACTGTGTAGGTTACGTCTCGCTCTGGTTGCTTATACGCCTCTTTAACCAGACACAACCTACAGACAACTTTATCTCCCTTTTCCAAATCAAAATACTGTCAAACCAAGATGACATCAAACATGATGGCAGCATTAACTCCAGAAAAAGCTTCTTCTGCTGTGAGTATATTCATTCAGTCACCAAACTTTTTGAAACCGTTAAACCACCACATCCTACTCAAGCCACAGGAAAAGGCAAAGCAAGAAAAGCTTCTGAAGGCCACCACATGCGCCGGGAAACCCCACCCTTCTGTCGTTTTTACGGAGTCATTGAAGACTGTACATGGACATTTCTCACGCCAGACTTTCCCTGCATGACATATGTTGATGGGAACTCATGCTAAGTCTGTCTGGTCCACTAGAGGCTTCCTGCAAGGTTAAGTACTTGTGGGAATGATGGGTTAGGGTATGTGACGGAGTACATTTGATGCCAATCCTTATACCAAAAAGGAAATTCCCAACCAAGCTGACTAACTGTTGGCCTCTGAGGTGCCTTTCCTGTTTGCTTGGCTGGTAAAGTAATAAAAATATCCTTGACAGGATCTGATCAAATCATTTTGTCGGGTAAACCTTGGAAGTGAAATCACTGTGATCACCCTGACAGCCCTAATGGAGCTAACACAACAGCACTCCTCCTTTCTCACTGCAGCGTGCGCTTCGGGAACCATGCCTAGTTTATCCCATTAAGTTGGACGATATTGCTTTGTTCATGAACTGTTTACCAGCCGCCCCCCTGCTATGCGTGAAATCACCATGCATGAATCACCGTGTGCATGGATGAGAAAGGATGAGAACACCGGATGCTCACAGGGTGGCAAGACAGGCAGAGGGTGGAACACTACGTTTGTTTGTAAACATGAAAATAAAATATTAGACCCTCCAGGAATCCGCGATTCTGGAAATTATCGCAGATTTCAAAGTCCTCCGTGGAAATTAAAGTTGTCCGCGGAATACACGGCGAGGTCCAGAATATTATATCTTACATGTCGTTTTCATCCTGGCCGCTCGATGACACGGTCAGATAGACGGGAACGGGAACTCACAGCCAGATGCGGAAAGGTTTGGCGTCGCCTGGTTGCTTGTGCGATCTGGTACGTGTGTGTTTGAGGAGGATCCCAGATGGAAAGGCGGACTGTAGAGCGGATGGCACATTTTTAATGGAGTAAAAAAAACTTATCTGACTGTTGCTCTATTTTGTGACAGTATAATATGCACTATATTATTCCTGAAGTTGCTGCAAATAAATCCGCCCAAGGGGGACAAAGAGAATATTGACGTTTATTGATTATTTATAAGAGCGTTTCTTAGTGTTTTGGCTTTGCAATTCATTTCAAAAGATTCAGAACTGAAAATTTTAGGTTGGTTTTTTAATGTCCGCTGGAATCTCAACCTTCAAGCCGCGGATTTCCGCAGAAATCAGGATGTTCTCTGCGGAATCAAAACTTTTTTGTGCAGATTCCTGGAGGGTCTAGAATATGCATGTAAAAAGAATCACCAAATCCCCAATAAAATATTCCATGTCAGTATTATTTCCCCAGTAAACTTTTTACAATGGCTTGAATATTACACTGGTTTATTTGTCCTGATTCCATTAGGAGAGGAGATCATTTCCCTGAAGTGAAACCCGCCCAGAGATTGAAACAAGATGTACTGATCTTTCTTTTTTTGAGCCTTTTATGTAAGAAATAAAATGATGTGATGACTTGGAGAGAGGTTGTTTCTTTCATCGAGGATATGGCCTGCAGAGCTTAGAGAAAAGCTCCCTTTAATAATCTTATCTACGTGAGTCAACACACTTTCTAAGCAGTCAATTGACGCTACAATCCTCCAGCACTCGCAGAGATAGTTACCCATGCTGAGTGGCTGTTTAAACAGCACCACGGCACTCAGTGATGGGGCTGGAGGATCAATATATGTGGCCCGGGGGCCCTATGCTCTGCCATAATGAGGAGGGTTCAAAGGTCATGGTTCATCAACGTGCAATGCTGCTGGTGTTAACAAACCGGGCCTGGGCACGTGAGAGGGACAGTGAGGAATTATGTTGTTATATAATAAACCACAAAGACTGATAACACTGTTAGTATCAATAGAAAATCTATATTGATACTCGAGCTGTAATAAAACTGTGACCAGTATCACTTTAATCTTTTTCTAATACAGAGACTGGATTGACAGATGAGAGGCCAGTCAGTTCATCTCACCAAAACAACTGTGAACTGAGGAAGTTCAAGTTCAGACTGAGAGCTATGAAAGTTCCATCTTTAGACAATATCTTAATATTTTAACATGTCATGATGATTACTGTTGAGTACTTTTTTTACACATTCAAGAAGAGACAACAACAAGCTCAAAATACACCACTGGTGATAAAAACTCCACATCTGAAATAGCTGCAAAAAATAACTCTGATGAGATGACCACCACAGCTGCAATGACCCGAGTTTTCTCTGACTGCAAAATGCAAACATGCACAGGAGCATTTCATCCTAGTTAACACTGTGGACACCGGACACAAGCATGCAGACATACATCAGTGTTTAATTTTAAAGCCTACACCTGCAGTACAATGTTGTAAAAATCACCTGCAGCTAAAGACAGGAAGAGTTTGTTTAGAGGTTTTGATCAAGGGTCTGAAAAGACATTGCAGCGGAGTACAAAACTTGTCATGCACAAGTTTTTGCAAATATAGGATCAATATCTGTATCGGACGATACTAAAGGCTACAATATCAGTATTGTATTGGAAATGAAAAAGTTGTATCGGACACCCCTAAAACTAATGATTTTTCTCAAGTTACCCCAATCTAATCACTTCTGCTTTTCCCGGTACTCCCAGTGCTTCCATAGAAAGCTGAGGGGCTTACTGGTTTATGCTGACAGGTGATGTCATGACAGTGTGTGAGCTCAGTGGTGTGTGTGTGTGTGTGTGTGTGTGTGTGTGTGTGTGTGTGTGTGTGTGTGTGTGTGTGTGTGTGTGTGTGTGTGTCTGAGAGGAAGGAGGGGTCTGTCTGCAGCGGGAATGCAGGGGCACATTTCTATGAGGTCATGAGAATTATGGGCTGTTTGCACAGAGGGAAGGAGAGATGTGAACGAGAGATAAAGGAATGAGGCAAAATCCACCAAGAGGAACATAAGCCTAGAACAGCTGCTGGGGCCAACTAATGAAGCACAAACATGGTTTCAATACACGAGGGATTTCAGTTTTCAGTCCAAACACCATTAACCACACATGATTTGTCTTCACTGCAAAGCCGGGCGGTGGATGGGCTTGGTGAGGGTGTGGTCACCACCATGCTGTGGTCAGGATGAGGAAAATGAACCCAGAGTGAACTGAATGTGATCTGGGCTGCTGGTGTCATACAATACAAGCTATTGTACTGTTGTGGCTGTGGAGCCTCATCATCAGCATAATGCCCTTTAGACCTCCCCCTCCCCTCTGCCCTCTAAACCTCCAACAGTGGGCCAAAGCAAAGCCTAACTTACAACTGAACTGCTCCCACCAAAGTGACACCAATTCAGTTAAGTCGGTTAGTTAAAACGTACTGGAGTAAGATGCCTGAAAAGGGCAGTCATCTATAAATATCGCAGCAAACTTCCTCTCAACAACAATGCTTTGTGGGGGGCAGAGTAATTCCATCATGAGGCTCATGCAGAAGCACTTAACTGCTTTTTAAAGGTCATGTCTGCAGATGGAGCATGCCCAAGCGTCAAAGAAATGTGCATGCTTCAAATTTCCTTTTTGTCTGAGCACCGAAAAACAACTGTCATTAACGTCTTTACAATAAATATCAATCAAATCTAAATGACAATCTATAAACCCAGGCTTATAAACTGCAGCTTCCTCTGCTTTATGGCAGGTCTGGTTCATTGAACGGTCAGTTTTGCTCTCAAAGAGTTAATTTCATCAACAGCGGACTGTTTTCAGTAAAAACAAACACCAACAACTCACACGACATTACACGCCCTTTACCATTTAGCTAACAGACAAAGTCAGGGACTGGCTGGTTGATGAAGCTAAATGGTGGAGACCAAAAGCAGACACGGAAATGCAAAAATCTCATGTGCCTGTAATCAACAATAGAAATTCTTGGTCGACTAAAACCCTGAAATTTCTGACCAAAATCGATAAATGGGGGACAACGCAGCTTGGCGAGTGAAAATATACCGATATCAGCACAACAAGGCAATTAAACACAAATATCATTTTCAGCAAACCACCAGACGTTGATTTACATGAACGCCCTTCAATCTTCCTGTCTCCAGCCAATCTCCAGTAAGGTTGGGCGAGTCCAAAATGGTGAGCAAAGCTAAATTTTAGTTACCATATCACCCTTATTTTCATCTTATCATAAATAAAATATTATGTTAAACTCAGCTTCATCAAATTTTTGAAAATTGTACTTTTGCTCATCTAGATATTGAGTAATAACTTTTAATAGGGGGTGTACTGACTTATGCTGGGCACTGTAAATTTCATCCCAAGGTCACCTCAGAGATTTTACATCTAAAATCAAATACTAGTTGTAGCTGTTCCTAAAGAAGAATAAAATATCTATTGGTTGTCACTGATAAGAGCCTCTCAACTCTGCACTGGAAAATAGTGACTTTCTTGGACACAGACTCGGGACTGTAATGTGCACACCATAAGACACCATATGGAGATGTTGAATAGAGCTCATCCGAGGACTGAAGCCCGACTGTGTCCGAGACTTGAATGCAACACAGAGTATTTTTGCACAGTCTGCTATTTAGAGAGAACAGTATATTTTTTGAAGGATCCCTGAGAAAATAATCACCCTGCTTTCAGAGTGGAGAGTAGAAGATATGTTGTTACTGTCATTAACTTGGTTAGGACGGTGGAGATGTTCTCCTTGATTTCTTGTTGTTTAGCAAAGAACATCTTAGAAAGGGCTGTTCATGGTTTTGTACACGAGAGGATTTCCCAGAGGGTCTCAACACATAAAGGACACAGTCAGTATTGAATATGAGGTTATAATCATGTGTTTCAAGCTCAGATATATCATTATTCATCTAGGACTCTGTATCACATGGTAAGGAGGGAATAGTTTTATTAAACTGAGATGCCTGACATGAACATGTATGAGAATATTTGCTCTCTCTCTCTCTTTCTCTCAGTCTCTGGTTGCTCAACTGTTCTTGGATGCTTTATTGTGGATTCTGTCTGCCTACATGGCCACAGGGCAGCGCAGAGAAAAGCCGACTTTGTGCACATAGCTGTCTTCTTACGTCATGCTGAGGCTTATGGGAAGTACTTCTATGCATTCCCTCGAGTGTCTACCTCTGTATGTGCGTGTCAGTTGTTTTATGTATTTGCATTTGTGACTGTGTGTGTTTTCCTGTGAACACCGAGTATATTGTGTGAAGCTACTAGAGTGAGTGTACCTCGGTTGTTTAGTGCACATTCACAGTGTAAAACATGCCTGAGAAGCAACAACTGCACGTAGCGCTCTCAGTTTACTGTTCAGTAAGTGGCCCCCTTCTGCTCCTTCTCCTGTCCTGTCTTCAGTCTCAGTTTTATGGGGATGTGTGACGCAGCTGGGTTCAGACTGGGGCTGTTTGTTGTTGTTGTCTTTCTGTCTGAGCAAAGACAAATATCTACCGTGATGAAAATGTGTTTACAGGAGAGCTGTGTAACGACATTTGTGCCACATTTCCTCACATGATGTCGCTTGAGTCAGTAGTGATTGGGTTTAAAGACTTCCTTTTTTTATTTGTTTCTTTGGGGGCATTTTTAATGATAGGACAACTGAAGAGAGACAGAAACATGTGGAGCTGGGGATGAAATGCAGTAAAAGGTTGTGGCTAATTGCAACAGCGTGTCGACAAAGTTTTTGCTCTTGTTTGAAGGTTTTGTGAGCATTAAGAGGAATAACAGTTTGGAGTGTACTCCACCCAGCAGTGACTAAAGCCACCATCTCTCCTAGTAAAACATCAAACAGTGACCTCAAACTTGTCTATGAGCCTCCTGAAGGACTGAGCACCAGACACACAAACAGCAGTCTATACAATACAAGATGAACTGCCTTCAACCATGTTGAGACAGGCAAGGTTTAGATGCATCTGCTTGGTTCATACAGAGTGCACTTTAACATCCATTTGGTAAGTAAGCTGTCCAAGAAGGATTAAACCTGGTTAAAGTAGGATGCTAACCCTGTCTAAAGCAGTTAAGATAACACGCTGCACTTGGCCGACATAATTAAAGCTCAACTGTGAGTAATTTTTTTTACAACAGACACATGCTGCAGTTTTGAGTCTCGGCGTAAAATTAACTTGGGGTCAAACACACTGTAACACCCAGTTAGACAACCCTTAAGAGATGAATGTTGCTGAGCATATGCTTCTTTAGTTAAACCAACTTCAGTAACGACCGCAGGATAGCAATACACAGCAGTCTGAGGAGCCATAAACAAACCTCAACCGAATCGCCACTCTATAGCCACAAATAACACTCAGAACAGCACCTAACTTCATCAACAGTACATATAGGGTCCCAGCTACAGCACTAGCCACCAAACATCTTTTTAACTTTGCCTAATTTCTTTAGCAAAGAGACTAAACACAACTCACCTACTCTCTTCCAGCAGCCGCTTGTTTGTTGCGAGACCTCAGGCCAGTCCATTACGGACTACAGCGGGGTGACACAGCTCAAGGACGAACATTTATGATCCTAAATTAATTTTACACCCGAATATTCCTTTAAGGAGAGAGAAAGAGCTGATAAAGAAAAGCCAGCATAGGCACATGTACACAGACATGTTAAGTTATTGGCTAATTTAATTTCCTTAGTTCCAGCATAAAATGTTGAATTTCATGATGGCAGTGAAAGGATCAGAGTACGAACGCTTGCTCCCATAACTGCCCTCCATCAACAACAAAAGGTTTTTTTTAGTCCTGATATTCAAGGGAGCAAATAATAGTCCCCAGGGCAACAGTCAGATGGGCAAGTTATGTTACCAGGCAACTCTCCTCTAAATCCCATGAGAGCATGCGCTCTTAAAGTGTGCCTGTATCACAAAAGAAACAAACATCAATCTCTCAACAGCACACATGGCTCATTTACAATGTGGAGTCAAAATCAGTTACACTGAGAAGTCAAATATGGTTCAGAAAAAACGTTCATGGGAAGGAAGCTGGCAAACCAGAACAAAGCGGTGTTCAGTCAGCATTTTGAGAAGTCAGAGAGTTTGAGGCAAACATGCTGTGTGTACTCTGGTTTTGACTGGCATGTTCAGGAAACTATCGCTGCAGTCGGCTAATTTCAACGTCCATGATCAAAACCAGCTCTAAACTGGCACTACCGTTGTTACACCTCTGCATTTTCACATGCACGTTTCTCACTTCAACAGGATATCTCAGCGCTAACTCAGCTCCTGCTTTGCTGCCTGCACGTCCTGTTGAGTGATATCACTATTACTGTGCAAATAAGCGTGTATGATGGCAACAGCCAAGGCACATACACCTGCGTGAACACACCTTCACCTTGGTTGTGTGCCGCTCTATGTGTCTATGACAAATGTTATAAGATCTGCTCATGCTTTTATGTCACTAAATGTCAAACTCCACTCTGACAATGACTGTGAAAATGCTTATCTCAGACTCTCAGTTGTAGTATTTTACTGTGTCAAGAGGGTGATTTACTTAGTCGTGTCACTCAAAGTTTAGGGAAATGGAAAAGCAAAACAAAGACCAAACTATTTTACAGTATGGATGTTTGACCCTTGCACACAACCACAGTACACCTTTTAAAAGCTAAGTGTGCTGGTTTTTTTGTTTGCCTCAGTCGTAAACAAACAAAGCCTAGTGGGGATTGGGAATGGTGTTTTTAATGTTCGTTGTTTAATAACAAACAACCACTATTGTGCCCTTTTCAGCCTCCCTTAAATCTCTATCTCCCCATACAAATATTTTGCATTTACAGCTGAACCAAGAAAAATCATGGCAAAAACAAGGCAGTGCAACACCTGAGGGTGCGAGAGCTCTCAACACAAATGACCTCTTTAAAAGCCAGAGAGTGGCCTGATGCATTATTGATAAAGAGACAAACTATCTGTTTCCAATTCATCTGAGTAGTTGGTACTCTTCACTGCGGTGTCCTGGGGCCACTAAGGGTCCTCAAGAGAGTCCCTTAAGCAAACAAAGAATACTCCAGCCTCTCACATTAGATGCATTAATTAGCAACCGATACAAGCATCTTAATGTTTATGATTATATTTTTGTAGAGCCACATTTCAATACAAGTGTCATTTTTTTATGGTTCCAAGTAGTGGTTACCAATTTTGGGGTGATTACACAATCAGTGAGGCTTTCAGTTGAGTAAAAAAGCGAAAAAACACAAATATGGATTTATTTCCTCCGTCTGACATGCTTTTCAAATTCCTATCAAAACTGTCCAAAGTTGCTTAACCCTAGAACACTTTTCACACCTAAAGGTCTGTTTCCCGATTCGAATCCAAGGCAAGACGATACATTTATTTTGATTGTTTAACTGGTCCGGTTTGCGTTCATAAAGGACAAAGTCAATCGCTCCAGAAAACAGAACCGGAAGTCACATGACCGTGAATATCGTTCGGTTATTGGTCATTAGTCTATGCGGGAATACAAACCCCGCTCTGCTGTCTTCGCCTGTCATGGAGCATCGTAGGCTGATTTTGCCTTTGCTACTCATCTGGAGTGCGTATCAAAAGACGCTAGTCGATCGCGCGTATGAACGGCTCGTTAGCCAGCGAGCGCGAACTGCGGCATTAATTAATACATTCCGGAGTAGATGTGCTGCAAACACCAGACGGGTAAAGACGGCGACAGGCATTAATAACGTGTGTGGTGCGTTTCCTGTGATTGGTGTGGATGACATTCACACCAGGAATGAACCGCTCCAGAGTTCACTTGATAGCGGTCCAAGACCACCTCTTCAGGCGGAGCAGAGTACCTTTATTTGGTCCGCACCAGCGTTCGAGGTCAGCGTTCACACAGACCCAAACGAACCGCACCAAGGGGGGTAAACGCTCCGGGGTTCGGTTCAACCGGACTAAACGAGGGTGGTGTGAACGGGCCCTAACTCAGTTTTTTTCTGTCTCCGTTCTCGTTCGTGTAGACTGGCACTCGCGAGACTGTTTTTCAAGGCACCCAGAAGAAAGGAATCGTTAAGATAAAATGTAAATGATGTTGATGGATTGAACCATTTGGAACGAGTTCTCAACAAGAACCAATTCTCGATTCCCATCCCTAAGAGATGGTGTTAATAATTTGAGGGAAAGTGCTCTAGGGTTAAACAATCTTAAAAACTTTTGTAAACCTACAAAAAAAAAAGTCTAAGGTCAGGTGGTGTGGCAAGAGGTCACTCAAAGGGTTTTTTTATAGTGTGTGTGGGGGTTACATGCCAGGGTGTGTGACTTACTACTGGTAAATTTCGTGTTAGTTTGGCATAACTCAGGAGTCCTGTTCATTACAAAGGTCAACACATATTAGACAATGCAAACAGGTTGCAGGGATCGAGATCTTATCAACTTACTTGAATGGAGTCGTTTGCCATCGTTGTCCTTGTTGCTTCTACTTCTTTGGTCACTTTCTCAGACAACCTGTGCTCATGTGGGGTTTGTACAACACGTTAACATAGAGTCTCTCCTTCTGCCAATGAAATAACTTAAGTGAATAATCGCAAAATGACGAGTAATTGTGCTGTGAAGCTTATCTGAACTTTATACTAACAGTCTGTATTGACACAAAGGCAAACAGTCAAAAGAGGTAATCCGCATTGTTGGCTCGCCTGGCCGCGCCTGAACTGATCCTCCCAACGCGTTCAACCACTGTTGGCTCCAAATTCACCCAAAAAATAAGGATGTGTCACTGTCAGGGAGATTTTTAAGGGATTCAAAATTAAAGTACCAAGGAAAAGCTTTCAGCGCTCGAGTCATTCTTCATTTATCTGACTGCTTCCCATTCAACAGCTAGCAAGAGCCCCGTAAAATCCACAGGCAGCGCCGCTCCGTCATGTCCTGATGAACCCGAGTCACATCCACTGACAAACACAGGGCTCTCTCCTTCTTGTCCGCGTTTCTCTCTTTCTTTTTCCCGGTAATGTCCGTGAGACATGAACACGCCTCGGTCTCTCGGCTGTATCACATGCCACACACAAAAAAGAGCCGCCTGTGCTGTCAGCCCTTCACAAGCCGCTCATACAGCCACTCAACAGGGACAATAGAGGGCCGGTATTCCCGAGAACATCCCGTAAAAGACCCTGAGAAGAAGCCCGTTCCTCCCTGCGGTACACGGGATGGGTCAGGACACTATCTCATCACATTCGACCAGCGGGTAACTGACGGCAGAGGAGCACATACACACACACACGCACACACGCCACTTGTACGATACACTCTACCCCCGCGCGCTGCCGACGCGCGACCAGTGCCGCCCGGCCGTTCATTGGTCCAGGGCTAGGCAACGGGAGCGCGCCCGGATATGTCACATGACCTGCACCAGCCAACGTTGTGAGCGGTAACTTTTAATGAACCAACTGTTGATGAACCAACTGACTAACACGACAGCTGCAGAGACACGACTTCACAAGACGATTGTCGTTTTATTCTCATAGTTAGATTCTAGAGGATTATATTTGCAGCTAGAATCAGTCATTATAAATAAAACTGTCAAAACGCTCAAACAGCTGGTAAAGTGCACAACTGTTTTTCTTTCTTTCTTTCTTTCTTTCTTTCTTTCTTTCAGTCTTTCTTTCTTTCTTTCTTTCTTTCTTTCTTTCTTTCTTTCTTTCTTTCTTTCTTTCTTTCTTTCTTTCTTTCTTTCTTCCTTCCTTCCTTCCTTCATTCCTTTCTTTCTTTCTTTCTTTCTTCTTTCTTTCTTCTTTCTTTCTTTCAGCCAAGGCAATTTTTCAGTTTGTCAATATCCTGTCACATTGCAACATTTCTTATTCATTGGTTGGAAGGGAGTAGGGACAAGAAACATCTTATATTACCTGAAAGAAAAACAGGTGTGCACTTTACCAGGTCTTTGAGCATTTAAACAGTTTTATGTACAATGACTGATTATAGTTGCAACTATAATCTGCTGGAATTTAACTATGACAATATTACTGTAATCGGCTGGAAAGACATGTCTGCAGCAGATTATAGACCTTTGTGTTAAGAATGAAGTTTCAATTATTCAAAGCTCTTAGGGTGACCTTGTTCAACAGAAATAGTCATCAAATTGTTATAAGGTTTGTGTGTGATGGAGTGTGACATTGACTCACATTAAGATATGGCAATGTTATGCCAGAGGGAGTGTTCATATTTGTGGAACTGATTTGCATGATGAAAAGAAGTCTGCAGGGAGACGGACATGAAGCTGGAACAAAGAGCTTCCTGCAAGGGTCCAGGATGCAAATATATGCACTGCCATGGATGATCTCAGAAAAGCTGAGTCACTGACGGTTAGAATTATATGTGAATCAACTGTAAGGGTATTACAAATGAACCTCAAAGTGTATGGTAAATTTGTAGATTTTCTTTCTTTCTGTCTTCTTTATTTATCTCAAACCCTAAGAACAACAACAACAAAACTATATAGAAACAAAAACACTGAACAAAATAATACATATGTACACCAAACAACTGTACATGTCAGAGATAAATTTAAACAACGTATGTATGTAAAAATAAACAGTTTGAGAAGGAACAGAATGAAGCAAAGAACTTATCTAGTCCTGCCTCTTCATTGCAAATTAGAGATTTAAAAAAAAAAATCTATTTGTATAAATTACAAAGATCTGCTCAACACTACATAGGTAACTTATTTTAATTATTTGCATATTACAATAATAATCAGTGTTATAATATACCGAATTAATATTACTTCTATGCAATCAAGTATATCTAGTATGAAACCATATTTTTGTTAGTTTATTTATATGAATCTTTTCATACTTCTCTATAGTTTTATTTAAATATTTTTATTGGACAGTTTTAAAGTGACATCCATTTTAAGAATTCAGATGGTGACTGGTAAAACAAAGTTATAATAATAATAATAATTATTATTATTAATATTATTAGAAGTAGTAGTAATAGTAGTAGTAGTAGTAGTAGTAGTAGAAGTAATTGTAATAGTAGTAGTAGTAGTAGTGGTAGTAGTAGTATTCAATTTTTGGGGTAGCGTCTTTTCTCCTTAGCCTCCCTGAACGCGTCAACCGAAACACGTTAACTTCAATTCAACGTCCAACCGTTAGCCCGGTAGCTAACGCACCAGTTTGCTTCTTTGTCGTCAAAATGTCACAGTAACCAATGTATAGATATATATACACACACAATAGTACTCTGAGTAGTCTGGTGAAGTTACTCGGTATAAAACGTAAGTAGTTTAGAGATATTTAGCAATTATGTTCTTAACAGAAACTTGTTACTGGTTAAGCTAGCTAACGTTAACAGTAGGTTAGCATATAAGGGTCGTAAAACCAGTTTTCATATCGCGGTGTGTGTGGGCGATAAAGTAATCTGCGAATGACGGATTTTATCTTTTGCAGGTGTCCCAAGAAAAAAAAAAGTATCCATAACAGAAGTCATGACAGATGGGAAAGTTCAGGTTGATGTTCAGCTCCCAGATGAACAAACGTATACGGGGCTGCAGGAGTACGTGAGCGGGCAGAGAGACTTGGTCTGCATGGAGGGTCTTCAACACACTGGACAAGGAGGTCATTACTAACCCCTAAAAATGTCTTCGAGTAGAAGTTTGTTTACAATCTTGAAAATTCAACTTCAGTATTCATTGATTGTCAGACAGCCCTGATGTAATGGCAAACATCACTATGTTACATCCTAACTGCTGGGGGTCTGATGTTGTCCTGATTGTGTATTTTTTAAAAGGAGAGTGAGGGGCCTATTTAGCATTTAACAAACTGGATGTTTTTAAACATACAGTTTATGTAATTCAATTTAGACGAGTGCACTTCATGTATCCAAATAGTCTTTTGATGAAATATAGATGTCACTCATGTGTATTGGACTCTTTGCTTAGTAAGAATATCAGTCTTCATAATACATGCATCAGAAGAATTCTTAGTAGGGGAGAGTGGGTGAAGATGAGCCATTTTTCATACTTTGGATCTCTACATCAAGGCAATCATAGTTTTGTCTCTAACTAGTGTATCTGCATATATTTCAAGATGTTGTGCATCCCTGCAAACCAACAGAATGAGTGTAAACATTCCCCATGTATGGGGTAAGTTGACCATAGGAGCGGGGTAAGTTGAACCATATCCCTACCACCCCCGACTCTCCACCCCAGCCCTCCCTCACCGTCTCTCTCCCTAAATAACAGTCACTTCATCACATTCATGTGTATTTTTTATCTATTATATGCCATTCAACTGGTACAATCATTCTTTTTATTATCAGCCACTGGCTCAACTTACCCCAGAGCTACTATGATGACTTTATTAGTCCTCTAAGCTAAAATGGTGGGTTTTTATACTAGGTTTTTGACCTCATGTTGTAGCTCATAGATACCACAATTGATGTATAAAACAAATTTAAAATGATCTTCTTTGGTCTGAATACAATTCTAATAAAACTTATGACAGACTAAATTCACTTTCAAGAGTGAAAGATGTTTTTTTTTTTTTTTTTGGACAAAAACGTCTAACCCCCTCACCCATGTGCTTCTAACCTTAACAGACTACATGAATTGATGCCTATTTCCTAAATATTTGGTCACATGATCAATTTCTTTTACCATTTCCAAGCAACAGGGGGTGGCTCAACTTACCCTTTGGCTCAACTTACCCCACTCTCCCCTATGTATATCTTATATCCCAGATAGATAAATTCCAGATATTTAAGGTGTGCCTTTCTACCTTCATGATAAGTTTCCCCGTGTGTGTTGTAGAGGACAGGGAGACTTTGTTGATGTTGGCTGAAATCGCTCTGGTGCCCCCCTGTGGTGATAACACACCCTGCAGCTATGACTGCAGCTGTGAGGTCAGACACCCGGAGAGGTGCCTGCAGTCCATGCAGCTGCAGCTCAGTTTCCTCTTGAGTGAAGCCGATCACTTACAGGACTTCCTTGTCAATGGGTACATTGCTGGGTACTTAAATTTCACCTATGCCAACTGTGTTTTACCACTACTTCAGGTGTTTTCTTCCTCTGTGATTCTGCAGACAAGTTGGTCAAGCAAGAGATGATCCTGCAGATATACTGCGGCGTTTTTTGTGTACCTGTCAACCTTACTTCAACTTGGTGGAATCTACAATGAGAAGTACCGTCAACATTTGCAACCCCCTGCACTCGAACATCTACAGGGGGGTAAATGTTTTTGCCTAAGTCTTTTAAACACACCTACCACAAGTAACTCACACACCCTCTTTCAGCTGCAGTGTGCTTATCAAATCAGCCATACCTTCAATTTGCAGAGCCCATAACCTTTATATCATTTTTGTTTTTTTTTACCTGGTTGACACTCAAGGAGACTTTGAACTCCAGGATCTGTAGTTTTTAGCACATCCACATCAGCCACATTTCTCAGGACCACTCGCTGACAACCAGTTACAAAAGAATTGATTTGCAAAGAGCAAATTGTGTCTATCTCTGCTGTGCCCCATTGAAAAAGTCCCATCAAATCCAGAGACGACTGTGGAAAAGTAAAACTATTTCTGTGAATGACAACGTTTTTTGAGTAAGTGAGTAAATTAAGAAACACGGCATCTAAAATGTCTAAGATAAAATAAAAAGCCAGAGTTTGATCGTTTCGTAAACTAATAGTATATTGTATACTCTGTTCTTGGTTTGTAAATCTGAGTGGTTCGATTTACTACTTCAGTCATTTATAGAGATATTTTGTGTTCAGTATTGAATGGCTAAGAGTGAAACTATTAACTTCAGTTTTGTGCGTCTGTCTGTCTGTCTGTCTGTCTGTCTGTGGCATGAGCAGCTGTTCTACTCCTCTCAGCAGCTGTGTGATAGGCTGGAGCAGCTGGTGTTGGCCTGTGCCGGCTACAATCTTGTCTGTTTAGATGAGACCGAGCCTAACAGGTACACACACACGCATATCTATTCAATATTTCAGAAATTACTGTCTGTTATTAAAAGAAGCCACAGCGGTAAAAAGACAACTGAAATAAGTCCCCCTTTTTACTACTCTTATAAATTTTATTTTTCATCCATTTTATGTTCTAACTTCCTCTACTCTCCTGTCTCTCAGCGTTTCTCAGTTCTGCATTGGTCAGATTCACCTCGGTCAGCTGAAGGTGACCATATTCCGCTACGTTACGCCGACCCCATACCTGTCCCGCGTCAACATGGGCCTTTACAAACGTATGCGCTGGAATGTAGAGAGACTCCAAGATGGTGCTCAGCAGCTCCAACAGACAGGTGAAGGGAAGAGTGGAGGGAGCATGGAGGGAGAGGAAGACACAGTCAGCAACACAGAGTAGTGAGTCTTGATAGGTTTCACTGTCTGTATGGTCATATAATATTCATGTCCTGTTATTATTGTAAATTTGAACTTTATATATTTCCTTCAGTTACTTCCTCTGCTGTGAGGATGTTCCAAACCCACACACTAACTACAGCTGGGAAGACCAAGGTTTTACAGATGGGAACTTTGTGAGGATGTGGTCCATTGGTCAGTGGGTTCAGGTGGATCCTAACCCCAACACAGAGGACATCTGTGACTGGTAGGCTGATTGATAAGCAGAAAAAAATCATGTTAAAAGGGTTTAAAATGGTCAAAAGTGTTCACAACCACAGCGTTACTTTGACTCTTGTTGATATCATCATGCCTGTTTGTTTGTTTGTATCAGGATCTTGTGCGAGGTTCCCCAAGCACAATATAGGTTGCTGTTGTCACTGAGCCAGCATGAGCCATCAAACCAGAGCGCTACAGACAGCCTGCTCAGGCTGCTGCTGGAACAGGAGTGACTCTATGCTCCCCAGGAGAACAATGTTGGTGCAAACACATCATCGCTGTCACGGTGGTTTGACAGAGGGCTGTGAAATTTAAATATGACAGAGTTCTACGTTGCATTCAGGACCTGTCGGGTTTTTCCACATTTAAGATTCAAAGGTGATGAAAAGTGTTATTTTTGTGGCGTGTTTCACTGATGTTTCCTGAATACTTTAATGTCACTGTACTCTGCTCAGTGTGAATGTTTTTTTTATAATTTAATCTTGTCAATTTTAAGGTTTTATTTTTCTAAAGTTTGTATTTTTGAAGAGCATACTTTTATTTACACAAAAGATTCCATGTTTAAGGCTAAAAGGTGTTGTGTTCTTGTTTTAAGACCAGTGTTGTCGATGAAAAGTGTTACTTTTGTGGTGTGTTTCACTCATGTTTCCTGAATACTTTGATGTCACTTTATTCTGTTCAGAGTGTGAATGTTTTGTTTTAAAATAGTTTTATAAGAGCTTGTCAATTTTAAGGCTTTATTTTTCTACAGTTTGTATTTTTGAAGAGCGTGCTGTTGTAAAGAAGTCCAGAAGTGTTACTAAAAATTATTTTATTTACACAAAAGATTGCATTGAATAATTACACACAATCACAGAAGTTTGTCTCTCAGAAGTGTAAGTACTCAAGGAAAACTTGACATTTTAACAAGCTGCCATGACTGAGTGCCCTTTTACTTCAATTCACAGGCCTCACTTCATTTTTTAATAAATTAAACCAAAATTTAAGATTTTATAACAGTCCCATTTTGCTTGCACACTCCTTTGTCTTGGATACAATTCAGCTAATCAATCTGAACATGAAGAAAAAAGGCATTTAACTTATAGCAAAGATTAAAATCTAACATTTACAACCAACGTCCTTCACTCTCTTTCCAATAAAAATCTTTATATGACTCTTAAGGGCTTATCATACTCCTAAATCTCTCAAGTACAAAATTAAAGAATCAGAGTTGGGTTTCTCTTCCTTACAGTGAGCAGTCCTTTAAAACAATATTCACATAAAAGCTCACAAACAACAAGACAAAAGAAGTGTGCTCAAGAAGTCCAGCTTTGACAAAAACTGCCGAAAGCTAATCCCCCCCCCCCCCGGAGAGTCTGAAAACGTAGACTTGGTTGCTTTTCAGCTGCTACAGAGGCTTTGTTAAGAAAGCTAACAACCAAAAAGGTGATCCTAAAAGAACCGTAAAGAATCTGCTTAGCTAAAGGACCAGACACAAATTGTCTTCAACTTCATAGTTCTCTCACAGCTTTGAATATAATCTTCAAAACACTGCAGGCTTTTTGTATTTCTAAACCTTTGTGCTTTCCAGTGAAATTTGACCGTGAAAGAAGCTGCCCCGAAAACCTTCATATTATAAACTGATAGTACAAAGAAACTCAACATGAAGCCTTAAAAGCGAAACAGACAAATACATGACACTGACATTAACACACAAATATGAACATTTAGACCAAGTTAGACACATGCACTTCAGTACCACACATCATCACAGTTTCCAAAATAATAGTAAAAAAAAAAAAAAGTAAAATAACCTGATAATGCACACTTATCTCTTTCTCCTTTTTAATACTCTTCTTTCTAATCCCATTTTAAAGTGACTCCTGGCTTTCACAGCGATATCGGTAAAATCCAGAATAATAACTTGTCCTGTGATGATGGATCAACTGTCTATAATCTGTTTCTAAATCATAAGCTGTAAAAAAAAAAGGTGGACATGACAGCTCCACATCAGTAAAGCCAAATCTCATCCCCCTCAAAGCCTACCTGCCTCCATGCAAACAAATATGCTTCAGCCCCAAGAGCCTATCCTTAAAATGTGCAAGATGGCGGTGATAGTTGCAAGGGGGGATCTAGCTCCACTATCCACCTTATTCTTGGGGGCGCTAATGGAGAATCGATTATGGGCGCAACTTCCGGTGATGCACCGGAAGTAGTAGTAAGAAATAAGGTGGATAGCTCAACAGGAGAGGAAGAGATGAGTCATCAATCTTTATATACAGGAAGTTGTCTGAACCTCGGGAGAGAAGTAGGATTACACATCCCAAAACAAGAACAAAAAGGTATCAGACACCCGAATTATGACTCCTGTTGTGAAAAGGCAACTGCCCACATGTTGAACTCAACTTTGGTAAGAAAAGACCCGGAAAGTGAAGCCTGAGGATGTCCAAAGATGTGATGATCTTCTGTCCTCTATTTGCAAAGATATTTTAAGACAAAATAAATATCACACCAACAAAAAAAAAACACTAAACTAGCAGTTGTGTATTCAGTAGTAGAGCCAATGGGTTTTTCCAGTGTATTCTTCATATAAAGAGGAAATGGTGTGTGAGCTACAGGTGAGAAACACAAAGTAAACAACTAACTACCTGTCATTTGTTCTTCGATTGACAGAAACCATCTCGCTTTGGGTGTGTGTCTGTGTGTGTTGAGTTTTAACCCTGTAGTGGGTAACAGTGGGGAGTCATGGGATCCTGTCTGCACTCAGGTGTGTGTTTATAGTGGCGGTACTGAGTCTGTGCTCGCAGAGGTGTAGGATATCAAGTGTGACGTGAATGGGGTGCAGAGTTTCGCTGCGGTGTCGGGCTGTGTTTGGTGTTCTTGAATTTCTGAAAAAGCAGGTTCTCACTGCAGCAGCAGCAGCAGGAGAGTCCCTCAGGTAACAACCTAAACCAACCCTGAGGTGCATGACGTTTCAGCAGTCCCTTCATAAACTGGGGAAGACATTTCAACACCCTCATCTAAAATAACAAAATATTCAGCATAAAGCTACAAACTGAACAGTGTGGAAAAACCTGTGCTCATTTAGGTAAACTTCAATATCGACAGAAAAATAAGAGCTACATGCAAGTCTCAAATTTGGGCGAATTTTTTTTTTTCTATGAATGATTTGAGAAGCAACTGAAGTGAAGCAGCTCTAGGCACTGATGTTTGCTTATTTCAGTGGTTTAAATCCCTGTTTCTATCATCTATGCGTACGCAAGTGGTTCCCAACTTCAAAATCAGTTACCCTGTGAAATGGATCTCTGTTTATCTTCTTTATTTCATCTTAAGACTTATAATTCTGATGGTCTGTTTATTCAGTAGTTTAAACTTTTTCAGTAGTTTAGAAGCAAAATAAAAAAAAGGACAGAAATCTGAAAATATAACAATGTTAGGCAGCAAAAATATCTTTTCTTCTCCTCTACCTACGACTTGTCTCATAACCCCTCCTAATTTCATCAGCGTGATTTGTTTGAGAACCACTGATTTACAGCACCACAAGTTTCATCTTTGAGTCTGATGACAAGGCTGGACCGTATAAAAATAACTTCTCTGATCTTATAAACTTCTGTGACACTACGACAAAATTCAATGAGCTGGTTGTTTTTTTTCCTCCAAACAGCTGAAAGAACAGTTTTGCAGGAATGAACATGAACTTTTAACTTTTTTTTAAACTTTTTTCCTGACCAGACACTACGGAAGAGGATTAGGGCCACAAGAAGAGAGAAAAATAATTACAGGAGGGAGATTTTTTTAATTTCCATTTTAAGATTAAAGTTGAAATTTTTCAATTTTTAATCTCAAAATTTTGACTAACATCATTTTGATTTTTTTTATCTCAAAATCTTGAGATGTTGATTTTTAATCTTGAAAATTTGATTTTATTGACATTAAATTTTTTAAATCTTGAAATTTTGACAAGATTCACAACATTTTTTAATCTTGAAATTTCATCTAATCATTTTTTTTTTAATCTCAAAATTTCAACATTACTCACAACATTTCGACATTTTGTTATCTCGAAATTTCAACTTTAATCTTGAAATTTCGACTTTAATCTCCCCTCTGTATTTTCTTTTTTCTCTTTGTGGTCCTAATCGTTTTTCGTAAGACACTGATTCATACTGCTGTCTACAGATTTCTCTTAGTGGTTGGTTGTTTTTTTTTGCTGCTCATCTTAAAATTGATCCTAAAACAGTCTGTTTAAGTAAATAGAAGTCTGCGTATTTGTGTGCACAGGCTGCTCTAAATGTGTGTGACACCCTGGTTGTGGTTTTGCTTCTCCTAGGAGTACCACTACAATTTGTGCGTATTTGACAGAACCTAACCCTCCCAGTGTGAGTGTTGTGCATTTGTCTTCACAGTACTTAAGATGTTGATTTTAAAGTGTGCGAGTAAAATCACACACTGACATTTCTCAGTGATGTGTCTCCAGTTCTACCACTGTCCACTCCCCCTGAGGGGAGCTCCCAGTGGCCTCTGGGGAGAAACTACTAACAGAGGTGACTGTGGCAGAAGGAGGGGTGAGAGGAGGCAGCAGGCTGGGCCACAGGCTGCTCTCCAGTGGGCTCAGTGTTCCTCCTGCACCTCCTGGCAGCAACAGCAGGGAGGAGCAGCCGTCTCTGTTCAGCATTAAGGTCTGATTGATCAGCTGCTGTACTATGTCCACTTTCTTCCCCCAGTCCAGTTCCAGCGGTGGAGGCCGTTCTGGAGACTCAGGAGGAAGAGAAGGGAGGCTTTCCTCCTCCTGAATGTTGGTGCTGGGAGTCTGAGGGGAGTCTGGGCGAGGAGGAGGAGGAGGAGGAGTGTCCTCTATGGACAGTGAAATGTCTTGATGTTGGTCATTTTCTGACGTGCCCCTTTCACAGCTGTCATCCTTCACCTTCAATCTCTCTCCCTTGTTCTGTCTCTTCTTCTTGACAAGATTTAGGTCTTTTATTCCATCTTCTCCACCTTCCTCTTCATCGCTGTTCTCCAGGGCTTCGTAGATGGTGCACAGACCAGAGGATGGGGACAGCAGCACTGTCTGACCTTTATTAGTCTGCTGCAGCTCTTGTTGCCACTGCATGATTTGCTGTCTCTGCTTCAGCTCCTCTTGTTGCTGCTGCAGCTGCAGCTCCAGATCTCTCCTCTGCTTCAGCTCCTTCTCTTTCCTTACCTTTTCCTCTTCTTCTTTCTTCATTTCTGCCGCTGCCAACTCCTCTTTATTCCTTTTTATTTCCTCTTCAGCCTCGTCCTTCTTTCGCCTTTGCTCCTCCTCCTCCCTCCTCTTCCTCTCCTGCTCCGCCTCCTCCAGTGGCCTGCTCTGCTGCTCCCTGCGGTTCTGCAGCTCCGTCAGCTGTCTCTGGTGCTGCTCCAGCCTGCGGAGCTGCGGGCTCAAGGCCTGCTGCCCAAGGCTTCTGGGCGGGAGGTCAGCGCACGTCAGTTTTGGGGTGGCGGTAGCAGTCGTGTGAGGTTTGATGATGTCACAGTAGGCTCTGGGGTAGGCTGCGTGATCGCGGCGGTGAGGGTGGGGTAGTGCAGTGAAGCCTGTGTGTGAGAGGAAGTGGGAAGGAAGATTACAGTCGCTTGAAGTTATAAAATAAGTGACAGGCAGAACAGATACAGCAGTGCAGTATGAGTATAAGCAGAAAGGTGTAAAGGAAAAGGGGGACAGCCTTCAGAGGTTCATACTCAAGAAAGAAAAATTAGAAGCAATTTGAAGCAAAAGTCTGCAGAGTAGCCCAACTGACAGGCAAATTGTGAAACTTTGTACTTAGTGACAGGAGGACATCGTGTGAAAGCTGTGCAACAGTGACGAAAAGGAGCCTGTTAAGTATTACAAGTGTGAACACACCAGAATATAGTGACCAAAAGTGAGGTGACTGGGGGTGGTGGTTTGGAAAATTTCTGCAGAGAGCAAATGTGCAAACTGAAAGATTTTTTTTACTGTGACAACTACCAAATAACGTTTTTTTCTTGTTTTTAAAAGCAAAAAAGCAGCCGTCTTCCTGTATATGCAATCACTATCAACCATGGTGAGACATACCTAACCAGATTTAAGCTTACTGCAAATCACCCATGTGTGGAGTTCTTAGTTAGTCAACCGCCGATACATGCAAAAGCTCAACATGCATGTAAAGACATTCAGCAACACAAGAAAACTTAATAGCTTGGCTTTAGAAGAAGTAACAGTAAACATTGTTACGATACATTAATTTCTACCGCCAAGCTATCAGGCTGACCCTCGACAAAACAATCCAAAGTAAATTTCATGAAGTTTGTGCAACGGTGACATGCATAAGCTTAAGTTAACATCATTACAGTGCTGTGGATCAGTGCAGCAAGAATGCTTTAAAAAAAAAAAAAAAGGTACAAGAGGAGAGGTGAAACAGCAAAACACCCACAGTGGACTGAAGGGAGATTAAAGTAGCAGAAGAGTGAGTCGGTTTGTAACTTCATGGCTTTACGTTGAGACGTTGAGGTGTTGCTGCTTCAGATGAAGGTCAATCCGCAGGTGAGAAGATGGCTGCGAATTCAGTCCAGTAGTTTTCAGGACAGATGAGGAGACGCTGAAGTTCAACAGTTTGTGTCGTTTCCAAAAGAATGCATGTGAGAGTATCTGTGTGAGTATGTTGTAGGAGTGCAGCAATAAGAGTCAGTGGGGCTTGTTGGTCGACTAAGTGAAACTTCTTTCATTACAACAGTTAGAGCTGGGCGATCAACCGAATATTTACAGATACCAAAATTTATGACAATAACCAGTCATTTTGCCCATGTCAATATATTCGATGTCAAAATAAATAAAACTTAGACCAACCAGTAGAAAATTTACCGATACAGAAATTTACGATAATAACCAACATCATTTTTCCCATATCGGTATATTCTGCATCAAAAAATAAATAAATAAATAAAAGTTGGTTTTGGATGTGTGTAGGTAGGCTATGGTCACATGTCACTTTAAGACGCTGTACTTCCTCTAAGACGTGACTCCACCCCATCCAGTCCGTAACAAAGAGGGAAAGACAGCCGAGGAGATGGAGGACGGTTCAATAGTTGTAGCGGCTGAAGTAGACGAACTTAATGTTGGAGGGGGTGAGCAGCTTGTGGAGTAGTTATCGTCCATTCATCGTTATCGAGGTGAACTGCTCGATACATCGTGATATTGATTTGAGGCCATATCGCCCAGCCCTAATAACACTCCACTTTCAAATTCCCTTTTAAATAAAACTGTAGGATCAGAGAGTGACTCATGGTAAAAATCTAATCTTTATTTAAAGTTTTAAGGTTCATTTTTTTTTCTCCAAAAGATGGATAAACACAAAAAGAAGCTAGGTTACAATTTAAAGTGCAAGAAGAGATGAGGAGTGATAGGGGTTAAGGAAAAAAGCCTGTGTCATAATGAAAGAGCAAAAATCAAACAGGAATATACAATGAAAACTCCTTTTTCTGTTAACACTGCAGTTCAGTAAAAAGTATGATAAATACACATGAAAACATGTTCAACACTCCATTTGTATTTCTTTTGATATGCATGATTGTTTTCCCTTTTTAAGAACTGTAAACAGACAAGTCAAATCCATGCCGGTCCAGGTCAACCACAAAGTTCTGCGTTAAATAAAACAGAAACCAAAACCCGGGCACGCTCATACATCGAGAGTAAATACTAGCAGCTATTGCACATACAGGAATTTAAGCCACATACTCAACATGGAAATGTTATATCAGAGGGGAGTACCACTGCTGTCCTCTTTTGATTTCTTCCCCTTTTTTTGCTCTCTGTATTTTTTTTATTTTTTTATTTTTTCGAGTCCACCCCCAGAGAATTCAGGATAAACACCAACAACGAGAACTACGCCAGGAAGAACTTTTGCTAACATTGAGACAAGGTCAGGGGGAACCAAAGGACATTACTTGGGCTGTTAGGGAGATGATGAATTATACGTTACCTGTGTAAGAGTTCTCAGTCTTTTCACAGATAGCAGAATAATATGGAGGCTGGATGTCGTCAGGGTTTTCCTCTGATTGCTGCTGAGTGATGGGAATAGATGGAGGGTCCAGGGGTTCCTCTTCCTTTCTGACCTGCTCGGAGGACTCTGCTTCCAGCTTTCCACACTCGATGTACTGCTGCTCTGCGAGCTGAGTGTGAGGCTGCGGGATAAGGAAAGGCTCTTTGGCTTCCTCGGACAGCTCCTCCAGGGAGAAGATGCCGGGACTCTTGATGCAGCTTTCCCCCGTGGACTGGGCGTTGGAGTTCGAAGCTGTGGTCATCGTGTCGAAGCCGTAAGATGCCAGTGATGTAGCTGAAGGTGGGGTGGTGTCTTCACCAGCAGCGGCACTCACTTCGGCCTCCTCCCCCTCCTCAACAGTGGACAGACAGCGCCGGGCTAGAGACTGGCTGTCAAAGGTGATGCTGCTGATCGCTGGAGCCTCCAACGAATCATCTAACTGGGCCTCTCCTTCTGTGTCGCTTGCTTCATCCTCTGTGACCGAAGATGAAGAGGGGTTGGAGGTAGGGGCGGTGGCAGGCCCTCCCAGGACTTCATCAGCGGGTAGGGTTACTGCCTCAGCCTCCTCATCTCCTTCCTGGTCTCCTTTCTCCAAAAAGATGCCCAGATCCTGATCTGGCTGAGGGGAAAGCTCTGCAGCTTCTGCATCTTGAGTCTGGGGCTTCACCAGTTCACCCAGCTCCTCAGGTGTGCTTGTCTCGCTGCTCAGGGTGCTTGACAGAGACATCCCGGGGGCAGAGAGGGGAGCTGGGGCCAGGGTCTGCATGTGTGCTGGGCTGGACTGATCCAGGTATAACCTAGCCTCTGAATTATGTGGCTCATCTTGAGCGGAGCACTCATTGGAAACCTTTTGGTTTTCAGGAACAAAAGGACTTGTGCCGAGTTCCAGCCAGGCGTGTGCCGGGGTCTGAGTTGGGGTTTCAGAGTCGGCTTGCCAGGAGTCTGCCAGAGGGCTGGTTGCAGCTGCTCCTGCTACCTGTAGAGGCTGGAGGACATTTTCAAGAACCTGCTGTGGCTGCAGAGGTTCAGCCCAGGGATCAGCGAAGGGGTTCGGTTGGTCCCACTGAGCAGCAGGAGCGGAGGGCAGCAGAGGTGGGGGCGGGGGCGGCTGAGCGACTCTGTTCAAGTTGTCGAGTCGTTCGTCTTCGGCAAAGTCATCCTCATCCGCATTCCCATAGCTCTCCAGCCCACTCTCCGTCACCCCCTCACTAGCCATCTCTACATCTTCATCCTCATCATCATCCACGTCGTTGTCATGCCTGGGTCTCTGTGGTTCATCAGCCCGCTCTGAGCCCACATCCATGTCGCACACGCGATCATCGTCGTCATCGTCTTCCTCGTCCTCATCAAAGTCATTCACTGGAATGTCGGGAACTTTCTCAAAGTCAGGCGAGCCCGCCGAGGCTCCCTCCATGTCGATCGCACCTTTTAGGCTGCCGTCTCCGAGGTCGTCCATGCTCTCTGTGCCCTCAAGGACTCCAGGGGCGCTCAGTTCGGACGCGCCCTGCTGGCTGCCACTCACCTCCTCTGAGTCCAGTTCAGAGAGCAAGGCGCCACTGGCTCTCCAAGCAGACCCCCCTACAAGTCCTGCAGACCCAGGACGAGACTCCTCTGTGGGCTGAGTGGTTCCACTCATTTCAGACACAGACACCAGCTGGCTACCCTCCCTCTCTTCTTCGTCCTCCTCCTCATTTAGATTGGTGTGAGAAACAATCGGTGGGGTGGAAGTTGCTCCTGCTGGGGGGGCTTTACATGTGGAGGACGTTTGGTCTGTAAACGGGTAAACAGACTCCTTAGGGAGGTCTGCAGAGGAGGCCACAGGTGGTGCTGCAGGCTCAGCTGGGGAAGGGATCTGCTCTTCGCTTGCTAATACAGGAGCACTGCTCTCCACCTGCTCCTGCATAGGAGACGTACGGACAAGGCTTTGAGTAGGAGAAGCTACATGGCTTTGAACCATCTCTTGAGGTACCTCTGGTGTGATATCCTGAGTCAAGACTGAAGGAGGAGCCTCCTCTATTTCAGAAGATGATCCTTGTGGAAGAGACGCTGCAGCTTCTACTTGGGGTTCTGCCAACACGGCTGCTGCTGCTGCGGCAGCTGCTACTGTTGCTACTGCTGCACCAGCACCAGCAGCAGCGCTCTGTGTTGCTGCATCAGGTGGAGCGGTACTTGGGACCCCTGTTTTCTTGGCAGTGAAAGGGGGGACAGCCTGAGTTGGTTTGATGGCGCCACGTTTAGGTGTAGGTTTGTTTGCAGGAGATGCTGGTGGGGTACGGCCAATGGGTGTCTTGTTGATGGCAGGGAAGCGATCAGCAGCTACAGGTTTCTTGGCAGGAGCAGATTTTGTAGGGGGTTTGGTTTTGGGTTGGAGTTTGGGGTCAGCCGCCTTTGTTGTTGTGGTGGACAGTTTGGAGGCAGAGTTCTGCTTTACAGAGGCTGTGGGTTTGACGGACTCCGTTTTTTTGATAGCAGAGGACGCTGTATTTGTTGACAGTTTCTTGGCAACTGCAGCAGGAGGTGGTCGAGATACATCTGGGGAAAAGATAAAACACAATCAACAAATTAAGGATCATGAAAACTTCTTCAACTCTTGGAATCAATCACTACAACTCAGTGTATAACACCTCTACAGACACACTAAGTTTTTGAAATATTTTTTTGTCAGCATTTTTGATCGTACATCTAAGGCTGGTCACTTTTCCTGTCTTAAACTAAAGACATTAAATGTACTTAAAAGCTGTGCCTCAGTGCCAGACAATGAGAAGCTTCTGACCTTTCTTAGCAGCAGCAGCAGCAGCCGTTTTGGAAGTCTGTGCTGCTGTGGTCCTGCCAGTAGATGGTGCTGTGGTGGTTCTGGAAGCAGCTGTTTTGGCAGCTGTAGTGGTAGGAGGCTTGTTGGTGGTGGATGTGGGTCTGGATGTGGTGTTAGTAGGTCGGAAAGTTGAGGGAGCTGTAGCAGGCCTGGAGAAAAAAGAAATACATGTTCAGAGAGCACAGAAACACAGAGGGGAAAACACAAACAGGGATTCTAGTTCATGCCAACTTGATCACTTTTTTGTCAATTCGCTTTTATTTCTGATTTTTTAAGACATACCTTTATTAGTCCCACAGGAGGAAATTCCAAAAAGTTTTCTAGATTTTTTTGCCTTCATACTTGACTCTGACAACTAGGGCTGGGCGATAAACCAAAAATTTAACGATAGAGACATTTACGACAATAAGCGATGTCATTTTGCCCATGTCAATATATTCAGTGTCAAAATAAATGAATAAATAAAAGTTGGTTTTGGTTGTGTGTAGGTAGGCTGGGGTCTCATGTCCCTTTAAGACGCTGTCCTACGTAAGGAGATGGAGGACGATTCAAAAGCTGTAGCGGCTGAAGTAGACAAAGTTAATATGGGAGGGGGTGAGCAGCTAATGGAGTAGTTATCGTCCATTTATCGTTATCAAGGTGAACTGCTCAAAATATCGTCATATTGATTTGAGGCCATATCACCCAGCCCTATGGTCTGATGTAAAGTTATCTATAATGACCTTGTTGGGGTTGTAGAAAACCTCTTTAGAGATAGCAAAGTGAACAGAAGATTTGTACATGCACAAAAATGTATCAAATCCAATCCCTCACTCTGCGGGCCATTGCTTTATACTCCTTATTTACACTATATGCATTTTTCATGCCATCTTCAGCCCCGTCTCTACTTGCATTTACAGCATAAATAATTGACATGTTCTAATGTAAACCAGCAAAACAATCTCAACAGTGGGAACCCCATTAGCACAGTGCTAACCATCTGTTGCCAAATGGTAATGACTCCTTCACTCTCCAATCACTCCCCAGGAGGTGAGGACAGGGCAGAATGAGGAGGAGGATGGCGAAGAAAAATGCAAAGATTGAAAAAGGAGGTGAAAGGGCGGGGGAGGAAATATGTAACACAGAGTAGGGGGAGATGAAACATATGGAAACAAACATAGAAGCAGGGAGGGATTGAGCTGGAGGAGCTAAGGGGTTTACATGGAAAACTGAAAAGAGAGCAGAACAAAAAAAGAAATGAAATTGCTGAAGACAATACAAAAGGAAAGCAACCAGGAATAAAAGGGGTAATATTTAGCAAAACACTGAGTAATGTGAGAGAAGGGGAATAAACACTACCCGAAAAATCAACCCCTTTTTAAGCCTTGGAGCCACCTTTTGTGACAGTCCACAAATCCGCTGAGTCAGCACAACTGCAACTTACAAAACTCCTTTTCCAAAACAGCTCTCGTCTTTAATCAGACCTCCAAAATGATTCATCGTGTAAAGATGCATGATGGAGAAGGTCGACGATGAGAAGTAGTTCTGCTTGGTTTGTCTTTATTCAAAAAGATAACCATTAAACTAATCTAATGCCCAGATACCTGCCATCACTGTGCTCAAACTAACACATTTAATCAATTTCAAAGTGGAAAAAACTATGCTCCACACACTGAACACTGTACAATGAAGTGTATCAAGAGTTCTTTAAAGCCTTGCGGTGTTTTAAAGAGGCTTTTGAACTCGAACCTGAAATGCTGCAATCCCTGTGTCATGAGCAACATGCCTGTCTTGATGGAGCTGCAGAATCAGAAGTACACACTTAGAGGGAATTACAAACGCAAATCTATTCGTCAGATATGACATACCAGGTCAGTGGAGTTAAAGGGATATTCCAGCGTCCTCATCTTTTGGATATGCAGAAATATTGCAGCTCACTCAAGATTGCAGATTTAAGAATTGTATTTAATTGCCAGTAATAATGAGTGTCAGTGGCGTGTGCATCAGACTCAGAATGTTACTTATGCTGCACTATACTTAGCTGTGTGAAATCTCCACATTTACCCATGAGGCTCCAAGAATTTGACTTAATCTGTGCTCCAGTGCCTTATCTCATTGGCTAGCCTTCAAACAAAGGCAGTGAGTTAAAATGAGTCGTCAGCCACCGGCAGTGCAAGCCCTCGTTTTCACACTTGAACCCTGATGCATAAAAAACATTAAAAAAACCAAGGCACTGTACGACATGTGCTCCAAATAGAGAAACCTCTCTTAGTCAGTATAATGAGTGGTACAATTGAATGTAATTGGCTTGGAGAACTCTCTGGCCCCACAACCAATTACAACAATCTCCATTAGATCATCTCCTGCAGTAGCTCTGCAGATATGGAAGAGGTTGTAGACATGAATCGACAAAGACACAGTGCCTGACTCTCAGCAGTGTAGCATGCCAGCTCACAGATGCCTCTCCCACATTACAATAACCATCACAAATGACCATTTGTTTCCAGAAGATCAGAAAACCACATTACAGGCATGGACTTGAAGGGCGAACTTATAATTGGCCGCCATCAGAGGATTTGGGTTGTAAAGCGGCCTAAAAACTGGAAAGTTTGTCAGGCATTGTGGTTGAACTTAATGTTGAACAATGATTTACAACAAGGGGAAAATAAATGAGTACATACTTAACAAGGGAATAAAGAAAAGTCAAATTTACTGAATTCCTCTCTCTACTGAAGGCTGAAAAGTTGAACTGAGAGAAGATGATATTCAAGGAACGGGAATGGAGCAGACTAAAAGGGAGGTCACAAACATGGTCCAACCCAAGCCCTCCCTTCTACGTTTAACGATGAATCATAGCACTAAGGTTTGATCCACAGGGAAGACAGAGAGAGACCCACTAATGCTTGTACTCTACACATTGCCTGTGGGTGGTGGCTGTTGGGAGTATTTGTATGGATTACATTTCCTGCAAGCAGAAGGTTAAAATCAATACAAATCACAGCCCAAAGGACGGATGAGGGGCACTAAACAGCCAACTAACAAGGTTTTAAAGACCAGACACAAGGTCCTCTTCAGGGCAGAGGTCAGCACGGGGGCAAGTCACAGAGACTGAGATTTTACAGCCTGCTTATTGTCACTGTGCACAAACCTTGACTGCAGATGCAAACAGAGCAGCATGCTGGGCGACTGCAACATCTGTTTGGCCAAAAATTAGTGTATAGAGCGTTCAGCTGGGAGGCTAGGGTCCCTTGGCATCCTCATTCCCATCCTGTAGATTAAACCATTCTGTTCTAATAGAGCTATAAACAGAGAACAGCTCAGTCAGGAGGTTCCCTTTGTCCCTGCAGCAGAACACTTACCCTACAAATAAAAGGCCGTGCACACTTCCTTTATCTCCTCACTCTCCTCTAGTCCTGACTCCTTCAAGGATCCCTTCCAGAAAAACAAAAACTAAATCAAGCACCCGAACATATCCATGTTTGGCTCGTATTCTGTCTAAAACCAGCTGCTTTACTGTGTCTCGAGAAGGGCGCACATTCCTAAGGTGTGTGCAGACCCCGTAGTTATCTCCTTGACACTGAAGAAAGGAGGTCTGAATCAGGTCAGTGGAGTGTTTAGATGAAGTGTTGCAGCCTAGCAATACCCCGGTAGGCAGGCAGAGCAGCTCCTTAGGCCCTAGGCACACACTGTCACTGTGATAGATGCCACGGGCCTTTGCTGTTACGACAGTAATCCTGCACCCTGCCAAGGCTGCCTGTGAGAAATGACAGTTTTATCTGCAATGGGACGACCCTGAAGTTATTGGGAGGGACAAAAGGATGAGATTTGAAATCAGAAGAGAGTATGAGGCACAAACAAGCCATTCTCCACACCAGGCCATGTTAATTCAGAGTACTTGAATAATAACAAATAGTCTTCACAGAAAGTCCTAAATATTACCCATAAGTAAATCTGTCCATTCCCAACAGTGACTCTTTTGGAACTAATCAGATGCTTCAACACAATAAATGCATAATTGCTGTCCCTCTCATATTACACAACACCACCCTGAATTTCCTCTGTCTCTACTCAACTAAATGATGAATGAATTAGAAAGACGGGTGCGACTGGATGGGAGATGAGCTCTGAGGAGAGCTTGAGGAGATCCTGGCCAAATGCCCAGAAATGTACATGCACAGACGGCAGTGAAAAGTGACGAGGGAAAAGAAGAGGAAGATTGAAGGAGGGGGGTTGGGGTGGACAGAGACAGATTGCTCGGACGGTGCAAGGACACCATAACCCATCGTTGGCCGAGAACCGAGAAGAGCAGGTGCCAGATTTTAAAACCTTCAGCTTCCTCTACAGTTATCAAGAGAGATATCCTTCTGTCATTCAGATGGGTTGTGAATCTAGCCTAAGTGTGTCTTTCTTAGTTACATACTGAGAAAAAGCCTGAAACAAACATGACTGTGTTCAGTATGGATCCAGTATCTTTCGAAATTTTACAGTTGAAAGCCCTCAAGAGTAACATGCCCTGGAGTCTGAGTGAAAAAATGTGCACGTTACTCCTCCCTTCCTGCATTTTTATATCATTGATTAATGTGAAAACCTGTAAGGATCCTTAGTAAGGATCGACCGATATGTCTTTTTTAGGGCCAATACAGATACAGATTATTAGAAATCAAGGAAACTGATAACTGATATTTAGAACTGATATTCATTTGCAGTAAAATTGTATATTATGCCTTTATTTTGAAACACATGCTTTAATTTTGAAATGAGAAAAGAACTGGAAGTAGCTCATGCTAGCTCCGAATGCTTTACAGAAACCAGCCAAGAGTGGTGACTTAAGGCAGGGAGAGGCAGCTTCGTATCAGATCAGTTGGCATTGCTGTGGACTACACCAAAACTGACTGAAAGACACACCACTACTACTGTTGCTGCACAAAGAATCTGACATGCCGCTGACTTTGCCATGGCATGAAAGGCACCACACATCATCTTTCACAGGGTCATACACCTGCCTCTGTTCTCCTGTCGGTAAGCGCCTGATGTCGTGTTTCGGGGAACAGAAACTGTTTACACAAGGGTGACGTGCTACTGTAATCAGACTCCTCCACTTAAAATGCTTCCTCTGATTAATTCATAGGACGGTCGCACCAACACACACACAAAGGTGTATCAAGAAACACCACTCGTTGATCTCGTTTGCTGAAACAATCAGTCTAGTATACGACTACACCCCTGTCTTTTTAGTGCTCTTCACGATAATTATAATCACTATAATTCAGAATTTAATTAATAAATTAAAGGTTTAAAAACTGTTTGGTGCTCTCAGTTTGTTTTTCTTTGATTTCTCAATGCACAGAGAGAGTGGAAAGGTCCTGTTCTACCTCAGGAACTCAATGAGGACAGAGCAGCACGCCGATCCTTAAATTAATCAGTGATCATCAAGAGGGAAGACAAGCGCAGAGAGGATTCAATTATACTTCCCAGCACAGAACGCCACATCCTGTGGAAAGATGTTAACTGGTGTATTATGAATTTGACCTTCTTTAGTCTTTAGAGTCAGATTGTTTTTATCTACACAAATATTTTTTGCTTTTATCAACTTTGAAACTTGGATCCACACAATGTCTCTTTAGTTTTTGTTTTTTATACAAGCTAAGAATAATCATTAGCAGCTTTTTAAGTTTTTATTTTACCTGGTTAATTTTTTTTTTATTCTGATAAAACACTTCATGGTTAAAAAAGGCAGTGCATCTGTGAGCAGTCAACACTCTCTGTCTAAACCACTAGCTCAATGTAAGAGGGATTATTATCCAAGTCAATAGATCCCTCCTGGGGGGGTTGAGCTGGTTTCTGCCTGGGGGCCCGAGCAGGACAAAGCCGTAGTTCTTCAGTATCGCTGCCTCCATTAAGACCAAATTTCTACTGACATAACTCACGCTCCTGAAGCGAAATCTGACTAAGTAACGGTCAAAACCTCACAATGGACAATCTTCTCAATTGCTCGCTTTCAGGGCATCAAGATGAACAAAGTCAGCCTCTCTTTCTCTCTGCAAGGGGGGAAACCAAAGTCCAGACCCCACAGAGGAGGGAAGGTCCGTACAAAAGCGAGACAGAGACAATACAAGACGGGAGGAGGATGGTGTTATTGCCAGGAAATCTTGAAGGTCCATTAAAGGCGTGCATACCTGGTGGTCTTTGAAATGGCACCAGTAGCAGTAGCAGCAGGTTTTGTCGTGGCCAAAGTGCTGGGTTTTGGGGCAGTGGAAGCTGCTGGTCTGCTGGCAGTCACTGTGAAGGAAAAGTAAGAGGATGTGAAAATAAGACGTGAAAATCAAAAAAGGGACAAAAGATGCAAATCAAAGACTGATGTTGAGTTTTACCTGTGGTCTTGGGTCTAACAGTCTCAGCCACTGGTCTCCTGTTGGGGTTCCCATTTGCTGTAGTTGGTTTTGTACCGTTTGTAACTGTAGCAGCTGCTGCAGTGGTAGTCCTGGCTGCTCCAGCAGGCTTCCTGTCCTGCATTCTGGTTTGGTTCTTGACTGTTGTGGACACAGCTGCAGCACCTACTGCTCTTTTGGATGCAGCCCCTGCTGCTGCTGAGGCTTTTGCAGTTGTTGTCGTTGTTTTCCTGGCTGCAGCTGCAGAAACGTTGTTGGAGGATTTGACATCATTAGCTGTGCGCTGGGAGGTGGTTACTTGTCGAGAAGCCCCTGCTGACTTGGCTGTGACCTGCATTTTAGTGGCAAAAGCTTTTGGTTTTGCCTTGGGGTCTGCTGCCACCGGCTTCCCATTGGCCTTCGGCGCCGGTCCGGGGGCTGCGTCATTGGCAGCCTCCCCTGGTTGCAGTGGGGCTTGCTCTTGTATGTTTTCCTGCAATGGGGAGTGCTCTGCTTCTGCTGCAGCTTCAGTGGGCTCTGTGGTTTCCATATTAACCCCATCCGGTTTCATCACCTCCTCCTAAGGTGTGGATACCAACTTGCTGTTGTTTCTGACAAGGGCAAAGGACTCGCACTCGTCTTGAAAAGCCAGTTCCTCTCAAACTTTAGTGCCCTGCAAAAGAAAAACAAAAACAAATTACAAGGCTGTTTTTTTCTTACCTATTCGGCACTTAACATAAAGTCATATGTTAAAGGAGTTACTGTCCAAAGGAAACGCGATATAAGGTGATGGGCCTCAAAGGAATTGAGGAAATCTAAAAAAAAGGAAATGGGCTGCAAGACACACCAATAATCTTTTCCCTCATGACAGAACCATCATGATAATCCTGCCACACTAATATGAATCAGGAATCACTGTTAAAATGACAGAACTAAAGAAACTTGGACTCGTCTATTGGCCCGTTTTATGAGGCAGAAATAAAATGGATTACTTGTGACTCCAAATGGCTTCAAGCATCTTGAATTTTAAAAGGGGAAAAGGCTGTGGTTTGGTGCACTGGAAGCCAAAAAATTCACAATCTCCTAACATGACACACAGACCACAGAGGACCACAGAGGATGAGGGATAGGGAGGGGGTGGAAAATCACCACCAAATGGCTCATTTACAGGCTATTGTCTTCTCTGCTGAGGAGATGCAGATGGGCTTGATTATGTCATTGTGTAAATTCTTCATAAAGATTTGTGTGCTGGAGATTTCTTAATTGACAGAACTCATGGAATAAGAGAAATTTACGTAAAACGAGAAGCTGTGGTTGAATTATGAGAAAAATCATATGTGGATTTTCAATACACACCTGAATCAATTTCCCTTTCCCCAGACCCTGATCACCCCACTCACCCACACTCCTCATTCCTTTGCCCCTCTGACCAGAAGAGCTTTACCCCACCCCCTCTCAAATACCCCTCTCTTTTTTTTCCAATAGCTACTTGTTCCCCTCAACTCCTTGGTCACGTCCTCCCCTCCTCCCACAATTCATAGATCTGCTTCCAGTAAACTGCTGCACAGATGGCCCAGCCAGCAGAGGCTCTGTATGACCCTGGAAACATAGCTGTGAAAGAGATGGACTGAGGAGGAGGAGGACGCTGAAAAATAAAGAGCAGGACAGGATAAGACCAAAGATTTATGTGAAGATAAGGAAGTAGTGAAACAAAATGAATGCTGGCAGGAAAACAAGGACTGGTTTAACAAACTAATGTTTGAGCGAGCACAAAGTCGATAGGATTGGATCATATATTTTGGCCTTGTTCATCTGATTTTCAACCTAAATGGAGTAAAAAGCTTTGTTGTTGCACCACCTCATTTCCTCAATTCAGCCTGAACTTCCTCAGCCACTGACATCTTTTCCGGACAATACCATGTTTGGTACGTTCTACCATCGTAATTGCAGCATTTCAAATGTAAAACAGTCACTGGCGAGTGCACAGTGCAAGTTCTGTTGTGGTGTGCAGAATAATTCTGCTCCACATAGGCAATCATCATAAAATATTACCAGGCGTTTTGTTTCTCATTTGGTGCTACAATTACAAGTTGTTGTACTTTGTTAAATCCTGAAAAACAACACCACAGTGTTAATGGCGCTATATAAAAGCCATCAGCCAACCTGCTCCCCAATTAGGGCTGGGCGATAAACCAAAAATTTACCAATCCCGAAATTTATGACAATAACTGAAGTCATTTTGCCCATATCTGTATATTCTGTATTAAAAAAAAATAACTAAAAGTTGGTTCTGGGTGTGTCGGTAGGCTATTGTCTCATGTCCCTCTAAGACGCTGTCCTACGTCAAAAGATGTGACTCCACCCCATCGAGTCCATAACAAAGAGGGAAAGACTGGTGAGGAGATGGAGGACGGTTCAATAGTTGGAGTAGAGTAGACAACGTTAATATGGGAGGGGGTGAGCAGCTTGTGGAGTATTATCGTCCATTTATCGTTAACGAGGTGAAATGGTCAATATATCTTGATATTGATTTGAGGCCAAATCGCCCAGCCCTATCTCCAATTTTTGGCCATCTCGTTTAAAAACTGATTGGCTGACCATTAATTAGCCCAGTTTAAGGGCTACAGTATCCTGGAACACCTTTAACTAACATTTTAGAGTTTTACATAGGTTAACAAACAGGCTGAAATCATCAGTGATGTGTCTTTTTGAAGTTCAAAAGCAAAAAAAACATCAATGACCACATCTTAGGGCTGAGCAATATGGCCTCAAAACAATATCACGATATATTGAGCAGTTCACCTTGATAACGAAAAATGCCATGCCAGTTACAAATTTACATCTGAGGTAACAGAAACTGTTGCAAGATGAGTTAAATTATCTGAAATTAACATTGTAAAAAGGTCCCTATGGGTCTCAACCCTTGGGGCCTGGATTAAAAATAGCTATGTCTTAAAAAGCAAAAGACAAATCAAGAATCAGTCTGATGCCCAGCCAGGAATAACTTGTTAGGGCAGTTTATGTGGATAACTCCTGAATTCACCACCCTGTACACCCGACACAAACACCCATACCTCTATACACAGCGCCAAGACCCTCTGATCTCTTGTGGAGAATAACCGGGTCCTACCCTTTCGGTCCAGCTTTAGAAGAATTACAATCTGGACTCAGCAGTCGCCTTCAAGGCACTTTTATACATGCTGCCTCCTGTCGTCTTTCTGGTTCTTGTTTGGTCTCTCTGGTTACAAATCTCACACAGGAAAGAAGGCGAGAAAGCGAGACGTAGCCTGCCAACCGACACTACAGTGTGTTTGGGTTGGGAAATATCAGGCTTTATTTGGGGGGGATCAATTAGCTAATGTGCAGAGAACCTTCAGGATGTTGTTGGGTAAACAAAATCCATTATTGTCCCTCAGTTTAGTGAATAGGTTGGGTTTAAAGCTTTTAGCAAATTGAGAGCCATACACTCCAAAGCTAAATTTAAATAGCACAAATCTGTAACGGCTTTGGTTCATCACTGGTTTACGTGTTGTAAAAAGAGGCGTCCCAGCAGGTCAAATCTGCTATTCCTCATCAATATGAGCCGCCTGGTTTATTTTGACAGGAATGAGCTTCTTCAATCAGAATGAGCAGCCAGGCAGGCAGGGAGGCGGGCAGACTGGCACTGCGCATGGCGTGGCACAGTTTTGCCAGTCCAGCTATCAATGCCAGGGGCTTAGCATACACCAGAGTGAATCACATTCCTCATGTTGCTGACCCCCTCCTGGGCAAATAAAAAGCATCATCTCCGACCAGCTGACACTGTGTGACGCAGAATGAAGGGGAAGTGAATGGATCAGTAAAATCCCGAGCATAGACATGAATAAGCAATGTTTTACTAAATCACATGCTTGTTCACATATCCAAAAACGGGGAAGAGATTGGGGATTCTGCGTGGTGTTCCCACCTCTAAAGCAAGTGTGAGGCCAGACATCCAGATATGATGTTGTTAGAATGACTGCACGAATATAACAGCATTATTCAAAAGGTCTGCCTGCTTAAGATGAACAGCTTCACTCATTTTGATGAACAGAAAAAACACCCTTCATTGTCTGTCCATCACTTCAGCTTCATTTGCATAACAAAAGCTGTTTAGCTGAAGATTTAAAAGCATATTCAACATGCCGTCTTTATAGCTAGCTCCACATTTTCACTATCACTAATCAGCTCAATGTCCACGGTGACAATTACAATGTGCTGCAAGTTTGTGATGACGGAAACAAAAGCAGAAAAAAGTTCAGTGTGGGCCAAGCAGGCAAGGGAGGAGTGTGTGTTTATAAAGAAAGCCATCACTTTGCAGGATTGTCAGGGGGAGTCTGTCTAGACGGAGGAGGAACCCAATGGCCTCTGTGGTATTTACATTCTCCGCTTCTACTAATACAAAAATATGGCCCCGTGTGTCATTAAATCTTAGGCGACCTCTGTCTTGAGGCAGTTTAATTACATCTGTCATATCCCATCTTACATTCTCTCACTCTACACTCCCAGACATAAGACGTGGGGCCTGACAAAATGGGTCACTTTTAATACCGTGTCTAATACACACGGAGGGGGATTTAGTTGTGTTTATAGCATGGCAGGGGTTCAGTATGCATTGTGTGTAGACTGATGACAGCAGTGGTGAAGGGGGGCTTAATAACATCTGTGGATTTACCTCAAACTGCTGTCTGCAAATGTAAAACACAAAAAAGGCAATTCATTCGGGTGTGTAAAAGACTGAATGTGCATCTCAACTGCAAGTGAAGAAAAACTCGAGTAGCATATCAGCTAATATAAAGGTCTAATTCCTCTTTGTGTGCTTATTTTAATTAGTTATAATTAATTCATTGAGAGAAAAACAACTTTAATCTAACAGAATATGAATGGTTTAATTATTTGTAGGGATGTCCCAATCTGATATTGATATTGATATTTATATTGGTCCGATATCAGCAAAAAAGCAAATATTGGAAATTATCTACCTGCATCTAAAATCTCCGATATCAGCAGATATTGATATCAGATATCGGTCTGATAGCAAAAAGTAAATATCGGATTATACCGACGTGCATCTAAAATCTCAGATATCAGCACAATGATGATATCAGAAACCAGTCCTAGAATAGCAAAAAAGCGAATATCGGATTATATCGACCTGCATCTAAAATCTCCAATATCAGTTCTCCAATACAAACAGTCCATTCCAGACTCGACTCCAGTACCTCTGTCTAGCAGCGCCCGGATCCAGCATGCAGAGTACACTTGATCATGACAATAGTGTGTACTAAAGTACTAACAAAATAGCAAGGAGTAGGAGTGATATCGGCCGTGTGGCAGTATTTTTTGGTTAAGTCTGAAAAAGACGTTACAACTGAGTGCAAAACTTGTCATGCACAAGTTTGAGCCAATATCGGATCAATATCAGTATCAACCGATACTGAAGGCTTCAATATTGGTATTGTCTCAGAAGTAAAAAAGCTGTATCAGGACATCTGTAGTTATTGGTAATAAAGATGATCTCTGACTAGAAACCCTGTTATGTGGGAAACTTGCCATCAGCAAAGTTTCAATTTTCCAATCTCTGTAAAAAAGTTAATTTTCTCTGAGATGATTCATGGTAGCTTGTGCATGCCTTCAGCTTCAGTGGTATCAAGATCACATCTAAACCATCCACATTCCAGCACTGCTGACTCCCTCACCTTCCTTGGGGCAAAACAGTGACAGCTGGCTGTGTATGTAAGTGGAGGGAGGGGCTGAGTAGGTCACAGGGAGTGAAAGGGTCAAAGACAGGAAGTCTGTGTGCCCTCAAGAGAGTTAAAGTGTGTGAGACCTAAGTGTTCATGACATGAAAATGCCATTTGGGTGGTTTTATAAGCAGGTAGACAAAAAGGTAAAACCTGAAAAAGGTGACTCACAGCTTGATTCAACAGTGTATCATGACTCGAGTCTCACCTTTAGACTTTAGAGCATGATCACTGAGCTGTGAACTTGACCATGGCTGCAGTCAGATCTGGTAGTGATTAGCAGGTGGTGTTAGCAGAGTAGGGTATGGCTGTGTTTACAAATGAGATACGAAGGGCCTCTGCCTGTTTGTTTATTAACTTTCCTTTGGCGTGTGCTTGAGGGATAGGCACGTACACAGGAAAAAACACAGGCAGTATTCATTTTGAGAGCGGATTCAAACGTGTGTGTGTGCACAAGCAACTGTGAGTCAGTGAGAAGGGGCAAACAAGAGGTTTTATGGTGCTAAGGAAAGAAAGGGGTTTTCCTAAGGTTGTTCACTTGCGCTCAACGATTGGCACTTGTTTGATAAAACCTTTAAACATTTACTGGGTCAGTCTTTATGGCGTGAAAAATCTGAAAACAATCGCAAAAGTTGATATGTTGATTGTTTCAGAGACATGGAAGGCTGTGTAAAAGCCTACTGCTTCATCTGACCATACAAGGCAGCAGTGTTGTTTCTGCTCTATCACAGTGTTTAGTTCTCACAGAGAAACGAGGGAGATTCAACCTGTTCTTGGAAAACTGTTTAAAGCACACCCGCAGAGGATGAACCTAAAGTTTATAAATATATGAAGCAGTAAAAGCACATTAACAAGACTCAATCACACAACTGGAGTGTCAGCAGGCCTTCATGTTACTCCCTTCAAACTCACACGTGTACAAACTGCAAACATCGCCCTCTCTACCTTGTAGGGGTGGGAGGAAAAAAATCGATACAGCATAGTATCGCGATATTTTGTCTGTTGGGATATCGTATCATCTCAATTACCAAGAATCGATTTTTAAATTAATCGCTAATATGAAGTCAGATCTATGATAATGGAAAAATTAAATTAGCTGTTTGTCCTGTGAGGTTGGCAGAGGAGACATCATAGACCAGGGGAAAGTTAATACAACAAATATATATAAAGGTTTGCAAGATGTGCTAGGTGAAAATAAAACATATCATATAAATCGCAATATATTGTATCGCAATACTCATTGTATTGCAAAATGTTAAAAATCGCAATAATATCATATTGTTGCCAAAGTATCGTAATAATACGGTACCTTTTTTGCCTTACGTTTTTGAAAGTGATAAAAAAAAGGGCAAAATAAGTCTTGTGAAGTTAAGAGCTCACTTGGCGACTTCACTATCGACTATGATCTGTCTGAAAATGATGGTGACGGCTTGCAAAGGTTAGAAACATCCAATTAACATCAATTGAATGAAGGATGATGCAGCTTGTCAGCAGTTATCAGTGTCTGTGCAGCACAGCTATTGGATTATTGACTTATGGTGCAGTGTTCTGCTGGCTGTGGGGTGCTCAGGCTTACCTTGTATCAATGACAGTCCTCTGCCACCCCAAACAGGTCATGGGTTACATTATAGTTATGTATTAAAAGAGAACAAGGAACAAGGAAATACTTTTTTTCAATTCATTATTCAACCCTGCAGGAGATGACTGGCTACAATACAACAACCATTCATTCAATTCATTCTGTACAAAACAGACAATAACACAGCGGGACAACAGAGCTGAAAAAAAACAGATATGGGAAGAAAAGGAAGTGGTCCAACACTACTTTTGAAAACCATCTGTCACACTTTAAAATAAGTTTTATCCTTACAGCTTAAGGTGGTCTTGCCCAACAACCCCTAAAAAAATACTGCTATCAGGATTGAAAGGCATAAAAAAGCCAAACTAAACCAGTGAACCTCAAACAAAAGGTGCACCTCTCATAGGCAGGATTTCATTGACGGTTTCTCTTTTGCCTCCTAACAACCAGGCCCTGAAGCTGTTTGTCAGTACTGCATCTCTCTCTCAGCCCCCTCATGCCTGTCAATGAACCTTTTGATTTTTTTTTCTGTGAACTGTGTGTTTGAGAAGGAAACGGCTTACAAAGTCTACTCCGGAAAAGACGGCTAAGACGATGAATGGCACCCTGGACACCTTAATTAACCCCAAATGATCTTTCTGACTGAGTCGCTGGCCTCTCCTCTCCTGTTACAATGAAACTGGGAGCAAGTGAATTACCTGAATTACATTTTTAACCTTGAAATTAAAGTCTCCTGAATAATCCTTTAACAATTTGAATCCCAGAAACGTTACTTTTTTTCAGCAATGACATCTGTGACAACTGAGATCTAAGTAATCAGACAATGGTGATAAATTGTTAAAGAAAGGACAAACCCTTTCCAAATACTACCAAAAATACAAACAGCAAGGAAAAAATGCCAACTTGGCAATTCTTGTCATTATCATTATTGACAAATCATGAAATTTCGGTGGTATCAGGATTCCTCTGGCACTGTGTGTATTTTCACGAATGTCCTGAAGCACTAATAAACTAGATTCCTGGAAAGATAACTTTGTATGTTGATGACAAGTCCACTATGATAGTGTGACAAGACTTTAAAGACACAATAAACCAAAACTATGGACCTGAAAACAGACTGCCCACCCTGCTGTCTCTTCACAGCAGGGCGACAAAATCTGTTGTTCGGCCATTGCCGCAATCATATGAAATAATTGGTTAACTGGAATAACTTCAGGGAATATAAGGTCACACTAGGGCTGGGCGATATGGCTTCAAATCAATATCACGATATACTGAGCAGTTCACCTCGGTAACTATAAATGGACGATAACTACTCCACAAGCTGCTCACCCCCTCCCACATTAACTTCGTCTACTTCAGCCGCTTTTACAACTTTTAAACCGTCCTCCACCTCCTCACCTGTCTTTCCCTCTTTGTTACAGACTGGATGGGGTGGAGTCACGTCTCTGACGTAAGACAGCATCTTAAAGGAACATGAGACCATAGTCTACCTACACACATCCAAAACCAGCTTTTATTTTTTTATTTTCTTTGACACCTATTTTACCGATATGGGCAAAATGACGTTGGTTATTGGCGTAGATTTTCGGTTTATCACCCAGCCCTAGATCCCATTTCTAGGCTAAGCAGTCAAAGAGTATTTAACTGGAATTCTAGAAAATGTTGGGTTATATGGTCCAGTATATAAAACATTTTTAGCATTTTGGCTGACTTGGATATTCCGTCTCATTTTTTGAAGGCTAAGTTTAGAGCTGCTACTGTGCAATCCATCCTGGTTCTTCATGTTGGCTGCCAGCACACATTACTTCAATGCCTGCTTGTTTTAACATTTGATGAAAACACTTAGTGGACAGCCAAAAAAAAATCCCTCTGTGATCAAACCGTACTCCAAGCCAAAAAAGAAGTAACACCCAGATTGATCCTGGTGTTTCCCACTGGCTGTCTAATCTCCAACAACTATGAAATATATAAATATCACTTTTAAAAACACTGATACAATGCCTATCTGCTTTATGGGGTAAAAACGATCTTTACTGTTAACTAAGGGGAAAATAGTTGTTTTAAAAATCAGGACAGGCAGGGGGCTTGGTGTTAAGCGTGCAGCTTGCTCTAATCAATTCCATACGGGATACTAACAATGTGCTAAGTGACTGTAAGCTACTCAATAAGGCCATTAGGAGCAGGTGGTTAAGTGTGGCTACAAGCTAAGTGGACTAAGCCAGTTAGCCTGTAAGGGAGTGGCAGAAACAAAGGGATGGACTAGCAGCTACTGGCAGCAGACCGGTCTAAAAAGCTGCAGGGAAATGGGTTACAATCTGTTCCAGAGCTGGCAGTGTTTTCAAATAGCACTGGCCAGACTCTGCTGCCAACCAGGACACGCTGAGAGCAGGCTGAGCGGAGTCAGGAAGGTGCTCCCATCAAGCAGGGAGAGGAATGATCGCACGTGTTCGTGTGCGTTAAAACCAAATGTGGAGGATACAACAAGTATGACCGTCTTAAGAGTTCGCCTGAATAGCTGAGGATAACATTAGGGCGCTGTGAGGGGGAGGGTGGGGAGACAAGTCCTATTGTCTGCACTGTGCACCACGTAACCCCCTCTAGCAGGGTGCTGAGGGGGGTGGGGGTTGGTTTTGAGTGGATTAACTTGTGCAGTTGGAGCGATTGAGCAACTGGTGCAAAGACCTTCTACCACGAGTACCTGGGGTATCTAATGGGCGCAGAGTGAAAGAGGGCATTAATTTCTAACAGAAGACAAGCACATCACATACATTTCATCAGTCGCTTTACTGACTGTTTGCAATACGTTCAATAAGCCAATATGAGGCTTCAGATGTAGGTAAGGTTTGGTTTTTCAGAACAGTATAGTGTTTAAGGCTCAGTGTTGCAACACGTGAGGAAAATAAAAGACAAGTAGGAGGGGAGCTAAAGAAATGGTCATACAGCAGATTCAGAGCAGTTGTACAACAGTTCCAAACTCATATCAGTTTCCTGACAAAGACGTTTTGTCCCCTGTTATCGCTTCTCTATTTCTTAGTTCCTGTTTCCAACCACTGTGAGCTATTAAAAGAGAAGGGAAGAAGTTTGGGAAGACAAAAATTGAAACACGATCTCATGCTGACATTTTACCAAGAATTACTTCTACATTAAAAAAAAAGGACGTAAGTAATTCTGCTCATTTTTTTTGGTTGTTGGAAGGCCGGCGGCTGACATTAGTCTTTCTTTGATAAAACCAGCCAGCACAAGTCAAATAGCTTTGGACAAGCAGGCAGATAGTCAATAACCATGATGGAGAGCCTGGGGGCTGGATCAGTTACCAGGCCTCCGATGTTGCAGGGTGAGACGGGGCCAGATGGACAGTGATCCCGCATCTCGCATGCCTGCCTCTCTGACAGCGAGCCAAACCCACAACCACACCCCTGAATGTTGTGAAACACACACCAGGACTGTCACTTTGAATTCCATAACTGGATTTTGTGACTGGAAGAGTTAACAGGAGGAAAGACTTGTGCTGGTTGGATATGAGGAGCGGTCGGTGGGGTGAAAAAAATTCCCTGATATTGTATTTGTATACAACATTTGATGACAAAATAAGTTGTAGTCTTAGGCAGATTCAGATGCCAATGATAAATTGATTGTGGCGTAACTGCATGTGTTTTCTGTGATGCAGAAAAGCATTCACTGGAGCTAGGTTTCTGATGAGTAAGCCATTTTTATAACCTCTCCATCTTGGTCGAGAGTAGCAAATGCAAAACAGCAACAGAGATGAGACAGGTAGACAAAGCATGACAAAACTGATGCAACGCTTTTGCATTGAAAGGTTTCACCCCCAGCTCTGCAAAGAAGACTGCCTGCAAACACTCTCTTTACGGGAGCATGTCTATAGCATGTGCATTGTACAAGCTTCTGATCATAGGGCACACTAGATATCTCTTTTTTAAACTTTAACTGTGATAATCAGCCAAACGGTCTACTACAGCCATTCTGTGGGTTTTGCTACAGCTGGGCGATATGAGCTCAAATCAATATCACGATATACTGGGCAGTTCACCACAATATACCCTGTGTCAAAAAATAAAATGTAGGAGGGGCTGAGCAGCTAGTTGAGTAGTTATCGTCCATTTATCGTTATCAAGGTGAACTGCTTAATATACTGTGATATTGATTTAAGGCCATATCGCCCAGCCCTATGTTAGAGTAAAAAAAGAAAATGTTGGCGTAACAACCGTCAAGTAATTTAACTATTCATTATCTGGTTAGTTCAACTTTTACCAAACAAGTGTTTTCATATTTTGGGTACAGCGGCATTTCCAACAAAGACGAAGCTACTTGCTGACTCAGTAAAAAAATATCCAAGGATTCAACAGCTTGCATTTCAGTGATGGGAAAGCTTATGGTGGCTCCAAAATTAGTGATATAACATCTACTGGGCAACCTTGTCTGGCTTATTTTCACTGCACTCTCTTTCTCAGCAAGAAGATTTGAGAGGATAGAGGCCAGAGCAAGATCCAACTCCCACAGAGCAGCTACTGTCAGCACACTGGTAAAAATTTAACCGTATGTGTGTTCTCTAATATTCAGCTTCACCTATATTCCACCATATTTTTCTTTAACCACCTGCAGACTCAGCGTTATTTTACAATGGTAGGATGTGACCTGAAAACATTCATGGGCATACCAGAAAGTTTCTCAGGGTTGCCATCAAAAGTTGCCAAAGTGAACGAAGAGAATTTTGAAGTGCTGAATTCCTCTTTGAATAATTACAGTGCACTGACTGAGCCCAGTCTCACCGTCCCAGACAGACAGAGTGCCTGAAACTGCAGCGCCAGCGTGCACCACTTTATCCTAATGGGCAGGAGAGTGCCAGCCTCCAAACCACACTGACGAACACTACAGCCCCACACCATCTCTTTATCCCACAGCTGAAGAGCAAAGTGCGACATGGAAGACACACGACAAACATGGAGGGTGGATGATAAATTATGGTTTAACCCTGAACGTCAGGATTTGGGATTAAATTTCCATGGGTGTGGGTTGGAGACTGACACTGGTTGCGAGCTGTAAAGAGCAGCTGACTCTTAAACAGATGCAAATGCTCTGCCCTGAACAGGGGTTGTGCTTTCCACTCTGCTACCCTGGTTATTAGTGACATCTGAGACGTGGAACAGGCAGAGAAGTGCCAGTGTCCCCTGAGGTAAAAAGTAATAGTTTGAACAGATTTAAGTTCAGTCATATTGTGGAAAAATTCACAGGAGAGAACTACAGATAAAATAATTTGTCAGGGAATTAACCGAAACTAATTTGAATAATAGCTAAGCAAAAATGCCGCATCTTATTTTTGATTTAAGGTCCTTTCACGCCGGGACCGTTTTTTGTCATGTGATTATTTCGGACGTCAGTATTTTTTTTCGAACCCGTATCCTGTCAATACAAATGTTCACATCAGCAATGTTTTCCCATCCTGTGATATTGCGGCATTTATTTTTTCGTATCATGGTCGATTTTTCCAAAGTTTCGCAGACTGTGTGTCCACTCCTGACCAATCAGATTTCGTGTTGTTGCGACGTCAGATTCACCGATATATCCAACATGGCCGACCGGCTGATTGTTTACGTGTCGGAGAACAGAGTACTTTTTGTTAAAAAACACAAACATTACAAAGATAACGACCTGAAGGACAAATTGTGGAGAGTCATAGCGTCGGATTTCTCATATGACGATGGTTTGTGTGCTTTAACAGTTTGCTAAACGTCTTTGTTTTAGCTTACATCTGTGCTAACGTAAGCTAACGGTTGTTACCATAGTTTCATGTGCTTATCTTAACGCCTCTGATTGGCTATAAGTGCTGACCGTTTGGCTTGAACAACGTGATGCTTCTTTTCCCCCCCAGAAAGTCGACTGATTCCAAACAGGAAATTCGGCATCACTCTCTCTTCTCACGCTGTGGGATCATAGAGGGGGTAAAATTTTAACCCCTGACCCTGACACATAAAACCACCATTACTTCTTACAGCTGCTCACAAATGCACACGCACTTACACTCACCCACACAATGCTCAATGATCAGCCCAAATCAGCAGCCTTGAGATGTATCAAACAGCCAGTATAACATGCCGTTTGATCGGGGAAGTTGACTCCAGAGACAGGCAAAAACTAGTTTTGTTCACACACCTGTCAACTCAAACTACAAAAAAAGAAAAAACTTGTTTGACAGATGGTTATTCGACACAGTCCTCAAGAGATAGAGCAGAAAGTATTCAGAGTATTGAAGGTATTTAAGCGAAGAACTAAACAGGTGTCTCACAAACGTACAGATTTGTTTCGTGATATGATTGCAAATGTTGAAATGTAAACCCCCATTCTTTCTCTCTGAGTCAAGTTTGACACTAATGACCATAGCCATCCTAATTAGGGAAGCAAAGATCTGCCCACGTTGATAAGTCTAGGTAGTAGTTGAAATGCTTGACAAAACTGAGACAGTTTCAACTCACAGCTACTCTGAAAACAAGGCTACTTTAGAAGTATACTTAAAAATGAAAACTAAGCTAGAAGTTGTTTGTAATAGCTACCGAAGCATTGCTCTCTTTAAGACTGCGACACACACCATGTTCAGAGGGATTTAAAGTGTGGAAACTTTTCCCTGCATAACATTTTCTCTCTTCTTCATCCACCTGTCCGATCCCTAGGGTCTGCTTTAGGTTTAGGGATGCACTCAGTGAACTGAGATAGCTATTCTGAGCTCCTTTTGTGCTTTGCTTCAGCTTTTAGGAAGGGGAAGGGGAAACAGAGGTGCGGAGAGTGGAAGTGGCTGTGCGGTTTATAAACACAGGGTCCAAGTCGCAAAGCTTGATCAAGCAAAAGGGTGTGAGTCCTTGGGAATGGCAAACAAGATTGTGTTAGCTTAAAGAGTCATCACACTAGAAGGTCAGTTGGTACATTTACATGCACAGTTAAGCATGTAGCTCAATCAGACAATTTTACAGGACTAACTGCCCATGTCCCAGGTGAGAATCGGTTTACTACCAAAAGTATGTCCACCTCCGGTACATTAAGTTTCAGCTAGACTGCTGGACTGTCTTTCAGTTGACCTATATACCAAATCAATCGACAAACAAGTGTTCATGAGGCAAACTTGTTTGTATAGCTATTTATAGCTCTGTACCTTTTATACATATTTTACATCTTTGTCTTGTTTCTTTTTCATCTTCTTCTTCCTACGCTGAGATTGTGATGACTATCTGGCTGCTTCTGTTGCAGTTTAACTTCTGGGTCAAAGCCCAACATGCAAACAGTGGAGCATGCAGAGGACTCTGGACTGACTGAGTAATACATGCAAGAGAAAAATCAAGCCCCCACAGCCTTCTAAAAAGTTCAATTTAACTTGGACTATTGGATAAACCAACTTCAATCTGTTAAAAACAGATTTCAATGTGCTCTGTGAATGTTAACTGTGTGTACAGTCTTTCTCCCTTCGAACTACCTCTCCTAAATCTCTTAAGCGTTCAAATATTGGTTCACCGTGAAAGTGTACCTCCAAACAGATACTTAACTTGTTTGCTTTGTAAACAATGGTTTTGTGATGCATTACCCTCAATGAAGGCACAGTTAGTGGCACAGGTTTTATCATCAACAGACTAATTTAAAAAAATTACCTAAAAATTTGAGTCATTTATTCTTAGAAGCAAGCATTCAACACTTTATGGTTTGCTCACACGGTCACAAGAAATTTTACTACAATACTTATAAAGCCTCCATGCAAACATTCTGTTTGACTTATGGCAAAAACCCGTTTGATTGTAGACAACAGAGGGGAATTTACCCTAGTCAAAAACCTGAAACTCAGTTTGCATCTGATAGTATCAGTATCCAGCAATAAGCTCTTGGAGCTTGGCCAGAAAAACAGGAAGTGGGAGAGAAAGCCCATGTGCATGTGTCATTCACACTTGCCTTCACAAGCTGGTGACAGAAAAAAAAAACCTCCTCAGCAATGTCTCACACACTCTGGCAGCAGGACCAGGAGGGTCTTCTAGAGGAAACACCCTCCTCTGAATACCAGTGTCACTGCTCCTACATCCAAGCCCTGCCCACCACACCCACACAGCCCAAAACACACCGATTATGTAACCTATACTTCAAGCCAAAACAGCATCCCTCTATCACTGAAATCTGCGAACAACGCTGTTTTGAGGGTCTGCCACTAAGCTCTTTCTACTACTCTTCCATTTTTATAGTCAACTTGCCAAGTCAAAACTGAGATCACTTCATGTGCGGGGCTGCAAATATGAAAACAGATGATGGCAATCAGTGCAAGAAACTACTTCAGAGTGCAAGCAAGGAATGCTGGGTGTATGTACTTCAACATGAATATTAAAAACCTAGGACTCGGCGATACATTGATATAAGAAATATATCAATATATCTGGAGATGGAATTGGACCATATCAATGTACAGATATGAGGTGTTGTTGTTGACTTTAGACAAAGAAGGGCACACTTGTCTGTCCTCTAATGTCTACATCAAGCGCTGACTGTTTATTAAAGTAAAAAAGAAAGAGGGGGAAATGTTCATAAGTCTGTTCATAGTCTTGTACAACTGGTTGAGACTGCTAAGAAGATAAGAAAGACCGAAAGACCGATAGGTAATCTCAAAATGATTTTTCAGAACAATTTTCTTAAACTGAGCACTTCATTTTGTTCTGTCTTTATAGATGTAAATGCAGCTCTTACTAGGGTTTGTCATATTTAATTCTTTTGTAGTGTTTGTTGTTTGCATCTGTGGAAGAAAATCTGCAATTTGATTTTAATAGGCCATTTATAGTTGTCAAAATGTTGATGCTTTTCTCATATAAATTTTTACTTTAAGGGCTATTTCTATTTAAGACACATTTTTCATTTTAATGTGCACCTTATGGAGCTACTCCTGTGGATATACTGTATTTATTTTTACATTTTACTGTTTTTTGAACAGCTGAGCATAAATTTATCCTGATAGATTAAATAGACCTACTTGTGACATGTCATATTTGGCTTTGACTGTGGCTAAACATCTCACTTTGTGATAACAATATCAGAATATATATCGTATTCAGCATAAATATATCGGGATATGACTTTTGGTCCATATCGCCCATCCCTATAAAAACCTAATGATATATCAGGGGTGTGTGACCAAGTTAACAGAAATAATTGGGAGTGGTATTTCATATGTCCCCTCTTCCCAGGACATTTAGTACTTCATATCTAATCTATACAAAATCGTCAAAAGATTATTTTGTTGGTTTAGTGTCCAAGAATCCCTGGCAGCCCCCAAGGGCCCCACTTTCTGAAGAGCTTCTGGGTGTTTTTCCAAGTCTCTTGTCGAGCTTTAATGACACCGTTTGTCTCTAAAAACAAACTGAGTCCTCGCAGGTTTAGCAAAAGGCCCGGTTTAGCCTCACAGAACAATAGCAGTAGTACACTGTGGCAGCTTGCAGAGAGGGCAACACACGAGGCTGGTCGATATATTGAACCTGATACTACTTGAAGCATGCCAACTGGGTGTTGGACCAGTGTGCAACCAAATAAACGGCTTTAGGGAGTGAAACACGTTGAAATCACCGCCCAGCCGTTACCGTGCCGTGCTAACGTTTACGTTTCACATCCATCATCACATCCAGCCACACACACTGGCCGTTTCTCACTACAAAGAGGGCGTCTGGTTTTAAAAAAACAAGTACTGTTTGGTTCATTTAGAAGACAAGAAGAAAAAAAGAGAGGGTGACTTTACCTGTCATGAGGGACGTTACAGTTAAAATACATTTTAAAACGATAATGTGACACAGCGTAACTTAAATTATGTCGTCTGAGGAAGAAACCGTTGCAAACGTAGTAAATGAGTAAACCCACCTTTTAACCGCCGCGTCTGTCCCGGTGAAGAAACAAACAGTCCCTCCCTCTTTCTTCTCTCTATCTCTCTTCTCTCCAGTACTGAGCCGAAATGCACTAAATATGTCGACACAGCCGTAAATTTCCCCAGACTGACTAACAATGGGGCTGCGAGCGTCCCTCTCCGTGTCCTTTCCTCCACGTTTGTGCAGCAGCGGCAGGCGGTGGCGGCGGCGGCGGCAGGCTGCTTCCCTTCATGAAGGATGGACCCGGGCGGGGAAGGAGGGGGGGAGTGACGGAGGCGTCCAGATTGAAAGGAGGAGAAGCGTGGTGGTCATAAAAAAAACATGCAGATTATAATCCCGCGAGCGGTCCAATCAAAAACGCGAGACCGGTGGTTATGCAAAGCGGGAGTGACGTCAAATTCAAACCAAGCGCGAGCTGTGACTTCGGGGCACGAGGGGGTTCGCTCGACTGTGGTCCGGAGACACCTAGGGGCGCGAGCGAGTGTATCCTGAAGGAGCCCGTATAAACCACAGTACATATGTGTAATTAGTTTTGCCTTTATCCATTTTTTGAGGGGATAGCCTCATTATTGTTTTTATTTTATTATTATTATTATTTTTAATTTAATTTGTCATAGCTTCATATTCACGTTGCAGTAGGGGAGACTGGGGCAAGTTGAGCCATCCCCTGTTGCTCTGAAATGGTCAAAGAAATTGATCATGTGACCAAATATTTAGGAGATGGGCATCAATTCATGGAGTCTGTGAAGGTTAGAAGCACATGGGTGAAGGGGTCAAACATTTATTGAAAAAAAAATAAAAAAAATGTTCACTCTTTAAATGTGAGTTTAGTCTGTCATACGTTTTATTAGAATTGTTTTCAGACCAAAAAAGATCATTTTAAATTTGTTTTCTACATCAATTGTGGTATTTATGAGCTACAACATGAGGTCAAAAACCTAGCACAAAAGTCCACCATTTTAACTTAGAGCTTAGAACTCAATTACTGGAGGTTTCAAACACTATGTGGCAAGACGCAATGCATGACGGGATGCCCACCACCGGTGAGTGACCATCAGATGGTCACTACATTTTGCAATGCTTTATGGGAAATTTTGAGTCGCCTATATGGGGCACTGGAATTGATCACTCAGGTTTCAGACACCCCTCAAAATGGCGCTAACCCCCATATAGTCACCTATATAGGGGTTAGGGATCCATTTTGGACACAGCCAATGTTGTAATAGTAGTTCAGGGGTAAGTTGAACCAGTGGCTCAACTGAGAAAGTAAAGGAGTCTGATGAGAGGATCAGAGTTTCAGTCCAGATTGTTGAAATGTTTGACTTTTTCTTTTCAAAAATACAGCTGTGAATGTTCTGAATCACTTAAAGACATTCTCATGTTATATCGCTTACCCCATACACAGGGTAAGTTGACCATAGTAGACTACTTTTTTTGGCATGCTATATTATCAAGACAGTTCTATTTACACTCATTCTGTTGGTTTGCAGGGGTGCACAACATCTTGAAATATATGCAGATACACTAGTTAGAGACAAAACTATGATTGTCTTGATGTAGTGATCTGAAATATGAAAAATGGCTTATCTTACCCCACTCTCCCCTACCTACAAATAACAAAACTGTCATAATAACTAAAACATTTGCAAATTCACATTTCTGACAGAAAGGCAGCAAATAAAATATACAAAGGGCAACGAGACAAACACAAGAAAGGTACAAAAGTGGTGCAGACGCTGCAATTATATCCCACTTTTCATGTTCAGTACAAGTCAAAGTTTAGAATTACAAGAGCCTTCATTTCTGAAAAGCCACTGTAACAATTTTTTTTGCAACAACACCCAATTTTTTAATCTAATTGTTCACAGTATGTTCAATCAACAATGGACCCTTAAATCTACCCAAGACTTGTCAAGGATCAATAAATAACTTATTTGCAGGTATTCTGATCCTCCTAGTTTATAATTTTATACTTTTTCCTATTTTCTTTCACTGATTTTTACTCTGAACTCAACCGTAAAACACTGCAAGTATGCTTAACTTATCATAGACCACTTTTATCTGGACTGTTGGATCGTAACATAAATTTTAAGCACGAAAGGTTCAGGAGAGGAATCATCAAACCTCCAATTTCATGCCTTATTCTTTTCTTCCAACCACATATTTATTCTCCATGCCCAAAATGAAATATGAGATCCAAGTTGCATGAGTTATAGTCCTTCTTCTTTGCACAAACCCATATACAGACATTTTTTTCCCCTCTGGAGGTCTGGATAACTGGGACAATGCCTTAAAAAACTTCAACAGAGAAAGTTTCTGTTTGAGTTCCATTAGTCATTTTCTAAACTTGTAGTCGAGCAGAGTGTCCACTCCTCTATGGTACAAGCCAGGCCACAATAGCTATGAGCTGAAAGCTGCAGCTGCACGCTCCACAATAGAAATCAATGAAAAGGGAGAAGACATACAAAGACTTTTGCTGCTCACATAGAGAGAGAGAGAGAGAGAGAGAGAGGGAGAAGGAGTGAAAGGGTAAAGACGTGACATTATCTGTTGTTCTCTCCAACAGAACTCCAAGAGTTGAAAAGAAAAGGGAGACTTTTAGAAGAAGAAGACAAAAGCCTTGAGCAAGGAGAAATCTGAAACTCTGTGAGTGAAGGAAGGAATGAAGGCTTACTAGAAATTCTTAACCACGACCCCGTCAGCGCACCCAATCTGACTGTTCCTCAGCAAAGAGGGAGTGAGTCATCATGCCTCAGCTCTGCCTCTCCATCCCACCCTTCAGGACTCAGGCAGCTGTTTCATCAGCAGCCTGTCAGCCTTTCCTATCGGCAGGGGAAGGGAAAAACCCAACACCCTCTATAAAGTTTTAGGATTTTGACTCCTGCTTTGTAAGCTCTTTGAGTGCAAGTTTTTGCATAATCATGTTTTTTTAAGCTGTTTTATTCAGCGTGGATTCGCAGAAATTGTGCTGGGAAACCATTTCCTGATTCTTGTACTTGTATTTTCCCAAACAATAGGTTCTAATGGCATCCATCACTTGATAACAGTGATGAAAAAGCTGCTAAATCCTCCTACTTCCTGTCCATCCAATTCAGATGGCTTCATAATGTTGTTACACAAAGGCGTGGCTCTGCACAGGCTCCTGGAGAAAATCCATAACATGATTAGGATGGACTGATAATCTACAAGGCGTTCGTTCACAGACTTAGCCTCCTTTGAATCCATTTCTTTGTTGTGGTCTCCAGGTCAGCCATCAGCACCTGGTTAGTGAAGACAGCTGCACACACTGCGAGCACACAACTCGTCACTGAAGATACAAGACAGGAAAAGGAAACTGCTGCAGCTGCTACAGGCCTGTATTTTTTCAGACTGAGCTGCTTTGTTAATATAAAAGGCTCTCAACTTCAAACAACAAGGAACAAATAAGCCAGTAGAGCATGCTTCAGTTCAAGCTGGGATCAAACTAAGATCAACAAAGACCACACCCGACAAGAGCACAGCGAGGGAACTAATTCTGGAGCGATCAAACCATTTTTACCCATTATTTCATGTTTGCATGTTTTCTTTTGAAAGAAAATGAATTGTTATGAGGGGTATCAAAACAAGAGTTCTAGCTTTCCCTCCTTCTTTTTCACAGTCTGACATGAACCATCAAAGCACGAGCAGAGCAGTACATAATGTATGATGATATTAGACTAAGTGGGTGGAAGGCAGAGGATGTGCTACATCAACTGCCAAGTCTCGATGTGGACGCTCAATAAGCAGGAAATGAGCTCATCATATTGGACTGTTCTGAAAAAATAAAAAAACGAGAAAGATCCAGAGCTGCAATTTCCCCTCTGTGAACCCTGTGTGTCGCAGCATCGAAACAAAAACATACAGAGTTTTCACAACAGCTGTGTTTGACCACGTGTCAGCCTGAGGAGACACAAGTTAAAGTTTGTGTTAAATACCCTGAGGGACCATTCTTACATCTGCCAAAGTGGATAATCTAATTTTCAGATTAAGGCATGTATTTGTAAAAGCACAAATGGACACCAAGGGCCCTCAACTGGCAAAACAGAGGAACTGCACTTGGAGTCATCTAATTAGATCATGACAACAAAGAAATTTGGAGGGATATTCTGGGTCAAACACACCGCAATACCAAATTAAACACCCCCTCAAGAGATGAATGTTGCTTCTCCAGTTATACCAACTTTAGTAACGACCGCAGGATAGCAATACACAGGGGTCTGAGGAGCCATAGAAAAACCTCAACCAAAACGCCACTCTATAACCACAAATAATGCTCAGAACAGCACCTAACTTCATCAACAGTACATATAGGGTCCCAGCTATAGTACTAGCCACCAAACATCTTTTTAGCTTTGCCTAATTTCCTTAGCAAAGAGACTAAACGCAACTCACCTACTCTCTTCCAGCAGCTGCTTGTGTGTAGTGAGACCTCAGGCCAGTCCATTTCGGCGGGGTGACGCAGCTCAAGGAAGAACATTTATGATCATTTCTTCATGGAAATACAATCAGATCGCTATCAGACGCTAAGACAGAAGAACTACCGCGTCTGCAGTGCAAAATGATCAATATGGTGATTATTACTTCAAGGAAATGATTAAGTAATGATCATAAATGTTCTTCCTTAAGCTGCGTCACCCCGCTGTAGTCCGTAATGGACTGGCTGGAGGTCTCGCTACAAACAAGCAGCTGCTGGAAGAGAGTAGGTGAGTTGCGTTTAGTCTCTTTGCTAAAGAAATTAGTTAAAGCTAAAAAGATGTTTGATGGCTAGTACTATGGCTAGGACCCTAAATGTACTGTTGATGAAGTTAGGTGCTGTTCTGAGCATTATTTGTGGCTTTAGAGTGGCGTTTTGGTTGACGTTTGCACATGGAGACGTAGACCGCTGTGTTTTGCTATCCTGCAGTCATTAGTAAAGTTGGTATATCTAGAGACGCAAGCGGTTGACAACATTCATCTCTCGAGGGGGTGTCTACCTTGGCGTTACGGTGTGTTTGACCCAAAATTAATTTTACGCTGGAATATCCCTTTGACAATTTTTAAATGTCAAAGATGATCCTGAAAACTGAAATCAACAAATCATTTATTTATATAACACCAAATGGATGACTTAAAGACAACTTTATGTCGTTAATGCTTACATCTTTGTAGCAGTGCAGATCATTTGTATAAAAGACACACAAAAACATGAAAATGTAGGAAAGTACATTTAGGTAATTAGATAATATATATACATGCTTGTTGTACAATTTAAAGTTAAGGCTATGGGTACATTTGGCACATCATGTAGATCCAAACTGACAATGTACAAATTTAGCTTAAAGCAACATTGCAGGCTCCTTAAACCGAAGCCGAAATGACAGAAAAAAATACTGTCATCTCTCACTTCACTGACCTCTACTGTTCAGACAAGACATCTATGTTTTACTAACCTGTGGGGTCAAGACTGTTGATCCCTTGGCTACTGTGCATTCAGTGCGGTACTTAGAGAATGAGAACTGAATTCAAGATAAAGTTGAAGATTACTGTACTCTCAAGACATCATTAAATAGACATTAAACGGACTAAAAATCACTATGATTCACTATGACAGTATATGATTACAGAGACAGAAATGTGTGTTGTTGTTTTTTTCTTTGCTATCATTAAGTTGTCTTGTTATCTACCCTAAACCCTGCTCTTAGTTGTTCAGGCAGTTCACGTTATACTCCTCTTAAAACAAACTGATGCAAAGAAATAAAGTGATGGGACTCTAACTTCCGAGCAATGGATGAACTCCTTGTTTCTTGACGTACTTTGTCATCGTTAACGAAACATAAACGGTCAGGGAAAGCAATGTTGAGTGATCGCTATTGTAATGTAATAAAGCAATGCAATTCAACGGCTCAATGCATCACATAAACAAATGCAGCAGTGAATACATCAACTGCAGAGTCTGCATTTGAAGGCAACATGGTGTTAGTGCAGTGGAGCTGTTTGAAACTTTATACTTGAGATTCAGCCACAGGAGGGAAAACACATCAATCCCGCTTGGGTCTGTTTGTCCTATTTACCGAAGGCATCTCCCAGATTATCTTGAGCAGCATATGGAATGATAAGTTTCACTCAGTCTGTGTGAATTTAAACATCCTATGATAGTTGCACAGGACTCTATAGCATATTTGACTCAGTGGAGCAAAAACTGTACACATTATATTCAGGATGACGTGGAGTTTTAAATAATGGAGTACTTGGGAATAAGGTATTTTCTCAAAATATGTTCTGGCATAGCAGCCTTATCTAAAGAGCAGAGTCTTCAAGAGGTCACCTATTTTGAAATACTATAAAAAGACAAACACAAAAATGTTAACAGACAGCACCGTGTACAAACTACTTAAGTCTACCCTGTTTCTACCACTATGTGGGTCATGTTTCTTGTTCAGCACTGTGCATCACTTAAAACACGAGAAAGAAATACTGTTTTGCTTAAAAACTCGACACAGAAAATTATCTGTGCATTCATGATGCTGCAGGGTCCAGTTCACAACAAGAGGAAGGTCCAGTCCTGCATGAGTCTGGAGTTTTTTATAAACGCAGGGTTGAGAGGTTGAAAAAAGTGAGGGAGGTTTTTCTTTTTTTAAAGGTTCCTTCTGGCTGATGTCGACTCCTCCTTCACATGAGGTTTGACCCAAATACAGCATGTTTGTACAGAGACACTGGGCGTCACGAGTGTGCGCGCAGTGAATCCCTGTGGTCAGCAGGGGGAGACAGTGAGGCATGTGAGGTCACTGAGGTCATCTTTAGTTCACCAGCAGGTTGTCTTCATACGTTGTTGTTCTGAGGGGATAAAAAACATAGGCATGCTTAATTCATAACATTTTCACAAACTTTTATTTACAGTCACATCGTGTTGGAATTTTCAACAAAACATACCAAACAAAGGACTCAGACATGGTTAAAAACATTGTAAATACAGTATGTTTTATAGTACTCCATAAACAGAAATGTATAATTCTGGGGGGAGTTTTGCTTTTATTTTGATATGGATGATTGGACGATAGTCAGGAGAAGTGATTGGTTTGACCTGCAATAATGGTCCCTAATGGAGGAAAACACTTGAAGATGGTTCAGTTTAGATGCGTAAAAAATAGGGCCACCTGGCACCCAAAACTCCAGTTTCTACAACCGAAAACTTCAGAATATATCTTATACTTCTTTTTTTTGTTTTTGTGTTGTTTTTTTTTCTTTTAAATGCTCACTGCCCTTGTTTTGTTCCTTGTAATCATAAACGTGCCGTGATCTGTCTTTCTGGCTGACATTCAAAACATGAGCCCATGGACAGTTTTATGACTTGATATGACTCAGTAGCTCACGAGTGTTTCCTCTTTTCGTCTATGTTCCTACTTAACACATCATAATAAAATGAAAAACCATAAATGGTAGGGTTGTAATCACCCCCGTAAAATATATTCTTCCCCCCTCACCTGTCACAGCAACAGAAGAAAGAGCAGGGCGAGGTCTCCAGAACCCTGAACTTCCCTGAATTTGGTGCGTCTGTGCACTCTGCTATGAAGGCGTGCAGGTCTGTGATGTGGATGGGTTCTTGGGTTTGGTGCTGTGGAAATCAGAGTCAAGATTATTATATTTTCTAAAACCTCTATAAAATAGGAGTTGTCAAAGCGTTTATTTCTTACCTTGATGGTCTCATAAGCTCCCGTGATGAGAGCGATGAAGAGTGACAGCACCATGTAGATGAAGAGGGAGATGAAGGTGTATAGGTACACCTGACTGAACAGCCACACCAAAGTGCTGCTCTCCTGCATCTCTGAGAACGTTACGTACATGTCGTCCCCGTTGATGAGGGAGAAGAGGCTCTCTGACACCATGGACAGAGAGCGGAACTGAAGGGGAGAAGACATGAAGATCTATGAAAACCCTGTAAAAACTGTGAGGGGAAGATGATCCACAGTTTTGAGTCACAATACACCATGTCTTCAGCAATTCATGCAGACTAGTTTAACTTTCACTGGGCAGCTTTCTGTGGGTGTAAGAGTTTCCACAAAGACACCAAAGTTTTCTAGAGTGGACTGGTTTTCTACGTCTGTCTTTGGTCTACCTCAGTTAAACGTGTCCTTCAGATTGGGAATAGTACTTCCTGTGACATGAGCAGGTGAACTGTAAGCAAATCTTATCAGTCAGACACTATTTCAGACTGATAGCATGGATAAATACTCAATGTTTGCAAAAGAGCAAAGAAGTGTAAACCAAACTACTGAAACAAAACTACCTACAAATGGTTTCTAGAAGACTCATGACTTGGTACAAAAGTGCACAGATTATGAATCAAAACACACCGTAACTTTAGGTTAAAAAAACTTACAAAGTGTTTTTCCTGCATGTTAAATATAGCTCACTTTGTTGAACTGGACTGATTTTAGCTGATAGGAGTAATGCAATGTCACATAAATCCAACACAGAACATAATCTGATGTGTTACAGAGTTGGTTTTGCTAATGTTCAACTCTTAGAGGGAATAATTTTGGCTGTAGCAGGTAGCTGTAGATATGCAGCTTTTTGCCACCTAGCCCACAACTAAAAATAAAAAGTTAATGCAGGTTTGATCAGTTAAACAATCAGTCTTTGTCTTGCACTGGTCACGATGAAGGTTTTCTAAAGCTGCTTTACATCATTAGCAGGGCAAGCACAGCACTCTGTGATATTATTAACAAAAACCCAACCTGAAAATCCACGAAGAATTGGCATTTAAAGAAAGTCTGTTGATCGATTAATCATATAAATTAACAATCAATCATCGATTTGATCGTTTTTTTAATGTGAATGGCAGAAAATACAACCCCCAGACTGCACGCTACATGCTTACTTGCGCTTCCTACCTCCCCAGCTACCATAATAACCGTTGTTTTCTTCTTCAATAAAACGCTAAAATCTAGGATATTTCTGGGGACAATTTTAGCCAAAGACAGGTCATCCAAAACGGGGACTGTCCCCCAAAATCAGGGATGTCTGGGCACCCTTCAGATCCTTTTTGCGAGCAGTCGGATGTATGTGGTTCAAGTGGTACATCATTGGGGTCGTTGTCGTGTTGTAGCAGCATCGCAGTGTTTGCAGCAAACCTCATCATTTTTCAGCTCGAAATGGTCCCATTTCTTACGTTCTTCATGTTTTTTTTTTTCAACTTCTATGGAACCTTGATGATGCTGTATTACTCCCCTTGTAAAATGTCAAAATCCTTCTGTGCGGTGATAGTTACTACATTGCTTCAACACACACACACACACCGACTGGACAAAGAGGGTATCACTCCTGATCAGCAGAGGTTGATCTTTGCTGGAAAACAGCTGGAGGATGGACATATGCTGTCAGTCCTTTTTTAATAACGTTAGAGCGATTGACATTTGGCGTGATCGAAGTAATTCTTAACGGTCAATTCATCAATCATCCATTAATCATGCCCATTCCTAATATCCACCACTTGATAAATGATTACACCACAGGGTCAGACCGGCTCACCTTGACGTGGTACGGTCCCAGCACGATCCAGCCACAAAAGCAGTATCCAAGATAGATTACAGCCACACAGCAGCAGAACCGGATCACGTTGGGGAACGCCGCTCTAAGTGTTATGATCAGGATCTGTGGGAGGTACAGAGAGGTTACATTTATGACACCAGTCCAATCAGAGCTAAGTTTCCTGACTGATGACAAATGATGGGATCAAAAGAAAGTCACATAATTTCAATTTAACACACCTGTGTATGTGTGTGTGTGTGTGTGTGTGTGAGACTTACATTGTACTTCTGGAAGAATGTGAGGTACCGAATGACTCCGACCCACACTAGGAGTGTGGAGGTTCCCAGCAGGATGCCACACACATCATATGAGGACATGTTCTGTCAGGGACGCAGAGAGAAGAATACTTAATATGTGCACAGCTGGATAACGACACACCGCGACTACTGATGTGCTGAGAGTTAAACTTTAACAACAAAAAGGGAAAATTGTAAAGAGATTACAGAATTGAAAAAAAAGAAAAAACACTGATTTTGTCACACACCTTTGTCTCAATGCCAATTTTGATTATACTGCCAGTGATGGTGAGGACGTCGCTGATGATGAGGAGGATATACCAGCCGTTTATAAATTCCATCCGGTCTGACCAACACACTTTACGATCCAGAGTTGCTTTGAAGAACTGAACAAACTCCTGATGAATACACACAGACAGAAGAAAAGGTGCTTGAAGTACCTTCCAATTGGAAGGCTCGTTGACGGGTTAATAATTGATGTTAAATAAAAATAAAAAAACTTAACATTAACATTTGACTTGTCACACCTGTTGCAGGAGGATGCCTCGCAGTATGGAGCGTCCACACAGCAGCAGTGACAGCAGGCACACCAGAGCAACAGCCACGTCAAAAGCTACGCGTGTGTAGCTCTCAGCTGGATGTTTCAAAGGAAAAAGAGAAGCTTGTCAGAGTGATTTGGCTGGACGGAGTTGGAGTTTACCACTTATTCAAAGTACCGGTGGTGCAGTATTAATAACTTCACACATTAAAACTTCCTGTTTTACCAATGATGGCAGCTGAGAGAAAAAACTTTCACACATTTTGTTTTTGCCCCCTTTTTTTTCTTATGCTTACTCATCTGGTGTCTCACCGTGTCCAGAGATGCTTGGGTCCCTACACTCTTTAATGACGGCCTTATTTTCTAGGCGGATCTTCACCTTCCCACTGTGAGCTCTGTTATCAAGGACTATCTGCAGAGAGAGGCAACAGGCGGGACGTTCAAAACCATGGAAACTGTTCTCATAAAATCCTAAAAATGTAGTTTTCACTAAAAAAAACATAGTCATAAGCTTTAAGGCTCTATTCAAACAGTGTTGTCACGACTACCACTGGGAACACAGAGATCATGAGTTTGGACTTTTAAAGATAATTTTAAAGACAATTAGTTTATAGTTTGGTTGGAGATTTACCAGAGGTACTACAGATCAAAGAGTTGGCTCTGAAATAACATGAAAGTCACTAAAAAAGCTGTCTAGTTTGTGTTTACCACTAGCAGATTAGGTTTCTGGTAAATTTAAGACTTTTTCCAAACCAAGCAACCTTCTCCAAAAGGACAAAAAAAGCACAGTGTCAAATTGCTTTACTGATTTATTAAGAGAACTCTGACAAGGCAAACAAAAAGAGAGAACTGTGATCTGAGTAAACAGTATAAATCCTCCTGCTGACAGGAGTTCCTAGGAAACTGTCTTAGTTCAGGGTCTATTTTCATTCTTGATAATCTGACAAATATGGATTGGGCTTTTATAAGATCAAAATTAAGACAGTCTTTTTAACATTTGCTCTTTTTCACTTTTAATTCCTATTAAAAGAGTCACTCTGTTTTGGTTGTCTGTCCTTCCCCTCGTTGCTCACCTTTATGTTAAAAGTATAGCAGTCTGGTATTTCATTGTTGATGATTGTCTGTATATTGATCGCCTTCAGCTGGAAGTCGATGGTCACATTGATGAGCCTTTAAATGAGAACAGACGACACAAACATATAAGAGGCTCAGGAAAATACCATGTCTACAAAGACCACAAACACACAGGGGGGAGGAATAGAAACCGTGCACACCCGTGTGGGGTTTTTGTACAGTGAGCTTGTGCATGCTTGAATCTGCGTGTGCAGCAGAGATAAGCGTCTTTTTGAATGTCATCATCAGATACTATAAAGATAAAGGTCAGCAGTGGAAGCAAAATGAGGTGAAGCTGAAGCCATGAGAAAAATGAAGCCTTACTTGTGGAACTTGAGTGTAAAGTTCTTGTAACTGTTAGCGAGCCGTCCTGGAGGCACAGAGAGCGGGTTCACACCTATACAGTCTAAACAAAAAAGGAGAACAGACAGACAACAGCAATGCTGAGTGAATATTAGCAAATACAGGAAACAATCATAAGGTTTACAAACGAAGAGTTTCTCAATCCAGGCAGCATGTTTTTTTTTTGTGTGTGTTTACAAAATTAGAAATCTTCAGGTCAGTATGTGTCTGAGTTAAACTTAAGCAAATTTTAGAGGAAGTAAGAAACTCCGAGGGTACATAACAACTTCTCACATGAAATATTCTTGTAAATGTTAACTCTTTAAAGAAGTAATCACCACCCTATCGTCTGTGTTGTCAGCTGTTTTCGTTTACATGTGCTGGTACAAAGTTTCATGAGGAAACACCATGAAAACTTACAGTTAAACCTCCCACTAAGATGACATTACAACACTCGTACCAAAGCATATTTTTCATCTGATGTTTGTTCAAACTTACTATCACCAAGAAATATCGGTAACGCTTTCTTTTACGGTACACTTATTACCAGGTAATTAACAGGTAATTACCTAGTAACAACATGACATTATCTGGTAATTACATGATAACTACTAAGTCAATACTGTCTAGCTACCAGGTAGGTAACCTTCCATCATCATACAAATTTGAAGCTGAATTGCTCTGGTATTTCCAGGATTTTCTCTGCTTCCTGGAACCACCACTTGCGCAGTAGCGTTGTACGCATTCGGCGGGTGAGTCGCTGTGATAATGCTCGGCTCAAACAGCTTATCACTATGCAATCTTGGCACGCAAATGGAAAATGGAGCTGCACAGAAAAAAGAAAAACTAGACAGTATTGACTTAGTAGTTATCATGTAATTACCAGATAATTTCATGTTGTTACTAGGTAATTACCTGTTAATTACCTGGTAATAAGTGTACCGTAAAAGAAAGTGTTACCAAAATATCTTTTGCAGCTTATAACGAAGAGGAAAGGTTTTAACAATATTGGCAGTGTCAGAAAAAATTAATGCCCAAGGGTAACTCTGTTATGATTTTCATTGTATTTCTACATACCTGTTATTATATGGGGATCTATGATAAATGTGTCATTGGCTGGGTCAATGCTTCCCTTCTTATAATACTGTTGGCAGAGAGACAGCGCACTTCCATTCACACCAACATCGTACACGTATGCGTACCGTCCCACTGTGGTCTCTGGCAAGGCCAGGTACTGAGGAAAGAACGAGGAGAGAAAACATCAGAGTCAACAAAAGCTTCTATCTGACAAAAAGGTGTGAAGAGACAAGATAAGACCCTGACACACTGATCAGGTCCTTACTCAGCAGCCTCTTCTGACAGAGTAAGATAGTCTTTCCTGTGTTCTGACCTGAAACTTGCTGTTTTTTGGGAGCTAGTTGGTTATAGTATCTGACAGATACATTGACGGGTAAACTAGTAGGGTGACCATACATCCTCTTTTACCCAGACATGTTCTCTTTTTGGGGGGCTGTTTGGCCTTGTCTGGCCTTGTCCAGGGGATTTTATAAAATCCTTGTCCAGGGTTTTGTATGGAAGTTTTAAGTTTGTGTTACGTGGACTAACTGAGTTAGAAGCATGTAAAACACTCGACCCGACCTGAAAAACTCTCAAAATTTACTTTGCACAACTCTGTGACTTCACCCTGTGTAGTAGTGTTCTATTTTTGGGGATCCAAAATACGGTCACCTTAATACTTGCTGATACTGGATACTGCAGTTCAGCTCAGAAAGTAAGTCCACTGTTAGCCATTCATTTATCCCTATACAAATTGAATGCATTGGTAAAAGAGCTTAGAGCTAATATCTCCAAAGTTGACACATTAAATGTGGCGAGTGGATGCAGAATATGATAAAATATTCTTAGCTTTGTCTGGAACCACTGCAAATGTGTTAAATATTTAAAATCTCAGATGCTGTCTACAGAAACAGGTCTTCTTTGTGCCACTCTCCTCATCTGATCTCGAATTTAAGCTGAGTCTGAGTATAAAAAAATCAACAAGCCATATTTTATGTGTCTTTTGCGTACCTGCTCTACTGCATAGAAGATGTGGTCGTAGACATCACTCTGGGTGTAGACCGCAAAGGAATCGTCAGAGGACTCGTCGTAGTCTTTGAGGAAGAGGTGTTTGAAGGTCATTGTGTTCTCCTCTTTGAAGGTCACCACCACCTGGTTACTGAGGCCAAACAGCACCAGCTGGAGCAAAATGGACAGAAAAATCAGGTCAAGGAAATAGAGGTAGAGGAGGGTGAGACAAGAGTGTGGACTAAACCGGAGCTCCACACATACCGGAAAAGACTCAGGAAAAAAATGCAGACTGCCAAGAAGGAATATATGCAAATAAAAGGGTATCACAGATCAGGCTATAAACCTAACAAACTCTGTACCTGTGCTGTCACAATAATGATCTTCAGCAGCTGTAGGATCAGCTTATAAGGTTTGCGACCCTTGGCGTGGTATTTATCGCAGGGACTCATGAAGAAGTACTTCAACTTCCGGCGAATGGCCTCCTCTTCCCGTTCGACACCGACCCAGTGACCAGCCAATGGCGTGGAGAAGCCATGGTCGCTGTGGCTGTTACCAAGGTTGTTACTCTGGTGGTGCTCTGAATGCTCCCCGCTGCCGTCTGTGGACCCGTATCGAGCTACTGAATAGACCGGGCCCCCTTGTTCAGAAAGAAGCAAAAAAACAAAAGGGTATCAGTTTTCTGAGTCAACATGAAACAAGAGCTCCATAAATTAGTGGAGAAAATTACAAAATCAACACAAGCACAAGCTGATCAGACTGAAGAAACTGAAAACAAAGTATCCAGTAAAGTTATCAAAACTCATCAGTGTCATTTCAAATCTGGTTCTCCAGTACAGACGACATAAATAAACAGAGCTCTGTCACGAGCCTGCTACTCCAAAAGATGTCAAGCGATTGATGAATCAAACGTTTGGGTAATCAAGCGATTAGGCAAAATTAAAAGAGCAGAACAAGAGTCCCTTTGTGCCCAACATTTGTGTCTGTGACAACATGGCTTAGAAAGAAAGAGCTAATCCCATGAAACAAGCCGGACTCCCAAAGTGCTGAGCCCAAGTCTGGTCATTTCTCGACTTTAACTTTAACCTTTTTTGACCCCGTGACACTGACGTCTTACAACCACAGCACCTTGTCAGCAGCTGAAACTCTGTCTTTAGCTTCACCTCTGTCTCTTCATTTGTAATGTGCACCGTTTGACTCCTGGTGGTTTCCTCTCTCACTTTGAGTGCGTGCTCAATGCTGCACATGTGATTTGACTCTTTAAACACCAAAGCATCGGGGCTAATCAAATGAAAAACGATTAATGAATTAGATTGAATTGGATTTCTTTTCTCTTTCTTCTCACTTAAATACGAGAAAAATCCACATTAAGGATTAAAGCTTCGAAAAGCTTTCATCTACCTTTCTCCAGAGTCTGCAGTATGACTTGAGACCGGTGTCAGCAGTAAATAGCAGACATAGTACAGACAGGAGATGATGAGCAGGAGGAGTAATCAGGCAGATTCGCAAAACAGTTTGGTAACAGCTGACAACCTGTAAAGTCTGGCTAGACTGGGTTTGACAGAGGTGAGAGAGTGAATTTCAGCGAAGGAGTACGAAGTTAAACAGTAAATCAAACACTCTGGGGGAAGAGAAAAACACAACCAACTCCTGCTCTAAACATGTGTCCTTGGAGAGTTAAAAAAAAAAAGATTAAAGGTTATGTACGGCTTTGCAAACCCCTCCACTGTGCACTGGGATGAAAAATAAAAACTAAGTAATAATAGATACCAAAGGGGGGATGATTGGTGAAAAACTGTCAGGTCTCTGTAAATAAATTGACAAAGAATCAAGTAATAATAACGCTGAACTTTAAATACTGTACATGTAGATAGAATTTGGTTTAATGAAACATTGCCACGTGTAGGGCTGTTAATTCCTAATCGACTGATCGACTTATTGGTCGACCCGATTTTTTTCTGTGTCAATTAACGGTCTATGGTAAATTTCATCAGGAGGAACATACCAAGTGGGGGTGTTTTTAGTGCACCCCCATTTCACAGGTAGCAGCCTGTCTCAAAACACCCCTCCTGTTTTCACCATTTTGATTCGCCCAACCAAATGGAGACCGGAAGTTTGCAGAGCGCCCATGTTAATCAACATCCGGGCGTTTACTAAATATTTGTTTTTACTCTGAGCGATTGTACTTTCCTCGTGTTTAATTGACTTCTTGTGCTGATATCAGTAGATATTCACCCCACTGAGCCGCGTCGTCCCCCGCCATCACAGTCGGACATCCCCCACCGCCGATTAGTCGATTTGGTCGAAAATTTCAAGGTTTTACTCGACCAAGAATTTATTTTGTTGATTACAGTTCGAATAAATCTGTTTAATATGCGATGAGATAAGTTTAGTTTGAATTTGGTGAAACAAAAACTTTGATTGATTTGATCTTTAGCAGAACCTCTACTATGAGAAAAATATGCAGTATGCGATTACATTGTTAAATATCACAATAACATTATGGAGTGGGATAAAGAAACAGAAAGTGAAGGAGTGATTATCAGTCTGAATTCACAGTTTTCAGTCTACCCTTCTGTTTTTATATTTTAGACAACATCTGTATTTGCAACACATCTCTCCTGAAGCCACAATAAAACATAAAACTAATTTCACAGAGCTGCACCAAAATCCTAAAGTATCGTGGTGCAATACTCCCATGAGCCAAGTAGTTTTGAAATAGGACTCGACAAGTTGATTAGCTGTTATGTAAGAAAGACTTGGAAAGTAGGCTAATTGACATTGTACTGTAATGCAAACAGCTCAAGCATTTCACTGTAACATGCCTTTTTTCAGAATCACATTTCATCCACATAATAAGGAAAAACAAAAGCTGTGTGACTTTCCTAAACAAAACAAGTCTTTGGCTGCATGTCAGAGCCACGGTCTGCCTCTTATTCTGAGACTATACTGACTATTTGACGAGTTGACTGTTGCCTGCAGCACTCGCTAAAGGTTAAGTTGTCAAGAAGTTGATTAGTCAGTGAAACCTTGGATGTTCAGTGTTGTTTGGCTTGTTTATGAATGCTTTGAAGCTCCCTTGAGGTACTTTGTGAATACTGAAGCTTCCTAAAACAACTGTGTAGAAATCCTTGTTTCTTCATGCTGATGCCCTTGATATTTCATAAGCCCCAGGAAGGCATAAGTATTCATGTCAGTGTGCCTCTCAATCAGATAAAAACTACTAATAGTAGCTTTGATATACATCAGGACAACCTCTTTAGAAAGTCTCTTTGCACATTTTCCATCCTACATCAATAGAGGATGCAACATTGCGGTTAAAAATCTGCTTCAAGTATTAAAATGACAAAAACAAACAGTATCTTTTTCCAAGAGCCACAAACTGCAGCAACATTCAAGAAAAGAGAGATGAGAAACACCTGGATAATGCAGCCTTAACATAATATTATGTTAAAATACTGCACATGTCTGAGCTAGACAACAAAGCAGAGAGTTTGTCTCATATCAAAGCTGGTCAGTATTAGCGAGAGACTAGCCACTTGGTAAAAAAAAGAAAACAACAGATCGCAAAGTTGGCTTATCAGGCTTAACACATGTCACATGCCTTCAGCGTGCTTGACCCGACTGCTTTGGAGGAACAAAGAAGAATGGGGTCACTCATTTTGTTCAACATTCAGGAAATAACTGAAATAGTCATGATAGTTGTAGTTCTTTAATGGCAAAAAGTGTTCTTAGAGGACTTATGTCGTCGCTCCTCACTTGACTCGAGACAGACATGGGAAATTTATCGGCGGCATTACATGGCGGCATGAGTCGGCACGTGTGTGGAGGAAAAAAAAGCTGAGTCAGGATGAATCGCAACCCAAAAAAACCCAAGTAGTCAGCAGAACCACATCTGAGCTTTGCAGAGATGTAAAATGAAAGAAGAAGTGAAACAGAACAGGAACACTTGGACTGTTCTATATTAGTCAGCATGAAATGTTAACAAAGAGACAGAGAGCTGTAAGTCACTCAGAAAAGTCAGGGACCAGCTAGTTCTCCTTATGCACCATTGACTGGGCACCACCATCAGACATGTAATTTCTTGTAATTTCTTTACATCTAATGTGGTTTGAACAGGGATAATTGTTAACTGTACCTGTCTTTTCAGGAGCCAATCAATGTGTTTCCTCAGTAGGAGAAGCCAGAAGATAAACCAGCTATCTGTTTGAAATTAAATAGCTCTGACATTTAATTTATGTAAACTAAAATAAAAAAGTTTAACGGAGTTAAAGGTCTGGTCTTAAGTGATATTAAGATGGAGATTTAATCTTATATTTTGGACTTCTTCATTTTTAAAACAAAGAAGCAAAGGGAGATTTAATCCTGAAAAAAATCACAAAATTTTGTTTATCAATGCCTTAACAATCAATAGATGTGTTAGTATCATTTGTACTGACGCATATGCATCATACCTGATGAGTTGCACACTTTGAGCATTGATCAGACGCATTTAAACAAATAAAAAGGAGCAGAGATGCACCGATGTATTGGCTGAACATGAGTATCTGCAAATATTGAAAATCTGTAAAGCTATAATACCTTTATGCCATGTCAGAGGACTCAACCTAACCAATCAGTCTAGAAACAGGCAGTGTGCTAGCTAAGGTGGGCCTTTGGCCTTCTAAGTAAAGACAACACCTCATCCACCTGTTTGTTGACTCAGCTGCACCTCTATCTATCCAAATTTGAGCAACACTCTTCCCCACAATATCACTGAATGAAAGTGTTATAAAAATGCAGTCTGCAACAAATAAATACATAAAACTGTTTTTGAAGCAGGCTGTTAATATGCTTGTTTATGCTGTAAATACTGGACTTTAACATGTGCCAGCCTCTTGTCTGCAGAAATTAAACCGATGTGGAAGTACTGAAAACTGCAGTTCCTTCAGTGCCCACTTGAGGCTTGCTGAGCACTGGAAATCCCGTACACTCAAAGCCAAAAAGACACTTTACAGAGCAAAAATGTACATGTTTACAGTCTGGCTCAAAATGGTTTCGGTCTGAATAGCTCAGGGCTCCCACAGCACCCACTGAAATATTTTGTAACAGCTTAATCGGACTAAGCTCATAACTTGTTTTTTTTTTCCGCCAAATCGGACTTCTCTACTTCTCCGCATACATGCAGCTGAGAAAATCAAATTATTGATGAGAACGTGTCCCCAAAACTAGGGGGCGATATGAGTCTTTTCAGTTGCGCAGTTTCCGACCTCATAAAACCGTCAACAACAACAGCAGGTCCAGACGTCAGAAGTGTCTACATCTGCTGTTGGGCATTTTCGAGCAAGAAGATGGAGCATCAGTACAGCGCTGTTTTTGTCATACATGATGTACGCGCTACTTTTTCTGCAGATGAGATGCCACTACTCCTCTTTTCTTGTGTTTTGGGGTTACGGCGGCGTGGTGCACGCATACATGCATTGTCTAATCATACTACGCCGACTATGCCGGTTACATGGTAGAGAAAATCGAATTCCAATCACATTATCTGGGTGTTCTGATCAGAGTTCTTTGACTCCAATCAGAGTTCTCAAACTCTGATTAAAGTCAGACTAATGTGTTTACATGCACTTCAGTTGTCCGGTCTTATTCGGAGTAAGGCAATAATTCTGTTTTCTCGAGTGTCATGTAAACGTACTGAGTGTAGCTATTTCTAAGGAGGGTAAAGGCCTGCCTCTGTTAGGCTGACCAAAAGTTATGTTGAGTCAGTGTTACCAACGTGGCAATCTAGGCTTCAACACTTAGTAAACAAATGAGCAAAGTCAGAGACGCTACTTCTGCTGATTATATGATCCGTGGGCCTACAGGGATCACCTTGACTTTTGTGAAAACTCAGTTTGACACATTTCCACGCTGGCTTCATATTTCAACACTGGAGTCTGTCACTTAAACACAACCTTGGACCTTACAATCCAACCTAACCCACAACAGTTGGATCAGAGATTTAATGCTACTAGCTAGTTTAGCCTTCAGTGACAAGCATATTGAGGAGCAAGTTTTAGCAGTCTTGAACTCCACACTGCAAGATTTTATCTGTTTCCGGCCTGAAGTCTCTCAGCAACCCACTGGCTGTGTTCTCCTTCACACTACGATCCCGTGACTAAATTAAATAACCATAAGCTATGACAGAATGAAGAATACCCCTTGACTTGAACGAAATTTGAGTGAGAGTGACAGAATTTTAATTAACTGTGCAAAATACAAAGGGGGCGAGGTGTCCTCGCCATGACAGGGGTTGCGTGCCGTGATGAAAAGAATGAAAACAGCCAGAAGAATCCAAAACACTTCACATTTCAAAGCAAACAATGGGCAGGAGACGGAGTGCATACATATCTTTGATCAGAGGAGTGTGTCGATCGTCACAGCGGATAGCAATCAGACAAACAAAAGTGGGTGCAGGCCATCTGCCGTGCTGCCAGATTTGACACAAACTGAGTAAATCCCTGCAAATATCTGGCTCTTCTGGTTCACAGGCACCAAGGCAGAGATGACTAAGACACCTATTGGGCTACATGTCTGTCAATCAAAACCCTAACTGTAACTGGAAATCTGCCAACAACTTGGTATCTCGCCCCAGCATCTGGTCTTGCAGTCCACAGAGAGAGGCCACCCACAGGTGAGGAGTCCAAAACCTCAACTTACACCAGAGTTAAAGGAAAAATCTTGAACACAGAAAAAGTGATTTACTGATAAACACATTTGGGGTTATTTGTGGCCATGAGGTGATATCTGGTATGGACTGAGAGATCTACTTTTACAGGGTTTCACTTCAATTTTTGGCTCACATGAATAGATCCTGTTTCAGCCAAACTAGGTGAGGCTAAAAAAAAGTTTCTGACTGTCTGTAAGTGTTGTCATGATGTTTGGAATTTGAGTCTATGAGGAAAAATTACCCCTGAATATAAAGACCCCCCTCCAAGTTTTTGGGGTATCACTATCATGGTGAAGACTCACCACACCTGATCCACACTGAGGACCTCTGAAGACTCAGTCATGCATGAGAGCAGCTTATGAAATGTTAGAATAATCACAATGCATGACAGAGTCAGCTGCTCGGATGTGCTCGATTAAGTTGGCAAGCATCAGAGAGAGAAAAAAACCCACAATTACTACAGCATATTACACAAGAGGAACAAGGTGTCCTGAGTCAGAACTGATGCTAAACCAGCTGATTAAAGGGAATTTTAGAAATGATAGTCTATAGGGAAGGAAGTTCACAAGAAAACGTCTTATCATTATTTCTAAATGTCAGACAATGCTGAAAAAAGCTTATTTCTACTTCAAAGAATCTAAGGCTTTAGTTTTAAAAGTTTTACTTTTTTATTTGACCAAAAGTCAAAAAGTATGGTGGCCGAGAACTGCCACTGTTGCAAATTAAAAAAGAATGCAAAAAAGAAGTCACAACAGAAGTTACTGATGCAAAAAAAAAAAAAAAAAAAAACCTGAAGCCAGCTGCAAGTAAAAAAAAGACACAGTGCAGATTTTTAAAAAAGGCACAACAGAAGTTAATGATGCAAAAAAAGTGTCGATGCAAAAAAAAAAAAAAAAAGCTTCTTACTGCGAAAACAAAAGGATGCAAATAAAAAAAGCCACAATGGAAGTGAGCTGCCGGGGACATAAAACGATAATGCATCGCTGTTTTACGATCTAGGCACAGAAGACGACGGTGAGAAGACAGGCAAAGAAGTTAGTTGAAAGATTACTGTTTAATTTCGCTCTGTGCGCTTTTTTTGGCGTCGTTTACTTCCTTTGTGGCTTTTTTTATCAGCACTGTTTCTTCTTTTTGCAGCAGTGGCAGTTCTTGTCCACCATAAATAAGTTATATCAAGTCATAATGCAAAGAAATTATATGTATTTTCAAAATATCAAAAGTAGCTAGATCCACGAATAATAAACAACACATGGGCGTTTTGGGGATTACAGAATAAAAAATAAAAATACCTGAGTATCATCAACATTACAGCAATTAGGGGAGGGAAAAACATTGATACTGCAATAAATTGTAGTCCTGACTCTTGCACCACCATTTCCAAACAACTATATTATCATCTTTAAAATGCTTTTAAAGGGATACACCGGTGTAATATTAATTTAGGGTCAAACACCAATTTAGGCACCTCCTCGAGAGAACCAAAAGCTACTCTATAGCCACAAATAATGCTCAGAACAGCACCTAACTTCATCAACAGCCACCAAACATCTTTTTAATTTTGCCTGATTTCTTTGGCAAAGAGACTAAACACAACTCACCTACTCTCTTCCAGCTGCCGCTTGCTATAGCGAGACCCAAGGCCAGTCCATTACAAACTACAGCGGGGTGACGCAGCTCAGGGAAGAACATTTATGATCATTTCTTCATGGAAATGAAATCAGACCGAGACGCTAATGCAGAAGAACTACTGCATCTGCAGTGCAAAATGATTAATATGATGATTATTACTTCAAGGAAATGATGAAGAAATGATTATAAATGTTTCTTCCTGTTTGAATCTAAATTAATTTTACGCCGGAATGTCCCTTTAATGTTGTGAAAAGATTTCCCTTCTATCAAACCTGACACTGATAGTCTAAAATTCATCAGTTATGGCAGAACTGATCGTGATATTATCTCTGTGGGTGCTGTACTGGGTTGTATGTGGTGACTTACTCTGCCATTTCCACTCACAAATCAATCATAACAAGTCTGATCATGTGTGTTTTTAGGACAGATTAAGCAAATACAGGAATTTCTGTTCTTGTACACTCTCAGTCTGCAAAGGTTTTTATAAATTATGACTAGCAAAGAGGAAAATCCCGCTGTCATCCAGGTCAAAACATAATGTCCTGACAAACAGACAGAGCAGTCAAAGACATTAAATCCTGTAATCTCGACGGGCCAGCACATGACAGAGCAGGAATACACACTCATACAGTCACAGGTGACCGCAGTGTTTGGATGTCTGCATTCAAGACAATTAAACACAGCTTTAAAACTAATTTCTACACCAGGGAAAACAAATAAAACCTTTTTGAACAGTCAAAGAAATCTATCATCACAAAAACCGACAGGTAAAATGAGCAAAAGTTAGATCTCAAAGTTAAACATCGACTTTAGTTTAGTGTTACCTTCGGAGTCCTGTTCTGTCTCAGCCATGGAGTTTACCGCTTATAAAACAATGTCTAAATTAATCATAAATCCGTATCTTTAAGAAAAGGTTTTTACTGTACAAATAACTGTTTATAGCTCTCACTGCACACAGCTGTGTTACAGCCGGGCAAGCTGCTGCTCTGCTGCCCCTGTTTGGTCCAGCTCTCTTCCGCTCCCCGTGGTCATGTGACCGACACCACGTGACCGTGTTACTCAGCCCAGTGTTTAAGAGACTAGCAGGCAGCAGGCAGGCACAGGACCCTCATTTGAGACGAATTTTCTACGTTTATCCCGTGCGAGGCATGAGTTACCAGCTGACAACCGCTGTGTTTTTAGCGTACAAGTCTTAAAAGTGTTATTCTGTGTGGCCTGATTTAAGATCGATTCGGCTTGCACTGCTAAACTATAAATTGTTTACATGCAACCAAAATTAAACCATGCAGAAAAATAAAAAAATAAAAAAATCACCATAACAGTAACTTGATTTTTTGTCTGTACAAGATATAATTCATACAAATACTTGCCTTGATTAAGTGGGTTATTGCACAGAGTATTGTCTGGTGTTACTGTCAGGAATCTACTTAGATTTTTATGATTTATGTAACCCCTGTTAGGGTCTGCACCGACACGTTTTTGATTTTAAATGCTTATAAGAACCACTTAAATTAGCTTTTGTGCATCAAGACTTTGTCAGGAACCTCTATGTCAACAAAATAAAAATGAAAAAAAATTGATTGACTAAATTATAAAATGCTCATTAAAATTATGGCACTTGTTGTGTTAGGGTCGCTGTTGACTCGGTTAGCTCAATATCTGGTAATTGGAGCAAAAACTGAAATCATAAGTGCACTGTCAGGCACCACACTAACAGTCAGATCCTCTTCCAATCATTTGAGATTTAGGAAATTCTCATTTTTCCATGTTTTTCTCTGCACAAAAAACAGCGTCAGGTATGTCCTAACATGTGAGATCAATTCAGTGTAGATGTCTGTGTGACAGGGTATACTGACAAAGAAAGGCCCAGAGGTCCACAACAAAAAATACTATAAGCAATATTTTCATGGATAATGAAGCCAAACAAGGTAACCTAGAGATGAGAACCAAATTGGATAATAGAGAATTGTTTTTAGTGTAATTTACAGCTGATTTAAGACACAGGTCAAAACCGACCCTTGAGACGGTGGGTGCGTAGTGAAAGCTAACACTGGAGGAAGGTTAAATGTTAATTCACACATTTTTAAGACACAGGCAGAGCTAGAGGTCCATAATTTTCTTTTCTTTATAATTTTTTGAAAATCTTGCACAACTAACTCGTTTCCCTCCTTGCTTTCCAACCTTTTATTTTTCCATTACACAGTAAAACCTTTCCGAACTCTATGGACACAAAATTTGAATAGTATTATTTACAGAGGTAAATAAAAAGTCATGACCCCAACCCATCCCCTTAAGTATTTACCTACATAGTTGATTTAAATACAAAGTTTTCTTTTTTTTCAGTGACACAGATGCCAAACATAATTCTCTGATTACATGTTTAATTTGAGATGTGAGTTTGGTCTATGTCAACATATTCGGGTGATCCTAAAAAACGCTAAACAGCTATTTCTCCATCAGGGCTTTATAGTAGATGCAGTGTAGGAGTTCCAGCTTTTCAAATGTAAAGACATGCCTATTTTTCCACAAGAGAAAATTTGACATCTTAGTTTTTCAAACCATGAACTGATCTTAAGGATAGAAGGAAAAATACAGACAACATTTGTTACATGCAGTTCTTTCCTTCTGTTAATTTTAAAAAGAGAGTCTTTATTCTGTGAATTTGACTCCATAGTTCCTGAAAGAATTCATGATGTATTTGTCACCACAGTCTGCAGACAGAGGTAACAGACATTCCTGTTAGCTGATATTACATATTTATTGCACATTCATCTCACATTATCTCAATCGCTCAGTGTCCTTCGTCTCCCCTATTTGCCCTCGAGTGCTTTGTCTCTGGCAATCACCTTCTCATCGAACTTGATCATGAGCGTGGTGCCTTTGTGCCAGTGAACTGTGACCTTAGCAGGGAAGCCACTGTTTGTGAGGATGGCCTCCACGATTCCTCCTGTGAAAGCCGCACAGTTCAAGGTGCTGTTGTCCTTCGGGACAGATATGAACGTGTTAACGAGTGGCTCCTTTTCGATGATGTAGTAGGTCTTGTCATCGTCATTGGCCTGCTCCAGCTTGTCTGCCTCCTTACCGAATAAAGCTCTCCACACAGACACCTGTGAAAAAAAACAACAATGAGTGAAGCAGGCGTAGAGGTGAGGCTTACACAGAAATGACTCTCAGGTTAGATCCAAACTAAAATATTCCTGTGTTTGGTTTAATTTCAATATCATCTCCTAAATATTTGCTCACATGATCAATTTCTTTTACCATTTCCAAGCAACAAGAGGTTGGCTCAACTTACCCCACTCTCCCCTAATTGTTTGTTTCAATGACTTAGGGCCTCTATCGTTATTGCAATTGATGTGAAACATGTTTCTGATCCCTGAGTACTTCACTGAGAGATCCTATAAAAATATCTGCAGACTGTGTGAGTGAGTCTGTACCTTAATAAACAGCAGTATGTTGAGGACTTTGGTCTCCCTCTTGCCGTTCTTCTCTCTCAGCACCAGGACGTCCAGCAGGCTGCCCCCCACCTTCTGACCCATGTCCGACAGACGAGCCTGCAGCTCGGACACAGAGTAGACCCGGCTCTGGCAATACTGCACCACCTCCGAGAACAGCAGGGCGAAGGCGCTCACACTCACCTCGGTCTTCGGTCGGCTGAGAGGCCGCTCCAGTATCGCAGACTTGCCTCTAGTGAAGCGAGTCTCCATGTTACTCAGACACTGACTGCGGAGGAAAGGAGCGACAGGTACTATAGGAGAGAACAACTGATGCTGTTACCTCTACGATAACATTCTTAATAGTTTAGTAATATTCTTAACATAGGATATTCTGTATTAATAACAGTTTTCACAAAAAGAAATGAAACAAAAACCCACACTCACATATTCAATATGCACCTGCTTGTTTCTACTACTTCCTGTTGCGACTGCGAACGTCACCTGTCACATGACTCCTTAAAACCAATCAGATTACTTAACATGCTTTTAACCAAACCGTGGATGGTGCGGTAGTAAGAGGACGCCGACAGTAGATTTTAATTCAGTTTCAAGTAAAAATGAAAGTTGAAAAATTACACAGCAATAATAGAATAAGGAGACATCCAGAGTTAAGTTATCTTTGACAAATCTCATTAATTCTAGCTAACATTAAAGGGATATTCCGGGGTAAAATTAATTTAGGGTGAAACACACGGTAACACAGACTTAGACACCCCCAGCGAGAGATGAATGTTGCCGACCGCTTGTTTCTCTAGTTATACCAACTTCACGACCGCACGATAGCAATACACAGCGATCTACATCTCCACACGCAAACCTTAATCAAAACGCCCCTCTATGACCACAAATAATGCTCAGAACAGCACCTAACTTCATCAACAGTACATCTAGGGTCCAAGCCACAGCACTAGCCATCAAACATCTTTTTAACTTAGCCTAATTTCTTTAGCAAAGAGACTAAACACAACTCACCTACTCTCTTCCAGCAGCCGCTTGTTTGTAGCGAGACCTCAGGCCAGTCCATTACGCACTGCTGCGGGATGACGCAGCTCAAGGAAGAACATTTGTGATAATTTCTTCATGGAAATGAAATCAGAACGAGACGCTAATGCAGAAGAACTACCGCGTCTGCAGTGCAAAATGATTAATATAGTGATTATTACTTCAAGGAAATTATAAAGAAATTAGCTTTTTGGTTGAGGTTTGCGCATGGAGACGTAGACCGCTGTATATTGCTATTGTATGGTCATTGTTGAAGCTAGATGATCTTCAGTCATGCCCAAATAATAAGTTCTGGCTTTGAATTGCGGCTTCATAGAGCTGTTTGGGTGACCTTCTGTCTCCATGAATTCTTATCTTTGACAAGTTTCTGTTTTTTGCAGCAGCATGATTGGAGCACCTTGAATATCTTATATTGATTTTTAAATGGTAGTTTGTAATTCCACCATTACTAGTTTAAAACCAGTCTGAATTAAAAAAAAACAACTTTCTAGGTATGTGATCATCAACCACACATAGGAGCTCACAGCTGGAATACATATTACAGGGGAGGGTAAATATCAACTATGAATCTGCTCCTATCTCTGCTGATGGACATACTGAAAGTGAGTGTTGGTGTAAAATTTTGTGTGTGATATATGAGGAAAGATTAAGAAATAGTGATTTAAGAGAAATCCTTGTGGTTGGTGTAAAATATACCATTGGGGGCCGAGGGTCTGTTTACTGTTGTCACACTTTGACCCACTGGAGGCTCAATCAATATGTAGGCTACCATTGTGCAAAGAGTACTTTCCCCTATTTGGGCAAAACAACGCAGTCCAGCACAAAGACAAATACACCTACACCTACACAACTCAGGAATCATGTGGAGCAAACTCATTTTGCTCAGATATTTTTTTGAAACACCTGTACACTGGATTTTGTGAAGATTCACTTGTATTCTTTGTATAAATTGTCTGTTGTTGTTTAAAACCTGGAAAGTCTGATTTTGTTCTTCAGTAAAAAAGAAAACTGATATTTCAGAGGAAACCGCAAACACAAAATGTCTTTCAACGCACTGCAATTTTTTGTTTTGGCTTCATCGTTTTTATTTACTGTTCAAAGCAGGCCAACAGGTAAGTTCAGTCATTATAACTATGTAAACATTTCTGTTATCTTGAATTAAACTCCTCATTTGGCTACATGGTTTGTTTATACTCAAAATAATTGTTTTCCTCCTGGCAACTGAACCAAGGTTGTAGCTTTCCTATGAGCAGATTTTATGATGCTTACCTCTACACACTAATTGAGTATAAAATGTGGAATTTTTGATGTGTATTTATGGAGATTGGACCAGTTTCAAAAATAAGACTGAGAAAGAAGTTAGAAAATGTTTGTTCAATTATTGTTCTTCATTTTTAGCCTATTTCTTCCTCTATCAATCAATGATAAGACATTGGTACAATTCTTTTTTAAATAAAAAAATAAAAATGCTACAAAGGCAGGAGAGCACAGAGAGCCTTAGATATTCTCTTTGCAACCAGGTCAAGGGGCTGTAAGTGCAAAGGGCAGTATGAGCTGTTTGACTAAACGCAACTTCTGGATTATAATCATGTCAGCGCTTTTAGGCTGTCATAGAATCTGTGACTGAACAGAAGGAGGAAGTAAAGAGATGATACGACAGAGCGATAAAAACTCAAGGTTGAGGAAGTCTGGAAAAAAACAAAACAACAAAAACACAAAGGTTATGCCATCTTGTTTTCAGACTTTGATTTTGAAAAACTGGAGCGGCGTTGGCAGTTTTCTTTCTCTATTATTAAAAATGTACTAACGTGTGTTTTCTACTATTTTATTCCAAGTAAAAGTAAAAACAGAACAAATATTGGTTTGCATATTCTATGTTCATGACCCACCAGAGCGTACCCTACATACCAAAGTCTTCCTCACCTTATCTAACCTTGAATAACTCTACACTACTTCTTTCTACTCTACTCTACTAAGTTGCTGTTAAATGTCTTTTAAGATGCCCATCATTGCAGATCTATAAAAATGACAGCAGATTTTTTTACTGGATAAGATAAAATCTCCTCATCTCTGTCCCTTATTTTCACATTAACAGGGGTCCACTTGCGTAACATGGCCGGCTTTATCCGAGCTGTTCAACAAGTAGAAGACTCAAACCCTGGTCTTTCGCCTCTGGCTCTTATCAGGGCTCTGAGGAAGACTGCTGGCCATGATGACATGATGACCATCCATTTTCTGGGTTCTTCTTCTAATCAAAGTGAGGCTGAGATGTTGGAGCCAGCCATCCTCAACACCACAGCCTTTAGCTTCTTTGACAAGGCCATCCACCATATTGTTACAGCCCAAGGAGAGGAACGAGGAGTGGTGCTAGCTCCAGATGGCACCACAGTGGCCCTTGCACCTCTACTGCTGGGAATCGAATCAGGGCTTAAAGCCAAGGTGGAGGGGACACCAGATGTTGGGATCTTCCCTCTCACTTTAGGCAGGCCATTGGGCTTATCCTTCCTCAGTCTGCAGGACTTCCCACCATCCACTCGCCTGGGGCCTGATGGGTGCTGGGATAACGTCGACCTACCCAAGATGTTCAAGCTCTCTCGTTCAGCCACTCTGGCCACTGATGCTATTATTAATGGGGGCATGGATGGAGTGATACTGGGCACAGATATTGGCAACCGATCTGCATCTCAACAGTTGCAGCCCCTCAGTGAGATTTTAAAAGGATACTATAGTTTCAGTCTGAGTGAGGGGCAGGGTCTTGATGCTGTGATCGACCATATCAGCCCGAGGCGAAGAGAGATCTCGAGAGCTATTCTGGAGCCACTGGATCTAAACAGGGAGGTGATGGAGACGCTGAAATTAGTCTGGAAGTTGGAGAAGACGGAATGGATTGCATTTGACACTGGAGTGGAGAAGGCTGTGAAGGATGGATTACAGGCATTTGTGCACAAATACTGGGGTAAGCGAGTATAGTTGTATTTTAGACACAGTTTCAGCAGGATACCTGAAAGGATAAAATAAGAACAGACTTCAGGTAGAAAACCTCTGTAATGGATTGATTATCTATGTATTATTTTTTACATCTATATACTAACCGTAACCCTGAAATCAAACAAAAACAGAAATATGGTTGAGTTTAAAATGTGTTTAATTTAACCTTTATTTAACCAGATAAGTCCCATTAAGATCAGGATCTCATTTACAAGGGTGGCCTAGCCAAGAGGTCAGCAGCTCACACCATAATAAATACAAATTCAGAAATAAGAAAATATAAGTATGAATTTAGACTCTAGCTTTTCACCTTTATTTTTGAATATCAATATAAAAGCTTTTCAGTCTGTTCGGGGTAAAAAAAATTCATTGTCATTTTGTACCTAAACTTCTCCACTTTCTCTCCTCCCCTTTCTCAGACTGCCCTCAAATCATCCCTCGCTGCCAATGGGGGGCCAAAAACCACCGGGGCACACCTCTCCCACTGTCCCTGCCCCTTCGCTTCCTGTTTGTTCATCACACCTATGAGCCATCCTCACCATGTTTAAACTTTTCAAGCTGCTCTAAAGACATGAGATCCATGCAGAGATTCCATCAGGAAGATCGAGGGTGGAGCGACATAGGATACAGGTAACCCTCCTTAAAAGTGAAAATAGAAATATCTATAAAAACAAATACAAGGACATTTTTCACACTGATAGTTAAAGTGCTATTTGAGGGTAATATTGATCTTCTTAATCAAGTCTTGGAACATAGTAATAGAGTATATTCTCTAAAAAGGGATGAACTATTCCTTTAAGCAGAGATAATGCACTTTATTTCCTCTCTTAGCTTTGTGGTGGGCTCAGACGGTTACATCTATGAAGGCAAAGGTTGGAATCTCATCGGCACACACACCAGGAGGCGCAACTCCGTTGGGTATGGTGTATCAGTCATTGGTAACTACACTTCCACATTGCCGTCTCGCCACGCCATGGACCTGTTACGTCATCGTCTGGTTCAATGTGCAGTAGATGGAGGGAAACTGGCCGCCGATTTCACCATCCAAGGCCACAGACAAGTGGTGAACTACACCACCTGCCCTGGTGACAAATTCTTTTCAGAAATAAGAAGCTGGGAGCACTTCAGAGAATGAAAAGACCATCTCGTCCAAAATGAATGGATGTAAAGGGTTTATCTGTTGGCTGTTTATTTCAGTAACTTCAGAAATGGTGTTAGTGACTGAGCTGATTTTTTATATAACTCTTCAAGAGTCTGGACAACTTCATTATCTCAACATTTAAGAGCAAGATTATGCTTTTCTTTTCAAAACAAACACCAACCCATGTTCACACCTTTCTCTCATTTATCAATATATACACGTGTTCATGTTTTATGATTAAAGCTGACACACTTTTTTAAATCCTAAGCTTTGAAAACACATTCATCTCATTTCTTATCTTTTCAACATACAAGATATGGACTGAAAAGACAGAAGCACGAAGAGATCCACCAACTCTATTAAACATGATCTTTTCTTATGTCCATCTCTTTATTGCTTCAAGTATTTCACCGGCAGGATTTATTGAACGGTTAGGTCAGTGGCTGAAATGTGCACAGAGAGAGAGAAAGAGAGAGAGAGAGAGAGAGAGAGAGAGAGAGAGAAACACAAATTTAATATCCAGAGACATCCATTTTATCAGAGTGTTTTCATCTGAGGAGTTGGAATTGGAAATTGATCGCCATCTTTTTGTAATGACACAGTCTGACGTCAGGAGATGCTGATTTATTTAAAGTAACATTTAGATTTCCAGCCTTCCTACCTGTCCACAGGTCACTTTTAAAACCTCTCTGCTTTAACATGACCCACTTTTCCGCCCACTCGGACACTACATGACCTGACCTGTGCTGCTTTACTCAACCACGTGTTTACTTGTAGAGTTCATTGTACCATGTGAACATACAGTAGATGAAATTGGGACGTTGAGGTGTAAAGCAACAATGATACTAGTTTAATGCTCAAGTTTCATATCTGAGCGTCTTGTTTACACAACCTTTCACATGTCCAGTTTTTCAGTCGTCATGGTTTTGTCTGGGCCACTAAAGACTTTTGGGGTTTCCACCCACAAAATCAGTCTGCAAACTTGTAGAATGCAATTATATCTAAAGATTTTTCCCAGTTTGGATTTTGCACGAGAGACAGTTACAACAAGCTATTCATTTACACTTGCGCCATCTTCAGGACAAGGATGATAAGTGACACACACACAGATCTGCAAACTGCAGCTGTCGGTAGATCCAGGAACTGTACCAGTCTGTTTAGTTGGATTTTTCTTGTATCCCAAAGACTGACCCAAAAAATACCTCTGTGAGAGTCAAATAAACTTTATAAAAACTCCTTTTGACCTAAATTGTTGTATAGTCTTATATGGTTATTCTGAACCAGGGCCTTTTGATGTCCATGATTTAAACTTTAAATAACCTTTAAGAGATTAATGTTAAGGCAATGATTTTATTGATACATAAACTGTTGTTGGTTTTAATGCCTAAAGCTGTTCATAACTAACTTTAAAGTATGGGTAAATAACTTATGTTTAGACTTTTAAGATAGAGATCTGCTTCTATTTGAAGTTTCTACGATTTCTGTCACTGATTTGCTGTTTCAGTTTGTATCTATGAGCCGTTCGCAGTAACATCTGATGCTGCAACTCTAAGATGAGTTTAACGACAGGCCAAACCACACAAACTTCCTGTTGTTTTTCAGAAACCGATGTAGCATCCACACCTCACATCCCTCACTTGGGCCTCACTCAAAATTTAGGTTAAGTTTGATTAATATTAAGCTGAGAAACCCAAACAAGAGATATCATGTTCATCAATGATTAGCAAATAATAGCCACCAACATGAAGATAGCAACACACTTCTAAGCTTTTGTTAGATAGTCTACAACAAACTTTTTAAAATCACTGATAACCGTTTATTGAAAATAAATAGACACCGAACCTTAACCGGTTACAATTATGAGATTATGTGAGATTAGAAAACACTTGCATGTGCTAAAAAATCTCATGAAATGGGGTGTGTTTTAGGGTGTTTCTACCTTTTGTTGCAACCAAGGCAACAATCGCAATAAGCACCAACATTAGATCTGAAGTATAGTTATTTATCACTCCAAAGGAACATGATGGGGATAAACTGAAGTTCGGCAGCTCTATACCTCACAAAGATCGGGGTAAAGGTTACTGATGTTTGAGTGCATACCTCATATGGAAAGTAAAAGTATAGCCACTTAGACCAGACTGTGCAAAACATAGTCATGGGAGGCACTCCACTGAAACTGTATTCATCATCAAATCATTGCTGAATCAGTGATAAGGAATAAAATAAACCTTATCTGATTGGACTTTGGCTTTTTTTTTTTTTTTTTAACTTTTTCCTCTTTTATAATGGAGAAATTTATCATTGCCAATATGTATACCCCTCAAGAATCCAGAGTTCAGACCAACAGGATGAAAACTGGAAGTAGAAAGTTCAGTACTCTCATGCCATATCCCTAATCCTAATCCTAATTTAATTAAAGAGAAGGTGTCATAGCTCAGTGTGTTGCACTGTGTGAAGGTAAAATGGGAGGAAATTGTAAGTACTTGTGCTGTTTTTCTCCTTAAATTGCCAAACTTCTTACGCAGAAGTTATTTAAACTTTTAACTTTTTTTCTCCCTCTGTCTTTTGTAGCTCCTTAGACCATTTAACGTCACAATATGGAAGTTACAGATTTTTACATGTCACTATACTGTGAGTTATTCTGACAGTGCTATATGATTAATCTATTAATTTGGTAAATGCAATAAAAAGAGATAAAAGAAAAAAGAGATAAAGCCAATAAAAGAGACAAAAGCAAGGTGATAAAAAAGATAAAGGTAATAAAATAAAAAAAGGAATTATGATGATAGCAATAAAGAGATGAAAGCAATAAAGGAGTTAAAGGCAATAAAAGGAGATAAAAGCAATAAAGAGATAAAAGCAATTAAAAAGGTAGTAGAAATTAAGATAAAAAGCAAGAAGAGTTACAGTTAACATAATAAGCCTCTTCAGTGAGAGCCATTTCTTGTAAACCAGCTGCTTCTGCCAATTTGTCTTCACTTTCTCTCTACTGCTAAATCAGCAACACAACACCCCCTGTAGGTGAAAGAAAAAGTACCAGAAAGAACGAGGAAGTCAGAAGGAAACTGAAAGAACAAGTGGAGAGATATAAATACGGCCATCCTGAAGAAGACTTGAATCAGAGAGCAGACGCAGGGACACGGAGCCAGAGCTTTTACATTCCAATCTTGGGGAGACCAACAGAAAAGGACACGACAAAAATGGGTTGGTGCTTCTCTAAATGTTTCGTTTATAGAGTTGACTTTTGTTGTGCTTGTGGTGTAAAACACAATTCTACTTAATGTCAAGATTCAATGACAAGGACATAGCTTGTGAACACATCCTGTTCAGCGGAATGTCTGTTACTTTCACTTATTCGGGGTTTTTTTTCGCACTTATGTTTTGTGGTAGTTTTGTTGTGTTGATTTGTTAAGGAACAATAATAATGATGATAATAATAATAATAATAACATTTGCAGGTTATGGAAATATCATGAGAGTGGAAACTACCGGTGCATCATGGCAAACAGCTCAACAGGATGGGCTGGGATGCTCAGGTAAACACCACAGCAGCCAAACACAGGATCTAATTCAGACTGAAACTATTAGTGCCCAACCTCCACAGAGAATTGTGCATCTTATCATTCACATTTTATTCACCAATTTCACACTTATGGAGACATTTAAGCTCAAATATTCAGGGTTCCTACGTAAGTATGAAAAGTATGGAATTAATCTAATCAATTTCCAGGTCTTAAAAAGTATGGAAAATAAAAAATAAAGTATGGACAAGTATTTATGTTTCCAGACAATTATCACAGTTCTAAAACACTGTTTTCTAAAACAGAAAAGTAGGTATTTCCAAAAATAATTCTAAAAAGTAGGGTATGGAAAAGTATGGAAATTCCAGCTGTGTAGGAACCCTGAATCTTGTTCCACTAGTTTGTGGATACAAACGTATGAATGTAGAGAACTTAACACACATCTGTGAATTCAGTGAACCTAAATAACTAAACTTAAAAGTCAAGGAATAGTCCAAACCTGAGGAGAGGTCTGGCCTGTCCTAAACTTTATAAAACTTGTCTTAAGACAACAGCGAAGGTTGAAACATGACCAGCAAACCTTACACTGACGTCATACAATACATTAGCAAAATCCTACATTACCAACATTTCTATCGACTCTAGTTTTTTATCAGGAGACAAAGTAATGACACAATGATATGTCCGCTCCCTGTGCAAAAATCATCATCAAACAAAAAATAATAGATTTTTTGTTTTTCTGAGGCTGTCATCACTTTTTTCTGTTTGATCCCTCTCTAAAGGAGTGCAGGCATCCCACACCATGGCACAGACTGATGCCGATAGAATGAAAGCGTACAGGTCTAAAATCAACCGTGTGGGGGCTCAAAATGGAATCGACCCGGCTCTTATTGCTGCTATCATCTCCAGAGAAACTCGGGCTGGAAATGCGATAAGGAGCACTGGAGGCTGGGGAGACCACGGCAATGCTTGGGGACTGATGCAGGTTGTGAATAACACTGTTAAAAGCAGGATTTTAGTCCAGCCTAAGATTTTGGTAAAATATTTAGAGTGTACGTTCCCAAATTTGCAGGTTGATGTCAATCCAAATGGAGGTGGGCATACTGCACGGGGAGCATGGGATAGTGAGGAGCACCTCAACCAAGCCACTGGGATCTTGGTCTATTTCCTTGGACGGATCAGTAAAAAATTTCCAAGCTGGAACAAGGAGCAGCAGCTGAAAGGTTTGTTTTAAAGAGCCAGCAGACCTAGACCTGTACGACTCTCTCTGGTATTCTTGGCTTCACTTTTGGTGTATTTTTCTCTCCAGGAGGTATTGCAGCCTACAATATGGGGGATGGAAATGTCCGCTCCTATGAGGGTGTTGATGCTCGCACTACAGGTGGAGACTACTCCAATGATGTTGTTGCCAGAGCTCAGTGGTACAAGAACAACTGTGGATATTAACAGTCAAACTTTGTCATGACAAAATATCCTATAATACCTCTGATGTAAGTGTATCATAATAAAAACAGTTTAAACCTCATCTCTGGTCTTTCTCTTTCTCACCTAACACCTGGTATGAAGACTCCTCCTGGAGAATTGGATCAAAACTGGACGGTCTTAAAGGTAAAGGTGTGAACATGTCCAAAGCGCATCGAGGATGCACTAAGATCTGATCACTCTGGTTGCAAAAGAGGAGGTCTGTGGTGTACGTGTCTGGCCATGTGCAGCCACCACCAGTTTCAGGCATTTAGGTTAATCAAGAAACAGGACATTTATCATTCATCCGACTTTGAGGGGATAAGAAAGTCATACAGAAAGTGAATGTAGAGATTAAAATATGTCAAACTTGTCCTCATGATATAACAATAGTCACTACATACAGTATAACTTTTAAGGAAACTGACACACACACTCATCTGTTTGAAGTTGAAGTCACAACTTGATTTATTCTGTTGCTTTAAATTACCCGGTTAGACCAGTTCATTTAGCTTCAGCTAAGGGAGCATCAAAGTGAATTAATTAGATAATTAAGTTGTAAACTCCTCATTACTGGTTAGCTGTTGCCTGATGTTACCTTAAAGGGATATTCCGGCGTAAAAATAATTTAGGGTCAAACACACTGCAACACCTAGTTAGACACCCCTCAAGACATGAATGTTACAGACTGCTTGTTTCTTCAGTTATACCAGCTTTAGTAACGACCGCAGGATAGCAATACACAGCGGTCTGAAGAGCCATAAACAAACCTCAACCAAAACACCACTCTATAGCCACAAATAATGCTCAGAACAACAACTAACTTCATCAACAGTACATATAGGGTCCCAGTCATAGTACTAGCCACTGAGCATTTGTTGGTCCAAAAAAGGTCTAAAATCAGGCTACCACAGGTCTAAAAATGAAAGTTTTTAAAAGACGTCTAAATTTTGACCAAGTTTATACCAAGTTGAAATCTGGACTATATCTATACTACACTGTGCATTGCTCAATGGCTATTATAATTATTTTGGTTAAGTACTTGGAGATCAGTAATGCAACTCACAGTTGCTTTTTGAAATTTAATAGTTATTTAATAATGGGTTAAAGTGCAACGTCTAAATTCTGTCTAAAAATATACAGAATCTAGACGGTTGAAATTAGGTCTAAAAAAAAACTAGGCATCTAATAGCCCTCTATTGCTCAGTGGGTAGCCACCAAACATTTTTTTTCTACGAACAGCTTGTTTGTAGCGAGATCTCGGGCCAGTCTATTGCGCACAGCTGTGGGGTGACTCAGCTCAAGGAAGAACATTTATGATCATTTCTTCATGGAAATGCAATCAAACTGAGACGCTAAGGCAGAAGAACTACCGCCTCTGCAGTGCAAAATTATAAATATGATGATTATTACTTAAAAGGAAATGATAAAGAAATAATTATAAATGTTCTTCCTTGAGCTGCGTCATCCCGCAATAGACTGGTCTGAGGACCGGAAGAGAGTGGGTGAGTTGAGTTTAGTCCCTTAGCTGAAGAAATCAGGTAAAATAAAACAGATGTTTGGTGGCTAGTGCTGTTGCTGGGACCCTACACGTACTGTTGATGAAGTTAGGTGCTGTTTTGAGCATTATTTGTGGCTATAGAGAAGCGTTTTGTTCTGACAACACATGAATACACACACTGTATGTTTACGTGGTCGCTCTCGGTGGTGCTCTAATAACAACAACACGTACTGAACTTAAAACTGTATTAAACATTCTTTAACAGTTTACTCAGTTCGCCACTTTAATATAAATCCAACCAAAATGTGAATATATGAGATGAAACACTGTTCTTTGTTCTGAACTGTAATAATTCACAAACACGCTCACCTGACCACACAAGAACACAGACACGATACCTTAACGTGGTCACTTTCTAACGTGGCGCTCCGATTACAACAGCACGTACCTGCTTTACCGACCTTGAGGACCCCAGGCTGCCCATAGTGCCTGCACTAATCTCTATTCTCTGCTTCACACACACACACACACACACACACACACACACACACACACACACACACACACACACACACACACACACACACACACACACACACAGAGTTACATTAATCAGCATACAGACCAACTACTGTAAATAAAATAATGGTGAATAATAATAAAATAAATAATAAATGCAGATGGGGGTGCCCATGTTTCATAAACATCTGTACTTATGGGTCCCACCCGCAAAGGTCCCGCCCTCCTTCGCCTCTTATTGGCTAGAAGTGCTGGGCTCCGATTGGTTATTCCTAATGGCTTTGAAATGTCATTGTCTGTTGGGTTAAGTTTAGGGTTAGGAGATTCAGAAGTGCAGTAATGTTCTGTAATGATCTGTTTGATGTACAGAGCCGACAGCCCTTGTTTGGCTTGAGCGTGTGATGACGTTTCCAGCTTTTCTAGCCAATCAGAGGAGAAGGAGGCAGGACTTTCCCCCTATGTCCCACAAAAAAAAAATGTCGCGTCCCACATTTATCCACCTGTGTTCAAACCATAGACTGTATATGGATAACTTTGTTCCGCCTTCCGTCATTATACATTATACGAATTCGTAGCCAAATTGCTCTTGGTATTTTCAGGATTTCCTCCACTTCCTGGAACCACGGCTTGCACAGTAGCGTTATACGCCTTTCACCACTTGCGCAGTAGCGTTGTACGCATTTGGCGGGAGAGTCGCTGTGATGACGCTTGGCTTAAACAGTGTATCCCCCTGGGTGAGCTACACAATCTTCGTACACCCATAGGCTGAATCAACAATGAATCATAGAAAACTTGAACCCCCTAATAACTTTTTAAAATGGAGCTTTACAGAAAAAAGAGGATTTGAGCACAAACCTGTCTTACAATAACTACATGTCAACATCACAACCAGGGGGGGAGAAAAACTAATATTCTGTGTAATAAATTTCTAAAGTTTGTCCAAAGCTCCAAAGGGAATGTTGTAGGAGGCCGGATTTATGACCTATACTTCAGCCTGTCACCAGAGGGTGCTGTTCTCACGTTGGCTTCAACAAGCAAGGAGGCAGATGGCGTCCATTCTCTATACAGTCTATGGTTCAAATGATATGTTTGTGGGTTTTCAAACATGTTTTCCATTTGAAAAGATTTACCCATTCATCCATCTATCTATCTATTTTCCATGTCTTACCTTAAAGGTGTAAAGAAGTTGTACAGTTTTTGTTTAAGATGGTATGGTCTTAATTCATAACATTTATAACCTGAAAAACTGTAGCTCAACATTGTGCCTTGAGCTCCAACCCTCATAGAGGGTCCAAAAAGGTCCAGAAAGACTTCACTCATGGCTAAAGGTATCACTCAGTCCTTTCAACACGTGTCAGAGATTTCAGTGGTGTTCATGTTGTTCATGTTTCAGCTGCTCATCGGCACGGTCAAAGATGTGGACTCCGCTGTGGCCACAGTGGAGCTCCTGGTGCTACTGCAGCTCCACTCTGTGCTGGAAGCTGTAGAAACGACGGGGGGCAGCAGTAGGGCCGCTCATCCCGGTGTTTGCGAGTGTGGGTGATGAGGTTGGAGCTCTGGCTGAAGGCCTTCCCACATATCTGACAGACGTGGGGCTTCTCCCCTGCAACATAAACACAGCACAAGACATGCGCATGCACGATAATCAAACATTTTCAAGGCTCTCCTCGATAGTTATTGAGTTTGCACTGTTTCTAATCTTACCTAGATCTCAAAGAGGACAAGCACTTAGATTGCAGTAATAGTAATTTCATTCATATGCCTTAAAATGCTTGGTCTGTCTAACATGAAAGAAACAAATACATTGAATAAAAACAACACAAAATATTTGAGAAGTTACAATCTGCCCTGAAAAAGAAACAAGACCAGATTTTTTTTTAGTTTTATCATGTTCTGAACACTAAGTAGAAGTAGAATTGTGTAATTTTATGGTTAATCTAAAACTATCTCTGTGTTCAAAGGATGGGAAGTAGAATGGCGATAAGCGTAAGCTATCAGTGTTTTTCATGTAAGGAAAGTAAAATTCTGGTTAATTTTATTATTTACTCCAAAAATTTCCTTTGTACTCTTCCACAAAACCTTGAAGGTAACCTACCAGTGTGTATGAAGGTGTGTTTCTTCATGTCGGACTTCTGGTGGAAGCTCTTGCCACAGTACTGACAGGGGAACGGCCGGGTGTCTGAGTGTATGAGCAGGTGGGTGGAGAGGGTTGAGGAGCGCTTGAACACTTTTCCACACTCTGTGCAGCCGAACGTCCTCTCCTAAAGAGACAGGCACTATGGTTACGGACTCTTGGACTGCTGTATCTCATAATTCATCCTCTTAAATAAACGACGTGAGCTGACCTTGTTGCTTCTATGAGATGATCTCTTCATGTCCGTCCTGCTGGACTTTATGTGTGCTGGGGTTAAGGGTGATCTGCTCCTGTGACTCCTGTATATATGCGTCTTTAGACTTGACAGACATGAAAACATCTGCAAAGACATGATAAAGGGTTCAGACGGTGATTTCTGGTTTGATGCCCTGCCCTCTTCTACTACCTAAACTTATATTTAATCTTATACTTTGCTTATTTGCAGGCGCCACATTTATCAGTGGAGTTGTTAATAATGCTGTCACACCTCTTTTTACATGATTAGATATAGAATTAATAAATCTCAGAGGAAACAACTCCCAGGCCCAAAACAGCATGACAAGAACTATATGTTAACATGAAGGAGGTTGGCTTGATGACTTATACCCAAAGACTGTATTTACTATGGACAACTTGGTTCTGCCTTTGGCCCATATACGGATTTTAAGACGAAAAGCTCTCGGTATTTTTTCGTTTTTTTCTCCACTTCCTGAAACCAATGTTGTGCAGTAGCATTGCACACATTCGGTGGGAGAGTTGCCAAGAGTTGCTGTAATGACGCTCCGCTCAAACAGTGTATCCCCCGGGTGAGCTACGCAATCTTCGTACGCCCATAGGCTGTATCAAGTGTCAATTATAGAAAACATGAACCCCCGAATAACTTTTAAAAATGGAGCTGTACAGAAAAAAGAGGACTTGAGCACAAACCAGTCTTACTGTAACTACATGTCAACATCGCAAGCAGGGGGGAGAAAAATGTATATTTTGTGTAATTAATTTCTAAATCTTGTCCACACTTCCATAGGGATTGCTGGAGGAGACTGGATTTATGACCTATACTTCAGCCTGTCACCAGAGGGTGCTGTTCTTGCGGTGGCTTAACCCAGTAAGGAGGCAGACAACGTCCATTCTATATACAGTCTACGCCTACACCACAATAAGTCATCACATGTTTTTTTTTTTAGTTTTGGAAACTTGTCATGTCAACCTTTTTTAACACATTCTCTAACAGGTTCTGTCGAATTTCCCTTCGAGGATAAATTAAGTTCTTCTTCTCTTACCTTAATCTTAACTTCATGTTTTGGTTACAGTGACACAAATTGTTTTACTACAACATCTCAGTATGGCAGATAGGAATAGAGTACATGTCAACATATAACATTGGTAGTATGTTTGCTCAGTGTGCTGTGGTAAAAAAAAGTATTTTCAAATGTTGCCAACAAAGTTTCTTTGCCATATTCATACTACACTACAAGCTAAGTTGTTATCAGCAATAGAGTTGAATTAACAAGAACTGGAGCAGTTTTCTAAATGACAAATGTAACTCATAAAGCTGTGCTGTTTTAATCCTGCAGAGCTTTATTCGATAAATAATATGGAGAGATGCCGTACTTTGCTGCAGAACGGGCACTCGTGACTCCTGGTGTCCCTCAGGATTGTTGGGGGCTGACTCAAGTCTCCCAGTCCCAAGGACAGTTTCTCTGGATAATCAGAGTCCCCATGAAGTCTTGGGTACAAGGCTGGTTTGGGAAGGTAGGGATTGACTTCCTCTGCTGTGCTTGTGGTGTTTGAGTTGACTGGACTGCAGGGCTCGGTTGTGTAGTCTGAGCACAAAGACAAGCAAGTCAACTGACTGCTATAAATGCAAACTTTAAAAAACCTCTTGACTTCAATAACATCATAACAGCTCAAATGAAAAACATCTTCTAGTCCCTTTTTATAATTTACTTTTTGAAAATCCACCTGTCACCCACCGTGGGATTTGGCACTGAATAGTTGAGGGTCTTTACTTCCACTCAGGTGTTCAGCAGCCTGTAGATCCTGCTGGAAAAATACAGCGGACTCTTTTTGGATTTTCTCTGGCATTTTGGCTGCGGAGTCCCACACAGGAGTGTACTGGGACCCAGTCTTTTTTACCATCTGGCTGAATGTCACAGGAGTCAACCCAGGGCTGGGACTTCTTGCTGCGGAGTGGAGGTGGTGCAGCCCCCCTCGCTTTACCAAGAAAGACCGAGGCATCGCTCAGAAGGCAGAAAAAGCTGCTCTGGACCTGAAACAGGATCAGAAGAGTACTCGATCATCAAAATATTGAAACTCTGAGACATGGAAGAGATTATTTTAGATATTTGAATTGTCCAGGAGAGGGCAGTAGAGCTGCTCATTCATAAACTTCATATTTCCCCCCTTTGAGTGTGTGCTGGTACAACTTCAGAAAACACTCCAAACGTGTTGATCGAGTTATGCAGAGAGTAGGAAAGCGTTGATGGTGACATAAAGACGATTTAAAAAGGCTACTTAAACAAGCAAAAAATAGGTCATATTTCTGGATGCAGATGAATTAAAATTGAAGTTTCTTGTTTAGTTTCTGAACACCAATCTGATTTATTCAAAAGACAACCACATACTTTAAAAATGTACGACAAAAATACCATAAATACTAGAACTTCTCATTTATCCAGCTTATTCTTTCTGAGCCACCTCTTCTCTGCCGCCTTGGTTTTGTTGTAGCTACTTAGAAGAAGCTGAATTTTTGCCGTCAGTGCACTTGTGTTTTCCAAACACGGTTTTCTCTTTTCACACTCTTTTCACAGTTGACACACATTTTCATATTTTAGTCAACTGCAGCACTTTTTTGCAAGTCACGGCTCAAGATGAAGCTGCAGTGAAGTTGAGGAGGAGATGCTGAACTCAACACACCATACTGCAAAGCAAATCATTAAACACAGACATGACTGTATGTACTTTTTGAATTAACAGTGTGTCAAATGACCAAAAACCTCATAAAAAGGTAAACCTTGTCTAAGATACAACAGCAAACAGCTGGTTGTTGAAAGAGAAAGTCTGATTTTCACAAAATATAATGAGCTGTATGATAAAATCATAAATATGATAATATGATAAAAGTTAAAGGCAGAGTAAAGTTTTGTTGAGATCATAAAATACATTTTAATCCTATATTCCTGGTTTAAGAGTCAAATTCAAAGTACAGAGAGATATTTTATTTATTTGTAAATAGACTGTTCAGATTAATAAGAATACTTCATCATGGATTAGAGATAACTGAAGGCCTCTAACAGAATAAACTCATCTATTCATCGCATGAGTATGAAGACACTCTACTCTATCATCTGTGCGATATCACAGTCAATTTCATATCGTCATGTGTAACATGATAAGTGTGGCAATAGTAATGTATTCATTACAATTATGCAACAATGTGAGGAGTATTTCAGAGCTGTGGCTCGCCCCGACAGCTTTTTATACAGCTGTAAGTTTAGTTTGGAATTTCTAAAATCTTGGGTTTGAGCCCCCGAGAGGTGAACATGTGAGTGAAAGTCAGAAGAAATCAGAAATTTTGCAACACAAACTGGCATCGAGTTTTTCAGTTTTTAAATGTTCATTTTAGACACGGTTTCCTTTCTGAATAAATGAACCACTTTCTGACAAAACACTGACCAATATAAAGTCATCTGCTGAGAAACTGAACACATCGAAAACTAAATTTGAATATTGCAAATCATGATCACTGATTGTACTATCCAGTTCTGTATAATTCAAATACACATTGAAGTATCTGAGATGATTGAAGTATTTTAAATATACTGAATGTTAAACTGCTGTAATGTGTGCATGCATGCTAATACTATATGCAGTTTTAAAGTGTTGTGTCCAAAAATCTAAATACTTTTAGATATGCTCCGTCTGTACCCTTCTTTTTAAATCATTCGCTCATTGTTATTTTCGTACAAACTTTGCATGCACTATTCTTCAAGTGTGACATGAGTTTGTATGAGAAGAGGAAGTGTGCGTTGAAATTTAGAGTTAAAACTGACCCAACCTTTGGTTAAACCCTTAATGAATACATTTGCATTTGGCGCCGAGACAAGTAAATTCGTGAATCTCTTTGCATGAGTATATTTGGTATTAGTGGTTTGTTTGGTTGGATCAGATGAAATGTAACAGTCGTATAATAAACCGGCCTTGAATACTTGTCACAGAGAGTGTGAATGTGCAGATAAGATCGGGGTCCAGGCGTTCAGAGTGCCTTTCGTTTTATCAGGACATAAGTTACAGTAACTTACTTCTTCACTGACTGATTTCTTTGGCTCTGATTTCATTCGATCATGTAAACAGCTGAGAGTTTAATGAACTGAAATTAGAAATGACTCAAGATACTTTTTCTCAGGGCTGGAGAAAACAAACAAAAACAAAAAAACAGAAGCAATGTATTCGATCCATGTTGCTAAACCTGACCAAACTCTGACCACGTTGTTCATGACACAATAAAAAACAGTCGAGATACATTTTAGAAATACTCACCAGATTCTTTAATTCCACCTGCACTCCTTGACGTCTCACCTAATCCTCACACTAATAATCTGACTGATGATGAAGGTCGACCGCTGAGTTAGAGGACGAGGTGTGAAGTCAGTGTGTTGCTCGCGAGGTCAGCGCGCTCTGAGGCGGATGGAAAGCTGCCGGCGTTCTCTGCTGCTCGCTGTGATAACTTGAGTGACAGACGAGGAAGTGTTTCAGCTCAGAGCCAACGACCACACAGCTTCCTCACACACAAACCCAAACAGTGCGCTCTCACAGCAGCACAAAATCAGGCTGCAGATGAAGCCTGATGTGAGAGGAAGAAGACGGACGTCTGTGTGAAAAATTCTGCAGAAAGTTTTGAAACACTCGTTTGACACATTTGTGTTACCAAAGAGGGCATAAAAAAGGTCAAGTGGAAAAGACGCTGGATAATGCAACAGCTGAGTTTCACCCTGTGGCACTTCATGAGAAGATGTTTCAACCATATTTTGATCTCTTATTGCTCCTGCCCTCTGTGTGTGAATTTATATATGAAATCAAGCGATATAGGATAACCTTTAACTACATTATTTGATCAGTTTGGATGAGAGGACCTAAACCAGGACATGTTTAACTTTAAGAGGTGAACTTTTAAGATGTGAAGAAACATGAAGTTGGATGTGTTATTTGTTATTTTGGCTGGATGCATAGACGTTAATGTTGGTCAGGGGGTAGCCAGGCTATTAACGCCACCCGTACAAATATCACTGCCAAGTTAGGCCTTCACACAGATTTTATAGTTAGACGACACACAATCTTCTTTACGTTGTAATGCAGTGTTAGAGGGGAAAGTCCGGGGAGCAGTTCAGGTAACTTCTGTTTAACATGAATTTATGTCAAGTTGCTGCATGGAAACGTCTCATTTATCGTTGTCACCATCAACAGAAACATCAGGTTTGCTTCTATATAAATTCGCTGTGAACAGGAAGTTGCAGTGACATCGTGACTAAAAAAAAAAAAACATCCTGAAAAAATTCACAGCTTCAGGAGTCAGTCTGACGATAAGAGTTTATATTACATCTAGATTATGTGCGTATGAGTTTCAACCTGATAATAACGGCCTCCTGTTTAACCACGACCTTAAAGTAGGCTACAGTTTTTTTGTTTTTAGACGACATCTGAGAAATAAACAACCACAAGACCACCAGGCCTTTGCAAAGGTGCAATGTCAAAGTTTATTTGTATCATTCATAGGATACAGAACACTGAAATGTATTTTTCTTCCCATCATACTTGAATTGATATAGTCTTTACTGTTGTTTAATATATTTGATAACAACATCAGTTGAATTGCAAGACAGAAAGGGAGAGAGGGTGGACGAAGTTCCCGGGTATGAACATCAGACAAACAATATCTGCTTCTTTCTAAAGTCTGTGGGAGTTCGATGTAACCTGTCCGGCGCTGAGCTGTCTCATTTCCTGCACTAAACCTAAACCAGGGGGGTAAAATGATTGGATGTTTCAGTTTGTGATGATAAATCTAGAGAAACACAGTGCGATGGTATTTCACTCCACGTTGAATTTACTGATAAAACGCTCATTTAACTCACAGGGTCATTTAGCATAGTGTGTAAGTCTGATTATGGCACGTTATGATGTGAAGTCTTAATCATGTCACCATCTCATTAACCGCTGAAAGTGATGGTTTCAGAAAAATAAGATCGACGCGGAGTGATGGTAGTATACTCAGAAGTCATTTACAATATATCAACATGTTTCATCACAGTAGATAGTTGTTTTTAGACAGTGGTGAGAGCGGAGCACCATTACTAAACACAGTTAAATAAAGACCGAGGTGGATTCAGACAACTGGAATCCAAACTCTAAAATGAGGGCTGTAATATTTCAGATCTGAGAGGAGTGCGGTGAGGAGTGATGATGTAAATGTGGTTAAAATATGAGCGCGTTTGAGCAGTTCCTCTGCCAGAGGAAGAGCAACTTGGTGATATAGTTCTGTGAGGTTTTTTTTTAATTCAATATTTTCAGTAGAAGTACTTTGTCGAATTTGTCGAGTGGTTCACTCTGGCTGTAAAACAGGTTTAATTAACAGTAATTGCAAAGTGAACCCATTGAGATGTAAAAACAGGTCAATTATATTCATGAGTATACTGTCACTCACTGTCGTAATGTTTACGACATTGTTAAAAAAAGTTATCTTGGCTGGCGTGGGAACAAAACCAATCTGGTAACTCTGGTTTTATTTCCTCTTCAGACTGATTTCAAGCTGATCAGCCGCGGTCTGCTCTCTAACGTCGCCATAGTTTAAAGGTCATGGAGGTGTTTTTGTAAACAAACATGGTGGCAGCGGTTGAAGTGGAATGTTAATGATGCTCTTTTTACATTTTGAGCAAACTGGAGGGTAGTTTCATAACGTATAAAAGGCATGAGTTGGTGACCACTTCATTTGATGCTAAACGTTTGTGTGTCATGTCGAGCTTGAGGCAACGTACAACACATGATGGGACTGGCTGCATCATGTTTGTTGCTATTGGAAACAGTATCCAATAGTATTTACATTTGTGCCTTTTCATAAATAATAAAAATAACAGTAATAACTCTTGAATTGAGGGCAGTTACGTGTAAATGTATTTGGTAGCTTCTGCTGTCAAGATAGTTAAAAGAAAACATTTGAAATACATCCAAAGACTCTAATCTTCTGCTCTGTGCTGCCATCAGGCTACATCCTGTCCTGCTTGTACAACACGTTTCTGATTTTACTCTCAGCACTGATTCCAACACTGATCCCTGTGCAGAGATTTCAGTCGTTACACCCACCGTGACCACTAAAAAAGCTGTTATTTGCAACACACTGCGGCCAAACCGACATCCTCTCTGGCTCTGTCAAGGCCGTGTCTGGATGATCCAGTTTCCTTATTTCTTAGAAAGTAGTGACAATTATCTCATGATCACAAAAACATGGTTAACAATGTGAAACAGAAAGCGGGTCTTATTCTGTCATCGGTTTGAACAGAAATGAATCCATAAAAAAAAGGATCTCTCAGAGTTTCCTCTTTCTGCGTGATACCCTGTCTGATACCATAAACTCACCCTCACAACCTGCTGTTAAACTAAGTTATTCAGCTTTAAATCTTTTCCATAAACTGTATAATTAATATCTCTCCATACATTTGACACTGTTTTTTTTGTACACAGAATATATGAATGTTTGATATGTTAAATATTTCCCTCCACACATCCTCTAGTTATGACGGCAGCTGTTTTGTCCTGACAATACGAACTTCTTTATCCGCTTTCTTTCGCTGTAACGACACGGTTTAAGAAGTCACAAAGCGATATAAGCACATGAAATGATGATTACAGATCAGCACTTTTACCTGGACTTCTGTCTTTGTGTACAACACTGATAATTCAAGGAATAGTTTGGTATTTTGGGTCGTACACACAGCTATGACACTCTACAGCCTGTCAACTCAGTATAAGGGCCTGTGTCCATTAGCAGCGTATTTTAGGTAGGTCTGTTTTGTATTGCTCTGTATGCTTCATATTTGCTTCTACTCATGTTTTAATGTTTCAAAGATAACACAAAAACAATGGCAAGACATCATGGTATTTATGTCGTACTTCTTGATTTTGATTGGTTGTTCAGGGGGATGTTGACACAGCAGCGTTCAATGTCATCTATTTTCAACATGAGTGCTGAGAGCACAGGGATGAAAACAGCTGATAGTGGCGGGCTAGGGGCTGAAAATGCTCAGCTTTTATGGTTTTGTAGAGACAACAGTAGAAACAGTAGAGTGTTGTCGGTGGACACAGACCTTGAAGCTACACTCAGGATATGGTTTTTAGCCTAGCATAGCAAAAAGTCTTTGAACTACAGCTGAGAAAAAGCACAGGTCTGATGACGGGTTAAAAATAAACCACATGAACTCATTTACTCACTGGTCGAAAGAGGATTAGGGCCACAAAATGAGAAAAAAATAATGAAAGCAGGGAGATTTTTTTTAAATTTTCATTTCAAGATTAAAGTCGAAATTTCAGGATTAAAGTTGAAATTTTAAAAAAGTCGATTTTTTATTTATTTACTGTATGTAGACATTAATCTCAATATTTTGACTTTAATCTCAAATTTTTTATTTTTTAATCTAAAAATTTCAACATTATTCACATTTCGTGATCTCAAAATTTACATTTCAATCTTGAAATTTCGACTTTATAGACATAATTTCAATTTTTTTTAAATTCTGAAATTTCGATTTTAATCTTCTTCCTGTAATTATTTTTTTTCCCGTCATGTGGCCATTATCCTCTGTGTGTTTTCTAAAAGATGCTTTTCATTTACTAAAGACAGACAAATCCTCGCCCACCTCAACACTTTCTGTCACAAGTAGCTCCAGATGTCAGCTTGTTGCTTGTTGCTAGGGGTGTCCTGATACGACTTTTTTACTTCTAACACGATACCGATATTGTAGCCTTTAGTACTGGCAGATACCGATGTTGGCACAAACTTGTGCATGACAAATTTGTACTCAGCTGCAATGTCTTTTCCGGACTTAAACGAAAAATACTGCCACACGGCCGACATCACTACTACTCCTTGCTACTTTGATAGCACCTTAGTACACACTGTTGTTAAGATTATGTGGGCTCTAGATGCTGGATCTGGGCGCTGCTAGAGGGAAGTGCTGGAGTGGAGTCTGGAATGGACTGCTTGTCTCGGAGTGCTGATATCAGAGATTTTAAGTGCAGCCCAATATAATCCAATATTTGTTTTTTTGCTGATATAGGACAGATATCAACAAGAAAAATTAATATTGGATTATATTTCTTTTTTCTTGCTGGTATCGGACCGATATCTGATATTGATATCAGTCCAATATTTGCAAAAAAAATACTGGATGATATTCATTTTTTTGCTGATATCAATATCGGATCGGGACATCTCTACTTGTTGCATGGCATATCTTTTTTTAATAGACATGAATAAAGTCAGTAAAGGTGTTTTTGACCTTTCTCTACTTAGTATATTATTTTAAGCACACCTCACTTCACTCATTACATATTTTCCCATATTACCAAACTATTCCTTTTACATTGAGTAATTTAAAAGTAAACCAAATTTTCCCCATCACTAATTATTCATAAGCTCCATGAATAAATGAAGTGATAATACTCATTTTTTCAGATGCGATCAGTCTGAAAAGCAGTCACCCAGGTAATCGATGGCAGAGTTAACAGGAAGATGTTAAAATCACAAAGATAGAAAAGACAAAGAGAACCGAAAAAAGAAGGAACTCAATCCAAAATCATAGCAGCAAATTTCCCATCTCTGAAACACTCACAGGTGACTCATTGGCACAAAAGACGGTGTGGAAAGTTTGGCCTCTGTTGGTGTCTCTACACTCCTAAAGTTTCATATAGATTTATAAAAAAATATCAAAATAAATTACAACATATAAATAATCAAAACAAAAACAACACATTTGGCAACACTTAAGTATCCTTCCTTTTCTGTGGGTTACAGTGACGATGTTTTTACATGGACTGTTCTGCTTGGCATTTTCAAGCTACTGATATAGAGGACACACATAACAGGTATGTAACAGTGTTCATGTTTCATCTATGAAAGCCATTTTGTGATACCCTTACAGTTTGATGGATATATATTCCTACACTGCATTCTCGTCACCTTTTAAACTTTATTTTAAACTCTTGATCTACAGAGAGGTAAATTAATGGCTGATAGTTTTTTTTTTTTGTTCTAATGAGAAGCATAAAAAGAGAGAGGAAGGGGTAGAGACGTTTTTTTTTAAATACCTGAATCAATCAGGAAGGAGAGTCATATACGGGTGGACAGGCTTCGCAGCGTGTCGGGTGTCTATTCTTTAGTTCATCGGGCGATGGGAGGTTATTTTCCGTACCCATGTTTTGCTCCTTCTTGCTGCCACAGATTCAGGTCCAGCGGTTGTTCAGGAGCAGCGTTAACCGTCTTGCTTCTGTTCGTTTGTGTCATACATTTGATGGATATGCATTTTGACAGTTTCTGGTGCGGTTACACATGAAGACAAGAAGGGAGGTTTTACACTACCTCTTGAGCAGGGGACACAAATTCAGACAGTGTAGAGAGACAGTAACAGGATTCGAGATGAAGGTAGTGTCGATCAGATGAGAACCAACCAATGCCACTTTGTCCGCATCAAGGTTGAGGTAAACACCGGAGAAGCCGAGGAGGACTGGACTGGATGATACAGTTGCAGTTTTACAGTAGCAGTCCTTTTCAAAGAATTCCAGTCGGACTTCTACGGCCCCCCCTTGGCCTCAGTTATCCAGCGCCTCGGCACACACCATGCTGCCATAAAGCTGCTGAGGGTCCGGGTGTGTCCGCACTTGCTCCTCTGCCTCGCTGTCCGTGCTTCCCTCGCTGTCCAAGCGGGGAGACGGGTGACACGGACCGGAGAGGGAAGGGTAAAGGGCGTTAGCAGGCAACGGGCTGGGGAGCAGGTCGTCGTCCGAGCTCAGGTAGTCCCCCTCTGCTGAAGCAGGGCTGGCCAGACACAGATCCTGGTAGTTGGTGCTCCCGCCTCCAGCACTGACCCTGGAGCTGGGAGCTGCCTTATGCCCTCGCAACAGCCGGATCTGAATACAAAGACAGGTGTAAGTTTTGCTGAAGGCTCTATCAACAATTAATAGTTAACCTTCAATACTTCTTATAGCTAGACTAGTTTTTTTTTAACCTTTTTTTATCTCAATTGGATAAAATAAAATAAAAAAAACACACATAAGAAATCTTCAACATGTTACACAGCCAGTTTAAATAACTGTACAGATATAGTTTTTGTTCTAATTGATGGTTGTTTTTGTTTTTTTGAGCTCATTAAGAGGAAATGTGTTCCATAACCAGATGTAGGGCTGGGCGATAAAACGATAATGATATCTAAAATTAATTTCCTTAAATATCGATATATCCATATTGCACTAAACCAATCATGTGATGAATTAAAGCCAAGTAGCAAACAACTGCGTAGTAGCACACTGCAGCTGAAGTCGACAGCACTGTCGGGGAGAAAGAGAGGAAATGAGTGCGACCCCCGACAGAAATGCAGATGAAGGCTCAACAGATGATGACAACCCTGGCACGAAAACGTCAGTGGTGTGGAGGTATTTTGGTCTTTTGAGGTCGGACATGAAGCAGAGTAATGTGCACTGCAAATTATAAATACCTCAAATACCTCATACCTCAAATCTTTTTCACCACCTAAAGCAGTGCCACTCGGCAGAGCACGCGCAATGCAAAAGGTTACAAACCCCGAGAGGGGTCTCTCCATACAGTGGCCTGTATTAGATGTTACTTGTCTTTAAAATCACCCCTTTCATATCATTGTCGACGTTTTGACGCCTCTAGCGTTTCTCAAAAGTGTTCTGCAAGAACTTGGGGTTTATGGTCAAACTTGATATATTCGCGACTCTAACAGCCTTGAAATGGTTTGATGCCGTCACTTTATGTCAGGTGCTGGCTGGAAACTTTTTTTTGCGGGTTGTTTTCGTGTGAAAAAAAAAAAACAACCTCTGTGGTGTTTGCATCTCTCACCATTTTGAGGTTTTGAAAATAGAACGGTGGGGGCAACATGATTTGACCTTTAGTTTGATAAATACAAGAAAAATTGTGATTAATTTACAAATCAAATTAGATTTATTTTTTCCTGCTGCCCTCCATCTTTTGTCGCGTTTGCATGACAGAAAAGAAAAGCCATCTCTACATGCATACTTCTCGCCTGATCATGCGGCATGTACTACAGTCAGTGGCTCATGACAAATCTCAGAGGTTTTAGTTTTCCCCTATCACACACTCAGGCGAGGTGAGGGGCGGGGGGGAGGCAGACAGTGGTTAACCATTGGAAATGTTTTGAGTGTGTGACTGTGTTCAGCTCAAGTGAAATAAAGATCATCTGTCAGGCTCTCACGGGACATTTGCTTTGATTATGTTTTTGACATAACAGCTGATAACATTAAAGGAAGTATATAAAATGCTTTAAATGGAGATATTCTGTTGTCTTTGTCCATTATTAAGTACATTATTATATCAAATGTCAGCAAATTTATGTCAACTAACTAAATAAAGTGCTTGTAAGTTCTTCTCATGTGCTGATTATGTGATTATTTACCATCACTGTCGGTATAACTCAACGGCTCAAACTACTACACTGAGATTTTTCTAAATTGTTCCTCACTTCCTCATTTGCACTCACACAAGTTTCAGTATCGCTGAAAACCACTGCTCTGATAAAAAAAGGTGGGGAGATGAAAAGAAAGAGGAGAAGAGCAGTAAAGATCAGTGCAGTCTCATCGCACCCCCGCACTTCAGAGTCACGCACGGCAACTCTCTGAATGAACAAACTCCGAGTCACCGATGAAGAGAATTTCGTGTCTTCAAAACAAGGTCAGAGTGAAAAGAGATATTCAGAGAGTCTAATTAATTCAACCTCAAAGTCTCCTGCACAGAAAGCAGGAGTGAATTTAAAAGAAATGGACTAAACCCACTGCAGAAGTGTGAGTGGTTAACTGTGTACAGAGGTGGCGCAGCTGTGGGTTCGACTGAAACAGAAAAAACACCCGTCCCCCCCTCACACACATATTGAGGTCGGTCGCTCATCTTTAGTTCATGCAGAATGACGTGATTAGAGCACACTTGTTGAGGCAGATTGGTGTCCTAATAACACAGAAGATAAAATGACTTCAACTTTTTACATCAGTACTTACACACCACTTTGAAGAAAACTCAATTTTAAATCACATTACTGCAGAATTAACCGTGCTGTAATACAGCTCCAGTTCTAAAAAAGATACTGCGTTTAAGGTGAATAAAATTATTTAATATGATAAAGTGCAACAGGGTTACCAGGTGTACGCTAATTATCATATTTGTCCGATAATTTTGCCCTCTGTACGATGTACGATCAATAACCCAGAAAAAACGCTAAATGTTCTAATAGAAATAAAAGTGACTTCGCCCATTAATTGTTATCATATTACAATATAAAACGACAAAATTGCTGTCTTTCAAAATATAGACATCACACATCCAAATGTTTGTATTCTGAATCAGGGTCCCTCTGACAATAACTATATCCATATGTAATGTGTGAGGATGTGTGTCCAACCTCGTTCTTGAGCTCAGTGATCTGGTCCCTGAGCTGGTTGATGTACTGTCTAGAGTCGGAGTGGTTCAGCTGACCCTGGATCAGCCCCTCCTCTTTCTGAAAAGTATAAAATATATATATGTTTTATTTCACACACACAAAAGTTGAGCCTAAATAGTTAAAGAAATCACCAGCATGCAGACATGAGTGACTTAGAGGAACGCAGACGTATAAACACGCTGACCTGTATCTCCAGTTCAGCGATCTTCTGCCTGAGTTCAGCCATGGCTGCCATACTGTCTGCTTCCCTCAGCCGCACCGCCATCACCTCTTCTTTGCTCTGGATGTATGCGGAGAGGAGGGAGACGACGGTTAAACAGAAGAAAGAAAGAAACTGAGAGAAGATTGCATTTTCAAAAGAAAGATAAAGAGGATTTCAGAGCGGGATATTGAAAATGTATAATGAGCTCTTTCAGTCTCTTTATCTATGTCCTGCTCTGACCTCTTTCTCTCATCCCAGGCCTCCATCATTACTTCTGTCCTACTCAAGAATGAACAAAAACAAGAATTTAGAGTTTGAGTTTCCATACTTCTCATCAGTTTTTACTTAAGCACTTTCAGGTTAATGTTTTCTTCATCCCTGTGTTGTTTTCTTTATGTTATCATCTTGTTTAAATCTCCCTGTAGTACGTTAATTAATATAATTATGATTGAGCTAAGCCAGGAAAATGGTGCTGTCCTGTCCATTACTCCCCCCTCTTGATCGGATCCAAACCTTGCAGTCAGACTCGGCCTGCTTCCTCTTCATCTCGCTGAGTTGAGTCTGGAGAGCTTTGTTCTGATTGGCCAACATCTGGAGCCGATCCTGCAGCGCAGAGCGTTCCTGATCGTTTCGACCGATCAGCTTGCTGTGAATCTGGTTCTACAGAAAAAAAACATGGGAAACTGTGAGTGGCATATTTTTTGTCATCAATTAGCTGTTGATTTTTTCAGAAATCAGTCAGTCTATTAAATCTAAAATGATTAAAATATTGTACCATCAAAATTATCAAAACCTGACGTAGTTAACTTTTACTTATAGACTAATTATTTGACTTGAATTTTTAACTGTTTGCCGTATCATCCTGGCACCATTTGCTCTGCTCTATAATCTTGCTTTGGCTCTATGTGAAATACACTAAAATGATTTATTTTTAAAATTCAATGTATCCGTGTAGGAGAAGGGCATTTATTCCCACTATGTAGAAATGAAAGTGTGTATAATTTGTCTGACCTGGCTCTCCAGCTGCAGGGCTTTAAGTTTGACCTCTCGGAGCTCAGCCTGCGCCTGTGCCTCTCTCAGTCTGACCGTCATGAGTTTGTCCTGCAGCTCGTTCATGGCGTTCTTCTTTGGGGACTCCTTCCAGTGGCCGCCACCTCCGCCTGTGCTGCTGCCTCGGGACATGTGATGCTGTTGTGAAAAAAAATGCAAAGCTGTAACTCTGCTCAGCTAAAGGACGTCAAGGTGGACTTTTGGTGGGTCTGCAGAGAAACACAAGCAGTAGTGTGTGTTTGTTACCTGCCAGCGCTGGTTGAGCTCAGTGACAGAGTCCTGCATTTCTCTGAAAGAGTGCATCGTCTCCAGCTCCCGAAGTTTCATCTGCTTCACCTCCTCCTGCAGAGCTGCCATGTTGTTCTCATCGGGCAGGCAGTTGTTCATCTGAGTGGATGTATAATTAATATAAATACATACGTATTACATATGCTGCTGACCACAAAGAGAGCCTACACAATTCTAACTATGTTGATTTAAAGCAGGAGTAACAGACTGATGTTCATACTTTGTTTTGTTTTTGTTTTTTTAGTAACACCTTTCTCTATGACGTATTATAAATATATGTATAATACATGTTAATCACGTTATAGCACTGTATAACTATAGTTTTAAACGCTCATAAATGATCATCATGCTTTATAGCAATAATTAAAACACATTATAAAGCATTTTATCATGACTTACAAGGTCAGGTATTATAATGTGTTATAACTGGGTAACCCTTTCTTTTACGGTACATTACGGTAATTACCAGGTAATTAACAGGTAATTACCTAGTAACAACATGAAATTATCTGGTAATTACATGAAAGCTACTATAAGTCAATACTGTCTAGCTACCAGGTAGGTAACCTTCCATCATCATACAAATTTGAATCCGAATTGCTCTGGTATTTCCAGGATTTTCTCTGTATCTGGAACCACCACTTGCGCAGTAGCATTGTACGCATTCGGCGGGTGAGTCGCTGTGATAATGCTTGACTCAAACAGCTCATTGCTACACAATTTTCACACGTCCATAGGCTGTACTAAGTGTCAATCATAGAAAATAAGAACGCCAAATAGCTTTTGAAAATGGAGCTGCACAGAAAAAAGAAAAAAAGAAAAACTAGACAGTATTGACTTAGTAGTTATCATGTAATTACCAAATAATTTCATGTTGTTACTAGGTAATTACCTGTTAATTACCTGGTAATAAGTGTACCGTAAAAGAAAAGGTTACCTATAACTGTTAACAAGTCACTGACAACGCCCACATAGATAATGCATTAAACATATATTTATGTTGTGTTATAACTACTTATAAACTTGTATAACGATCATCATAAACACTTACTAATTATCATAAGGCTTTATAACAATAAGCATAACACATTATAATACCTGAACTTGTGAGTCATGATAAAATGCTGCTAACCCGAGAACCAAGAGGTCAGAAACCTCATAAACAGTGACACAGTTACTTTCTCTGACCTCTAGTAGGAAAATCATCATTAGAAGAAGGCAGGGAGGAATCTAAAAATATTAAAAAAAAAATACTCAGAGCATACTTTCCCCCCCTTTTTGTAGTGTCAGGATAACCTTGAACACACTCACTAGTATCCTCTGCCTGCTGCCTCGGCTTGTCTTTCACACTTTGTTCCCTCTCACACGCTAAAACGAGTATTTCATGCTCACCTTCTCCAGGTCCAGGACTTTGTCTTGCATTTCCTTCAGCGCTCCAAGCAGTTCGGCCTCACGCAGTCTGGACTGCTCCAGCTGGGTCTGCAAGTTGGTCACGAACTGCTCAGTGTACTGAAAAAGAAACAGGTTTACTGCGTGACGGAACAGCAGGGCTTTGACCACCTTTGTCTTTCTGTTGCAGTATTCAGATATTTATTCACTTCTGGGAACTGTTTTCACTTGGTCTCAGAGTTTTTGTTAAAAGTCGAGCAAACGAGTCCCTTAAACAGACCCAATGCTTTGATGGTTATCAACATCACAAGCCGATGATTTTTATCTCTCTTCTTTTAGTTTCACTCTCATTTCTCCCTAGTTTCTTTCTAGGGCGTCCCCATGTCATTAAGAGCGGGCGATGATTTGTTTTTTACCCTAAGAGCTGAAGGGAAATTCGCCCCGATTCCTTGAATGTGGTCACAGCCTCACTCCAGTTACCCAATTATAAATTTGCTGATCATCAAAATTTAAGTGGTGTCTATCTTCATTCCTGCAACCGTGACTCAGAGTGGCGTCATCACATAAAAACCTACTGTAGATTTTTATGTCAGCACATGAGGATTGAAACTACCAAGACAGAGGTGTGAGGGCAGCAGAAAAACCAACACAGAGCCGAGTGGAACATACTTTCCTACAAAGCAAAACACTACAGCTTGAAATTGGGTGAGTACATTGCGTGAGTTTGAGTCTTGATTTGTCATTTCAGACTTCTCAGTCTTGGTTTTTAGACATGAGTGTGGAGGTGTGTGAACTTTACGGGGTGGTGACTGCCAGCAATCTGAGGTGGGAGAAAATCGCCCTTAAAATGGCATCACGCTCTCATGCAACGTTTGAAAACCAACTAGTTATCCAATGACTGTTTCTTTTAAGGGGGCATTTGCATATTTTTTTTGTTTTGTGTATGATCGGATGACATGACGACTGTAAACCTTTTTTTTTTTTTAAAGACCAGCAGGGTTTATTAGCAAGATACTGCAGTTCAGTATCTTCTATTTACAGCGGGGAAAATTATCTTTGTCTCCTTCACACTTGAGGAAGTCCTCTGACAGAATCTCTTATGATTTTTACACAGATCACGTTAAATGAGAAGGATACAATGACTGAAAATGTGAGGGGGGATCCTTTTTCATTATAACACCTGCTTTAGTAATGTAACCCATATAATGTTTACCAAACTTACTCAATGTTAGTGTATCTAAATATAAAGTTACTCAGCATCTAAAACAGGCCTGTTTTAGTTAAACTATTATTCAAAGTTGTATTGTCGTGTGACATTAGGACTGGGTGATTATATGATCCTGATAAATTTCAGTTCGATCACGGGGATCAGCTGTGAGCATATTTATTCAATCAAACATAGCAGAAATGTGCGTGACATCAGCCAATCAGAGTCGAGCTTTCCCTGCTCACTTCTGTTAGTTGCCGGAGAAGTAAACAGGAGAAGTAAACAGAATGACCGATCGTGGAGCTGAGGGCAGCAAAATAGATGTCAGCCATGACTTTGAGTCATCCTCTAAAGTCGCATAATTGAGAAAAAAAAGTTATTCAATGTTGGTTGTGTGGCAGTGGTTCTTGTATCTCCAAAGTGGCATTGAGCAATTGCAAAGTATGTTGGCGGTCGGTGCTGCCGACATACTTTGCGGAAAAGTATGTCGGCAGCGGAAAGCTTGAAAATATGAGCGGAGTCTGCACAGCCTGTCACTGCTGATAGCACAAGTATCATTAGTAGTTTAGCCACCAGACCAAAGCAGCAACCAATTGTGTCATCTAAGTTTACATCATTTAATGTTTACATTTTAAGGCGTCATCATTATCCCTGAGGGGGACATTTGTTTATTTTGGGTCTTGCATACCTGCAAAAACACTCAGGACTGTAAACCAGTTCACTGTTTTATCAAATATTTACCGACATTTGTTGTACTTTTGAGTTAAAATACTTTTCTTATTTTCCTATGTTTATCTTATTTAATTTGCTTTATTATTTACTTTGTTCATAAAATGTTGAACTTAAAGTTTTTAGTACAGATGCTTTACAACTGGCAGTTTAAAAAAATATACAAAAAAATTGTGTCAATAATTGATATGACAAAATAGATCATGATCATTTTTTTTGCCAAATCGCCCAGTCCTATGTTACATCATTATTGGTCCGTTTTGTCCTTTAAGTTAGAGGTAAATACAGACAGTAAACAACATTGTTCGCTGCTACATTATTTTATACTGTAGGGTGTGCAAGTCCAAAATATTGACCTTGTTGAAGGTCTTGTGAAGAGGCATCAGTTTTAAATTCAGTTTGCTCCTTCAAGAGCCTTATATGCATGAGTAAAGGTACTGAAGCTGGATTGTTGATGAGGACAGTGATATACAAAGAGTTTTCATCAAAAAAAAAACATAACTCTCATAGAGTGCCTTAAGTTCCAGAACAAGAAAAACACAGATTTGTTTTTTTTTTAAGAGTCCAAGTTCTACTCCTGTATCAAATAGAAAATGCAGGATACTTATATCTTTTCCTGGATTTAGGGAAGCAGTACGACCTCATTGTTGGTTTATTTGACTGAAACTATTCGAACAAAAAAGAACTGATCTGTAACAGTCCACAGGTGCTGAGCTCGGCATATTCAGAAGTAGATTTCTCATTTCCTTTGAGGTTCAAATGAAAACATCATTGTGCCCGCTGCCTAGTTTTTCATCACAGAAAGAAAGAAAGAAAGAAAATGTTTGGCGTCGTCAGCAAAGAATTACCTGGAGCTTTTATCTGAATTTCACACTCCTGAGCACATAATGTCCCTGCACAGCACGACACTGGCACCCTGAGTCTGTGTGTGTGTGTGTGTGTGTGTGTGTGTGTGTGTGTGTGTGGGTGTGTGTGTTTGAATAAGCCACTGATGATGGGGTACCTTGACTGTACTACAGTTTCATCACTGGATTTAGAGTTTTTATAACAAAGAATATAAATCGTATCTTGTGTCAAACTAAAACCAAATGAGTCTTGCAACTTATTTTCAAAATGTTTTTTTAAGCAAAAACTTGTTTTAAGCAGTATATGTCCATTTTTAAATCACCACCAACTCTTCTCTTTTTATTTTCATTGACTGCTATAATTTTATCGATATGTTTGCCACTCCACCTTAAAAAAAAAGGCTTTTCATTCGTAAAGCTCTTTTTTTCAGATGTGTGTCAAACCTGAAGACTTTCATAAACACGCTCTTATAAAAGGTCAGGAAGTTGAAGAAGATACTATTCTCTTGAACTTTTACGATTTTCAAATGAAGTCCTGAGAAAGTAGGTGTTGCGGTTTCATTTTAATCAAATACTGACTTCTGCAAATCTAACCAAAGACTGACTGCTTACTGTGAAATGACTCAACATTTCACTGAGAGTTACAACATTTCTTCTTAAAAACCTCTTTGAATATGTTGGAAATATGTTTATTTTAATTCTTTACTAAACAAAAGAACATATCGAATATTTTACAACCAAAGCGTACACAAATTCAGCCCAACTGCTTTGCTTTAGCAGAAACTTCTATCACACAAATCTACTGTAAGGGGCTACCCCTGAAACTGAATATATTGCGCGCTGTCACGCTCTGTGTTGGCACATCTGTCTCTGTTGCTACAACAGTGTTGGGTGGTAACACACGGAGGGTTGGTGATTACCTTCTGTTGCTGCAGCTCTCTGATGGTGTCCTGTGCTTTCTCCAGATTCTCACTGGCCGTATTACACTGCTGCCTCACCACCGCCAGCTCCCGCTTGATCACATAGTTCTCCTCCGCTTCCTGTGCCCGTGTCACCTGACCCTGAAATAGCAGTACCTCAGCATGAGTCCAGACTGTTGCACTGTCTAAATATCAAGATACAGATAATGCTAATGTTGGGAACCGGGTCGGACTCGTTTCAAGGGAGTGCAACTTGAATCGTTTTCATCTACATGTTAGTGAGAGGATGTTTTTACCCTAAAATAGAAGTTTTCTGTTTTGGGAAACATGCTCAGTGGCTTTCTTGCAGAGAGGTGGCTTCTTGTTACAGTCAGTTCAGTTTGAAGATAAGGGGGGCAGCATTTTTAGAGAACTTATGTGCATTACAGACTTAAAACATGAGGACACAGTCAGTCCAGGTCTGTCAGGAGGTAAGTGCTGTCTATCAGGTTCGGGCGATAAGTTATTGGTCATGATTTATCGTCAGAAAAATCCTCCACAATGAATATTTTCCATCAAATTGATAAATGTGATAAACGCAAGTTGGTAATGTAAGCACGAGCAACGGACTCGCAGCCATAGCCCACACAGAGCAGAATAACAAACAAACATGGCCGAAGGTGGTGAAGAGGACGTTTCTGAGGAGCCTCTAAGTGAACAAGGCTCCAAATGAGGGATTTCCTTCAAGATTGGTTCTTACATGAGTGCAATCAGGTATTCCTGACATCAGACAGTGGATCTGCAGCTGTTCACTCTGTGCAATAAGAGTTTACAACAAATGTTGAAAATGTTTTCACATTTGAGACTTGTTTGATGTCACTTGTTTTCCCCATAACCTGCCACTAAAGAGAATTTTACAGTTTTACTTTCAAATTGTTTTAACACCTTCTACTTCGCACTGGTTTCAGACATCAAAATTCATTGTAAAAAAAAAAATGAGCACGTCATTGACGATCTTGTTTGCTTTAACATATCATTGCAATTCATCAATATAAATTTTAGTCTATTTCTTAGATGTTAAAAACTCCTTAAAGGCTCAAAGTAATAACATGGATTTGGAAAGTGTTTAATGCAGGTGGATGATGAGGAAATCTCTGACTGAACGAGACTTCTTCATGCAGGTTTATATTTTCAGTAAATCTAACTTATGTGCAAATGTGTCAGATTTTGAAGCTGTTTACATTTCCGATATTTCAATTTAGGTTGCATCTTATCACAATTCAAAAATACATTTCTTTTATTTTGATTCAAGACATTTTCATTTTACCACCTTCTACAGAACAGAAAGCACATTTTCCAAAACGTCAAACCATATGGGATCTTTCATAAATATCTTAGTTAAAAACATGTTTCCATTATGATGATTTTGATAGTATGGTATAAATGATACTAAACTTTGACATGCCACGTGCAGGGACAGCACAACCTGAAATAATTACCAATGCCATGATAAAAGGGGCATGCATTTGGGGATAACAGGGTGAACCTGTAAACTGAAAAAATATGAAAACATGAACAATATCCTGCCATGCACCTCTGCACGCCGGTGACTGTTAAGAAAGGAAAGGAAAAAAGCAAAGAAGGAGAGCAGGAGGAGGAGGAGGAGGGAAGGGTTAAAGGGGAGAGAAGTGAGGTCAGTGAGATAATGGTGCAGAGTACTCTACCTGTATCAGTCTGTCTGCCAGAGCTGCACTCTCCTACAGCGCAGCGAGAAGGAGGGAGAAGAGTATGAAAAAAAGGAAGATGAAGAAAGAGAAAGACGTTCGAACACCAGGAGGAACAAACCACCACAACGCTCAACAAGACAGTCAAAGAAAGGGAAGAGCAGTGAAAGGCTGTATGAAAAGATGTGAAGAGACTTTTGTGAAGATAAAAGACAGCAGTGAGATCAATCAGAAAAACAGAATTTTACCCAGAATGAGGAAACGGTCAAAGGCAGTGGTTTTAAAAGCAGAGTGCTTAAGAGGAAGGGGAAACCCCGACATGGGTCACAGGAGAAGAAAACCAACACCCCAAATGAGCTCATGGATCTAAGTCCAGTGCTTCTTGTTACAGTGTTTAAATTCTGGACACATGATCAGATAAAAGTGATAAATCTCAGCAGGTACACTGAAATCGAGGCTCATTTCTTACCTTCTCCAGCGTCTCAATCCTCTGCTTCAAGAGCCTGTTTTCTGTGCGTAACCTCTGAGCAAAGCGAGAGAGAGAGAGAGAGAGAGAGAGAGAGAGAGAGAGAGAGAGAGAGATATTACTGTTAAAGAGCTGTGAGGTTATTGTTCCTACCCTCGTCAACAATAACATATTAAAAAACAGAGATGCACTGTGAAAACCTGGGCTGATACCTGACCTGATGTTGGAAACATTCATTTAGCAAACAGCTGTGTCTGATACCAACGTTTTTTTTTTCACATGTTGAACCAACTTTAATGTCACTGCTCTTTCTCAGAGACGGTGTAATACTCCCACACTGCAGACACCGTCTTTCACCTTAACCATGATCAGATCAGAAACCAGAGTTCAAAGGTCAAAAAGGAGACTTTTACTGCTTAATTCAAACCCTCTTCTCTGGAACCGATGCAAAACAACTGATACACATCAGCGTATGACACTGGTGCATGCACATTATTTGCAGCCAATACCGATGTTCAAAACACACACCTTGATCTCGATTTGTTCCTCCATCTCTTTGTTTTTGATTGTGGTGTATTCTTTCTCAAGTCTGATAGAAGAAAAACAACATGATCAATTGTGTCTCAGCACTAAGTAATACATCTTTTTAAAAACAACAACAACCCAGTGTGTTATATCCTACAATACCACGAGTAATGAATAATAGTCACGCTTACTTCTTCATCCTCTTGGGGTTGTATTTAACCTGGTAGGCCCTGAGGATCAGCTTGTCTGGGCAGCTGTCGAACTGGTGGGGGATCACTTTCTGGAAATGCTGGTAGAAAAAAAAAACAAAACATGATCAGAGCTCCAGAAAAAACAAACATGCTCATTCATATTTTATGAAGGTGGAGGCAGACACATTGTAGAAGAGTGAAAAGGGCGATTAGGCTCGATGTTTGCCTCATGGTGAAGGGGTTGTTTAATTCATCAGGCAGTAATTGATGCTGGTATAGAAAAACAAGGAACGAGGTGTGTCTAAATGAACAAATATGATCTTGTTATACTGGAGTATCCTTGACCAAATGAGTAGTTCTGTGGGTGTTTCAATCCAATCCAATCCATTCCATTTATATAGCACATTTTACAAACATTCAAGTTTACCAAAGTACTGCACAGTGAAATCAAAAAGAACAAACACTGCAGAAGTAAAAACATTAGGAGGCAGGGGAAAAACAAGCAGGCAAAAATAATTTAAAATGAACTAAAAACATAAAAGAAATAGAAGTGATAAAAACACAGGAATAAGAAGGGCTGGTCAATAAACTGGAAATTCACTAATACCAAAATTTACTATTATAACCGACATCATTTTGCTCATATCGGTATACTCGGTGTCATAAAAATAACTAAATAAAACTTGGTTTTGGATGTGTGTAGGTAGGCTATGGTCTTTAAGATGTGACTCCACCCCATCCAGTCTGTAACAAAGAGGGAAAGACAGGTGAGGAGATGGAGGACGGTTCAAAAGTTGTAGCGTCTGGAGCGACGACTGAAGTAGACGAAGTTAATGTGGGAGGGGGTGAGCAGCTTGTGGAGTAGTTATCATCCATTTATCTTTATTGAGGTGAACTGCTCAATATATCGTGATATTGATTTAAGGCCATATCGCCCAGCCCTAGGGATAAGGACCATCGAAGGCATAAATGGACAGAGATCACACAACTCTCACGCTAAACTAAAACCAAAGAATAAAAATAAGTTTTAAGATGTGACTTAAAAGAAGAGAGGGTGGGGGATGTTTTGATCTCGAGTGGCACACTATTTGGGACCCACAGCCAAGAAAGCTCGATCACCTCAGGTGTTTCGGACAAAACATCTTTTTTCAATCATCATTTCTCTCCTGCTTTTGTGTCAACACACTCAAAATGATCAAACACACCTGAGGTTTTTTTTTTGTGAAATCTCGTTACAGGGTCAAGTCGATCCGTCTTTCAGCAGATATGACAAAATTGATCGCATTTCACTTGCAGCTTGTTCTATAAATACAAAAATGCTTACCTGTGACATGCCCTCCATGTCCAGCTGAATGAGGTCAGTCTGGTTGTACTGCAGGATGGCCAGGCCCACACGAAAGATGATCTCTAAGCCCTACAGACAGATGAGATCTTTTATTACCCGTGCTGAGACTACATAATAAATAAATACATCTTAAGATACTGTAAACATACTCTAATGTTTCATACCTCATACATGAATATATCAAAGATCCGTGTGGCGACAGGCAGAGGGAGGAAGGTAAGGAAAAGAGTGAGGAACCAGGATGAGGCGTACATTGACGTGTGGAAACTCTGGGATCGAAAATGAACGTTCAGCTCAGGGAGTTGTTCCTAAGACAAAAAAAAAGAGCATGACTTTAGAGCATGATCTGTAAAAATGAAGTACTGTAAATTAACAATCTGCTGCCCTTCTGTGGACAAAACAGAGTACTGCAAGTTTGGTGGGTTTGTGCGTTTCCTCTGTACCTGCAGCAGATACTCAAACTGGTAGATGCAGAGGCCCAGCTCCGCCATGCTGGGTTTGAACAACTCCCTCAGACGATACTCCTGCATCAAGCGCACAAAAACACAAAAAGCCTCCTCCTCAGGCATCTGGGAGGAGGTGAGACAGGTGAGTATAGCTTTCTCAATAGCTGATGTCAACGATTACACCCTTCAGGGATTGTTTTTACTCTGATAACCTTTGGGGATGACCTTGTAAATTTTAAAACATTGAAAGTGGCTCATTTGAGAAATCTAATGGGACTCGTTAATGCCGCGTTAACCTTAGGAGCAAAACATCCTCATTATAGACCATTTACCTGTAATATTTAGTCATTACCTGCATAAGCAGCAGACCTACGATGAATGCGCTGCCTTGACAGTAGCCCACCTCTCGATCCACAAGAGAGTATGCCTGGAAAACACAAAACATCGGCTTTGCAGTGTGCTGTTTCCATCATCATCGGCAGCAGCAGAGATGATATCTGTAATCTCGACCGAACACTCAGGTTGTGTGTGAGCGACCAGACACCAGAGCTCTGTTCATTTCCTGCAGTTGAGCAGCGATCAGAGACTGATGCGGTGATCACGAACAAACTGGTCTCCATGGTTGTGAAAAAAATCCAATCCACACATATCATTGACTCACTGCAGAGTTGTTTAAACCGCAAAACAAATGCAAGGTAACACTTAAAAAGCCATTTCAACATTTCTGGGTCAATGCGACCACATCTGAACAACTGCAGGATGGAAGTGTGTCAAAATGGCACTCTGATATAATCACTCGCCTCTTTTTTCAGTATCTGTCTGTCATGCTGAAACAAATTATTTCGACACTCAAATTTAATCAGATTAAATTATATCTATAATGTTACAGTTTTATAATGTTACATTTTGCCCATGTCAATATATCCGGTGTCAAAAAAATACATATAATAAACGTTGGTTTTTGGATGTGTGTCGGTAGGGTATGGTCTCATGTCCCTTTAAGACGCTGTCCCATGTTCGAGACACGACGCCACCCCATCCAGTCTGTAACAAAGAGGGATCAAAAGTTGTAGCAGATGAAGTAGACAGAATTAATGTAGGAGGGGGTGAGCAGCTTGTGGAGTAGTTATCGTCCATTTATCGTTATCGAGGTGAACTGCTCAATATATCGTGATATTGATTTGAGGCCATATCGCCCAGCCCTACAAAGTACCCAAGTGAGTTTTGAGACTTTTTGTTTGTATTTGCAGGTTTAAATGAGCCAACCACACTGCTGTATCAATTCTAGCACATGTTTTTATCCAACTTTGCCGCTTGACTTTATATATTTTATCCGCACTTTCACTTATTACCACCAGAATTCCTCTTTTTTGAAGCTTGCAAATCGGTTTAATCCACAAACGCTACTAAATGACGGAACAAAATCTAACCGTATGTAAAACAGCCTAGCGGACTCTATAATTCTTTTGAGTTTTGGGTCCTTTTCAGTACCGCGTTTTGATCCCTACGACAGTGTCAGCACATCAAATAACCTCATAAATGTCTACAGTACAGTACAGTAGTAGTCAACAGGACCAACAAAGAAACGTCCCTGATTCTCAGCTTTTTACAACCCTCACCTTCATCACATTGAAGAGGACCTCCTGTCCCAGGCTGTCCTGGCCTTTGAAGAACTCGTGCTCGGGGTAGGTGCGGGCGATGTCTCTGCGGATGAGCTTCTCGCAGGGGGACGACATCTTCAGCAGCTCGGAGTACTGGTTCTTGACTGGCATGTCTGTGGCGTTACCCAGCAGCTGCCAGACGATGGCGCGGAAATGATGAGGGATTCCCTTTCTTATCAACTCCTGGGGACGGAGGCAATGAAAAGGATTAATACCTCACTCGTTCATTTGTGTCAAGAGGAATGCAGTTTCGAGCCTCTCTTCAAGAGCAAAAAAACGAGAGAAGAATCAATAATGCATGAATAATAGATAGATTGTATTAAAGATCATAAATCAGAGTTATTTCATGATGACAGTCACTCATCGTGCTTCACAGTTATTGTAAACCAACTCATGTCTTTCATTAAAATCCGACTTTGCCATCTTGTTTTTGTGTCTGTGGAGTTTTTTGGCAGCTTCTGTCAGATTGCTCTTTGTCTGCTCTCTCCTTTCACCTGGAGTCATTTTGTTTTCCTCTGTCTCATCCATCCTCACCTCTCCTGGGTTTTGCCTCTTTTTGTCACAGAGGACACAGAGGCATATGGAGAGAGACGTGTTGGTGCAGTGCACCTTAAAGGCATTGGCAGCTTCATGTGAGGATTATTGCAACCCTTTTGAAACAGATTCAGACAGACTCTGTCGCGGGGGAATGTCAGCAAAAATGAAACTGCGGAAAATACTGAGCAACATGTTTCTGACACACATATGCTCGCAGCTACGAGGAGACGGACACTGTGACCTTATGAGCAAAAACAGACCAGTGAAAAAGTCTGTGTGTGGATGAAGATGTAGCGGTGACTCAGGGATTTTAAGCCGTCCAGAACGCCCTCAGTGTTCTGGCACAAAGGATGCAAAAGCAAAACGTGGACGCTGCTAATCTCCTTTTTGATGTTCTTGTTTGTAACTCTACTACATGATTCATCTTCTTGTCTGGTGGCAAAAACTTTTATTTTCCAGTTCTAGTTTCTTGACGCTCACCTTTAGGAGTTTATCTTTCTTACGCCTCCACTCCTCCCACTCGTTGACGATTCGGCCCCACAGGATCCAGGTATCCTCCTCCAGGTGTGACAGGTTGGAGGACGCCGAGGAGCTGGACACCAGGGAGGAGCCGCTGTTACGTCGGGAACCGCTCATCGACCGCATGGACTTGGAATCCGCCTCCAGCAGCCTGCAAGAGGAAGACGAGGAGCTCACTCTACAATAGATGACTGATTCGACTGGTTTCAACGACTGATCGGATCATATTACACACACACACACACAGCTTAAAGGAAAACCTCTTAACTGATTTCAATCAAACTCAAGCGCATAAGTCAGTGTTGCAATATAAGTTTAATCTTAAACAGGCTTTTGTACTTTTCAAACAAAAGAGAAAATTAAATCCTGTCTGTTTTGTCGCAGATTTCTGTACATTTTTTCGTTTTCTCGTATTAAGTGAAACAGCAGATAAGATGAGACACTTCTTCAGTAAACACAGAGTTTGGAAGGGAATCTTTGAGTAGTAATCCAAGCAGCACAACTGCACATGTGATCGTGTCAGTTTGGCAGGTTGTTAGTTTGGCTTTGAGAGGATTTGACCCGTGAGGATTTTGAGGCCAAGATCAACCAGTAAGTCTTTTTGCGCTGAAATCTGACACTTTTGATAAAGCTCATTAAACTTACAAATGAGAGTTGAATAAATGACTGACTGTAAATATGGCCAGTTTTTAGCTGGCTATGAGCATACTAAGATCAAAAGTGATGCCTGTTTATAACATGCACCATCAGACTGTTTTTATTTCATCATTTCATGGCTATGACTGCTGTGAGGGGGTGAGTATCAGACCAGATGATCGTCAGAGACTCAGACCAGCAAATATTCATAGTAATCAGACACACAGAAACGAACACAGAAGGGGACCTGCAATGAGACGAGAGGTGTCACTTTGTGTGCACAGGGCAACACCATAGACACAAACCTTAAAGACCCACTCAGATGAAAATCATGTTTTTCTTGTTGTTTACATGTTCATATGGCATTTTTCTGATGCTACAGGACATATCATGAGAAAACTAAGTGCAAAATTGAATTTCTGAGTATTTCTGCATTAAAATCGCTGTGAATCTCTGACAGACCCAAACGGCAGGCTCAGATTCAGTGAGATTTCCTATGTCACAAATCCAAGCTCCGCCCCTGGAGCCCAGCTATGCAGGCCACGGCTCAGCACTCAATTGCTAATAAGCTACTGGAGCTCTGCAGAAGAAAAGTTCTCTAACACAGGTATTGTGATTTTGACTAAAAACTTCATAATCACAATTGAAAGACCACTGATAACACTTTTAATAATAATAAATACAATCAGAGTGGGACTTTAAGTTTCTGACCACCTCAGTCAACAGACAAGATTTCTTCACAGATCCAATCCAGCTGTTTTTCCAGGTTTACAATTGTAGGTGTTAGCTAGGTTAAATGTTAACGATGGGATCAGCCTCTAACTAAGAAATGTGTTTACTCACATAAAAATGTTTCCTGATGTTTATTTCAAAAGCCTGAAGGAAATGCCAGGATTTCCATTTTGCATGACAGAATAATCAAACTAAATTATGAATCTCTGATACCCAAAGCATGAACTGCTTCTTTAAATATTCGTATGTCTCTCTTGGAGTCAGCGGCCGCACAGCACCAGGGTGCAGATATGAAGTGATGGAGGAGACACTCTTTTCCCAGAGGCTGCTCACTTCAGTCCTCCTTCGACCCCTGAGTGTCTTTAGTCTTTTAAATCATTTGACTCTCACGTTAACCTTCATCACATGCTGAGACGTGATGGAACCAGAGAACGACGACTTACACTTCAAATATCACAGCACCACTCATATCATTTTAGAAGTGATGCTCTGTCTTTTGTGCCTCTGCTGGGGTTAATCGAATCTAATCAAAGCAAATTGTTCACCTCAGGACTTTTCCCATGAACAGCAGAGAATTACGTGACTTTAGCTGAATGGAGAAGTGAATCTCTTAAACATGACTCAGAAAAAAAAGAAAAAAAGGTTTGAGATATCATTTCTGTGCAAACTGATCTTCAAAAGCTTCCTGACTGACTTTAAAATCAAAGACTGGGTGTATGTTTGTGCTTCACTTGTAGAGATGGGTTTGTTCCAGGAGCAGGGAGACTTTCAAGAGAGGAGGTCATAATGTGATTCAACGACAATGTCAAATATCACACTGAGGTAAAGAAAATCTTTGTCTGACTAAATGAAAATGACTGTACACCTCAGAAAGATTGTTTCCTTGTAGGATAATGAACTGACATACAGAATATCATCTGACACACTGTGTAGATAGAGAAGGATTCTGTATTTTTGACTTAAAAGTAATAGTCCTGCTGTTATTTTCTGTTTTAAATTCAAAGTGTTTTTACTAAAAAATCCTAAAAACACAAATGCGACAGCGTGCAGCGTTCACTCACGCAATATGTTTGCCCACATACCTATTTTTGTAACTCTGTGTATTTGTCGCAAATGTAGGACATGCAGATTTGTGATTCTGGGTCAAATTAACATTAGCTTTTATCGTTTCATACTCATCCTTTCGCAGTAGGCGATGATCTTTCCCGGCAAAGGTTTTCATATCTAAATGCCACGTTAAGAACCATTTATTTCTATGAATCACGGTGACTGTAGACTTTAGGAAGCTGAAATCTTCCATTTGAGAAACTAACTCTTATTCTCTGTAAAAACGGTTCAAACAATCACTCTTAATCCATAAGAGCCACAGTCGGCTTTACTGCTTTACTTTTCAAAACATTCATACCAACTTTCTTTTGCATATTTCACTCCTATCCTGTCATAGAGTTAAAAACACTTCTCAAGTTTGAGTTTCAGTTTGTGTTAAATATAACTTTGATTCAGCTTTTTCCATGCAGCTCCAGGATTAACTTGAGCAAATGTCTGGAGTCTCTTTCACTTTAGCACCTTCTGCTTTGGTTTCCCACTTCTCATCTACTTTGCTGGTGACCATTAATTTAGAGTTTTAACAAACAAATATCCTTCATGCTGACTACTGATGTTTGGTTTTATGTGGCAAAGTCGACAGGGAGTGGTGAAATACCAAAGATTGCACTAGATGTGTCCCTTCCTGTAGACTGATTTGATATGTGTGATGTGTGTGATCAGGTTGTCCTTAGGGACTTCGATTTTTGACCGATCTAAATCAGGTATTTCACACAGCTGGGGCATCAGTCACAGCACAGGCTATTCTCTACATTTAAAAAAGGCTTCTGACTCAGAGGTTAGACTGTGTGTCTAATGCACAAAGATTAAAGTCCTCTAATTAGGCGGTTCAAATCCTAAGCCTCAGCCTTTGACCACGTCTCTCTCTTCCAAGGTTCCTTCTCCATCCACCGTTCGATTATTTGACAAAGGCATCCAGCCGACATGATTATTTTGTTTTCCAGCACTTATGAAGCTTTAATTATCTTCCACCTTCAACCATCTCATTAATCAGCTGCTGTTTTACAAAATCTTTAACCCTCATTATTTTCTACATGAACACACGTCTCACTTGATCGCTCTGTTTTTAAAAAAAATCTAAAATCCAGAGGGTCTTTTTTTAGTTTGAGGGTTGTGATTCAAAATCATTTTATTACTAGTGTCTGAAACTTTTTTGGTTTACAGTTTATCTAAATGCTCATCATCAGCTGACTTTATCGCGGTCAAACTGAGGAAAGGGTGGAGCGACACACGACTTCATATACTAAACTAATAAACGATATTTGATAATATCTAGTTTCATGATTTATCATCAGCCCTGTGACTAAAACTTAAACACTTGTTTTACGGGCTTTTATTTTGATCTTTTTTACTACCTTGAGTTTTGGTGTTATTATGTCCTGCATTGTAAAGTGACGCTTTTATTTTGAAGTAATATACTTCAGTAGCTTGTAGGTCACTAAATGTTATAGAAACAGCTGAAAGAACGGTAAGTATGTGGAAATGTCTATATTTTCAATTCAGTATTACCATATGCTTATTCTACAGAGCCATTATACAAAAAATTTCCTTTTCAAAACAAAAAAATAAAACAGTTAAGTTTATTTCCATAGTCCTATTTACAAATTCAAAAAGCAACTTGTGGACTTTGTTAAAATGCCAGCAGTGTGAACAAATGTACACTTTTGTCTTAAATCTGCATTATTATTTCTCTATGAAGAAAGCCTAAAAGTCTTTAACTGTATGTTTTGCGAGAGTAATTAAATATTCTGCAAAGTTTTTCCTTATGTTTTTTGGTAAAGGTTTAAAAATTCACACACATAAAACCATCTGACCCTCAAACCCACACACACTGTTAGATCAAGTGATAAAACCAGAGCAGGATAGGCCTGCGGTGCCAACGTTTGGTTGCCAGTAGAGTTAAACCCTCATTAAGTCTAATTGCTTCAGTATTAAAGGGATGAACCTTTCCTCCAGCTGTAAATCATGGTGACAGTTGCTAGTCTTACCTGTTCTGCTCCTCCAGTTTGGCCAGCAGCTCCAGCTCATCGGGACTCAGGTTTTCTGAGTCTGCCGGGGAGGCAGCTGGTGCTGACAGCACTGCATCATGGGAAGAAGAGTCTGGACTAAGCACTGGGCTGCCTGTTGACAGGGGGTCCGGCTCCAAACCAGTAGGGGAAGAGGGACACTCCAGTTGTGGGGGAGCCCCAGTAGATCCCTCTCTTTCTGGGCTGTTGCTGGGTATAGACATGGTGGAGGTGATGGAGTGTGATAGGTGAAGCAGTGTGGGTGTAGTTAGAGGTTCTGCCAGTCTCACGGCCAGACCCCCTCCTCTTGGCGCCTGGGTGGCCTTCTGTCTGGCCTGGGAGCCAAAGTGATCAGAGGTCTTTAAACCTGTAACAGATGCAGAGAAAAGGGTCAAGATGGTGAAAAAGACAGTTAAACAAATAAAACGTGTGATTACACTTCATGTCCTCACATGTTTAATCATAGGGCTGGGCATCAACGTCATTTCGCCCAAATTGGTATATTTGGTGTCAAAAAAAATAAATAAATCAAAGTTGTTTTTGGATGTGTGTAGGTAGGCTATGGTCTCATGTCCCTTTAAGACGCTGTCTTATGTCGGAGACGTGACTCCACCCCATCCAGTCCATAACAAAGAGGGAAAGACAGGTGAGGAGATGGAGGACGGTTCAAAAGTTGTAGCGGCTGAAGTATATGAAGTTAATGTGGGAGGGGGTGAGCAGCTTGTGGAGTAGTTATCGTCCATTTAGCGTCATCGAGGTGAACTGCTCAATATTTCCTGATATTGAGGCCACATCGCCCAGCCCTACTTAGTCATATATTCAAATCCTTTTTGGACCGCAGCAACAACAGTCAAATATTTCTAATTAACAATGAAATGACAGAGAGAAAATCAGCAAATAAAGAGGTCCATAAATCAAAACCCTTATTTTGCTTGGTGTTGACCTCTTAGAAATGTGATTTAGACTGACTGTTTCTACTGATTACTCACTGCTGAATGTTTTTTTTAACCTCCACTTTAAAAAAACTGACACCAAGCAGCCAGGATCTGCTCCACAAACTACTTTATTTTATCTACAAACACTGGAAGACCACGTAAACAGATCAAAAGAGTGTTATATTTTTACCATGCTATTAGTAATACGTCAGTAAAAATCACAAAACCAAGCTTATGCAACAACAGAATTATCTTTTTATGAGGAGCTTCAAGAAAACAAGTCAAACAAGAGAACAAACAAGTGAAAAATCAGGATCCTCCTTGTGAAAATACACCCTTTGCATTTACAGTTGTGCGTGTGTTTGAAGACTGGGAGGAGCATGACATTTTAGATTAAGTGTTGACTAAATGGATTGAACTTGAGTAAACTGGTCATACAGGTCCAATCCTTATGAAAATGCCAACAATACCCCTCCCAACCCTCGCTAAAATAACCGCCCTAAACAAGTGGCTCTGAGTCACTGTGATGACATCATCCTGCCCTCCGTCACTGCAGACGCTGGCCTCACCACACTGTTGTTTTTCCTCACTCTTCAAACTAAGAGTTGTCTACACAGAAACACTTTTGTTATGATCTACAGATTTGAAAAGAGAGTACGACAATCAGAACTTTGTGTTGTTTTAAAAGAACAAACCTGTCAACAGTGCGAGACACATTACGACCCGATTCACTATTATTAATCCATTTTTATCAGCTTGAGCTTTCAAGAAGACTTAGCCATCCTCCTGAGTGATCAGTCTCGACACAAATAAATCACATCAGAGAGATAAGACGGGTTTTACAGCCGGAAACAGGAGAGAAAAGGCAATTACCCATGTGAGACTTTTACTGACAAAGAAACTGACTTTTTTTATTGATAGAAACTGATGAAGTGGTGCTGTTCACACTTCAGATTTCATCCAATCATCCATGATTGGACCTCTTTAAATTGCTAACAAGGTAAACCATGATTGATACATGACTTTTTGATACTGATATCAATGCTGATGATTACTAGGATGGTGGTTTGAACTTCTTGGTGGTTGAAATTTCTAGAAGGATTCAGGAAGACATCTACTTTGACAAGAAATAACAAAACAAAACAAAACAAAAAAGACATTATAACTACAGAGCCCGGGAGGTGACATTTTTTTAAATATAAAAGTTAATCACTTAATCCAATCTCTTTTATTTTTATTGTATCGCACATGTGATTTAATATATTGAACATGCGTTTTGTACGTATCTCGTACATGCGTTTTATTTGTATCTTGCGTGTGCGTTTGTGTACATAATCCTCCACGCACCTCATTTGTGGGAGAAGAAGGACAGTGTCATGGACAGAGAGCATCTTATCAACATTTTCTCTCAGTTAGGTATGACTCACAAAGAGATACTTTATAGCTCAGCCACCTTTGGTATTGTTTTGAGTAGGAGACACCTCATCAGGATCCTTAAAGCACAGCGACTTTGCCGTATGCGATATTTGGACTTGTAGGAGGTGATTGTGTTTATTAACAAACATTTAAATTGCATGTACGATACACTAAAACAACAGTAAATGTCACCTCCGTAAATAATAGTTCAAAATCTTAACATGATATAACGTCTTCCCAGTGTTGATACTAAACCATATGTGCTGAGAGTATTAGAAACTGTGCAGCCATTCACAGGGAGCTAGTATGAAGTTTTGATGTATTGGTGTGGATTGTAAGATAGATATGTAAATAATCGTATTTATTTTACGGCCAATATCCACCTAATAAGAGATATATCTGTCAAGCTCTATGAAGGACTGTGATGATGTTTGTGTTTCAAAGTGTAATTAGCTAAAGGCGTATCAGGGAGAGGCATTTGCATCCTGGGTGTAACATTTCACTTTCTAATGTTAGATACCTCATCTGCACCCTGGAGTTTGATTTGCCTCATTAAGTTTGTCAACAGAAATACATGCAGAGTACAGAGACCTGAATATTCAGGGTGTTTCTTAGAAAGGTTTCACACCCGGGGCGTGTGACGCTTATGACGGCCACTACAGCTTCAAAAAACATATGACCACAGGACAAAGAATAAGGATCAAGACTCTTTCAATACGCAGAGAGAAACAAAGTCCTCTATGAGTGCTGCAGCAAGAAAACAGAGAAGAAGATGAAATTGGTGAATGGAGAAATTCTGCAACAAGGAGGTGAGGAGAAGAGAGGAAAGGATAGGAAAGAGGAGAGTGGAGAAGAGGAGAGGAGGAGCATGGTAACAGACAGAACAGGCAAAACACTACACAGGGAGGAGACAAGGACGACATTCATGCACGGAAAGTAGGCCGATCAAAAGAGCCATTAACAACCCAAAGAGACCGACCAGATTTGTTAAAGGGTTTGGTCAAAGGACAAATTTGATATGGCTATTAAGTATCTCCCCCAGAACACGAATGAGCGATAGAAAGGATAAGCCGGTTCAGGTTATGCTGGTCAAACCAAACAAGCTTTTAGAGGATGTAATCTGTGAAGAAGAGGCAGTGACATCGCTGCAGTAAACTCAGCCTCAAACAGACGGGGGGGAGCCTGAAGGCACTGAAGCATCTGCCATGTCAGTTACTCATTCACCTCGGCCCCAGTGGTAAGACAGGAGAAAGCTCTGCTATTAACAACAATTGTTTTCAAACTAGACATTTCTGGGTATTTTTTTTCCCTCAATTTGAATCCCAAGAAAACCATTAAGACTAAACATGTTCTGGTTCACCATTTCACTCCGTCTATGATACTTAAATTTAAAGGAATGATGGAAAAATCGTCCTCTATCCAAAAAGATGCATTTCAAAAATATGTAGTAATATTTTCTAATGTTTGCATTGCAGGCTACAATAAAATGAAATGTAGACCAATGTAGCTAATAATAGCGCTAAACCACACATATCTAAATAGAGTCACAGATTCTCTTAAGAAGGGGCTGTTAGCACCATGCCGTGTCTAAGATCCGATAATAGCCAAATCTGACCACTTAAAGGGCGATTCCGGCATAAATTTAAATTAGGGTCAAATACACCGTAACACAGAGTTAGACAACCCCTCGAGAGATGAATGTTGATCTGGTAATACCAACTTTAGTAACGACCGCACGATAGCAACACACAGCAGTCTACGTCTCCACGCACAAACCTCAACTAAAACGCCACTCTATAGCCGCAAACAATGCTCTGAACAGCACCTAACTTTATCAACAGTACATATAGGGTCCCAGACATAGCACTAGCTATAAAACATCTTTTTAGCTTTGCCTTGAGACCAAACACAACTTACCTACTCTCCTCCAGCAGCCGCTAGTTTGTGGGGGAGCCCTGACTAGTCGATCACTGAGTGCAGTGGATCATTTCCTTGAAGTAATAATCACCATATTAATCATTTTGCACTGCAGACGTGGTAGTTCTTCTGCCTTAGCGTCTCGGTCTGATTGCATTTCCATAAAGAAATAATCATAAATGTTCTTCCTTGAGCTGCGAAACTCCACTGCATTTAGTGATCAACTCGTCAGGGCTCCCCCGGTCCCCTCTTTTGGTATAACTAGAGAAGTAAGCAGTCGGCAATATTTATCTCTTGGGGGGGTTTCTAACTCTGTGTTACGGTGTGTTTGACCATAATTTAAATTTACATCTGAATATCCCCTTAAGCTCACCTGACCTTATTCCTAACTTTGAAATAACAGCCTTCGTCATAAAATGAACTTTCTTAAGGAGACATTGCTTCTTCATGGTAAAAGAATAACTTAAGAGTTTGCTTTTGCAGCAGACTGTTTCCCAAGCTTGTCCTCTTAAAGGTTAGCACTGACGACAGAAATCCCCCTCAACGATCAGATGTCAACTTCTTGAGAACCATTACAAACTCAGATTAGGATCTTGAATTTGTCGTGAAAGGCTTTATACGAAATAAAATCAATGTGATCATGTGATATGTAATGATGCAACAGCCTGCGGTGATGGCAGGACAGAAGGAGCTCTGTACAGAGGTTTCAGCTCTTCGGGGGACTATTTAGCTGTGTCATTGTGGTCTGAGCACATTGTAAAAGGTGTGAGTCATGCAGGGCTACAGCAGAGTGGTACTAAAGCGTGTGTATTCTCCCTCCTGCGTACACATTAACATGGTTACTGGAAGGACACTGTAGAGGATTCTGAAAAAGCAAAATAAGCCGTATACCCTGAGACTGGCTGTTGTCCTGTAAGTGAGAATATGCCTGCTTGAGAGAAATTACAGAGAACTGAAGGTTAAAATAAAACATGTCTGCTGCTTTCTTTTCAAGGAGTCTTTTCACGCACATGTGTACGCTACAGGATGACCCGCTGCATGACATTTCCAGAGGAATGTCTTCATGCTTGATTTGTCCATGTTTTACAGTCCTTGAACCCCACCTCAAGTTGTTGTGTGTTGGCCTGGATTGTCATAAAGCCTGTGACAGTCAGCTGCATGATCTGCATATACTATAGATTGTTTTTGCTCTATGTTTTTGCACAACTACGGTCATTTCTTCAGTCTACGCCTGAATGCATCCTCCTCGCCGAGCTCCCACTGTGTGCAGCAACAGACAGGCAGCACTATTGTTTCATCCTCTGACCCTGACACACAAAAACACACACAATCTCCGGTTATTCAACATGAACCCATGTCTCTTTGCCCCCTCCATGTTTCTAATTTGTATCCGTGCTTCGCATACAAACTTGAGTGAGGGATGTGTCTGATTTACAAAATACATCTCATTGGCGAAAAGGAGCTATTCACAGCCTCCATCTGGGCTCGGTGGCATTGAGCTGGCCTGGGGCAATTAAAATTAGGAGGGTACAAAGAAAAAACTGATCCCTCTTTTGATCTCACCAACAACAGATTAATCCACACCCTGTCTGTCTGTCTGTTATTTAACCAACAGTTCAATTATATTCAGTCACAGACGAAAAAGAAAATAACACTTTTTTCTGAATAAAGACGATAAAATCAGCTGAATTTAATGTATAATATTTAATATAGAGCACTGTGGTGCGCACGCCCTCCCCTTCTCTAAGCGTGTGTGTGTTTGTATTTTGCCCTCAGGTCTTCTGGCCCTGACATTAAAGGAGACCCCTTCATTAATCTGTAGCTGCTAACCTCGCTGTTGGCTAGACTCATGATCTCATGTTAGGTTGCTGACACGTGGACTGTCCATTTCCACGCTTTTTCTCTGCCCTTGTGACTGCTGCCTGCGCCTGGGTTTCATGTTAACTCAGAGATGAGGACTTTTATCAAACTCTCTCATTCACCGTTTGTGAAAGCCATTACTGGAACCAGAATGACTCGATTAGCCCCAGCCAACGCAGTGAATTAATCCTCACTTTACATATTGACCAGTTAAATAACACACTCCACTTTTTTGTGCACAAGGCCAATGGAGTGTAAAGCAGATACTAATCAATTCGAGTACTATGAGGGCAGGCTTTCAACGATCTATCAGTCTGTGCCCGACAGTGTTGGAAAATAGCAAAAACAAACACTCTAATACTAGGCCTACAGGGAGGACAATCATGAAGTACATGCACTTTACATAACTACTTCTATTTCATGTTTCTTTTTAATCCTCAGGAAAGTTTCTCACTTAATTATTAGATTTTGGTCAGCTATAAAGGGACAACTTAACCAAGAAAACCCACTATTTTAATTCATGTGGAGGCCACATGAATATGGACAACAAAACACACATTGAGAAACACTCCTGGCTGATGGGTTGAAGAGAAGGAGCTTTTCTGCTGCATCTTAAGTCATACTTTACAAGCATCGCCAGTACAAACACTGATCAGTAGTAGGGCTGCACGATTTTGGCCAAAAATAAAATCCCGATTTTTTTCTCAGAAAACTCAATTTTCGTTTTTGAGTTTCTTCAGTGACAACTTCACGAAACCTCACCTTGAAAATAAAAAGTTTTTCTATCATCTCTCAAAATGAAACCACTGAAAATGATGTAGTGCATATGCCAAGCCAGAAAGTGGCGCTGTAACGCTGTCAAGGAAATGCACAAAAGACAGAAGAAGAGTACAGAGCATGCGTGTAGAGGTTGTTTTGGCCAGACGGAATTATGCACTCTCTGACCCATTTTAATCAAGTACTGTTTACAGTCACCTGAGCCGCTGTTTCCATGTGGATGAAACGCCGATACGACAAAAAACTTTTGCGTTTACTGCTGAATTCATTTCCGTGTGGACGGGTTGATACCGCCTTCAGACAGACTTTGCAGCTGGGAGTGGTTTGCTCTTCGTCCAAAACTGCGAAGCCGTACCAATTCCACACGACTAACTCACTCTTGCCTTATATAGCCACAAAATTATCGCCTTCTTTTGCTAAGGCCATGTTTGTTTACATTGGTGTATGATGGAACTGGGGAGCGCTCCCGCAGGAAGGGGGAGTGGCCTGGAGCTGTGAAACATGATAGAGAGGAAAATCAATTTGACAATTTTAATTTTTTTAACATCATCATAATCAGATAATTAGATTACGATTTAAAATGGATTAATCATGCAGCCCTAATCAGTAGCTACCTAATGTGATTGAAAACATCTGTAGTTATCTTGGAAATTGCTCCAGGATGAAGAAACAAATACTCCAAAAACCTAAACCTTTGTTTTCTCATAACAACTTAATGCCTCGTGGAAATAAAACAAAACAAATTGATGTGAGTTGAGTAGGAGTAAAGACCCTCATATAAATGATTGAATTTGAAAGCAGGAAAAAAAAGAAGTCAAACCAATAATCCTTTCAGCGTCCACATTGTTTACTCCAGGCACATTGATGAGCCATTAGCTGACAGGATGCATCACATTTCAGGTCGATAGTGCAAAGCGAGCACAAACAACAACTTCTCTCACTCAGTAACTTGTCTGTGGTGTTAATCATACTCCAACAGATTCATCCTGCAATCAATCATTGCTTTGGGCTCATTTTAAACAGTAACTTTACTTGGAAGATGAAACTCTCTGTACACAGGAACAGTATGTCTGTATCTGTCAACTTCGGAAGATAAAAACATGGTAATTAAAACCACAACTTAAAAAGCATTGGTGTTCACTGTCAAATAACGGCTAGTCAGCTAATAGGTGTTGGAAAATAATTAAAAATGTTCTTATTTTGGGGTATCTGCTCTCTCCGTTTTATGCAACGCTATGTTTGTGCTCTACTCTATATTAGAAGTAATGCACTTTTAATTACTTAATGCTTGTGAGTTGATGGTAGCTCCATAATACACTTACTTTTCTCCTTTTTTTGACGTTATGATTGGTCTGTTTGCACAATATTTCACAATAATTAGAGAAGATTAGAAAAGAATCCAAACTATGAATTTAATGTAATTTAAAGAGGCACTGAGGTCCGCTACCCAGCTTTAAACAATAGCTGTCATAATGCGAAATATTTAAAGCAGGTTATAACTTGTGCCGTGTTATTCTTTTTTTTACTTCAAACACTCTAAGGAGACACTATTCTGCAAGGACAGAGATCAAGCTGTAATTAAAAGAGGTAAACGAATGAAAAGGAGGAAAATATTAGCTCAGATGATTTCTAAATGGGTTTGCACCCTGCTCCTCTGCAGCCTTTATAAGCACCCAGTGCGAATTTCTGCCTCATTATTTGAACATAATTTGCATATTGATATTAATCCAACATGCAGCAGCCATAAATGAGATCAGGATTCAGTCGGTGTAAAAACCGCATGTCCACATGGATCCATTTACAAACCCGCAGCCTACAAGAACAATAGAGCAGAGAGAGGACAGTATAGGAGCCGCAGACCCAGTGAGCCTGAACCACAGCAGCCAGGTCATCAAGCTGCTCCCTGTTTCCATGTGTCAGCACACAAGATGAAGTGTGGTGCTGCTGCTGCTGTGCATGGACCAAGCCAGCTACTGAACAGTCACACGGCATCAGGACGGAAAGACCGCATGAACCGCGATCCGGAAGGTTTTGTAGAAAATGTATCTTTAGAATCGAGCGTTTCAACATTAAAATTGTACTTTGACCAAAATTGATGTTTGTTGGCAAACCTCGACACAGTAAATCCATCAGATGCAAATAATAAAAAAAAGGATTCAACTCTCAGTTTTCTGGATATGCAACATTTATCATATCTGATCCCAGTCTCTAGAGTGAGTGGTTCTCTACATATCCTGTGATTATTGAATATTATTTGTTTCTAAACAGGTGATTTTTATAGCGAAGCAATTCAATAAAAAGAGGGAAATAATGAAAACTGTTCATTGTATGCCTTTATTCATTTATTTTTTTAGTTTTGTACTCTAAGTTTTGAAAGGGACCTATGCCGTATTCGACTGTCAACCTGGCAAACAACACCTGGGAGGGAAAAACACCTACATTACCCTCATTGATTAGTCACACTTTGAGCGATAAAATGCTAATTTACTGTTCAGTTCCGTTGGGCCAAGGAAAAACCAAGGTTGAACCGAGTCTGACTCTCAAACAGAGTCATTCTGACACCAATAACAGTGTACGTGATTGTGCCAAAAATGCCATATGTTAGCCACTACGGCAGTCACTGATCAGATATCATACTTTTTTAAGTCATCCACCAAAAGCACTGCCTCTCTCTCCAATTTTAAAGCAAGTCTAAAAGACAACCTCGTAGATGCCACAGCTTAGTTGTGACAGAAAACACTGTGCTGCTACAGAAAGTGTAGAGTCAAAGCGAGCAAAAAGTCAGAAATCAGTCATGTAATTTAAGGTTATTCAAAGCTGACAGATTAAAACTATAAAAAGACACATTACAAAGTTCTGTGTTGTAATTGCAAATGGTATCTCTGGGTAACTCCATCACCCAATCAATCTTCTGGTCTAGGTGCAATGAGAATAATGGTTTCTAAACATCTATACAGAAGACTTTATCACCCTCATCTGCATGGTCATTTGAAGGCTGATCAATCATGATCAGCTCCTGTTTGTTGTCCCTGTTCTACAATGATACACAGTCCCTGACAATTACAAACCTGGATAGCAGCAGGCAGGGAAACGGTACGGTACAGGGACTAAGCTGCAAGATGATATCCCTTCTTATGTTCTCTCTGAAGGCAACACACACTGAAATCCAGTCACAATCACACACACTCGCACGTGTACGCAAAGCTCTCAGAGTGTTTATCCTGATGACACTGTCCAGAGCTTATTAGCTTACCACTCTGTCACACACATGAATGATGTGGCAGCAGCAGCGAGATTGGAGGAAAAGGTTAGCAGGGATAAGCTGCGGTGTTTTCGAGTGTCACAGATGCAGTATGTGATCTTTTGGGTGTGTGTATATGTGTACTGGTGGGATCAGATAAAGAAGTTTTGGTGCCATGATACATAAGAAACAAGGTCACCAGGATGTAAGAATCAGATACCTGTTTCCTTGACTGTGAAATGAGTTAGGTGCCTTTTGCATGGTGAGTGGATTTCACAGTTAAGCTTGTAGGGTGGTGGGTCTCAGCCTAGCACCTGGAGAAACACTCTTGTTTTTACAATGGTCACTGAAAATGACAGATTTGACAATTGAAACTCAGCAGGATGATTTTTTTGCTAGAAGACAGTATTTGAGCATAAAGAGGACAGGATAAGCGAAGGTGGCGCCAGAGTTTATACAAACCAAAAGTTCATAACAGGAGCTTTAACTTTGATTTTAAAACACAAGAAAAAAGCAAAAGTCATGCTTGAAATATGTGATTAGAACTGATTTCTTATATTTTGCTAGTTTTTTTGGTGGTGGGGGCATTGGGGTATTGGCTACTGCCTTTGTTACTCATGATGTATTTTTGATATCAGTATAAAAAAAACCTTTTGAAATCATTTCAGATTAGCTTCACCAACATTTCTAGTAGAGATACATTTGGTTCTCAAGGGTCCAGTTGTGGAAGGAGATAGAGATGCACTGATCCATTTTTTTTTTTGCGATCCGATACCGATACCGATACCTGGGCTAAGTGTATCGGCTGATATCCGACACCGATCCAATACTACTGTTGAGTAATTGAACTGTATACCTTACACTGTGAGTGAAAGCATCAGGCTTGACATAAGCCCTGTTAAATAAGGTAACAAATGAACACAGATATAAATTTACTTAATATTATTTATCAACAAATAACAAATTGCACATTAGTACACAGCATAAAAAGTAAGACTCTAGTTTCTTTAGTTTTTAGTACAAATGCTTTAAAACTGGCAGTTTGAAAAAAATACCAAACAAGTCGTGATAATAATCAAGATCAGACGATACGATAAAATATATTGTGATAATTTTTTTTGGCCACATCGCCCAAGCCTAATAGACAGACATAGAATATTGAGCGAACAGAATCACTGTGTTGCTGTGTACGAAACATAGACTATACTGTAGACAACTTGGTTCCACCTCCCGCCTGTATACGGATTTGAAGCCAAAAAGCTCTCGGTATTTCTGGGATTTTTCTTCATTTCCTGAAACCAGCGCTGTGCAGTAGCGTTGTGCGCATTCGCAGAGAGAGTCGCTGTGACGACGCTTGGCTCACGCAATCCCTGAACCCCAATAGGCTGTATCAAGTGTCAGTCATAGAAAACATGAACCCCCCAATAACTTTTAAAAACGGAGCCGTACAGAAAAAAGAGGATTTGAGCACAAACCAGTTTTACTGTAACTACATGTCAACATTGCAAGCAGGGGGGAGAAAAATTTATGTTCTGTGTAATAAATTTCTACAGCGTGTCCACAGCTCCATAAGGATTGCTGGAGGAGGTGGGATTTATGACCTATACCGCAGCCTGTCAACAGAGGGTGCTATTCTCAGAGGGGCTTCACCCAGTGAGGAGGCAGACGGCATCCATTCTGTATACAGTCTATGATATGAAATGAATTAAAAGAAGAAATAAAAAGACTGGATCGGAACGCTGGATCGATGTCATTCATCAGATATCCGATGCAGTTAATTTGTCAATATTGGAGCCGATATCCAATCCAAATATCAGAGAGTAGTGCTTACATCATTCGATATATAGACAAACCTTCATGTAGCTTTTTGATTAGACTGATACACCAAAACAGACCGATTTCCAGTAAAACAATACTAAAACCTGCTGTATTAATCAATGAGTCTAATAGGAGACGTGTATGTGCATCAGGTAGACTATGCAGGGCAGAACATCTGCATGGTTGAAGACTGTCATAGGTGGATAAACACAGGAGCCAATCTAACCATAACTCGAATAAAAATAGCTCTTCATGAAGGTAGACAGTGACTCCAACCATCCTCAGCCTTGGACCTTATTTCATTTGGTATTTAGACAAACCTCCATGTAGCTTTTTGATCAGACTGATACACCAAAACAGACCGATTTCCAGTAAAACAATACTAAAACCTGTTGTATTAATCAAAGGATCTAGCTAATAGGAGAGGTGTATGTGTATGTATCAGGTAGGCTATGCAGGACAGGACATCTGCATGGTTGAAGACTGTCATAGGTGGATAAACACAGGAGCCAATCTAACCATAACTCGAATAAAAATAGCTCTTCATGAAGGACGACAGTGACTCCAACCATCCTCAGCCTTGTGGTTTCGCTCTTGAAAAAGCCTGTAATCCTATTGACTGGGTTTCCTTGGACACGGCAGCTCATTATCCAGGCCTTCCTTCTCTTGCTGCTGCTGCTGCTGCTGCTTGAGGATAGCTGAACAACAGGCCTACATACTCTGCAGACGACTATAGGACTCGGCTGGATCAACATCTGTGCCCAAAATGACACATCATCTCCAAATGTCCCGGCTTCACACGCCATTATGATTGTGTAACATAAAAAAAAACAAAAAACAGTGAGGAGTGTCAACACGGACATGACACAGAGCAGCATGCAGGGCTGTCAGCGATAAATACAGTTTACAGGCTAATGAATGAGCCGTGTCTGTGTTGGCATGTTGGACAGCAGACGAATAAAAAAAGAAGAGGCTTCAGTATCATGGGACAGTAATGTCACTGTTTTTGCTCTAAGAGGCCTGTGCTAGGTTAGTTCCCACGTTGACTTGATAGGGAATAACAAGCTCTTTCTTGGGCCCATCCGTAGGCTTCAGGCTCAAACACTGATGTTACATTTTGAAAATAGCTTACACATATTTAATAAGCGGATAAAAACAATTCTCCTACCTGGACTCCTTTCCCATAATCAGTGCAGCGTCACTATCGTCGCCCTCCCTCCGAATCCGTAACCGTAAAAGTCAACCGTGTGTTATCAGCTAATTAAAATCTTAATAGACCACCGAGGACAAATACACGGAGACCAACGTCCAACGCAGTCCTGCCATCCTCCTGTCGCCGTTTCATCCGGGCGGTAGCGCCGCGTCGCACCGCTGCTCGCGAGCCTATGCACGCGGAGAGGCTCGTGTGTGTGTGTGTGTGTGTGTGTGTGTATGTGTGTGTGTCTGGCAGTGAATTAGAGGACACCGATATCGCTGCGGGAATCCGCTATAAGAACCATGGCAGCCGCGCGATAGAGCTTACAGTTCATCGGGGATTTTTGGGTCCAAACAGCAGCATCAATCATCGCGAGTAAATCACACGGAATGGCTGGCGTTCGGTGTGTTCAGCAAAGCACGAGGAATACCCGACCAATCAGGTGAAAGGATGAGACTTGATTGACAGGTCAGTGACCAATAGTCACTTCAGACAGCGAGGTTGTTTTAAAGGACAAGAGAAAGGGGCAATCAGAGGAGAGCTTTATTCTGCAGGGAGGCGGATCTCGCAGGTGTCATACAGCGGTGCCGGCTTTGGAGGATTTATCTGTACATAGCAACTGAATGATAATGTAGATTGTGTTATGAAAATCAAGTTCTGATCAAAAAAGAGACTGTTAAGTAATACTGTTAATCAATTACTGCTGCTGTGTTAATTATTATATCCTAAACCTGTGCAATACATGTTCATATACATATAAGAAAATGTACATATATACATATATTCATATATTCAAACACACATACATAAATGTATTTTTGATAATTCTCTTTAGTATTTATCTTTCTATTTTATTCTTATACATACGTTTTATTTCACTGTTCTGTAGAATTCTTGTCTTGTATATATTGTACCTTCTTTCTTACAACTATTTGTACTTTTACTACCTTATTTGTACTTGTCTATTGCACTGGAAAAGGAGAAGCTCCCCAATCTCGTTGTACTTTTAGAATGATGACAATAAAGGACATTCTGATTCTGATTCTGAAATTCTTATAGAATTGGAGTTATATAAATTCAATCAAAAGCAAGACCTCAAAATAAGAATAAAGTTTGATTGATAGTCAGGGCTAATTCAAGTGTTTTCCGCTTTCAACCCCCCCTTTAATTGCATTTTCTTTTTTCTTAACTATTTATGTTTTTATTTTTGTTCCTCATGGTCTCATTTTATGTTTGTCTTATGAAAATGGCCTTCAATTCCATTTTAAATGATCTTTTGTTTTTATGTCTTTTTCCATGAACTTTATGACTATATGTCAAAGCACTTTGTAAACATCTGTTTTTAAAAGTGCTATAAAAATAAAATCATTATTATTATTATTATTATAAAAATTTAACTATTCCTCTAACTGCCTCAATTAATTATTATTATCATTATTTAAAAATTGATACAGAATTTTTTCTAAGCTTGTGTATTCTGAGATATATTTATTAAAGCTATAAAGTGGATGTAAAGAAGCAAGTTCTGTTTTCAAAATGCATGTAGTCAAAATAAACGGTGACAGGACACTTGCTGAAGAGTTATATAGCTCATGTTTGCAGAAAATGTGAGTTCAAATGAAAAAATTATAATGTAAATTGTAAAACCTGTATTGTAAATGGAAATTCGAGTTATTTTATCAGTATATGGCATTATTGAGAAAAAAGTCAAAGTGACCATTTGATCTTTTAAGGAACAGTCGTGGATATTCGATTCACCACATATTTTAAAGAAGCACAATATTAAAACCTGAAAATACTCTGAATTATATTCGCGCCATCATTATCTGACTACATCTTGTTACTCCACCGCCATCAAGTGGACAGATCGGGTAATGCAGCTAGATTATTAAAATAGATTATCTCGCATGAGAGCGTACTCAGCGCTGCATTACAGAAACAGTAGGGACAAAAATAATAATTTTTAGTAATTTTTTTAGTTATTAGTTTAGTATTTTTAACCTCTTTTCCCTGACAGGTCACCGTCCATTTTATAGATGTAGATGGGGTTTCCCTCTGCGTTGGTGCCGCTGTCTACTCAACTGATGCCTTCAGGTACTGTTATAAAAATGCAATTCAATACTATTGCTCCACTATAAGGACATCGATCACTCTAATTATGTTGACGTACACCAAAATAAGTGTATATGATTCTATTTAACTATATTAAGTCAAAAAAGAGCATATTATCGATTCGTCTAAAAATAAGGTAATTTTACACAGATTGTAAGGGTAAGTTTAATGAAAGTTTTCCATCTCAAAAGTCCTTCCAGTGTGTAATTATGTAAAATCGAAATAAACAACCTTCCAGTAGTTGTTTGTTCCTACATTTATGGTTCTGTTTTGAGAAACTCATCTTACATATTTACGTACCGAGCCAACGTCAGACTCATCATCAGATTTCCCTGGTGTACCTGAAAGCACCTCCCGGCTGCGCTCACCCCCCCTCCGCACTCATCGCTGTGAACACTCGCTCGTAGATATCACGCATTTTCACACCGGTGCGCCACTTAACATCACACCAAGGTAATGCTCGCTATATTATTCTTTCGAACATAAAATACACCAGAATATTTGTTTGATTTGTTGTTTTTAAAATGAAATGTTTAGGCCTTCGTCGTCGCAGTTAAAGTTGGGAGTTTATGTTTGCTTCGTTAGCTAACATGCTACAGCCGCACTAATGTTACCTTCGAATGAGACACGCTAACTATAACCTTAACTTATGTAGTTGTAGTTTTGGCTGGAGTTTTATGACCACTCCAGCACAAAAATACAAATTGTTGCATATTAGCAGTACATAAATGAAAAGTTCATTCGTATAATTTAATGAAAAATGAAGTCGTGTGTCCGGTTTAACTATTAGCTGCTAGCATGCTAGCTAGCATGTTTGAATGAAGGAGATGAATCCATTGTGTGCGCGGCTGATGTCTGCCGGGTCATACTAAACGGCTAGCTGATGAATCACCGGCCTACTATTTTGTTTAAAACCAAATCAGTCCACATATAAAATTTGTTCTTGCATGATGTTTTGAAAGAGTTAGTGAAAGCTTTATTCTTTAGGAGTGGGTTTGCAGATACGGGTCACGGTTGCGGCCTGCTAATATTAGCCAAATGAAGCATGATGCTAACCAGTATCGTATTAAGGACAGCTGATTGGCTTTGGGATCATAGCAGTGCGGTTATTCCTGATAGTTGATATCCCCAATGTAAAAAGCCAGTGCGCACTGATTTAAAGATTTTTGATTTTCACCGCGTATTTAGATTTTGACATCTTTGAATTTAAGAGGATTTGACTTATTTTATTTCATTAAAGTTACGAGGCATAGACTTTCAGATATAGGGGAGACTGGGGTAAGTTGAGCCACCCCCTGTTGTTTGGAAATGGTCAAAGAAATTGATCATGTGACCAAAAATTTAGGAGATGAGCATCAATTCATGGAGTCTGTTAAAGTTAGAAGCACATGGGTGAAGAGGTTAGACATTTATTTGATGGATGGATATGGCTCAACTAACCCAGCTCCTATGGTCAACTTACCCCATACGCGGGTTAAGTTGACCATCGGAGACCACTTTTTTTGGCATGCTAAATTATCAAGGCAGTTATGTTTACACTCATTCTGTTGGTTTGCAGGGATGAACAACATATTGAAATATATTCAGATACACTAGTTAGAGACAAAACTATGATTGCCTTGATGTAGTGATCCGAAATATTAAAAAATGGCTCATCTTACCCCACTCTCTCCTACTTGCTTTTCCCTTAGATGGCTGAGACAGACGTTGATAATGAACTTTTGGACTATGAGGAAGATGAGGAGCCTCAGGGAGCCCCCGAGAGTGGCACCTCCACAAACAAGAAGGAGGTGAAAGGATCCTATGTGTCCATCCACAGCTCAGGCTTCAGAGATTTCCTCCTCAAACCCGAACTTCTCCGTGCCATTGTGGACTGTGGTTTTGAACATCCCTCAGAAGGTGAACAGCCAGATTAGGATTGTCCTAAACCTGATTAAAATTGATACTTTATCTCATTTTAAACTGACTTACTGAGCGTTTGCTATGCTTCTCCCCTTTTTAAAATGTTGCATCTCAGTAATTGGCTCTTGCTTCATCCACAGTCCAACATGAGTGTATTCCCCAAGCGATCCTTGGCATGGACATCCTCTGTCAGGCCAAGTCTGGTATGGGAAAGACAGCCGTGTTTGTACTCGCCACTCTGCAGCAGATAGAGCCAGTGGATGGACAGGTGAGTTGGATTGTGACTTGTCTTTCATGCTGAGAAAGAACATATCTGTCCTTTTACTGTGTATACTGTAAGCTTACAACATTTGGATTAAGGGGAATAAATGGAAAACTTTGACAAGAGCTTTACCATCAAACAAGGTCTCTTTGGTCTTTCTACTTTCAGTTAGATTGTTCCAGCTCTACAGTGCTTTTTAAATGTTGAGCTTTAATTAATAGGAAGGCCTGTGCTCTTCACCTGGTTAAACTAACAACAGCAGCAGTGTCATTTTCTGCTGGGCTCGGTGCCTGTTACACGGGGTGTAAACATTTTCCTGACAGGTGTGTCCACAATGAGCAGAGTGATTTTGAATATTAGATTGATCAAAGTCAAATAGTTTACGCAACTGTTATCTATCTTAAATATTTATTTTCATTGGGTTTACCTGGGCTGGTTGTTGTGGAGTCAAACAGATGACCTCCATTAGGATTATGAAATAAAATATTGTGATTTCTTGTGTGCTAGGTGTCTGTCCTCGTCATGTGCCACACACGAGAGTTGGCCTTCCAGATCAGCAAAGAGTATGAGCGTTTCTCAAAGTACATGCCCACCGTCAAGGTGTCCGTGTTCTTTGGCGGCATGGCCATCAAGAAGGACGAGGAGACCTTGAAGAAGAACTGCCCTCACATCGTCGTCGGGACTCCAGGACGTACCTTGGCCCTCATCCGTAACAAGAACCTCAGCGTTAAGAACATCAAACACTTTGTGCTTGATGAGTGTGATAAGATGCTGGAACAGCTGGGTAAGAAAGATAAACACATTTGTTTCCAAGCTGACTAATGTCTTTTCATTCTTCTTCTTTGTGTCTCTTAAGTCTTTTTTTAAATTACCACATTTTAAAAAGTTTTACAGAAATAAAGCATGCATGTAAGGATGAATTCATACATAAATAATCTTAAAAATTGTTTTTAATTTTTTGGCAGATATGAGGGGTGATGTCCAGGAGATCTTCAGGGTGACACCTCATGAGAAGCAGGTGATGATGTTCAGTGCAACGCTAAGCAAGGACATTCGCCCCGTCTGCCGCAAGTTCATGCAGGATGTGAGTAGTAACCCGGATTTCCTGCAGATTGAGATTGAATTGATTTTTCACAACTGTATAACTGCTATGTAGTTCAAAGTCCCTTTGAGCTTTGCCCACTTGTAGCTGTCAGTGCCATAAGTGGCCATAACAGAGGGGCAAAGTGATCCTCCTTAGCAGATTTGGTTTGTTCTGGACAGTCAGTCCTTCTGGCCCTGCTGCAGTCTAGGAGAACAGATTCTGTGATTTGTGACGATAAAACTCAGCAACTTTAGGGCCTTTGTGGAGCGCATAGAAGCATAAACCAATGGAAACATCAGAGTGGCGTCTTTTCCACTGCTTTGACTTTCCTCTACATTAAGCTAATGTTTGGTTCCTCTCTTGTGCTGTGCAGCCGATGGAAGTATTCGTAGATGATGAGACCAAGCTGACCCTCCATGGCCTGCAGCAGTATTACTGCAAGTTGAAGGACAGCGAGAAGAACCGCAAGCTCTTTGACCTGCTCGATGTGCTTGAGTTCAATCAGGTATATTATCTACTCTTTGATGACTCTGATTCTGGTTCAGTTCTGTACATATTAACTGAGTATTGGCACAGAAGTGACTAATCTTGTAACTTAGAGTTATGAGTCATTGTCCCCTAGAGGAAGGTAACTTGATTTGTTGGTATCTTATATTTTCACACTCTCAGCAAATCATAAAAAAGTACTTTCTTTTGTTTGGTTGTAGGTGGTGATTTTTGTGAAGTCAGTGCAGCGCTGTGTAGCTCTGTCTCAGCTGCTGGTGGAGCAGAACTTCCCTGCTATCGCCATCCACAGGGGAATGGCCCAGGAGGAGCGGTATGTGCTGCTATCTTTGTTGTGTTAATGTTGCCGGTCTATATTTCAGACTTTTCATTTTAAAAGTAGGATTCTATTTTCAACAACTTCCAGCCTGATAAATATTAGTCTAATTATCACATCTGGGGAGGAGGTCATTAACAGGATTGTGTGGGAATGCAGATTTTGTGTTCTGTCCCTCTCACTCTTGAATATCATCTTTTGTATCCCACTTCTAGATTATCTCGCTACCAGCAGTTTAAAGACTTCCAGCGGCGGATCCTGGTTGCTACCAACTTGTTTGGCCGGGGGATGGACATCGAGCGAGTCAACATTGTCTTCAACTACGACATGCCAGAGGATTCTGACACTTACCTTCACAGAGTCAGTTCAGCTTTAATGTTAATGTTTGATATACCTCATATCTGTATGTGTAGGATGACAATCACATGGATGCAGTACAGTTACTTTATAGTTGGGGGGCGGGAGATCCACATGAGGAAAACACTCCTTTGTTGCAAATGCATTGACTTTTAATTGATGCTAGCGTTAACAAACGGTCATGTTTGATGCATAGATACATAAACTAAACAGACCAGGATTAGATCGTTCATACACTCTGACAAACTCGAAGACTCAAACCAGTCCTAGAAATCTTTTGCTTCCTAGTTAAATCACCTGATATGAGACAGTATCTCTCAAGCTGAGCTTTGGCTGAGTAAACCCAAACCCTAACCTTGAAACTTGAAGTGTGCGAGTTAATGCAGAAGGTCACACAGCAGCTCTTCAGTGTTGTGGTTATTCTTCCCAGAGGGAAACCACAACACCTCTTAGTCCATAATAAGGCAGTGGAAACACGGTCTTCTGTGGAGGTCGTGTTGCGGCAATGAATTTACACCGGGGAATATGAATTGAAAATGCAGAAACTAGAGTTGAATAGTACAGGGAGAAACTGCTCTGGAATCAACTCAAATCTGGATGTGATTATAAGCTGTCATTGCTTTATAAAAACAGTGGGTCCTTGTTGCATTGTCCCTTAACTTTTGTGTGTTCTCCAGGTGGCCCGTGCCGGCAGGTTCGGGACCAAAGGCCTTGCCATTACCTTTGTGTCGGATGAGACTGATGCCAAGACCCTGAATGAGGTCCAAGACCGATTCGAGGTCAACGTTGCAGAGCTCCCAGATGAGATTGACATCTCCTCCTACAGTAAGTCCTGAAGTCTCTCAGGAGTTGTCTTATTAGGATTTTCCTGTGGAATGACAGAAGTTGAGGACACCATGTTTCAGGCTCTGAGGGTGTCCAACATGTTTAAAGTGGTTGTGGCCGTTTAAACACTTACCAATGCTTCATCTACTTTAATTATTAATAGAAATAACCTATACTATCCCTGTCCAAGCCAAAATTCCTAAGAGCATCTCGGTTATTCTGATTGTGTGAATAAATATTTGAAAGGGTGAGAAGTAGACGAAGCGAAGTCCTTCTAAGCTTTGCCCACTTGTGGCTGTCAGTGCCATAAGTGGCCATATCAGAGGGGCAGAGTGATCCTCCTCAGCAGATTTGGCTCGGTCAGGACAGTCAGTCCTCCTGGCTCTGCTGCAGTCCAGGAGAACAGATTTAGACAATACAACAGTCAGAGCATCACTGCACAAAAACATTGAACTGTGACACGGTCTGAATAGCCTCTGTATAAACTGTAAAGTACATCACAACCCTTTTTCCTTGCTTTGTCTTTAACCTCGTCTTCAAACTCTCTTTGTTCACAGTTGAACAGTCCAGATGAGTCTGAAGCGTCTCTACAGGGAAGATAGTGTGTGTGACCCTTGGTGTTGCTGTATTCAGCGGGAGAAAAACGAAACCAACAATTATTTTAAAGCCCCCCTCCATTAATTAATGTTGACAAGTTGGAAATGATACTTTTTTTTTTTTTTATGACGTCTCTGCAGATTGGTTGTTTTAGTGCTTTCCTTGTTTAAACATGACAATGTTTGGGTTGAAGAAGAAATAAACTTTTTATACCTCAGTGAGTTGTTCTGGATTTTATTTGCATTTACAAACATTTAAGTGCATCACAAAGTCACATGAGATGTTCACTTTCTCAATGTTGGTATAAAAAAAAAAATCACTTTTAACTGTAATTAATTTCCTCACAAGTAGATGGCGCTATCCTCTCAGTTTGAGCATCTGTACACTTTTTTGGCAAACCTTTAGATACTTTGAACTGGCTGCCAAGTTACCACTAGACGTTGTGTCAAAATAAAACCTCATGAAACTGGAGCTCAGCAGCCGGTTTTATAACCTGTATGGACAGTTATATAGTGGGTCTTAATCCACAGGCGTTTAAAACATTAGAAAAAAGAAACTTGGATCACAAAATATAGAGTGAGCTCCAAAGAGGTTCTGTCATAAAAGACTGTTTAAGACATTTTAAGCTCTTGTCTGCATTAAAAACTCAAAAACAACATTCGATTTGGCCTCGAGGAGCTGTTGTCTGTTTTGAAGAGTGTCTCAAACATTTAACAGCCTGAAATTGATCTGCATCGCAATGTAAATGAACCTTTAACGGCTTGTCCTGTCAGCCTGCCAAACAGGTTAAATCAGATAAGGCTACATGTCATAACAGACTCATTATATAAAATTTGAATGGAAAAACTCGTCCACTTTTTTCTCAACGCTCTGAGAATGGTCAGATTTCTGATTGCACCTCAAAAGTTGTTCTTCTCTCATCCTGGAGTTATCACAGTGCTCTTTGTGTGTGGAGCCACCCGTCAGTGTTGAGCATGTGAGGTGATAGTTGTCCACTGTTGTCGAAGTTTTTCTTGCTGAGTGTCAGTGCTAAACAAAGTGCTCTGTTGCTTTTGTAGTTTTTCTCCTCTTAGACTGATCTGAGGGTCAAAAACCCTCCACACCTCAACCAGCAATCAGTCCACAGTGGAGGAAGTCAAGGGGTGCTTCAGGGCTCTAATTTAGGCCCCTTGTCTGTTTGGACAAGAACAGGCAAGTGTACAATCCACTCCTGTCATACAGTAATATAACCATAAGCTTGCCTTTGTGATTGTCAACAAAACTTAAGCAGCTCTTCCTGCTCGTAGTCTAGCAGTCAGGTGGATTTGTGAGGTTTCAGAGTCCCATGAGAAAAACGGCTCCTTGTCTGGAGGCGTCTTCCTTCGTCACCTTCAAAGTTGACCTCATGCTGTTTACGTGAAAACAAAGTCTTCCACAGTTCTAGTCGATGAACTTGTGTGTGTCTCCGTACATCCAGTGTTGCGGAGGGAGCGCCACTTCATTTAAGTGGCCGCAGTCATCGCTGCATTTACATGACTGGATGAACATGGCCAGCCTTTGGAAACGCTCGCCATCCGGGCAGACAAATATCACAGGCAGAGTGCGTGTGCGGCGTGGCGAGCAGCAGCGGTTGTCTGTGCAGACGCCACAGTAGTTGGGCCTGTAAAGACGGGCGCTCAAACACTCTCCGTAGGACAGGCGGGTGGGCTCGGAGGCTTTCTGGGCTGGAGAGCACTTCTTCCCTTTCTGTAACTGGAGGATCAGGTAAAAAAAAAAAAAGGTGAAGTTTAAAGGTCTTGATGAGGAGTTTTAAGCCAAACAAGTGATATGACCATTTTGAGCTTAGACTCAAATGTCCTTTTACGTAACGTCAAATTTAAGCGGCTTGCATCCAAACTCATTACTTCCATATTAAGAGGACTGCACTTCAACTTGTTGTGCCCAAACTGGGATTAAGAGATGGATTATTTTTGGATTTAAGAGATCAATTATAAGATTACGCATCTATTCAACATTTTAGTGTGCCTTCCTGTTAAACACACTGACACCTGATTGGTCTTGGCTTCAGAGATTTTAACTCAGTGAAGCAGAGAAAAGGCCTTTGAGTGTTTCTCCAACATGGAGGATTAATATAGACACACCACATCCCTGGACTCTGAGTACACAGACGGGGCCTAGCTATGGACAGTTGCTTGGCAGGAATGCCGGGGGTGGGGGACTATATTTAAAAAGGCGCCTGCCTGCCACCAAAACACGGCTGTGTAAATCAGCACTGCCCGGTTCCCACTGGATGTGGCGCTTCCCCAAAGTACCGCTGAGATAATCTCTGTTCTTAAACTGGAGATAAAGATGGCTTTGGCACGAAGAGCATATTTACTCTGAACAAGACCATCTAATTTTTCATTCTTTGCCGCATGAATTCAACATGTTCAGTCTCTGGTTAAAGAGGGAAACAAGGAAGCAGCTATTTTGTTTCTTCAAGTGTCGTCAGACACAGTTTGAAGGTGAATTACTTCCTTGTTTTTAAGTGTTATTACAGAGTGTCAAAGTTCGGCCATGAGAGATAAATTTTGAGATAAGTTGTGTTGATGTTCGACCTCTGCTCTTTGTCTGTCTGTCTGTCTGTCTGTCTGTCTGCAGCAGTTTGAGTCATGTCGAGTTTCCTTCACCTTAGCTGGGACTGTGAGGACGTCACATGGCCGGATGGTGCAGATTCTGGTCTCCCTCTCCAGCTTGCACTGGGGGTTCTTGTTAGTGATCCTAGAGGATATGCCCATCCCACAGCTGCGGGAGCACTGGGACCATTCAGTGGTCTGAACTGGACACTTCTTCTCCTTCAGATTATTCCACACTGTGGAAGAGTGAAGACAGGGACAAAAACTATAACACTAGTCAGGCCAGCAGCTTGCATCCTGGAGTTAGGACCACTTATGGGCACACAGGATAACTCACGAGTAAGAAAAATAAAAGAAAATTATATTACATAAAAATAAGATGCATTTTAAAAGTCTTTTTTAGCCAGTGTAGCTTTATGAATGGTAGCTTCTTTGATTGATTGCAAACAAGGGGCAAAGTATTTATAATGTTTGGATAACTTATTAGTTGACTTTGACGACAGTGTGACTACTTCCAGTCAACATTTATTTAATTTCATTAGATTAGGATTGAATTTAGAAAACACACATGCACCCTTAAACAAAAAATTGCATCCCTATACTTTAGGAATAAGTTACTTTAGTGGGTGTCATTATCCTGCAAAATGTATCAATGCAAAGCTTTACTCTGTAAACAAATACTGGAAAAAACACATTTTAATATGCCATGGCTATACTTTTTGATCAGTTCTCACTTGCCATTGATTTCATGTTTTTATGCTAAACCTCAGGCAAAATTGTTTGAACTACAATGGTGACGAAAGGTGACCCTAAAGAAGAAATAAAAGAGTGACTGAGATTGTAAAAATCAAAAAATTAACAGCTACTCTATTTATTTGAACCCCGGAAGCATACAAGCATTTTAGTCTATGTCCTACTCTCTTGTTTTTTGTTGAGATGATGACAAGTTTAAGGTTTTAGATATTGAATTAGATTATATGACTTTGTTGAATTCACATATAAATCACTAGCCATACATGCATCAAGACCTGTACCCACCACTGAACAACATGCATGACAAAAATCTGAGTCTAGTGTCATAACTGATACCACCTAATCCCCTCTCAGTCTCTCACCCAGCAGGTGTTTGTAGCCGTGTTCCCTCTCCCAGCCGTCAGACTTGAAGTCTGTCAGCACATTGACCAGCTTGTTTTCAGGCTTCTGCGGGGCAGGATGGTGCTGTGGTCTGGGCAGGTGTTGTTGTGGTGGAGGTACCTGTTACATGAGGTTAAGATAAGAAGAGACAGTGCTGTTTGCGAGGGGATTTATCTGAGATGGAGTTATGTCTGTCTTCTGTGTGTTTTTCACAGTGTTTTTAACACCATGGCGCCCTGATTATGAGAGGGTTAGCTGAATTTTTGAGCCAGCTGGAGTCTTCATTATGATTTAAGCACGAAGAGTTTTTGACACAGTTTAACAGGAATTTTTTCCTACGTCAAGACAATACTGTTTAAAGCTTCATTAAGGAGTTTTTAGTAATACTGAAGCTTCACTGTGACCTAAAAGGCAAACAAGTCCATCAGTGACAGGATTTATATTTAGTTATCATCAATGCTTGTAATCAGTCGGCGCGTTTACATGTACAGCTTAATCGAACTAAGCTCATAATTCGTTTTTTCACTAAATCAAACTTATGTCTTTCTCCATGTATACATGCAGCTGAGAAAATTGAATTATTGACATGACCGTGTCCTCCTCCCCAAAACTAGGGGGCGATTTGGGTCTTTTCAGTGGCGCTGTTTCCGATTGACCCCATACAACAACAGAAGTGGCTACATCTGCTGCTGGGCATTTTCAAGCAAGAAGATGGACATAATGTGCGCGCTACTTTTTCTGCAGACGAGATGCATGCTACTCCTCTTCTCTGGTGTTTTTGTTCTGGGGTTACAGGGGCGTGGTGCACACGCACATTTATTGTCCAATCATACTCCGACTATGCTGGTTACATGGTAGAGAAAATCGAATTCCAATCGCATTTTCTGGATGTCTTAATCAGAGTTATCTTAATCAGAGACTAAGGTGTTTACATGCACTTCAGTTGTCCGATCTTAATCGAAGTAAGGTGATAATTTGGTTTACTCAAGTGTCATGTAAACGTACTGACTGCCACCAAGTAGGTGTCAAATGGTAGCCAACTATTCGCAGCGTCCTGCAGAAACAGCCTTTGTTTACATTTTCCATGGTAATGACTAACAGTGAGTGGTTTATTTGACTGTAACAAGAAAACATGAGAAGATTCTATCAGAAAACACTGGTTGCACATGTAAAAAACAAGGGGAGCAGAGAGATTAGAGGTACTTCCTTGTCCATAGGGGGCGCCAAAATCACCACAAACCCAAAGTTCCTCACAGGAAGTTTAATATTTGTCTGTCCCTCATTGAAAGAGTGTTTTGTCATTATGATTAGTAAACGTACCTTATACTTGGGTGGAAGCCTCCAAGTGCCTTTATTGCAGTCCACACTGAAGCAGCACTGCCCGGGTATCCTGACCAGCCGTGGGTAGGGGCACGATGGAGAGGCCGGAGGCAGCTTGTTGTTACAGAGAGGAGCACAGCCGACAGCGCTGTCTATGCAGGTACACTGGTGTTTACAGCCAGCGCGGAAAGTCTCACCATTCTGGTAGATCCTGCCGCTGTACTCACAGGTGCGTCCCTCTGATTTTGCTAAAAGGAAACAAACAACTCAGTTAAAACAACACATCACAACACACACACATTGAGTGTGGCGGGATGTGTAGCACGCCAACCAAAAGGCAACCATTCAGAAACACAAGTGCATCCAACTGCTTCAAAGATATCAATGACTGAACTTTCACTACAGCGTTTGAGGATAATTAAACAGACACTCTCACTGTAAAATAATAAGTTCTCCTGTTTAACCAAAAAATAAAAACAACCTCACAATAACTCAACACAGAGGCTTTAGAAATAAGGACACAGGAAGTGTTAAATACCATGTTTCCTAAGAAGAGAAGAGGCAGCTATTCATAGTTTGTGGGGGCAGCACTGGCATAGTGAACATGGGGGAGTGTATTTTTATCTGTGAAACCCCCCCTGTTGCCATCATGAAACATGTACTACTCATTAAAGTACACCCCTGCTTGTTTCTTGATGTGCGAGTTTGCATGTTGCTTTTTACCACCACTTGAATTCGGTTTGATAGTCAAGAATATTCAGACTTTTTTCAATACTATCCTGTGAAAACCAAGACAAAAAGTTCCCATGTGTAACAAAGGCTTCTCTTTTCGAGGTGCCCCCCCCCCCCCCACTCACCTCGACAGACGCCCCAGGCCATGCTCACATCGTTGCCGTAATTACACTCCAGCCCTTTGTGGTGGTCACAAGGCCTCATGGGGCTGCAGTCCTGGTTGAGCTGTGCTGCACACACCTTGCAGCACCCACATACATCTGGCACGGCGCTAACTCCTGGGGGGCAAATCAGGGGCTCTGTGGGGCACTCACACACAGCTGGGCAGCCAGCAGATACCTGAAGGAAAAGATAGAGATGTGTCTTTTTTAGAAGAAATGGGAAAATTCAGACGTAAAGTAGATGTAGATTATTCTAGATTATTGGGTTCAGTTCACATAGTGTCATCTTTTCTTTTCTTATTTTTGATTTAATATCTTCTGCTAAGATTGGTTGAGATTTTTGAAGCACACAAAGTCAAGCTGGAGCCGGCCAGTCAGCCTTTGTGTGTCTAGACAGACAGATTTGTACCAAGTCCCTTGTTGGCTCCTGATTTGAATCATCTCTGGGTGCTAGAGCCAACTTGTTTCACTCAGTAGTATCAACATAATACTGTGCTTCAAAAGGGACGTGAGCAGACATGCTAATGCCAGGAAGGAAATCTACACTCATTGTTTAATAAGAATTACTGAGATTAAAACTTCACTTACTTCACTATGTTTACAAAACTTTGGTTTATCCACTATTAAGGTTGAAGGCACCAGAGAGATCACTGTTAATCATTTGTTTTCTTTATCAAGAGCAACTCTCTGATGATTAAACATGTCTATAAACTCTCTATGCAGCCAATTTCTGTTTTATTTACACTTATGCATGTTTATGACAGTCATAGCCTCCTCTTCAGGGCAAAGATTGATCAACTTTTTTACTCTCTGATAGAAAACGTATTAAAATAATCTCGATTTTGAAAAAGTAATCATGTAAACAGACTTTCAGCTCAACCAAAACCCTCTATCAGAAGAGAAACTTCTCACCTGTGTGATGACTGCTGTTGTCAGTAAGGTCAGGTAGACCAGAAGTGTCATGATAAACTGATAATAAACGTCAAGAAGATTTAAAAAAAAAAAAGAAAAAGAAAATCCTCAAAATACAATCCAACTAACGACCGTGAGACTCCACCATTTCACGGTGAATGTTTGTCCGTTTTCGCACAGTTGTCCTTGTTTCTCTACTGGGATCTACTGAATAACGTCTTAACTCTTATTTATATCTTCTGGTGGGACTCGTAGAAGCCCCGCCCCCTCTGTACTTTAACCCAATCAACGCGCCAACAACAGCTCAGACATTCCAAATGGGCGGGACTTCACTGCTGGGAACCTTCGCCGATTGGAGGGTGTGTTGTGGAATGAATGCAGCCATTCATAAAAATCATATGGCAGCTCTGTATTTATTTTATGGGTTAAAAATTAAAATGTAACAGCCCCTTTCAAGTCACACTTAGGCACATTCCTGCTTTTGTGGTCGACATTATACTAACACTAAGTAAATAGACTCAGCTGAGCCAGACAGCATGGTAACATTACCAAGACCTTCACCTAAGGGAGAAAAACATAAGGGGGGAGGAATTCTCTCTGTTTTTCCAGACTGGGGTAGGTGCCAGGGCAGAAAATGAAAGTGGAGTGTATTAAGCAAATAGCAAGATAATAGTTTCCATAGAGGACCAACACTCACCTTTTTTTCTGAGAGTACAACTTGAGATCAAGTGTTTACATGAGTTTAAAGAGAAAAAGTTCTTTGTTTTTCTCTCTGGATGCCTTTTTTTATTTCATTTCAGGTGGGCTGAATTTCTCTGACTATTATACCTAACCACATGGTGCTGACATAAGAATAATTGGGATATGATGGCTCAGAAAGAGTGGTGGAGTCCAGGCTCATAAGTCTCCTCCTCAGCTGTCTTCCTTTTTCAACCACAGGTTTTCAGCCACACCTGCCTGAACACAGAGGCCTTGTTTGATGGGAGAAATGTGATAGGTATAGGTCGGAGAGTCATGTGCCAGCCATTTGTGTAAATACTTCAATCCAAACATCATAAATGGTTCCTCGAATGGGTTGAGCTGGTTTTAGGTGCTGGGAAATCTTCATCTAACTCAAATTCAAGGTAAAAAATATCTTGGATCCATATGATGTTTCTGGTATCATTGGGTAATAGTTCAATATCAGTTAACTTTGTCTAGAGCAGTAAATGTTAAGCTTGTTTATTTACATTTTTTTAAAAGATTGTGGATAAAATAATTCGCTTTATTTCAAGTTTCAAAATAAAAATGGTAGGTCAACATGTCTTAAAGCATTCTGTCCTCATCTGATATTGAACAGACACAATATGGACAACTACCATTTTTTTCATTCTTAACTATAGTTTTTATGTAACATACTATACTATGACATTTTTTATTATACTATACTATGATTTTTTTATCAAACTTAACTTTGACATTTTTAATCATACTATACTATGGCATTTTTTATCATACTTTACTATGATATTTTTATCATACTATACTATGACATTTTTTATCGTACATTAGTATGATTTTTTAATTTACATTAGTATGATTTTTTTTAATTTTTACTGAAATTTCTATCATACTTTACTATGAAATTTTTTATCATACTTAACTGTAACATTTTCAATCATACTACACTATGACATTTTTTTTATCATACTTTCCTATGATTTTTTGTCAAACTTTCCTGACAAAAATGTCATAGTATAGTTAAGTATTGTAAAAAATCAAAGGAAAGCATGATTAAAATGTCATAGTATAGCATGATAAAATGTCATGGTGTAGTATTATTAAAAATGTCATAGTAAAGTATGATAAAAATATCATACTATACTATGACATTATTTGTCATACTATACCATGACATTTTTGTCATAATATTCAATGACATTTTTATCATGCTGTCCTATGATTATTTTTTATCACACTTTATTATGAAATGTCTATCATACTATACTATGACATTTTTATCATACTTTTCTATGACTTTTTTTTCTTACTGTACTATGATTTTCTTATCATACTATACTATGACCTTTTATATCATACTTTCCTATGGCATTTTTATCATACTATACAATGTTTTGTATTATACTTTAATTGACATGTTTTTCATCATACTTCACTATATTTTTTATCATACTGTACTGTAGCATTTTTATCATACTATACTATGACACATTTTTTCTTATACTTTCCTGATTTTTTATCATTCTTTTCTATGACATTTTTATCATGTTATATTATTGCATTTTATCATACTTTACTATGATTTTTCATTACACTATAACATGACATTTTTATTATACAATACAATTACATGTTTTTATTATACTATACTATGACATTTTTATCATACTATACTATGATTTTTTATACTAAACTATAACTTTTTCCATATCATACTGTACATTGACATTTTTTTAATCATAATTTACAATGATTTTTTATCATACTATACTATGACATTTTTATAACACTATATTGGACATGTTGATAATAATTGCCCACATTTTAAAGGGGTGTTTTGGGGCTTTAATTAGACAAGACAGCTAAGGAGAAAGAGGAAATGTGGGATGTAGAGAGCAGGGGAAGACGTGTACGAAAGGGTCAAGGCTGTGAATCAAACCAGCAACCATTAATAAAACAAATCAGGCCTTCTGACATGTTTGATTTGCAGACTGTGGTCTTTTTTGTCTTCATGACTTTCATTATTAATTGAGTCACTGAAAGATAAACATATTTTATTGAAATAAGATAGACTTTTTTTTGAAAACCCACAGCTTCCATTTCCACTCGTATTTGTGAACACATCAGATGTGCCTCTACCAAAATGACAGACATGTGTATGAAACGTAACAGTAACTGATTTGCAGCCTGACTCAATGTCACCCTTGATATGTGTTTTTCAGTATTGATTGTGTATATATTTCTGTGCTTAATGTGTGTATGACACTTTGTGCTTTTCATGGTTTGATTCACAATTCAGCTGTAAAACCAAGTTCCCCTCAGGGGGGATAGACTTGACCTTGACACTGACCCTCACCACAAATAGCATTGATCTTTCAATAACCATGGGTATCCTCTTTAAATTAACACAGAAATCTGCTCCTCTGTAAACTCTACAGACCTGAGGGAATTTTGATGTTGTGTCAGTTTGTAAAACACATGTTTTGGTTAGCGGAGAAGGTGTGACGTAAATCCCACAGCTCCAATGTCCCCATCGTCTCTTGGCATGCCTTGGCTCTACCAGTGCACTATGTCAGCATCTATAGAGGTGTTACTTTGGCTTCATATTACTTTGCATTGAGAGGAGCACAGAGGCAGTGTTCATATACCCAGTCAATGAATTGGCCTGCATATGAAGCTATGGCTAGTGTCTAGTTAGTCAGCTGTTGGGAAGATACCAGCAGATACAGTAGGGGGTCAAATAACTTGTAAAACCACATGCTGCTGTTTCAGGCTTTTCTGAGCTTAGACATAAAAGTAAAGTAGATTCTCAGTTTTGTCTTTAGGTCATTTTCGTCATGAGCTAATATTTCTTTTATGATATGAAACTCAAGTCTCTCTCAAGTAACCTTCTAAAGTCAGAAAATATAAGGAACAAATGTAAGTGATTCAACAGACGTTCATTGTATCTGAAGCTCTCAAACTAGCTGATTTTCACATGCACCTATACAAGCACCACATATAGCCATCGAAAAGCTCTTGGGGGGTTTGGGGATTTGGCACCTCTGCAGCTACCTGTCTGACTGACTGGTGTTGAGCTGAAAAAACACGAGTGGTTGTGGGCCGGAGTCATGACTTTAATTTAAAAAAGGAAACCACCTCAGGAAGCTGTCAGTCATATCTCTAATGGTGTGACCAAGCGGACAAAGTATTTTAATCCTCCCGTGGTCATGGTACACAGGCCTTCCTAAAGTCCTGGGACTGCTTCTGTTTTTAATTACTCCACTGGTGCTGAACCAGAGGTAAGCCGGAGACTAACCGAGATGTGACACACTGAGTTTTCTTTGTGTTGTTTCAAGGCAAGATCAGACAATTATGCTTACTTATAATCTGGGAGGTGTAAATGTTTTTTCAGTCGCATTTGGAAATGCTCCAAAAAGACGCCATAGTTTTAGTGTGCCATTTTGGTAAATACGCTCAAGGGGTGAAAACAGACAAAATTTGAGCACATTTGAACTCATTAATTTAACAGGGACCATTTAGTGACATCGAGCGATCAGACTTTACCCGAATCTTAAACTCAAAACTTTTAAACACTGAATATTTTATGGGGAATCATTACTAGTGCATCACCGAGCTAAAAAACAATAAACATGAGCTATCGCAGGAATTTCTGCAAGTGCTTTTGTGTTTGTACTTTTGGTAACACATATGCTGAGCTCAAAATTTTGGGTAGGAACTGATTTTGATTCTCAGTAAGACAGTTTTGGTTCTTTTTTGTTCTAGGACTGGGAGGATTTCGTCTACTATGTTCTCAGCATCAGAATCAGATCTTTGGACTCTTTCTGTACTAGAGTCAGGAGTGAAAATTGAAGTATTTTGGTACATTTCTGTTGCTCTTGCAGCCTGAGTGCCAATTAATTGCAGTTTTATTCATAACTCTACAAAACCAAGATATTACATTGGAGAAATGGGAGAATATTTTGTCTATTCACTCACATCCCCGGTCTCTTGAGAGGTGCACAACAAGACACAGAAAGCAAAAAAGGAGACAGCCGCAGGAGAAAGGGATCAGGGACCGTCCAGAGGAAATAACAGTGAATAAAATTTGCAAAGGCGGAGTGGGAGAGGAAGAAGAAAGAAACAGAGCCAGAAGAAAGGGGGAGAAGTGTGCAGAAAAGAGGGACAACAGGTGTTTCATGGTAAGAGAGTTTGTTTTTTTAAGGGGAGGAGTGAGCAAAGTGCCCCGCTGCCTGCTCTGGTCTCCCCTGATGGGGTCTCTGGTAGTCTGGTGGTGTGGTGTTTCACACAAAAACAGACAGCTGCTATTTCAGCCAGCACCTCTTTTAAGGTCACATGAAGCAAATTAAACGATAGCAAGGTCATATACTGGAGAAACACATGAGTGTAGATGTGAAGAAACAGATTTTACATAACACAGCTCCAATGTAATTATCCTTATGGGAGCATGAAACAGGAGCTTGTGGA